CGTATTCGTGCGCTATTCTCGACTTGGCCTGGTGAGAATGCATCCCTTAATCAGTCGCAGGTTTCTGATCCCGAAATTCTGGTCAAGCGATCTGGCGAGCTGAGCAGCCTGAAGGCCGAGTTGCTTGAGGCGACAGCCAATACTGAGGCCAAGGAGCAGGAGTTCCAATCGATCAAGCAAGAGATCAAGAAGGCACTAGAGACCGCTACTTCTCACTCGAAGCACCTGCAGTTTGAGTTGGAAAAATCCTTGGAGGCTATTGAAGATAAAATCCAGGAACTCAAGACGCAAATGCGACACAAATCGAACGAGTTGGAGTGTCTGGAGAAGCAAGTTGCTTGGGAGCAGAATCTGGAGCGAGCTCGAGGATGGTGCCACGACTTTGATGTGAGTGTTACCCAGTTCGCGAAGGAGCAGGTTCAATGGAAGGCCCATGAAGTCGATTCTTCGAGTGGCGATATTGATCAGGAGATACAGCGTCTGGAGTCGTCACTCAAGGAGTTTGAGAACCGACTGAAGGCATTCGAGAGCCAGGAAAAGCCCAAAGTCGAGCAGGCTTGGACGAATTTGTGCGGTGCTCTCGTGTTTATCAACAGGACTGTTCCAGACGAGTACCAAGATCGCCAGACAGGCCTTGCTAACGAGTGCCAAGTGCTCCACAGAAGGATTGCGTACAGTGCTGATGTTTTGAAGCAGCGCAAGGCACTGGAGGCCATGAACGCGCGTATCGATGAACTGGAACGACTCCGGGGTGATCTTGCAGCGCTGTCTGCCTGTGAGAGGAGCGGAGACAGTAAGTCGACCCTTCAAGCAAATGCGTTCGTTGAAGTTGAATCTTGGCGAACGAAAAGACAGGGCTTCGATACTCACTATTATTCTTATATCATTAATTTTTTTCTTTGTATTCTTTAGATGAGATCGCGTTTAAGGATCTGGAAGCAAAGATCCCCTCACTGGCGCAGGCTCTGGAAGCGGACTTCGGTTCACTGCACTACCCCATGGACGACTCTACGGACGAGGCCAGAGCCGCATCACAGAAAGCAAACGCAAACGTTTCCAAACACATCCAGGAGTGTCGTGCTCGGGTCAATGCTGCGAAGCAGTCCCTTGACAATGAGATGCTGAGCAGAGAGGTCTTCAAGCGACGTCTGGAGCTCGAGGCGATTCAGCAGGACCAGGACCGTGCTATTTTGGACAAGATCGGCAAACTGGAGAAGGTTTCGGGGATGTTGAACTGGGCAGATGAAACTACCGTGAAGGTTTCGCGTCTCTTGAACGAGGAATCCAGAGAGCTCTTGTCCAAGGTGTCTGACGATCATAACGATGGCACCCTTGGAGCAGCGACCAAGAATGATGTTGCTGCTGCCTCTGCCAGGACGATGTCTGGGGACCGTTCCAAGTCAACCCAGGCATCTACTGCGCCAACCACCTCCCTATCTTCATCTGAGACAGCAGGGTCTTCCAATCTCTCCAAGGATTTGCCTTCTGTCAACGAGCTGTCCCAACTGTCCCAGGAGGCCTTAGAGACGCTCGCAAGTCGTCTTGATGCCCTGCGCCAAGAGGTCAAGAACATGGCAGAGCACAAGAAGAAGGTTGAGGCCGAGATCACGGCTGTCAATCAGGACAAGGATGGACGTGCTGACGAAGATTTGACCAAGGATTCCTTGCGCGACCAGCCGGTTATTCATGACCTCGAAGATACCATCGAACAGAACCGGAATAAAATCGCGCAGCTCGACCACGATATCGCATCCAAGCTGTCAGAGTTCGACTCTAAGACGCAGGCCATGCTGGATGCACTGGAGCAGCAGTCCGGAACCGTTGCCTCGGCCCTGAAGGAGCGTATTCGTATGGATGAGGAGCGTGAACTTGAGCGGCTCCGCGTCCTGCGAGCCAAGGAGATTGCGAAGTTTGAGGAGTCCAAGGAGAAGTTCCTGGCCTGGTCTGAGGCGCAACTTGAGGAACTCGGCCAGCTATGGGATGCCTGCGGTCATTTCGCCACGAACGACGATGTGGATCACTCGAGCAAGCAGGCGGACTCGGTCAAAACCGCGATTGCCCGTCTTGAAACGGATACTTTGCGATTCCACGGAGAGCTCGCGGAGCAGGAGAATGCCTATGTCGAACTCAAGGACAAGATCAACACCCTTTATGGTGCGGAAGAGCACAAGGCTGACCGTCAGCGGCATTCCGAGGCTGTGGATTCCGCCTGGGCTGCGACAAAGACCGAGTCTGCCGGCTACCGCGAGATTCTCAAGCAAATGAAGGCCTGGTCAGAACTCCACGGCGCTCTCGTGCGGTTCGAGAAAGAGGGACTGGACAAGCTGGAGAAGCGCGTCGAGGCGCTGAGATGGATGCACTGGGACGCCTTCCAACCGGAAGAGGAGGCGCTCTTGAAGATGGTTGAAGACGTTGAAGATCAGGCTCGTGATCTCAAGGAACGTGTCGACATGGTCAATGCCATGGAACTGAGCCCAGACCTCCAGACGAGCCACCAAGTTATCCTAGAGGCAAACAGGGCTTACTTTGACGAGCGGTTGGAATCGGTCCCGGTCCGTATCGACGCTGCTAAGGACCGAATGGACTACATCCACGAGACCTCCAAGGAGATTGCACTCCACGCCAAGTTCCATGCTGACCTTGTCCGTGTCGAGACCGCGATTGCTCAGCAGATTGATGCTGTGAAGGCCAGGCTTGGAAGTTTGGAGCGATCCAGTTGCTTTGCTCTGAACAGCAAGGCCCTCGAGGCCGTCGTCGCGGCCGCGAATGAGATTTGCATGGACGGCAAGTACCAGTTTTCGGTACTGCAGGAAGTCGAGTACTCTGCCCTGGAGCAGACAGCCTTTGATCTCGAATTGCTGGTTGCGGAGGAGCCGTCCGATCCCGAGGGCGGTGTCCTGTCGATCCGAAGGGGCGTTCAGGAGTCGATGCAGCGTATCCGTATGGCGCTGAAGCAGCTGGGAGGATATATTGAGGAAGACTGTTTCGAGTCGCTCCTTGCAGGAAAGTTCTACACCCACTGCAAGGCCACGGAGGACATTCGTCAGTGGATCACATCATGCCGAGATTCGATGGCTCGGATCGATAACATAGACAAGGGCCAGGATTTCAACGATAAGAAGGCACGTCGCAAGACCAAGGAGCTGAAGGCTCAGAAACTGGAGACATTGGAGAAGATGCTGAATGCATTCGGAGGCACTGTCCAAAACTATGACAGTCTTTCGAGCGACTTTATGCTGCTTCACCATCCGCAGTCGAGCTCAATGGATCTCACGGACCAGAGCGCAGACGGACAGGAAAGTTCTCCGTCAGTGTCGATGCGTGTGATCCTGCGCCAGACTGTTCAGGAACGTACCAAAAGAACTTATGAGGACTGGGAGCTGCTGAAGCAGGAGTTCCTAGCCAAGACCATAGCCTTGGACGAGCAGAGCTCAGAGGACGATGGCAGTGATGGATCGGACGTAAACGGCAGTGGCCTCGGCCATAACCCTCGTGGATCAACGGAGACCAATCCGGTTGCGAAGGCCAGAGCGCTCAGCCGATTCGGGACCGAGATTTTGGAGGATATTCAGCGCGTCTCTCGAGAAGTGCAAGAGATGTTTGATCACGCCCCTACGAGTCAGTCGACCCTATCCCTGGCGGTGGAGTCTGATGGGGCCTTGATCAAGTCCAAAGATGGTCAAGGACGTCTGGAGCAGATCGAGAGCTATATCCGCGAGGTTTTGCAGTCCAAGGTTGAGAAGTTTGACACGATGTTGTCGGCAGCGAGCGAGCAGAGCGAGCAGGAGCAGGGACGCCTTGATGGTGCATCAGAGCAGAACTTAAGCACTCACAGCCATATACGACATCACGAGAAGATGGTCGGCGTGGCCATGCAGCGTGGACTGATTGCAGAGTCGATGAACCGGTTGGTCGAGTCCTGCAACCATCAGCGCAAGGAGGTTGACGAAACAGTTCGTGTCCAAAGCGCTATGGATTTGATTCACGAGGCCAGCTTGCTTTGCGATTCTGTGGCAGAGGCACTCGCGTCCGCGGATAGTCTCCTGGTACCGGCAGAGCTGCCCACGAGCACGTCCCTGTACAACCTGCCGGGCGCGTCTTCATCTTCGTCAGTGGCGTCCATCAACCTCTTGAGCACCAGGTCACCCTTGAGTCCCACTATGTCGCCTTCCGGAAGCATTTCGAGGGCGACGCTCGCCTCCCGAGAGCGACGGGCATCTCGTGCGTCGATGCGTCGCTCATTCTCGCTCTCGGCTTTGAGTGAAGAAGACGTCCAACAATGGGAGTCTGACTACCGGACTTTGTTGGAGAAATTGGATGGATACGCCCAGGGGATCGAGCAGCGTCTGCGAAGTGTCCAATCGATGGCAGACCGTCTGCACGATTGGAGACTAGACGAGAACATCGGTGTTGCGACAGAGCACTGGCAGAAACTCAAGAAGACGGCTCTTGACAAGAAGGAGGCACTCGACCGTGTATGGGAGCGCAGAGATAGCGAGCCGAACCAGGGATCTGGAGTCCATCCCCTGGAGAGCCAGTCCTTTTCGTCGAGATCAAGCCTGATGCAGCCGACGGCATCGTCCAACAGCCGCGTCAAGGCCATCTTGGGTTCACCCATCGACCCCCTGCCTGCTTACCATGGAAAGAAGCGCATGTCGACGGGTAACATTATGGCCCGTGCGACATTTGTGCCACCTTCACCTACGCCGAGCTTCAGTGGACCTTCGAATAGAGGCGGCCGTGCGACGGCAGGAAGAGTCCGGTCGGGAACTGCACCCACAAAGTCTGTGAATGCCAGCATGCCAGATGTGACGACGAAGAAGTTCACGATGCTCGCGTCTCCAAGCATGCATGCGATGTCGCCGACGTTCTCGCAGGAGGCGAAGAGACGACCGCCAGTTATTCGAAAGAATGATTCGACGTCGTCGATTTCGTCTTTGGCACAGGGTGCCGAGGGCTTGAGCCCGCTTACTAGAGGCGCGCTCTATAAACCGGATCTGAACAACGCATTGGATGTGGAGGTTGCTCGGGTTGTTAATGCGAGCGGCTTCTCGATGAGGGTGCAGAAAGTGATGGAGGGTCAAAACCCGTATCTGTCTGGTGGTGGAAAGAACAGGAGTCGATCGGGTTCGACGTCGAGTCTTGTGTTGGGTGGAATGCCAGACAGTGGTGGATACGAGGGTGGAATGGATAGCACGGGCAGTAGCCCGCGCGTTGTGAAGACGATTCGAGGCCAGTCCCGGTTGGCTGTGCATCCTACGGAGAGTGGTGGAGGTGGTAGCCAGAATGGAGAGGTTGGACGGTATGTGTTTGGAGATATTGAGCCAAAGGTATGCTACTGCCGTATTCTGAGGAGCCGCAAGGTCATGGTCCGAGTGGGAGGAGGATGGTCCGAACTGTCCAAGTAAGTCTTATCTGTTATCGCCCATATTTTTTTTTCTTTATATTGCATTGTGTCCCTGGACCTGAGCGAAAGATATTAATGAAGATCTTTTTATTTCTTCTTTGCACGAACTAGATTCATGGAGGACCACGCCTCGCTGGAGCAGAGGAAAGCCAGGTCGAAGTTGCTCTCGGCGTCGAACTCATCGATCTCTGTGGCATCGCAATTTGGAAGGTCTACATCTGTGTTGAGCGGCACGGAGTCGAGACAACATCTTCATCCGCTTGAGGGATCATCGGACAGTCTGTCGGATAGCCAGATGAGCGGTGGTAGCGGAAGCGGCGATGGTGAGGGCAAGACGAGGACGCGAAAGAAGAAGGAGCTGATCTACCATATTCGAGGGAACGGCGATGATCTGGCGCTGAAGACGATCAAGTTTGTCAAGGGCGGGGCCGGCGAGGGACTCGTTGCCATCTAAGGAGGGTGAAAAAGACGGATCTGTTGTGCAAGAGACCAAAGGAAATATCATCAACAAAAAAACACCGGCAATGGAAAGGAGGAGGGATGGGTCGCGAGTCGACTTTTTTTTTTTCCTTCTTTTTTTTGTAGAGCTACAGCGACAAAGCAGCATTAGCATCGAGCATGCCTGTACAGTATAACAAGATAAAGATCGTACTTTTCGCGAACTTCTTTGGTGTGAATGTGGCAACTCTTTCACAAACACTTTTTGTTCCTCTTTTTGTTCTCATGCGACCAAATGAGGGTGCCACAGAAAGCCCTTTGAAAAAAGGAACGACTCCACAATGAATAGTAGTGGTGCCTTTTTTTTTTCTTTTCTCTCGACCAAGTGGATCATATCGAAATCCGCAATCGGTCTCTTATTTAAGTGAAGTACCTCTTTTGCTTTTATGCCTTTCGCGTCATGAATCGAAATATCTTTTAACGTGAATCCCCAACACTCCTACCGTGTACACACAATAACCAATCTATACTGATTTATTGAAGAAAAGAAACAAAATGCCCCGCCATCCACGATTAAATTGGACAAAGGAGAAGACTCGAAAGGAGGAGCGTACAGGAACCGAAGAACGGGCGTCTACCACCGCGGAAATCCCTGGCCCGTCCTTGTCGATCTCAGGTCCTACTTCCACGCCAATGCCTCTACCATCTTCTGCGTCCGCTCCATCCTCCTTCTCGTCTTCATCCCTCAGCATCCCTTCTATCATACTTCTACCACTACCATTCCCGCCACAAGAGCGGCAGCAACAGCAGCAGCAGCAGACCCAAGGAACGCGAACAACTGTAGAGAGCTCTGTTGTCGAAGAGCCAAGTGATGAAGATGAAAAGGAGGAGAATGAATTCGAAATTGATGTGCGAGGTCGACGAAAAACGGTGGCACAGTTTACGGCTGAGAGTCTTGGCGGTGAGGGTGACGATGGCGAGGATAAGATCCTGAACATCAATGTGTTTTTGGAAGGCAGGTTTGGGTTTGAGTATGGGGACTGGCGTGGGCGTGGGCGTGGGCGCGGGTATGGGTATGGGTATGGGTATGGGTATGGATATGGGCATAGGAGGTGGAGGTCAAGAAGAATAGATCGAGCACGCGAACGCGACCGTAGGTTGGGATGTGAGCAGGATTCTTCTGGAAAGAAGAATTCACGGACAGAGTCAGCGGCACCGGAAGCAAGGATGGCCGCTTCGGCTGCTGCAAACCCAGAGGCAGCAGCAGCAACAATAGCCTCCGAAGCAGATCATGGAGCAACATTGGATGTTTTTGACAACACAGCCTCGACGGCAGACTCGGTAGAAGGACCCGCTTCAGTAGCAGCAACAGCCAACTCAAGCTCGGACGTGGATGAGATGCCGAGGTTTACAAGTCTTGCGGAATTTACTCGCTGGATGACGGCAACATCGAATGTATGCTCTGTTCGAGGGCGTCGGTTGTCGTCGACCTGGTCTTCAGAAGCCGCGGGGCAGCGTACGCAGGCGCGGTCGAGGGAAGCGATTGTGGGGATGGCGAAGACGCTGAATTCGTATGGTAATCGGAACCACCACCACGGTTACCACGGTTACCACGGCGGTCGTAGTGGGGTTTTTGTGGTTGGGAGGGGAGGGGAGCAGGAGCGAGAGCAGATTACGGCAGTAGATCTGGAGAGGATGGTAGTGGACAGTGATGAAAGGAGCTGTTTGAGGCTCTCTGGGAATGTATACCCGGAGGACGTTGCCGTCGAGAAGAAAGTAGAAGAGCAAGACGAAAGACTGATGAGGAGAAGACGGAGTAGAGAGGATGATACTCTGGCAAGGAAGAGGAAGCGACAGGAACCGGGGGCTCCTGAGTGGAGACCTAAGCGAAGAGAGTCAGTGGAACGCAGGATGCCAGGCGCACTGCCGACTCCGGTTGTCTTTGTGGCCAGGACGGGTTCCTCGGCGGTGCCTCTTCAGTTTCCGTTTCATCCTGAAGTCCGGGTCAACGGCGCAACCACACTCTCACCAACCACCGCCTCTATTTCAGTCCAGGTCGGCGATGCGACTCCATCTCCGCCCGGACAACCTTCCGCTCTTTCTCCAACACAAGACGATCCTCCAACCCCACCTGAATCGCTAATCGCCAGCCCAACAAATCCAGCAAATGCTCAGCTGCCTCGACCGAGTCTCAGCTGCCCTGTACGCTATGCTCTGATTCGCAAAGGTCCCGAATCCTTTGCCGAGGGTCTGAAAGACACGGTGCAGGAACGACAAAGGACACCACTCGAACAATGGGTCGAAATCGCTGCGCCTGTTCAAGCGATCATGCTCAAGATCTACAGGTTCGTCGCTCGGATCATGCGCCAAGGATTTGACTGGTCGATCCTTGGATGGTGTATCCAGCAATACCTGCGCCGATTTGATTATGGCTACGACGAGATCCTGACGGTCGTGCCCTACCCGGGCGATGGACTCGGGCTTGAAGACGCGGACACGCCAGCATGTCGTGTTGAGGTCTACGGGAAGCGATCGCAAAGGATGTGGGCGAGGTTTGCAAGGTGGCGGAAGCAGCATCGGAAATGGTGTGCGAAGCAGGAGAGGAAACGGGCAAGGGGACTGAGGGAACGGAACTGGGTGGGGAGGATGAGACAGAGGGTTTGGGGATGGAAAGTGTGGGGCGTGATGAAGGCCTTGGCAAGGGCTTCACCCGTCGTGGAAGAACTGTTGAGGATGGTTCAGGCGCCGGAGGAGACGGTTGAGGAGCGGGACTGGAGGTTGTTTGTGGAATGTGGACAGCGAGAGGTGTTTAGGGCAGATGAGGAGATGGCGGGTGATGATGAGGAGGAGCAGGAGGTGGAGGAAGACGAGGAGGAGAAAATGAGGAGGAGAGATGATGGAGGGACGGTGGGGGCTGTGAAGACGAGGGAAAAGGACGAGGGGATGTATCACCTAATGCAGCTGAGGAGGAGCGGGCGCGTGGAGATGTGTAGCTGTGGAGGCCATAATGGAAGGCAGCAAGGGCGTGCGCGCAGCATTGAGTCCAGGGTGCGTGAGGAGGGACGCGTCCGCGGCGGAAGGGTTACGGCATCGACGGCGAGGAATTCGATCGCGCAGTTCATCGGGAAGACGACGGCGCGTCAACGGGCGCAGCAGCGGGCGCGCAACCAGAGGAGATAAAATAATAATAAAAAGGTGTGAAATATGGTAAAATAGTGGGTGCGTTTTGTAGACATACACGAGCAACGGGATCGTATACAGAGCCTCCGTATCGAACCCACTTTGAACGACAGTTCCCTCGATGTACCATCCCCTGTCTATTTGCCGCTACTGGTCAGGGGCAACACCAAATGCATAAGGGGACGTCTTCTTGATGTCAGCATAGGAGGCACACAAGGTACTCTTTCGAGGATGCTATTTTCTACAGATTGTCATCATGATACTCCTCATGTTGTGTGCCCTCATGCAGTTGTGGAATGCATTTTTAGATTGGCGGATTGATGTCGGCTCTCCCTATGTGCAAATAACTCAACCTTGCCTGTGTCTCAAAGTAATAGCTTCTCTTTGCCATCATCTCCTTCTCTCTCTTTTCTTCTCTCACACTCCACACATCCCTACACATCCGTACATCCCTCGTCTTGGTGGTCTCCTCTCCACCCACACCTGCCATCTCGTCCTTCCCCCCTTGTACCCTTCCAGCAAACAATAACCCCAATCCTCTCATCGACTCGATTCTATACCTCATTCTACAGGCCCCCCGTTTCTCCCTCTCCCCCTCCTTACCCAACACACATATACATACTACCACACTATGGGTATCCCATTATCCAAGGCCATCGCAAAGATCTTTGGCAACAAAGAGATGCGCATCCTCATGCTCGGTCTCGATGCCGCAGGAAAGACCAGTATGTTTCTCTCTCTTACTCTCCTTTTCGTTCTCCCTTCCTATTCCTCGGCTGGTTTTATCATTTATTGCTTTGAGACAACGATGTTCCAGGCACGGCCTATCACACCTGCTTCAGCAACAACAACACCACACAGTCGCTGCCGCCGATACTACCACCACCAATTGAACCCCCAGGAAGTCCAGGGCATGGAAAGAAACAGAAACGACGACAGGGCGACATAAAAATACCCATATCAGCTCACCATTTATTTATCTCCTCGCTATTACGCTCTCTTTGTCTCGCTTGCTGACTCGCCAAAACTGCTCCATAGGAGAGCAAGAGTGACAAAAGAAGTGCTCTCAATCACAATAATCGACTGGCCTTTTTTTGTTATATATACGAAAAAAGAGTTGGAACCCAGTTTGGCGTGGTCGAAAGGAGAGGGGGGTGGAGTTGGCAGCTCAGCAGACTCCCGATTTGACATCCTTGCCGGGGTTTATGGCATCACACAGCACATGGAACTTTGTGATATTTAGTCCGAAAACTTATTCCTTGAACGTCTTTTTATAGCGATCCTCTACAAGCTGAAGCTGAACCAGTCTGTTACAACCATCCCCACGGTTGGATTCAATGTCGAGACGGTCGTGTACAAGAATGTGAAGTTCAACGTCTGGGTAAGTTGGACGGACTTTACTGGTCCTTATTTGTTTGATATAATAGTTATCCAATTATGATGGTTGGTATCCCTTTGTTGTTATTTTCCTCTCTGCTCAGCAATAATTACACAAACCGAGCAGCCACGTAATTGCAGGCACCGCTACTCTACACAAGAGAAAGACGATTGAGAAGACTGGATGTATATTTTCCCTTCATTGTGTTGTCATTCTTTCACTATGTATCTATTTGTGTGTGCTAAAGCGTGTGGAGTGTAATGGTGAATTTGAGCTCTCGTGTGTGTGTGTGTGTGTATATGTGTGCACCCCCTCTTTTATGCTTGGACAGAAAAAGAAAAGGGTGACCAAGCCCTTTTTAGACTGGTATGAAAGACTCGGTGCCTGAAACATGTTTTAATGCATCATGGCGCCATGGCACAACAACGAGGGCAACACAGCAGCCAGCAACCAGCAACCAGCACAAACATGCAACTGCAACTATAATTGCAAACAGCAAACAGCAAACAGCAAACAGCAACATGCCTATTCTTCACCTACATGAAAAACACAATGCACTGCGGCACACTGAAGATTACGTCGAGGAACTATCCCTGGATTCATCACCAAATCATACAACTGGGACGCAAACAAACACAGACTATTAAAATGCGCCCTACATCGCATCGATCGATTGCAATGTCTCCACGCACATACACACACACACACTTCACTTTTTATTGGTACATTCTGAGAAAAGTGAAAGAATGCTTATGACAAAGCAAAGTGAGAAAAAGTTAGATGCGAAATAGAGAGAGCGTGAAATGAGCGGGTGGGGTCCAAAGAATGATAAATTGAGAGCAATACTAGGGGGGTTATCTGTGTTAGTTCACGGGCTAATAATATGCCCAATCGACATCGACATCGTCTGGATCGTTATAATGTGGTCAATCAAAAGAATTACTAACACAATACACTTTTTATTATCGTCGATATTATTACGGTGCTTGTCTGGATTGAATAGGATGTCGGCGGACAGGACAAGATCAGACCTCTCTGGCGCCATTACTACACCGGTACCCAAGGATTGATCTTTGTGATCGACTCGCAGGACAGGGACAGGATAGACGAGGCAAGACAGGAGTTGCACCGCATTATCTCGGATCGGGAAATGAAGGACTGCCTGTTGCTCGTCTTTGCTAACAAGCAGGATCTTCCTGGAGGTAAATTCAGCGTTTCGATTGTCTTTTGAGAAGGAGCGCACATGTGTTTAGTTGTTGGTGGTGGAGAACCGATCTTAACCAGTCGGATTTTTTTCTTTTTTTTTCTTTTCTATTGCAATTGACAGCGATGACACCCGCAGAAGTAACAGAGCGTCTGCAATTGCATACGATGCGCGAGAGACCGTGGTATGTGCACCCATCATGCGCGACCACGGGCGAGGGTCTCTTTGAGGGTCTTAACTGGATGAGCCAGAACGTCAAGAGCAAGTAAACGTTAAAAAAGAGAGAAAGAAAAGACGGCGGGGGCAAAGGAGGAAGGAAGAAGAAGGAGAAGGAGGAGAGAAGCCAGGACGATGCAAGGGGCGCGGAAGACAGAGGGTTTGGAGGTGGAGTTTCGAGTGAAGCCCCTTCCCTTTCGAACCCCTCCTGCAGCCTTCGATACCAACCAACGGAATCAGTCAACGGAACTGACCGACCGACCACAAGGAGGAAGAGGATGATGAGGGAAAAAAATCCGGATACAGAACACTTTCAACAACAGCAGCAGTAGTAGTAGTAGTAACTGCGAGTACTATATATACACGGCAACCAGGAGAATCATGGAGGAGGGGCCCCGTCTGGGACGAAGCTGCTTTCCTTTTTATTGTCCTGTCTTGCTATTCTTTTTTTTTTCAACACTTTTGTCTTTTTATTACTCTTTTTAATATCATATCTGTTTATTTTAATGACCCGATTTGTCGCTTGGACCATGTGTGTGTTCTTTGCATGGTATATGTTTGTCGTATAAAATCGGATCCATCCAAGAACGCGTCCAAAGCCGCGTTGAGAAAATGGTTAAGGGATGCCTGGTTGAAGCGTATTTCTATGATGTGTCAGCCATTGTCGACCAGTCCATTGAGTTTGGGGGGGGGGAGGGGGGGGAGAAAGTGCTCAAGGGTACTTCTCCAAGTGTGCGTATATACTCCAGCTGAGCCTAGGCTCTGTGCCAAAAAAACTATGCGAAAATGGGTGTGTATGTGTGTGTGTAACGAAGTACACAGAAACGGAAGACACAAAGCGAAGGAAGATAACAATGACATCGGCAGAAGCTTACAACCCATGTAACCGAGCCTTTGCTTCTGGGATGGCAAGATGACATCTTCTGGCGGAGGGTGCTACTGCAGTAACAAGATGGTAAGTATGCAGCAACTGACAAGACAGCATTGACTGGTCCACAGGCACCACATAGTGTACGTAGACCCCACACACACACACACGAAAAAGATGGTTCAGAGGACGAGGAAAGGAGGGACGAATGGAGTCCAAGGACGCCGATCGGGTTTCTTTCCTTTGATCCTTCTCCCAGCGGCAGTCTTTTAAGGTTTCCTTAGGGGGAAAAGAGGGAAGGAGAGGAAGGGGAACGCGTTTGTCCTCCCCGCACTCAGAGTTCCTTCCCATCGAAGTGGAGTGGAGGGTGGAGTGAAGAGCGCAGAATGTGTCTATTCATGGACCGGACCCCTCTTTTCTCTTTACTCCTTCACTCCTTCCTTCTTTCCTTCCTTCCGCTTTGTTGTGCACCTCCTCTTCCCCCCCGCCCATCCCCCATCCTCCCCCTTCCTTGCAATCCAATCGTGTACATACTTCATACTATTTCATTGATTATTTCATTATTTCACTATTTTATTATTTTATTACTATCACCGGTCCGCCTGCCTCCTTCTTTTTCTCTTCAGCACACACCCACACCATCACACCGACAGAAACGTGGCCTGTGTCTCTTTTTTATTTATTCCTCTTCTTCTCTCATTCGCCTTTCATCACACACCTCACACACCTCACACACCTCACACACCTCACACTCTCTCCACACCCTCTCCACACCCTCTCCAGCCACACCCATCCACACATACTCCCCATCAACTCGGCCGACCCCTTCCCATCGTCCTCACCCATGTCTGCCCTGCGGGCTATGCTGCAGCTGCGGTCTGTCTCCCACCCGCCCACAGGACCCTCGCTCCAGCAGTCCGACCCGAACGACACAGCCGCCTTCCACTCTAGCGCCTCCTCTATCCACTCTGTTTCCACCCACTCCCTTCAGGCCCAGTCCCTCAATGGTGCCGGCGCCTCCGTCGCCACCTCCATCATCCCCGCCGGAACCGTCTCCCTCTCGTCCTCAACAAAGCCCGGGACGCCCACCAAGAAACAAATCAACCTGGGACTCCATTCCGGTGCAGCCTCTGGCAACCTGGGTAAGTTCGAGACAACACACCAACACCACAAACAATGGATTCCATTATGGCTTCCATCCGGATATATCGTCAGCCCCATCCTTCTTATGGCCGCCGCCACAGACCTCACAACAGAACAACACCTTTTTTTTCTTTTTTTTTTTTTGGTGGAGTTTGGGTGTTTTCTTTGTTTATTTTTTTTTTTTGTTCCGTTTGTTGTGTTGTCGTTTCGCTGTTTGGTTGGTCGCCTTTTTTTTTCCTTCGTGGAACTGATGTTTGTGCTCACAACATTGGGGGGCGTCTGTGACCAGGATAGGATGTGCTCTGTGCTCGAATTTTTTTTATTTATTTTTCCTTTTGCCCTTTCGTCAATCAAAATTCGCACCAACACTCAGGGCACTGGAGCTCATCCTCAGAGGATCACGTAAAAAGGGCGGATATGGAAGAGCAAACGCGAGAGCCGAAACATGGAGAACAGGTGCCAAGTATAGCATTGGAGATCATGACCAAGGACCTTGGATTCGTATCGGAGCAGCAATCCAACAAACAGCAATTTCGCTTATACATGATTGGCGGGGGGAGGAGGGCAGCTAGGGCTCGATTGTTCTGGCTTACTTTCTTCTTAGTGTTGTTGCCATGTCTTTAGCCCCTGGTGCCCCTCTACATATCCTTGTTGCCACCAATTCTTTTTTTTTTTGGATCACGTTGATGACCCCATTGACGCCTGTTCACGAGTCGTTCTTGGTACTAGGCTAGTTACTACTGCTCTCTATCCCCATGAACAGATCACAGAGCGTGACTGACATGACCGTCTCTTTTTCTCCTTGGCTAGGTCTGGTCAAGTTTGCGCTTGACAATGGTCAGCCGATCGACTCCATGCTCAATGGTGTATTTGCCATCCACGCAGCCTGCTGCAGTAACGCCAATGTCGCAGTCGTCCTCTATCTGATCGAGCGAGGCGCAGACGTCAACGCCAAAAGACTACCGCGGAAATACAGCAACGAGAAGGGCGTGTAAGTGTGCCATTGGATATCTCAACCCTGTACATGTGCAATGGGTATTGTCGCATAAAACAACAATGCAGTCGATATAAGGAACCCCTGCGCTGACACTCCTTTTCTTGTATTTGCATTCGCATTTGCATTTGCAGGCAAACCGTTGGTACGACAGGATCGACCCCTTTGCACTTTGCAGCTGCCAACGGATGTCTTGCGGTTGTGGATATTCTGCTGCGACATGGCGCCATCGTCGATATGACCGACAAGGTATGTATTTTCGCAATGCAAGAGAGCTTTTTTGAATCGCTTTGAGTTATCGGTAATCGTTCTCTGACGGTTTTCATATTTTTGTCGATGCAAAAATAGTACGGCTCGTCGCCTTTGTCAGTGGCAGCAGCGAGGAACCATCCCGAGGTCGCCAGTCTACTCCGCCAATATTCGGCCATGCAGCGTGGTGTTCAGGACCTCACTCCCGACAATGAAAGCAAGGATCCGTTTGTCGATAGAAGAGGCAGTCTTGAACTCCGTGGAACAGCACCGTCATCGCGTATTACTGCTGCTGTTGCTGCTGCTGCTGCAGGACATCAAAAGGACACCAGCGCTCAGTCCCTGCCGGTCCCATCTGGTCGCTCTACTCAAACCACACGCTCTCCAGGTCAACGGCGCATCAGTCTGCCCTCAATCATCGAATCGCCCTCTTCGCCCTCACCCAATATACTCCCCCCACCAAGACAGTCCTGCGATCTTGGCCGCCCACCCCAGTCGACAGAACCATTGGTCAGGAGCACTGCCTTTATTCGCTCGACACCCTCTCAGCCCACAAGGAATATCACCATGGCGCCATCAAGACCTGAGGATCGACCCGTCAAGTCTCCAACGCGTGATCAATCGGATTCGTCGTTGAATAAGTCAAAGGAGCCGGACACACGAACAATCCGGCGATCGCAAACAGTCCATGATGCTCAAAACAGCCTCTTGACACCCACGGAAGCTACGCCGATGAAGAGGCGAAAGTCCATGGAATCAGCGGCGCTCCTATCACCCCAGTCGGCGCTATGTGTCAATCGTCGCAAATCGTTTGACCATCTCTCCAGTCTGCGTCATTCAAACTCGAAGAGCAGGAGATCGTCCGATGCGTCGACAGCTTCTGAGGGAACAGCGTCTTCAGGCACATCAGGAACGTCCCATACGAGCGTTTCAGACAATGCGGCAGAGTCAAGCCAAGATCGCAATCGCAGCAGCAACAACGGCAACATGGCCAGACCCAAGCTCTCTGGATCTTCACAGGGATCTCACCCCCATCTTATAAGATCCACATCTCAGCCCCTCATTGATCTCATCAAACCCAGAAGAACGCCAGTGTCCTTCGTATTGGAACCACCTGCTCGACAGTCATTGGACCTGCAGCGATTGGCGTCAAACCAGGACAGGACCGCCGACAAGGATAGAAACGGAGAGCCAAGGAATGACTCTGATTCTGACCTTCCAGGATTGTTGTTTCGTCGAAGGACCATGCAGGAGGCATCCAATTCGAAATTGGGAACAGTGCCCCGATACCACAGTATGGGACCAATGGTCGATTCATCGAACGCTGAGGGGGGTTCGAGCAGGAACCAACATCATCTTCATCATTCGACCACTGGCTCTAGCACATCATTGCAGGAGATGTCGGCGCCGCGACTGAGCACCAGCTCTATCTCGTCTAACCATTCTGGTTCAGGATCGTTTTCTGGGAGTGCGACGGTTTCGGGAAGGATCTCGAGGATGTGGTCGTCCTCTGCGTCGAATGGCAAGGATCTTTTGAAGGATGGATCTGTGAACAATGGGGGTGCGGGCGAGTTTGGGGAGCTGGGAGATGATACAGCCGCGAATCGATCGAGGAGTAGTATGCTGAACCGACTATCGGGGATCTGGGGCCGACGATGAGAACGAAGGCCGGGGGTGGGGAAGTTTTCAATTTCAAATGTATATAACACAGATGTATATAAGCCAAAGAAAAAAATAAAGCGCAACGGGCTGAACACGTTTTTATTATATTCAATTGCCAAGAGAAGAGAGCGGAGTTTTGTGTGCTGGTCTTCATCGCATTCCCTCCTTGAGCCAAGTTTGGACGTTCATCTCTCTTCTTGTTCCATTCCTCATACACCCAGCAATCAAGTTTAAACAAGAACTACTACTACGTTTTAGTTTTTGGTTTTCCATCACAGCACACAACGGACACTAGACAATACCATGGACACCACCGCACACAACGACCAGCAGCCACAGGAACAGTCATCGTCTTGGAACTCCGTCCTGGGCACACCAAGTACATCGCTTCTACGGAGTCGTCAGGGTCATGCATCAACCTTGACGGAATCTGCTACAGGGCCGAACAGTGGTCTTCCTCAGGGAGCTTCGAGTGCGAACCGTCTTCATGCTGGGGCGATAGGAACGACATTACAGCATAAGGAGAAGGAGGAGCAGGATTCAACAGGGCGGCAAACGGAACAGGGTCCACAGGAAGATATCGATTCATTAACAGAGACAGTAGTATCAGCAACAGTTTCAGCCGCTTTAGCGGGAGGACCAGAAGAGGTGGTAGAGGCCGCGGGAGGGGCGGTAGCTGTCCCGGCGGCGGCTCATTTGGAGAGCTCAGTCGTGGGCTCGACGGTCGTCTCTGCGACGACGACGGAGATGCATGAGAAGGAGGTGCTGCAGCAACCGTCGACGGGCACGGACTTGATGGATTCGGATGCTAATGCCGAGTTCTCGTGCAATATCTGTTTCGATACCTCGATCTCGCCGGTGCTGACGCTCTGTGGACATTTGTTCTGGTGAGGATGAAGTTCCCAACTCGAATGTCATATTATTCATTGGAACGTTCTCTTTTTTCTTTTTTTCTTTTTTCTTTTTTCTTTTTACATATATACCTATACTAATGTCTTTTCACTCTTTCACTTCCTTTTTTTTTTTTTCTTGGCACTCTATGGTGTGATAGTTGGTCATGTCTTCATCAATGGCTGGATGCTCAACGTCAGAATCCGACGTGTCCGGTGTGTAAGGCAGGATGTGCACAGGATAAGGTCATTCCGATCTATGGACGGGGTAAAGAGCATGTCGATCCAAGGTAAAATATCATGACAAAGCAAAGCAAAAACGAACAGGATTATTTTTTTTGGGGGAGGAGGAAAGAATGGAATTGCTTCGTTTGGAGTATGGCCTGAACAAATGCCTTGTATCACCTTTCTCTTTTTCTCACTCTTTCTCTCTCTCTCTCTCTTTTTCTTTCTTTCTTTCATAAAGGTCGACGACACCAAAGAGACCTGCGGGACAAAGACCAGAGCCGTTCCGGAACCCGAACCAGACAGGATTTACCTTGGGGACGGGACAGGTGACGTTTACAGGGACGATGATCCCGCCGTTCATGTTTTCGCCGTTCGGGATCCAGTACGGAGCATCGTACACCGGGAACATGGGAACTAATGGGGCAGGTAAAGAACCTGGCTTTTCGTCCTTTGATTTTTGTTGGCTGGTGGGTTGTTGTGAAATGAAATAGTCTACTGATACGAGAATCGGATGCTTACTTTTTTTTTTTTTTTTTGGGAATCTGTAAGTGCAAACTCCTATGCAGGCATATGTGTCGCGGATGTTTTTTATGTTGGGCACGTTGATCTTGGTTGGGATCCTGCTTTACTAAAAAAAACTCGAACAGGATATCATAGCGCCGGCGCCTTTTTTTTTTTCTTTTCTTATTTTATTTTTTATATATTTTGATAATACCCCCTCTTTCTTTTCACCACGACCCGCCCTCATAGACATTACATTCCATGATATACGAAAATAAAAGATATAAAGAACGGTGTCATCCACGGTATTAGATATACCTTTTTCTTTTTTTGGTTTTGTTCATTCATCCATGTCTTTGTGGTGCTGGTTATTGCTATCTACGATTACGGAGGTGGAAGGGGAATTACGGGGGGATCGTGTATTGCCCGCTCAACTCTTCCAGACCGCGAGAGTGTGATTACCCTCGCTCCTGATTAATATCGTGCTAGTTTGTCCATGCAACGCGAGGGAAGGAAAAGGAAGATGTTAGATGAAGATCAGTGAAGATCCGAATATGGATAGGTAAGCAAAGAAAAAAGAAGCCATGCTGCTGCATGTGCGGATGCATGCAATGCACACTTTCGTATGCTTTTTTTTTTTTTTTTGCATAATAGATTTTTTTTTCTGATGTTGATGTGGAGATTACCTGTTGCCATAGTCGACCGAGATGGTGGGTGTGTCTTCTTTGAGATCCGAGGGGGCCTTTAGTTCTGTGAGTTCCCTGGCGTGCGCGGCAATCGAGGCGATGAATCCTGCGGAGGAAGCCTTTGCGATCCCGCGAGCTGTCCGATATTGTAGTAAATTGTTTGAAAAAAAAAATGCAAAAATGAAAAGTGTCCAAAAAAAAAAAAAAAAAAAAAAAGTTGAATGGGATGGTTAATCCAATATGGAATAGGGTCGATCCTGAGGCAGGGCTTTTTGCGCGAAAGAGCTTTAGCTGTGCTCCAGGAAGATGCCATCCATCCATGCATGCTCTCAATGCTCTTGCTATTTTTTTGATTTTTTTTTTTTTTTTTGGCGAGTGAGGTTCGCGTACCTCCAAGACAGAGACCGTGTTCGTCTGCGATCAGTACGCCGATAACTCCTTCTGATTCCGTGCTATGGAGCGGATTGATACACGAAGAAGAAAAAGAAGGCACGGAAAATTAGGTTTCTTCGGTCGAGGCTTGCAGCCCTGCAGTCAAGGGATCCTGTTAAGAAGTTGATGCGAGGTGTCCTTACAGCTTGCTGAGAATGTTGTTGATGCCGGTCTCCATTATGTGGTTCAAACGCGTTTTGTCGACGAGGTGTTCCAAGAAGAAGAAAGAGTAGTAGTTTGGTTGGCTGGTCGGTGAAGAAAAAGGTAAAAAAAATAAAGGGAATGAAGGTGTTTGTGGAAGTGGGGACCAGTCCTTGTGGAGCAAGAAGAGTCACGCGTAACGTGCGTGCGTGCGTGTGTGTGTGTGTATGCGCCCAATCCTGATCTCATTCCAAAGGCGATCTATTTGTGTACAGACAAAAGCATACCACGGACAGGAATCAAGCCGGGACTGATCAAGGAGCAGACAAGCCTATACTCATTGTGGATCAGAAGCTTCATGGACCTGGACGAGATCCCTCAGTCCTCGGCACTCAAGGAGGCTGGGGATACAGAGCAGGCGGCGTCGGCGGCAACTGCACCAGTTCATAGCATCCATGATAGTGCCTCGGATACTCATTCTACCCCACAGCAGGGCCAGGACAGCTGTACACAAATGCAAGCCGAATCGTCAGGAGGATGGGAGGATTGGCAATCCGGAACTTATCATTTGTTCGAGTGTCGATTCGATCTGTCCACAAGGGAGAACGACAATGGGATCGTTAAATCCTATACGACCGGGGAGGCCTTCAATTCCACCGTGGGACAAAGTCGTCTGCAGATGGGGATCCGGGGCGATGATCAGAAGATGACCAATGGTCGCGAGAACAACTTTTTCAAGGCGCTCAAATGGTGAGAGGGACACATCTCTGAACTTCAAAGGCCATGGTGGCGACGGAGCATTGGGGTGCGATATTAATCAATATTATTTTTATCCGCACGCGCATGGATAATGGATGCTTTAGGTCGCCGGATGGAACCTGTTTATTGTCATCGTCGAACGATAACTTCCTCCGGATATTCGCATTGTAAGCTCAGGAACTGTTCAGGATCGCATTCGTCGTCAGAAGTGAGCGGATTTAATGACCCATCTATGTAAACCGTCTTTTTTTGGTTCTTGATTGTAGGCCGGATGCGACGACCACAACTCCAGAAGGTACATAGGACTTTTCATGAAAAATGAAAAAAAAAAAAAACTCCCCGGCGTTCTACAGGAACAAAGGCTTTCTTTTTATTTCTTCCACTCACTGAATATTGTATCTTGTCCAATAGATACCCCATTAAGCGCTGGATGTGTGATCAAGGAAGGCGAGGTCGTGTATGACATGTGCTGGTATCCTGGGATGAATAGCGCAGATCCTGCAACATGCTGTGTTCTCTCGTCTAGTCGAGACCACCCTATTCATTTGTGGGATGCGTATTCTGGAGAAGTAAGATGGAGTTGATGCGGAATCTTCTTGTTTTGAAATTTTGACCCGCTTCGCGCAACGGCCTAACAATACACCTTTGTTGTCATCCGGCCTACTTGCCTGATAGTTGCGTTGCTCGTATACTGTGACTGATCACTGTGATGTGAATGTCGCACCGACCGCGCTTTGCTTCAACCTTGATGGCTCCAAGTAAGCCCCTGCTCCCTTCCTTCTTTCCATTTCACAAAGCTGAGTCTGATGTCCCTCTAACATGGACTCATGTTTCATTTGGTCCTTACCAGGATCTACTGCGGGTCAAACAATATGATCGAGATCTTTGACACGACACGACCTGGACGCGATAGTCTAAAGCGGCCAACGGTGCCAACACGAAAGAGCCGGAAGGGTCAAAAGGGTGTCATCTCCTGTCTGGCCTTCAATCCGGACCACTCGGATCTCTACGCTGCAGGATCCTACCTCAAAACTATCGGACTCTATGACGCCCGTGCAGATGAATTGTTGATGCTCCTGCGGGACAGGGGCTCCCCCTTTTCTTCTTCAACTTCTAATGCAACCAAGACGACGACAACTATAACCACAAATAACAAAGAAACAGAGACAGGAACAAGGAGACAGAAAACGGATATGGGAGGCGTGACACAATTGCAGTTCTCGCACGACGGACAGTACCTGTATTCGGCATCAAGACAGGATTCATGGATCCGATGTTGGGATATTCGGAATACAGCGCAGGTGCTGTACCGGTTAGAGCGTCCCGGGGAGGTGACGAATCAACGGATTGGGTTTGATGTGTCGTATGATGGCAGGTGGCTCTCGACTGGGGATATGAACGGGGATATCTCCGTGTTTGATTTGAGCTGTCCACAGGATCCGCAGGTTGAGAGGCTGAAGGCGCGGATTCGAGGGCATGACGGTGAGTGTCCTTATCCTGCGCTGTCTCCTGCTGTTGTTCAGTTGCCCGATGATACGATGAGAGTACGCTAATGTTTTTTATGTTGAATTCTGGACGATCGAGTAGATGTGGTCTCTGCTGCGATGTTTCATCCGAGCGGAGCGATCCTGGCGACGTGTTCTGGTCAACGCAAATACGACCTCGCACTGGATTCTTCTTCTTCCTCAGGCTCAGACTCTTCAGACTCTTCAGACTCCGAGGATGATGGCGAGAAGATGGGAAACGGGGTGTTTAAAGGGCTCAGTGGAGCGTCAAAGGCAGTGGTGAACGTGGTGGAGAACTCTGTTCGATTGTGGTCCTTGCCAGGAGAGTCGGTGTGGTATGTGAACGGACAGAGGTGGGGCGAGTCCGGTATGGGTGCTACGGATACAGCGGACCCCAGCCCACTGGCCGGCAGTAGTGACGTCGATGGAACACAGAAGGACTCGACTCCCGTAGGAGCTGCTCCTGTGGAGGCGCAAGACCAGGGCACTTGATAAGAAATAAAGAGTAAAGAAGAATAGGTGTGAATGAACGCGTCTGAGACCGGCATAGATATGATGAAGATAAACGATTCAATGACGACATGTGTCCATCTGTCTATTTTGGTATTCGCATTCCGCTCTATCGATCTTTCGTAAGGTGGTTGGATGCTGTGAAGGAACCCATCGTGGTATTTTTAATTTGTGTCGTTCGACAGGAATGGAAAGTCTATGTCCAGCTGCCTGGATTGGGAGTAACCCTGACATCATATTTCACACAGGCACAAAAACTCCCAAGAATAATCTGCACATCTTCGATGCATGCATGCATGGCCTTTCTTTGCCTCGATAGTGAGCGGAGTGGCGATAAGAACGATGTTTATTTTACATGTCCGCTCCAGCACACACCGCTATGAAGACATGGATGTGTAATGAACGATAACGAGGAATCCTAATGTCTGAGTGTTTCACAGAGCCGATACACAAAAGATTAGCCAGTTAGCTGACGGGTATACTGTGCACTGGTTGGTGGCACGGAGATGACACAAAATAAACCTGGGCGACATGGAATGAGCTAAATTAGGATAAGCAAATTTATCGAACCAGAGTGCAGATTCCCACATCCCGCTCTCCATCATGATGACGCCCTGCGCCCTACGCTTGCCTATTCAGGTACAGGCGAGGGGATACGTCCACGTCCATTGGCAATGGGCAATAGACTACTCCTGTCCACCTGCCATTCATAATGAGCACATAGCTGTTAGGCTGTGGGGAAACAGAGTCGGACCAACCACCGCCCGGACTTCCGATGACAGCAGGGTTCCAAATCTCTACTTCTGACGACAGTAAGGTTTCTACTCCCTCTCTTCACTTCCCACAACAATGACAACGACCCAGGGTCTCTCAGCGGGAAAGTAGGGGCTATGACGGTGCTCTGACATCCATCTGATTCTCCTAGAGTTGATCATCAGGGTCCCATCCTGCAGCCCCACTGGCCCTGCTTTTACCTCATCGTTCATTTTCCAGAGGCCCTCGCGCGTATAAAAGCCCATGCTTTCCCCTGTCTCCAACAAACTTATCATCAACAGCTTCTTCAACACTTCAACAACTCAACAACTCAACGCCTCTCTCCTGAGCAACCCACTACTCTCTAAAAGAACCACCCCCCTCCCCACCTAAAAACTACTTACCAATATGTGCGGCGCCATTGAATGCATTGCTTGGGTATGTTACTTCTATCTCACACCTGCCGCCTGTTATGTCGTCCCACCGACGCCGATCCGCACAGATTCACTAACCTTCTCTCAACCCCTTTTTGAACAATCTGTCTACTCTCAAATAGGACGGTCTCATCATCGTCGGACTCATCCTCCTCATCATCTGGATCCTGTCCCTCGCCAGCGTGATCCACGTCGGTTCGACCGCCGGATTGAAGCACATCTTCATCGTCCTCGCGGTCATCTTCATCATCGCGTGGATCTTCACCCGCTTCTGCTATGGCCGTCGCCGCCGTGGTGCCCGTGGAGGCGTTGTTGTCTAAAGGAGTCATCTTTCAGACCCAAGCGAACCCTGTACAAACACCCCCTATTCCATTAATTCGCAGTGTCTAATTATTACTATTTTACCCTCACTTGTTCCAATATCTTCCTCCTATTTTTTTTTTACGCGCTCTTGATGACTGACGTGATGTAAAGCATAATAAAACACGTCTCTTGTAATCCAGTAAAAGCAACTGTTCAGCTCTGTTGGGTTTAATGTTGTAAGAATGTGCATTTTGTTTAGGAGATCTTTTTTTTTTTTTTTTTTTTTTTTTGGAGAGACCGACTTTCCCGTAACGGTCCCGCTACACAGAAACTATGACACTTTTCCCTGGAATGTAAATTTCCTCCGAGATAATTCAGGCACTGTTTCTTTGTGGCCATGCCTCCCTCATCATATCATACCCTCAATATCCCATATGTTCCCCCCATCGCCCCCATGATGCTTAATAGTCTCTCTCGGAATTTTTTTTTTTTTATCCCATCATCATCCCCGCACCATTAATCTTTCACCGTGTTCTCTACAGCTCAAGCCAGCATGTTCGTTCGTTCATTCAACCAAGCCTCTTCCGCGGACATGGATGGTCCCGCGATCAAAGCAAAAAAAAAAATAAAAATAAAAAAAAAAAAGACACTCGAGTTCTTACTATGGGGAATTAACCTTCAAGGGATGTAATAGTTCTCTGGTGGAATTGACGGTATTCAAAGAACTAGTTCTCATGAAGCTTTTTTAGGGTTTTGCGCAAGTCCTTGTGGGAAAATACAAGCAAAGACATAGCCACAGCTTATATACGCACCGCACATTGACGCATTGACTCCATAGACTCCGCGGCAACAATCGCATCTTTGGTAGGCAAAACACGGCAGCGAAAATGATTTGTGGCACTATTAGAAATATACAATATACTACAATAAGGTCTATGGGGTCAGGGGAAAAAATTAATGGGGATTAATGGGTTAATGGGAATAATGGGGAGAAAGTATCTGTTTAGCACTCCTGTGCAGCCTTCAAAACCTTCCAGAACCAGGCCGGCCGCAGCAAGAACGCAGCATGGTCCATATTCTCCATAATATGTAGCTCCTCCTTATCCTCCCTCAGTCCAACCTGCGTCCGCAGGTACTCTGCAATCAAATCCATGTCCAGCAAGTTATCCTTCCTCGACAGGAAGACTCGTGTCATCTTTGGGAGCACGGGCGAGAGTCTTCCCTGTAGCGGCAAGGGTTTTTGCTCCAGTCGTCGTCTCCAAGAAATCGGGAACATGATGCATTGGTCCCAGCAGAATCGGCGCATGATGTACCATGACGTTCCGATCTCGCGCGCTGCAAAGAGGTCCATGATCAGTTCGCTGGCGGTTGAGGGGACGCGGTAGGCAAAGTTTCGGGCGATGGAGTGATGGGTCAGGAAACAGATCGGGTCTGCCAAGATCAGGCCCTTGACGATGGATTTCGGTGACGATGCAGAGTTGGCGCGACAGATGGCTGCACAGAGCATCGTTCCGAGGGAGTGACCCATGAACGTGGCCTTGGGGTAGCCATGGGCCTTGAGGATCCTTTCGATCGCGAAATAGGACTCGTCCGGGGTCATGCAGTCGCGTTGAAACAGGTTGTTGGAGACATAAGGGACCTCGATCACGATGATGGGGCGAGAGAGGGTCGACAGAGCGATGACCCAGTGGATGTACTGGACAAGACCAATGCCGATGCCATGAATGAAGACTAGGGGGACTTTGTTCTGGGGGTCTGCTAGCGATCGGTGCCAGTACGAGATATCCGTGGTTGGGTCCACGGCGTGGCCCTGTCGGGCGGCCTTCTCGAATGCGTGGGTCTGGATGACGGTGCCCTCGAAGCGGGCAAAGCCGAGCAGGTGAAAGATCAGTCCCGTCACGGTGTTTCCAATCCAGACCAACTGGGGCAAGATCCAACGGAAAGATAGCAAAGCGTTAGCAATGAGGTTTGTACCACATTAAAAGGTTATTGTCCATCCCTGACGTCGCTGCTGCTGTGCAGCGCTGTCATCGCGCCTACTTTGTTTACAAGGAGAATTTTTTTTTTAGTGTGACTTACGGCGTAATAAATAAGCGGGCGATGGGAGGCAACAACAGGGTCGAAGGCGAGGCGGATGCACTCCACCTCGGCGTTGTATCCCTCTGCGAACTTGATCTCCTTGGTCTCCTCGAGCGTGTCGACCATCCCGTTGAGATCCATCATGTCCGAGGTCGATTCAAAGACCTCTTCGATCGGTGCTGCCCAAAATGCCCATGCCAGCCTACAAACGTTAAAAGAAAAAATAACGTTAAGATTTGGGCGGGAAAAGCACGAGGGTGGAAAGAAAAGATAAAGGAAAAGAAAAAGATGGCAGTTTCCCTGGATAGGTCTATCTGAAGTTTTCATTCAAGAAGGAGGGGCCCTTTCTTTTTATGTGCAACTCCGCCTTTTGCCGGTAACCCCACCACTTTTTTCTTTTTTTTTTTTGCGTTCCTATGTCTGAGTCTAGTCCAGGAGACGATCCCAACGGTCATGAAGATGTGGAACTCCTTTTTCTTTCTGTGATGATCCCCCCCTTGAATGAGAGGAAAGCACATGTTGGTAGTAAACAGGAATGTTACAAGGAAAAAAGCGACCTACCAATGCATCATATTCGACCGCCCAATCTCTTCAAATTTCGCTGGCTGGGCCGTCCGTCCTGTATCAAACCAAGTTTCGGCCCACTTCTTCGCAGCTTCGCCTTTGCCGGTGGTCTCGATACATCTCTGGAACAACTCCAGGCGCTCCTCTCTGCTTCTCGGCCCTTTGACCACACGGTCGACCATCTGCGCCTGAGCAAGCCTTGTCCAGAAATGAACGTAGAACAACAACTCGGTCGCCATCCAGATGTGGAATAGTGATACAATCCAGGCCAATGTCTTGTGGGACGAGATCAAGGACAGAATCGGTTGCAAAATCGGCGACAATCGAGCGGTCAATGGCTGGAGGGCAGCCAAGTGGCGATACCCTGGGATACTGGTGAGATCGCGGTACCCATGGGTCTCCAGGAAGGTGGCGAGTGACAAAAGAATGCTCATGGCAGGAGAAAGGTTGAAGGACTCGGTCTCGGCATGGGCATTAGTGTTGCAATTGGACGCAGCAGTAAAGGGGAGGTCGGCTGCCATGGAGCTGAATGGACTGAAGGCGGCTGCGGTGACCGTGGACTGTGCTCCTGTGGGAGGTATATGGGCTTCTGCATAGATTGTGGAATTGGAATGGAGTAGTTTGAGGACGATAGGGACCTGGTGGAGGAGGGTGTCGAGGGGCGTTTCCTTGTAGGCGATCATGTAGAGAAAGTAGCAGGTGGCGAGGGGAACGATGGCAGCGAGCAGCAGCCCGACAGAGCGGACGGCGCTCCTGGTAACGAGGTGGTCAACGATCATTCAGCAGAGGCAGGGGAGGGCTGTTGGCGAAGTGTGTGTGGTCGATAGTGAAAGAGAGGGGAGGAATGTAAGAGGGAGCACAGACAGCGCGCGCTGAATGGTCAGTAGCTTTATTTGGTCCGGTATGCTGGATCGCGGCAGTTGCGCATTAAAAAAAATGGGGAGAAACACAAAGAAAGAAGACGGTAGGACAGGTGGTGGACAGTGTGGTGTGTTGATGGAGCGGATGAGTTCTGATGAGATGAGTTCAGATGAGATGAGATGTATGCTTTCGGATGGAACAGAGTGGAATGAGTACTCTGCGCAAGGGGAGGCCGCTTCCTTTTATACCGAGAGATAGATCGAGCGGTGGGGATGATATCAGCCCACGGAGGCAAGGATTTGCCCCACCCGCACGTGAATCCCGGCGAAAGGACTTTGCCGAAGAGTAAAAAAAGATGGCAGATGGCGGGACATTGCTTCCATTGCTTCCCTTTTTCGCTATAGAAGAAAAAAAACCCCCCCGCGCTACGGGATTAAAATGCGATGGGGTAATAATGTCTGTTTGTCACTCGAGTGCGTGATACCGGCTACTTTATTTCTTCTGTGGAATGTCCAATATGATGTGATTGTGTGGCACGCACAGCACAGCACACAGCGCTTCACAAACCCCACTGAAGCTCCTTGACAACCTTCGTTGACGCCGTCGAAGAAAATCTTAGGAGAGCTCAATTGACAGGGGGAACAAGGGTTGGTCAGGGTCCTTTGTAAAATCGCTCTCTATCCATCTCTCGCTGCTCACATTGTCACCTCATCTTTCCATCTATTCATGCGTGCAATGTTTTGCAGCTTCATCTTGTAGAATCAGCCATGTTACTAACGGCCCCCAGCTGTCCTAGGATTTGCTTGCTCACCATACATGCACTCTCCTCCACACACATAGACTACAAGTACGCAGGGGTGCACTTCTTGGTCTAAAAATGAAAATATAATAAAGACCACGCAGCACTCGCATCAAACTACCCCAGCTACTCACTTTAGACGGTTCCCAACACTGCCGAACACAGACACGACCAATCCCAACAAATATGAACTTTCTCTGTGCACTGTAGACCAGAAAGGACCATGATCATAGTACGACCTGGTCCTTATTTGACTTTACAAGTAAAATTTTCAAAAAATCTGTCATCCTTCGACAACTACTTTACATATCCACTATCATCGTCGATCCATGACGGCAATATCGAATGCCGCCCCCACAATGAACTCTTAGGCGATCACCCATATTAGCCGTTGGACTAGAGGACTTAGAAGTCGAGTTTTTCGCTTCGTGGATGTGATGTCATGTTTATGGTGTAGAGTGAACCAGCGTCTTCCTGCCCTTCACAGGACTTGTAATGGTTGATTCAAGGTAACTTCCAGAATCCCAACAAAAAGCGCAGCACAGTACAGCTCAGCACAGCTCAGCGCGACTCATTCATTCACCCAAGATGATAACAAAAAAAAAAAAAAAAAGTAATTTCTTCACACTCAAGTCAAGTCAGGTCAGGTCATTCAGTAACTACCTACCTCACTCAAGGTGAGAAAAGATAAAAGGAAAGCGCCCAACGTGGGGGTCGAACCCACAGCCTTCAGATTAAGAGTCTGACGCTCTACCGATTGAGCTAGCCGGGCGTTGAGGGCCCCTGTTCTGGGACCTTGATGAGTCCGAATGCAGATCCTGCACGTGATTGTGCATTTAGGGAAAAACATGCACTTAGAGATCTGGTTTGGCCGCCGCATCAAAAAAAAAAAAAAAAAAAAGATAGCAACATGGGCACAGGCGCATTAGGCACAACACCAGACAGTCGTCGCAGAGAAAAGCTCGGGTCCCCCTCTCCCCCTCCACAATCCTCCCAAGTTTTCTTTTGACATAAAAGGGGTGTTCATTGTCCCTGCAAGGACATGTTGACCGGCAGATATTTGTATTCCCCTTCCTCCTTCTTCAGCCCCCTGCCTCACCTGGAGCCCCAGAAACGTGTAGACAGAAGCAATGAAGATCATGTGTGGACCACACATCCCCGCTGCTCTGGCTCTGCTGTCGTCTCAGGGTCCGGTGCTCAATAAGGCTCGAAGGGGGCGTCCAAAGGAGAATCTGCAGGTCGTCCTTGCAAGCATCGTCGTGCTGGTCGCGCTATCCTCCGGGGCCACTCAGCTCACTCTCTGCAAGCGCAAGTACTTGTTGGGCTTGAGAGCGAGGTGAGTGGCCCCTGGGACTGAAGAGCTAGAAACATGGCAAATTGAGGCATGTTGCTGACTCGTCTGTGGTGATAGGCGAGGCATACAAGTCCGTGGAATGTGTACTGAGGAACCAGAAATGGGATGCAGGGCCGCGTTGGTTTTATAGGCGGGCAGGAAATTGTGAGGGCAAGCTTTCATAGACTGGAGGCGCGACATTTTTCATTGTAGCTTGGGGGCGCAAAACTCGGCTCATTCAACACTCCATAGAGTCCATTGCTATGTCTTACACCTCCAATGACCGTGGTTCAAGCGTCGCAATAATCTACCCATAGATCGATTTACTGAAGACGCGTCTTTGCTTTATGCAGATAGTCTAGAGTTGAGGTTGATATGACGCCTCCTTTTTTTTTTTTTTTTTTTTTGTACATAGGCAACGAGCTTGTAAATGCTGCATCCAAGCACAAAAGGCGATTTTTTAAATTGAACTATGCAAATGTTTTTTTTTTATTATGAGCGAGGAATATAAAAATGCTATTGTACAAGTGGTATAAAGAGCTGTGGATAATGCTGGGTATGAATGTTCGTTGTCGTCTTCTCCTCCATTCCAGGTGTGCTTTCATGTTTTATACAGTTTCAGTGGTCATCATCTTCTGCATCAGTTTCTTGCCCTTCTTCATGTGCGCCCAAAACAGTAATCCTGCAGAAAGAATACACACCAACTGCAGCAGCGACGCGATCTTGAAACTCGAGTCGTAGCAGGAGCTGCCCACACACGTCATATGGTCCTCAAGCACACTGCCAACAGGCGCAGGAGGCATATTCTTCACAGCACGGTCATAAAAGAGACCATACAACTGGTTGGCGATGAATGGGTTAGCACCGTTCAACACCATGACCATGCCACAGGCGCTGCCGTAGTACTTGTTTCCGAAAAAGTCGCGTGTCATCGATGCAAAGAGCGCACCAGTGGCACCGTAGGTAGCACCGATCAAGCAGGAGCTGATGATGAGGCCGGCCAGCGAGACCACAGGCTTGGAGAAGCCCATGATCAACAGTGGGATCAGAATGAGCGCCTCGGAGACGAAGAAGAAGATGGAGCGCGAGATGCGATAGCGCGCGATCACCCAGTCAGAGACGATACCCGAGGCAAGACGACCCAGGCAGTTGCCGATCGAGATGAGGGTTACATGGAGACCTGTCAAGGAAACCGAGCGGGTCACAGTGCTGGGGTCCATAGGGTCGAGGATGGCGTGGATGATGGAATCAACGTTATTGATGTACGAGAAACCTTGCTGGGAAACCTGGGCGATGACAAAGAACCAGAAGGTTGACTCGAAGAGCAGCTGCTTGGGCTTCATGTCGACCGAAGTCAAGTATGGATTGAAGGTAGCCTTCGTAGGATCAGTGGTTGTCACAGGGGCGGCAGCAGGCGCAGGAGGAGCGGTGTCTTCGAGGATATGGTCACCAGGGATGTGGTGAGCTGATTCGGGAGTCGCAGGCTGCTTGTCGAGAGTTGCGCTTGACTGGTTCCAGTCCTCTAGACGCAGCCCAGGCTCACGACCGTTGAACATCGAGGGCGTAAAGGTCGTGTTACGCGACAGGGCCTGAGCAGGAGAGGCAGTATCGACTGAAACAGTCGCTTGCTTCTCGGACAGATCATGGTTAATGGTCGTGTTTGAGGAAGAGCCAGAGTCGAGGGTTTTGACAGCGGGCTTGTTAACCTTGACCATGAAGATGGCGGCGATTACGTAGATGACGGTAGTGATGATGGTCAGGAAAAGCAGGTAGTTCTGGGTGGCCCTGGAACCCTTGAGTTCCCCAGTTGCGGTAGGGGGTTCATTCTCGCCCGAGAATAGATGGGTCTTGACCTGGGAGAAGAGGGTCGCAGAAAGGCCGAAGAAGGCGAGCAGGACGCCCGAGACAGTGCCAGAAGTGGCGGCTGAGAAATTGGCCATGTTGGCAGCGAGCGCAGCCAGATATCTAAGCACCACAGAAAAAAAAAAAAAAAAAAAAAGTCGGTAAGAACGATGGTTGTGGGTTGAAGCAAATGCCTATTACTATCACGAGAGGAAGAGGGCTTACCCAGCAGTAGAAGCCATACCGGCGAGGCAGTAGAGGACCATGAGGAATCCCAGGCCGCCCCACGCTTTGGCATAGGCGATGTACATACCACCGTAGCCCAAGAAGGTCAGGACAGAGGCCGCGATCAAAGTCCAGCGTTCACCGTAGTGGTCGTAGATAGGACCAACGATGAGGAAGCCAACGTACATGGCAGTGTCTCCAATGGCGGCGAGCAGGTTGATGTTGGAGGAGGTGAAGCCGAACCGGGCCTTGAGGTCTGTGCCAAGAGAGGCAAATGAGAAGAGGGAGCCGGACAGGGCCATGACGATGATACCGATGGCAAGGGAGACATACTTGGCGGTCCTGTCGGACAGGAGAGCATTACGTCTGAGCATCGTTGCTTGGTTCTTGGTAATTTGAGGAAGGTGTGGAGCGACAGGGATAATAAAGGAAATCAAAAGATTGACGCTAAACACGAGGAAAGGTACAGGAATGTGTGGTGGAACCAGGAGACGGGAAAATGGAGGGAAAATCAAATGGGAGGGGTTTCTTTGGATGCAATGCAATGCAGGAGAAGGTGTTCCGGTTAGCGAGATGGAGCTGAAGAAGAGGTAAAGAAGACGAAGGAGCTCCTTCTTTTATAAGTGTTCAAAGGTCTCTTGCTCTGCAAGGTGTGGGTAAAGAACAAAGTTTTTAGATATATAACAAAGGCTGACTCCTTTCTCAGATAGAATACCAGCGCCCAATTCAGTCCAGGCCATGGCGCGCTCGATCGTGGAGGCGGGCGAAGTCAGCCAGAAACCCTATTCTCCAGAATGAATTGGCCCTTATTCAGTCCTTATATCCCAAAAGCCAGGCGAACTCGTTTCCCATTCAAATTCCGCACTCTTCTTCACTACCCACAGCTGACGTTGAAGTTGGTGAGAAGAAAATGAAAGAAAACTTCTGGGGAGCCAATTTCGTCCATGTGGCTCCATCGATGCGTGCGGGCCCTGACTCCCTCGCAAGCACTGCACTCAGACTGTGCGGACCAGGAATTCGAAAGGAAAGCGGTTTGCGTACGATTAAGTACAAAGGATGTCGCAATTGCAGCCGACGCATTGCGACCTACAATCCATATCATACATAGTCATGCCACTCTCACGGGCTTGGTCTGTTCGCCGACCAATATGTTTACTATTACCCACTCTTCACCATGGTCTGTCTGCTCATGGATGTGCTTGCAGATCATTTTAGCCATAGTCGTTTTTAATGTATGATGCGTGATTCAGTATGTATCAAGAATGCCGTGAGATGGCAGTTTTTGTCATAAGAAAAAAAAAAAAAAAAAAAAAGGTCTATCGCTGATAGCAATTATATGCTCAGAGACAGGGAAAGGAGAGCTCATTCTTGTCCAGATGGCAGCATGGTGCAATTCCCCGCCCTCAGAAATGCCGTTTGATTTGATTTGACTATCCCAATCGGGTAACTTTCGCACACCCGGGATTGCTATAGACGACAAGTCACGGCAGAGCAAAGCTGAACGCATTTTATTTTTTTATTTTTATTTGTACTGACATACTCGTCAACACACCCTTCCCATGACACTCAGGCACCAAGGCGCTTCCATCGTCTAGGACGACTCCAAAGGAAACTTATACTCATGTCCAGGGCAGCAACAGCAATATCGGCGCCTCCTAGCGCACCCTCCGCCATCAGCACCCGTGGCAATCGCACAGGAGCTTCCAGCAATGCACAGCGATCAGAATTAACATGTCCTGGCTGCCATGGCACCAACATTCTCGAAGACCCTGAGGTCGGTGCTCTCGTATGCTGCGACTGCGGCCATGTGCTTCAAGAGAATATTCTGAGCAACGCGCTAGACGCGGCGGGAGTGGATAACACATCCTATTATGGAACCACCCTGGTTTCTCGCACCGGTCGATCGCTGCTCACGGACACCAGACACGGAGCATTCGCATACATTTCCGTCGCGAATGCAGCAACCCGCATACGTTTGTATCGCCGTAAGCGCTTTGAGCAAGTTCGGACACTACTTGCGACAGTTGCACGCGGATCCGGACTCAAGAGCGCCGATTCGAGTCGAGCGTACTATCTCTGGAAGAACATCATGAGCATCTCGAACCCACGGTTTTGGAACCCAGCAGCCAGAGCTGCCCTCGCTTGTCTTTACCTCGCCGCCAAGGAGGCCAAGAGAGGAATAACGTTAATCGATATTGCGGTCCGAGCAGAGATGTCGCCCTACAAGATCGGAGCCGCGTGCAAGCAGGTCAAGTCGACCCTGATTGAACTCAAGATCCTGGATCTTGACAGTAGCCAACTTCTCAATGCGGAGGAAGATCCGTGGACCATGCTGGAGAGAATTATGACCATCGGTTCTGCGGACTCTAACGAGCGAGGTGAGATGGAAAGACTGGCCCAAGATATCCAGGATGCTTTTGGATTCAACCTGGAGGACGAAACGAGAGCGTCAAGCCTGCGTAGTCTGTTGTCATCGGCTCAAAAATGCATGGCGATCGCGATGGATGCAAGCCTACCGTCGGGCCGCAATCCTCAGGGAATGGTTGCCGCCTGTCTGATCGTGGCAGTGGAAGTGCGATTGATGCTGACCAAGGTACCTGAGGAGCTGTTCGAGTTTGTGGCTCTTGTGTTCAGGAGCGCAAAGTCCACGGTAGCAATTCGGTACAAGGAGTTACGAAAGTGTATGCTTGTATGGGCGCAGCAACTGCCGTTTCATAACAATGCCCGTGATATCAAGGACAAAAAGTTGGTGTACTACATGGAGGATGTTATTGTGTACTTTGGACATCTTAAGGAACACAACAAGCGGCTGTGGACCTTGCTGGACAAGGCAGGGTGTGCGATCTCGGATGAGGAGGACTTTGATAGATGGGAGCAGGATCCCGAGCTCGAGCAGGTTGCGACTCAAGACGAATTTCTTTCAGTAATGCGCGATGGTGATACTGATGAAGAAGAGCCCGAAAGCTTTGAAGGGGAGCAGGATATCAAGGATCACGACTCATCCCATTCAAATAATGGATTCGGCGAGCCTTCAAACGATAAATCCGACCCCCGATTGTATCCACCAGCATATTTGGCCAACAGAGAGCGAGAGAGACGACAGGCTGAGCTCATTCAGGTTGCAAAGGGGGAGGCCGAATATTCCCCCGCACCATTTCAGAAGGCAAAGACCCAGGAGCCTCAAGATCTTGCGCGAATCAACCGGATCAAACGCCTGCTCGAACTTGGAGCAAGGACTGAACAGGAGCTCATTGAGGCGAGCGACAATGCTTTGGAGTACTGGCTACGCAGCGATGAAGCGAAGGCGTCAGATCCGGGTGTGACTCGAACACAGGAGGAGATGGCATCGGTTGAATTGACTGGCGAGGATCTGGACGAACAGGAATTTGAAAAATACAAGAGAACGCCATCGGAAAGACAAGCACTTTTAAGGATCATGGAGCCAACGTATCTGGAAGCGGAGCAAAAAGCAAAGTACTGGGCGCAGCGTCGCCATGCACCCAAGAAGCCACCGAGATCCAGGGACAAAAGGGAGAGGCCGCATCTTTCTGTGGCTTCTCAGGGCGGTCAACAAGCAAAGAAGATGCGGTCATCAAAGATCAATTGGGATGCCATTACCGACATGGGAGACAGTGGTGCCGAGGAAGTTGCTGTCAAACAAGGAATGGAAGAAATGCCGGAGGAGGGTCACTGGCCACCAGATCTCGGGGATGACGCCGAGTTTGGGGAGAACCTCGTCGACATTGACAACAACGACGATAACTACCAAGATTTCGAGGACGATTACGATGATGACTATGACTAGACATTCCGGCGCACGCGTTATGTATTGCATTTACGTCGGGAGAAACTCTTGCAACAACGCTCTCTGCATCCAGTTATATACTTGTACTATATTTCTTTTCACTATGTACCATATATACATATATATATATATCGGCCTGCTGAGTGTAATAATAATAAACGCGCGAATGGCCTATCCCTCTCTAGAGATCCAAGAAGACGAATGCCAAGCTTTGATGTCTCGGATGCGATGTTTGTGTGCAGTGTGTTGTGGAGGTGTTGACAGAGGGCGGTTGGTCGCACGAGAAATGGTTCACAAAAATGGACTTGGCCGATCGGGCTGGGATGCGCTCTGCTCGGCTGCTGCACACGGTGCACACGATGGTTCGTCCTTTTCTTCACGTGCCGAGTGCGGAGGCGACAAAGAGCCGTGGTTCGCACTGGACCCAGCCCACGCCCGCTCCCGCTCTCGCTCTCGTCCTCTTCAAAGTCGGATCCCACTCCTTCTCTTCATTCCATCCCTCCTCCATCGCCCATCGACTCCACTGCCAGGCCTCATCAGCTCATCAGCTCATCAGCAGACACCGAGATCAACCTATACCAGCTATCGTATATCCAGCCCTGGCTCTTTTGTGGACCTGCATTTTGAGCACTGCATCCCGACCGTTTTTCTATTTTCCCTTGATACCATTCTACATTCGGCCACTCCTCCCCCTCCTCTCCTCCCCTCCTCCCTCCTTCATATCTGATTGATCACAGATGCCGAACGTACAATCAAAGTTCTCAACGTATCGGAAGCTAGTCCCCACAAAGTATGTGAACCGGATCACACTGGAGCTGCAGCGGACATTTCTCGTGGCCCTCTCGCTCCTGAAGGCCCATCGTCGCAAGGCCATCCTCTTGTCCTTGGGTCCGGCCACGATCCTAAAGTTCATCACGGTCATTCTACCGATCATCAAGTTACTCCCCCCGACCATCAAGGCCATCAAAACCCTCAGCTACTTCACATCTTCATCATCTTCGACAGCAACGAGAAACGGCGGCGGGAACAGCAGCAACGGTGCGAATGCGTTGGCAAATCGGGAGGCAAACGCGTCAGCAGCGGCGGCGGAGGGACTGGGGATGAGCATGGACGAGTTGAGCGAGATCCTGTGGACGCCGGCAGAGGATACGTACTGGGAGAGGGTGAATGCGATGATGACACGGTTTGGACTGTGCAAGACCCTTGGGGTGAGTCTTGCAGGCGTACGGCCAGGACGCGTCGAGATTATCATGCCCTTCAGGACCGAGGTTTCGGGTGAGGGAGGAGCCTTCCATGGTAAGGATTTTTTTTTTCTCGATGCATGTTTTGTTGTTATTATTATGCTTGGTCATTGAATTTGAATCACTTTGCTCACTTTTCATTTTACAGCTAGCTTGCTGCCAACGTTAATTGCGATGACCAGCCAGTTAACAGGAATGACACTCTTGCCCCGGCACTTTACTCTCAAACCGATCGATTTCAAATGCAACATCCTCTCCGATTGTGATGCTTCAACGTACTTGCTCGTCTCACGCGGAGCCGTCGTCGTGCGTGGGGATCATAGTATTACGGTCAAGGTCGAGATTATGAAAGCCAGCGGTCTACTGCCCGGATCGTCCGACATTGTTACCTCGCCCTCAACCCCTTCAGCCTCGTACAGACCCGCCATGTTTTCTTGGAAGAGCTGGGTCGGGGCAACAACAGCACCACCACCCCTGCCATCACCGACTGCAACTGGCGGGAACGTCCTGGTGCCAGGCACGGGGATCGAGCGCAGCAAATTCGTCGTGTGTGCGTCGGGGATGCAGACCAGCGTCGTGGTACGTGCGGGCACGGATCAGGACAATGAGGAGGAGTATGAGATTCAGCGGTTGAAGCGAGAACGGGAGGAGCGACTGAGGCGGTCGTCTTCGACTTCTTCATCTTCATCATCGTCCTTGATCGCGGATACAGTCGAGGATGCGATTGTGCTTGGAGACAGCTTCCTGCCGCTTTCTTCACGACCGATCTCTCCGACTGTGGTGACAACATCGAAATCACTGGAGCATCACCACCAGCAACATCAACAGCAGGATGTTCTTACGCAGTCGACGGACAGCAGCTCGTTCGAGGCTGTGTTACCATCATCGTCATTCGTGGTCGAGTCCAAGGAGCTTCACCAGTCTGTGCCTGTGCCGGGCTCAAAGACGACGACAGCCGCCAAGCCCATGTCCTATGCCTCTGCAGTTCGTCATCAACCAGAGTCAGTGGTCCCTCATCTGCAGCTCCATCAATACGAACAGACTAGCGACACAGAAGTATGGCAACGATAAATGAAGCTCATAGTTTTCAGTCCAATCATCGCAATAAAAAAATAAAATAAAAACCAGCCATTCATACTTTGCAACCTCAGTCTTGTCTTGTAAATAAAAAAAGGTAAGAGCTACAAGACATGTTTTTGATATCGATTTTATTTCGGCTCGAAAATGTTTGCTCAGTACATAAAGAAGACCCAAACGTCCTGTTCTTTAAGAACGGGGCTTCTCCTTCTTCTCCTTCCACAAAGCCAAGAGAGAGACACCGGAGACCTTGACGACCTTGAAACGGACACCGGGCAAATCTCCGACGCTGTTTAGATCCATAAACAAATTCAAAGAGATAGAATTAGTCAATCAAGTCGCTTTTTTTTTAAAAAAAAAAAAAAAAAAAAAAAAGTGATACAGTTGTGTTGCTCAAGGTTCTCGACTTACGCGTGGCCGGAACGACCGAAACCAGCAATGAGGACCTCGTCGTTCTCATCGACAAAGTTCAAGCAACCATCGTTGGGAACGAAGGCAGTGATCTTCTTGCCGTTCTTGATAAGCTGGACACGGACACACTTGCGAATAGCAGAGTTAGGCTGCTTGGCCTCAACACCGCTATTAAAGAAAACACACAGGTAATTGAGAAGCGTCAAATCGTTAGCGATATACTCAACTGGCGCTGCTATTTCCTTCTGTAATTGGCGGTCTCAAGCAGACAATTTCGTGCTGCTTCTGAATAGAGTGATTTGTTCCTGTCGAGTGCGTTTTCAGTGCTTCTGTTCGTTGAAGGTGAGTTGATCCGGGTGGCCTGTCGAAGCCCTTTCCTGAATCTTGCAATAACAGGGCCAAATTGGTTTTATGGCTCCTGTTAGTCCTGACTAACTGCTTTCGTCCATGTGTTGGTATTCCCGAAAGAAAAAAAAATCAATGTCGCCACAGTAAGAGGAAGCGAACGAAACACGTACATCTTCTCGAGAACGATGCCCTTGGCGTGGGAGGAACCTCCGAAGGGAGAGAAACGGAAGGCGGTTCCGAGAGCCTGACGCTTGTAGTGCTTGTCAGCCCAACGGTTCTCGCGGCGAGTGGTGCGGAGCTTGCGAGCAGCCTGAAGACCTCTTGGTTTTCCTTTACCTGTTGATGGTGGAAGCAGAAAAAAAAAAGGATAGAGGATGAGTCAGATACTGAAACCCTGAAATATAAAGCTCGCGCTGTTGGGATCGATCCGACAATGATTATGTCTGAGGTACAATCGAAGGATTGGTGGCGGAATCAAAGTATCTGGCTTCCTCCTGCTGTCCGATCAAGTCGTCTTTCATGTCTGCAAAACTGGTCCAGATCGAGCATAACTTCATCCAGTTGAGTCGAGTGCATCCAGTCGAGGGATTGTTGCCCACGATTGTTGAATCAGAGGTTCACCAGGAAGGATTGATTCACAGTTCGTTTTCTAGATGCATCAATCGAGTTGCGGTTCATTTGTACTTCATCCAAGCGTCGATCGATTTTGTTGTGAATTTTTTTTTTAGTTTTTTCGTATCCATGGGCTGATGAAGATTGGGATGGCGATTTTGATGTCCGTGGGCAGCGTCGAACATAGGCGATGGTTGATGGATGGTTTCTATATATCCTTGCTCCTCTGGGGGATGGATTGCGGATTTTCGTGCAAGGGCGACGAAGTGACTGCATACCCATTTTTAAGAGATAGTGAGAGAGAGGGGGATCCTCCTGGCCAGCAGCCTACAGCGAATAAATGTAAATACAAAATGCTCCTTAAGTACATGCAGAACCCAGCCCAGCCCTTGGCTATGCTTCGACCCAATGGGCTGAGTCGAAACTCGAAGCACAGCAAACAAACACTAACGCGTCCTTGCGTTCAGCTGCAGCTGTAAGTCCTCCTAGGGAATCTAGGCAGAAGAGAAGGAGGGGGTGCGTTTCTGTGGCAAGATCTATCCGTGGCACGCCCTTTTTCTTCGATGTTGAATAGACGAATGCCGCCCTGCGAACAGTAGCGTTTAAAAGAAAATACAGCACATGCAAACTGTAACACAGCAGCACAAGGGAAGAAAAGCAATCGTAACCATCTAATGCCCTGCCGGTCGGTCGATGTACACACACACGCATACCCATTCACCGCTATGGAGTTCATCTTAGTCCCGCTGTTGCTGTTGCTGCCCCAATCGAAGGACGAATGAATACCACCGCTGAGGTCATACTAAGTCAATGCTGTCTTATTCCTGATATCTCGCACTTGCGCAGAAAGCACAATTGCGATTCAACCCTTTCTTTACTCATCTGTCTCTCATTCATTCCTTATTCCTCCATTCCCTCATTCGCAATTCCTTTATTGTCTCCTTCTTCTCCCTTAACAGCTCTTTTTTCACTCCCACCCTATTCTCAAACTTCAAGGTTCTCGACCATGACAAAGACCAACAAACCCCTGCATATCGTCGTCATCGGAGGTTCCTATGGCGGCGTGGCATGCGTCAATAAGCTGCTTCGCAACCTGCCCAAGGAGTCGAACGTGGCCATCACTCTCATCGAGAGGTGAGAATAACATCGAGGTTCTTGTTTTTAAAAAAAAAAAAAAAAAAAAAAACTGGGTCCAGCATACGATCTTGATATTAAGAATTGGTCAATGTTTTCGTTACATAGCCGAGATGCCATGTATCATTGCATTGCATCATACCGCGCTCTAGTCCAGAAAGACTTTATCAAAAACCTCTGGATCCCCTACACCAATCTCTTTCTCGAGAGTTCCCCGCATAAAGTCGTACGTGGCACAGTGGAGAAGGTCTTTTTCGACCACGTCCTGCTTTCGGCTAGCGAGCCAATGTCTTCCGCATCAGACATCACCTTGGCTGATGAACGCGCAGCTGAAGGATCTGACCCTCATCGAGTCGATTTTGACTACCTTGTGATCGCTACAGGATCCACGAACCCATCACCATCCAAATGGAGGGTCAACAATTCTGCCGATGGAATAAAGCTGATGGAAAAGGCCCAGGAGGACGTCCGTCAGTCGGAGCGGATTGTCGTTGTTGGCGGTGGAGCTTGCGGTGTCGAATTGGCCTCAGAAATCAAGTATGCGTTCCCGAGCAAGAGCATCACGTTGATCCATTCGGAATCGGCCCTTGTGGACTACCCCAAGTTCCCGCAGAGCTTCAAGGATGAGGCGCTTCGGTATTTGGAGAAGGAGGGTGTCGAGGTGATTTTGAATGAGCTTGCAGAAATCCCTGGCTTGTCAAAGGAGAATTCTATCCAGAGAGCAGAGAGGACGATCAAACTTAAGGGTTCAGGCAAGACATTCCAGAGTGATCTGCAGTTCTTTTCGATCGGCTTGTCAGTTGACACGGGCCTCCTTTCGACATTGCGTCCTCCACCTGAGAGCAAGGCCGATGGCAAAAATAAGAGCGACAAGCCGTTTGATTTCGAAAAGATGCTGAATCCTCAGACAAAGGCTATCAAAGTCAAGCCGACGCTGCAGCTGGAACATGACGCATTTCCGCATATCTTCGCAATTGGTGATGTGTCGACTGCAGATCCAGTGCCGACCTGCATGGCTGCGGTTGCTGCCGGTGAGACCTGTGCACGAAACCTTGTCAAGCTGGTTCACAAGGAAGAAAAGAGGATTGCGAGAAGACGGAGCGGGGATGAAGAGCCAGAGAACGATGAGGCAGATGGATATCTCTGCCGGTCATGGAACAAGCTGGAGGATTATGTGCCAATTCGACAGCAGATGGTGCTGGCTATGAATCCGATGGGAGGGGTCTGTCATTTGCCAGTTGTTGGAACGTGGTTTGGAGGCATTGCGGCATGGCTGGTCAAGTCGGGCGATTTGTTCTCTGGACGGTTCTGGAGGTCGCTGAACATGTCGAAGCCAACTTCTTGAGCCTGAAAAAGGAAGGGGGGGGGGGGGGGGGGGACAGCGGGACAGGTAGAGGACAGCTGCCCGTTTGTAAAATACACACCGCTCTAACATCATTTAAGAGCCAGATAGCGACGAGTTGTTGTTTCTCACCTGCTGTTTGAATGATAAAACGTAGTTGCATTTCGATCAAATCAACAAACAGGAAAACCTCTTTTTGCATGTGTATTCGTAAGAGGTGAGAGCCAACGAAGAGAAGGAGTGTGAAAAGAAAGGAAAAGCAGCGCGAGCCTTTCAGTTGAAAAGTCTCGCTTTCTTCACTTCCTGGAGTAAATTCGAAAGAGGTCAAAGGTGCGTCGCTCACTTGCAACTCCTTGAGAAAGTAATAACTTCACTCTTAAATAGTCTAATAGTCTATCGTACTTTTATACAGCTGTCCGTTGTCCGTGGTGAGCGCAGGGTGGCTGAGGAAAAGCTGTTTGGGCAGGAAACCTGTCGGTGGTGAGCAGCAAAGCGGGCAGGGAAGTTATTTGCGATGAATAATTTGGCGCATCCAATCACAGCGCCCCATCTCCTGGCAAGAAAGCTGTTTGCCACCAGTTTGGCTCGAGTCTTAAAAATCAAAAGGCAGCTCGAGGCCACAAAGCACGACAGCTGCGTCTGATAGCCTGTAACCTGTAACCTGTGGAAGCACAAGTCTATTGCCAGACTCAAGCAAGCTCCGCTCGAGCGGTGGCGGGCTCTGCGGCCTGCAGGATGTCCGTCTGCGTGTCTGGCTAGTGCATCAAAATGAGCTCAGGGTAGGTCTCGAACCAGCTCCCGCTTATTTTTTATCCGCATATAAATACCGATCTCGATGATCCAATACCCCCGGACAGTGACTCCAACCAACACTCACTCTTTCGCTCTTTCTCTCTCTCTTTCGCTTCCATACCAGGCTAAAAGCAACGCACTCGGCCTCACTCACACATTACCTCCCATCTCCATCGCACTACAGAGGAAACAAAAAGAATGTCTTCTGCAGCCAATCCTATCAAGGTCGTCGTTGTCGGCGGATCTTATGCTGGAATCAATGTCATCACCCAGCTCCTGAGCTCGCTCAAGTCCTCCAAGAAGACCATCCACATCACCCTCGTCGAAAAGTATGTTCTTTTTCTTCCTTCGAGCAGAGATACGTGCGCATGCACACATCACACATCATCGTTTATAAAACTAGCGCCTTCTGGGCTAATGTGCCTGCACTCATTCTACTTGTGATGCTAGGAACGATGCCCGCTTCCATAGATTGGGCGCATTCCGTGCCTTGGTCGATGAGGAGTACGGCAACAAGGTCTGGATCCCCTACACTGACCTATTCCCTAAGGGTTCCCCACACCGTATTATCAAAGATTCGCTCGCCCAGGTCTACCACCACCACGTCGTCCTCCAATCCGGTACCACTGTCCCCTTTGACTACCTGGTCCTTTGCACGGGTTCCAGCAATTCCGCCACTACAGAATACACCGCATCCTCCTCTTCTGCTGAGGCCATTTCAATCACCTCCAAGGCGCGCGCTGAGCTCACCAAGAGTAAAAGTGTTGTCGTCGTTGGTGGTGGTTCCTCCGGAGTTGAGCTCTCGGGCGAGATCAAGAACGCGTTCCCCGATAAGAAGGTCACCCTGATCCACGCGACTTCTGCCTTGGTCGATTACCCTGGTTATGCCGACAGCCTGAAATCCTCGAGCTTGAAGCACCTTCAGGGACTCGGAGTGAACGTCGTCTTGAACGAGCGCGCCCACATCGAAGGTCTGGACTACGAGCATCCGATCCGTAACGGTCCTACTACCATTCGTCTCACGAGCGGCCAGACCATCGAATCTGATATGCAGTTCTATACCGTCGGCATCAAAATCAACACCTCATACATATCCACGCTCAAGCCTGAGGGCCAGGACAACTTTGACCCAAGCACCCTGGTCCACCAAGACACACATGTCATCAAGGTCCGAAAGACCCTGCAGTTGGCCAACGATTCCTTCCCACATATCTTTGCCTTGGGCGATTGCGCCGACTTTTCCAAGGTGCCCACCGCTGCTGCATGCAGCTCCACCGGCCCCACGGCGGCCAAGAACCTGGTGGCGTTGATCGAAGCTTCTGCCTCGACCTCGACAAGCGACATCCGGGCTGCCGAAAAGACTGCCAAGCTGGCAGAGGCATCGGGTTCACCAGCCTTCATGATCCTCGCGACTGGACCCAAGACTGGTGTCACGAGCCTGCCTTTGTTCGGCAGCAACTTTGGTAACTTCTTTTCAAAGCTGATCAAGTCCAAGGATTTGATGCTGAGCAGTATCATTGCAGGCATGAAGACCAGCACCAAGTAGTTGCACATGCGGCCTGATCAGCATATATCGTATATCTCGGTGCAGCATACCATCGTGCAGCCATAGCCATAGCCATAGCCATAGCCACACCCACAATACTTTTTTAATCATATCGTCTGTAATAACACAATCATTTTCATCTCTAAATGATGCACATTGTCACCAGCTCTGTCGCTTGGATTCTGGTCTCCCTTGGATATACGTCGAATGGATATATCATAGCTGGGTCTCTTGTTTTTTCATCATTTTTATTGTCCTGTAATAAATTCTCTTTATGAGCCCCTCGTCGACCGCACATATATCCCAATGACAACAGGTTTAGTCCTATATAACAGCAGTAGCATTTAAATAAAGCAAGAATTGGTAAGTATCCAGTTAATGTCAAATCCATAGTGAAAACAAGATGCAATAGTAAGCCTGCAGAGAGGGTAAGACCATACCTGACGACTTCTGAGCGTGCGAGTGATGACCTTCTCGGGCGTACTGTGTAAAAAAAATGCGAATGGCCGTTAGATTCAGCTTGGATACAGTCTTTCATTCCTGCGTCCATCCGAATCCGGTCGACTTACATGACAGTGACCTCTGCTCCCCAACCACTCAAACAGTCGCGGTCGACAGCGTTCATCAACGCCTGCGAGATAGTCTCGAACAAGTCCTCAGGTTCCTACAAAGCCCACACACAAAAAAGAAAAAAAAAAAGAAGTATTGTACATAACGTTCCTGTTAGATCATATGTTTATCCAATGAGTCGCCATTCTCCATCCATATCCCGTATATCTGAATATCTGAAAAAGCAGACTCTAAACATACCAGGTCGGGCTCCCAGAGGGACTCGCACATTCCGTACAACTGGTCGGAAGTGGTTCCAGAGACGACAAAGTCCTTTGCAAAGTTGATGCATCCGATCAGATCTGTCGAGCAAATGAATGGCCTGTTCTCCTTGTCCAATCCTGCAACCACTGGCTCTACAAACCAAGGGCCGAATCTATATTGTCAAAGGAGGCATAGTAGCACATAAATACTAGTAGATAAGCGACAGGCCCCGTGGAGCAATGGTTCCCATCCGATTGTATGCGGCGTGTTCGCTAACTGGATCCGTACCGTCGTTCATAGAGCGTCGAAGAGACGAGATGGGCCAAGGTTCTGGGTTCGATTTCGCGCTCTTCCTTCAATCTGTACATGTTGACCTTGAATCGAAACTTTTCTGCCCTGTTATTTTGATAACCAACACGATAAGTGAGATGTAAAAGGGTGGTCAGCAGAAGAAAAAAAAACATCCAGAGAACGCGTACGCGTGTATCCATTTGTTCCTGATTTTGCTTTTGTTTTTTTGCTTGGATTAGGACAACGTCCTCTTACAGAGTCTGGACATCCGTGGCGAGACCGGGGAGTCCGATATATGTCTTTGGGGTGACCTGAAAAGTCTTTTTGAAATCGGTCGAGATGGTCATGGCCTGGACACCGAGGCGTTTGTCGCAGGCAATGGCCACGCAGTTCTTGCCAACCATGGCCACCACCGCACCTCCGTTATACTCCATAATCGACTATTGGAAAGTGAGAGTAGAAGGTTGGTTAGAAGTCGTCCTGCATATTGACCCCGGTGGTTCGTGTTGGTTGGTTGGTTGGTTGGTTGGTTGCTTAGTTCCATGTCTCTTTCTCGAGTGAGTATGAAAAGAGGTCGTGCCGTACCATGATGGGCTAAGGCGTGTTTTCTTGACTGGCGAGTGAAATGAAGTGGAGGGGTATGGATGAATCGATCAAAGGATAGGATGGAGAATGAGGAATGAGACGCGAGTGGAAGGTGTGAAGCAGATGCTGGTTGAATATGTGTGTGTGTGTGTGTGTGTGTGTGTGTCGTTCCCTTGCTCGGTCTTGTCAGTCACTCGAAAGCGTTCGATGCCGCGTACTCTGCCAGCGAGGGACGCGCGCGTATGTCTGGATCCAAAGTACGTAACCAGGAAGCAGAGGGCATCGCAAGGCCTGCGGGTGCCTTTCTGTTGATGGCTTGTTGTGAAAACCTGCAGAGGCAGAGCAGCCCACGACCCCCTCCCCCCAAGTAAAACCTGGAACTGGGTTCTCATCATCAACCTTCCATCCCCATCCCTCTCCTTCCATCCAACAACCTCTCAATATGGATGGCATGAACGCGGTCTACGCTCAGGACGAATATGGGAGACCTTTCATCATCCTCAGGGAGCAGCAGAAAAAGTCCAGACTCAGCGGCATCGAGGCGCAAAAGGTACACACACGAGCCTCATCTCCAGGGAACCACTCATCCTGATCAGCTCGCGATATTAAAAATGCCGACGCTTGTCCCACACACGTTCATCAAAGCAACACATTTCAGGAAGATGCTTGGGTGGGAGGAACACCCAAAGTATCGCTGAATTATCGCTGTTCATATTATGGTCATCAGCGAGTTCACGTCAAGTCTGGTCCTCATCTCACCTAGTTTTAAATTCTTTGTACGCTCTCACAACGTTAGTCCCACATCCTAGCTGCCAAGACCATTGCCAACATCATCAAGACTTCACTCGGACCCCGTGGTATGCTATATTCTTGACACAGACATTGCATACGATGTGCAACTGAATTCACAATGGACAATATTGAGCTCCCAGGCTAACTGCTTCGCGATTCTATTTGTCGGGTCACAACAACAGGTCTCGATAAAATCTTGATCTCCCCAGATGGTGAAATCACCGTTACCAACGACGGTGCCACAATCCTTGACCAAATGGATGTTCAGCACCAGATCGGAAAATTGTTGGTCCAACTGTCAAAGTCGCAGGACGATGAGATCGGAGACGGAACTACTGGTGTCGTTGGTATGTGGCAATAATCATTATGACTGCATGGATGATATGGCATTTCCGGGCTATTGACTTTTGTCGCTAAGGTCCCCACTCACTCAATATTTATGTTCGATTTACTTTTTCATGTCCTCTTTAGTCATGGCTGGCGCATTGTTGGAGCAGGCTGAGCATTTGCTGGATCGCGGTATTCACCCTATTCGCATCTCTGATGGATTCGAGCGTGCGTGCAACATCGCTATTACCCATTTGGATTCCATCTCTGACACGGTTGAATTTTCGCGGGAGAACACTGAGAACCTCTACAAGACTGCCAAGACCAGCTTGGGAAGCAAAATGTATGTGCCAATACATCGTGTCCTTTTTTTTTTTTTTCTTTTTTTCTCCCTCTGAGACAGCTCACTTGCGGCACCATACTAATCCCTCTATACTCTCAATATCATCATTCTAGTGTTTCAAAGTGCCATGATCAGTATGCTAGGATTGCAGTGGATGCTGTTCTTCAGGTTGCAGATTTGGAGCGCAGGGACGTCGATTTCGAGTTGATCAAAGTGGACGGCAAGGTCGGAGGATCATTGGCAGATACCGTGTTGGTCAAGGGCGTTGTCATCGACAAAGACTTTTCTCACCCTCAGATGCCTCGTGAAGTCAAGGACGCCAAGATCGCCATTTTGACCTGCGCGTTCGAGCCACCAAAGCCCAAGACCAAGCATAAGCTGGACATCACCTCAGTGGAGGAGTACAAGAAGTTACAGTCGTACGAGAAGGAGAAGTTCGAGCTTATGATCAAGCAGGTCAAGGACACTGGCGCCAACCTCGTCATTTGCCAATGGGGATTCGATGATGAGGCCAACCATTTGCTGATGCAAAACAAGCTTCCAAGTGTCCGCTGGGTCGGTGGTCCCGAGATCGAGGTATGGACGTGACCATTTCTTGGTTTTACAAGTTTTACGACGGTCTCTTCTGTTTTTCTAACAATTTGCGTTTTCATATTTGTATCTGCTAGTTGATTGCAATTGCTACTAATGGACGCATTGTTCCTCGCTTTGAGGACCTCGCTCCTGAGAAACTTGGACACGCTGGGGTTATTCGCGAATTGAGCTTTGGAACAACCAAGGACCGCATGCTTGTCATCGAGGAGTGCGCCAACACCCGCGCTGTCACTGTTTTTGTCCGTGGAGGCAACAAGATGATCATTGACGAGGCCAAGCGCTCGCTTCATGATGCCATTTGTGTCGTCCGCAACCTGGTCAAGGATAACCGTGTGGTCTACGGAGGTGGCGCTGCCGAAATTTCCTGCTCGTTGGCTGTCTCGAAGGCTGCGGACGAGGTGTCGAGCGTGCATCAGTATGCAATGCGTGCCTTTGCTGAGGCGCTTGAGGCCGTTCCCCTTGCCCTCGCTGAGAACTCTGGATTGCCGCCCATTGAGACCTTGGCCGACGTCAAATCGCGTCAGGTGACGGAGAACAACAGTCGACTGGGAGTCGACTGCCTGTACAAGGGCACGAACGATATGAAGGACCAGTTTGTGTACGATCCCCTGATCTCGAAGAGACAGCAGATCCTCCTCGCGACACAGCTCGTCAAGCACATTCTGAAAATAGACGATCTCATCCAGAGCCATATAGAATAAGAATACAGACATATCAATTTCAGTTTGATCAATAATATCCAAAGTGCCGACATGAGTATTCTGATATCTTTCACTAGGAGTCCATCCTGGTTTCGCCCATAACCCGATTTCTTTGGCGCTCGATAAACGTCACGTGCCAGTCGCGTTATGTTGTTTATGTGGAGGTGAAGATACCATGCTGCTGGATCGTCCTCGCTCATCCTCTCCGAAAGCAATTTCATTGACCTCGAACATCCGCTCAGGACCGAGCTTGCGTTGAACCCTCCGCGAGAACATATACTTCAGGACGGCGGAGCCATGTCTCGCGTGCGGCTGCGTCATACCTGAGCAATGTCGACATTCAATCCTCTCAATTCCACCGCTGCCAACACCCAACCGCCGTCATCTTCTCAATATCTTTCGTCGCCGGAGAACATCCGCTCAATATTTTTCACAAACCTCATCCTCCTTGGCGTACAGGAGCATGCTTTAAAGCCCTCATCTGTCTCTTCCCCGCCGACCGATACGCCTCAGGATCTCGCAAGGTCGCGTAATGCTTCGTCTCAAATATCTTCAGGAACATCTCGACCACTAAACCAGCCAGCTCAACCATCAAGGCAACAGCAGCACTTCATCATCAACTCGCGTGGCTATGGAATCAATACTTCAAAACCACTAGAGCTTCACAGGCACGTATTCGCAAGGGGACATCAATCCACTAAGGCTTTGGAGTTTGTGCTTTGGTTTCTATTCACGAGGTTGGATAAGGCACAGGCGCATGATCGATTTAAGGAATGCTGGCCAATCCTGGATCGGCACGACGCAAGGGAGTTCAGGAACGTGGCTTTCAAGTGGTTGGATGAGCTGAGGAAAGAGGGTTGCTTCGGGATCGGGCACAATATCCATCCGTCCAATAACCAGTCCACTGGCCTGGGTCTGCTCTTGCATACGATCAGGAGGAGTTATTTGGATGACTCGATCGGGGACAGGACAGAGCAGCTGGTCCTGGTTCTGTCCACGTATGTGCTTTCACGGGTCGTTATGGAGGAGATTGGGCAATCGCAACATGCTCAAGGGCAGGAGAGAGCGGTTCAAGAGGATGAGGACAGGACGTTGTCGGACCTTGTGAGCCAAGCACCGGAGACTCCGCAGGATGAAGAGACTCTTATGGATATGATCGATTCGCATATTGTAAGGCGATCTCGGTTTTTCCTCCAGAATATGGAGCAGCAGAGAAGTATTCGGCAATCATGGAGTGCTATGAGCAAGGACATGACTGAGAAACTGGAGACTTATACAAAGGAGCTGGTATGTTGTTTTCGCCTGATCATGATTTTTTAAGACACCTTGGTGCGGACTACATAAGGAGCCATTACTGACCTCTTTTTTTTTCTTTTTTTTTTTCCTGGATTTTATAGTCCAGAGTAGAGACAGAGCGCAAGGCATTTCTAGGACAACGGCCAGAGTTCGCGGAACGAATAAACGAGTTGTCTTTGCAGGAGTTGCACATTCTGGAGGATCGCTGGATTGAAAAGATTAATGAGCAGTGGCAGCCGGTTCTTAGTTTAGTGAAGCGTCATGTAGGTCGCACGGAGGTTTTGCAGTCTTTGCTTGATTCGGACTCAGGAACAGGAGACTCGGTTCTGAATGGAGAGGCGTTACAGATGGATATACCTATGACCCTGAGAAACCTTGCTGAGAATGGGAGTATTAAGGTATATACCCAAACGTATCCCATGCATTTTTTTTGATGATAGGGTGCGTGGTAAAGCAGCGGACTAACCTTTTTTTCCACGTAATATTGATAGCTTCCTGGAGGCGTCAAGGTGGACATTGTTGCTATTTTGAAAAGCTGGGAACGCTCTCTACAGATCCTAGGAAGTGAAGGCGTGAGCAAAGTTCCTGGCAGCATGAACAAGGCTCTTCAGCACTCGTCATCACTCGAGTCGCTGTCAAAGAACCATAGCCAGCAACTTGGAAAGATCCAGGAACTGAAGAAGCGGCTCGAGACCAGACTAATGGACACCAACAAGAGGGTGGACAGGTTACGAAGGTAACAACTTTGAAATTTTTCAGCCAGCTGCTGTGGTTGTCAAGAGAGTCTTCTCACAAACGTTGTTGACCATCAATAGGGAGCAGAGTGTCAAACAGCAGCCGTATCGGCGCCTGCTTTCAACAATCGCCATCGGTAATCAAGAAGCTGACCCTATAAACAGCGCATCATCTGTATTGGCGCGTGACGATCGTCAGGATGCAGTCGCCTCTGTAAAGCAGATTTCATCCGCTCTCGCACCTTCCCTTGACAATCGTATGTGGAAACCGCTTTGGACTGGCTGACGCATAGATTGCATGGGCCATGACAACTAACATCTCCATGGATTCATGCAAATAGATCCATCGTCATCGCCAGATCGCATACGTGAGCTCAGGAGCCAGATTTACGATTCAGTGCGCCAGGACAAGGACCGAGAATCAGACTCACATCGCACCCTGCGCCATGCGCTCAAAGACAGAGGTATTTGACCAGCACATCTCTTGAAGTAATACCAAATGCTAATTTTTTCCTGTCGCTAACATGTGTGCGATTACGTTTTATTTTAGGAGCACTGGATATTCTGCTGGTCCAGCCTCCAGTGGTTACTGCTGCCCCCCTAGTGAAACCGCGCTCTCCTATCAGGATAATGTCGCGGACGTTGGAGATGCGCCTTCCTACACCCAAAGTTGTGGACCCTGCCCGGAAATTAGCGCAGTCGGTTGCCAAATTGAAAAGCTCTGTCATTCGGCCCCCACCCAGTATTCTTGCACGTTTGACGGAAAAGCCTCTACAGACATCTACCAGGATAGATGCACCTAATGATTACACGAGCTTGGTAAAGTCTGTAACCAAGCCAGTGCCGGCAGATCTCGTTGTGTCTAGCGACCTACAGAAATCGAGACCTGAAGCCCCGCGTAATTATGCGCGCGATGAGGTAAAGAGATTGTTCATAAAGATTCGCAACCAGTGCTCGGTTTTAGCGGGGAGCCAAGCTGACCAATTTTTTCTCCCATTGATAAATAGATTCTTTCGCATTTTATCCCACCAAAACCCATATTCAGGCAGCGACTTGGTGTTTCGCAAAAGAGGAGGCAGTCATCCGACTTTCAACCTGAGCGCAATCGATCATCTTTGCTCTTTTCGACGCAAAGTCCAGTCCAACGTTCAGATGATGACAATGACTTTGTCCAGCAGAAGGAACTCGTCAATGTATTCAGTGTCGACAGGGAAGCCTCTGAAACACCGCCCAAGAGACGCAGAGCAGAATCGCAGAGTATTTTCGACGAGGACGCAAGCGAGATTCTGAGGACACCATCCAAAAGGCGCAGGGTGGACTCTATAGAGCAGGAGCTCGTCGGTCGAGGTGCCTCCTCCTTTAGGTTCGATATAGAGGTTCCACTCAAAGAAGACGATACCAATCGACCCAGCATGGTGTCGTCATCCTCCGGCAACAAATCAAGCACTGCATCAAAATTGACACTAGAGGATCTCCGGGCCCCGACACCAAAGGCTACCAAGACAAGAGGCCTAGATGATACCATGACGATGCCGATTATGCTACTGCACACGCCTCAGCAGAAGAAACTCTTTCAGATGGAGGCCAGTCAAGTTACGAAGCCTGTCCAGCGCTTTACAGCACTCACACCACCACTCGCAGCGGATGCAAAAGCGGATCGTCCGTTTATATCGCCATTATCCGCTATCAAACGCTCTCCATTCTCGTCATCTATGTTTAGTCGATTTAGGGCAGGGATCGACTTTTCAACAGAAGAAGATCGGCCTGATACAGTAGATTCTGTTTTGTCTGCAATGGAAGGGTCCCCTTCTGCTAATTTTCGAACACCCAACAACAAGAGCCCTTTGCGTCCTGCTAGACCGATGCTCGGTGGAAGGCGTTCTAGGGGCTTAAGCACATCGTCGATTGTGAAGCATCTGTTGACGGGTAACTCAGTTGTACTGGACAGGGTTCGTGGTAATAACAGTGTGACGTCCCATCGTCCTGTCCTTGCCGAGAGTGGATCGATATCAAAGGCAGCAGTGGTCGAGAAGGACGGCAGCGTTTCCAAGACTCAGAACTTCGGTTCACGAAAGACTTTGAAAGAAGCAGAGGCCACCGTTACAAATGTGGGTTCATCTGCAACTACGGCTGCAACATCGACTACAGCTGTGGATCTGAATGCCAGCCGCAACCTTTGGGGTCGACCACCGTCATGGAAACCAAAATCACCGAGGATGATTGACATGGAGAGGAGACGGCAAGCAGATAGGGCGCACCGATCAGCAGCCAGAAGCGTGGGAGCAATGTCGCACTCGTTTGATTCGTTGTCGCAATCGACTCTGAGCTCCCTCAAGGTATCTGTGTATGGTCGACCGAGTATTTCAGCCCCGTCATCGTCGTCAGTGTCTTTCTCTTCGTTGTCTTCGCTTTCGTCAAAGTCTTTTCGTTCGGACTCGAGTCTTGTGTCAGGTCGCCTTCAGGGGGCTATTCTGGAGAAACCATCAGGTCAGGAGGATCAGGCACTGGAGGTCAACAGTGATGATGAAGACGATGATGTGGGTGAGGATGAGGATACACAAGGATTTAGTCCACCACCTGTGTCGCCCATTCGCGAGGTACAATCAGGATCTTTTCCTTTGTTTTCGGCATCGACAATGTCGACAGGCGGACAGAAGACAACGCGGCCATTTAATTTTTTTTCCAAATCTGGACGGGAAGTCGGAGATGCCTCCATGATGGATAAGGTTGTTGGTTCCATGGGACATATGGCACAGGATGATGAGCAAAGCAGGAAATCACAGAACCGTCCACTCAAACAACAACAACAACAACAACAACAACAACAACAACAACAACAACAAGAACAAGAACAAGAACAAGAACAAGAGCAAGGACAAAAGAACAAAAAAGACGAGAAAGAAGAGTCGGACAGGAAGCATGTTCTGGATCAGGCGATGCCTGAGGACGAATATGTGTTTCGCGGTCAAGATGAGGATGACACGATCCTGAATTCAGCGCTGCAGTTGATTTTTGATGGGGATAAGAGAAAGGATACTGCGGGGCGGAACAGAGATAGTGTTCAGGATCAGGATCGAGGGCGAATGAATAGAACAGGAGCAGGAGGTGTTGGGGGTGGTGATAGAAGGCGTGGATTGAATTCTTTGAGGGCGTCTAAAGGACAGCAGAAGAACGCAGGCGAAGAAGGAGGAGGTGGTGGTGGAGGGCTGTTCGACGAGATGATGCCGGAGAGTCTTGATCCGGATGAAGTATTATGGGAGAACACGGAGATCTTTTCTTCTTAGCTGTACCTCGTTCTTTTTTGTTAATATTGATACTACTGTAATTCTAGACTCATGTGTATGTGTGGAATGTACGAATAGGAGGGGCTCTTCGTTGAGTGTGCCTTTTTTTTTTTTTTTTTTTTTTTTTGGTTGTTGTTGTTGCCACCAATTCACTATGGAAAAAGAACAAATGAGATCCGCGGATCAAGACGCGTCAAAGAAAACTCCGCGGTACATGTGGATCGTTCCTGTCGCTGTGTGCTCACGTTCTTTTCTTTTCTCGGATGGCAGGTGGCCTCCATCGTTCTGCTCTTGACGAAAGAAATTGAGAACAGAGGAGCGTTTTTTTATTTTTTGCTTCTGTCCAAGGCATATACAAACATCCACTTATCCACTCACCCCAGTGTGCACCCATGCAAACTGTGCGCTCCCAAATAGGGCTAACGGATGCTGTTTAGGGCAGATAAAGTAGCGGAGTCTAGGCGCAATGACCACCTGATGGTGGGGGCAACAGAGACGGATTTCGAACCCAGCGTCCGATTGCTTATTTCGAGGGAATGGCGGGGGGATAAGCTAACTGTGGGCTGTTATCTCTGACACATCAATTCGCATCCATGTTGCAGTGGGACCGCTGAGGTATTTGAGGACATTTGAGAGTGTGCCGTGGTTTTAGATTAGTGGGCTGGAGAAACATAGACTGCATGGACGACTTAAGTTGAATGGGGGATATCACTGGTCTCGAACGGAGAAAAAAAAAAAAGAAAAAAAAAAAACGCGCGCTCTCTGCTCTTTTTGAAGCGGTGCTGTCCCTCCTGCAAAAATAGACGGACACTCCATCCATTCAGCACTCGCATTCATATCACATTTCATATCATAACATATCCCTCCTATCCTATCATTCATTCATACAACCAACCAACAAACAAACAAAACGAGACATCACACAAGAACGCACCAAACGCACCAAACGCACCATTGACGCTCCTCTTCTTCTCTCCTCCTTTTTACCCAACACTCCGCTTCACCCCATCCCTTCTTCTTCTTCTTCTTCTTCTTCTTGTTCTTCTTCCTTCTTATCCTTCCTTCCCCACATTCTTCTTTCCTTTGCTCTCTTCACTCCCCTCACTCCCTTCACTCCCTTCACTCCCTTCACTCCCTTTACGCTCTTCACGCTCCCCACCCTTTCACTCCCAAGCTGTCCCAACTACTACCACTTCCCACTCCACTGCACTGCACTCATCCCCGCACTGCACACAATGCTATTCACACAACGAGCAACCCTCGATGTCCTCGACTCGTTCAAGGACATGCGACTCGATACCAACAACAACAACAACAACAGCAACAACACTAACACCGCCAGGCGGCCGACCTTTAGCACCTTCACTCGGCTCGCCAGAGCTCCCCCTCTCTACTCCTCCCTCTCCTCCCCCTCCCCCACCTCCACTCCTTCCTTTTCCTCGAAACCCACAGAGTCAGACTCGATCGCCTCCACCTACAGCGACAGTAATACCTCCACAAAGGGTCCTCACTGCTTCATACCCACACCTCCTGCACTGAATGACGCTTCTCAGCCAGACTACTTCAAGGCCTTGCCAGCATGCGATTCCACCCACTCGTACTCGGCCCTCAAACACTGTGATCGAAAGGATCTCCAGGATCTCTCCGCGCCCTTGTTCCCTCAGGGCGATAGTCTAGACAGTAACCCGTCCTTGTCTTCTGCCTCGCCTTTGTCTTTGACGTCCAAACCGGTTCCTTTCAAGCCGTCTTTTACCAGGATCACCGTATCAAGCAGGAGTGACAGAGGTAGTGCCAGTAACAGTTCTCTGACAAGCAGCAGTAGCAGCAGTAGCAGTGATAAGCTGGGCGATACTGGAAGGCGGTATAGCAACAGCAGGAACCAGGCTGGCCCGATCAGTTACGGTGCATCGTCACTATTACAGGACAAAATGTCATCGCCATCACCAACCTTATCCTCGCCTTCGTTCTATATTCCGCCACCGTCACTGCCGTCAGTCCATCCACTCTCGCTCTCGCTCTCCGTCCCAGTCTCCGTCCCAGCCTCGAACTCGGTGCCCCCCTCGGCAGTGCCCTCCCTCTCCTCGGCCTCGTCAACGTGCTCGTCTGCCTCCTCCTCTGCGTCATCGTCGGCGTCATCGTCCTCACCGCCCATGTCGCGGTTTGTGTTCCCGACGGTTGATCGAAAGGACTGGTGGTCAGGTCTCGGCCTGGCTGAGACGCCCGCAGACGAAGAAGAAGACCGGTCAGGACCCAGCCTCGGACCCCATGTCACGACTGACCTCATATCAGGATCAGGATCAGGATCAGGATTGGGATCAGGAACAGGGTCGTACCAGCTGCTCACGATGACAGACAAGACATCGAGTGTCAGTCCTTTGTCTCAAAAGTTTTATCGCAACAAGCCATTGAATACAATCGAAATTCAAGGAAACGACCGGTTGTCGGCTGTGGATAGGGACGAGCAGGAATGTGGCAACAACAGGAACAACAAGAAGAAGGGTTTTTCGGCGGATTGGCTCTTAAATGGATATGAGACAGCTCTGCCACCCAAAAAACAAGGATTCCAGCAGGTCAGCAAGCCCAAAGCCTTTTTCCAGCCAAAGACGCGAGAGCCTTCACCGCCCCCGGTGTTGACGGGATTCTGTTCGATCAAGGATCTTGGACCAATCAAGGCGAGTGGGGAGCCATCGCCGCAGGATTTTCTGGGAGAGGCAGATTTACCGTATCCGCTACCGACGTCATTGCAGGAGCGCCAGACGAGGCAGCGCAAGCGGGCGGAGCAGTTGAGACAGCTGAAGATTCGGGAGGAGGGTGAGGCGAGGGAGAACTGGAGAAGGGTGAGGAGGCGAAGGGCATCGTTCACGGGTGGGATAGGGATGCATTCGAGCCTGAGTTCGTCTCCGATGTCGACAGTGTCGCCGGCGGTGATGGGAGCTTCTTTGCCCACGAGATCGCTCTCGATGTCTCTGTCGTCTTCACCCTCGTTCTCACGGTCGCTTTCACGGCTACCCTTAGTGTCGCTGTCGTCTCCTTTGTCCACAAAGACGAATAGTCATCCGAGGCTAGGAAACCAGTTGAAGCGGTGTCCTTCTTCGCCGGTAAAGAGTGCGACTGCAAGGAAACCGAGGCGGTGTGTGGGGTTTGATCTGAGGAGGACAAAGGTGTTTGAGTATGAGGCGGGCGAGGAGGTATGTCTGTCGAGGCCATCTTCTCCGGTGCAGAGGGAGGATGGGGAGAAGGGATACTTTGATCTGCGTCCTAGATCGTGTTTGAGGCGTCATGATGAGGAGGAGGATGAGGAGGAGGATTAGACCCCCCCCCATGCACATTCCATTCATCCGCTCGTGCGCCCCCAATGCGCCCCCAAATAATAAAACAGAAAAAAAGTAGACGGATTTGCAAGGATGCTTTCTTTTCCTTTTTTTTCTAACACTCCATTACAGAAAAAAAAATGGTTTTCGTATCCTGTAATCAAATTCGATGATATCGTTATCTTATGTTCCTGTGCAGGGCCGGAATTATGGTTGGAGGATTTTTATTTGCAAAGATATCATATCTATTGGCGATATACTACATACAGACAGACGCTCGACAGAGGAGAAAAACACATTTGGGGGAAGTGAAAAAAGAAGGAAAAAAAGGTAAAAACCAAATCAGGCCGTGAGGAATCAAACCCCAATCCAATGCACAACAAACAACGGATTGACCATTGGCTTTTTGCACAGAGGACCATAGTCAATGTTAACCTTTGAATATTTGGAATATTTGGATTTTTTTTTTTTTTTGAAAGAAATGTAGAAATGTAGGAAAGTTATGACCAAGGTGAAGATCATCTTGCAAGGGAGAAGCAAGAGATTTCAAGTTATGGCATAGCTAGCATCCCCTGGGATTGAGCTCTCGGCCACCATGTCTAGTGAATTGGTTTCGCTATAGAGTGAGTTTTTTTTTTTTTTTTTTTGAGGGTGCAAAGAAAGGTTCCTCGACATAGGGGGGTTGCATGGAGGAGGGGAGAGAAGGTGTGACAAGAAGGGCAAAAATTATGCAGGACGAGGGAAATTCATCATCGGCATGCATTAGGGACAGTATGATGCTCGGATACTTTATTAGCGGCAATGCCTTTTTTTTTTTTTTTTTTTTTGAAGCCAACTGGATACAAACAGACATCTGGTGGATCTTGAAGGAGAGTAGGGATCGAGGAGGAGGAAGGAGGAGAGAATAAAGAGAAGGAAGGTGAGAAATGTTCTCTTAATAAACAAGAGGGTAGATGTTTTCCAAAGGGGCTTGGTGGCACACCTCAGCTCCACACTAGACTTGTCGAACCTTTTGTAATCAGGAAAAGGGTTCCTAACCGTGCTGCAATGGTTTCGTGGGATCCGCCTCCAAAACAGCAAGGATGGCCGGAATCATACTATCGTCCGCACGCGTTTCGACTAGCGATAAATTCCTGGATCTTTTTGAAGCGCCATTTCCTTTGGGCTTGCTTGGGAACGGTGTCTTGATAGGAAGCGTGATTTTGGCTAGTTCCTGATTAAGGAATAGACTACTCTACCCTATTGCAATTAGAGATGTGAAAAGCTCCATGAGCCCTTCAAGCGTTTCTATCCGTCCCCTGGATCTCGTCTGCACCTTGGTCCGTCCCTGCAAACTGGACGTCGTTGACAGACCCCCACACGCATGAACTACACAAACGAAAGCCTTGAAAATACATAGTTTCGTTAGCCCTGTTTCCTTGTAGACGAGGGGGAAGAGTTGTTCGTTCTGGCATATTTCTCTTTGATTGCAATCAAACTATCAGCTCTGAGTATGCGTAAGAACGCGCTAAACCAATAAACACCATTGGTGCACTTCTTCGTTCATCGTTGCTTGATAATTTCATCAAACTTTTTTCTTTTCTTTTCTTCCGAGTTTGCTGTGTTATCTGTATATGCGCGAGCATGTAAGCGTTGCGCGAATGGAAATCCGTGTGTCTCCTCGCGTGGTATATATTTTTTTTCTTGTACCGTAATGCTAGTCTAGGGTGGCTACGCCGAATGAATAGATGGGCACTACTGCGTGGTACAACCGTGGCTACATAGTGTTCTTTTTTTTTTCTTAACGACGCGATCCGAACGACGCGTTCGCCGTATGTGGTTGCACTCATTTTCTAGAAAAAAAAAAAAAAAAAACTGAAAATAACCATTGAAACGGCGCTTCGATGTGGTTTTGTGTTGCTGGCTAGTTTTTGCTAGCTCTAAACTGAGATGTCGTAGACTTCTTTACGCTTTGCGGACTCGGTTTTTTTTCGTATCCGCTTTTGTGATGATTTAATTCCAACAGAGGTAGATGAAAGGATTGAGCCTGAGTACAATATGAAAAATAATTCAAGGTGAACAACCACATCATCGCCATCATAAAAAAAATTGGAGCGCCGAACCAAGAGTGCTAGGGATGGAAAGGCAGGCAAGGGAGAGGGGAACGGAGGAATAGTGAAATAGATGGGCGTCAACGTATACTACAGGAGCAATACCTTCTTCTTCAGGCCAAGGAGATGAAGAGATGAATGATGTTATTTTGTTGTTGTTTGCTCAAGATCCGTCTTCTCCAAATCAATCGGGAACCATATAGCGGTTATAGCGGTGGTAGTGTTTCTTTTTATTTCAAGCACCGAGCAAGCCAAGCGCGAGAGCAGCAGAGAGCACAGAGCACAGAGCACAAAATAATGGAAACATTCAAGTGGGTGTTGCGCGTCGAACGTCAAATGTACCTGAAGCCCAGTTTTTTTTTTTTGTATGCCCGATATTGGCTGAATGAATGGTGCTCACAAGAAATGGTATGAAAGACAATCGCGTCCTTTGTCCCATGGTTCCCAACAACATGTGTCTGCATCTGTGCCTGTGTAGCAGAAAAAAAGGGCGCGAAAACTTATGTGGATTGGTGGATCAGGGAGAAAATGGGCCGCAGTGGGTGCAGCAACAATTCAGGAATCAGGAACCAGGAGCCAAGAACTGGTAGGAGACATGCAAGATATCTGTGATGAGGACGACCGGGTACGCTAGATTAGTGGCGGTGCCGTGGGTGCGCTGGGATGCTCTTAGAACTCTTAAAAGGGTCGAGAGCATAGCCGAACGGAAGGAGTCCTTGACATCATCGGCTCCCATCCACACACAAATACAACTTGAGGACATCCAAACAGGCCTTGCAGCGCACTAAGAATCAGCCCTATTGCACCTTTTTTGTTATTTCATTTTGGTGCTATCCCTCCTATTTTTCTTTATTTTCTTTTTTTTCCTTCTATTTGCCTTGTCCTCACACCTCATTCAAATCCCCCATTCCTCTGCGCGCGCTCTCTCTATCTTCATTCATTCATTCATTCTTGGCATCATCCTTCTCTTCTCTCCGTCATCGGCACTCGCTCCTCTCCCTTTGTCACAGACCACGTTCTTTCTCTCTTTAAAAACAGCTTTTCAGCTCCTGTTCCTGGCTCAGCTTATCTTCCTCTCGACTCTTCTCACACTTCAAGGAACACTCTACATCCTCTGCCAACACACTATCCTCACCTCGTTCTCTTCTCTCTTCATCTTTTTCGCTCTTCACTCTTTCACAATGTACTCGTCGCTATTGGAGGCTAAGGTCGTTATCCTCGGTAGCCAAGGTAATAACTAAGAAAAAAATCGGATGCAGTACTTGCACACGCCTCCTTGTGGAGTGAGGTGGAGTGAAGCACAAGGGCGGGAAAGAAGAAACACCTCCACAACACAATATATACAACATATTCGCACAGGAGAATCCGGCTTCCATCACGCACCCCTTGTTACCTCCTCCACCTGGAACACGAACAAATAACCGGAACCTGTGACTGGACAGAGCTCCTGAGAAGCCAGCCAACCAATGCCTAGTACACAAAAAAACAGCCAAACAGCAACAGGACGCGTTGGGTCTGTGTGTTTATGTGCTCGGCTCTTCACTACCCTGCTCACCTTTGGAATAGGAGCAAAACGTCTAGCAAAGACAGAGAAAGAGAAAGAGAAAGAAAAAGGGGGAATGGGCTGGGTTAGACTAAGCGAGGTGAGCGGGTACTTGCGCCGTTTCTACTCTTCCATCGATTGTCGTCCGTCACACCAATATCCTACATAGCCTGCGGCTCTATTATTTTTTATTTTCTACTTGCCGTGCTTTATTGCCATTAAAACTTTGCCGTCTGTTTAGATTGGGGGGGGGGGGAGGGGGGCCTTGTTTCCTTTGGACAATCGATGCTTTGAGGTCTGCTTACTTGGGATGCCGTTGTCGATTTCTATTGCTTCTTTTGTTTTCGTCAAGCGGATAGAGGAACTGGAAGGGGGGGGGGGGGTTCTTGATTAGGTGGTTCATGCCCTCAGAGGAGAGTCTACAAAAAAAAACAATCATGCATGACGATGATATAACCCTTTCGGGGTTTACTGTCATTTCGACTCGGCCCTGACTCGGACGGGATAATGGCGACAGTCGGTCGCAATAGCAGCAGCAACGACAATAATAGTAATCCCGGCGGCGCTAGCACCACTACCACGGACAGATTACAAGCAATGACAGCCGACTGGATGCACTTTTGTGCTTCTTCAGGATATCTCTCCTTGTCGACATCTTCTACAGACCTGGGATATAAAAGTGTCCTCGTCTCAGGATACTTTGGTTATATAAGAAGTGAATGTGTTGCTAACCCATTGTTTGCTGCTATTGTTTTATCTGATAGGTGTCGGAAAGACGTCGCTCGTTGTCCGATATGTCCAGAAAACGTTCTCTCTCAACTGTACATCGACCATCGGGGCATCCTTCATGACAAAGAAACTGTACGAAAAAATTCTCCTTGAGTCAAACGTCGATTCTTTTATGTCCAAGCGCTTTTAACGGGAGTGCACGACCTGGACGACCTCCGTACTACACTGGATGAGATATGAATGGCGCTAAACCCTAACGGAATTTGCTGTTGGTTTCATGGTCACCTTTAGAGTTGTGGACAATTGTAAAGTACGACTCCAAATCTGGGACACGGCTGGTCAGGAACGCTTCAGATCAATGGCACCAATGTACTACCGTGGGGTAAGTCGATTACTTTACCGCTATTTCCGAATGCAAGCAAAAAAAAAAAAAGGAATCTCGTGCTTACAATTTGGTCCGCATGGCATTCCATCCTGAGACAAGATGCTTTTTCGATGGATTACGATATCTAACCTTGTGTGGTTTTTCTTTTTGCTCTTCTAGGCCAATGCTGCTATTTTAGTATATGACATTACATCGGAGGAATCTTTCCGGGATATGAACTCGTGGGTGGAGGAGTTGCGCAAGAATATGACCGAAGACTTGAGTAAGCACCCCGAGATCGATATCTTTTTTTTTTTTTTTTTTTTTTTTTGTGTGTGTGTATGTGTCTCATAAGGATACTGAACCCATCATGAAGAAATATTCCTTTCTGACCCATTCTTTATATTTTTTCTTTCTTACTACTTTTTATTGGAAATAGTCATTCACGTAGTTGGAAATAAGCTGGACTTGGCTCCGACAAAGAGAGCCATTCCCCTGTCGCGCACGGAAGAATATGTAGCAAAGACATTGGGTGAGGATTTCTCAGTGCACGAAGTATCGGCCAAGGACGACGACGGTATGTTGAGCATTACGCGATGTGTATTTGGCAGCGGACCAATCTTTTTTTGTTTTGCTTTACCCTTTCCATGACTTGCGGATGTATCGCTGACATCTTTTGTATTCTGATTATCTACTTGATATATAGGCATTGAGGACTTGTTCCTGCAGATTACACGAAAGCTGGTGGAGAAGAAACAGGAAATTGAGCGGATCAAGAGAATCAATGCAGAGAATGCGATTACGCTGCAGCAGCTGGAGGACGAGCGACTCCAGCAGGCACAGACGGCGAGTAACAGTAGCGTCTGCTGTGGGATATAAAGAGAACAAACGACCGAGAGGGGATTCGCCTTTTCAATCCACAAAAAAAAAAAGAAAGAACGCACCAAACATGACTTTGAAGTGTGTTTTTTTGTTTTGTTTTTTTGTTTTTTGTTTTTTTCGTCGTTGTGATTCCATTCGGGGAATCCGACAAAATAAAATGAACCACCCATATACTATATTGATATCAAGAGGTGGATGTCGTGTCATCGATTAGGAGAAGAAAGCAAGAAGAAAAAAAAAGAAGCGCAAAGGTGAAGGTGAAGAGAAAGGTCGTGTTTGTGCTCCTTGGGTGCGACGACGATCACGACTTTGCCAAATAGAGACATAGGCTGTGGCCCGCCCCGCCCCAAATGTCAGGTCCCTTTGACCCCGGACTGCCTTCGATGTGTGGGGTAAAGTCACAAACACAATTCTTCCCACGGTTGCCTTATAAGCGCGTCACTGTTCTTTCTTTCCCCTCTCTCCTCTCTTCTTCATCCCTGACCCATCGCTCTCTTCTCCCCGCCCCATTCGACCTTTCATCACCATGAACTTCCGCTCGACATCCAGGATCGCCATCAACCTCACCCGGGGTGCATTCCAACAGTCTTTCAGGCGCAACCTGAACGTACGCAAACGCACTTTGATTCATTCATCTCTGGGCTGATTTGAAATCCATCCTCATCCTCTCGTTCCATCTCTCGCTGACCTGGACTCCTTCTTTCCTCTCTTCTCGTGCGCCACTACTCTGATAGACATCAGCTGCTGCACCCGCTGCGAGCCTGTCGTCAAAGTTTGTCAAGATCGTCGAGGTCGGGCCTCGTGATGGTCTTCAGAATGAAAAGTCGGTCATTCCGGCCGAGACCAAGATCGAGTTCATCAACCGTCTCTCCGACACTGGACTCTCCGTCGTCGAGGCCACCAGCTTTGTCTCCCCAAAGTGGGTTCCCCAGGTAAAAAAAGAAAGCCAATCGCTATTTTTTTATTATTATTATTTTTCTTGTCTTCTGCCTCACAGATCAACATACGCTGCGCCTTGGTCGCTTTGCTTACTAAAACATGGACCCATTTATTTATTTTATTTATTTTTTCGTTCTAACTTGACTGGGTCCTAGATGGGAGACGCTAAGAAGGTGATTACGTCGATCAAGCACAAGGACGGCGTCAGTTATCCTTGCCTGACCCCTAATATCAAGGGTTTGGATGCCGCCATTGAAGCGGGTGTTAAGGAGGTAGCCGTCTTCTTGGCGGCCTCGGAATCATTCAGCAAAAAGAACATCAACTGCACAATCGAGGAGAGCTTTGAGAGAGTCAAGCCATTGATCGCTAAGGCTAAGGAACACGGAATCCTGGTTCGCGGGTAAGGAATGAGATTCTTGGCGAAGAAGGGTTTATATTGCATATTGTCACTTTACCACGACATTTCTAACCCATGCGTCGCATTGTTTTTGTTTTTATTAGATATGTCTCTTGCGTGGTAGGATGTCCCTATGAGGGCCCGATCTCACCAAAGAAGGTGGCCGAGGTATCAAAGAAGCTGTATGAAATGGGATGCTATGAGATCTCATTGGGCGATACCATTGGAGTTGGCACACCTGGTACCTTCCAGGACCTGCTCGAGGCGGTCTCGCAGGGTGTGCCTGTAAAGGCTCTCGCTGTTCATTGCCACGATACCTATGGCCAGGCCCTCGCCAATATCCACTGTGCTCTTGATGTACGTGTTCAGTCTTTGGTTCATCTCTATTGCTATTATGTATCAATGCCCGAATTAATTCTAAAATGGACTTTTTTTTTATACCTTTTTCAATAGATGGGCGTTCGTGTGGTGGATAGTTCGATGGCAGGATTGGGTGGATGTCCCTATGCGCCTGGAGCGTCTGGAAATGTGGCGACGGAGGATGTGGTGTACATGTTGCAGGGCATGCAATACGAGACCGGAGTGGATTTGAAGAAGGCAATCGACACTGGAAACTGGATCGCGGAGCGTTTGGGGAAGGCAAATGGATCGAAGGCTGCGAGGGCGCTCACCTTGAAAGCTCTTTCGGCCGCGGCCGCTGCTTGTCCACCCACTCCCGAATCCCCCGTCAAGAGTAAACTGTAGAGACCTTGGTGGCGACGAACATCGTAGACGATTGCTATCTATACTGGAATAATACACCCTTCTCTTTTCTCTCCTCTTTCATTCGAAGATCATCAATGCATGTTGGTTCTTCATGAAAAACATCGGGGTTTTTTTATTATTATCTATTTTATCAATGATCCTGTCATTCTGTATCCATTGAAAAAATGTCCTCAGTGCTCGATCTCAATCTTGAACAACGCGGTAAAGAATGAAAGCTATACGAACTCCTCTGCGCGCTTCCTTCAAGGACGACGACCTTTGACGACGAGGACATCGTTCCAGATGGTCTTGCCGTTCCACTCACGATTCATCCCAAAAGAATGCTTGGCCTCGACATCGACCAGTCCGGCCTTCTTGAAGATCTCGACGAAACCCTCATTAGTGAATCCTGCCTTGTGTGGGACGAATTCCAGGGGTTTGCCGTCGGCGTCAACGTAATACGTGCTTGCATCCCTAGGTTTGCTCCCTGGTCCGTGGTGGTGCCCATGCTTCTCGTCGTCCGCATGGTGGCCATGTCCGTGATCATGGAATCCCGAGAAGTCCAGGACGATCAACCACCCGTCCTTCTTGAGGAGCTTTTGGGCCAGGGTGTTGGTGGTGCCTTGGAGGTCTTCGATATGGTGCATCACAAAGCTGGAATAGATCATGTCAAAGCCAGCATCAGGGCCAGTAAGGTACTGAAGGCGTTCGGATTCGGGGAGGGGATCGTCGTAGGTGATGAGGTGCTGAACTGTTTTGACCTTGTCTCGAATAGAGGCGTTTGAGGGGTTGGTGGTGAGTTTGTGGTTGAGATGATTCAACATCCCTTCGGAGGCATCGACGCCGACGAGATGGGCGACCATGGGGACGACATGGAATGCGCAAAGACCTGGAGTGTGGTCGTAGAAGGATGTGAGATGAAGTATTAGCTTTTATTTTATTTGTTTGCGGTCGTCGGTAGCGAATAGATGGTTGGACATAGACCCAGCCCCTTACCGGTGCCACATCCGAAATCGAGGACGGAGGCGTTCTTGACGTGGTCCTCGCTAGTGGAGAGAGCGAATTCTTGGACGACGGCCTCTGCAGCACGCTGGGCCATTTCCTCGGCCTGAGGGAATGTGTCGGCCTCGATTGCGGCCTTGTTGAAGTACTCGTTGTTTTTTTCTTGGACGTAGGAGATCATTGCGACTTGCTTGCGGTGGGTTTCTTGGGGAGGGCGTGCGGTTGATTGGTGTTGATGAATGAGTTTGATGGAGAAGAAGAAGAAAAAAAAAAGGAACAGGAGAAGATGGGTGAGCTTTTATAATGGAATGAGATGGAGATCGCTTAAGATTGGGTGTATTGCTATGCCTTGCTGTCTTGCCAGGTGATAGCAACCATCGCACGAAGGGCCGAGACTCGTTCTCCCAGAGGTTGTCAAAACAAAATGATGACTAACTTCTAAGGTACACACATGCAACACAGCTGCGCACCTCATGGAATAATCTGACATGACGTGGCATGGCATGATAGAAAGAATGCGCAGCCATACTATACATAGCCAGAGCACCAAGATTCCATTGGTGTTGTCAAAAAACCCAGGAGATGACAGACCGGTAAGGTACTCGCACATCAGTCTGTCAATCTATTCCGCAACGGAAATCCGTTTATCCGAATTGTCTTCTTTATTTGTCAAGCAATGTTTCGATTCCCCACCTCCCATCGGATTGTGTTATCACATCCACAAATCATTTGACTTTTGTTTTTTTGGTTATGCATGCACGAAAACAATTCACTTGCTTCATATTCAAATCAGAATGATAGTTAGAAACTTTATTTCTTTCCCTAATGTTCTTTCCAGTTTAATGCTTAGACGCAACAGCCAAGGGCCACTACAACATTGGTCCAGACACTGATTCTCGCTGCGGACATGGCATATGCATGTGGCTGTTACGCCTTTGTAAAAATAAAAAATAAAAAATGTTGACTGGGGGGTTTCCATGGAAATACAAAATACGGGATGCCATAGCATCGCATCGGATGATAGGCCATTAGAGTCGGGTTGCCCTCAGCACACCATACATTACAGGCGAGCATTTTGTCTTTCTTTTTTTTTTTTGTCTTTTTTTTTTTTTTATGTCCGCACCTTTATTGAATTGAACTGGCTTCTTTGCTAGCTCATAATATCATTCTAAATGGGTGGAGGACAGCCCGTCAGAAACAAATATTGAGGCATCAACGTGGACGCAAACATAACAGAGTATCTTTTGCTTTCGGCATCGCATCATTGACCAGTTGACAGCATGAATAGACATTTAACAAGGTGGCTGTTATTGTTATTTTATATTATTCATATGTATGCATATCCTATATCTTGTGTCTTACATCTTGCATCTTATGTCGAATGTCCTGTATCCTATGTAAACGAGGGTGAGCACGCGGCTCTTTAGGGACGACGACCCTTGACAACAAGGACATCGGTCCATATGTTTTTGCCGCTCCACTCACGATCCATTCCAAAGGAATGCTTGGCCTCCACATCAACCAGTCCAGCCTTCTTGAAGATCTCCATGAATCCCTCGGGTGTGAATCCTGCCTTGTGAGCGACGAATTCCAAGGGCTTGCCGTCTGCGTCGACGTAGTGTCCATGCATTTCTTCGACTTTGTTCTCAGATCCGTGGTGTTCATGGTGTCCATGGTGCTCATGCTGATCGTGATGTTCGTGTTTTTCACCCTCGGCGTGCTGGTGGCCATGACCATGACCGTGTCCATGATCGTGGGCTTTGCCGTCGCCGTGATGGTGGTTATGGAGGCCCTCAAAGTCCAAGACAATCAACCAGCCGTCTTTCTTGAGCAGCTTTTGTGCCAGGGCGTTGGTGATTCCTTGGACGTCTTCGATATGGTGCATCACGAAGCTAGAATAAACCATGTCGACGCCTCCGTCGGCTCCTGCGAGGTACTGGGACCGCTCGGGTTCTGGAAGAGGATCATCAAATGTGACGAGGTGTTGAACGGTCTTGACCTTGTCGCGGATGGAGGCGTTTTCGGCGTTGGTGGTGAGCTTGTGGTTCAGATAGTTGAGCATGCCCTCAGAGGCGTCGACGCCGAGAAGGCGACCGACTTTTGGAGCGACATTGAAGGCACAGAGTCCTAAAGACGAAATAAAGAGCGGTCGTTAGTGGGTATTTTTTTTTCTCACACTCTCGCTCTGATCTTTTCTTTCTCTGCGTGGTCACAGCGGATAGATGGACAATGAAGGAGAAGGAACTTACCGGTACCGCATCCGAAATCGATGACGGAGGCGCCCTTGACATAGTCCTCGTTGGTGGAGGCAATGTACTCTCGAATGACAACCTCGGCGGCGCGCTGGGTCATTTCCTTGACCTGAGGGATGTTATCATAGTCGGTAGCGGTCTTGTTGAAGTGCTCGTTGTTCTTGGATTGGATATCGGACATGGCTTGGGGGTCGTTCTCGAGGTGGTCCTTCTTGACAGGGTATGGCAGTAGAGGGAGGGTTTATGGGTGGGATTGGCGACTGTGGGGCTGTTGATGAAGAAGGAAGAAAATTGCCCGGTCTTTTTTTCCTTGCCCTCATAAATAGTTGTAGCATGATGCAGTCACACCCACATCCAAGAGTCCATGCTCGTGCTCTGTACGTACGCGCAATCCAAGCACAAACTCCACTCATCCAATGCCCGCAGTTTGTCAAATTTAGATGGTTTTCGAGTGTACAAATAAATACTTGATCGGTGTGGTGTGTGGACCCATACCTCCTTCTCACTCATTCTAAACTCCTAAAACCTTAAATATCTCAACCATCATGCTTAATAATCCTTTTGAACTCTCCACGTCTCCAGTACACTATACACCTGCCTGGTTTGCCTGTCCGATCTGCCACGGACAGAACTCGGTGCAATTATAATTGCGTCCCGCGCGTCACATCGAGTAGCTCCTTCGCTAGATATTGTCATGCGAGCTAGCTGTGCCACAATTGAGATATGTTGGGAATAATCAGATATATGAGGGTCCGAGAAGTTAGTGTGTCTCCACACATCACACCGATTGTGTGATTATTTTTATAAGATCCATAGATACACTTAGTTTATCAAAAGTACACTGGACTCTAATGAAATATACAGTCATCTACAAACTCTCAACTCTCTAGAACCCATCGGCTTTGTTACGACCATGGGTCCCTGTATCACAGGTTAAACTAGATGACGAAGTTCATCTTGGACGCATCTGGTCAATGTAAATTATTCATGTCGCCGTGGGTAATATAACAAATGTGACACCAAAAGTCAAAAGTCGCCGCTTCCTGTCGCCATCGATAATACGCCGACTTTACTTGGCGTCTTTGTTCATTCTTCCTTTGATCCTAAACTATTCGTTATCGACCCTGCATGCCTTGTAACATCTTCAGCATCATTTTGCTGTCTTTTGCCCGTGCCTTTTCCATCTCCTGCATCTCCTGCATCGCCTGCTTCAATATCTCTACATCCCTCGCTACTGATTTGGTCGTTTTGGCTGCTTCGATGTCAGCCGCCGACGACTCTACTTCTCTTTTGGGGAACCTTCTCAGCAACTCTGGTCGATTGTATTTATCGGCAAACAATCGAACTTGCTCCTCGGTAGCGGTGTAAAAAATATACCGAGGGAAATGATCGCGTTGGATTCTGTAGTTTGGAATGAAGTAGGAGAGGTTTTCAATCCTTGCAACAGCCTCAATACGGCTGCGCAGCCAGACAAGAAGTCCTTCAGCAGCACCGGCGGCATAGGCGGCGTTCATAAGCGCTACGGAAAGAAGCAAGCGTTTCGAAGTGTCAGAAATGGATATTTGACTATCAAATAGAATACACTTGAGATGCTATGAAAACACTTACCAATTACAACATTGAGCATCAAAATTGCCGTCGGAAAGACAAAAAGAGCGACCATAATTTGCACCGCCGCTTGCCCTTGGCCCATGCTGTCGGTTACAGCGTCGTATTTGCCGACAATAAAGAAATAGGTCGTTGTCACGGCATCAAAGTACTGGCTCGGAAACGCTGGTTTTGCTTCGGTGCATGATTCTGAGTAGTTGCCGTTGCTTGGTGTCGGGCAGATGGATTGGTAGTTCGTCTGAGTGAGATGAAGCAGCGAGTGCGCGAAAGCAAGCACAGAAACAGCCAGGATGAAGAAGAAGGAAGGCACGTGCACCATGATGCTGATAATGATGGTGACTACCTGACAGATGTTCATAAAAAAATGGTACACAAATGAGCGCCTCAGACTGATAGTTGCAATTCACAGATTGGAGTGATATAGCACAACTTACAAAGTGAATGTAGATCAGAATAATCGCAAAACTCAGCAGTCGGTTGCTGTTTGCCTCTCGAGGAATCGCTAGCTGAATAGTACTCACGATCATCGGGAGCAGGTACACAAACATGTCGAGAATGTTATAAAACGTAAGGTATCGTCTCCAGTTTCCACAGGCTTGCTTCAGTTCTAAATAAAAGAAGAGCGATCCCATAGCCAAGATGGCAATGAACTCGCCTCTCAGAGCATTGCCCGCTTTGTTGTAAACGAATTGACCATCATCGGAATAGTCGTCAGTGGGCAGATTGATTTAAGAGAACGACACTGTGAGGACCAGAATATAGTAGACGATTTGAAAGGTGAAGCGGAGAATCCAGAACACGCGGCCAAAACGGCTCCTAGTGTATAAAGTGAATGAATTAGGTCAGAGCAGAGCAAACATAGGACAAAGACACAACTTCTTCCCTACTTACCATTTGTATTCCATGATCGCCTGCAAAGCTGGGCTGTCGTACACTTCGAGCGGAAGAGAATGGCAAATCACTGTTGGAGCATGGCTGAAGTCGACCAAGTGCATTTTTGACCATCGCCCAATCCATGAGAGAAAAGAGATCTCGGCTGTATTTGGCAGTAGTGCCGCCTTGTCAATCGCTTGCACGCTGAATGCCAGCGAGATTGGGATCATGTAAAAATCGAGCTGGATTTGTTCGTTCAGGGTGTTATACTCTGGCTCCTTTGGGAAGCACCTGGGTTCCGGTGACAAACTCGAAGGTCCAAAGGTCAGGGGCAATTGAGATTGTACTTGGAAGATTGGATTGGCATACTCGTGCAACTCGTTCCTGAATTCCTGAAATCCTCCAAGGCTTGCGGAAACTCTCTTCCAAAGGGGCGATTGTGACCATGGAGGGTTGTTGAGAACGGCATCCTGCTTTAAATCGGTTCGGCGGTAGTCCGACGGCAAGAATACTGCTTGACGTGTGATCCATAAAGCCATGGAAGGGTCTTTCTTTGCAATGTGAGGTAGGCTTGTCAACAAAATATCAAGGTACCCCGAGTTACCAGCTCTTCTTGATGATGCCAACATGTACTCTGCAAGTGTCCGGATCATGGTTCGCTCTGAATTTTTTAATAAAATTCCGAAAATATTCTTCTCGGGATCCCTCGAAAACAGGCTTGCATGGGGAACCCAAGATCTTTTGGTGCCCTTCAGGATATTCTGAAGGAAAAACTCAAAAGCGTTAGCTTTACAGTGCAGAGAAATGACGCCAATGACGGAATTGTTGATCGAGTCGCTGTGGTCCGGATATCGATTGATGTGCCGCATCAGATAGTTGAAAGTAGCTGTATCCTCGCCATCTATGAAACTTTTGAGCAGACTTGGAATGAACTTGATGCATTTCAACGTTTCTTGGTCGCCAAAGTAGTACGATTGAGAGATGTCCAACGTAATGACCGGTCTCCGTTTATTCCGAGGCCACCTCAAGATCTTTCCATGATTACACAGCACCGGATACTCAATATCATCGTCCTTTGTCTTGTGGCAGCGCAGATTGACTTTCAGGGCCTTCAGCTCGTCTTTCTGGGCTTCCAGTTCGTCTTTCCGGGTCTTCAGCTCGTCTTTCCAGGCCTCCAGCTGCAGCATCAGCATACTGTGATCCACTATGGGCGCACCCTCCATGGTCTTGATCGCCTCCTCCACCGCCGCCTCGGTCTTCATCAACCACGATAGTAGATCATCGCTTGGCTCGAAGCTCAGCAGGGTGAATGACCCATCTCGCGATGATGGAACTTGCCAAAGACATACACCAGAGTCAAAGCAAACAGCGAATCGCTTCTTGCATCGAAGAACAGCCACCTCAGGGTTATGGAGGTCGAGAAATACTTGAGAGAACACCTTCTTCATCGCACCGTCCCCGTTGCGGCCACCGACGCCATCATATTCATAAATTCGCAAGAAAATCTGATGGCTGCTCAAGTTATCCAAGACGGAATTGTACCCCCATTCTGCACACCTGGCTTGGGATATCTGAACTTGAAACGGGGCTCGAACACTGCAGATCCAACAAACACGCCGCAGTCGAGGGCGACAATGCAGAGAATGAACAACCTTTTCCACATGGGCCGCGGTCGTCTGTTACATGGTCAGGTCGAGATATAATGTACTGCAAATGGTGTCGTTGGCTAACGAATACACGGTGAGAAGTTGTTCCACAGTCCGCAAACCCCAATCGAACAGAAATGCGCTCGACAAACCTTGTATCCCAGCATGTCATATGAGTTACGGCAATGCACATGTCCAGGTTTGCAATGTCCAGGATCTGGAGGGAAGGATCGATTACGGCAAAGGTTCGGCCACTATCCATGTAGTGCAATCCCCCGACCTTTCCATCCAGCTGCTTGTATCCAAGTTTCAATCCCGAATCAGTAAAGAATGTAACCAGAAAACGAAGCTCGGAAAACACAACGACGGAGCCATCTCTCGAGAAGCAAGCGTGCCGTCCGATTGGTTTATTATCAGCCTCAAGGTCGGCTGACCGAGTACGTAGGTATGATTGAAGACTGCCATTACGCCAGTTCCAAACCGAGGAGATGCCGCAACTGTTGTTCCAGAGACATAAAGAATCGTGCATAGACTCCATGAGCATCTTGCACGCATCTCGACGAGAAACATGGACTGCAACATAATTAGGTGGTGTGCTCCTGACTGAGATTTCCTGAAGGCTAAGGGAGTAGAGGCATGAATCCGAGCGGTTGGGTGCCTGAAGGTCGTACACGGCTATTGAGAGACCATCGCAGGCAACAAAGACATGTTCTTGATCGGTAGTAGAGATAGACAGTCCAGGAGCCTTACACTGAAGGCGAGCAAAACCGATAAATGTTTCGAGTTCCGGTGCCAAGTTGACCTTGAAATCCTTAATTACAGCAGCCTCCTTGTTTTCCACCGGTATGAAAGTAGTGTTGTATTTGAAGAAGCGGCAAGAAAAGTTTCCTCTTCTCAATTCTGTCTCGGCTTTCCATTTCTCTTGATCGGTTGGAATCTCGAACACTGCTAGAATGGATCCGTCGCTCGAAATGGTCAAATCCAGCAAGGTGTCGTTCGAATATGTTGTAATAGGGAAGGCGTTCCTTGCTTTTGGGGGAATTTTTTCAAAGGCCACATCTTTTGTTGCAGTATCAGTCAAATCCCAGATGTGAAGAGTGAGCTGGTGGTGACCGACAGTCAATCCGGCTGCAAATCGCTCATCTGCAGAGATAACGATTTTGGATGGTGTTGAGCTATGTCTTATGTTCTGCCTATCCGTGCCGTGAATGTCGGCGATGCTTGCGCCCGATGTAGACATATCCGGTGAGGAGGAGGAGGAAGAGAATTTGGATTGTGAATTGTGAAAGAAGAAGCGAATCCAGAAAGATCACGATATAAAGAGACAGGAAAACCCCCTCGCCATATTGGCGAAGGGAATGTATCAAGAGATGAGTGAGATATACCGTGAGCTCCTGCGGGACAACAACAGCTAATGTTGCGAAGTAACCTCCCAGTCCTTGGTGGTGAGGGAACAAATTCATTGCATGTAAATGAGTCTCCGCGGGATAACAGCGACTATTATTGCACAAAAGATGGCGAAGCAATCTCATCATCCTTGTCGAAGGAATAACTGAGGTACAGTATCTCTCCTGGATCTGGAGAGGTACCTATTATGATCATTGGAGAGGTACCTATTATGATCATTGGAGAGGTGATCGACCGCCATAGAACGGTAACTGTCACGGCGAATACCGGTTCTGTATCTATCGTCATTGGTGTATTTGACGCGTATCAACATTATGACATTTTTTGTGTTAAGGAGGGTCGACTGTACAGCGATGCTTTATTTAAAAATAAAAAAATAAACAATAAAAGCTAAGCACGACGACCGATGACAACGAGCATATCAATCCAGACCTGCTTCTCATTGCGGGTATGGTTCATTCCAAACACATGCTTGGCCTCAACGTCGACCAGCCCAGCCTTCTTGAAGATCTCAGCAAAGCCCTCGAGTGTGAATCCAGCCTTGTGGGGCACCATCTCTGAAGCCTTGCCGTCAGCGCCCAAGAAGAACTCATGCACATGCTCCTCCATCTTCTTTTCGCCCTTGTTGTGTTCGCCGTGCTGATGCTGCTGTTGATGATGATGGTGGTGATGGTGTTCGCCATGTTGGTGAGCATAGTCTTCAGCTTTATCATGCTGACCGTGATGATGGTGCGAACCCATGAAGTCTAGGATGATCAACCACCCGTCCTTCTTGAGCAACTTCTTCGCGAGTACATCCACAGTACCCTGGAGATCCTCGATATGGTGCAGCACATAGCTCGAGTAAACCATGTTAAATCCGGCATCGGGGCCGGAGAGGTATTGAGAGAGTTCAGGTTCGGGGAGAGGGGAATCCAGCTTGACGAGGTGCTGGACGGTCTTGATCTTGTCGCGGATGGAGACGTTGGCGGCGTTCGTATTGAGTTTGTAGTTCAGGTGATCGATCATCCCTTGAGAGGCATCTACACCGAGGAGACGCTGGACGCTTGGAGCGACCTTGAACGCACACAAGCCTGGATATGAGTGTAGTAGGCAAGGAGTGTTAGTAAGGTCTCGCCTACTTTTTATTTTATTTTATTTTTTTGAAAAAATAAGAATAAAGATTGTTTACCAGTGCCGCATCCGAATTCAAGCACGGATGCATTCTTGACGTGCTCCTCGCTAGTCGAGGCCGTGAACTCTCGAATGATAACTTCGGCAGCGCGCTGGGTCATCTCTTCGGCCTGAGGATACGCGTCGTAGTCCTTGGCGGTCTTGTTGAAGTGGTCGTTGTTGAGGGCCTGGATGTCGGACATGGTTCTGTTAGGTTGGCTTTGCTTGGAGTGTGTGTAGGACTTTGTGGGGGGTTTCTTGAAGACTGGATGGGGATTAGTAATATCGATGGCTCCGACTTTTATACCTTTTTTTTTTTATCAAAAATGTAGCTGGAAGGGCCTTCTTGATTAAAGTCAGATACCATCACGGAATTGAAATGGAGTTCGGATAAGGCGTTTTGATTTGCGATCGTATTCCTATCCACTATTCTTTGCAATATGGTCCACTGCGCAGCGAGAAAAGAGCAGCTCCTCCTCCGTAGAAAAGAAGAACAGCCAAGGTGAGGGATTAATATCATTGGACGCCTAGGGAGGTTGTCATCGAGAATGACTAACTTTTGAGGTACACGCCATAGGCTCTTCGCCTGTCTGTCAACCTTACTTTTGACAGCTTTGTCTCCGCTCTCCTCCGCAGCTCTTTATGCGTGCTCATCATCCGACCTGTAATTTGCGGACGAAAACAACAACAACAACAACACATTGCAACTCGCAGCTCTTTGGACAATACTTGGGTCCACAAGCACCTGTTTGAATAGCTCCCTTGGCGCACTTCATATTGAAAACAGATGGTGCATTGGCGGTGATGGGTCCAGACCATGCCTCACCTTCCAAGAGATGGGGTCCCGGTTCAACGCTTTAGCAGGTGGCCTCTTGCCTTGATCCTCTTATCGCTTGTGCATACATAACAATTACTTCAGTTTTGCTTGACACATGCTCTGGGTCGATCATCTCTTGCTGCCTGTTGGGATTCAAGTCTGAATACGCTATACGCGCAATCTGTTGTCCTGTGTTTTTACCAGGGACAAATTCTAGAAAAGTATGCAGCGCGTGTGCTCTAAATGGCGGCTGCAGCAAAATAAAAGATGATCTGCAAACACATACATACACATATATAATAATAATTTAAAAAGGACGAGATTTATAATTATATTGGAAACAACAGCTACAAAAAATATAGAAAACTACACTCTTTGCTATGATAGGAGCCAGTGCCTTCGTTCCCTACGTATAGATAGTGCGTGTGTTAATAATGATATGCGGCATAAACAGAATAAAAAGAGTACCTTTCCTACTTGATCCACCTGCATCTCGGAAAAGGAGGATGAGTCGAGCATCCATACCACTATTCTACATCGACACCTTCCTTTTCAAGACACCGCGCGCAAAGATCCAGACAGCTGGGCTTATGTCGCTCTCCGATACTTTTTATAAAGTAAATATCGAAAGGCTGGGCCAGGACCGGGATGCGACGAGTGTGAGAGAGTTGAATCTAGAGGAAATAAATGCAAAGAAGGAAACACAAAGTAGGAAAAATAAAGAGGGAAACACAAAGAAGAGTAGGGTGGTTGCTGTTTGGAGCTTAAAGAACAATAGAAAGAGAAGAAAAAAAAGCAGAAGATCGGTTATTTTCGTCGTGAGTCGTCTGATAGCCCTTGCTCGTTTTCCCTTCCCCTCTTTTTCTCTTGTATCTGGGCTTCATCTCCATGAGCGAATAAAAAAATGGGTATCATCTGGCCATTACTGCTCTGCTCGACGGCAGAAGCAGCTAGTTCTTCTTGGGTGGCGGAGAGGGCGAGGAAGAAGAATAAGAGGTGGTGCTGGTGGTAGAGAACGAGGTGATAGAGGCCGGTCGAGGAGTGCTCCTAGATGAGCGCTGCACACCCTCGTCAATCAGGGTCGGAACAGAACTCGAGGGATTCCTGGTGAGCGGCATCAGGCTGTCCAGGAGCTGGATACGATTGGTTGGTCTTGATGTATCAGAGAGAGGTCGAGAGTAGGCGACGTTGCGGAGCTGGATGATTCTTGTGGATGGGTCGGCAACGATGTCCTCTTCGATGTGGATGTAGCCTTGGTTCTGTTGCTGCGACATTGTGGATAGGGGATGCTTGGGACGAAAGTAGGATGGCTCGTGTGGATGCGCTCGAGTGCTGTAGTCGGATCGGGAGATGCTGAACTTGGCTCGTGCTTGGGGTTGCTAGGGCTTACTGTGGTTTGGAATGTATTGTGTGAACACCGATTTCCTCTGTCTTTTTATGCCTTTCTTCATCCTCTCACGCTAATGAACAAACAAACAACCTGCACTCATCCTGACTCAATGGCGAACTCCGAGCGCCAGTAGCCGATCGTGCCTGTACTACCGCAACCACAGTGACCGTAATTTATAATAGAAACAGTGGAATGAGCTGTTGTCACTGTTCTTGCTGCTCTCTCTTCTTCGGAATCGGAATTTTTGACTGCGGCGACCTTAAATCTTTCCCGCGGTTTGCGCGACCGTTAACGCTGCTCTGAGAATACAATCTGCGCAGCAGAAGCAGAGCATCAGTTTTCGCAAATGACTTTTGTTGCAAGGATATCATCACTTGGCTGGCAGACTTCTTCCTCTCTATCTTGCTCATGCATTGTACTTTTTTGTTTGACATTGTATCTGGCGGAGAGGAAGCGCATCGTGAGAACAGGAGTCGATGAATCAAAGGAGCATATGCTTTTTTTACTTGAACTATACCCTCGTACTTTTCTCGCGTTCATACTTCAAGGTGAAACGATAACCCGCGCACCTGTTGTATTTGTAGGCGAACTATGCTCTGTTGTCGTTTAACTCGCACGCATGGTATGCATAAGTATCTTTTTTTTTTTATTGGAAGAATCTACACTACGCTTCTGTATTATGCCATGGAGAATTATGTATTCACGTTCTCACAACCTGTGTAACAGCATGCTTCTAGACGTAGACTCATAGCCATCATCAATTAATATTTCGTCCACACTTTTCATAAAACCTAGATATCCTGACCTTGACCTTTTGCAGTAGACCTATTTCCTCATGTATGTCACCTGCGCCTAGTCTAGTGTATTTATGACCTTGTGCATACTTTAGGACAATCGTATAATGCCGTGTCTGCCTTGTCCATGTACGAATCTCGATGTGCTTCAGATATAAATCACCAATACTCTTGGGCTTTTCTTTTTGTTGGGGTCCTATGAGCAGCTTGGATTTTAATGGAGCGCTCGACGCGTGGTGGAGGTGTGCTAGGGGTGCCAGTGAACAGTTTTCGCGCGTCTTGAGCTGGGGTGCTTCTCCTGATCGATTGCACAATGTCCTTCTTTACAATTAGCGGAAATTCGGGAATAGTCACGTTGTGACCAAAGTCAATGGCAGATGACGCGAGTGTGATGGGCTGGCGGCGACGAAGGACGGTCATGGCTCCCCCAATACTACTAAGAAGGTGGAGCTGGATGATAGGACCTGATGGACACCGTCAGCATCAATGCATTTAAAAAAATTATGTGGAGCTACAGCACAATACGTATAATCTAACCTCTGAAAATGAATCCGGAAATGTTAAGGATTAGTGTCCGCCGTTGATCCGTCTCTGCCGCACGGGAACGCAGGATATCGTGAAGTTGGCGGCCAATCTTCCATGCGGACTCCTTCTTGTATTTGTGACCATCAGGGTCCCAATACTTAACTCCCTCAATACTTAGCCAATCTGCCTTCTGAGGTCCAAATTCTCTCAAGTAACCATCGCTTTTGGAGCCACCAATCTTCTTGCCACTCCTCTTCTTCTGCTGGTTCCTCCGCTTTGTACTCTCAATTCTCCAAATTTCGCCCCCAACCGGAATAAAATTAGGCAGGTCGTAAAACAAACAGTCCAGGACGCTCCATACGTTGCTTCTCTAGACTAGAAGTATTCTAGAAGGCCGCCCACTGTGAAGACATTTGGTTGAATGTGATAGAGGTCGACCCTTAGTTTAGGAGAATGACAGGGTATTAGTAGTATATTAAAAAATAAAATAGAAAAATAGAAGCGTACCACTCTGAAATCGAGTCTAGGATCTATTTTAAATCAAAATCCTTTGAGTGGACATACGTAGAACCAAGGCGCGTGTGGCGGTCTTGAAGTTTCTCCATGATATCCGCCGTGGATGCTAATCCCTGGAACTTACCCAACATATTTGTCACGTCGTTTGTCCTCCAAGATAGTCTCCTTGGTCTTCTCTTTGACTATGAACGCCCAGTCCATAGGCTCAAAGATAGAACGCACACTTTGGTCATCCACATCAATGATGAACGAATGGATGAGACTAAAAAGGGCGGAGGAAAAAAGGCAATCATGAGATGAGCATATCTTGACAATTTAAAATCATGTGTGTCAGTCATTGAGCAGAAATAGCATACTGGTGCCTCTTCTTGGCCATCCCTGTCTGGAATAAAATGTCTTCCAATACCTTTCCACTTGGCAGCGAAACTTCTGTTGGGTATTTGGATATTGAGGTATTGAGGTATTTTTCTGTGAAGAGGTGGCAATCATCACCTGTGAATGCTGCGAGCCGCAATCAAGAAAACAAAAAAGTACATACCACACCATCTTCCTCCTCTTCCTTAAATTGCTTAGAGCTGTCCGAGTCCTTGGCTGTCTCATCCAGCATCGCCTGATTTTTAGCTATAGTATCCGAAGCATCAAGTCCCTTTTGGCTGACTTTATTCTCGCTATCGTCTTTGCTATGTCGCTCGAATTGCTCTAATATAGATAGAATAGCCTCCTAGCTATTAGTTCCGTTAACATATATAATGAACTAATACAACATGAATTATCCATACACCCACGCTTGTCCAAACTATGGCAGAGGTTCTTGTAGGAATGTTGTAGGATTCGAGCTTGGTGCAATTGGACTGACCGAGCGATAGTCTTTTGTGAATGAGTAATGGCTTCCTGCTGCCGCCAGAACTCTTCTATCTCTTTCCGATACGCCCTTGTTTTCCATCGTTTGAGGAGTACCATGCCCATCTGATGCAGTCCGGGGTGCAAATTGGCAATTATTCGTGGAATGATTGTTTTTGACCAGATGCTGTGTGCTTTCTGCTTGCTCTCAAGACCGCGGAAGTACTCCCGAGCATCATAACTTTCAGGTGCATTAGATGTAAAATACCGCGCGTTTTCCGCACCCTTCACTATATTCCTTACTGCGACATTCATTTTCATAGTAGCAATACGAATGGAATATATCGTGTGGGCGAGAACCAAGGGCAAGTGAAGAGTAATTGTGAACGATGAATACCTAAAAAAACCGTCAAAATTAAGGTGATATTATTTTCGCGTTTTCTGCTTTCAAATGTTTAACTAACTGATGGATTAGACGGAAGACAGCGGCACACAAAAAAACATTGCTATTAGATATATACTATGATCAACCAAATAGACCAAACTGCTGAAAGCTACCCCACGTGAGATAAGACCACTTTGCTAGGGCGCGCCAAATCATTTATACTTCCAGAAGGCCGTAAAAGCACCTGCGCGAATCTCTCACAGATAGCGAGTCGCGGAGCCAGGTTGATGGGTGGCGCAAGATAAGAGCTTGCCAGAGCCGCATTTGCCTCGACGGGCATCATATCAAATCCCAACGCACTGAAGTAATGGGCAGGTTTGGAAGTAAGCACAATAAGAATGAGGGAGGGAGTGAGAGGTAGAGGATAGAGGTAAAGGTCTCGACTTCCTAATCCCTGGCTGTGGCTTTCGGATGAAGATACTACACCTTTGGCACCAGACATCATCTGGCACTTCTTAGTCAAAACAGATGCGGCTAATCTAGCCGTTCTGGCGACCGCCGTAAGCATGAGCCCGACAGTGCAATCCTTGACCGTAATTGTGGGCTGCCTCACACCCGAAATGAATGATGGAAAACAGGAATGCAGAAAAAGAAGGACTTGACTTCCCTAAGCGCGTCAAGGACACCAGTTCCCATCTAAGGATTCCGGCCGATTCACTTGCTCCAATGCAGCTAAAAGCAGCGTACATTCCAGTGGACAAGACACCATTCATCTTTTCCAGTGTGTAACAGTGAGATGGAAAAAATTATTTGAGTCCTCGCTATCCCTTGTCCTGAATTCACGTAATTACTTTATCCAAATAAAAAGGAGCCTGATAATTTTACATATGGTAATTGCTATAAGTTTATAAATTTATAAATATATTTTGGTCAAGTGAGGCAGTGGTTTATTCGTAAGTACTGAAGTTTCAGAAACACTGCTGCTGAATATAGTGCATGTTATAAACCAGCATAAGTAGACATCGGAGGATCATATCACTGTGAAACCAGCTGTGGGAACATGCGGTAGGTCTGAGGGATGGGCGCGCGGACGCAGGCATGGTCGTATGAGGACTTGTGTGTTCTCTTGCACTCCTCCTCCTCTTCGAGGCACAGAAAACAAAACGTGAATTTGCATACTGTGCAGGCGTGGTACTTGCATTTGCCATCATACGAGCCGAAGTTGAAACACCGGGGACATGTACGTCGACTCGGGATCTCCATGTCTTTCTTGTAGTGGAAGGGTACAAGTTGGAAAGAGAGCATGGTCTCGTAGACACATTCCTTGCCACATGTGTTCTGGCTGTTGCGCATTGTCATGGCATTCCAGTTGCGGTTGCAGAAGAAACAGAACACGCGGAGACACTTGGCGCACGTCTGACACGACCACATGGTTTCGTTGTGCATAAGCGCATTGCAGTCGAGGCAGCGCTGGCAATCCATGTTCCGCAGTAGCTGCTTTTCATCCTCGAGAGCCTCTACAGTTGCAATATATTCTGGTGTCTTGAAGATGTCTTTAAGCATAATTGCTTTGGAGCACAATATGCAAGACACCTTGAACTGCTTGCCCAGTAGCCAGCTCTTGAAGTCCTCTCTGCACATCCATGCGCAGCACACTCTAAGACAGTCCGTGTCAGTGTCAAAGCATATCGAACAATCGGTAGAATGTGTGGCCACTTTGTCTAGCTCGTCCTCAAGCTGCTGCTCAACAATGATCTGAAGCGTGTCCGGAAAAGTAGATCCTCCAAGTAGACGACCCATCACAAAGATGATGCAATCTTTAGTGATGTACTGCCTGTGCCTATCAAACTCACTTGCATGCTTCACATCGAGAGGTTTGCCGCCGACTGCGTATCGCCAGCTTAGAATCTCGTGACGGCTGGTGGACCCCAACACATCGCCCGCAGTCTTGATGAAATCGTCTAGTGTAAGCGTGTCGAGGAGCTGTCTAGAAACAAGGCGCTCATTGGAGGTTCGGAAAAAGACTTGCATCGTGCGTTTGGATACTCGACTTGTGGGCAAGAAAGGAAGTGTGTTAGGTGGACAGGAAAATAGAAGATTACAATACAGGGCGGCTTTAGTTTTTGGAGAAGAAAGATGGAGAACAAGGAGAGCAGGAGTATCAACGCCATCAATACTGTTGTAGCACTTTTATTATGCGAGACAAGGCAAGAGGTCTATGTCAATCCTACCGTCCACTGCAAATATCATCTTGACGCGTTATATCGCGCCTAGATTTGAAGGGTTAGCTGTGCTCTCAATTCCTCATATGGAGATTTTCATTGTGGCTGGTGCTCGTGTGAACACATTAGTTAGGCCACAGGCTCGATTTTCAAGCTAAACGAGTTACATGGACTTCCTACGGGAATTGACTTGCATGCTCAACATGGAAAATGTATTTCCGGATGGGGACAATCTATTTGACAACCCGGATTGTCACTGATATTTGGCAACCCCTATACTAACTCCATGTAAGGCCAACATTTTTTAAATGTCGATTATGCCAGTAGTCCTTATGGTACCTGGCCCCGGCTCTTTAAGCTAGATCGTCATCTGTCTCTTAAAGGATTCCACAATGTAACTGATTTCCCATTCGTCATCGCTGAGTCCGTCATCGATAAAATCCTGTTTTCCGTCATGAAGAAGGCTTCTCCCAAGGTCGCAAAAGGTTGCATGGGGTGCCAGGTGGAGGAAGGAATGGTTCTCAACCTCTCGCCGCGTTGTTTCGACTTGAAATTCGCAAAAGATACGAGTCTTGTTTTACATGGGATTTGTGCAGGGGCTGCCAAATAAGAGTGGCAACCCGGGTTGTCAAAAAGATTATTCCTTCCGGATGGGTTGTCAAATAAGACTGACAATGCCCAGTAGATGATTCCCAGAAAAAAGTCTTGAGCTAAAAATAAAATATGAAAGTGCCGGGACTCGAACCCGGTTCTCAGGCTTGGAAGGCCGGAATGATACCCATATACTACACTTTCTTCTTATTTGAAGATGATAAGAATTTAATCCTATATGGAAACATATAGTATTTAAGGTTTAATACTTTCAAACTTAATTCTTTATTTTTTTGGGGGGTGCCAAACCGTGTGGTGCGTTACTCGCTCAGGGATTATTCACTAGCCCTAACGATTGTCAGCGTCGTGCGCACAGGATCAAGAAGCTGCACGGAATGTTGCCGACGCTGGCGTACATGAAGCAGTGCCGGCCGGATTTGTATATCACAGACACCTGCAGACTTTGTGAGGTGGATAAAGAGGACACGCAGCATCTATGGCGCTGCGAAATGACGATGCAGCAGCAGCAGGACGGTTGGCAGGAAGCAATCGAGAAGATCAACACAGATGGACGTAGAGCATGGAATAAAGAGCGCAAGCTGTGGGAGACGAAGCAAAAGCAAGCCAAGGAGCGAGGACAAGCCGCGAGAGGACAGGGACCAAGCTTCACACAGGTGACAGACAAGGCCATTTGGACAGCACTCAAGAACAAGATCAAGGGAGCTTCGGCAATCCGGCAAGCAAGCAACACACTCGGCCGTGTGGAGGACGAGACAAGGGACAACGATCAAGGGACCTGGACGGCTCAAGATTTGTACCACGGACTGACACCAACGGCTCTCGCCAAGGACTGGGAGAGCCTATTCAAGACGACCACCTCGATCGCGAGGTACATGGTCGGTCGATTCGTCAAGGCCATCGAGGAATTCGGACGGACAGAAATCTGGAACAAAAGATGCAAAGTCACCGTCGACTGGGAAAGAGAAAATGGGATCACTACCATGAGCAAACGCGCCCGGGGACGCAACTGTGTTGGAGAGCACAGACGTAGTGGTAGTGGTTTTGTTGGATCCTCCAGGAGACAACGACGTGCATTGGATGTGAAAGAGATCGAGGAACGAGCGGACAAGCGAGTGCTGCAAAGCTGCATGCAGCAGGTGGAGCTAAACGTGATGGAACGCACCGGCAACTGTAAATTTTTGATGATTGAGGAACGCGGCTAAAGGATGACCTTCGCGCACAACAGGCCAAGTAGGGAGCAGGGCTCAGTCACCGACCCCAGGCGGGGTCGAGTTACCACTCATGCTGACTGGGATTGTGAAGGGGATTGGAGCTGCGAGTGACCAGCAGCGGTGCGGCAAAAGCCGTTTATTAGAATATTGAGCACCCTTTACTATGCCTCTAGCAATAGGGTTCCCTAGTCTAGAGTCCCTCACTAATAAATCCCACATATCCTCGTGGGTTCTAGTTATCAAAAAAAAAAAAAAAAAAAAAAAAAAAAAATGGTGCGTTACTCGCTCAATTTGGGACACCAACGTAGTGTTGGTGATTTCTCTGATTTGAAAGGGAGACGGCTGCTTGCTGCGGAGATCCAGGAAGGTAGACGGATCGCGGATTATAGGGTGCTGCAGCATTGTTTGGGGCGAGGGAAGTTGGACGTAATGGAGGGGTTATTCGGTTTAAAAACAACTTTATTAACATTGGATCTGGATTAGGAGACGTGTATCGCGCAACAGGTCACGTAGGAGTTAGGTTAGGCTAGCTATGCGACATGGGTTATGAATTTGACACCTCAAGCCAACATAGTTGGTAGGGGATGCGGCTCTGCCGTGCATGGAAGGCATCTATGGCTTCAAGGCCTTTGCGGACCATGCGTTGCGTGCTCATGGGGATTTATGTTAATAAAAAAAAAAAAAAAAAAGCGTTACTCGCTGACCATGCAAACGGGGGCTACCCTGGCTCCGCGCTGAATCCTGATGCTGCGGGCCAGACGTTACTGGACTACCTGGAAGGGAGGAAGTGGTTGACAGCCATGGGGGGGATGAGGAATATACCCTTTTTATAACGCGTAGTCTAACACACTGATGAGGTGTGGCAATTGTTGCACAGGCCCTAGGGACAGGCCCGAGAAATGTGGCCTGTCAACTGGCGACTATGGATCGGCTCTACTTTGGTGAAAAGGACAACTGTAGTAGATCATTGCTAGTGAGGTCAGATAGATTTGCAGGGTCCATCGACTCGAAAGACAAATTATAAAAAAAGTTTGATCTGTCACTCCTGGAGCACCTAATACTCTTCAACTGTGCTTGGCCCTTCCGTTTTTCAATTTACCCAGAGTATTCATCCTCGATATCTCCAGTCCACTAGCGTAAAGAGAGGTGTTTCAAAAGTCAAAGGATACTGAAAAATCGCTGTCATCGCTTAACAACATGTAAGATTTTTATTTATCAGGCACTGAACATGGACACTCATTGTTCTACATCGATATCGCTCATTTGATCACGGCTTAAAGAGCTGCACGAGGAACAGGGATCTTGACGACCAAAGCATCGCGAACAGCATGAATCTGCTCCATGGTCATATTCAGCTCGCTCATCAGAAAATCATGGATGGTGCCGTACTTAGCATGGAATCGTTCAAGAAATCGGAACATATATTCAGCCCTAAAAAAAAAAAAAGTCAACATCTGAGCATCATCTTGTGGCAAATTTAGCGCTATAATATCCTTCCCTCTCTTACTTTGCTGAAAGGAGACCACGGACACGATCTTCTGTAGCACCCTCACCCAGAGCAGCACGCACATGTTTAACATCGTCTTCCTTGACTAGGTGGTGATGTGATGTACAAAAAAAAAAAAAAAAAGCGCAATAAGTTTACAGCTGGATTAACTAGGTCAATTTGTGCCCAACATCTTCGACTTGTTGCTTACTGGCTTGACAAAGATGGGTTAGCTCGTACTCCCATGCAATCAACTCCTCATCCACACCGCAAATCATCTGCAGCATCGCACAGACCACGCCTGTCCTGTCCTTTCCACCGGTGCAGTGAACAACAAACGGGGTTCGCTTGTTCACGATGTGCTCGAGGATAGGTGGGAAGAACCGACGGACATTGGGCAGCATGGTCATGTAGGCTTCTGAGAAGCCGTCAGTTCCTCCCATATACATGCCAAATCGAATAGCGATCTTGTCCGGGGAGTAGTCTTCTTCAGAAAAGACTGGGATGTGGTGTCGCTTGATCTTGTCTGTCTGACTGCATAGTTATGGGAAAACAAATAAAAAAAAGGGAAAGAAGGGTTCAGAAGCGGGATTATGGTATGCCACTGCACACTGTACTCTACACGCTAAAAAGAATCGTACAACGTGGGCCTGCGCTCAGCCTCGGGAGTGGATCTCAGATCATAAACATCCGTAATATTCAAAGCCTCAAGGACGGCAATTCCTTCCGGAGTGGGGCCCGAAATGCTATCAAAAAAAAAAATTGCATTGTTAATCAATGACAACAATTGCGAAAAAAGCAATTAGCTTCTATGATCACATACTCTGCACAGCGATAGATGAGTCCAGGACGCATGTAGTTGAGAGTATGGTCGGTCGTCGAAGGGATCCAGATATCACCGACGGTTCTAAAGTTAAGTACTCCGCCAACAGCATTGACCCAGGTCTTCCAGCTCGGTCGAACGCGACGGAGCCACTCTTCCTTTCGGCCTTCCGCAGAAAAGTACCGCGCAATAGTTTCTGAAAGCTCTTGCGTGTGTCTCCTGTAGTTGTGGTCAGCGTTTGTGATAATGCGTAATGATGTTCTAGCATGCGATAGCAGACCATGTAGAGTGGCAATATCTTTGACCGGGACAACCTACATATAACACGCGTAAATGAATTATAAATAGAGGAGCTGATGTTCAATTCGGTAGTTCCTTAGCAGGGCGTAGGATGGTCTAGCATTTCGTAAAAAACACATACGGCATCCTCGGATCCATGGCAGAGCAAAATGTTGGTCATGGAAGGAATGTTGGCCACTATTCAAGAACGCACAGACACATGAATTTATACTTTAGTGCACACAAGGCTCAAGAACATTTTGCAGTTAAAAATTGGTTCCTGAATCCGTACCAGCAGCTGTGTTGAACTGGATGAAATCATCAAAGTTCTTCTTGGTTACGCGGATAGACACATCTTTTCCTGCAGCCCTCGCCTCCCAGTCGAAGTGACCCTGCAGTCAAGTGAAGGGTGTAGCATGGTGGTCAGTATCCTTGGAAAACAGCAAAAAAGAAATTCAGCATCGACGACGATGTCTTCTATTGAGATACCTGCTCCTCAAGAAGTGTCAGGATTTGCTGGCCGTGCCTGCGTCTAACATCTGTCATATCAAAACGCGTGCTGATACTGATTATGTAGGGAATCAGCGGGACATGGTTCGATACAGCCGCGTAGTTGAGACTCGAGATGGCGCCTGTAAAGCATGGAAAAAAAAAAAAAAAAAAAAAAAAAAAGAAGTCAACGACCACTTCACCAACTCAATATCATTTAGCAGATTCCAATTTCAAGTTGCTCACCGCGAGAGTGGCCGATCAAGGCATAAATATGGTAGCCCTGCTGCTCAAAGTACTTGACAACTGAATCAATGTCGTTGTAGTCATCGTCCCAGTTGGAGTAACCCATTTGTCCTTCGCTGTCGGCATTCCCTCTAATTGCTTAATCAAAAATGTTTGATTGCTAACTTTCTTGTGCCCAGCAAAACAACATGGGTAGTGTAGGTGAGAAACGCAATTCGTACCTGAAATCGAAGCGGAATGTGTCCATGTAAGGGGCTAACATATTGGCGAGCATTGGCTGGAAGAGATAATTCTTGTGCCCTGAAAAGACAAAAAAAAAAACTCGTCAATCAATACACGCACGAAGGCGATCAGTGACAGAGAGCGGGCGAACAGACGGCCGTGAGCAATACAATACCAAGGACTCCGTGACAAATGATTCCAAGTCTGCGAGAGCTATGGTTGGTGGACTGCAGGACGCCTGACAACTGCAGAGGAGCATCCTGCGTTTTGATTTTGATAGTTGTCAGCGACCCGATGGTTGGACCTGGATCAACCCTACGTGAGCCTTCCTTGGCCATTATATCTTTACGGAGTTAAGGATGGCAACAAAAAGCGAGAGAGGAGTGAGCGTAGTCGGATGAGGAAAGTGAATGAATGGCAGGTGGGGAAGATGAGGAATGGAGAAGGAGGCACGAACGAATGGGGATACTCTCGGTCGGGAGAACTCCAGCCGAGGCCAGGACAAATTCAATTTTGAGTTTTCTGTGCATTGTACCTGCCGATCAGACATCTCGCCCGTACCTGTCGCTTATCGTCTATCGCCTTTAAGCAAATGCCAGGATACAAAGATACTCCCCCATCCCCTCAATGACTCTCAACTTCCTCCTCACTTGCAATCAGTCCAGCAGCGTCCGATCCGCTGCATGAGGGTCCAGCACGGGGCCAGGGTAGCTCCCGTTTGTATGATCGGCGAGCAACGCACCACACGGACAGTGGTCAGCGTCGCAAATGTATCCGTTGCCCTCACTTCAGTCTCCTCGTGGGCCCTTGTATGGTACGCGCTTCATCTTGGCTGTGATGCCCGCTCCCTTTCCCGAGCAATGGTCGCGTTGCAGTGTGGTTTCTAGATCAGATATACTTTTTGGGGCCCCAAACCCATGAAAAAAAAAAAGCACCGAGCGATCTGGTCACGTGAATCACGTGATGCAGGAGACTATGGATCGTTATATATAATAATATAATAAGAATTATTGTAATACGAAATCATCGAGATCCGAAAATAGCTCAGTTGGTAGAGCGGGAGACTGTAGTTTGTCTGTCATCTCTAGGTCCCTGGTTCAAATCCGGGTTTTCGGATATCTTTTGTAAAAATGAGGTTTTTTTTTTTTTTTTTTTTTTTTTTTCTGAAAACTAGACCGTCATTGCTGCTCCCATTAGCTACTACTAACAACCTCTGCAATTCCGTTCTTATCCACTCCTCTCGAGTCATTTTTTCTATTTTCAACACGGCTTCCCCGCCGGCCTCTACATAGTATAACAAGAATATGAACACACGATGAGCGGACGACGAGAAAAGGGGTCGAAAGAACGACTTCGCCCAAAATAAAGCACCATCATCTCGGCGATGGCCCCTTTAGCTAATAATGTGCGCGGAATGCAATCTTGAGTCTGATGAAGCAGTCTTCAATTTCTGTCACACGTAAAAGGCGCGAGCATAGCTCTTTCTAGAGAAAAAGGTGCGAGAGAGAACTAGTAATTATGCAGTCAATAATGAACCTTTTAAGGATGTGATTACGCGAGGACGTTCCCATTTGGCCACAGTATTATTTTTCTCGAAGAAAACTGACATTAATGTCCTCGTTGGCTTCTCCTGACAATGTGCGCGCCATGCAGCCTTAAGCTGGATGTTGAGATGATGTGCACCACTCTGAATTAAAAGGTAGTCCATTAGAGAATTCTCTGCACGCGCACAAGATTAAGTCGTGCCGCTGGGAAACACAGGCCAAAAGTGCGTCCGCCAGTGTAGGCATTGTAGGGGTCCATGGCTACAGATATTTTATCGCGTACTTGCCAAGCTGCCCATCCTCATAGTCAGTATTCATGATTCACGTAATCACATGAATCCGTCATCCCGAGGGCATGTTGTTTGTTATATGCAAGTATATGGGCTACATGTTTAGATCATAATAGTCTGAAGACTATTTAATAGGATGTGTGCGTGATGGTCAAGCGGTTAAGTAGAGACTAATGCTCACATCCTGGCTCGTTTCACACGCTCAAGTCCTGCGGCAATCTCGTCTCCGAGTCGCTTGACCTGCTCCAACACCGTGACATATTCCTCTGCGAAGAGTTTGCGAATGTCCTTGTCGCCGATAGTAAGCGTAATCTCCATGATGTCCTCACCATGTTTCATCGTGAGGGGCTCGCTTTTGAAATACTTGGTGACTCGGCGGGATATAATACAATAAGGCTGATGTAGTGCTTGTCCGGCGTGCAGTGCTAACTGATGTCGATGCCATGGTTGCTGATTTTGGTTGCTTGAACCGTCTTGCGCGCTTTGTCTGAATCAGAGCAGCAAAGTTCAGCGCAAAGCAGCATTCATGCGCTTTTTCTCTGTGCAGCGCTCTTTTCCAAGCTCTTACCTCTTCACCCTCTTCCTCCTCACTGATAACACCACCTCTATAAATGACAACAAACACACAGGCATAGTTATGGACAACAACAACAACAACAACAACAACAACAATAGCAGTAGCAGCAGAAGCAGCGGTGGTGGTGGCAGTAGTGGTGGTAACAGCGGCTCCAACAGTATGGCTAAAGATTGGAAGAGGCACATACAAGGTCATGTGGGAGCCGCATACTTTACTACACAACAACACGATCAGTTGATCTTCGATCCTAGGGCATACATTGAGTATCGCGGACTGAAGCCTGAGTTCTCAGACAAGTTGATCTTGGGGTAGACTCAGTGGATGCAGTACTTCCAGGCGCACGACAACCGATGCTTCAAGGATGTAGTGAAGCACGCAGAGACGATGACCCATGAGCTTATTAAGGAGGTGTACAAGGACAGGCTATTCGACCAACATGAGCTCAAGGTCTTAGAATGCGCTACGGGAAGTTGCAAGGCGCTAACGATGAAGTGAGCATGGCATTGGAGGAATGGCGAAGTACGTTTTGGTTTATTTGTGTCATATAGTGCGGGACATCTAGTCGCGACTATACGTAGAGAACGTTGAAGTTCAAAGGCCTTTGAACTAGAGGTCATATTGACAAATGGCGAACATTAGTTTGTAGAAGGAAGGGCAACACGCACTTTAATGATCCAAACTTCGATTCAGCGGTTGTACTTGAAAATGAATAGGCGTTTCTAGCCAAAAATCTCATGTCGCGGCTAGATGTCTAGCCGGACTAACCACGGCAGCACCATACGAGATCGAATCGATATCTTGCGCGACCTCGACCACTGCTGAAGCCGCGATTTCACCCTCATTCGAGCTATCATCCTCAGCCCAGGACACTGTGCCAATCCCGACCAAACTGACATCGGGTGCATTAAAGAGGATACAGTAAGAGTTCGACCGGAACTTCAAGGCTTTGCAGGGGCAAGCCATGGATCTTGGCTACAGGAGCGAATGTGGACAAGGCCATGTACCTCCACACGCTCACCCTTAACATCGGGTCCAGTCTGCATTCCTTTGTCCTGGATACTGGCAATGGCTCATCGCTAAGGGCATTGGATCATAGCGACGACCAGGAGTTGGCCAAGAGTCTTCATCGTATGGAGCGACCCACATTGCCATTGTGGATGAAGAAAGAGATTGCCAAGTATGCGCTTCAGCCAGATGCTCTCGAGGAAGCCCTGAGTCATGGTTGGGCACACTTCTCAATAGACCACAGCAACGACCCTGATGTACCAGCCCCAGATGCGCTAAAGAAGTTCCAGTTCCGGCTCTACTCAACCATTCTCACTATTTGGACGCTATACCGGGACCATACCGAGGATCTCCAACAGGAGCAATCGGAGGCATTTTACGCGTTGAGAGTTTGGAACGCTTTGGTGGATGGGCTCCTGAAGAATGTCCCAGACATCAAGATCCTCAGAGGCGAGAGGTGCTCTCAGTCGTCTTCGGTGCGCAAAAACGAGGATCGTGACCTGGAAAGCAAGAAGGCTCTCGGACGACGAATCGATGGAATCTTTATCTCACGGAAATCCAAGCTGGAATTTGGGGTGATTGAGGGTAATAGGGAGAGAGAGGGTGCAACTGGCACCAAGACCTTAATGGATACCCGCAAGTTGGCCAAGCTCTTAAAGGACATGATGAATCACATCTTCCAGGCTTCATTGAAGCTCGACCAATTGTCCACCAAGATTGAGATGGTTGGCATGCTGCAGTCAAGTCTGCGAGTCGATTTTGTCTCCCTGGATCAGATTCAAGGCCGTTTCTCCCTACAATTCCATCCACTTCGGAGAACCAACGCATTCTCGCGATTTTATTACTGGTGAAGGAGCTGTTCCTTGCGGTATTTTACCCCTATATTCACTTACGTACAAGAAGGTCAACAAGACAAGATAGGGTTATTTATCTCTAGGGCAGACGGTACCTCATAAGGCGGTTCCCGTCTACACCACATTACATAGGTCAATATAGTGCACTCCTTTTTGAGATTCACTTGGCCCAAGTTGTTGAGCTCATGGAGGCCGCCGCGCAGCCCAACAGCCAAGGTTTCATAGATCGTTTGTTTGATATTCAGCCTCCTGCCCCACCTCATACACCCAATCCCAAGACCCTGATGACGCCCTAAAGTTCGTCTAAGAGGAAGCGGGTTAATTGACACATGGCTTCTCAACCTAGTCTTTTTTGTAGCAAGTCTAATACAAGGTTATGTTAAAACGGCCACTTCATCAACAGTCCCTGGTCATGATATAGGTGAGTGCAAGCAAGGCGCGCGCCCCTCTTCATTCCTAAAACGATATTACACATGTTATGTGCATTGCATGGAATCAGTAGCGCCCAGAAATAAATTCAAAAGCGTATTTATTATGACCGCAGGCGTTGTCAATATCGCAACTCCTGGATGCTTTTATGATCCACCACCTGTACTCGCTTCGTTGCTCTACCGCGTCCTTGAAGGCTCGGTTTGTAACTCATTCTTGAGGATTGTGCCAACCGGTTTCACTAAGGAACTAGTCGGGAAGCAGGCAAAAGCGAGCGATTAGTAGCGGCACCATTCCATATGATAATAAGAAAGGACTACATGCCACACCACATGGTATAATAGCAACAATCGGACAACCAGCTGTGAACCGGAAGTCCGAATGGTGAAGGTGTGCCACTTCCATTGGCCAGTCGCTATCCATCGCTATGCTCTTTCAGTGCTAACACGCATAGGATGGGATCATATCGGGACACACAGCTGAGTATGTGCCACACACAATACGATCGCGAGACTAACTCGCATCTCAAACGTCCCTGAAATCAATACAATCGGTGCTAATAGACCGATGCAAGCCAGGTGTAAGAGAAGGCAGACCAATGGAGAAGGAAAATAAAGGGTGCCAGGTCGAGACCGCTTTGAAAGCAAAGGCAACTGGCACCAACTCGTGTATTGATGCGCAATTGGTCAACAGTATACGTGGATCATTCCGCCAGTGCTCAAGCACCACCTTACCCTCACAAAGCAATCGGGTAAGGGATGGAACATATAAGTGCATAGTATGGCATAAGGTACACATATGTCACGAAGTATGAACAGCGCTGGCGAAAGCCCTACCCCAATGGTCCTGAAATCAATACATCCAGCCGAAACCCAAGCATTTCAACATGGGCAGGTGCAAGCCAGGGCAAAGGGAGGACCTGACCACAAACCTTCCTCGACCTTTTATTATGCGGGGAGGCAATGATAGACGTTACCTTTCAACACCTAGCAGACGGACAAAAAGAGTCAACGTAGTTTGGAGTGATGGTGCGAAGGGGACATCAGACCATCAGCAAAAACTACAATGGACGTCACCGAAGAATCCACCGAACACATAGGATTCATGCTGCTGGTGGTGTGCTGGTACTGGTGCTGCTATTGGTAGTATCTGTCTGCGAATTCGCAGCTTGCTTCCAAGGGTAGTTCTCGGCGCCATTTACCGGGTGGATATATAGCGGTCGCCGTTGATGGAGCAAGTGCCATCGCATCGCGGTCCATATGTGTCTTGCAAGTCGTACAATACAACCTGCGGATTCCCACTTCTCCGACACACTGCTCGCAGCTTGGACATTTTTTTTGGAGGCGCAATACTCGTTCACTCCCAAGAGAGCGAGCCTAGCAACGACGATCCATTGGTACTATTGATCATAAAAATGTCTAGCATAAAATCGTTTTTATTTCTAGTAGAGATGTGCACGCGCGTGACGATGGTTCAAACTCTAGCACGCTTAAGAGGATGGCTAAATTTCTTGAGGTGATCGGGGTTCTTGCGGTAGCAGTTCGCTCCATAGCGACACGGCTCTTGCTTGGTGCTGCCCTTGCTATTGTCGTCGTCGCCGCTGTCGGCCTTGGTTGGATCCGCTTGGCTGTATGACCGCTTTTGAGTGACTATGGGAGTTGGACTCGCGTTCGTGCTCGATGCAGACGCATTTCCCGATGATGGAGGCGACGGATTTGAGTCAGCTGGGGTATAGTCCGGATCTGAGTCAACTTGATCTTCCTCCCCCTGCTCTTTATCCGTATCGACATTGGTATCTTGATCGTCCTCGCCGTCGAGGAATGCAGTTGTGGTCAGATTCTTAAGGTCATCGCCGCTTGGATCCTGAAAGATCAAGCTGCTTTGCTTCAGAAGAGAGACCACCTTGGCGGAGGTGGCGGTCTTGAGCGTAGGCGGTTTGTAGGTTTTGCAGTAATCCACCCACTTGATATCGACTCTCTCTCCCACAAAGGTTGGGAAGCGAGGATTCAATTTGTTACTCAGCTCCTGGAACCTGTAGGTGATGATGGAGCCAACCTTAGGAGGGCGGTCTCGCTGAGCGTCTGTAAATCCGGAACCGACAGAGAACAAACGACCATCAGGTGTCTTGACGGTGATATGGCCCATCCTATGAGAGTTCTTTCCAGACCCTTTAACATGCGCAAGCACGATGGCTTCTTCGTCGAAAAACGTCTTGACCTTGAGCAGTGTCCTTGACCTCTTGAATTCGTATCTTGATCGTGGTGCTCGAAGCATAATGCCCTCTCCGCCGTGGCTCTGAACATGATTCAATTCTCGTAGCAAATGGGTCTTGGAAAGACATTTCTGAACGGGGACCAGTCGAGAATAGGGTGGAATTTTCTTGGTTGTTGTGGATGAAGTTGAGGAGAAGGAAGAAGTAGGAATTGTATCTTTGCCATACATGGGCATAATTGACTTGAGATACTCTAGGCGCTTCTCGTAAACCATGTTCAGTTTGGGAGCATCAAAGACTAGATAGGTCATTTCTTTCCACTCGTCCGAGCGGTCGACTTTTTGGTTTTTGACAATGGAGACGCACTGCTGGAAGCGGCCGCGTCCGAGCCAGAGCTCTCCATCGAGTGGCTGGTCCTTGGGCAAATTCTCGCTGAAAAATGGCGGGGCAAGGAACTTATTTCCAGCGCGAGAGTAGAAGTGTGTGCCGTCAAAGTACGCTCGGATGCCGTCCTGCACGCCACCGATAGATTAAAATGAAACATGCATTAGGTGACAATGAAAGCACCTGTAATGGCTAGCCAATGAAATGAGGAGGCGATCTCTTACCAGCTTCTCGGCCATCCAGTAGCCAGCAGGATCAATGCCAGAGTCTTCGGTCCAGCTGTGAGCCAATATAACCTGTTGAGCGTCGTAGGCCATGGTTTATGTGTGCAGAAACGGGGGATGGGAACTTTTTATGGTGCTGCTTGCGGCGCTGTAGGTGAAAGTTAAGGCTGATACAAGGCAGAGTCGACGGGTGCAAAAGAAAGGAGGCGAGGAATGAGCAGGTGATGAGGAAGGAGATGCAGACGAAAGCTATTGATGAGCTGAGTAGTAATGGCGGGAAACAGCACCTTTTTATGTGCGCGAAATAGTTTATTTGAGGTTCCTGAGTTTTGCCACCATTCTCTAACTATATTCCCAAAAAGTCTCAGAGCGCGGGAACGTCAATTGACCCAACGAGAGCAAACGACGAGCAGCCGCATAGCCACACAAAAAAAAAAAGTGGAGCCATGTCCCCTTTTGTGGTTTTCTGGTGCAATGTCAACGTCCCCCCGCAGGTCGCCGGCATTGTGACACAAACGAGACGCGTCCAGGTCTGGGAAGGACGCGCCCAGGAAGCGGTTCAATGGAAGACGAGGCCGACGAAGACGCTGAATATCCCCCCCATTTACACGTGATGGCTGCACAACCCTAACCGAGCTGCGTTCAAGTGAGAGAAACCACAACTGATCGCCTCTGTAGAAGCAACAGTGGTCCACGGTAAAAAGATAAAGCGAAGATGGAAGACCACAGAGTTATGCATCGATTGCTTCTAATTGGTATCTGAGGAAGGGGGAAGAGAAGAAAGAAAGAAAGAAAGAGAGGTTTAGTTGAAACGCGGGATCTTTTTGTCCCGACGAAAGAATGGGCAGTTCAAGTGACATCACCCACCCGGCTCATGAAATGAAGAAGAGAGTGTTTGTTCACTTTGGTCGGCTCCGTCTTTCCTCTTTCTCTCTCTTTCTTTTCTTTTTCACTATTCTCGAGTTTTTTTCATCACCAAGAAAACCTCTCACCTCCACCTTCTCATTCCTTCAAGCCGATGACTGCCTCAAAGTCAGGAGCTTCCCAAAATAAGAGCACCTCCAAACCTCAGCCGATCGTACTCACAGCGCTCGATGGTTTCCTCCTCAGTGGAACTCTCTACCTCCCTCCAGGACCGATCAACACTTCCCCGCCCCCTGCGGCTCCACCTTCCAATGACAATTCCGATCTCACTGCCACTGCAGCCCACAAGGCGCAGGTCAATGCCCTGACAAAGGTCGTTATCATCAGTTCCGCCACGGCGACGATCCAGGATTATTATTACAAATTCGCACTCTATCTTTCCCAGGAACTCGGTATGATCGTCGTCACATACGACAACCGAGGCGTGGGTCGATCCATGCCTGACAGCGAGCAACTTCAGTTCTTAAAAGCAGCAACCGACAATGGCGCACTTCCTCCAAGCAGTGCCTCATCGCCGCCTCTGCCACCAAAGTCCGCTAGCATGTCTTCGGATCGGGATTCTGACGGCGCAAAGAAGAAGAAGGACAAGAAGAACCCGTTGATCGGATTCGAGGCAACACTCGTCGACTGGGCAATGAAGGATTTGCCGGGCGTCTTCAACTATGTACTCACCCGTTTCCCACACAACCCCACCTTGTACGTGGGCCATTCTGTCGGAGGGCACCTTTTACCCGCCATCGATGCCTACTATACTCGCAACCTGGAGCGGGTTCTTTTCGTCAGCGTCACCTCCGCGTACTGGCGCACCATGAATAGCCCATTGTTCATCTACTGGTTCTTCTACATTGCCTCACCGATTGTCAATGCCCGATACGGATATTACCCAGGCAAGACACTGTGGGGCTCTATGGAGGATCTGCCCAAGGGATGTCTCGAGGACTGGGCACATTGGGGCTCCTTCGAGAACTACATGCTGGGCGGCAACCCCGAGTGGAAGCCCAACTATGATCTATTTAAAGTGCCTTTATATTCACTCTATTTTACGGATGACGACTTTTCATCGACCTCGGCTCCACGGATCATGGATCTGATTCCCAACACACTGAGGCGGTGCGTTGGTGTTGACCCCGTCGCGGACCTGAACATGAAAAAGGTCGCCCACATGGGGTTTTTCTTCAACCAATGCAAGGAGAAGCTATGGAAGACGGCAGTACGTGCGTGGTTTGTCGATGGCCATGCGTTGGACCGCGATGCTATTCGAGAGCAGGCGACGCTCCAGAGCAGTTATGCACGCCTTTAGGTTCAGATCCCCGTCTTGGAATAAAATTTTTTTGACGTGCATGTAGACGAAAAAAAAAAAGACCTACATTTTTTACTGTTTCCTCTCCGTGAAAAAAACAACGCGGCTGATCATCATCGTTTCTGGCGGGAAGCGACTCGCGAACACCATCATGACGGAGCTGACCCCGACCAGATGCCGAGGTCGACCACGCGGGCATCCACTCTCAGCTACAACCGATCGTCCAAGCAGCGACATCGTCTTGTCATCTCGACCTAACATCACCACATCACCCTCGACCTCCAGGAGCTCGTCATCTGATGCCCATTTCCAGTCAGCTGCCGCACCTGCCCTGGAACATCACCCACAGCAACAAACACATCGCATCATATCCCATCTCTTTGTCGACCCACATGGACGGCCACTGCAGATCTGTCTCTCACGCACGGTCAAGGACAAAGTGAATCTCGAAAACAAGATCAAGGTGTGAAGAAGACCGCCCGCCGCTATGGAGCAGTTGATGTTTAATCCCAACAACCTTGAACGTGCAATTGAACAGGCCTCCATTTATTCTTTGCTTGCGCGATATCAGGACTATGGGGGTGTCGTAACTCCAAACGAAAGGGTAGCATTTATCTCTCTGGCCGACCCAGGACTCAGCTACCAGGAAACGATGTACTCTACGGAATGGGTTGACCAATGCATCCAGCAGCAGGAACTGCTAGATCATGATATCCCAAAATTCCAACTCAAAGAAGCCAGCAGGACGACCTGGGCCTACTATACGCGAAATGACGATCGTGAGCTGCGAGAATATGTCGAAGCTCAGAAGCGCGAGGGGAAGCGAATAAACGGAAACAACATCTACCAGACATTTGCCGTGACGGTTAGTTTTCATTCCTCCAAACTGCATTTGATCTGATGCATGTCCAAGTAGGAAACTCATATTGGTGCCTGGAACTCAATTATGACATTTCTTTTCTATCTTACCCTTATAGCACAAACAACACTCCTGGCACTCTTGGAGAAATCGGGCTATCAAAGTTTTGAAGCTGACATCGTCTGTGTCGCCATATGAGATCAACAAAGCAAAGCGGGAGGCGCAGTTGAAAAAGTTGCAGGACCAGCGGGCAGGTCATCATCTACCTTCACCAGGGAGCGAGGTGCCTATCAATAGTGAAATATCGCCTATAGAATCCATACCTTCTGGAGACAAAAAACCTGTAGCAGTACCGCCACCATCGTCACCACAGCAGGCCTCTGAGGTGATCAACGACAAGGATAGAAATCACTCGTCTATTGTGGATGCAGTCATGGAGGACGACAACGTACTCGAATATCAGACACAGCCAGCCTCACAATCTATATTTCCGCCCCTCTTGGACTTTGAGGAGATTAGTTCGAACGATGAAGAGGATCTATTTCATCGCGAGGAGATGTCGGCCCTGGTTCTGCGACGTACCAACTCGGGTGGGTCGCAAATGGCCGAGCCGTCTGTGAAAAACGAGGTCAGGTCGACATATGTCGAGGAGAGGGCAGGGAGCAGCAAGGAGCCTACCAGAAATTATATGGGGACAAGCCCACACTCCAAAAGAGTCACTGGGGCGCAGGAGTCGTCAGATACCAGTCGACGCCTATCATTACCGCCGACAAAGACGATCAATGACACCGGTGTAGAAAAGTCGAGATTATCTTTGCCAAGTACAACTCGGAGGGAACAGACACCACCGTCATCCGTAATGAGAAGCTACAGTACCAACGTAGGAAAGACGACGTCTTCTACGCCGCATATTACTTCAAAAGATCCAACATCTATCATTTCAGAGGAGCAGTGGACACCTGAGATAGCAGCTTCAAATATGTCAGGAGCGACGCTCTCCTATACCAGCATAGGAAGATCGAGGTTGTCATTGCCGAGTACGATTCCAAAGGATCAGATGCCAGCATTAGCAAAGGGGGACCGTGGCGCCAGCATAGAGCGGTCGAGACTGTCTTTGCCAACCACAATTTCAAAGAGTCAGACATCCCTCGTTCCACCCGAGCAGTTGGCCTCTAAGGTGGCCTCCAAGGATAATTTGAGGACCGATCGGAATAGCGAGTCCCCGCAAGTCGAGGCGTCGGACAACGTTGAGAGTCAGGCAGCAAAAGATGTTCGGCAAACTTCATCTATGTTTTCTACTTGGAGAAACCCTCCACAAGCTGAACTTTCCATACCTGACAGCCCGCCAGCGTCGATGCTCACTGTCGACAACCTATCTCCAGCTTTCAACAATGCAGCCTCGGCTATCGGCAGCTTGGCGACTTTTGACGACTCGGGTTTGGATATAAAAGAAACATTTTTCAACGACTCAGTGTTGGATATGGACGATGCAGCTCTGGGAAGTGACGACTCGGCTCTAGCCATCGAGAACTCAGTTTTCGATACTCATTCAGTTGAGCTAACGGATGAAGATGACATTATCCATGAGAGGGCAATTCTGGAAAGGATGCGTCGGTCCATGCAGGCAGATCTTTCTGACGAACAGGATGAAGATATGACAATCGCATCGTTTTCAAGGGGCGACAATCAGGAGCCGGAGCTAGAGCAGGATGTGGTTGGGATGGAGGCACATTTTGAGCTCCCAGCAAAGCTATTCACAGGACACACGTCAAATCAACCGTGGAAGCCCCAGAAAATCATTGGACAGTCTGTGGACATAAGAAAAGATAAGAGTATTGTGTCAGTACCGGAAAAACCTGAGTCAAGGATGACAACAGCAGCAGCGGAGGGCTTTGGACAACCTGCGACAGCCTTCAATGATGAGGATATGGACTGGTTATTATCGGCGGACGATGAGAAGACTGAGAACAAGATTATTCAATCGCGGATAGTCTATCGGCGCCTCCAAAAACATACCTCGCGACCAAGTTTCGATCGGGACACAGCCGAGCAAGCCGGGACATCAAAACCAGCACCCCAGGCGGAGCACAGCCAGAGGTCTACACCTAGAGGAGTAGTGGTGCAGGAAACGCCGCAATCGGACGGGCAGGACGTCTCCACAAAGGATCGTGCGAGCAGAAAGGTGTCCAGTGCAGAAGAGGAAGGCAATCTCTTCAAAGATAAAGGCTCAAATGGAAGCATGGTCATTGACACACTGGACCTAGATGAACAGACTGCCCTTCAAGAGAATAACAGGACCCCAAGTGAGGTAGTCACGGATGTAGAGGAAAACCACATTGAAGATCATGATGGGGCTCAGCCCACGGAGACCGAAGCTCAGTACACGGACGAACAGGATGCCGCTGTAGAGGATTATGAGGACAACATTGACAAACAAATTGAAAATAATAGTGTGCCGGAAGCTGCCATAACTGAAGTTGACCGCGTAGATGCAGGCGAACAAGGCGGAAACCAAATGGCGACGGTCGTAGGCGATCAGACAGAGGATGAGGAAGAGGAGGATGAAGAGCCCCTTACGAGGAACAAGTGGTACATGGGTGCGTCAGTACCCGAGCAAGCAGGGAGCGACCTGGGAAAGCCGAACAGGACTTCACCGCAGCCTGAACAGGCACCCATAGTGCCCGAGGGGCGAAATGAACCCGCGAGTAAGGCATCGAGTGGGCGAGGCTCGACTTTCGACGCTGTACTTGAGTACTATGGCGACGCGTCTGGATACAAAGACGATCCTAAGGACCTTGGTGCCATGATGCAGGAGCACTTGGCGCGCAAGAAGCTGATGGAATACCTTCGCGAGCGGTATCGAGCAGAGGTCCGGGTCATGATGATGTATGAACTGGTTGCACCGTTGAGGGCCATTGACATTTTAGATGCCTGCTCTGGCAACTTGGAGTTGGCGCGAACAGCTGTCAACTATGGTCTAACGGGTACGTCTGGCTCTCTTTTCATCCCAGTCTTGATATAAAGCGAGAGACGAAATTTATTCTAATGGATTCTACATTACATTTTTTCTACTCTTTTAGAGGACATACAGAGCCAGTTTTGGACGAGGGAGGACGATGAAAAGGTGTTTTCGAGGAATAAGGAGGACGAAATTGCGTTGGTAAAGAGACACTCGCTTATGGAGATCATACAAAGACACCAGTACCTCACAAGCACTCGATCTGAGGCTGAGCGATTCGATATCTCGTCAGGGTCTGAACAAGCATCTAATCTGTTGAAGCGACATGCACCTTTATCAAGAAACACCTCTGCGATGTCTGCGAACTCAATGGAAGCGGCGCTAGATTCACGGTCATCTTCATACAAGAGGCAGCGTATTGCCCCATGGTCCCCTTAATGTATTTTTTGTATAAAGCCAGCAACGGCGCCCTCAAAACGCCCCGAATGGTGACGTATTTGGTTCCATCGTTCTCAAGATGACTGGTTTGATGTCATTGATCTGACCGCTATGGGAAGGTTCTCCTTGGATTATTATTATCCACCCTTCTTTATTCAGCTCCTTCCACTTCACAAGACAGCGACAACAGACGTATCACGAATATCCTCTGGTACAAATACCAAATACCACAGATCCGCTCTCAATTACACTTTATCTCACAATGCCAACCTTGAATCCTTCTTCATCGACCGCTACCGGCAAGGCGACTCGTCCTGATCATTTGGTGCTACGACTGATGACAGCGGACGACAAACAAGAGGTAGCGGGCCTCTTTGCAGAGACATTCAAGCGTGAGCCCCTGGGCGAATACAGCGGCGTCCAGCTATCGGAAGGCATGAGCATTGCAGAGGCATCTATCCAGGACCCAGTCTCGTTCGTGGTCGAGGACACCAAGTTGGAGAGCCCCCATCGATTGGTTGCGTTCCGTACAAGCTGTGTCTACACGGCCGAGAAACTCGCAGCGAAGCGGAAAAACGTCGAGGAACACGGTTCTTCGAATCCTGTCGAGGCGATCTTGAATCGGATGGAGGAGCTCTGGTTAGCAAAGACGACAGTGTTCAAGTCGAATCCGGAGGCAAAGGTGATGAAGTTCATTGCTTTGGGAGTCGATTCGCGTTATGAGGGACTGGGATTGGCCAAGGAGCTGCTGAATGCGGCGATGGATAAGGCGAAGGAGATGAAGTGTGATGCTATCATGGTGGTGGCATCTGCGTTTGCGACGCAGCATTTGTTCAAGAACCGATTAGGATTTGAGGAGATGGGGTCAGTCCGCTACTCGGATTTTGTATGGAAGCATGAAGGTAGTGAGGAGAGGCCGTTTGAGACACTGTTGCAGCCAGAGTTCTTGGAGGTGTTTGAGAAGAAGTTGACAATGGAGAGTGCGTAGAGTGTTGACGATAGATGGAGCTTGTGATAGACAAATAAATGTTTTAGAGCCGAACGGATCTGCTTCGCCGTAAAACAGCGATCAATGGATATTTTTTGCCGGGCACGCCAAGAAATGTAGCTTTGCTTTGGAGGACCATGATGGACGCCGCTCTTGCATTAAGTAGCTTCGCCGCAAAACAGGGAGGTTTCCTGTTGTGCTTTAGAATGTTCCGAGAAGGACTACATGTAAATACATCGCAGCAAAAACAGAGAAAACGCGAACAAAAAGGATAAAATTTTACCGAGAACTAGGGATGGATTGACGCGCGTACCGACAGTCGGCAGTGGAGATGGTCGTGATGATGATCATGATCATGATCCCCGTGTGGATCCGACGATACGTGATTCAGTAGAAAAATGATCTGATGGCACTCTGATCTGGGTGCAGTGGAAATTGCATAAATACTCGTCGAAACTACAGCGGGCGCTTTAATCAACTCACCGATCACAAACAAAAAAAACTGTGGCCATATTCTTTTCTTTCTTTCTTTCTTTCTTTCTTTCTTCCTTTCATCGCTTTCTTCTTCATCTTCATCCGAAAACACTAATTACCCCATCCATCTACCCAGCCATGTCGATTACAGCGTCCACAAAGACAAAGTACAGCGACATCAAGGACATCGCCCTCATTGATTTCCTCGGCGTCCCTGCAGAACAGACACTCAAAGCACATGAAATTTGGAAGGACCAGCCTACGGTCGTCATCGGTGTGTTCTATCTTCTGTATCTCATTACCATCTTTGTCTGAACCTTGAGCTTGATACAATGACCAACATGGAATACAATTCATAATAGTGATTCGCCGCCCTGGATGCCAATTCTGCAGAGAAGAGGCCAAGATCTTCCACGAGAACCGACAGACGATCGAGCAGAGTATGGTAAGGAAGCATACCCTATCTTATTTATTTTTTATTATTATTTTTGAACCATAAGAAATCAACCTGGCAACTAACATAGATGCACGATGTGTGTTGCGGTGTATACGTAGGGCATGAAGATGGTGTGTGTCATGCACGAGAAAGAGGGCTCAGACACCTTTCAGAACGAGTTCTGGCATGGCAAAGTTTACTTTGACCCCGAAAAGGCCTTCTACAAGGCCCTTGGGTACGCTGCAATAGATATATCCTCTTCATTCTTAACTATGGACTCTGCCTGGCTTTGTCATCCTATCTTGAGCAAATGCACTGATTGCATATACACAATTTACATATATGTTTTTATGCGAAATTAGTGGCGGTCGACTGCGCGAAGGAGGTTGGGAACAAATGATCAGACCTTCGTTCTGGGTTAACCTGGTGCGGAACAAACAGTCGGGCGTCAAGGGTAACTTTGAGGGTGATGGCCGGTAAGCTCCATTTCTTTTTTCTTTCATTTACCACCATGACATGATGTATATGATGTGTAACAAACATTGACTCGCATTTGAATCGCTGCTTTTAGTATTCTTGGCGGTCTCCTGGTGGTCAATGCAGATGACGGCGGCATTGCGTATGAACACATCGAGAAGGTCTGGGGAGACATTGCGCACGCGGACAAGGTCCTTGAGGCCTGCAGTCGCGTCTCGGGTGTGGCCCTGAATAAAGACACGAGCGCCAAGGCCCAGAAGGATCATGATGCGCTTCATCAAAAGATGCAGCAGTCGTCTGTGGGCAAGGGTCAGGCAGGCGAGGGTGCTGCTTGCGCAGCGGCGGCTCCTACCTCGAGCAATAGCGCGGGTGCGACCACCGCATAGATCGCAAGGAACGCTGTGCTGTGAATACGGCACAACACAGCACAGGACACGACTACGATACGACAGGACGCAACTGAATTATGATGATAATAAAGAAGAGTGACACTCAGAGACATATGCGTTTTGTGCAAGGGTAGACAGAAAGATGAGAGGTTCTTTCATTTCCTTTTATGGAGCTGAATGCCGTTGAGGAAGGACGCCTTTTACTTTCCCTGCAGGACACACGACGCATGACCCTACGCGCGTAGCAGTATCTTCCGGCACCGTAGACGACTGCAGCCAGGAACCCCCTTCTCACGCTCTGTTCCCACACTCCACGCTGTTAAAGGGCCCTCCCTTCGTTTTTGTCTTTTTCTCTTCTTTCCTCTCCTTCATTCCCATCAACTCCTCCCTCTTCTTCTCATTCCTCATCCCCCCCCCTTTTTTTTTTTTCTTTCTTTTTGCTGCCTCGCACAATGGGTTTCTCCAAGCGCATCGCTGTCGCGTGCGTGCTCTCGCTGGCTACCTCGGCCCTGCTCTCCTCTTCCAACACCGCCCAGGCCACCCCAGCCCCCGCTCCAGTCTCATTCGACTCTGTCCTCGACGATGCTGACCGCTTTGTGGATCAGACCATCAACCAGCTCGAGTTCAACTGGAACAACGTCGACGAAAAGGTCCACGAGGTCCTCGACGACCTTTCTGACAAGTTCAAGTCCAAGCTCGGCGAGGCCACAGAGTGGGTCAAGACCCTCACTCACGAGAGCTTCCCTGGTGTCCAAATGCGCCTCAAGGAGCCCAAGCTGTGCGATCCCCATGTCAAGCAGGTAAACGACCTCATCCCATCATCAAAAAAATAAGCTGTTTATGTACTCGTCCCATTGCGTCCTGAAGCAAGGGGTGGTCGTTCTGTGTTGGGGTCGTTCTGGAACTCAGCATCGTGTGGGACTTGGCAACGTGTATCTGCCTTCAGTCTCACCCACCCCAGCAATTTTCCCCTCGTATCCGCATCATTGCTTGACTTGCAGTTGATCGTCTCAACGTATTGTCTGTGTTCGTTGCGGATGGTGTTATCTGATATCATTTGTGGGTGTTACGTTTACCTACTGGAAACATTTATGCCCATCCATCTACTTTGTACCATCTCATCTGCCGTCGGCATTGACGTCCCTGAAAAGGACGCGACATCTTTTTCTCCCCTGAAAAAGATGGAGACACGGGGTCATAATGCGCAATGGATCCATGGGTATTAGCGGGGAATTACATCATCAGAAAGATGCCCAAGGCTGACCTGATGGACTTTGCATTTGCCACCGAATCATAGTACTCTGGATACCTCGATGTCGGTGCCGATAAGCACTTCTTCTTCTGGTTTTTCGAGTCGCGCAATAAGCCCAAGTCGGATCCCCTGACCCTTTGGCTCAACGGCGGTCCAGGATGCTCTTCGCTCACCGGACTCTTCATGGAGCTGGGACCCTGCAGCGTTAAGGAGGACGGTTCAGACACGGTCTATAACCCCCATTCCTGGAACTCCAACTCTTCGGTCATCTTCTTGGACCAGCCCACCAATGTCGGATACTCCTACGGTGACAGCGTCTCCAATACGTTCACTGCTGCCAAGGATGTCTACGCTCTTCTTCAGGTTTTCTTCAAGGAATTCCCAGAGTACCAGCGTCTGGACTTCCACGTTGCTGGTGAGAGTTATGCTGGCCATTACATTCCCGCTATCGGCAAGGAGATCAACGACGAGAACAAGAAGATCGCCACGCCCATGCTTCGTCCCCCCGGTGTTCAGCATATCAACCTCGCTACGCTCATGATCGGAAACGGACTCACTGATCCTAAGACCCAGTACGAATACTACCCCGAAATGGCCTGCAGGAACTCGTACGGCCCCGTCTTGAGTGATGCCCAGTGTGACCAGATGACTGCAGCCTACGATACCTGTGCTGACTTGATTCAGGCGTGCTACGATACCAACTCGGTTTTCCGCTGCTTACCCGCTGCTTCGTACTGCAACAGCAAGATGATCGGGCCTTACCAGCAATCGGGACAGAACCCTTATGATGTTCGCAAGAAGTGCGAGGGTGAGGGTGGTCTCTGCTATCCTATTCTGGATGTCATCAAGGACTATTTGAACCGCGAGGATGTCATGGAGGAGCTTGGTGCCCAGGTCGAGAAGTACGAGTCTTGCAATATGCAGATCAACATGCGCTTTATGCTCCAGGGCGACTGGATGAAGCCCTTCCATTTGATGGTGCCCCCACTGCTGGAGGATGGCATCCGCATCTTGCTTTACTCTGGAGACGCCGACTTTATTTGCAACTGGATGGGTAACAAGGCTTGGGCTATCTCGCTGCCCTGGTCTGGCCAGGCCAAGATGCAGGAGAAGAAGGACAAGAAGTGGTTGGTAAACGGTCACCATGCTGGTGATGTCCGCACCTCGGGTCCCCTGACCTACCTCCGTGCCTTCGGAGGCGGACACATGTTGCCCTATGACAAGCCCGTCGAGTCGTTGGCGATGTTCAACACATGGGTCTCTGGCAAGAAGCTTTAGATGCTGCCCTAGTCCCGCTGTCAATCCTGTACATGAATAAATGCTATATTTTAAGATATCATCCGACGAAACTTTTCTGCTCTTACTAAACTACTGCAATTACCCAGATCTGATTTCATCAGCATGAAGATTGTCCTTTTCCGCCATGGGCATTCGCTCGCCAACCAGGAATCAAGGATCGTCTCGTCGCTCGAGAACGGTACCCGGACCACGGGTGGACCTGAAGGAACAGGATTCGGATTGTCTGACAAGGGCAACCAGGAGGTTGAAGAAGTATGGAGCGTGCCCATTCTTGCACATATGCTGTTGCTGTCGCGTTCAATAGTGCTGGATATTGACGATACCCTTTTGCGCTTAATGCTGTCTGGCATGTTCAGTCGGCAGAGTCGCTAGTGAACCATATTCTCTCCACTATTGAGCCTTCAATGCATACTTGGGTTCGCATCCTGACATCGCCATTCCTGAGGACCCGCGAAACCGCGGCTATTGTCGACAAGGTGCTCCGCACAGCCTTTGCCGCCCACACCCACCGTCATGAACACCCGGCAGCGTCACCCTCGACCCCATCAGCCAATAAATCAACTGTGTCGATGGAGGTAATCCCCAAAGAAATCCATGATCTGCGGGAGCGTTTCTTTGGAGAGTTCGAGATGGAAATGCCTTCAGACGAATTGTACGCGCGAGTATGGCATGAGGATGCGTCTGATCCGTTTCATGATCGGTTCGGAGTCGAGAGTGTTGCCGAGGTGACGAAGCGGATGACGGCCGTTGTTAGAGACCAGGAATTTGCGGAGAAAAAGCGGCTTGAGAGGCCATATGAATCTGACGAAGAGCTACTCGTAGCTAAGCAGACGAAGATATGGACCATTCTTGTGAGCCATGGCGATTCGCTCCAAATATTGCAGGCGGCGATGCGTGGATGGAGTGGGGACCGGCACCGGCAGGTCGACCATTTGAATACCGCCAACTGGAGGATTGTACAGTGGTGCGAGGAGCTGGCTGAGGCACACCCATTGATCCGTTAGATACATGGGCCATATCCTGTACAATTACTTTCAAACGAACGCAACCTTTCTTGCAATAAACAATAAGGACATGTTCACGGGAGGCATTTAGTACAATTCCTATTCAAAGCTGCTCGCTTTTTATCTACGAGGAGGTTCTTCGCAAGACCCGGCGGCCCATACTTCATCCGCTAAGGATACATATGATATCTGTGTTTAACCTATCGGAAGGACTACTATTCACTTCATGTGTGGGAGGTGAAGTAACCGTACGCAGCCTTTATCGCGATCTTTATCAGAGATAGCATGGCACTCATGAATTCAAAAACTATGGCGGGAAATAGAAAGTGTCGATATACTTACAAAGTGATTAGAGCATGGCGCAAGGCGACCCGTGTTACGGTGGCGCGTTAGACTAATCCATTTATTAATCAGCGGTCTATGGTGTTGCGCCAAGCGGGTGCAGCAAGCATTCATGGGGCATCTGTACGCATGGGGATAAGATACTCATGTCTAGTAGCATACCTACGCAACAAAGTCCGTTCTCCTCCAGGATGGACCATGCGGACAAAAATAAAGAAAAACAGGGACTTCATTGGGCCAAGCTCTTTTTCACCCGTACTTGCAATTCACGCGTTTAAAATACTTTTTCTTCTACAATTCAGGTCCGAATCGCATTCGTACAGTATGTGCGAGCGTGCATTTGTACTCGGGGAGGGGGACCTGTTATGGTCTACAGAGCAAAGGAGATGGTGCAACTCCGCTCATGCTGTCACTCTCGCTTTCCATGTTCCTGTGTGGATAGATGTGGAATTTTTTCGATGCTGGCCCTTTTGCCTACCCTCTCTTATTTGTTTCGATGGACCGATCCATCTTTGTCGTCGGCGCAGTAATTCAAACAGGTGTTTGGGCCAAAAGAGCTGCTGTCGTCAAAGCAAACCTGGGAGAGATAGCCAAGATAGACTAATACAGAAGATATACATATGCCCAATCCTTCACTTCTCATTTGTCGCGAGTTTAAAGCTCTCCTTTCTCCGTCCCTCCTTTATTCTCTTATTCATTCTGTGTCTCTGAGCGATACTCAAAGTGAACAAGCTGCGAATGGAGGGGGAGGAATGGAAGGGGAGGAATGGAGGGGGTAAAGCAGTAGGCTGAGGTATCAGGGTCTAGACAAAAGCCGCAGTTGATAAGATGATACACTCGAGGATGTCTCTTGCTGTGATGGCCGTGCCCTCTAAGCCGTTGTGCTTTTTGCATTCCTCTACGATACGAACCGCACAGCCCTGACGCACACATATATGCCATCTTCTAAAATGCGCGTGAAATAGGTACTTGGACATATCCATGAGGCCAATGCTTTCCCGTTTGTTTATGATCCCACTCTCTGTCCGATCTGTGTGCTAAACAAAAGATAGCCGTGGCGCTCTGGGGCACCTACACCAAGAAAAAAATAACAACAAAAAAACCCTCCCCCTCTTACCATGACCTCCCTTTCATCCTCCGTCGTCTCTATGTAAGTAAGCAACAAAAACACATAGTAGGATAGTCTTTGGGCATTTCAGGGCGAGCGGATTTTTAAGCACGTCAATAGGAACACATGGTTATGAGTGCGACAGATTTTTTTTTTATTTTTGTGAGCGCAACGACGGCGGATTTCCTGAGTGGTGGGTTGCGGTTTGAAAAGGTATCATGATTCTCAACCCTTGTTAAATAAAAAAAAAATACCAAAAAAGGCATAGGTCTCCAACCTGGAGCTTCCGAATAAATTATTACCCACAGATCCAAGGCGAGACAAACGGGCGAAGCTGAGTTGCGAGACGTGGAGAGTGTCCGACGGGGGAATGCTCAGTAATATGATATTGGGTAAATAAGGATATACGAGAGCGGTTGATGAAGAATATGAGACAACCTTCTTTATGATTGACCAAGGAGAGCATGAACCGGGTCGGCGATATAACAGAATAATGTGGATTTGATGTAGCACATTTCTTGATCGAGAGAGTGCACAACGATCTGCTCTTAATGAAGGTTCAACTGGCCATTCCACAACAATGGCCAGGGGGGGGGGGGGAGGGGAGTGCTCATTCAAATATGCGTGTGTATCGATCAAGTGGAGGGCGACCTAAGTAATAAAGCGCCAGAAAGATGCATGGTGCACGGAATGAGACAGGCCGATAGCATAGGCTGGAGATGACCCTGTTATCTGTTTCGCTTGCGAGGGGGGGTTTTTTTTTCCAAGGGTACTGACACTTGATTCCGCGGCGTAACAGTACAACGGTTGATTTTCTCCATAGGTAAAAAAAAAAAAAAGATAATGCGGATATACCACTGCTTCCTTTGGACGGCCACTTAAGCTGGCAATGATGGAGTTCTCGTCAAGGCTGATGTGTACACTTTAGGGTCGTCCCACGGTGATGGTCCTGCGCTAGCAATAGGTGGTTACATAAGAACGACAACAACAATATCAAGGGTGCGTTCCCCAGGAGCGAAGGGTGACGAAAATTCTTCAGCAGGGCTTTCACATGCGAGCGCAGGGACCACATCCCGTTATCCCATGTCAACGATGAGAAGAAAATGGCGAACCTTTGTAAGTGCAAACATTGCTGCCATTTGTGCGGTGATACCGAATTTAGAGTTCCATCCACGTTTTTTTATCCTTCACAAGGTTGGATTCCTCCTCCACAAATATCTCGATCCATCCTTCACATGCGAATTTCACAGGCTTGTTTTTTTTCTTTCTTCTTTCTCGCTTACAGTGTCGCAACAGAGACACAGGGCCGCCAAATGAGGGTCTCCAACGGTTCTCTTTATTAGGCAAACAATTCTGGTGCTAGGGAGGAAAATGACCCGGGTTATGGTTTCAGCATTCTTGGACTCGATCTCTCTCGGACCTAATTCTGTAGCATGATTGCACAGCATCCCGCGGAAGAAAATAGAATAAATAATAAAATTACAGCATAACGTGCGCCTGTTACGCATGTGCTGCCCACTCATGATCAATTTGCTGTCTTTATGAGTCAAGGTCTTATTTTCAACCTGAACGTCCGTTTGGCTCGGATGCAGCACACTTCTGCTGCATACGCAATTTATGTTGCGAGTGTTGGGTATACGCAAGATGTCGCGTTGTTAATGCTGCGTTGGAGGTTCCCCCAAACATTTCGCAAAGAGAGGTTTCTGTCTTGGTGTCATGTTGAATTATCCGTGCTCACGTTTTTGTGGCCAGCATCTTGATAATACGATATGACAAACCAAAGGGTCCTTTTCTGTGGTGAGAACTAAGCAGCGCGCGGCGGGGATAATGAGATGATCCTGAAGCGTGGCTGAGAAAGGCACAGGGCTCATTGCTATGCGGCTCGGTCGGGTTCGGGTCGTGGACCGGATAAGGTCATCTCCACCCGCTTCCATCCGATTAGGGAATGCAAGAAAAAAAGACTCCATCTTCGCAAGAACCATATTCCTAGATACACACCCTTACGCGTTGCTTCCAAGTCCACGTTGACCTCATTCAATTCTGATATGTATATTTACAGACAGATCAGTGAACCAGACTATGCTTAACACCTCTTTTCCCCAGAGAAATGAGATGGGCCATACACGTTCCCAACCTGGGGTTGCGTCAAATTGCAATCGCGTAAGGCAATGGACGGAGTTAGCATTTGTTAAAATATAACGCATCTCGAGAGCCGCAATAATCTCAATAAAGTCCAAAGAAGGCAACATGACCGAGCCCTGGGACACATGTATGGTAGCCAGTCGATCTTTCGATCTATTTCACCGCTCTTTCCATCTGCTCTACAAATGTATGACAACAGGACGTTGGGAAGCAGCGATCTTTTAGAAGGAAGAGGGGGGAATTGGCATCCAGCCGCCTTGTTTGCAATGACTGACAGTTTGCGCTTGTCTCCTACCATGCCCTAGATTCTCTTCTTTGCCGTAGGAAACCGCGTATGATTTTTGCATGTCTGTACACGTCTGTGCATACGCACGCGCTGTTGGACCATGCCGCAAACGCCCCATGTGCCATGCATCATATCACAACATATGCAGCTGTGCTTTCACATTTCGCATCGATACTTCGTGGAAGTGCAATACAGGTTCATATCAAAGCGTCTGCTGGACAGTTAGCCACGCAGAATAACTCATCTTGCCTATATAATTGTTAGACCGCACGATACTTTCGGAGCATGCCAGACAAACAGTTCAATAGCCGCCTTTCATTTTGAACAGGACAGCGTCTTACATCCTTAAATTACTCCTATTTGTCTAGACATTTGCATTTGACGGAGGCCGATTCGTCTGCATAGATGTGGAGAGAGAACCAAGACCGAGTGGAAGAGTCCTACTCCGATCGTCATGACACCGCTTTTTGAATTTATTTCACAATAGATGGCCGACCGGATTAATTCGCTGCCGAATAATTCGAATAGCCGCGTAGTCGTGTAGTCGTACACCGTAGACACCGGTGAGTTGTATGATTGTCTAGTCTGCTATACGCGACTCCTCGTACCATCTCTACCTTCTGGGCGACTCGACTGGCGATCATGCCCGCCCTCCACACTCGACCTTCTACCCTCTAGATTGCTTGCGAACTTTCTCTTTAGCCCAAACAATACGGAAGATCGGGCAGGAACAAGAAGGTTTTTCTACGCGAAGAGATAGCGAACCCCCCTTTTTGTGGAGCAGGGATTGTTGTCGTATTTATATTAGATTCTATCGAGAAAGAAGATCTAACCACTATCTTCAGTCTCAAACAGGTGCTTTACAGTTTATAGGTTGTGAAAAATAACGCTTTCCCTCGCGAAGTTACCTCGTTCCTTCATCCCTTTTTGCGATACGGTTTGCTTCGGGATGACAGGCTAGAAGATTAGGGGGAGGATGATGACCCAGGTGTCTTAAAAATTGGTCCATGCAACATTAAGACATCCGAATTGGCGCTGTCTCGTATATGTAGTATGGTTATGCGGGACGTGTGCACGAATATGAAGGGAGACTTGGCAGGCATCGAAAAGGCGAAGGGAGAATATAGCGTCGTTCAGGAGACGGCAATTACTAGGGCGCTGCTTGCCAAGACTCGCCTGGACTGGTAATTTAAAATGAACTCGCAGTGTTTGTGGAGAATATTGGAGAGTATAGTAAAGATGACAAGCTGCGCTGGTTTCCCGGCAGCGAAGCAGACCACGCGCTTTGCATAAATGGATCGAGGTTTCCAATGCGTTTGTTGCATGATGGCCATATAGTCAGACGTGTGGAAATTGTTACAGGGAGCTGCATTTCGTATGCGCGAGTGGACGGGCCATTCGGCATTACTGCCTCAAAAAAAAAAACGTCGCAATGGCGCAATATGAAGTAGCGGTGGGACCGCTTGCTCTGTCGAACCAGCGCGCCTCCACAGACAACCCCTCGTCTGGTAATGTCATTGTCTTTGTTTTCTTATCGACAAAGGCGGGAGTGGTTCAGGCAAGGGGTCAAAGGCGCACTGTCCACTTTACATGACCACCATCCCTGATTTTGTCGATAGTACCATAGAAAAGGACCCATCGATCGAGGAGACATTAATGGAAGGAAGGGTCAATAGGAGCAACTACTACAACCCTCCGCGTTAACAGAGGTCATAATACGAAGATTAACATGACCTTTGCTCGCTTAGGTGGTACAGGGACGAAACCTCTTGTCCCCCAAGCGAAGCGCGTCTTTACAGATCTACCCGTACCGCTGAGCCGGCCTTGGCTGTATGATGCACCAAGCTCAGCAAACCATTCCCTCGGTTCCAAAGTTCGCTGCCTCGAGCCATTGGTTTCGGCTAGCGGCTTTCGGATGCTAGGTTTTGGTCAAGCCTGGGGTATGTCCAAACGAACAAGCCGGATCGGAAGTGGTACGTGTCCCTTTTTCGATCTACAGAGAAAGAGAGAGAGAGGATGGGGAGACAGACGACGTTTGAGCCACAAATCTGCTTGTTTGTCAGATCGCATCGCTAGCCGATCTACGAGAGACGCGACAATCACAGCTAGGCAGATAGAGGGACCCAGATCTATGCCAGCTCGACAGGATGGGTGCGTCGCGGTGCACTGCAGATTGGAGAGAACGTGTTTGTGGATTTGGATTGGCGACCGCGAACAGCTGTCCCGATCGTTATCGTGCCTTCAGGAGGAGTGGTAATTTCTACCGCCAGCCTTGCCCAGTTGTCCCGTCCATGTCCCTGTGGTACCCATCGGTCTCTGTCCTCCTCTCCGCTCTCTGGCGATTTGTATTCGCCCAAAGAAGGTTTTCTTTTGCTGAGTATTTTTTAATAGGTTTTTTTCTTTCCCAGCACTCTCCACATTTTTTTTGTCCGCTCACTTTCACATGCCAACCCCTCACGAAGAGGAGAGGGGACGGACCAGGTGTATTTTGGCATCTTTGGAGTACAACCCCTCCACCACTGCTTCCTATCCTGTTCCCCCCCTTTTCCACAGAGTACCCGTGGCAATTCATTCCTCCTGGCCGCTCTTTATATGTTGACATATGCGAAGGGGAGGCAAAAAAGACTCCTCCAAAAAGGAAGGTAGACTACAATTGGCACTTTACAATGAACGTGGAGAATAAAAATAAACATGAATAACGTGCACAAGAGCATCACAGAATGGTGTGCTTTCTCTTTTGATGCATCCTACTCAGTCTGGATCCAAGTACTGATCGGTCGGTCCCTGACTCTGCTCCTGTCATTCTTATGCTGACCAAGATAATTCAACATGAACACAAAGGACCCATCCTGAACACTGGACATCCAATCTGCAGAGACGACGAATGCAGGGCTAAGTAAGCTATAGCAGAGGGAGCGAAGGTCATTTGCAACCTGGTTGTGTATCTGATATGCTACGTTACTGGCTTTGCTGAGCGGGGTAAGGAGTGATAGTGGAGCGAGAGACGCAGCGTAGTAGGAACAGTAGCGGACGCTGTTGTGATTTGTCGTCGCAGCTGGCGACGATAAGACGACATATGTTTGCATGTTTGCGGCTGCCTTTTTTAAACGATGGTTTTGTTTTTTAATTAGAGAGGGTCAGTAAGGTCCTCCTCGTCATTATCACTATTCAGTCGCAATAGAAAATAAAAGTACCCGGCCACAATCACACCACTTCTTCTGTAAAGAGTGTCTCCGCTTCGCTGCATATACTGCATATGGAACAACGACCCAGTTCCCACCACAACACAATTCAGACACAAAGAAAGAACAATTCAATAGTAAAGTAAAATAGGGTGCAAAAACGAAGCGAGCCATGCCACAGCAGCAGGACCCTCGCGCGCATGTTTCTGATCCGTTCCTCCATCCTGGATTCGTGCCTGGTATAAAAGGGAACCCGCATCCCTCTGTCCCCGATCCCCTTTCCTCTTGACAATCCTCACACTTTCTTTCTTGACACATCTGAACGACACGTTTTCCTCTTCTTCGTTCCCTCTTCACTGACTACTGCACACTCATTCAATCTCCTCCTCCCTCTCCCCTCCATCCTGCTTCCACAAGTACGCACACCCCTTGTTCCTTATCTCGGCTATCTCACTTCAAAAGTCAAATAAAAGGCCTCAACCATTCTCCACATTCCCTCTCTTCCTCCCTCTTGACCCTTCATATACCATCACATTGCAACAATGTCTTCAACCTCACCCTTCTCGCTCGCCGCTATCATGAACGACCCAGCTCCAGATTCCAGCGCGCCTGCATCCCCCAGTTCCAGCGCTGATTCTGATCATGAGTCTTCTGAACAGGCCACTCGTCCTTACGAATGCCATCTCTGCGACAAATCCTTCTTCCGCCTTGAACACCAAACCCGCCATATCCGCACCCACACTGGCGAGAAACCACACCCATGCGACTTCCCCAACTGTGACAAACGCTTCTCTCGTTCCGATGAGCTTACCCGCCACATGAAGGCCCATACCTCCGCCTGCAAGAACGGCAACGCAGACGTCCTCTCTACATCTCCCCACCATTATGCAACATATCAGGACTATCTGCAGGCATTGGAGTCGGCCGAATGGGCAAGGAAGCACATCTGCCCCGTTCCCAACTGCTACAAGTCCTTCACACGGTCAGGTCACCTTGCTCGCCACATTCGCTCGCACACCTCAGAAAAGCTGTTCGTTTGCCCCATCGAAAGCTGCGGATTGGGCTTCACCCGCTCAGATGCCCTTCGCGAGCACGCCAGAGTCCACGTCTCCAGGAGCCGTAGCCGCAAGTCTCAGTCTGGCAAGAAGTCTGCTTCTCATTCGCCTGCCAGCACTGCCCGTTCGTCCATGTCTCCTTATCCTCAGTCACCATCCCACTCTGAGTCCGAGGAGTCCGCAACGGATCTTCCGTCCTGGGCCAGAATGACCCCGATCCACCCTCCAAACACAATCCAGTCTAACCTGGACCGGCCCTTTGCCTCCCAGCACGGCTCATTCGCGGAACATGCTGGCATGCTTCAGACCCCTCCATACTCGCCTCCTACCTCGCCTCGTTACGGCAGCTCCAGCTCGAGCAGGTATGCAGTCGCTCCCTACCCACAGTTCAAGACCCAGGCAGCACCTCAGCCAAGCCTGCCTTCGTTGATGGAGGCCAACTATAACCTTCACCAGCACCGTCGCCAAACCAACAATCATCGTATTACTGACATCCTGAACGGCTCAAAGAACTTGTCACTTCCTTTGCCAACACCCAGCGCAAACAACAACAGCAATACTCTGGGCTTTGGAGCAGAGTTCAGCAGGACATTGCCTCCCATCTCGTCCTTGCTTCCCATCTTTTAATATTTTTCTTTATTCCCTTCCGGCAGTGCCTAACATTCATTGCTGCCGTTGTATATAGCCCATGCTCCGTATCGCTTTTTCTTTCTCGCTTTCTGTAATATTGCATCGCTTTGCTGTACTTTACATATATGATCTTTTCCGTAAGAATCAACCACCAAAAAAAAAAAAAAAAAAAAAAAAAAAAAAACTACAACCATACCCGTTCTGATAGCTAGTACGAGATACATAATAAACCCTTCAATGGAATAATAGACAAAAAATAACTGCATCTGATCTGATTTAGACGCGGCGCTTCGCATCCAAGGCGCCCTTCTGCCGCAGTTTTAAACAATTGTTGATTGATCGCGTCAGACTAAAAAAAAAAAAAAAAGTCGCACGCTTTGACACGAATATGCCCATTAGCTTCTGTTCTCGAAGGGGTGCATAGAAACCCGAATGAAAGCTGGAGGTACTATCGAGAATCTGTATGCACTCCTTCCCACTATCACGAGCCGGGACAGCATGCAAACTCCACGTTCAGAAGCTCTACGAATTCAGGTGTTTAGAAATGATAGCGGCCTCTTCTCAGCTTGGTTCTGGCCTTTTTACATATAGTTCTTCTACACTTGCTAAGAGAACATTTGTAACATGAATCTGTTCTGTGTAAGGAAACGAAGGCTCTCAGAAGGAATGATAACGGTCGTGTATGACAATGCCATTTACGTTGACAAAACACAAACACTGTTTGCAATTTGTTGAAGTTTCGTCCGTGGACGCGCTGTGGTTACTTTACGAAGGTTTCCCTGTGTTTGTGTACAAAAAAAGTCCTGTAATTGCTTACTTTATTTGAGCCGCGCACGTTTGTGCCTTTCCCCACCTCTCAGCAGTTTACAAACATAGCTGCAACGTACGATCGCTTGGTCACGTCGTTGACTAGATCTGTAAACATTTATCCATATTTTTGACCAAGCAACTGGACACAGGAGGGTACAGGATTATGCAATTACAAAGAATAAGGTCATGGTTCCTCATTTCCTGAATACATCACGTATATCACGCATGCTCGCGTTCTATCTTTATTGAGAATGTGTGGAGTAGGCCAATAACTGTTCTCAGAGAATGAGGGTTATTTTTTTGGTAGTTCAGCTCAGAACGAACTTGTATTCCTTTGAATTTCATTGCCCGAGCCGAACCCTTCTTTGAGCACTTTTATCAATGGGTATCCCGCTATAATTTATGAGCTGGAGACACAGGATGAGCTTTCTTGGGTTTAGGATTGCTGCTCACTGGTTCATGTCTGGAGGAAAAAAAAAATCTGGGGGTATAGTTTAAGAATACAGAGATAAGCTTGAACTTGAATGGGCCATCAATCACAGCAACGAGGGCATCATGTCAGTCAAGTCCGTTCCAGGTATCGGCTGCGATTAAAAAACGTGCACCAGTAGTAGCCTACATCCGGCAATTGTATGCTGGCTGCTTTTTTTTTTTTTTTTAGAGTGAAGAGGATGTGGTTTTGAGGGCCGATGTCTAGTTATTCATATGTCACCGACGCGGATCATCAAACCGTAGTTCTGTTCGGAGGAATACGATCGCTACGAAGGAGTATGTATGTGTGTGGAGGGGCAATGAAAACGCAGCCCGGCACCTGTAGGAGGGAAGCCATTTATGGGGCAATATGGAGTCGATTAATTAGGTGATCGGATATAATTTTATTAAGCAGCTCAATCAACTATGGTCCTACAACCTCTGTAACCGTTATTCCAACCCAAGAGGCTCCCCATTTCATCCATTTCTGTGTCTCATCTCGGAAGCGTTTCTTTGAAGCCGGCAGTTTCGATCGCCTTTTTTATATTCTGTGTTTGTCAGCCGCAGGCCATGTTCCTAAAAATTACTTGCGGGGTACGCTTTCGACATGGCCATGCGAGTATGGCTGCACCTAGAGCTGACGGGCCCTTGTACCACTTCCAGTGCAATGAACGAATACTAGATCCGTAGCCATCTGGGCTGAAATAGTCATGCCGCCATCCTGGTCCGAGTAGGAGGTTATCTGGAAGTCCTTCGCTTGAATATGCTTTTGTTACTCGAGGGGTTGTTTGTATGTTGACTGTCTACCAGATCGGGCGAAGTCAAACGAACTCGGCCCTCCTATTGTCACGTGCATTTTGGTGGCAAAACAGAGCGCGACGGTGGCAACTGATAAAAGGTCTTCTTTTACCATATGTCGCGTCTCTAATCCCTCATTCATTCTACTTTCCGCACACATCTCATCTCTCCTCCATTCCACCACAGCACAATGAGCTCCAATTCCGACAACTTGACGCTACCTGTAGAGAATGAAATCGATGGCCTGCCCGAAGACGAGGAATCACCAACTCAGGATGGCAACAATGTTCTCGTCAGCCTGTGTTCCCTCACGCCGACGGCAAAGAATATTGATCTCACCAGAAACAAGACGATTGTTGGAAGGAATGCAGGTAACTATCGATCGCGAGGTCGCTTTGAGGAGACGGCTAATAGCGACCAAGGTACTAATTGCGGTTCGTCATAGCGAAATGCACTGAAGGGGCTGTGCTGATGGGCGATACTATCTCAGGAACGCATTTCGAGATCACGTCGCGGTCAATGCAGGATTCAAAGGCTGCAATCTGGATCAAAGACACTTCGTCGAATGGCGTATGGGTCAACAATACGCGAATCGCCAAGGACGAGCCGATAAAGATTTTCAACAAGGACATCGTCAGCTTCGCCGCGTCAAATGGATCACAAGGCAAGGGTATGTATCTTATGTATCTTGTACCGGGAAGACTCAAGGAATATCTTGTGTCGAGAAACAATTAGTAAAATATTATTCTAATATGCCTTGTGGTTCTAGATACCCTTTCGTTCATACTCATGGACAACAGAAAGAGAGCAGCATCTAAGGGGCCCCAGCAGGACCGGGCGAAACGACTCCACGAGGAAGTAGACGCCCAGTCTTCAATACAAGATTCTGGACCGGACGCAAAGAAGAAGAAGGCAGACGCGGATGAGGATGAGGCTAATGATTTCGAAAAAGAGTTCAGTTGTGGTATTTGTTACGAGATCATGCACAATGCTCTTGTCCTTCAGCCATGTCTCCACGCGTTCTGCAAAGAGTGTTGCAAAATCTGGTTCCAGAGGTAAGAAGGCTATTCACTATCAGTCAATACAATTGTTTATACATTGCTGAATCTTGATCCCAAGTCTTATGACGACGATTTTGTTTATTGTCTCTATATGCTAGATCGTCCGAATGTCCCAGCTGTCGACAGGGTGTGGCTAGGACTAAGCGCGACTTCAAGCTCAACAATCTCATCGCTGTCTTCCTCAGAGCCCGGCCACATATGAAGAGGGAAGACGCAGAAGATGATGGCGCTGATAGCGATAGCTCTGATGTTGTCAAGAAACGCCGCGGCAGGAATCGCCATCATGGCGACGATGACATCGACATCGAGGAGGAAGACGATGAGGACGACGACGACGACGATGATGAGTACGACATCCGGGTCATCTTTGATAACAACGCTGGACGGGATTTACCCCTTCATCCCAATTTTGCTCAACTTCCGCCAGGTTGCCCATGTTGCGATGTAGACAACACTCTCGGATATGTCTGCCCAGTTGAATTACGGCTTGGGCCATTACCACAGAACCCAACATATGGGGAGTATTTTGATCGTCGCGCCATTCAACCGGGTCATATACAATGTTTGGCCTGTACGAAGCATTTGCCTATCATTCCTCAGGATGTCGAGGAGGCAGTCGCGGACAAATTCAGATGTAAGTGCTGATCAATATTTCCATTAATGTGCAGTCCTCAATCAAGTTTGGCTGCACCTTTTTAATAACGATGACCCATCAACCCCATATAGGCAAAATGTGTCATATTGCATCCTGCGGGTGTCAGACGAAGAGTGTCGAGGATTACATTGTACACTCCGTGCCTATCAATGGATATTTGAACAATAGTGAAGAGAAAATCATCAATGATTATCTGAGAGAAAAGAACCGCACCCCAGCGTCGGTCTGGCAGGAAATTAAGGATGGCATTGACAATGGCGATTTTTCGTACCTGGGAACGACGGACAGACCTGCGGCACGCGGACAGGACGTGACCAGTGCCAGTAAGCTGTGCTTGGGGTGCGCTCGCGACTTCTTCGCTAATGGACCACTATACCAATGGCGGGTCGCAATAAGCCCAGATGAGTTGCCTGCTGCTGTCAGAAATCGAGAGAACTGCTGGTGGGGCAGAGAGTGTCGTACACAGCACAACTTCCTACGTCGAGGACATGCGGAGCGACTCAACCATATGTGTGAGAAGCGGCGAGGCCGGACTTAGGCCCCGTAGCAGGACCCGATCCTGCAGTATGTCGGTTTCGAGATTTCGTTAGTCCGTCGAGGGTCAATAAAGCTAACTTCAATGTATCTTCACGTTTTACCATGGTGTGTCTTGAACTTCCGCTCAGCTCATGCACAGCATTTTTTTTTTTACTTGATCAATGGTCACGTGTGTGACACATATCCAATGGGGCCCATGCGACCGGTGGACCACCGAGGAGGTCCTTGAAGCCCACTGCTCACCATCTGCTGTGCCGCTCTTCTCTTCAATCGACTACCCTCAGTCATCGATCCTCTCCGCTTCTCCACTTCTCCACTGCTCCACTGCTCCAGTCTCTCCTCCTGGCACACCCCCGCATTCCTCAGAAAAATACATCCATATTCATCTCACACACCCACACATACTTTTAAATCAACCAACCATGGCCAGCTGGGATCAGATTCGCAGCGAAGTGCGCTCCTTCCGGGCATCAGTTCAGCCCACGGTAACGACTATCCGGGATTTTACCTTCGACTCGGAGAGGGATCGCATTTACTTTCTCGCCAACGACCTCTCGCGCTCCTCAAAGTCGCCTATGCTCTTTAGGGTCGACCTTCCTCGACCGTATGAGGCATCGTTTTCCTCTGTTCCTTCCTCCTATTGCTCTGACTCTGACACGGACACAAACACAGGCGCATACATTGAAGCAGCAGATACAAATGCAGATCCTGTGATCTCACAGCAACATAGCGCTGACAGGCACCATCCACGCCACCACCGAAGCAGTTCAGTCCAGGAGGAGGACAACATCAATAATGGCAGCGATGGCGACGAGGATTATGACATGGATCTGGTTCCTTTCAACCCAGAGTCGTACCAGTTCTTTGCTTCACCGGCACCGCCTATTCAGATCATCCCCAACCCAAGAGAATCAGTTGCTGGTGCTGGTGCCACTTTGAATTCCGCCAGCTCTTTCTCTTCCTCAGCCGACAGATACCCACATCATGCCTACACGACCAAGCCATCTACCTCGGCCACGGCCCAGATCTTGGCAGCAGCACCAGTGTTGAGCTGGACACCTGTTCTGACGGAGGAATGGCTCCGGCACTGCAGCAACCACCTGGGCCACTCTCAGAGCGATCGCCTCACCTTCTATCAATTTGAGCCGCAGGTGAATCGTCTCATGTTTCCTTACGGCGCAGTCATCTACACTGGGGATGTGCAGGAGGTAACCCCTGATTATTCTGAATCCGAGTCAGGGCCCACCAATTTTTTGGCCCATACTTAGTACTTGGACTGACTCAGCCCTCTTGATCTTTCTTTTGTCTTGTGAAACCATTACTAGGACGGTAAAGTTTATCCTCAACCTGCGCGGACAGAATACTCGGGAGCAGAATCAAATCGCAATCGAACGTACTCCAGTCTCGTCCAAAATGCCCTGACAGCCGGACTGAACCTCGTTTCCGTCTCCGGACCATTGGCATCGCCTCGTGCATCAGTCTCAGGATCAGAAGCCTCCAATCTGGACAAGGGCGCAGGATCGACAGGCGCAAAAGCGGATCCAAGGCTAGGCGGATCAGAGATGGATCTCATTGCGTTTACACGCGACCAGGATATATGGGTCATGACAACTTCCGGAGTCGAGACACAACTCACATTCTGCTCCAGGAATAAGAAGAAATCAGGTATCAGCTGCGGGATCGCCGAGTTTGTCATGCAGGAGGAATTCCATCGGTTCACAAATTACTATTGGGCCCCATCGAAGCCTTCAAAGCCGCAGCCAGCGCCCGTACACAAAATGCCCCCGCCGCCATCGACATCGTTATCACAACATGAGAGCCCATCACCATCACCATCACCATCGTGTAGCCCAGCATCTCCATCGATATCACCGACTTCGTCTCCACTATCGATGTCATCGCCCTTCGTCTCTGATACACTTCCGGTTCCAGCGACGAGTAAGGTGCACTCAAGGGTAACGGAGAAAATTTTGTATCTACAAGTGTCTGAGGCGATGGTCGATCTTGTTGTGATCCCCAGACAGGGTATGCATCCGGAATACGAGGAATACAGGTACCCACATGCAGGAACGCCAAACGCCGTCTCGGATCTGCAGATCGTTGAGTTTAATCCAAAACTGTCTGAGGAGGTACTACAACCAGATATGTGGAATCTAATCGCGGCAAATGAGGGCTTGTTTAACATTTTTGCGATGGACTTTTATAGGATGTTACTCTAGAGCCGCTTCACAAGCGATTGTGGGGTAAGGCGTCGTTGTACAAGCTGTTCCCATGGCTGGAGTACATTGTCCGGTTCGGATGGTTGCCAGACGGGGAGGGGTAGGTGAATCGGAACAAATTATGAGTGAATACTGTTTTTGAATCGTATGCTGACATGAATCATTGGGCCGTTGTAATAGCGTATGGGCCCAACTTTTGGATCGACGACAGCAGATTATGGCCATTGTTACGATACCTCTAGAATGCTTCATGTCCGTGGCCGAGCAATCAGGATCATCGGAGGAGATGGAGGACAATCTTGTCAGTCGCATCCGAATTATCTACGAGGAGCAGAGCGACTACTGGATCAATGTACGGCTTGAAGGGATGTCTTTTGCGAACCTCATTTATTCTATAGACTGGATACTAACGCTAGAACATTGCTGAAAATAGATCACCGATATCATGTATATATTTTCGCCAGAAGACACTTCAGCGGATGCCAATGAGGCAGGTGACACGATCCAGCTCATCATTTCATCTGAGCAGACAGGATATCGGCATCTCTATCTGGCTACGTATTCGCCCTGTTCCGGATCAAAAGTCATTCCAATAACGGCGGGCCAATATCAGATTGTGGACAAGCAGATCAATGTGGATACATCGCGGCAACTGGTGTATTTTACTGCCAAACGGGACTCGGTGCTGGAGACCCATCTCTATGTCGCCAGCTATGCGGAAGGCGCTCAGCCAGAGAACGTGAAGCGGCTTACAGAGCTGGGATTTACCCATCAAGTCACCGTGGACGTGGGCAAGAGTCGGTTCCTGACAATGTATTCGAGTGTGGACCAAAGTCCTGCCTGCGCGGTAATGCACCTGCGCTGGGTGGATTGTCGACACGCGAGGTCATCGGCCATGTCGATGGATAGCGGCGAGCAAGGAAGGGCGTGGTGTGCGTGCGGCTGTCACTTCCCAAAGATCTCGTCTCATGCGTTTGTGATCCGGGAGGGCATCTACAACCAAGCAGCCAAGAATATCCGCCGTTATCCTATTGTGAACTCTTCTGCACATTTGGGACATTCGCGCTCGTGCTCGGACTCTTCTATGAACCCTTCGCGGATGGACTCGGCGTTAAGCGGCTTTAGATCTGGCTCGATGAACTCGATCTCTGGGTTCCTGGCTAGTCATCTTTTATCGACCAGCCTACTTCCAAGTTCCAAGGTGTTTAGCCAGAGCCATGACTCGAGCATAGTGCTGAGTTCCGGTGCTGGATCAAGACGGAGATCAAGCCTCAAATTCTCTTCGTCTCCCTCGGGCGCATCGCCGCTCTCATCCTCGTCATCGGCCCCCTGCGCCGTCACCAGTGCTACGAATCATCCGGCGGCCGAGTTCTTTACGTTCATGAGCTCTGATAACGTGCAGTTACATGGCTGTCTCTACCGTCCTGCGAACTATGTCGAGGGCCAAAAATATCCGACATTGGTCTCAATCTATGGCGGTCCTCGATCACAAATGGTGACGAACGAATACAAGCTGCCCAAGTTTTTGAGGATCTTTTTGGCGACGAGGCTCGGACACGCAGTAGTGATGGTTGACGGGCGGGGAAGCAACGATCGAGGACTGGAATTTGAGGGACAACTGCGACATCGCATGGGCCAGATCGAGATCAGGGACCAGGTCGAGGGACTGCAGTTCCTAGCTCGGCCTGAAAATGGGGGTCTTGTCGATATGGAACGCGTCGCGATCTCCGGCTGGAGCTATGGTAAGTGGTCTTAATAGAGATGGCATTCTGAACAAAGGTGACCAGAGCGGTTTGTTTAACCACTTGTTGGTATATTAAATGTTTTAGGTGGATATCTCACGCTTATGGCTTTAGCACAATACCCGCACATCTTCAAGCTGGCTATTGCAGGCGCGCCGGTTACGCAATGGGAGCTCTATAACTCTGCGTACACGGAGCGTTACATGGGTCTAGTTCACGAGAACAAGGATGGATATATAAAGAGTAATGTCCTCAACTGGGTCGACAAGTTCCCTGACGCGTAAGGAAAACCAAAGAATGCTGAGATCTATTTTCTTTTTTTTTCGTATCCAAAACAATATGGATTGTGCTAACGACAGCTTTCGTAATTTCTTCATTTACAACAAATGTTAGTGAGAACCGGCTGTTAATCGCACACGGACTGATTGACGAGAATGTGCATTTTAAGAACACGGACACGCTGGCAGCGGATTTGATACGGCATAACAAACCGCACCAGATCCAGATCTATCCCACAGAGCGACATGGTCTAAGAGATGCGCGTGTCAACGAACACTTCGAGACGCTCATGTTTTATTGGCTAAAGAACTATCTGTAGATGCAAAAGCGTTTCGAATAAAGTGTCAGGATGCGATGCATGGCCAAGCAGAAAAGAAGCTCATTACGGCGAAGCACGTTCGTTGTGGCCAAGCACATAAAATAATGTATAAATGTTGCATGAACGTTCATCCTGCTCATCATACGATCCATCCCTTCGGATAACTCCAAGAGGGCATTGCAACATCAGTAATATCTCAAGAGCAGCTCCCTCAGCAATAGCGAGAGCAATGATCGCAGCCACATCCTACCACCAACCCTCACAAGACGCCCGTGTTCTCCCAGTCACCCCATCGCTAGAGAAGCTAGATTTGAGTCCTTGGCTGTCGCCAACTCGATCTATGCAGGAGACCAACCTAACAGCATCTGGAGTCCGTGACGATTACCAATGTATAATCGACGTGATAAACGGCAATTTCGCAACAATAGCAATGAACGTTGGAACAAATGGTCGCTACTTTTAACGTGGACTCCAGCAGAACTACGACGCCGATGACTATCTTGAAACGAGTCTGCACATCGAATTGACGATTCAGGACCTCGTCAAGCTCAACACGGGTTTGATCAGATGCGGAGGACTGGCAACGTTTAACTGTATCAATGAGACCAGGCAGAGTGTCCATCGACCGACCCAGACTCGGAAGATATCTAGATCTGCTGCGATAAGTTCTAGTACATTTCTCAGGAAAAGCAGGAATTTTTCAAGACACTCATAAAAGGATGTATCACTGGGACGACAGAACCAAGGGTAGCGGCGGCAATTTTTGACACATCGTACTTGAATCCTTTTTAGGTAATGGTTGGGGGCAAGGGCGCCACGATCCAGAGCATGAAAGGCACGTCGGCAATGCGGTCTCGTATCATTTTTTTTTTTTAGAACGTGTTGGCCAGACACTGGGAGACCTGAACAGATCTTGCCTCCAGGCACTTGTTTTCTAGTTGAAGAAAAGGGTAAGTGCTCCAGGTGAGTCTCTCTGTTTGCTATTTTGCCATACAACCTGGGTACTCCTAAACTATCCATTTGTTAAAGCGTTTTCTTCATGTTTGCTTTGTCTTTGGATAGATTAACATCTGGCCGCTTTCATGAGCACAGTCTGGGGCCACGGCAGGACCACGGCAGGCCGTCAGTCCAGGCCCCGGTGTTCGTTTTTTTTGGGTCCTTAGTGCCAAATCACCGCTTTCAGTACGTTTCACGTATCTTCCGATGTCAGCCTACAAGGACAGTCTTGAAGATCAGAGGACCTAACAGGGAAATCAGGAGCAGACTGACTAGTACATCCGGAGGACCCCAAAAAGATGTCTAGGCAATGACTCAGTCCCATTCGGGGGAGCTTTTTCGAAAGCTGTTGTTTCATGACAAGGAACCTAACTACGATCGATAAGTTTGCACGGCATTTTCTCTCCCGATAACTTATCCTTGCCACACCTGCTCGGTCTAGACCCTTCGCCTTACCGAGAGCAGCTCGAAACACTCACGACTCAGTCTGCGTCCACACCAGAACACTAAAGAGCCAGAAAAGATGTGAAGGCAATAGCAATCACAGGGAATGTTCTGGACAGCACCACTCGGAAGGGGACGGTCTTCAGCTCAAGGCCCACGTTTACAGCCTGGCTTAGCACAAGAAGGATGAAGACGAGGACGAGGACTAAAATAAGGACAAATCAAGGACAGTAGCAACAACGCCTGCAGCGCCTCCTGCTCCATAAAGCTGACAAAGGCAAATAAGGATATACACGAAGTACCTCGCCAAAGCGATTTTGAGTCCGGAGGAAGTGCAAGAGGAAGTTAAGGACCAAGAGAGCCACATCGTGCTTACCATCAATCTAGGTATAAATAATACAGCAACGGTCGTGGTCGTGGATTCGTTCATCCCTGTAAAGCCCTGGAGCCTGCGGTTCTCCAAAGAACGCCATATCTGGAACAGTTAACGGTGTACAAAGCTGTTAGGGCACCCCAAAAAAGATAAGCGGATCGAGGCTACAGAGCATTGACGAGCATCAATGACTTCGAGGCAATGATTCAGCCTGTGAGGTGTTCCCAACCCTCGAGGAACCGAGTTGTCTCCGCAGTTCAAGGAACTCGGGAGCTCCTGCCAGCAGCATGTAGACTCAGTCTCCACAGCCGAGAAAGACTTAAGGGGGCCTTTTACGTATCGAAGGTTCTGAAGGTTACACGATCCATGGAGTGCTCAGGACGGCCTGCAGAAGGGCGAAGTATGATGGTGACTCCAGGAGCAAGAATGGAGGGGGCCGGTCAAGCCGAGCAAGTTCATATCAAAGCCCCAGGCTCAAGTAGGTGAAAAAGGCTGCGGAAAGTGGCAGTACAGGTCTTTCTGGGCCTCCACGTTCAGTTATGCTGTGGCGAAGCACTTATGGTTGGACAGGCTTTCTACCACGTATGAGATATGCGCATCATGCGCTTCCTTGACCGAAGCTGTCGGTATATAAACGAGCAGCGCTTGAACACTTCCTCCGGAAGCAACAGTTGAACACCTTACCAGCAACAGCACCACTCCCAATTCATCCATCGCACAAAGAACCATGACCTCACACCCCCTCCACGCGATCCTCGATCCTCACAAATCCGCAGCTCTACAACGTTCACCCCCGACACCCGTTAACCTGGACCTCAAGCCTCTTCTCTCTCGAAACCGTCAAGGCCTACCCGTTGTCGCCTTCACCCTCCAAGACATCCTCAGTCCCAAAGAATGCGCAGCCCTGATCACTCGCTCTGAATCTATCGGCTACGACGTCGCCCTCGTGAACGTCTCCCAAACTGGGGCCGGAGTCCACATACCGGGCTACCGTGACGGCCAACGCGTCCTCATCGATGATATTCCCTTCGCTGCCGAACTCTTTTCCCGCATCCGACCCTTTATCCCGGCCACCTACCAATCCCGCCCGATCATCGGAATGAACGAGCGACTGCGGTTCCTCAAATATAATCCAGGGGATCAGTTCCAGCAACATATGGATGGCGAGTACCGTCGTGCGGACGGATCCGGACACGTTACAAAGATCACGGTGCAGTTCTATCTGAATGAGGCCTGCAAGGGCGGGGCGACGACCTTTTTAGAGGAGCGGATGCTTTGGCGGCAGGATGGGGACGAGGACGGGAAGAAGCTGGCGGTCGAGCCAAAGACGGGTCAAGTCTTGGTCTTCCAGCATGATTTGGTTCATGAGGGAAGTAGGGTCACGGAGGGAGTCAAGTATGTCATCAGGAGTGATATCCTGTATGGGCCACCTATTCACAATTTCAAGTAGACTTCATCTGTCTCCTTTAAGCAGCAATAGTTCTTCAATGAGCAGAGCAACAAATACATGCACATTTTTTCTTTTGTTAGACCAGTTTGCTCCCTGTTGGGGCATTGGTGATTATATTGATAAAACTAAACACAGCTATGTAGAAATGAAGATGAAGAACGAGACTGAACACAAGTGAGAAGATGCTGGGGATTAGGAAGTGCGATGGAGCAAAAACAAAAAACAAACAGACAAGCAAACAAACAAACGGATAACGATGGTATTTGGTATTAGTGAGAGGGTAAGCGAGATAGGTCAAAGAAGAGGATGGAGATTGACAGACATGAATAGGGTTGCGAATGTGAAGGTGGGGAAGGGGAAGGGGTATCAACAGGCAATGAAATAGACAAAAAAAAAAAAAAAAAAAAAAAAGAACCAAGCATCTCGGATCTACGCAGATTCCGCCGATGTAGCTGCAAGAATGCTCTGTTCTGTCAGCTCCGGCTCCTTATCAGCGCCCTCGTCCTCAAGCTCTTCGACCTTCACGGACGAGCTCTGCTTCTCGGGCGCCGCAATACTAAGAGACTCCATCTGCGCATCCACATCAACAACTAAGGCCAAAGACGTCGCCTTCACATCCTTTGATTCCTCCACAACCGAGGCCACTGTCTCGCTCTCCTTCTCCGCCTCAGTCGTGGTCTCGTCGTTCAATGTCGGTGCCATCACTTTCTCCTCAGACTCCTCAATGTCCTTGAACTCTTCGATATTGTCGGGTGCGACGGCTTCTCCGCTGACTACGGATTCGCGTTCTGCGTCTTCGTCTTCATCTTCCTCTTCCATGATGATCTCGAATCCCGCAGCCTGGTTCTTGACAAGATCAACTTCCGCAATCGAACTCTCTTCCTCGCCCTTGTCTGTATCCCCCGCCTTCGTGCCCGAAGCGAGCTCCAGCAGCTGCGCTGTCGTCTCAATGACTAGAGCCATAGAATCTATTGTCCCCACAGACGACTCCTCCCTCTCCTTCTCCTCAGGCATGGCCAATGATGTAGTAGTAGGTGGGGTTGGCAAAGGAATTGGTGGCAATGCTGTCTGTGGTGGGGACGGCACCACAGAGTCAGAGCCTAATGAAATCGGGGTCAACGTCGCAAGACGTGCACAGAGTGCCGGATCCCGACTGGAAGGCTTCCTGCTCACAGCACTGCCATGCGACGCATTGCTCACCGAGGTCATGGACGAAAACGAACTTACGGACCGAAGAGACGAGCTCGAGAGCGAATGCTTATGATACAGCTGCATCGAAGCAGGTCGACTCGGGAGCGGACTGCTGACGTTCGACGATGTCGCCGAGACAGGTGGCTCGGGCTGCTGACCCATAGGTGGAGGTGGTAAGATCAAACTGCCGTGCATCAAGGGCATATGCTTGTTCATTGCGGCATCCCCGAGCCATTTAGGACCCTTCGGCGACGGAGGTGGAGTCGCTTCCCCAAGTCCGGTTGTGTTTGTCGCACCGAGACGCGGCGAAGGGGTATTGGCGCGACTGACTCTCAGAGGGACCTCGATCTGTTTAGCGCTCAATGTCAACTCCTGCGACTTTGAGCGGGAGCGGGTCTGGGAGGGACGATGCTTGATCAGCTGCTCTGGGTCATGATGCCTTGGTACGATTGAGATGCGGTGAACGGATCCGTTCGAGAGCGAGTGCTTGAGGGCCGAAAAAGGAGACTCTGATCGAGGTGGTTCCGGCAGCGGCGATGTTGGGGCGGAGGACAGCGTTGGAGACATGGGTCTTGAGGTAGTTGTAAGGATCGTTGGTCGGGAAGGGCTCCTGTATGTCCGTTCTTGAATAGGGCCCGTAGGTGAAGCCAAGGACAGTTCCAGGAAGGAGCTGTTACGAAGATGACGAGCGCCCGCTGCCCTGGAAGCCGAACCTCGGAGCCCGGGAGACAACTCACTGATGGGAGACATGGGACGGGAGGAGCTGTTTGCAGACTGAAGTCCAATCGTGGCGATCTGCAGCGGCGAGAGCTGTGTCGAATGTCTGGTCGTGACACTGGACGGCCTGTGGATGCTTCGTGGTGGTGGAGAGACCACCAGAGAGGACCGAGGGCTGGACCTGTTAAAGTTGGGACTCATTGGACGCGAGGACACTGGACTCATAGGTCGCGAAGGGCTTCCCATCAATCTCTGGGAACTCCGGCGCGGGAGCGTGATCATCGTCTCGGGCCAGTCGATGGCAATGGAGACGCGGCGTCCGCTACCCGTGGTAGACCTGGGTGTAGCTGTGCTTACACCATGGGCGAAGCCAGCCATGTCAGATCCACGGTTGCGGCGAGGCTCCACGGGTGGGGAAAGCGGTGGGAAGGGCTGGGATCGCTCCTCCTCTGGTGGAAGTGCGTCTGCTTGTTCCATGACCGTGCCGAAGCTCGCGTATTCAGTCGGAGCCTGGGTTGATGAAGTTGTGCTGCTCTTTCTCTCCATGGACTCTTGTCCTAGACTCTCGTCTTGTGAACTCGATCCAGACATTAAGAGGAGGGATTTTGGTGTCAATGATCTGGAGGGAAGGCTGTTGCTGCCCATGGTAGAAAACTGATAGAGATCAAACTGCTGCGAGGGGTGAGGAGAACGCAGGGGAGGCGAAGGTGATCGGTTGAACATGGCAAAGGCGTCGTATTGGCTCGGAATCGTAGGCATAGGTGCAGCATCGGCCATGGCTGCAGACGAGGAGGAAAGATCCGACATTTCCGAAGAATCCGAGTAGTGAGTTCCCGGTCGTGAGTCTATTGTGATGCCACGGAACCGGAGTACGATCGCCTTGAGCTCCCGGAGCCAGCCCGACATCTCTGCGGCCGTGTCCGCGAGCACATACCAGTTCTTCTCGCCTGGAGATGTGATCTGTAGACAATAGCGTTTACCGGAGAAGATATCGGTCACACAGATAATGGTATCTGCGCAGAGTTTTAGCGATTCAAGCAGTGGGTGTTGAGGATCTGAGGACTTGAAGCAGTGAAGCGATGATTGATGAAGAATAAAGTAGCGTCGTTTCCATTGTTTGCGCGAGAAGAAGGTCCGGGAGGAAAACTTTGTGAGATAGCCCGAGTAGGACGCGCCGCGTTCGAAGTGTCGAACACGAAGCTGTAGCGGGCCTCCTGCAGTAGTCGGACCGGTCATGCCGTGTCCATGACCGTCCAAAGCGTCGTTTCCGTCTTCCTGGCCCTCATCTACAGCTATCTCTGTATTTTGCATACCGTGGGTCAATGTTGCGACCGAGTTATTGCCGTTATGTAAAAATGAGCCGGCGAGGGGAGAGGAGGGTAGGGAGCCAGCTCTGCTGTTCTGACGAGACCGTTGCAGGCGAATAGAATGACTGGCCGTTGCGGAGCTGTCGTCGTCGGTCGTGAGGTGGGTCATGGTACTATTAGAGGAATAGAACGAGTCCGTGGTTCTGTTGGAGTGTGCAGAGAAGCTGGAATGATTCAAGGTGCTACGATGGGTATGACTTATGGCGCTGCGTGTTGACGATGCTGAATATGGCTCGATGTTGCTAATAGTGGTCGCTGTGGTGGTAGCGCTGTTGATACTGCTGTTGCCGCTTCCACTGCGACTGTTCTGTTGCGATGCTATTGTGGTGATTGGAGTTCTCCGCTCGTCCGAAGACGATCTCCGGGCTGTCTGTAGAACGTTCTGGAGATTAGACAAAGCCCGACGAACGCCACTGGGGTGCTGATGATGACTGGAAGAGGTGCTGGGTCGCGAAGATACGGGCGAGAGTGTGGGTGAGTTTGAAGTATAGCTGGAGAAGGAGGTCTTTTTGCGCAACATTGAAGCAGTTTAGCGACAAACGGTCAGTGTTGTTGAGAATGCGATCAGTGTTGTTGAGAATGCGATCTATGTTATACGATCGATAAGGGGTTGAGGGGAATAAAGGACAAAAGAGTGCAAAGTGGCTGTTAGCAGAAAGGACTAGTTTACAGGAGCAGGTAAAGATGCCGGTGCAATCGTTCGTCGCCTTACCTGGTCAGACAAACGGACAGGCAGGAGAAGGGACAAGAGAACAGGGAAATAGGCTGATGGTTCAGAAGAAAAGGAGAGTGGGAGAACGGGGTACGGGGCTATAGTAGATGTGTAAGTGCAGGAATCATGCTCGACTTGGAAGTGTGAGGATGTATGGATGTTTATGAGAGGAAGAAGGTGCGGAAAAAGTGGAGTGTGTGCAGAAGGAGAATGAAAAACGAAGAAGAAAAAAGGAGTGATTCAATGTGTGTGGGTGAGGATAGGGAGAGATAAGTTGAAGAGAGACAGCAAGGACAGGATAAAGGGCGGTGTAGGCCGTTGGAGAGAAGAAAAACAAAAAAAGAAACGGTCTCTCTCTCTCGTCTCTCTCGTTTCTCTCTCGCGCGCTATCTCACACACTCTCTCACTGTCTTCAGGCACAGATTTGTATCCAGGGGTATGGAGGGATGTTACTGGCCGCGACTCAGAATAAGAAACAAGAATTTGGCGGGAGTGTCGCGTTGAGATTGGCTAAGATATATGCAGCCAGAACAAGTGTGAAAGTGAGAGATCCGGAAAGTGTGAATCGGCAATGGGAAAGAGGAAGGTGAATGAGGACCAGAACGAGAACGAGAATGAAGTAAGGGAGTAAAAGGATGCAAGAGAAAGAAAGAAGGAAGGAAAAGGCAAGAGCTATTTTGCCACGAGAAAGCAAGGGAAAAAAGACTCTCGTCGGAGGGATGAACTCGCTCGCCCTTCTTCTTTTTTGCTGCATGCTGGTGCATTCTTTCTTTCTTTTTTAAAGTCCAGGGGTTGGTTGCAAAGAGGACAAGACAGTACCTGTCCATGTACCCTCGTTGCTTGCTGCATATCCATGCAGTCATAGTGCGGCATGGCACTGTCCAAGTCCGCAACCAGGAAGAACCATTTCTACCCCAGCAAAGAAAAGACGAAGTGCAACAGCCATTTGACATCGCAGCCCTTTTCAGAAAGATTATCGATCCTCACTCTTCGCTCTCCCTTTTTCACATTTTTGGTCGATGAGGGTGGATCGTTTTACTCTCGATCTCATTTTATTTTAAGAACTGGCGGAAGAACAAAAGGACTCAGGGTCCCCTTTGATTCTATACCGTAAATGAATAGTGCTGGTTTCGTTCTAGGGCCTGTCTGTCTGTCTGTCCGTCTATCTATTCAATAGCACTCCAACACGCTCTCACTTTTTTTTTTTGCGTGCTGCCATTGTGAAATCGTCTTTTTCATATCGTGCTCTCAACTGTTTGATTTCTTTTGTAATGCGTAATGCTTTTCGGACAGTGAGCATCCCATGAGTAACCAAGAATGCGCCTAGAGTCAGATAGCCAGCTAGCCAGCTGTTGACCAAACAGCTCTTTTTCTCGTTGTCAGACAGGGCTGGCCATGGCTATGGATAAGTACCGTACAGTACACACAACACACAGGCGCGATAAAAAGTCAGCAAAGTAGGTCTAGCTGGGGGTACCGCACCCAATTGTATACCGTGCCCCGCGTCCTCCCTCAACCAATGTAAACTACATATCGGCTGTTCTCTTACCACGCAATCCCAGTATTCTGCGTGCATGCATGTATCCCACGGAACAACAAGCCCAACAGACCGCTCAAAGGTGGATTCGTTCCTTCTTCCTTCACTTCTTGGGTGCGTGTGCAAGTGCCACGACTCTGTGTACAGTGCCCTATTTTTTTCTTCTTCCGTCAAAGACCCGCTCCTGGACAATGCGTAATGTTTGCGTGAGTGTTTTTATTTTAACTTCTGTGTGTTATATCGTAGGGGCTTCTATCTTCATCGGACACTGGCTGTTCTATGGGCATGACAGAAATTACGAGAAACAGGATACAAAATCAAAAGGCCCAGGTGTGTGTGTACACATACACTTGCACTGTCAACTGTCGGTCAGAAAAGAGGCCAAAGGGCACCAACAAACCACACCCACCGAGTAATGTAAATGTACTCTGCTGATCATACGATCTATGTACCTCTAATCTTCAAACCCTTTAATCCTCTACGGCACGCCGATCTTGGGATCGTCCATCTTTGACGGACTATAAACCGACTGCCATCTCGTCTAGACTAGACTCTGGGGAAAGGATTTTTTTCCCAATACGTAAAGTAATAGATGGGACAAATTTACGGATCCCTATTCCGCGATCGTCACTCGGCATCATATTTTTTGTTATTCATGAGCAAAAAGACATTTGGGTTCTTGCAGCTCATCATCATCAACAACAACAACAACAACAAAGTGTTTGCAGCGCCTGTCTACAGTAGTTCACAAGAACCTTCAGATACCGTGTGGTTTGTCACAGTCCCTTGCGCAGACAGCCAAATGGTAGAACCAAAATTGTCATTGCACAACAGCAAAAGGAGAGGATCAACCCAACTGGCAAGCCCTGCCAACGGTTTGAATGCAGAACCAGCCCCTGCAGAAGCGTGGGAGGATGGAGTGGAGGGAAATGGTAGAACCACAAAGGATGATAGTGTCGACATATGATTGCTATTTCCCAACCTCAAGGCATGCGTCCGTCTCCGTTTCCGTTGTAGGACTAAGCACCGCCCAATGTTTTTGGCTTGCTTACTTGGGGTGCTTGCATAAATGAGCGCTGTCGCGTGCATACGTTCGTGTAAATGTGGATAGGGCGTGATTGAAAACCCCATCGATAAGAACACATGTAGACTATTGCATGTTGTCTATGGCCCAACTTCAGTCGTACGATCGTTCTCTAATCGCTATAGGCCCTTCTCCACTTGATGTCCGTCTCCACATGTTGGCTGACAAAGTGCATGTGGATTCCCCATGCGTCGCTTTGTAATAAGCGCACCTCCTCTCGTGCGGCCAGCCTAGTATTTTTATGGTTCTTGGGTATTGGAAGTCCGCAAAGGTATCCATGAGAAAATGGAAGTCCATCTGTCGCCTACTAGACTGGCCTTATGGACAGGACCAATAGGCTGCAGTTTAAGCAAGTACGAGGAAAAAAAGAAGAGCAGCGGTCTCGTGCCTCAGTGGGTTCGCAAAAGAGGAGAGCACCCTCTCAACAATTTTGAATTTGGAGCAATTGGGTGACGACAGCGTCGTAAGCAAACTGTGCTGGGGCCAGCTGCATGAACACCCTGTGGAACGAAGGCGGATGCATGATGCAAACACACCCTGCATTATCGGCTTATCTGGCTCCCATCCACATGTACAATCGTCAACTTACACCTTCCTTGTCGGCTTATCGCCTTGTCGAGGGGACATCTGACATAAAACTTGAGCACGTCCATGAAGGCTGAGCGTGTTTACTCAGGGTGATCTGACTATCTATCGCAATCTGCAATCGATCTAGGAATATAGGGTTATCTTTCATTGATGTTAGTTCCGATCGATCGTTTCGATAGCTTCAGGACAAGCTCATGGCATGTATGTGTATACAAAGATGCAGGGGTAGATCCATTACAGGACTACACGAACACACGACCGGACGCCGAAGCATGCGCGATAAGAATCAAAGTGCGGAAGAAGGGTGCGACGCGTTTGGCATCCCACAGTATCTAAGGTTCAATATGTGGCGGTATGCTGATCGTCTATGCACTCATGCTGTGTGTATTTTATTGTTGGGTGAAGGTATTTTATGTGACTCCCCTATTTCTCGGGCAGGTATTTATATGGGTTCATGATGCCGTTGGGGTCAATCATATCCTTGATCCTCCTCATCATGGAAATCATCGATGGTGATTTGGAGTAGTGCAGATGCGGGGCCTTGAAAAGACCCAGACCATGTTCAGACGAGACTGATCCCGCGTGCTTGGAGGTCCACTCGTAGACATATGGCTCAATAACGTTAACGACCTTCTCCGAGTAGCCCTTGGCCGCAATGTTTAGATGTAGGTTGCCTATTCAGCGTAACGAGGTGTGTCTTAGTGCCTGCCAAGTTATAGATCATATGCAGTCCAAAGAGCATCCCTTACCATCACCAATGTGTCCAAAGCCGACGACGCAGTCCACATCCTTGTCCTCGCCTAATACGCCAGCGTCATCCAGTCTGGCGCGCATGTCCTCAACCATTTGATAGAAAACTGGGACAGGGATCGACAGATCGTACTTGTACACCGCTCCTGTCTTCGAGCAGGCTTCAGGAATACCCTCACGGATCGCCCACAGGTTCTTGAACTGGGTCGTATCCTGTGCAACAACACCATCCTGAACAACATCGTCCGTCAGTAGACCCTCCAGGTAGTTGTTCAGCTTCTCGTCATCATGATCCTTGTTGCTTCCACTAGTCTCGATCAAGACGTAGAAGGGATGGGGCGATTCTAATGGGTCGTTCTTTCCTGCAACCAGGTGCTTCTTGACCAGATCGATCGATGCCCTGTCAAAGAACTCGAAAGCTGACAAAATCTCCGAGAGCTCATCCCTGGATCTCTTGTATGCAGCCTGGACCTGCTCAAAACTACTGACGCCCAACAATGCAACGTTGACGGCCTTGGATCGTTTTGGGGCTGCAATGGAGACTCCGGTGACAATACCCAACGTTCCCTCTGAACCGATAAAGAGCTGCTTCAAGTCATATCCGGTATTGTCCTTGCGTAAAGTCGAAAGATTGTCCAAGATTGTTCCATCGGGCAAGACCTATTTGTTCGATTGTAGAGAAATGTAGTTACTAAGCTGTGTTCCAGCAGCTCCGCGCTTCTTTCGACTTCGTTACATCAGTTGCGTACCACTTCCAGGCCGAGAACAGTTCCGTGAAGCGATCCATAACGCAAGAGTCGCAGTCCCCCGGCATTCGTAGCTACATTGCCTCCGATATGGCAGCTATTCGACAAGTTAACAGGTAATTCTGTCAGATACGCTAAAGATGTCTTCACTCGCTGAGAATTCACATACTGAAGTACCGATGATAGGACATACCTTCCTTTTGCGCCAAGATCCAGTGGCATAATGTATCCTCTTTCGGCAAGATAGTTGTCAAGCACTTCCAAAATACACCCAGCATCGCACACCAGTGCGCCTATAGGATAGAGCGAAATCATCCTCCGAATTAGAAAGCCTTTCATGACAGTATTGACTCTAATACATCAAGCGTTTCCATGACTTTACCAGAGACGGCATCAAAGCTCCTGACAGAGTTCATGTTTGCAGTCGAAATGATAATCTCGTCAAACACTGGCACTCCGCCTCCTACAAGGCCTGTGTTTCCTCCTTGGGGGACTACTGCCAACCTATAGTACGGATGAAGAAAGGGTGAGATTTCAGTGACTTCCATGATGTGCGAGACGAGAATGTGCCTGACCGGACGTACCTGTTCTCATTGCAGTAATTCAGGATCTTGGAGACCTGCTCTGTGGACGATGGCTTCAGCACCAACTTGGACTGTCCGCGGTACTTTTGCATCCAGTCGATGTTGAACGCCTCAAGATCTTCCTCGTCCTGCGACACACCCGAGGGCGCGAGGATGGACTTGAAGTATTCAATGTCCTGATCCGTTAGCTATCGCATTGTTAGCATACAGATCGGAGCGCATAAGTAGGTCGTATGTTGGTTGTGTGATTCATTTGGTCCTAAAGTACTGTTGGAAATAGAGAGGTACCTTCTTGAAGGAGTGATCCCTCTTCAGATATGGGTACTTGTCTGAGGTGAAGGGCTTTTTCTCTCCAGTTACAGCCGAGGCATAAGCTGCTTTGGGGAATGTAGAGAAGCCTGCATGGAGAATTTGAGGCGGGGTGAGAACGACCTTTGAAAGCGCTCGTGGCTGCAGTCTGTTGAGAGTTCTTGCTCCTGCGAGACGAAGGTGAGTCGGCAAGCGGGCAGCAGCGGTGGCAGACAACATTCTTGTTGAGTGAGTGAGCGGATGAGACGAATGAGTTGGTTGGGGAGAGAGGAAGGAAAGGAAGAGGTGTTATGCCCCCGCACAGTTTTGATCTCCTCTTTTGGGTTGACTCAACAGATAGGAACCTTAACTGTGAAACAGTCCCTTGCGTGGCAGCAACCATTCCCGTCATATGATATAAATTATGGTTAACGCGGTTCCAGGGCAGGAACCGCACAGCATTCTCCCTGGTAATTGCGCACAAAGAACTGGTTGCCGGCCAGGAGCATCTTTCAAAGAAAGAGGAGGGAGATTAGTAGAGAACAAACGTGCGACCCTTCTCCGTACTAAACATACGCGTTGTTTGGCTTACCCCTGAGGGTGACTGCCACTCAACGGCTATGTTTTTTTTTTTTTCTTTTTTTTTTTATGTTGCCTTCATGGCTCACTTCTCCTCGCCACTCCTCGTCCTTCTTCACACCTTTTCTCCTCTCCATCCCTTCTTTTCATTTGCGGATCATCACCTTTGTTGTTCTATTCATTCAAATTCAAGGAGATCTGCAAACGACTGAAGTCATGGACATCCAAGCACTCTACAGCCTGTTCCAGGCCACATTCCAGCAGGACACCAATGTCCGCATGCAGGCTGAGTTGCAGCTAAAGCAGGTACTGATCACGCTCCTGGGAACACGTTCTCGAATCCCCACATAGACACATGCTTACTTGTCGCGTGGATATCGTAAATACCGCAAGGGTCTTTTTCTCTTGAAAATGCGTGTCAGGTTATGTGTTATTAACGCGCTTCCTCTGTCGTTTTTTTTTTTTTATTTTTTTTTATTGTGTAGCTCGAGGGCACTCAGGGCACCCTTCTTTCGTCCATGCAGATCATCGGATCTGAAGAGTCAGATATGCATGTGCGCCAGGCTGGTAAGTGCTCGCGTGAACTTTACCTTCGGTGGGCACAGTTGGCGTGGGAGAATGACAAGGTTATTCATACTATACAACACATTGCCACTGTAGCATCAATCTACTTTAAGAATGCCATCAAGCGCTACTGGTTCGAGTCAGAGTCTGCACCCGAGCACCTCAAGATCTCTGAGGGTGACAGGGATACCATCAAGAGCAACATTCTTCAACTCTTGGCCAGCACTCCTCCAGTCGTCCGGTAAGGCAACCTTCCCTCGACCAGTAGACTGTCGTCCATCATGCACAGAAGAGCGTTTGCTAATATAGGGACTTTCTTTCATTTACTTTCTTGATCGACAAAATAGCACTCAGCTGATTACTGTTCTCGGAGTGATTCTCGCCAACGACTTTCCCGCCAAATACCCAGGCTATCCCAGCCAAGTCCAGGCCCTGCTTCAGTCACAGGATCCCAAGATTGTCTACGTTGGATTGGTGGCGTTGAAGGAACTTACTCGCGTCTACAAGTATGTCCTTGCCATGTTCTTCAGCTGAAATACCGTGCGTTGCTGCCACAAAAAGTATTCTGACTGACTTTCTCATCATCATCCTGTGTGAAAACCCTTGTTATAAGATTCAAAGTTTCGGATCGCGAACCCGTCGAGGAGATTATTGCTACTTTCTTCCCGACCATTCAGCAAATCGGCACTGGATTGGTCTCTGCCAACAACGTCGAGGCCGCGGAGATGCTCAAGATCATCTTCAAGTGCTACCACCACACTATTCAGCTGGACCTCTCGGAGCGCCTCCGCGATAACTCGTCCCTCGTTCCTTGGGGTACCCTCTTCATTCAAATGGTCGAGAAGCCAGTCCCTACCGAGGGTCTTCCTACAGATTTAGAAGAGCTGGAGAAGCACCCCTGGTGGAAGGCGAAGAGATGGGCATACCAATGCCTGAACCGTATTTACACTCGTTACGGAAACCCTACTGCTTTGACTTCGGAGTCGAAGTTCAAGGCCTTTGCCACCGGCTTTGTCCACAACTTTGCGCCCAACATTTTGTCCGCATATATGAAGCAAGTCGAACTCTGGGTTGCTAAGCAAGCGTGGCTCAGCCCTCGCGTCCTCTGCTTGATGGGTAACTTTTTCGAGGAGAGGTACTGTCTTGGCCAAATTTGATCATGAAGATTGTACACTCAGTAACTTCAACAATATGGACTAATATGATTCCTGGGGCCTTTTTTATATTCGCGGAACAGTGTCAAGGACAAGCACATGTGGTCATTGATGAAGCCCCACTCCGAGACTTTGATCACGCACTTTGTGTTCCCTCAACTGTGCTTCACACAAGCAGATGAAGCGCTCTGGATCGATGATCCCGTCGAATATGTTCATGCCAAGATTGGTAAGAGCAACCCCAGTCTTGCCTTTTCAGTATGAAAGAAAGGACCTCCATCAACCTCATTGATTGTTAAATACAATGCTCATTACTTCCAATAGATGTCCTTGAGGATTTCAGCAGCCCTTCAACAGCAGCGACCAACTTTATGACCGTCATGGCTCGCTACAGGCAGAATGCCTTTATGCAAGTCCTTTCCCTCGTCAACAATGTTCTTCAGAAGTACAATGAGTCCCCTGCAGAGGCCAAGAATCCTAGGGAGAAGGATGGTGCTTTGGTCATGATTGGAGCCTTGGCCCCACTGATCCTCCGCAAGGTGAGCGCAAGTCCCGGCGCACAAACACACACATTCGTGTCTTTAATATTCAAAATCCTTGCTGACGCCTTTTGAATTTTTTAATTTGCTCCGCTGTATAGAAATCGCTGGCCCAGAGCATGGAGCCCTTTATTGTCAACCACGTCTTTCCAGAGTTCAAGAGCCAGTTCCCATTCCTCCGCGCTCGTGTATGTTGGCCCGAGCAAGAAGAGATGCGTGCTATGCAGGTCTAAAATTGTTTCTGACTAACGCTCGTTATTCATTTTGTATATTACGCATAGGCCTGTGAAATGATTAACCACTTCAGTGAGCTGGACTTTGAGGATTCCAACAATGTCGCTATCGCTTTCACCAGCTTGATGGAGAGCCTTCGCGATAGCCAACTTCCTGTCAAGGTCACTGCTGCCTTGGCCCTTCGCCCCATGATCCGCCATGATGACGTTCGCGAGGCCATGAAGCCTCATCTCCAGTTCATCATGCACGAGCTCTTGTCTATTACCAACCAGATCGACGTTGACACACTCTCGGAGGTCATGGATGAGTTCGTAGAGGTATTTGCTCAGGATCTAGCGCCATTTGCTGTGCAGCTGTGTGAGCAGTTGCGTGACACCTTCTTGCGCATCTGCGCCGATATGGGTCCCAGTGCTGATGGCTTGGAGGACGTTTCAGACCGCGCCATCGACGAGGCCTCTGACAAGACGATGGCTGCCATGGGTGTTCTCAAGACCATGGGCACCCTGATCTTGAGCTTGGAGAGCACACCCGAGGTGTTGAACCAGCTCGAGATTGCACTTTTGCCCGTGATTACGTTCACACTACAGAACGCGATCATTGACCTGTTTGATGGCGTTTTCGAAATCATTGACAGTTGCACGTTCTCCGCTAAGGCCATCTCAGTCAATATGTGGGGCGTCTTTGAGCTGATCTACAAGACCTTCAAGGAGTCGGCACTGGATTTTATGGAGGAGATGCTGCCATCGATCGACAACTACATCTCCTATGGCAAGGAGGTGTTCTGCACGAACGAGAATGTGCAGCACACGATTTACGATATCATCGAGACAGTGATGAAGAGCGACCGTCTCGGTGAGAACGATCGCGTCTGCGCCTGCAAGTTGGCCGAGTCCTTCATGCTGAATTGCCGTGGCCACGTCGACAAGTATGTTGCCCCTATCCTAAATCTGATCTTCCATTATCTGGCTCCCGAGGAGGGCATCCAGACGGTCGAGTTCCGTGTCCAGGCTACTGAGGTTGTAATGAACGCTCTATACTACAATGCGCCCGTGACCCTGCGTCTCTTGGAGGAGAACGGATGGACTCAGCGCTTCTTTGAGGTCTGGTTCGCGAACCTGGACAAGTTCTCGCGCGTGCACGACAAGAAGCTGTCGATTTTTGCCCTGTGCGCTATTATCAATGTCCCTGTCGAGCAGTTGCCCGCCACGCTCCAGAGCGCATGGCCTCAGGTGTTAAACGGAATTATCCGTAACTTTGAGGGTCTTCCCACCGCTCTTGCCAGTAAGCATCTTTTAAACGTCTATTCTCTCTTGAGCTCATATTTTCGAACGACAATCTGTTAACGGTATCCGCCATTTTTTCATGTTCATTAGAGCGCAAGGAGATGGAAAAAATGTATAACATCATCTCGGACGACGAGGATGAAGATGACGAGGATGATGACGATGAGGATGAGGAAGGACAGACTGCTCTGGAGAAGGCGCTCGCCTCTGACGAGGAAGGTATTGAGGAGGACTGGGTCGACGACGAGGAAGATGTCTATGACGAGGGCCACGAATATCTCGAGTACCTGGCTCAGCAAGCAGCGAAGAAGAGCGCCGCCAAAGAGGATGGCGAGGAAGAGGATGACGATGCGGAGGAGGATGAGGATGAAGATGATGCTGACGATCTAGAGGAGGAGATCTACTTTGAGTCGCCTCTGGATGACCTGGATCCATATGTTGTTTTCGGTGAGGTCTTCACAGGGCTCCAGCAGCACAACCCTGCATCGTACAATGAGCTCACGAAGGCGTTGACGGCCGAGCAGCAGGCGTACGTGATGCATTTGCTGCAGGTCGCCAAGGCGAATGCCGAAGCTGCTACTGAAGCCGCTGCTGGCGAAGCCTAAAGGACGCCGTACTGTTGTTTAACATGATATACCAAGAAAAAACAAAAAAAGCCAATAGCAAGCACTCCAGAACAAGCATCTTCCAAGTCGCAAACAAGGCACACACTGCACAATATAATAAAATACAAAAATAATAAATGCATTCGCATCTCAGTCTCCCTTTCACGCTCTTTCACGCGCCTTGACGCGTCCTCGACGCGTCTTTTTATGTTCCTTCATTAATGGAACTGTTATGGACGCATTGTTTGCGTTTTGCTACTTTCTGACCTTATTGCTTCTTGGGTCTCTTCTCCTGAGTAACCCAAGCGTGCTCCAGAGCTTTAGCCGATGGGTCTTCCTCCGGATCCCTGATCTTTTGTGGTCAAGAAGACCGCCTCTAATCCTACCCAGACGGAGCCTTGCTTTAAAACTCTTTTCATTTTTCTTCTTCTTCTTGCCTTGTCTACATGCACCGGATTCTGCTTCTGAAACCATAGCCGATATGCTCTTCTCGCCCTGTTCCGTAACCTGGCCGAATGTGCCGAACTCTGCCCCTGCTACTCCTGTGACTAAGGCGAAAGACTTCTCACGCAAGGCCACGCGGTTCCTTCGGACCTCCGTCGCTTCGCTCCGCCGACCCTCCAAGATCAGAGTTGTCTCACGAACATGGGACTGGCGAATCCATTCCCTCGGAGGATTCGTTAAATTAGCTCCGCCGCTGCTTGGGGTGCTGCTGTAAAGAGGATCCTCGTCCGAGGTCTCGTGTTCGGGGATATGGTCCTGTTGGGCACGGGCCAGATCTTCACGGAAGACTAGCGGCCAGTTCTCGTAGTCGTCGGCGGTCGGGGATTTATGGTGCAGAGTGTTTTGTGCCCCACGGCCTTCGTCGCTGCTGCCGCTGCCGCTGTCGCTGGGGCGTGTGGCCGAAGGCAGGGACGAAATGAGGTGGTTGTTGGGATTCAGATCTATCGTAAACGGATCATGTTCACTGCCGGCATTGTCTTTGTTGAGAGGGTTTACGAGAGCATGGGCGGATGCGTGTGAGCGACCTAGGTTCTGAACCCGTGGATCTTGATAGGAGGGCTCGATACTATCATCAGAGGCGTATTCTTCAGAGTACCGGCCACGCGATGTTTTGGGACGCCTGGGATAAGACCGCAAATGGCGCTGCAGGTCGTCATCATCATCACTGTCGCTGTCGTTGTGGGTGTCGTTTATAGGACCTCCATATATATTGCGACGGTGCCTTTCATGCCCGCGACAGGGAGTGGTGCCGTAGTGATGATGTGTTCCGCCTTGGAAGAAGTTCGTAACGTGCTTGATTACTGCCTGGGGTGCTGTGCCTGAAGTTGACGAAGTGGCAATGACTGCACCATACCGTTTATCTCGTCTTCTGTCACGACGTGAGTTCGAGTTGGACCCGTGTGAGAGATTGTGAGAAGCATTGTGTGTTCGTGCTCGTGAGCGGGATGTACCCGTATGGCAAGAAGGAGAGCGACTATTAGCTGGTGTAATAGATGGCGCAAGACTGGGACCCGATCTTGTGGCAGCAGGATTCCGTGTTCTTCGTTGACTCTGTGTCCCAATGTTGCTACAGGTATAGGAGGAGGAATCTAGGGCGGAAGCCCGCGAACTGGCATGGTGTCGTGCCGTGTTGATACTGTGAGGAGGCCCACTGCCTCCTCCCTGTGGTTGCTCTGCACCCTGTTCCCCTTTACCTTCGTTCTTCTCTGCGAGGATCCGATTTCGGGCTACAGATGCCTCATACGGACTCGCGAACGGACACTGCTGGGGACTCCACCCGAACATTGTCCAATTCTCATCCACCTGTTCATTATCTCTTTCCTCCTCCTCCACCGCCTCTTCCTGCTGGATCTGACCAAAATCATTCTCGGCCGTCCGCAACGTCAACATCTCACCTTTCAGCTCCTTCCTCAACGCTCTTCCGACACCTTTACAACACCTCCTTTGCGACTCCAAGTCCCTTGTCATCTTCGGGATCACCATATCATACACCACATCTGACAACAACGGCTCCATTCCCGCGATCACTCTGAACATCTGTCCCTGAAGCTGTCGTACCGCATGCCGGTGATCTAAGAGCAATTGATGAATATTCCGGGACAGCGTAAAATGTAATGCTCCAAGGATGTCCTTGTAATTGATCTGAAGCTCGATATAGCGTTCCGTCCAGTCTACATCGGCGCCTTCGTCGTCGTTGACGGCTTCCTCATCAGCGCTATAGGCTTGAGCTGGGACTGGGATTGATTCAGAGAGCGGGTCTTGCCCGTTGGCACTTGCTTGGCAATCACCTCGTCTAGCGGCATCATACTCCCTCAGGACATCGTCCATCCTTGAAAAGTGGACCACCCGAGGCTGCACCCCTCGCGAAGGTCCCATTCCAGCACCAGTTTCTCCATCCTTAGGCGTTGTCCTCACATCGTGTTCTCGAGATGCTTCGGTGGTGTTTTCTATGGCTGTATCGGTGATTCGGGTGGTTGGCACACTATGCAGGAGATGAGATGTCACATTCGTTTCTGAAGACGCGCTCGTGTTGGTGTTAGCTTTGGTCCTGAGGTCAGTATCTCGGCACTGTTTCTGTTTCTGCTGCTGCTGCTGTTGTTGCTGTTGTTGCTGGAGACTGCGCTGGCGCTTCCAGAGCACAGGCTTAACCTTCTGTCGAACTACCCACGACGCGATGCGACGCGTCGTAAAAAGCATATTGAAAACTTTGGTTAGAAAAAATGTTCCCCAAATCCATCTACTGTGCTATATATACATCCCATTCAAACAAACAAATGTCTACGCATTTACTATGATACCAGACGTTTCTGTCTTTTTCCTTTTCTTTCACCTTCACATCGTTATGGTGAGCGCGAGACGACTGGGTGCATTGATGGATTGTGTCTTTCTTGAGCATATTATGAGGATGTATCCTGTAGGGATCAAGATGGGATATAAAGTACGAGCAAAAAAACGAAAAGCGGAGAGAAAAGAAAGGCAGACAACACCGACATTCATTGCTTCACCACGATCGTTTTTTTTTTCTTTTTGAGAGAGAGAGAGAGAGAGAGAGAGAAAATATGTCTTTCACTCTTTGTACACATTGATAGAACATTAATTCCGTACAGGATATCCATGCATGACTCCTCCACAAAAGAGTCTTTCAACAACATCCGCCATTCCTGGCACCACACAATTGGGAAAGAAATAAAAAAAAAAAAATAAGGAACGCGATCGTCATTTATTTCAAACATCACCACTGTCCTTGTCTTTGTCGTCAGTTCATCTTTCTAATCAACACGCGACAACATACACTTCCAATCACTATAAAAAAAAAAAAACGAAAAAACAGACTCCGCTTGTTTTCGAAGTCTTTTTACTGCGCGCGAGCATGTGCGCCAGCAGCGGGCTGCTGAACCGCAGCCTGACCGAATCGTGTGATCGCCCCACGGATCGTCGTGTACGCCTGCGCAGCAAAAGGTGGAATCTTCGAGTTACCACCCGGGGGCAGAATCAGGTTATCGAGACGGGCACGGATCAGCGCGAACGCCGCACGCGTGTGAAGAGAGAAGAAGTAGCGGAAGCGCAAAAAGTTGGCGTACACAATAGGCGACAAGAACGACGACTGGAACCTATACAAGTAAATCCCATGAACATTTTGATTGGCAACATGAGAAGGGTTGTCTACTTTCAATTGCTTCATAGTTCCCGAGTCTTCTGGAGACTTACGTGATGGCACCAAAGATCAAGGAACCCATGACACCGATGACCTCAACATAGGCAACAAAGGCCATGGCGGTGGCATGGTTCTTTTCGGTCCAGACCTGGATCTTGCGAGAGATCGCTGCAACCTGAGCATGGGTGGGGTGATTCGTGCCAGCGACAGGAGCAGGGAAGAAGGCGGGGAGGATGTTTGTCCTTGTGTAGTTGAGAGAGTTAAAGAACGCAAAAATGGCGTAGGGGATCATAGGCGCTAATTTCCAACGGGGAAAGAAGGAAAGAGTGGGATGTTAGTTCTACTGTCTACCTGCAAGTGTTGCCCTGGTGTCGAGATCCGTTCAGTCGCATCCACCTACCGAGCATAGGAGTGGATCTCCACCAAAAGATAGCCATCAGCAGGTACTGGACATTTTCCTATTATGATGGATAAGATCGTGTCGGAAATAAGATATCAGCTTGCCTGCGTCAATATATAGCAGTAGTACAGTCGTTCATGTTGCCTGCGAGATTGGAATACCTCGCTGAAGAGCGTCTGCGCGAATTGTGCCGTGAATTGGATGGCCTATACAGTAAAAAAACAATTCAAAAAATACGAATGAAAAGGGTTAGTTGTGTGTCTTTCCGCGCGTCCCTGCATCCGGATCACGGTCCATATGCTCCTTCCTGTAAAGTGATCGTTGGTTTCTTCTGCTGTCGGTGTTGCTACAAAGGTGGCATGCGCTGAGAACCCAGCATTTGCCAAGAAGGCCAAGCCCACAAATAAATCGAATTTGGGCAATTTATTTGCCCTCCTTTTCGGCGTGCAATTCCTGCTCTCAAAACGATGTTGTCCTGCCAAGGGTCGGTGTGCGAGGGCAGAAACTATGATCGGTTCTCAATAACGTCCATTTTTACGCCTCATCCTTTGCTCAGGTGGGCGGACAACAACCTCGTTGGACGATCGAAAGGTGCAACCTCACTGCGCGCATTTCCGTAATGCCTTTTTTTTTTTTTTCTTTTTCCCTTTTCTGTCCACACTTTATCGACACAAGGAGTCTTCTAATATTTGTCTCTGCCAAGAAATAGTACATTGTATACCAGATTCACTTGCCCAGCCTTCGAGTTGACCCCAAACAATGCTCCCCCCAGTATAGCATCAATAACGCAATCAGATATGGGACTTACAGGGAAAGACTTGTACACGACAACGCTGTAGCTGACCAAGGCACCAAAGAAGGCGCGCGAGTACCAATGCGCTCCGGCCTTGGAGTTGAACGTGACCCAGTAGGGCAGATACATTGACGTGCAGACCAGCATCATGACATGGCCTAACCACCACACAAATTGAGGGCCCTATTCAGAAGAAGAAAAAAAAAAAAAAAAGGCGAATGAAGAGAACAGCGTACTGTTGGTGAGAATGCAAAAGTGACGATTGCAGATCAAGCTTTTGAGGTTGTTCTGGGGGGTTTGTCGTCATCTGGCTGCTGGTGTCCTTTATGCGTCTCAGTTTGTTGGTCATTCCCTTTTAGCTGATCAAAAAAAAAAGGAAAGAAAAGAGCCAGCACGCGTTAAAGCCGCGCGTCGTGTTTGCGCCAGAATCGTTGCTGGCTCACAATATCCATCATCCAGACTTAACAACTGAAGACGTCGGGGTATGTGTGTGTGTATGTCTGCGTACGCCTCTTTATGCTCGTTGACGAACAGTAGATAGGGCAGGGTACGGCAGTGCTGAGGGGTCATCCTGTTGCTTTACTATGCTTTTTTTCGGTGGTGACGAGTGTTACCTTGACGAGGGCCTGCAGACGTTCACTGAGAGTCAAGGGAGCAGCGGGCATGGTTGTTAATATGGTGGGGGGATGATGGACGAGGACGAGACTACAGGTGTTAAGTGGCGGTAACAAAGAGGCTCCTGAGGTTGGGTGTTGGTGTTGGTGTTGTTGTTGGTGTCGCTGCTGTTGCTGTTACTGCTGATGAATAAAGAGAGGGGAAGGGATGGAGTAGAAGAAAAGAGAAAGAGAAAGAGAAAGAGAAAGAGAAAGAGAAAAGAGACACAAGGGTCGACCCATTATTGGCACATTTGGCTGTCATCGCCAAAATCTTGTTTTCAAGCCATTTTTTTTTTCTGATTACACGCACAGGACGAAAATGAACTCCAAACGACTACGGCCACACGCTCCCTCAGCTGCTGCGGCCAGAGGAGAGACATACACAAAGAGGTCATCATGGAGTAACGCCTTTTATTGTATTATCGGAGTGGTATTTCCTTCATTCCTTTCGCTTTCTTGTTCCACTTTCGGTATCTGTCTAGACAATAAACAAAATCGTGCATATCGCACTCTATTCCGCGCCTGTGCTAAGCGAGTTCGAGTTGCTCAGCGAGCGACGATGGCACTGCGGGGGTGATGCTTCCCTGGGTATAGATCCTGGTCGACGGCGATGCTGAGCGGATCACACTTTGCGCCCGATTCAACTTGATGACCTGCACAACCTCGTCGTCCTGTGCTCCTAGGGCCTTGTTCTGCTGGCCGGCGTATTGTGTGTACGACGATGTAGGCTGATACGCCTGCTGCTGCAATGCCAACGGCAATTGATGCTGAGCTACTGGCTGCAGGTAAGATGCTTGCTGCTGCAATGGGGATTGTTGCTGTTGCTGTTGCTGTTGCTGCTGTTGCTCTTGTTGTGGTTGCTCTTGTTGTTGTGGCTCCTGCTGCTCTGGTTCTTGCCCCTGATCCTGTTCCTGGACCGGCTCAGCAGACTGAACATTCTCTGCTGGTACCTCCTGCTCCTGCTCCTGCTTCTGCGACTGCACCTGTTGATCATCTGTCTCCTGTTGCGGGGCTGGATCCTGCCCATCTGTAGAAGGCGACGAGGGCGCGTCCTCCAAAGGTAGACCCAAATCAGTCCTCCAGCGGCTCAAGAACTTCTTCACCGAAGCCTGGTGCAGCAGCCTGTTCTTGGACCCCAACAGCAGAGTCTGTAAAAGGCGAAGGTCCGAATGAGAATCCGCAAACTTGCCTTCATTGATCGCTATCGCCAGATCCGTCAGGTTTGTTGCAGGCACTGCATTGACGTTCTGAGCCTCCAATTCTGCGGTCGAAAGCGCAAAGGGTGGACCACCTGCCAGCTTTTCCGCCGCCATTTCCCTCAACTCCTCATGTGTGAGTCCGAACCGGAAGAACTCGATCTGGTTATCCTGAAGCTGCTTCAGGATCTTGGCTTTGGCCTTCCAGAGCTGATTGACAGAGAGCGTGTCAGCCTTGGCGAGGATGGGGATCAGGTTGACGTGGTTCATGATGCGTTTCATAAAGACAATATCGACAGGCTTGAGATCGTACAGGACAAAGTAAAGACAGGCATCGGGCAACGAATGTGCCATGGGGGAGTCGACCAGGAGCTGTTCGATGAACGGTTGTGGTTGCTGTTGCTCCTCGGCCGAAGGTGCTCCAGGACGACTGGTTGTCGAGAGAGGCGTGATGGAAGCGCCGAACAGGTTACGGGTGGCAATGTATTGTTCCGTGAGGAAAGCGTCAACTCTGTCGATGGTCTGGCGCGCATCCAGAGACTGACCGTAACCAACAAAGTCGTGCAAGACTATGTTTTCAGCAGGGACCATTTCCTCGACACTCTCGCCTTCAGTGTTGTTATCACCCTTTCCGGAAACAAGCAGCCAGGCAGGGATCTCAAGGGTACTGACAGCCTCCTTGGCGAGGTATTCGTTGTTATCTGCCTCTCCACCCACATGCGCTGTTCCGTTGGCGGCAGTGGAAGTTGAAGTCTCGGTCTGCTGCTGTCTGTTTACATCCTGATGCTGAGAGTTCTCGTTGCTGGCGTCCTGAATAGCGAGGGCTTCGATATCAGGACTCGAGGGTGACTGGCCACTGCTTTGTGCGTGAACCTGTCCAGGAACACTGCTCAAGAACAAGGATCGTGACTTTGACTTGCCGATGCCGGTGTCTCCGACAAGGACAAGTCGTAGGGAAGAAGCAATCTCTATAGATGGGAAGCAAATAAGGATGATGAGGGGTTGTCTCGTTTTGAGATTCGCTTTCTTGGAGTGCACACGAAACAAAGAAAAAACAAAAAACGAGAATAGGTCAAGACTACAGTCCGTTGAAGGAGGCATGAGGAGCCTTACCGAGGGGAAGGGTGCCCGTCATGGAGTGAGCTGTGGACTGATGCAGAGGTGGATGAGGGATGGGTTAGAAGGAAAGGGCAGACGGGAGAAAGGGTGGGGATGTGATGACAGGGATGAGGAAAGAGAGGGGCAATTGGCGGTGAGGGTATATGAAGCGGTACTTTCGAGTGTTGAGAGTGTTGAGCACACTCCCCCAAATTGCTCATCCTCCCCCCTTCGCCCTGTCTCTCCTTGGCCCGCTTCGCCCTGGAACACTCTGTGTACCTCCTCTTCGCCTGCACTGCCACCCACCTCGTCCCCCTACGTAGACATCATCCGTCCCAGTCGAGCCGAGTGCATGTTGAGCAACATTCACGCTGAATACGAATCGTCAATCTCTTCTCTTTTTTCATTTTAGTGGCGTAAAAGCCTCCCCTCGCTCGGGCCATTTTCTGGATACTCTGTTGTGTGAACTGTGAAGTCGCTCTTCAGCATATGGCTCAAGCTATACTTTGCAGAGCCAATCCCCTGTCATAATTAATACAACGAGACGTCGTTGGTTTTTTAATATGGGTCCGTATTCGACTGGGATATCATACGTATCGGCACTCCTCACATGCGGCCACTCGTCCTCTGTCTTCGTTTAACCTTCGCTTCCAAAGTCTAGCGTGAACTTGGCGTGCTCTACCACATCGTCTGCACTGACAGTCGGACGCACAGTCTTCACTGCCTTCAAGAAATCCTCCATGCCCAATGATGGTTCCAACAGCTGATCGGCCTCGACGTTCTCCCAGCTCATCTCCACTGCTGCAGGATCTTCTGGTGAACAAGGCGTGAGGTGTTTGGTCATCCGAGAGGGATCTGCACGGGACGGTGCATCCACCCATTTGAAGTGTGTGCTGATTTGCACTTTACGGATCGGCATCATCAGCGCATCGCGCACTGCAATTGCGATATCTGAACCGGAGTATCTACAGAGAGTTGGATGATATTGTGTCAACTAACTAGTAACGTCGCTGGATATAACTAGTGCATTTTCTAAAAATTCAAAGCATACCCTTCTGTGATCTGTCCCAAGTGCTGGTAATCTTGTGCTGTGAGGAGACATGGCGTCTTTCCGACATTGAGCTCAAACATCTTCGCTCGAGCATGTGGGTCTGGCAGCGAAATATAAATTCGTTTCTCAAATCTATTGAAAAATAATGGTTAATCATTGTGCATGGAAGTCCTGATAATGAAAATCTTTGTGAAGATGACTAAAGTAGAACTATACCTTCGTCGAATAGCAGCGTCAAGTTGCCATGGAATGTTGGTGGCACCAAGAACCAGGACGCCGTCCATATCGTTGCCGACACCGTTCATCTGCACCAGGAACTCGGTCTTGATACGACGTGATGCTTCAGAGTCTCCCTCGCCACGAGCACTACACAAAGAGTCGACCTCATCAATAAAAATAATTGCCGGCTTGTTTTCTCGTGCCATCTGGAACAACTGCTTGACCGATCTAAAGAGACCCACAGAACAAATATGCGAGGTTAAAACCAGCTGCAACAGGGAGAAATGGTAAAAAGTGGGAACAAAAGTTGACTTTTCAATCAAAAGACTCGCCTTTCAGATTCTCCCATCCACTTGGACACCAAATCGGACGATGACACGGAAAAGAAGGTCGAGTTGACTTCCGTAGCGACAGCTTTGGCAAGGAACGACTTTCCTGTTCCTGGAGGGCCATACAGCAAAATACCCTTCCACGGCGTGCGGTTTCCTGTGAATATGATTCAGGAGATTATGAGTAAGTAAGGATCGCTGTCCATGATCCATTTTGTTCCAGCCTATGACGAAAAAATAATGAAAGACATACCAGTGAAGAGGTGTGGGAACTTGATGGGGAGAATGACGGCCTCCTTGAGAGATTCCTTTGCAGCATCCAATCCTGCGACATCGGACCACTTGACATTGGGCTTTTCTGTCAAGATAACTGAGTTCAAGGCCTCTTTCAGTTTCTTTGTATCGGCATCCTCCTCGCTATCGTCGTCGCTGCCTTTTTTCCTGTGACACCATGAGGAAGAGTTGATGTGGTCATGAAATTAGAACAGTTGGCTTGTTATTAAATGTATGATCTTTCAGCATATCTCCACTGCGTTGACGAAGAAGAGCTGTCGTATCCGCGATAAATACCCTGTAGATGCCACGTACTTGCCACCCTTGCCTCCGCTTCCATTCGAAGAGTCGGCCACGGTCTTCTTCTTGGGCTTGTCTTCTGGTTTGGCCAGGTAATCCTTGATCATTTCGGCTCTGGCCATGTACTCAATGACCTTTTTCCTGATTGTATCCCGTATCCTCTCATTCTTTTCATCTAACATGGAAACAGAAGAGTTGGTATTAGCACTTGTTTCATTAAACAGAGCAGGGTCATTTTCTTAAGATAATAAGCTCACTTACTTTTGAGAACTGTCAGGAAGAATTCGATGGCCGTTTGGTAGAGAGGCAGGGCTTCTTTCAGATTGCCTTTGGCGTCCTCCTCGGTGGCCCTCTTGACGGTTTCGATAGCACGCTGTCACACCAATTGACCAGTAGGTGGGAACGTAATGGGTTGTAATACCGTAGGTTAGCGCAGACACTAACCATGAAAGAAGATATTCGTCCACGATACAATGGACCGATGAGTCGAACATTGGAATGTCATGCTTACAGTGAGAAAGTCTACCATGGAGAAGACGATTTGAGGACGAGCACACGATAAAAGTGAGAGCGAGAAGAAACCGATAATCGACAACTAGAGTAGTATCAAAGTAGAAGAGTGCAAACAAGCGAGGAATGGTGATGGTGGGGAAGGGGGAAGGGGCAAGGGGTTGAGGTGGAGGTATGAAGTAGAAGGAAGGTTAACAAATATACACTCCACAGAAACGTCATTCCACACACTGCCTGCAGCGGCATTTCTTATTCTCAGGCACAATTTTTTTTTCGATCACCTGGGTAACCCCTACCAGGCACAGGCTTTTCTGGATCTAATCTAGCCTAAAAAAAGGAATCGGTAAAATTGGTGGCAACATTCCTCTCTGCATTCCATTGGCAGCTCTTGTTGTCCACCTGTTCCCATCCTCTTCCTCCATTTCTTCTCCTTCCTCGTCCAGCTCCTTGATTAAAACAGCCACTCCTTGTCTCCTTGCCTCCAGAAACCCCTCATCTTCATGCACAGCCATCTGCAGAGTCGCCGAGAATGGGTTCATAAACGGTTGTGCGATGAATGTCTGGAGGGATTTGTACGCCTGCTTCAACCCAGCCCTACCCGTAGTTCCCGCCCTCCGAATAGGCCTCCGCACTTGGTGGGCTCCTTGGTGTCTATATGCTCGCTCGAAAATTTGTTGATCAGGGCCATCTGCGTCGGAGGAGCGAAGGCTGGATGTCACACTGCATTCCTTGTCCCGTTCTTCTTCGTCTTCCTGGGTCATATCTTCACGAAAGCAACCATGCTTTTGAAAGTAGACATAGTGAGCATTATAGAAGGCCTCGGGAGCTGGGTGAGGCGCTGTAGGGTCGATGCCTGACGCCACCAAAGCACGGATGTCGTTCACGTCGAGAGTAGGTCTCGATTCGCTCATACCTGGATCAATTCGTTCATCCATTTCCAATGCTGTGCTAATGCCTTCTGTATCAACGCGCTCCGTGCACAGCTCATCCCCCATATCGTGGCCCTCGTCATCACCCCCATCGCTATCGTACTTCAAAAACCCAAAGGAGTCTCTTCGACACGGTCTCGCAGTCTTGTGCGGCCGGGCGATGGGCACAGCAGACTCTTCCAAAATCGGCTGTAGTGCGATTCGATACCCGACCTCGTATAGCCTATCTCCTCCCGACGGTCGAATGATACTCCCGTCACGGTGCTGCAGTTCCCTCTGCGCGATACGATCTGCCAGATAAGCCATCTGGGTCTCTGAATCTGCAGCAGCGGTGACTTGCGATTGGATCGAGACCTTAACGTTGACCTGCGGTGGGGGTTCTCTGATCTTGGTCTGCAAGCTGACAGGATACCGCGGACTCTTTGATTTGGCAAAGTAGATGGGTCGATTCCAATCCTCAGATAGAGTCGAGTAGATACTGTTGGCCAACGAAGACACTGTCGACATAACGGTTGCCTGAGAATGAGTAGGCTGGAGTCCGAGCCGATTGGACTGCGTAGGCAGCATGGCTAATTCGTTGCAGATTGTCTCCTCAAAGAGGACATGAGGCACAGGAGGAACCAGGTATTCTCGGTGACCTTCATCAAAGAGCGGTGGCATAGCTGAGTAGTGAGACGCGATATCGTCAGTAGGGCATGAAGTAAGTGTCACCTGCGGTATCAGTCGCTCATTCTTCTCGGAATGCGGCACAATCGCCAACGATGTGGGAGCTACATCGTCCTGAATAGGAAATCCCGACTTCAATCCCGCGTACTGCCCGGTGGCATGTCGCCGACTTTCGTTTCTTTCCCATTGGATGTCAAACACGGATCTCGGTCCATAAGGCATATCCTTTTTCTGTTGTCGTCGCCCTGAGTCTTGCGTGCTCACACTTCTCCTCAATGACCGACGCGACACATGTACTTCCTCGCTCGGTGTCTTGACAATCACGGGTTCGTTCACAGTGGTAGCCCATTCATCGGATATGCAGGCATTGTCGTTTGAGGCTCGAATGTCGTGTACTGTCCACTCTACAATACCAGACCTGCTCTGACGATTGATCTTTTCCAACAGCATTTCCTCCCTTTCGGTCCTTCTAGGCTTCAAACTTGTGCAGCTATAGGCTCTTCGGATCCTCGCTACTTCTATAGGTTCATTGATGCGGCCCTCGACCCATGGAAGCGTGATATTTGGCCTCCTTCGAAATCTACCTATGGTTTTCAGCCTTCTCAGAGACATTCGAGCCATCCTCTCGCGTAGCCGTGCTTCATCCATGGAGGCCGCTGCGTTTTCAGTGCTCTTGAGGGCCGAAGGAAGGACCGAGAATCCGTATCTGGAGGAGTACTCGATCTGAGATGGGTATGGGAATAGGCTCGGCTGCTCAGGGACAATCTCTCGAAAGGGGACGCCGGGTTGGACTTCGTAAAACGGACTCTCAATAGAGGTATCGATCTCAGGCCTGTAAATCCAGCGCAAATTCTCCTCGTCATCGTCGTCACCGTCATCCTTGGACCAGGTGCTCTGCAACATGTCCTTGACCGTTTTGAAGACTGGATACGATTCCCAAAAAAGGTGAGCAATTCTTGCATCGCGGGTCAAGCGTGGCAACATTGTCGAAAAAACATGTTTCCTTACTTTTTCGAAATTCCCCCCCAGATCGGCGAGTGCGCTCAGTGACCGAAGTGTCGATATGTAAAGGTTTGAAGCCTTTCCTTCGAGGAATTGGTCGGTAATTGTCGTCACATGCATTTCTGAGGCCGATGAAAGTCGTCTCAGCCCTAGCATCGAACTGTTCATCACCGCTTTCCGTCGATCTATTGGAAGCCTTAGGAAACTGAGTCAAGCCTGATATCGTGTCGTTAGGATGCTTTGAGACAGTGCTGGGGGTCGCTGGACCGATTTCGCTTGATCCAGTGTTCGTCTGGGCATGCGACTGTTCGACTAAAGAGCTGGCATACATGGTTATCGCGTCAAATGTTATGCTCAGTTCTTCGATAGACTCCTGAAACGGTGACCAGGGTGTGTTCACTCCAGAAGAAACAAATGTTGAAGGCGTGCAGACATCAATCGCGTCATTAGAGGAAGCGTGTGACATGGACAATATACTGGGAGATGACAGCAGCTCACTCGGGCTTGATGCGATAGAGTTTGCTGTTGGGCTTTGTCTAGCGTGCTCGTCGATGGAATACGAGTGCAGATCGGGGACGACATATTGCTGCTGAAAAAGCTCAGTCAGGTCCACGAAAAAGCCATCGCCGCGAATGTCGTTAAGAGGTAGGTGCGAGATGCGCGCGTCTATAATGGTATCCATGGTAGCCTCGCGCTAATTCCTTGGATAAAAGAATGAGGGTTATCAAGGTGAAAGTTATGGGGAAGAATACAGAATAAAGAAGCAAGTGGGCACTTTGTGAAGGACAAGGAAAAAAAAAAAAAAGAGGCAGCTGAAAACTGATATTAGGAACTACGAAAGCGGACAAATACGATTTATATACAAAAAAAGGCTGGTAGCAAATACTCGCCTTTCACGCCAGATTAGCAAGCAGAGAAGCGTAAAAATGATACCGCTTGTTGATCGCGCTGCTGGAAGGTGTGGTGTACGATGGAACCTTTGCCCTCCAGCTTTGGAAGGTAAGACGGTATCCTTATGCAAAATGTATAGCACTTTCAACAGGTTTACTAGATCCTCCTAAGTCGCTTGGCGTACTCAGTTTCTCTGGATGGAAAAGTAGGGAGTCATTACCCATTATTGCACCCCCCTTTGACAAACTCTGAGCGTATTTTTTATTGTTTGTATCTGTATGCCCAGTATCATGGAGTTTTGGGGCTCCAATGTCGCACAGTAAAGTGGCACTCTGGCTGATGACATTGTACTTTAGAAACCTGGATTCAGCCAATCGACTCTACGTAATTACTTGTTGAAAAGTGTACTGCGCTTGAATACTAAGGATCTTTGGGCTCAAACACTGCATAGTAAACCGCTACTTTGTTTAAGTGACCTGATCTCAGCTTGATCGGCTGCTCAATGAGCAAGCCTTTTTTTTTTTTTTTTTTGGTTCGTCTGTTTGCTGCAAGCCGCTGGACAAGGGACAGGAGTTATGCTTTGCCCCGCTGCGAAGACAATGTCTCAGGCCCCGAACAACATAGTAAACTGGTGCCCTGGCGCCAAAAGCAGCACTTTACGCAATCAAGCAAACGACACTGCATTGTTTAGTGTGCTCAGCTCCCCGAGACGGCCTGCCAAGACCACTTTATCTTTTGGGCGCATTGGACTACATGCAAGGCCTGTGCTGTTGATGGGCGCACAAAGATATGTGCGATGAAGCGCGAGGAGTGACCGTCGAAAGTTCTTAATCAGAAAGGCGCAAGAGCACATGCTGAATAGTATCCCATACTGACGACCCATTCTCTGTTTCGCGTTGGGAGGGACGCTGAACAGATCACAATTCGATCTCGGGGCGAACCAAGACGATTTGATGATGAGAGCGAGCGGTAGGGTATCACGCATGGTGCTGTAGACGAAGTTTCACGGCGCGAACAAAACCTGACCGCTTACACTCCGTGCTTCGCCCAGAATGATCGACGGACCCGAGAGTTAATCGAGTGGATAGCACGTAGTCGATCGTAAACTTGAGCAGACGATGCCCCGCAATCTGGCAAGATCTGGCCAATGCTTTGCTGAAGAAAGTGCCCATTGCTAGACCGCGAGGGAACTACGCGGCGCAAGTCTTGGCGTTTTATTTGAGATGTACTTTCTTCGGCCATAGGCCATTACGCTATGCAGCTGCGTCAGTTGTGTGCAGCAGCTGAACTTTAGTTCATCGGCCGCGGGCCGATCGCACTTACGCCTATCTTCTCTCTTTCCAATAACCTGTAACACAATTCCAACTTTGGTCCACTCATCGCTTTCTCATTACTCATCCTCCTTTCAACGCACAATGACCATCGAAGTTCACCACGAAACAGGCCGTATCGAGGTCGGCCATACGCGCGACAAAAAGGTGCCTCTGAAACTGTACTATGAAAAGACCGGTAACGGCCCCAAGAAGCTGCTGCTTATCATGGGCCTGAATTCTCCTGGTAGCGCCTGGGAGCCTGTCGTAAGTTCATGTCCGAGACTTGAATGCATGCGTAGGCAATGGCGATTCGAAAGGCCATTCTCTTGACTAACTGTCCCTCATTCCGTTGGCAGGTCGAGCACTTTTCCAGAAACCCCGAGTACACCACAGTGTTCTTTGACAACCGCGGGGTTGGTCATTCGGATGCCCCCAAGGGCCTCTATTCGTACGTCTTCAATACAAAGTCAGGTCAATTGCGCCGACGGCAAACATACGATGACCCAATTACTTACACGAATTTCATTTCCGGTCCAACGAACGGAACAATAGCACTTCGCAGATGGCCCAGGACACCCTCGGCCTCCTGGACGCGCTCGGCTGGAAGGAAAATATCCACGTAGCCGGTGTCTCGATGGGAGGCATGATCTCTCTCGAATTAGTCCACGCAGACCCCAAGCGCTTCGCATCTATGGTGCTGACCTCAACCAATGCCGGCCGATCTCCTCCTCAGCTCGTCACCGTCTCTTTCCTCTCCAGAGTCGTGCTGCTCAGGGAGCCGGATGCGCGCATCAAACTGATTTCAGAGACTCTCTATCCCACGGTAAAGGACCAATCCCACCGTGCGCTCTTGGCTCGCCTCCCCTATCGTGTCTGTCGATCGCACGAAGAACAAAAATGTGATCGAGTGGATGCTGGCATGTGCTTTTTTTGTATACGTGCTCACGCATCCTTTTTTTTCAAATGCTTGCTGTAGAAATGGTTAGAGCAGCCTGCTCCCAAGAATTCGGGCTTCAGCACCAACCGCGAGTTGGTGGCGACTGTAAGTTGGCAAGGTTTACTACTTTACGTTGACATCACATTCCACAACCTTGAACGACTGTCAGCGTTCTCGTACTCATATCCTCATATCATCCACTCCTAGACCTTGAAACGACGATTTGCCACTACACCACTGCAGCCCCTCCACGCCAACATTGCCCAGTCTTGGGCAGCGCTTTTCCATCACGTCAACTCGAAGCGGCTAGCCCAAATTCGTGACTCTGGACTTCCCGTTCTGGTGCTGACAGGCACGGCCGATAACTTTGTGAGACCCTCGGGCTCATATCACCTGGCCAAGGAGCTCGGCGCTCCGTTGGTCGTCTTTGAGGACTCGGGTCACGCGTTGCCTGGAGAGCAGACTGAGACGTACTGCAGATTCATTGAAGAATTGGTCGAGAGGGGCAAGAACGGCGTCTTTGAACTCACGAGCTCGTTGTAGCGGTGTAGATGTCAGGTTCAAATAAAGCATGGGTCCTCTTATTATGCTGTACTATTTATTATTGTCATTATTGTCATTATTGTCATTATTATTATTATTATTGTTATTATTATTGTTATTATTAGGTTGGTAGTTCTGGTATATTGCAGCACTGGTTGCGGATAGGATTACATCCCAGTGAGCTTGAGCTTTGATTTAAGGCTTTCACAGCTTGGACGGTCCCATGATCGGCTTGCTAGTGCGACGGGCAAGACCCAGGTCGCTGAGATGACCACGCCCTTGCCCATATCTTCAGCCTTGATCACCGACCATTGATAATCGACCCATGCTGAGATGATCTTTGCAATGGGAACCAGGGCAGCCAAACCAGGGATGCCAGCAATGGCCCCCGTCAGGATGTTGAAGAAAATCTGGCCCGTGTTTGACACGCGTTCAATGGTCGCCATGCACTTGTGGGGCACATAGATTTCAAAGCCCCACCAAAACGTGTAGGCGCTGACCGTGTACGCCGACGGAGGGCCTTGTTGCGACCAAAGGAACTGTTTTGCGATGGAGTTGATGGTGGTAACCAGATAGGATGGAGAATCTGCAGAGACTGCGATATCCGTGGTTGATCGTTTCTTAGGATCGATTTTGCACCCAGTCGGCATGGATTTGGAGGTTGGAAGTAGAGCCTTCAAGGCCGTGCTCTTGATATTGATGTTAGGCATGGATGACTGGCGATGGAGGGCGGAGGATTTGCTGGTCGCATTGGTGTCTGACTTGAGTTCTTTAGGCTTGGAGGAAGCAGCTATTGCCAAAAGGGATGCTGCTGCCCGAGCAATTTGCTCACCAGAGGAGAGGGATTTCTTGGGCGTGTCCTGATGTTGTTTCTTTGCCGACGATGGATCCATAGACGGTTTCGTTTTTGTCGTCAACCAGAGAGACCCGAATCCAGCTGGGTTCTTGTTCTCCTTGTCATCCTGGATAGCCGCGGGCGCCGAGGCTGGGGCTGGGGCTGGGGACGAGAACCACCAAGAGGTTGATGTTGGGCCTTTGTTAGACTCTGTGTCGACGATGCCTGTTGCCTGATCATTGCTTTTCGGGGTCTCCCATGATCTCTTTTTGTCGATCTTGTCCCACTCCGCGAGTTCTTTGTCGAGCTGCTCCTGCTCCTTCTTGATCCGTTTTTTCTCTCCGTTCCTATCCTCGGTCCCGGGGTTTGATGCGCGAGCAGTTGACTTCTTGGTATCTGATTGATTCGCTGTTGTCGACTCTGCAGTTGGGTCAGGCATGGCCTTTAAAAGTGCGATTATCTCATTGACCTTGGCCGGGTCGGCATGCTGGAGGGCTTTGACAACCTTCTTCTTTTGTTGACCGCTGACGTGGGCTTCATGGTCAGCACCCTGAAAGAAGGTATGGAGAGTCGAGGAGGAGGTAGGGGATGCGGTGGATGCAGATAGGGAATTAAATGCGGAGATGAGCTCTGCAATGAAGAGCGGGTAGGATTTGGGTTGCGCAGGGCTGAACAACGACGGACTGGATGCTGATTTGGGGTGCTGGAGGAAGACATCTTCTGCGGTGGGCCTTTTGGAGCACTTTGTCTTTTTGAGGGTTTGATACTTGTGAACTAAGGTGTTTGTCATGTTGGAAGTGTCAGGTTGAAGAGAGAGAGGACGTAAGAAGTGGAAGTCGAGTGGAAGTCGAGTGGAAACGAAGACAGAAATTGCTCTTTAGTGTAGAAGTATTAACGAAGGTGGGAGGAACTGCCGCTGTTTTATACTCCTCCCGTCGTGTTCCAATGTGTAGACTATGCTATGAATACCCTGTATTTTTTTCTTCGTTGGTCTCTGGAGGGAGAGGCTGGGAAAAAATGCATGAACGGATTGCAATATAGACTATAATGCACTTTCTCGGCACGCGTCCTCATTCAAACACAATACGCACAGGGTGCACTGTGTGCATGCGAATACAAAATTAATCTTTTATGACGATTGGTACCACGATCAGCTTGAAATTCCCCTGGTCATGATAGAAAAGACAAAAAAAATATTCTGGGTCCTACATGTGTCCGACTGACTCATGCAGGACAAGCATAATGCACAGCAGCGCAGAGCCCCGTGGCATGAACGAGTCAAGGGATTGTGTTGTAGATAGTCTACCGTATACTTCACAGATGTACGTTCTCGGGAAGATTACTCCTCCCTTTTATTTCCCTTGGGGTCACAAGCAAGAATGCTGCGTCTGACCTTTCGCTGCTGCTTACTCATACCATGGGCGCGTCCTTCGCGAACCAAAAAAAAAAAATCTGTTTTGTGTAAGTTACAGCAAGGGATCCAACAAGACGCGATATTCGATTATTATGCTTTTCAAGCCTGTTGTCGCGTTTCGTAACAGCTAACGGGTATGCATCGCCCGGGTACGCAGCTCATCATGTCAGGAACACATGGCTTCCACGTTTTTTTGTATGTATGTCTGCGTGAGCAATTGTGTATGCAAATGAGGGGTCTAGCTCCTTAAGAAGACGTGGGTTCAGTTGAGTTGCGATAGTAGTCTACATGCGCGGACGCAGGAGCGCCAAGGCATGGTGGTCATGCGCTTGGAGTGCACGTCTACAGATGACGGACATAATTGCCTATGAAAAAGACAACACGCACATGCGCTTCAGAATTAAACTGGATATGCGGGTGAAATCACAAATTTTGCCAGGCTGGGCAAAGCAAGCTGCCATGTTGCCTGACATAAAAGACGCTGTCATGGTCTAACCCACTGACTTTCGTCTGGCAGGCTACAACTAGGTCAATTGCAGATACAGTGGTCCTGTTGCTGGTATTTTTATTGGCATTAGAAATCCTTGGACACAAATTGGCAGCCTCTTTTGTATGCCTCTGATATTCCTCCGCTTAGGTGCGCACGCTTACTGTCGATCGGGGGGGGGGGGGGGGGGGGGGGGGAAAGAAGAAGAAGGAGAGGAGAGATTCAATTCAAGGCAACGTAGTATTTGTCTATTTGTTCTTTACATTACTTACGGTCCCATGGTATACCCTGTCTTTGCTTTACTTTTGTCTGGTCTCCATCCTTCTCTCTTGTTTTTGAGCTTGTGCAAACACCAAAAGAAAGAAAGCCAATAAGAACGCCAGTTAGAAACCACAGAGTTCCTTAGCCCAACTACTGATAGAATGAGCATTCCTTCGTCTATCCAGACAGATATGACCTTCAGAGATGGACCGTAGTAATCCAATTAACATTATCACAGCGCTTTTTTCGCCGTCGAAACCATGGAATAAGGGCGTTGGAACGCTTGACAAATTAGTGGTCCAGGGGTATTGACCGAAGTTGCATATAGCGCTCAAGCGTAGTCTCCACATGGTGATCGTCATTAGAAAATTAAATCTGTTCCGTATAGAATAATAACTTCATAAATATTTGCACTTGACGTTGACATCCGCTCTTAACATTTCCATTTTATAATGCCGAGACAGAGACCAGCAGAGGAACCAGCAGACAGGGAGCGAAGGAAGGAAGATTATGTACAAGCAGGACTACAGCAGAGCCAAGAGATTCACCCAACACGACGCGCCGAAGTGGAGGAAGCAATGAGAGTCGCATTCGAACGCAACGAGTATCGGAAAGGAAAAGAGTGGGAGGCCAACGAGAACAGTAGGGTATGGCGGAAACACAACGAAACAGCTACGAAAGTGCACAGGAGAAAAACGGAAGCAGTACGAAGGAGGCAGGCACAGGTTAGGATTTTTTTTTTTTTTTTTTTATTTTTTATTGACGCCAGATCCCCCCAGGCGTGCAGGCGTGCCACAGGCTGCATTGTCCAAGCCTCGGCTTGGACTGTCAGCCGGCCGATAGTTACCTAAAGATAGCTATCAAGAGGCCCCCACTAAACTAATGTAAAATGAGGAACCAAATACCTATGGTGCACATTCTGAGTCGTATGGTTTCTAATACTTGAGCCGGGGCCCAAAACCGCTACGCAACCTGTCGGGTCCGATGGGTCCTCTCCTAGTCAAGATCACGGGCCAATATGAATTTTATCCTCCTTCCTCTCTCCATCTCGTTCAACACCACCTTTCCCTGGAGATGGTCCACCAAGCGGCTGTCTGCTCTCCTCCTCGCCGCTGTCGTAACCTCCTCTTGGGGCTGTTGTCTCACAAAGCCCTGGGTCTCACCTCCTACCTGGACCCCGGCTTTCTTCATCCTCGTGCATATGCCCTCGGACTTTTCCCATGTCACTGTGGCACTACATCGCTCCTTCCATAACTCCTCTCGGCCAAAAGCCTCAACTCGTTCTACAAAACGTCCAACCAGGTAAGACGCGATGCTCTTCGACGTCTTCAAGAGTAGCGCCCAATCCATTGTCAGGAACTTTGGTACGAGCCCGTGGTATATGTCTGTCGTTGTCCATAGCCTGGTAGGCGGTGCTGCCTGCTGTACGTTTTCTTGACTGCTCACTCCTTCTCCTTCTTCCTCGTGGACATTCTCTCTGTCCTCGCCACCATTGTCCCTGTCTCGCCGCTCCTCCAGCAGCCTTATCCAGTCATCATCTCGCGTATCCACCATCGTTTCCACTCCCCGGATATCACGCAGACTCCACCAAAGGGTGTCTAACTCGCACGGGGTAAAACTCGGTTCGGTGCGTGTGAATTGTCGACCATCCTTGATTGCCTCCTCCATGTCGCACAACCACTTTTTCCTCGCCTTATCTACCAAGGTGCGTCCAAGACTTAGAACCCCATCAAGTGTCTTTCTCCATTCTTCCTGTCGTCTGTTCTGTGTGACTCTGCAGACCCAGAGGTGCTGGGCATCCTCCACCATGGTAAGGCACACTTGGCATCTGTCTGTGGTATACAGATTCGGCTTCCACCTGCGCATGTACTGCATGGTTGGCAGCATACCATGGATTTTCTTGATCCTGTGGGACCGATGGTTGCAATCCGCAAGGCTAGTGAAAAAACCCCCTGGCGGATTTTTCTCATGTATTATAGTAAGGCTGGATCGCCACTCCACTTCTTCCCACTGCTGAATAAATTGTTTCGTTCGTTGTTGACAAGTCCATGCATGATGGTTTCTGGCTGCAGACTGATGCTTGATCAATTGGCGAATGTCGTCCTCCACTGACTGACCACAGAAAGTCGTATGTGTCTTCTTGCTCGTGAAATATTGTGTGTTCAGTTGCCATGGCCGTCGCCCACTGTCGTGTGCGTTGTCCGCCAGTTCGTCGGCGGCCTCATTTCCAGTATCGCCATTGTGTCCTTTAACCCACTGAACATTTACTTTGCTGCCCTGCTGCGCGTACGCCTCGTAGATCACAGCCCACCAGTTGGCATATGCTGCTCTCAACCGCCGTCGTGGAGTAGCTGTATGTCGATTCTTAACTAACGCCGCAAACTGTTGGACCACTGCTCTATTGTCGATATGAATAATGGCGTTGCGATCCCGGGGACAGCACAGAATTGTCGCGAGCAGACCCACCAGTTCTGCTTTGGTGGATGATGCGTAATCCGTCGTTGTACCACAGATAGCCGTCTGAAATGAGCCGTCGACGCATCTATAGACACTACCGAACGATCGGCTGACTGTGTCCGAGCCAGCGTTCTTCACTGATCCATCCGAATAAAGGACAATTGCCTCCAGCCCAGGCGGGATCCTCCATCGAGTCTCACGGATCGTTTGCCATGTCTCCTGGTCAATATCAACCCATGGGAAATCGATCATTTGTGCTGGCGGAGCCAAGGACGCGAGCGCTGCCGCATCCTGAATAGTAGTTGGCTGTGAATCCATGTCCTTGAGTGCTGCTTTTTCCATTTCATGTACCTTCTGGTCCTCATCCATGCCATTATATTTTTCACGTCGCTGTCGCTGTCTATATTCCTTGAGTCGGACCGCGATATTGTACGTATGCAAAGCATCCTCAGCAGTACGCCTCGCTTGTCTGTCCTCGGTCTCCGTGAGGGGCCCTATCACCTCTCGCAGGATTTCTTGTTGTGGCGGGGGTACAAATTGGTCAACACAGCGAGGGCAGTCGTGTGCGCATTCGCCTATCCTGCATCGTTCTGCTGCAATCCACTGGCTGATAAAGCTACGCCGGTGATCGTCGCCTGTGATCCAGGACTGGAAATCATGAAACCATTGTCTGGATGGCCCTTTGACTCGTTGCTGCTTGCGAAGGAAGGACCACGACCGCACCTCCAATCCTTCATCCATGATCTGATCTGTTGAAAAAAGACCAACACTCGCAAATCCTCGTGCGATTTCCCCTGACGGCTGCGTGCGCCAGTCCATGATGCTCCGTGCTGTCGGAGGGACGCCGAGAGCGTCAGCATTGTTCAGGGTAAATGTGATGTTCCTGTCAGCCATCAAACGACACACGTTGGAGATAAGACAATGGCGGTATGGTTTGACACGTAGCGGTGTAGCCGTGGGCACCTGTTCCAGCCCGCCCCGTCGCTGAAGCGCAGCGAGCCGTGCTCTGCAGAGATCACCTACAATACCTCCATCGTTGAGTCGGCTATGTAATGAACTGATCTGTTCCTCGTCTTGAGCGTCGGACAATCGTTTGAGACCTCCGAGGTACCGGTGAAAGAGAATGCTGTTGGGCGTAGTCGAAGGCAGACCCGATTTGCGTTTGATTAGTTGGGTGTACTTCCCCGTGAGCTTTTTGAGGCACGACGGCGAGATGACTTGAATGGTGCTGCGATACAGAATCTTGGGGATCAGGACGCTGTTGACGATAGTGGTTGAAATGCGATCGGTGATGGCCTTACGGCTCATAATGTTGCAGAGTTGGGCGACCTCTGTTTCCAAAATGCGAGTTGTAGACGTTGTTGAACGGGCTGAGTTAACCCATACCCCCAGTACTCGTGCTGCTTCCTTAGGTGGGAGTGGTGTTAATTCCTCTGGTGGTGTTCCAAAAATCAATTTGGTGTTGTCCTGCGCGTCCTGGAGGTTAACCATGACCACGGTTTTCTTTGCATTGATTTCCACGCCATTGAGTGTGAAGAAGGACGTTGCAATGTCGAGCGTATGTTGCATATCTTCCCTGGATCCTGCAACCCATGTAGTATCATCCACGAAAGCGAAACACGACAAAGAAAGAGGTTGTGCAACACCTTTCATCGCATATCCACGTCCTTGCTCCATGACCTCGCACAAGAGAGCGTCGTAAGCTATTCGCCAAAAAAGGGGGCACTCCACTCCTCCTTGATCCAATCCGCACTGTGGTCGATACTCTTCCGTGACTCCATAATCAGTGATAACCTGATTGACCTTGGTGTCAGCGATCTTCATACAAAGGTCAATAAAGGGCTTTGGGAATTTCAAGTGCGTCATTGCCCGATGAAGCATGCCGTCCTGATGGCAGTTGACCGAGTCGAAGCAGCGACGCATGTCCTGGAAAACAATCCATTGCTCTTGTTTGAACTCTGTTGCATCCTCCATGACACAATTCAGCGCGTGGATGGGATCCTTTGTCGTCGTACCCTTCAGAACCGAATAGTTTGGACCTCGGAGGATGTTGTGCTGGGTAAGAATCGTACTGAGCCGCTTAGTGAGGATCGTAAACATGATCTTCCTAGCGTGCTCTAGAAGCGTAATCGGTGGCAGGCACAGGTTAGGAGGAGAGTATCAGGAACACGAGGCAATAGACACGGGATCACGACTCAAACCGGCAGCGGCTTAAACGTAAGGCTGACAGGCGACGTGCTGACAGGCGGCGAATACAACGGCGCATGAGGAAGAGGGAAACAAGAAAAAATGCGAGACTCATGATCAAACTGTGCGGCAGAGATCCAGGATTGGACAATGAGGCACTTCGAGCAAGGCTCCGTACTCTGGCGCGGGAGCAGATGGATGCAGTGCCAACGTTACGTTATAGAGCACTGCCAGACGATATGCAACATCCGATAGGAGACATATTCGGGGTCAGTATTCCAGCAGCAGTGTTGCGCCACATCCAGCAACAGCGTACCCGACTGCAAGGACTGGACAAAGCTGTAATGTTCTCGGACGGCTCAATGGAAGAAACAGGGAAGCAGGGTGTCCGAATGGCATTCGGCGTGGTAGCGCAGGAAAATCAAGACGCCATGCGCACAGTGACAACGGGCAGGATCGCTGGATTTGCTTCATCGACTAAAGCTGAGCTTGCAGGACTTTTTGCAGCAATCCTAGTCAGTCCAAGGAACACGCCAACAACTATCTACATTGACAACTCGGCTGTGGTAACGCAATTTAAAGCCTTGGTGAGTGGGAGACAAGGAAGCACGGAATGCCAAAGGCTGCGGTCGACTTACGCGATCTGGTGGTCGGCAGTGCACAACGCATACGTACATCAAGGAGGGAAGATCAAGGTGGAGTGGATCAAAGGGCACGCAGGCCATAAGGGCAACGAGGCAGCGGAAAAGACAGCAAAAGAGGCGCACTTCAGTGACTTTTGGGCCATCAATGAAAAGGAACACAATGACATCCAGTGCCATGCCATGTTCAGAGGCGCGGTCATCGAGGATGATCTGAGGCAGGTACTTAAACGCCAATCAACGGTAAGGATGAACACGTTGTGGACAGAACAGAACAGGACTAAGGAAAACACCAAGGATTAGAACCTGGTGGAGTGGAAAGCAACACTGCACATCATTCACAACGGCAACACACCGAAGTGACTATTCACTAGCCCTAACGATTGTCAGCGTCGTGCGCACAGGATCAAGAAGCTGCACGGAATGCTGCCGACGCTTGCGTACATGAAGCAGTGGCGGCCGGATTTGTATAGCACAGACACCTGCAGACTTTGTGAGGTAGACAAAAAGGACACACAGCATCTATGGCGCTGCGAGATGACGATGCAGCAGCAGCTGGACGGTTGGCAGGAAGTGATCGAGAAGGTCAACACGGATGGACGTAGAGCATGGAGCAAAGAGCGCAAGCTTTGGGAGACGAGACAAAAGCAAGCCAAGGGGCGAGGACAAGCCGCGAGAGGACAAGCTGCGAGAGGACAGGGACTAATCTTCACACAGGTGACAGACAAGACCATTTGGACAGCACTCAAGGACAAGATCAAGGGAGCTTCGGCGATCCGGCAAGCAAGCAACACACTCGGCCGTGTGGAGGACGAGACAAGGGACAACGATCAAGGGGCCTGGACGGTTCAAGATTTGTACCACGGACTGACACCAGCGGCTCTCACCAAGGACTGGGAGAGCCTTTTCAAGACGACCACCTCGATCGCGAGGTACATGGCCGGCCGATTTGTCAAGGCTATCGAGAAATTCGGACGGACAGAAATTGTAAACCAAATATGCAGTCACGTGCAGTCATTTACGCGACAGTACGCGCCGAGTACTTCGACGCGTCCTGACCGCGATGTACGTTTCCTGTACATTAGGTTTAGATCGGATTTGCTCCGCGCAATGTACTAAGTACCAGGCTGGCCCTGTTACCAGGTACATTGCAATGAGGCATTTCTTCTGCCTTTACATTTTATTACTTATTTCTACGTAGCTTCTTTCAGTGTCATTCAGTATAAAACAGAGTGCGTTCACCTCCAAAATCAGTAGTTCTTGATTGAATAAATCCACTCTTCAAAAGCATATCTACTTCCACTCCAAAGCATCCGCCTGCCTCTCACGATCCGTAAGCCTAGCCAACTTACTCTTGATCTTGATTCGTGGTTATTTGACTTCTTGTTCTTTACCCTGACACTCTTTCTCGCTCGACTTTGTTACAGAAATCTGGAACAAAAGATGCAAAGTCACCGTCGACTGGGAAAGCAACTGTGTTGGAGAGCACAGACGTAGTGGTAGTGGTTTCGTTGGATCCTCCAGGAGACAACGACGTGCATTGGATGTAAAAGAGATCGAGGAACGAGCGGACAAGCGAGTGCTGCAAAGTTGCATGCAGCAAGTGGAGCTTAACGTGATGGAATGCACCGGCAACTGTAAATTTTTGATGCTTGAGGAACGCGGCTAAAGGATGACCTTCGCGCACAACAGGCCAAGTAGGGAGCAGGGCTCAGTCACCGACCCCAGGCGGGGTCGAGTTACCACTCATGCTGACTGGGATTGTGAAGGGGATTGGAGCTGCGAGTGACCAGCAGCAGTGCGGCAAAAGCCGCTTATTAGAATATTGAGCACCCTTTACCATGCCTCTAGCAATAGGGTTCCCTAGTCTAGAGTCCCTCACTAATAAATTCCACATATCCTCGTGGGTTCTAGTATCAAAAAAAAAAAAAAAAAACCTTAACATTTCCGTTTTATGTTCATTCTCTCCTGTCAAAGCATCATTCAAGTAAGCGTATCTGGATTGTTGCCCTTGAATTTTTTTTTTTTTTTTTGGGGGGGGGAGAGGGGAGGGGTGAGAAAAGGAAGAGAGAGAAGAGATAAAAATGCTTCAGCCTATTTTGGTGATTTCTGATAGTGCAAACATCCCACCTGCGAGCGAAGCCGCGGGTGCAGTAGTTGAAAATAAGGAATCGCGTTCAAAGGCCGGAAAAGGGTCTGAGAAAAAACGCAAGGCGAAGTCAAAACTCGTTTGGCGAGGTCAAAACTCAAAACTCAAAAAAAAAAACACGAACTGTTGCATGCATGAATGCGTGGTCCACGAGGTTTTGGGCAAACGAGAAAAAAATCATTTCCTTGCTAAGCAGCACCGCGCCCAAAGGATAGGGGCGTGGCATCCAAGAGTGTTGTTCTCTGAGCTATAAAAGCATTACTGTCCCTCCTTCCATGCCATCCCATTCTTCACTATCCATCAATCCATCCTTCAATCTTTCACTTCTGTGATTCAGTAGCGTACTGTTTCATCTGCCATCTCCCCCAGTTCCGCGACTTTTTTCTCATCTGAGAAAGTAACTACCTGTTCGGAACGAAAGTTATGTATGTATTCATATTCTCTTTGTGCCTTCTATCGGTGCATCGATAGTCAGTCCTTGTCTACTTGAACTAACTCTTGTTTTTTTACTTTTTTTTTTATATATTACTACAGCTCCTACTGTTTCGTCTACGTTCTCCCTCAGTTCCGCGACTCTTTTCTCATCCGAGAAAATGGCTACTTGTTAGGAATGAAAGGTATGTATACATTCATATTCTCTTTGTTCCTTCTATCGGCGCATCAATGGTCACTCCCTTGTCTCCTTGAACTAACTCTTTTTTTTTTTTTAATTACTACAGCTCCAACGCAAAGTTTCATCTTTTCCTCAACTCAATCCACCATGGATATCCCCAACGTTGGTCAGGCCATGGCCCTCGGTGATCTCTATAATGCTCGAACTGGACATTGCACCAACGTCTCGGTCCTCAAAAACGCTCTCCCTCAAACTCTCATCGAGTCCCGAGATGAGAACGCAATCAACACAAAGTTCATCTCCGAAGAGACTTACAAGGAAAAGTTCGAGGCTTTCGAGATCAATGGGAACCTAAAGCTGAATATCCTTGCCAACCTCGTCACCTTGAACGCCCAGGGCAAGTATCTCACAACCGAAAAGAAATCTTCGAAATCGGTCAAGGTCTCGATGTCCTATGCCGTCCAGACGAAATTGGACAGGATTAACATCCGATCGGACATGATTCGAGAGTACATCAACACAAAGGCTTTGGACGATCCTGAGGCCACTCATGTCGTCACGGGGATCCAATGGGGGGCCAACATGGTGTGTTCCTTTGAACATAGTCTGAATGAAGGAGAGACTAAAAAGGAGGTCTCGGGTACCCTGAGTGCTTCTTGTAATACTGTTAAAGTCGGTGTGGAGCTCGGTGGCGGACTGACAGAGGAAACCGAACAATCCAACAAGGACATGTCTGTCCAGATCAGTATCCTCGGTGACATTGTACTCAAGGCAGATTCCTATCCAACCACGGTCGAGGATGCCGTTCAGCTCATGAGACAAGTGCCCGAATTCGTGAAGGGAGTGAACGAAGGGAAAGGAAGTGTCCTGCAGTACAAACTTGAGCCGATCGAAAAGGTCCGGGCCCACTTTGATCTCGAGGCCAGGATCGCGTCGGTGATCAACACCATCAGCTCGGAGCTGGTCGATAAAGTCGAGAGCATCTTTGATACCATTGTCGAGAACCGGATCCGTTTAACCGAGGCCTCGAATGATATTCTCGAATACAGTCAGTACATTACCGAGACTGAGGTGAAACGAATCAACAAGGAGCTCAAGAATTTCAACCGAGATGAACGAGAGTTCAAACACTCCCTCTCCGAGACTGTCCAAGCCATTCAGACTGGGAAGGCTGGGAACGCACCTGAGGATGCACTGTTCCGATTATTGAGAGAGCTTGAAGAGGGAAGTTGCTCTTCATCGATGGTCGATGACGTCATTGAGAGTTACCAGGCCCTGTCGAGACGGATTTCTTTTATCCGTCATTGTGAAAAGGTCAATATCAAGGTCATCTCCAGAGGGCATGATATCTCAAACTTCTTGTCACCCTCAGCGACGGGCAAGACTTTTATCCTTATCATCCCAAAGTCCATTGACTATACCGCGGTCGAACAAAGCCACGACTGGCACATTTTCCAACTCTTGAGAGAGGACAACAAGGATGCGAATTTTATGATTCATGACGCCTCGATCTCACCCACGGACCCGCAGTCGAGGGATCTTACCGAGTTGACGATCTTCAAGTACTATGGGAGTAAGAGGTCGTCTGCTCAAGATACCTTCCGAGCCTCGATCCTTCGTTCTTCTGTCAAATTGTCCAAGACGGAACTCGTGACTCAAGCGGAGAGAACCAAACTCGCTGGCCATGCCCTGAGAATGCCCTGTCCTTTATCCCATGAGGGCGAGTGTCACTCTGGCGTCTTGAAGTGGGTCTGCTTCAAGTGTGAGGAGGTCCTGCAGTACGAATACGACGAAGTCGTCTATTGTCTTTGTGGAAAGACATCACTCGAGAACTGTACCTTCCGATGTGACTCGATCGCACATGGTTATCAATACAAGAAACTCCATGCCCGATCCATTCAGTCGATCCGCGAAAAGATTCACCCGGGAGATGACGAGATCAACATCCTGCTGTTGGGCGAGACTGGGGTCGGGAAATCGACCTTTATCAATGCCTTTGCAAACTATCTCCGATACGACAGTCTGGAGGTTGCCGAACGGATGGAGATGACGACGTTGATCCAATCGAGTTTCGAGATCGAGGGCACAAAAGTCACTGCCGGGAAACCGGACCAGAATGAAAAGTTGAAGGATGGTCAATCGAGTACCCAATATTGTCGATCCTATGTCTTTCCCCTGAACGACGACATCAAGATCCGATTGATCGACACTCCCGGGATCGGAGACACTCGAGGGGTGAAACAAGACCGGATCAACTTTGAAGAGATTATGGACTACATCTCTGGATTCGACAAGATCAACGGAGTCTGCATCCTCCTATTGCCCGATACCCCACGTCTGACGACCTCGTTTCGATTCTGTATCGACGAACTGTTGTTGCATCTTCATAAGACTGCCGCCGACAATATCCTCTTCACTTTCACAAAGACGCGATCTTCCTTCTACGGGCCCGGAGATACCATGACGCCGTTGAAGACCTATATGAGGGAATTAGAAAAAGCAAGCGGCATCACCATCCCATTGGAGCCTAACACCATGTTCTTCTTCGACAATGAATCGTTTCGACTCTATGCAGCCTTGAAACAAGGTATTATCTTCGATCAGAATACAAAAGATGCCTTTGGAGCGAGTTGGACCAAATCCGTGGAGGAGGCCCGAAGACTGGTCAAGCGAATCATAGACTTGACACCTCACAAGACAGCCGAGACCGTGACCTTGGATATGGCCCGTCGTTCGATCCTCCTCTTAACGCCACCGATGGCCAAGATCAATGAAAACATCACCATCGAGCTCAAGGACATCAAGAACCTGAGGATCGAGGCTCAGAACAACAAGATCAGTGCCAAGGATCTGAAAGCGAGACTCGTGTGTTTTTATATGGATTTGGATCCCATCAATCTCGCACGCCCAAGAACGGTCTGTACCTCTGATTCCTGTACGACTGTTCACGACAAGATTGTCCGATACAACAAAAACTGTCATGAGGACTGTCAACTCGAGAACGTGGCCATCAACGTGATCAACCATGCGGGTCTGAGGAAATGTTGGGCCATGAAAGGCGGGGAGACCTGTAGGGTATGTGGCTGTCGATGGGAGAAACACATGCACGTCAAGATTGACTATACTGAGGTCAAGAAACAAAAGACCGATACCGCCGTCGAGAAACAGTTGAAGGAAAAACTCTCCGCGGTCGATGCCATGCAAATGGCGATCGCCGAGGCCGATGAGCGGATCAAGACCTTGGACTTGGAAAAGAAGGTTATCTTTGATTCCCTCATGACCTTCACGGGCTTCCTACTTCAGAATTCGATTCTGGTTCAGAACAATGGGATCGTGGCCTATATCGACATGAGTATCGAGAACCAGGAGAGGATTGCTCAGAAGACACAAGACTTTACGATCGTGAACTCTCTGATAGAGCAGAGGAACGAATTCGTGACCCAGATGGAGATCTTTGAAAAGGCTATCAAAGATGGCAAGTCCAATACGGCCAAGATCATACCGTCGGGGGTCATCAACGCTAGAGAAGCGCTTTGTCAGTTGGAGGTCAATGGTAAGGCCTTGACCACGGTTCTGGATTGGGGAAAACAGAATCAAATCCAGCTCTCGAAACGGGAAACTCGGATCGTGGATGGATATGTCTCGGGAGGTTGGAGTTTGTCGGGTGCTTTTTCCAGCGCAAAGAAATCGGTGTTCAAGAAGTTGGGATTCCAGAAAGAAATGTGAGATAAGAAGGGGACCTCGTTCAGAGTGTGTGTGAACGAGTGATGGTTTTATATTGGTCAAGAACAGAGAAGAATACCATAGGGAAATGTAGCCTTATATTGCTATAACTTTTTGTTATACCTTTTTGTTCTATATCCGACTTTCTTTTTTTTTTATGCGTGTGCAATATTCACCAGAGTCCAAAGGTAATTGCAGAAAAACGCGTCTACTATGGAAAAGAAAATTGCCTCACCCTACCTCGCGTCATAAAAAAACCCGCTCTGGCTTAAGGTACCAATGGAAGACCTTCGCCATCGCGAGCTACAGAAAAGATAAAGATGTTCCGGATCCCGGGCTACCTAGAAGAAGCTTACTGCCAATGAGGAACCAGAACCATCATTAATACCAAACCTAGGATACATGGGAGACCAGAATCTCCCATGATCCAGCACTCGGCCATGAGTCAACTATTTCTCCATCTATTCACCTATGTATCTCTATAGCAGCAATAAAGACATGTATAAATACGGGTGTGTGGTCAGTGTGGACTCGCATCTCTTTCTCATTGATCCTTCCTATCCTAAAACTGTTAAAACGTTTCAATGCGCAACGCAAAATGGAACCGGTCATTTTTTGTGCCTCTCATAGTAGCAAACTCAATGGAAATGCTTTTGCATGAGCAAGAAGTTCTCTTGGATTTTCGATATCTATGAAGAACAGCAGACGAACACAAAAAATTTAGAGGGTGGAAGTGGAAAGGAAGACGTCGCACGCAAAGACAACGTCTGAGGATGATGATGTCGGCGAGGAGAAGGGGGATGAGGTCCAAGCAACAACTGAGCGAGTCGATATCGGTTCGGAGGGAGCCAAAGGCGGGAGAGTTTTGGACAGCGCCAGTGACGTTATCGCTGTCACCAGTCATCGTGAAGGAGTGAAGGAGGATTCTCGAACCGAGAAGAACTCATGAGATTGGAGGAGAGGTTGGATGAGAAGATTGGGGGCGACGGATGCGAAGATCGAGCGATTGACGGAGCTACTTGCAAGACTGGAGGAGGGTCGCTGAGATTTTTCTTTTTACGTTTATTTTTCTTTGAAAATTACCCACAACTCAATCCTCCTCTGTCATTTTTCTGTTTGTGTGCTATGGTGTGGTGCGGTTGTTCTATGGGGTGGTCATATTTTCGTGTCGCGTTACCTCCTCTAGTTTGACGTTACCGCCATTTTCTTGGAGAGGAAAGAGTTTGCAAGAAATCAATGGAGGGTCGTCAATGCAGTTTTTGATGAGCACATCAAAGAGAGAAATGCTGAGTGCATAGTTTACTTTGGTGCACTATTGCCGTTTTATTGTATTTGTCGATGGTATTTTCATGCGAGGTTGTATGGGTAGCCGATTTAAGAGAAGAATATGGACTCTGTCGCTTCATTCGCCCCTTCTGGAAGGTATAAATGAGGGGATCGATTGTTTTATTTTTCTCTTCTCATCGTCCAACCCTTTGTTTACAACATGCAAGAACTCGACATCCACATGGACGTAACCCTCGGCAAGGAATTTTTGGCAGACCTCCCTGGTTATCAAGAGTGCTCGATGAAGTTTTGTCCGGTTACCAAGAGCCAGTGAACGGATTTCCCCCTGCTTTGCAAGAGCCGCTCAACCAATTTATTCCAGGTTATAAACAACTGCCTGTCGAATTTTTTGATTTGGAAGTTGATCCAGCTTGCAAGGTTAGTAAGGGGTCTAAGGTCAGATCGTTTATGAAGATTCGTTGATGAATGCATTCTATGGGTGGTGGGGCAATATAAGGTCCGAGTCTCTGAGTTGGTAGTCTTTGTTAACAAATCTGATCTGACTGTTTGATAGACGCGGTTGTTTCTCCTCTTGCTCTGGGCATCATAGTGTATGCTCTTCAGTTTTTTCCATGGTGGCCGGTGTTTCGCAGCATGGCCCGGACCAAGAGGGTGTGGTCTCGTTTGATTTTCCTGGGTCGGCCGATGTTTCGCTGCACGGTCCAGTTGACAAGGATTTGCTCGAGTTTGATGATTTTAGAAACACACTTATTAGGGGGTTTCAAACCTATGTAGGTTTGAAACCTCTATTGGCATCTATGATGCTGCGAATTTAATATTTTACTGTTCAAAGCTGTGCATATGCCGTTCACAACGACGCGACGCGATTCTGCGTTCATTATGTCCAATGAAACACCTCTGACGGAGCCGACCTAGATGCGCTATATATTCTATGCGGCCAAAATGTCGTGCTCACTATTTCCCCCCCCCCCCCCCCCACAGGAGCAATCACATCTTGATGATCTACCAGATTCAATAAAACATACATGGAAAATGCACTCAATTCTTCAGACATCTCAAGAAAAGTATGTCGAACACGACTGTCTGTCTGTCGCCACCAATGCAAAGCTGAAGGGTACTTTCCCATGGAGTAATCCTTTCATGGCACCACCTTGCCTGGCTGTCTCTCGCTTTGTATGTTCATTTTAGCTTCTCGTATTCTATTCCTTTTCCCCATCACTATCCTTGACACTGCCAAGGGCTTTGGTTGGTTGGTCCTGAAATTGTATTCCGTCCCCTACTTCTCCCCTGTGCATCCTTGCCCCTTCTTTTTCTTTCCTTCGATACATTGCTTATTCTTTATCGCATCCGTTGTCTCGATCTCATCCACCGAAAGACAAACTGGCTGGACATGATCGACCCGACAGTGCACTTTCTTCGAGAATGAGCAGCAAACCACGCGCTCCTTCGACATTCATACCACGTTCATCGTTGAGTTTTATGTCTTGTTTGAGACTTCTACGGAGGAACTACCCTACACCAATGATGTGCTTTCCTGTCATATTTCGCTTTGCTCCTCGCATCTGCTCCCTGGTATCTCTCCCACCACTGGCCCACCGCGTGCCCAGGCTCCTCCGCACCTCCTTTTTTCGTTTTTCAGTCTAGGAAATCATCATCGGCGTCATTGTCTCTTTTCCTCCAGGCGGGTCAATTTCTCTACGTATTTCTCTTCCACCCCTTTCGCCGTCTTCGTCCACAGGCCACCTATTCTGGTTTGCCCTGGCGAGGTAAGAAACCCAAGGGATCGAACGTTGTCCAACTCATCCCTCGTAGACCACCTCCTTTCCTGTCTTGTCGTTTTCGCGCTGTCTCCCGTCCTGCACCCCCTCCTACTCTCCTTGCTTCTCGCCCCATTCCCTGATTCTCCCCTGCTTCCCTCGTTTTTTGTGTCGAGTCGTCCGTCAATTGCAACTTTGATGCCTAGGAAGGACATACGCATAGTGGATGGGTTCTGTAAGAATACATCCGTTGTGCCCTTGACCTTGCGCCTGCTCCCTTGTCTCCCAACGCACCTTTCCTCCATTCCACTCATTTCGCTTCATTCATTGCATCCACCGCTCTCATCTCATTCATCCTTCCGCGCACACTTGTTTGTCTCCAGTGTTGTGTGCACACCATTTAAACTTTTATGAATGACCTGTTTTTTATTTCATTTTCCAGCACAGCAAGCATCCCACCTACACCAACCCTGTACGACCTTCTCCTACACCATCTGGCCCGGCCCCTATCATCAAAACGACTCCGCCCACTGCTCTCCTCATTCCCTGCTTCTCTGCCTGCAAATCAATAGCAACCCTGTGCCATACGCGTAAAGAGCATATCCTCAAACCAAAGTGCCCATCACTCCTGATACGCTTTACGACCAACTCATAAGAAAAAGCTATTGAATGGCTGATCCCCAGCTCAGACGACCCTTGCCCCTCAAAGCCGCAGACACCTATCTAGAAGTTGCAACTGTTGAGAACGACCGACAAAGCGACCAGGCCATCTCTATTGAGCCACAACCAGCTTCGCAACCGTCACAACGTCCTTACGAGGATACTGAGCGCCGACTACTTTACGGTGCCGAGACAATGCAGATGGAGGACCTCCATGGAGCGGCAGCCATGGCTCTCGCCGCCCTATCCGCTGGTGTAGGAGCCATTCCGAGAGATACGGAGAGATTTCACACATATGACATGAGAATGGAGACTGGTGCGAGGACCCTGTTGTCGTTTGAGGACAGACAAATTAAGGCCCCAAGAGCACCGATAATGGCTGTAGTAGTAACAGGAACAATGGTATCATCGACCAGTGACCTGCAAGAGACTCAAGATGGACGAGCTACATGGACGTATGCAACACTTGATCGCGAGAGGGCAAGAGTGACACTGATACCAACAGAGCACCCGAAACAACCAGGGGCGACCACGGCGGCCGGGGAGGATGTAGCGCGGATTGAGTCCGTCGTAGTAGGACCAAGGAGAAACTACCTTTACTCTGCAACAGACTATGCACCGCCACTATCGCCACCAGCTGCGATGGCCCCATCTTTGTTGACTACGACTGCGTCCCCGTCCTCTAGATCCGTAACGGCGCTAGACTCAGATCTTCATGAACCGGTAACAATGGCGCAGTGGTCTACTCCGTATGTTCCTGGAGAACAAGTGCAGTCTGTAAGTCGACAAGCACAAAATCTTGAACCCGAGGCGTCTTTCAGAATGTCCGTGTTACAAATGAATATCAGATCATTGACCGTTTTATATTACGAAATCCTTTACTGCCCATTCCTCATCGGCCATGCCTAGTTGTCGCATTTGCTCAACGACCAATTATCTTTGGCATCGTTTAAGACAGGACAGGAGCAGCCTCATTTGAACCTGAGCGATCGCGTACACAAGTACATTAACCAAGACGTTGCTGGTGCACGTACGGAAGATGGAATGCAGGCCATATTACTTAATAGAGTGGACTATACTTCCGATCACAATAGGGACCATGGCTTACACTCGGAACAGACATCTTATCGCCAAAGTTTATTGTCCTCAGCGTATCCTTCAGCTGCGGATATGCATCCTCGTGATGGAGGACAGCGCACCCAACCGATAGAAAGATATACGCATTCTTTATCGTATGAACGAACGTGCCACCTAAAAAAGACCCAGTCATTTGTACCATCGACGCATTACTCTTCCTCTCCCAACATAGAAACTACCACTGTAAATCTCAAAGAGAAACACTCTAGAAAACCGTCCAACACTCAGTCCATGTTGAGAACTCCTGACCTCACAGCGCCTCAGATTACACATCAGGAGAGCGAGTTACTGCAGTCGGATCGAGGATTGATTCACAAAGCCCAGATCCCAAAGAAGGGTAGACCTATTTCGAAGCACTCGTCTGCCTCCCAAAGCACGCCGACCCTGTCCTCGTTTGGTGTCCTTCCTGCGAACCATCTCTATTTCAGCTCCAAAATTGGAGTAACCTCGTCTTTTTCTTCACACACTTCAGGTCAGCAATCTCCTACTCACCCATCCGGCATAAAAAGGTCTTCTCCTCTGTCCAACCCCATTCATACCAGCTACCCCTCCAGTACGATGGACGATCTTCATGCACAGGCTCCAGTCCGCCGCCAGCCAGGTCATCCTCCTTTTGTATCTACGGCAATACGACACGCTCATTCTCGGTCACACCCCAGCCTTCTCCCTGGTCCCTTATCTGCTTCAAATTCCCAGTTGCTTTCAACAGGATCCTCGCGAATCAGCAATAAGTATCCTCAGCATACTCAATCAAAGGATGGCGACATTTATAGCCGGCCTCCACTTCCACAACGGATACAGCCACCAAACCAACAACTACAGCAAAACCGACACAGTTATTCTCTTTCGCAGGAGCAATACCGGAGCATAGCCGACAACCCTGATCCTTTTGCAGGGTCTCCAAGGGATTACGAACATGTTAGCGAAGCTCCGTATTCCAAAAGTTTCCTGCAGGATGAAGGCCCTCTGTCTGCTCAAGTAAAGTTGTTTCCAGAGGACGCTACAGTGCAGACAAACAACCGCAAGAGAAGCGGCTATGGGGCTGAGAGACAGCGTTCTGTATGCGGCCAGTACCGTCTCGAGGATGGCAGGACAAGCGTTTCCTCCGCCTTTGATCGTGATGAGCAAGCCGAAGAGTATTATCAGGATCAACTGGATTTCCAGGAGACTGGGCGGTCTAGAAAACGACTATCGAGATCGGACTTGGACCTCTCTAGATATGGATCGAATTTACGAGGAGACAACTCCGTTATAGAAACTTGGTCAGGACTTAGCTCTGAGCGACGTCGCCACCGGCCTCGATCGTTAGTACTCGCTGATGGCCGTAGCGATTCATCTCTACACTCGCTTGCCACAGCTCCCAATGAAGCCGCCGTTGCAACTCCGCCGCGCCGCCTCGAAAATATGGTCAACGACAATAGCTTAAAGTCTCACGATCATCGAATGATATCCGACTTTTGCACCAGCACAGGTCGCTCTTTCCATGGTCATGCACGTTCTTCGGACCTTGCTAGTCATCCAGCATCTGCGATAGATCGTTCAGAGTATAGTACCGCCCATCACTATCTCACCAACAACGGCCCCCAATTGCCATCATTTTCCGGCCCTCCTTTGCATCTATATCAGGCATCCCCTCCTTTCGCCGCTTTTACTCAGCCTGGTAGGTCGAATCTTAAGCGTCAGACGCATTAGGCAGCTAGCTCTGCCTCTCATCTTTAATGACATCTATTCAGCTAAGGGCATCCAAACGATTGCCTGATATCATTCTGTACACCGTTCGTCCATCTTCACCCTGCTCACTCACACAACCGCATGGTACCTTCACTGCCGGAATCGCTCTTTTTTATTACTTTTATGTTTTTGGCACGGTATTTTAAGCGTACGCCAAACACTCATCTTACTATACGATCATTTCCATTTGCCTTCATAGACAGCCAAGATGACCCCACCGATAGCCTTTCACAGGTCGACATTGTACATCAAGAGCGCGACTTCGATTCCTTTACGACAATCGCAACGAGGGCTGACAGACTTTCTCGTGAGGCATCGGTCCCAACACATTCAGGGAGAAGTCGGAGCAGCACCATATCTGATCAGACCAAGACATTGAGCAAAAGGATGCCAAAAAAAGGCCCCGGCCCATATCTGAAGAAGCATCAGATTTTACAACAGCAGCTACAGCAGATGCAGCGCGAACAGGAGGCAGTGGAAATGCAGTTGGTAATGCAGCAGCAACACCAAGACTTGAACTTAAACAGACATCACCAGCGTCAGCATCTACGAGGCATTCAGACGGATGACGAGTTTTATCCGCACCACCCTCATCAGCAAAGCCAGCAGAGCCAGCAGAGCCAGCAGAGCCAGCCAGGCTGTTCTCCAAAGCAGCGTGCGCTGATGCGGTCAGAAAGCGTATCCTCCGGATTACACACTCTTTATTCACAATCGGACTCCCTCTCCCAAAGCCGCTCACAGTCGCAACTACAGCAAGGTCATCGGTCGGCACAGCCGCCGCAGTCAAGACGGTGCCAAAATTACCATCAGCCAATATTGTTGCGCCCAGTCTCGCTGCAATCACTCACGGACGATGACTCCTCGGCTTCATACTATAATCAGCCTCCACCAGGCCAGCCTCTCTTCAGGTCCCTGTATGCGCCTTATCTAGTCTCCCCATCAAGTTATGTCAGCGCGGTATCCAGTGTTAGTACAGGAACAGACCTGGACATTGGTACTGGATCAACATTGCATGTAAGGACCGAGTCCCCAGCTGAACTCTCTCGACCACCCTCGCCCGTCCAATCTCCTGCCATTTCACTACTGGCAACGCCATCTTTTGCCGAGCCAAATCGCTACGGCCCATCGCATAATCAACAGGAACAGCAAGGATATTCCGAACAACATCCACACCATCGGTCTGAATATCGACAACAGGGCGTTTTTGTTAATAAAGGCCGTGCATACAGCGGCACTATGTCACGGTCGAGCTCTAGAGGCGATATGAGCACTAGTAGTAGCGGCACTGCTCTCGCTCATTCCAGTTCTCAACAGTCCCTCCACCGGCACTCCGCATCCTTACCAGCGATTCACTACAGCTTTTCATCACAACAGCATCAGCAGCAAACTCATCCGCATGTGCCAAGCTGTACCTCTGACCCAGCACGTCCTCCCATCCGCAGGATGATCAGCCAGACGGACATGTACAAAAAGTTGCAGTCTCCGTATTCAGCATCCTCTTTACCCCCACCTCCCCCGTTACTTTCTAATGGGGCTCTGATGTCAGCAAACGTATCTGGAGATGAAGAAGCCGTTCAGAAACTGCGGATCGGGACACCGCCGCGCAATCTGATAGCTGATTCAGCGGCTTAATTTTTTTACTTCTTTTTCTTTTGACCTGTCGAGTTTACTTTTCTATTCCTTTCATCCGTCGATTCGATCAGTTTTGTTGCTTTTTGTCATTCGACAACACCCAATTATTTTTAAATGTGTTCTAAACGAGAAATATTTTAGGCACGACGCGATGTGGCACAGGCTCAGCCTTCACAAGCATTTGTACGACAAACGACTCTTGCAAATGAAATTGCGTATAAACCTCCTCATTGATAGTGAGATTGTACGCGAAAAATAAAGCGCTCCTTCGATACCAACGGTAGTTCTCTGTCTTCCCCCCCCCCCCCCCCCCCCCCCCAACGCAACTGAGGACTCAATTACGCCTAGATGGCAAGATTACTACAGCGCCTTTCCACCGTTTGTTTTGAAGGGGTTTCATCGCCACAATAGTTTGGCTCGTCCCCCTCTTAATCTCGTGTCAGAATCAAATATCTTGCATTTAGAAGCATGTCTTTGTCTTCTCAAGTACCGGTTCGCTTATGTCAGCCATGAGCAACTCCCTCTACAACCATTTTCTTCATTCTCACCCAAGTTTTTTTATTTCTATTTTTATTTTTTTTAGTCCTCGTTTTCGTCTCATTCCGGGCTTGAATTTCTGCAAACGAGAGCATGGCGTCGTCTTGAGGGCACCGATTTGCTTAATCCAACCTTGAACCTTTCCTTTTAAAGCGCGTTTTCAGGATCACCATCACCGGCTATTCATCTCGAATGATAGTCAGACGCGCTTCCAGGATAAGATAAGGTCATGTCTGCTTGTCATGTATCAAAAGAAAAAGCGAGGCCATATACAAGTCACCAAAACCATATCCTTATCTGGAGTCTCTCACATTACTTCGCTAGGAAAGGGCTCCATAGCCATGGAAACGTTGAGAAACCTCCTCCCCGCCCAGATCCTCTTTCTGAGACCCAGCCCTGCGATCTAAAAGCAGAGCAAGAACGGGTCGCCTAAGAGACGATCCGAAGATTGCTGGGGAATGTCAGGGAACAGTAGGACCAGATCAGAGAATTGCACACAAAATCCGTTTCCCAGCGATACGTTTGTTTCAGCCAAACAGCACATGGCAGCCTTGAAGGGAAAATAAAATGAAAATAAGCTGTCCATAGACGAACGTAGAGCAGTGCTTCATTGCTACGAGACTTGCAAGGGAGAGAAGGAGCACATGAAGCTTGTGTCGACATCGGACCGTTCTGTGAACGACTTTCTACATGGGAGTTTCAAGCAACTCCGTCAAGAATACCGCGTCGAGAAAGGATAATAAAAACGCTTGAGACGAGCATCTACGCTATAGCCACATGTCATCGTTAGATTAAAATCTTCGACTAGTCGCTATGGGATTGAACGTCAAGGGAGAAGCCGTTGACATCAGGACCCTCTTTAACTGTATCAGGATCTATTCGTGGAAAATTTTCAAGATATTGGGACCACTAAGAACTTGGTTGGAACCAAGAGGTGTCATTGCCTACAGGAGCCACGGTTCCGATAAACATAAGGGCATCGCGCTTGAGTACTTAGATGAACCGTATTGTAGCTAGGTTGCCTTATGTTTGTTCTTAGGACGCGTTCATTGCTTCATGCCATCACAGGCAAATGAATTCGATATTCCGCTTTCGCCTTGCTTCAACATTGTCCTGGTTCACTTGTGATATGATGGTACAGTGCAGAGGAACCAGTGGCTATCACGAGAATACGAATGTATGTACATATTTTCGAGAGCTGCTTGGGCGAGCTGTATTGCCACTGCAAGGATGATATGGGTATTTTTTTCAAAGTCGTATTTGCCATGGACAAGGTCATATATCGCCAATAGGAAATAACCAAGAATTTAATTAATAGGATACCGAGGACGAGCAAGACCTCGACACTGCACTGTGGGTGTCATCGACGAGTACATGACGTCCAAAACATATATTTTTTGCTTCAGTAAAGTCCGCCAAGCAAAGTTGCGGCGCATCATCAACGGTGCCACGAAGTTCGTGAATATTTACGGATGGCTGGAATGCATGAAGCCGAGATGTATGTCTTTCAAAGTGGACTACTGCATCAAGTCCCGATTTCCCCTACTCCTCCTCCCCCCATGGTTATCGCCATTTCTGGCGTGTCTGCTTTACTTGATCGCAAACTCTGCCGCCATTTGCGCGCAAACCAAGCAAGATAACTATCAACACTAGCACAGCGCTGGAATTAATCATGAAGCCCCTGACATCGAATAATGATACCCTTGCTGGACAAGGGTATATAGATAAGTTTTAATGTTCATGTTATTGACTTAAAAATACGTATAAAGCACTGACATTCAAACTATGGGTTGTGGGTCTATACATTGGAGATGTCTAGTTGTGAGTTGATTATTATTACCTTGTGCTTTTGTTTGAGAATAAGGTGTAAGGGTGTGTAAGGGTACAATGAGACACGGTCGAAGAAAAGAAGAGAAAAGCGAAAATGAAAATGATGAAAAAAGTGCTATCGGGTCATTGTCATGGTCTCTTGCACATCTCCTCAGGCGCCTTATAAAAGTATTTCTTGCGTCCGAATATAAGAAAGAAGAGATGCTAGCGGAGGTATGCTTTAGAGACCGTCGTCATTGACAGTGGTGCTTGATGAATTCCTGCTTAGAGTGTTAGGTCTCTTGCCGAACAACCTGTTCCTCAGAGCGCGCGAGGCAAAGACCGTGAGGTCGAACCCGGCCCAGTCCGAATCCTGTAGATCTTTAAGATCTCCGATCGTCATGATGTCCTGATTTTTGAGCTTAGCAAGCCATTCGTTCGCTTTGTCTGGTCCGCGATGGTACGCCATCGCCGTGTCATTAACCAAATCCTCGATAGGTGCATCCATGCTATATTCTAGATGTCGAAACAAAGCGTGCGTTGAGAAAGTGATGTTTTTCCATCATAACCAGCTTTGGTTGTGTTCTAGTCGCACTTGGACCCCTACCTTTGAAAGGAATTTCCTCCTCCACACTCCACTCCGAGTTGGAGTTCTTCCGGTTCAGGTGGTTGACGGTTCTGACAGGAGGTGTTTGAGAGTTGGCAATAGTATCCAGGGCCAAGTGAGAAATTGGCCCATGAGAATGACCATTGATGATCATCATGGGCGAAGAGGGCGTAAGTCCTGCGCTATCCTTCTTGTCGCCTGTCCCCGCCAGTTCGCGTAATATCCGGTTGATATCGTGCGTGATAATCCTCTTGTATCGCTGTGGAAGGACTTGCTCTTCAATCTGTTCGTTTCACAGGGAGGTGATGTTAGCGCTTCAGATTAGAGAGTACCATTTCTATAAGAGTAACGAGTCACGGCAGTAACCATTACCATCTCATTAACAACTTCCTCCGCTGTATCAGTAACGGCATTAAATTCGAATTTAACAGACAGCTTGTCCATGCCCTTAAAAACGACTTGCAGCATTAGGTGGTTCGTGGTCTCGTTCGTTGACAAAACAACAACCTCTGGTTCCACACCTAAAAATGGGTCATCGATCGCCTCTTGAGCTGAATATCTAAAAAAACGGCAAAAAGTTGATAAATGACTGTCAATACTATAGTGCTTTTCCTGCAGTCCCACGCGCGGAAGGCACCCGAGATATTGCATGCGGTCTTACCTATCGTGCTCAGGAGCAAGGCAGTGTTGTATAAGGCTCAAAATATCAGGGTCAATGATCCTGTTGAGGCACTCCGGTTTAAGTCCCTAATTAAGCGATCCAAAAGGGCTATTTAATTAAATGGTGCACAGCATGGTGTCGCTGATGAATCAATCAAGAACTCTCTGATGATCCCTACCTGTGTGACCTTCTTATAAATCTGCGCGGCATTTTTGCACTCATTATACGGGTAGTCACCGGTGACCATCTCCAGCAGACACATTCCGAAGGCGTAAATGTCGACTTTTTCACTGTATCCTTTCTCCTCGTACATTTCTGGTGCCATGAACTCCGGTGTGCCTAATTGGACGTTCGAAATAAACATTGGCGCATATGCTTTAGTCGGAACTCATTCAACGGCTTTGATGCTTTGCTCTAGATTGCAGGTCATCGTTACGCAGAACACAAACTTACCGATGACAGTGTACTTTTTACCAATCTTCATCTTTGCTGTTCCCATGTCTCCAATTTTGACCTCGCCATGTGCTCCATTGATAAAGATGTTATCGCACTTGATGTCGCGGTGAATGATTGGAGGGTCGTACGAGTGGAGATAGATGAGGCCCTTCAAAATTTGCCGGCACCAACGCTTGATGACCTTGAGATTTGGGGATTGCAATTTGCGGATATATCTAGACCGAAATAGATAGCAAGGCAAAGTAGACTGGTTAGGCACGCAGTTCAGCCGCCGTCATGGCAGGGCATGTAGTTATGTCAGCTTACTCTCTCAAAGTCCCGGATGTCATGAGTTCGGTGATAAAGATGAACTCTGTATTGCTGTACCAACAGTCGTGAAAGTTGATGATATTGGGGTGGCGGACTCGTTTTAGGATCTCGACCTCCTGTGACAACTCTGCATACTCCTGTTTTGTGGTCTGGAAGCAGTTCCATGCGACCTCGTAGCCTTCTTCGCGGTCAATGCCTTTGTACACGATCTTGTAGGCACCTTTTCCGAGGACAGAATTCAACTGCCAGGTTTCATTTCATAATCCACAGCAGACAGAAGAGTCAAAGGAGAAGAGCGGCGAACATATAAAACGTAAACAGTGTTAGCTTGAAGTTTATCATATTTCATTTAAACGTTTTTGTATGAGGGATTTTTTTTTTTTTTTTTTTTTGCCACCTGGCCGTGCAATGACAGACGTAGTACAAGGCCAACAAATGAGCACGAAGCTCGTCGATTTCTTTCCCCTTTGAAGCCTGACAACGATGACCATGTCCACATAAAGGCGAATATGGTCCAGCTCTGGTTGTTATCCTGCTGCTGCATTTCGCCGAGTATATATAGATAAAACTTTTGGTGCTCGGGCTCAATTTTCGCTGTGTATCATGTTCAACATGTAATAGGGTTGTGTGAGAAACTGCTTGCCGAAAATTGGGAGTGGGCAATTTTCGTCGTGAAAGATAGAGATAGATTGAAAGGAAAAGTAACCAGGGAAAGCACGCCGCAAGGACCAACTTCACCCCTCTGTAGCTATTCTCGCCCATACTGATGCATTCTACGCCTCGAGTCCGTTCGCGTCGCGTAGTTCTTCCTGCATACCTTTGCATATCGGCCATTGGGACTGACTTCAACAACCTTTTCTGGATCGTGTTTTGAGTGATCAATGTATTCTGCTGAGGATTATCGAGAAAGTGTCGCCGAGAATTGACGCAGGAAGCACAAACATAAGTCAGCATCAGCACAAATGCCATTAAGTTCGATATCCAGATTGATTCAGGAAGGCACCCAAAAAAAGGCACGGTGCCACCATTTTTTTTTCCACGCTGTGCGCCTTACGTACCAAAGGAAGTAAAGTTGCGGTCATGCTCGTCGTCCTGGACTGATCCCTCGGAGACATTCCTCGGTATTGGGTCCGGCATGGTTGTACTGTAGCTGTGTGGATGGATTGGTCGAATGGGTTGAGGGACTGATGCCGACAAGATGTAGAATTGGAATCCGAGAGTAGGCTGGGTACAATAGGCTTCCAGTAAGAGCAAGGGAGAGCAAGTGGGAGGGGAAAAAAAAATGTTTTGAGGCTTGCAATAAAAAAAAAAAAAAAAAAAAAATCAGGCACCATGTTGCACAGGCACAAGCAGTTCCCACAAACGAACTTGAACCGCGTGGATACGGCCATCAGTATCTCTCCAAAGAGAAAAGAGATCCCTCCTTTAGTTCTCAGAACGTTGGGGATACCATGCCAAATGACATGTCGCGTGGATAAACATGTGGTTCAGGCCATGACGATGCCTTGCAGTAGGCGCCGAACCAGAGTAGAGTGACGTTCGGATCTCCTCACGTGCTGCTGCACCCCTCGCCCTCTAGAAGTCAAAAAACGAAGACCTTAAACGAAACCATGGCCGAGTGATCTCCCTCTCCCCCCCTCGCATCCATCATCGACACATTCATACCTTTCACTCTTCATTCCACACTCCTTCTTAACTCTGGAGCAGCTTTTTTTCTTCTTTTCTCTCTCTCTCCCTCAATTTGCTCCCACGCGATCTTGAGGCACCTCTTTCTAATAAATACCACCCAGTTGCCTTGACGATGAATCCAGAGGTCGAGCTGTACCCTATCGCTATCCTTATTGACGAACTCAGACATGACGATGTCAGTCTGCGACTCAATGCCATCAAGCGACTAAATACCATCGCACTCGCCCTTGGACCGCAGCGCGCTAGGGATGAGCTGATTCCCTTTCTTGATGGTATATACACCAAATGAATATACTGAAATAATTTTCATGGTGACCTTAGAGGACGTATGTGTTAACGATTGACCCACCTGGTTCCACTCTCAATAGAGTCCATAGACGATGAAGACGAGGTCCTTTTGGCATTGGCAGGGGAACTCGGTGACTTCGTAGAATATATTGGCGGCGTTCAGTTTGCGCACATCCTTCTGCAGCCATTGGAGAACTTGGCTGCTGTTGAGGAGACTATGGTTCGCGACAAGGTACGAGCAGGAGTGAGCAGGAGCAAGGACGCGCATCTGGCTGCACGGAAGCGTTCTTGGAAGAAATCAAACACAGAATGCGAGATTATTAGCATTGGGAGCACTCATCACGCTTTACATCACACGCGTCTCTTGGTAACATCTAGGCGGTAGAATCGCTCAACAAGATCTGCCCTGTATTGAATCAGTCTCAGCTGGAGCAATATTACATTCCGCTGGTCAAGCGTCTGACATCGGGAGATTGGTTCACAAGTCGCACCAGCGCAACTGGCCTCTATGCCGCTGGCTACTCCTTGGCATTGCCGGCAACTCAGGAGGATTTACGGAAGTACGGCTTTGCGACAAAGACTTTCTAGATATATTGCAGATCTATTGTTTGCGTGTGATGACTACAAGAATACTCATTCAATTTCATTCTGAATACTTTCCATAGGGCCTATGGTCAGCTCAGCATGGATGATACACCCATGGTCCGCCGGGCTGCTGCAACGCACCTTGGCGTAAGAACGAACTCTGCTTGGCAGTATTCAAATCCAGCATCGTCAGGATAGATGAATGAGCATGGATACTTACTAAAAGTATTTCTTCTGACTTCATGCTATAGACGTTTGCCAAGAAGGTAACTAAGGAACATCTTATCGCAGCCATTATCCCAATCTTCAACAAGCTGGCCCAGGATGAACAGGACTCCGTGCGGTTGTTGACGGTGACCGACCTTGTAGCCATTGCCGAAGAACTTTCGCCTGAAGAATGCAAGGCACACTTTTCTCAGACACTCAAAACACTGGTTGCTGACAAGTCTTGGAGAGTCCGTTACATGATTGCCGACAACTTTGTCAAGGTATATGTTAGAATTCCATCACATATGACTGTATGGCATCTTGAGGCTATGGCAACAACAGACGGTAGCTAACTGTTTGTCTATTGTTTGTTGCATGCAGCTAAGCAAGGCTGTGGGCGAAGACATCACCCGCGAGGACTTGGTTATCGCATTCGTTCGTCTGCTGAAGGATAACGAGGCCGAAGTCCGTACAGCTGCAGCTGGACAAGTACCAGGTAACTTCATAACAGGATTGTTGTCCGCCGAGCATTAAGGACTCCGTTATATCGAGTTTTACAACTAACATTCCACGCCATGGGGCGCATATGAGCACGTAGGGTTTGCGCAATTGGTGGACAAGGAGACGATCTTGAGTTATATCTTGCCATGTGTCAAGGATTTGGTGACAGACACTTCGCAGCACGTTCGAGCAGCTTTGGCTATGCAGATAAGTGGATTGGCGCCTATCCTCGGCAAAGAGGCTACGACAGAACATTTACTGCCCCTATTCCTGCAACTGCTCAAGGACGAATTCCCAGATGTGCGCCTCAACATCATTTCAAAACTCGACACTGTCAACCAGGTTATCGGGATCGAGCTTCTTTCACAATCATTGCTGCCGGCCATTGTCGAGTTGGCGGAAGACAAACAGTGGCGCGTGCGGCTGGCGATCATCGAATATATCCCTTTGCTTGCCACTCATCTCGGCGTTGAGTTTTTCGACGAGAAGTTAGGTGCACTGTGCATGTCATGGTTGGGCGACAGCGTCTTTTCGATCCGTGAGGCAGCGACCGTTAACTTGCGCAAGCTAACAGAGGTCTTTGGCGTCGATTGGGCCAAGCAGACCACTATCCCCAAGGTTCTGGCAATGGGCACACATCCAAACTACCTGTACAGAATGACAACCATCTTTGCTATCACGGTACGTTTATTACAATAACCATTGATTCATAAATTAGTTGGTTTCAAACTTTGGCTGATATTGCTGCTCTTGATTTTATAGGCCATGGCGCCAGCGGTGACACCTGAGGTGATCCGTGACTATATCCTTCCAACAGTTACCAACCTGGTTACGGATCCCATTCCCAACATCCGCTTCAACGTCGCCAAGTCGATAGAAGCTCTGATTCCAGTCCTTTTGCAAAACCCCGACACGAGACCACTGGTCGAACAACAGCTCAAGCCCGCGCTTGTGAAGTTGAGTGAGGACACTGACAACGATGTTCGGTTCTTTTCACAAAAAGCTCTCTTGGGGGTGAATTGAGAAGCGACACCGGTGGTCTTGACAGCAACGAGATGGTGGAATGAGAATAAATCCACGGCGGCGAAAAGCCACATTTCAATCCGAAAATTTTTTTGAGGGAGCGATTGAAAGAATAGTGCATAAATAAACAAGGATACCTGAACCAGCGAAATCCTTCTCTTTCCTCCACATCTCATTACTTGATCAACATGGCCTCCGCTCAGATTAGCAAGAAGAGAAAGGCAAGTTCCTTTTGCGCCTCTCAAGGACACTCTCAGGGAGCCTTGTGTCGGACACAATAGGAGTCTCATCGCCTCAGGATGGATTCTTCGGATCATCGACGCAAGGAACAAGCGTATGCGAATGAGAACTTCTCTGGCGCGTCTTTATCGACAAAGGATCTCATGCAGGCCATTGGAGCAGCCTTCTTTTGCAGGAAAACGCTATTATGGACATCTGGAACGCGGAGCATCAACATCAGAAGACCCTTTTCACCATTGCGATCATTCGGGATCTCAATTCAACAGAGCTGATTATGGCGACAGATCTGTTGAACCGACTTAGTTATACCCAACAATGAGTTTGAGCTTCAGAAGCAGAGAAGCAAATCCGATCCGCACTTCCTATACTAGAAAGCAAGCGACAAGGAGGAAAGCGGTATACTGACCAGTTGCTGAATATCTGCAACTTCGTGCCTTATAGTTCGTTGCCGATGGTGTTTTCTACGCCGAGTTGAACGAGTTTTTCCAGCGCGAGCTCGCCGCTGAGGGTTACTCTGGCGTTGAGGTCCGCGTTACCCCCGCTCGCACTGAGATCATTATCCGTGCCACCCAGACTCAGGAGATTCTCGGTGTCCAGGGCCGCCGCATCCGCGAGTTGACCTCGTTGGTCCAGAAGCGTTTCAAGTTCCCCGAGAACACCGTCGAGCTGTACGCTGAGAAGGTTTCCTTCCGCGGTCTTTGCGCCATTGCCCAGTGCGAGTCTCTCAAGTACAAGCTCCTCAACGGTGTTGCCGTCCGCCGCGCCTGCTACGGTGTTGTCCGTTACATTATGGAGTCTGGTGCCAAGGGTTGCGAGGTTGTCGTCTCTGGTAAGCTCCGTGGTGCCCGTGCCAAGGCCATGAAGTTCGTTGATGGATTCATGATCCACTCTGGTCAGCCCACCAAGGACTTCGTCGATACCGCTGTCCGCCACGTTCTGTTGCGCCAGGGAGTTTTGGGTGTCAAGGTGAAGATTATGTTGCCTTGGGATCCTCAGGGTAAGATGGGTCCTAAGACCCCTCTTCCCGATATGGTCACTATCATGGAGCCCAAGGAAGAGGCCCCCATCCTCGCCCCCGTCTCTGAGTCGCGCGAGGAGGTTGCCCCCGTCGCTGTCGCTCCTGTTGAGGCCTAAAAAAGCATGCACAATGCCTGTTTTTTTACCAACGGAAAAAAAAAATAAAGATTTCAAATCCCCCTCAATCCATACATGTCTCTATGCAGCCTGATGAACGCCATCAGTTGCTCTTCGCCTTGCTATTGCTTCGCCTGGTCCCGATACCCTACTCTATCCTGATTGTACGCGCAATTGGAAACAGAGTCACAATTAGTGATGTATTGTGTGTTCTTTTGCCGCCAAAAATGAAGCATGCGCTTTCTTTCTACAAGGAATCATATTGCATTCAGGATGGCGTTACCAAGGCATCTCAAGAACGGACTTTCGCCACTTGAAATTGAATTCCTTGCTGAGAATGAGTTGATTGAGATCTCTGCTTCGATCGATACGAAACAGGACCTGGAGCTGCTCGGGGTATGCGATCAGTTTGTCTGCCCTTTTGTCGAATGAGAAGGAAACTGTCGTTAAGTCAGGCATCCTCAGGACATAGAGTGAGGACGCGCTTAGCATAGACATTTTAGATCAGGAGGATGCTTATACAATATTTTTTTTGCTTTTTTTGCGTCGTTTTTTAGAGCACAATTGCTTCATTGAAGCCGCTGCAAGTGAATAAGGTGCCTCTTTGGATGGCAATCACACTGAAAAAGAAGCAGAAATGCAGCATTGTTGTACCAAATTGGATGACTGTTGGTATGTGGCATGTTTACGGACATTTGGATGGCAGTACTTATCGTTGTGAGTACGTACTGACAGGCTGTCCTTCTGACTATCGGCATCCAGAGTCATTGCAGCGATCACTTAAAGAGGAACAGGAACAGGATCGCTTCAGTGCTCTGCCATATCACTACATGGAAACAGCGCAATTGCTGCTAGAAAAGTACGGATTGTTGTTCTGGTGGTCCATGATCAACCATGTTTAGTTTTGCTGCATGCATCTTTCGCTATAATTTGGTCCGCACGTCTAATATTCAGGGATTTTATACTGTCTTGGCTTTTGACACTTAGTGCATGCGATGACATTCCAGCCGCAGATACTGTCCGGACATTATTGAAGGATCTCCGTGAGGCCAGACAAAGCAAAGCACGGCAGGGTGTTGCCGCACTGGACATGACTTATATCCAGGTATGAGTATACACGGCTTACTCCACAAACACATCGTCAGTTTGGTGCCTTGCACTAACAAGTTAATCTATCTCACTGTAGATGGATAATATAGGCCTCATGGAGATTAATGAAATCCGGCCATTCTTTACCAAGGCGTTCTACGAAATCCAGAAACTGAAGCCCGCGAGCAATGCGGGCGATCTTTACGGAGCCCCTGGTGGGTACCATGGATTTGATGGAGCAGCGTCTGTTGGAAGTTCTGTACCAGAATCGTCTAGATTCAATGCTACTCAGGGCTCACGGAACTGATATTAATGAACATGGCATAAACAGCGTATCGCGTATGTTGCCGCGACATTTTTCAAAGGCATGAAGTGACTTATCGAACTGGTGCTTGAGGGCATTTGCGTTTCGTCCCATAGAACCGTATCATTCAATGGTGCGACTCATTCTCATTCCCAACCATCCCTACATTTTTGGACCTTATATCCATGGGAGGGCCGTCCTTGTTTATTGGGTAGTCATTGTTTTCGCTTGCCACGATCATACTTCATTGACAGGTCTGAAGATCAAACTGTTGTGTATATAAATATCCTGGGACCCGCACAGGCATCTAACTGGTTTGCTGGCAATGTTCATATCTGAGAACCCGATGCATACAACACGGCTCATTTTTAGTTTTTATTTCCTATTTACTTTCGCTGGCTTCACGTCGCTAGCTGTAACTAAGATAGTATCAGTTACACTTTTGTAGGGTCAAAAGACACATTTTCTTCAACCTTACTGTATGCTAATTTCTTAGCAGTCTGTGACAGAATCCCTCTTACGCGTTCCCTCTCCTTCATTCCTTGTACATAATCAACCAAGTGAATACCAGTAGCCTATTACAGGGGTAAATGACGGTTGTGGGAATATACAGGAAACCAAAAAGAGAAGGAGAGAAAAGCTATAACTGATACTATTGTTTGAATAAATGCAATACCCCATGAACGCGAAGGCGAAGACGATGACGAAAAAAAAAAAAAAAAAAAAAAAAAGTGAGATAGAACACTAAAGTAGAGGAACTGGCGGATTGGAGGACAGAGAAGGATGGAGTACGGGAGATGGGAGATAGGAGTCTTCATTTGATAACGTTCATACATCTGATTGACGGTGATAGTATTCGGACCGTTCTCAACAACTTCTTGGGTGCGCCGATGAGGGTTCAGACATGCAGACATCAACAAGCAACAAAAGTGCCCCTGTCCTTTTCACCCCTTGTCAGCAAAGCAAAAGCGTGTTAAAGAAAGATGCGTTTATATTCGTAGGAGAATCTGGACTTGACAAAGCCTTGACAAGAATTTCTCTGCAGAGAACTCAGCGGGCCTTGATATCGCCGTTGATGCTCGTACACGTGTAAGCTATGTCCAATAAGAGAATGGTTGGTCGAAAGACACGAGAAGAGATTACAGAGATGATCCAGATGATCGGTCTAGAATGTTTAGAGTCAGCTTTGGGGTCCTTCCAAGCATGTTCGTGTACGTTGACGGCATTGGCGTCGTGTATCTGATTGAATTTGGTGCTCATTTCACCTCTATCTCCAATTGAACGTCAATGTGGCGACCGTGTGCTTGAGGGACCTGGGTCCTGCAGTGCAGGTGCGTTTGAAGGACATAAATAGAAATAATATGGGCCTCGAGTAAGGGGCATCAGGAAATATTGCTCGAGGCAGCAAAGTTCTGATTACAGTGGATAGAGTAGCGCGTTCCATGACGCGTGGATTAGACCATCATTTCCCGAGCAGGCGCACGGGGCGCTGTAGAAGCAGTGTATGCAGCTAATCTCGTGCTTTTACTGGCGAGGCCTGCCTACTAAATTTCTAACCAAGGACGCTAGCAACTTCAAGGAGATTTACCTTTGACTGAACTATGCTAGGTCCCGGCGTGCTTCTGTTTATTCAGTGTTATGAAGGTAGACTATGATGAAATACTCTGCTGATTGCACTACGGGGCAATTGTTGCAAGGTTTAAGGGCACTCTTGCTTTTTTCTTAAGGTATTCTCACGCTGTTAAAAAACTGGCGGACCAGTATCAACTGATGGTGCTTGAGGAAGGAGGACACTTGCCATGGATACATCCAAAATGCTGAGAGCATGATCCATAGCGATCAGGATCGCACATGTGTTGTCGTGTTTGCCGAGATCAAACCAAGCATTTACAATCAACTTAGGGAATTACCTCATTTGAACTAAGAAGCATCCACTGCTTTTTGAGTGAATGCAAACATTCGGACATGAAAAGGGCGCAATATGAACATGCTTGGATTGGTTCAATAGATTCTATACAACTCTTCTCATGCAGCTGTGTTTACAAACATGTGTACAGAATGCACTCGAGCTGAGATCATTACTTAAGAAGAGGATGCTGTGGGAGTGAAAAAATATATCGTGTTTTTTTTTTTTGTCTATGCACTTGGGCAGCACATCCGATACAAAGTAGGAAGATGCGTGTGTTTATTTATGTGCCTCTTCCTGACGAGTGCGAACAAGAATTCTGTATAAATAATAGCTTTTCCCTCCTCCCGTCCATCTCTCCATTCCATTACGTTAACGTTACTCAACGACAGCACTCCCATCGGATCTCTTTCGCCTTCTGTACCCATACATCCTCGTTTGTCAGTTCTAGTGTTCATTGTATATACCGTTTTTAATTAAAATCCTATGCCAGTATAAAATCTGAATTGTACTCACAGAAACGCGTCTCTGCATGAACTCTTGTAGGAGCAGCACAGGAAAAAGGAAACTTTACCTGCGTTCTGTAAGTCATCCCGAGCGATCTGAGGAGGTTGAGGTAGAGGTGAAAAGAAAAGGGTCTTTTCCCTGTGCTCCTTTGGCTCCCCTTGTTGCCTTATATGCGATCCTCGACTATGTTGTTTTTTTACACTCTCCCTTCTACAACTTTCATGCCCTGCTCACTATCCCTCCATAGATTCCTTACTCGATCTTGCCACCTCCACCTCCTTTTTTCTTTTTCTTTTTCTTTTTTTTTTTTTTGGTGTACGTGTGTAAGAGAGAGACCGATTGCTCTTATGAATCTCGGCCGAAATATCCTGTCCAAAACGACGGCTTGCACTAAATTCGAGATTCATGGATGCGTGATCGAAGATGCCTCGTTTCCTGGGATAAACCTAGTTCCTGCATTACTGTGTTGACATTGCCAATGCGGGTGCCACCCAAGTTCGCCATCTCAGTTTTGTTTGTGGATACAGGCAAAGAGGAATCAGCACCAATCGAGCGGACCAAACTACACGAACTTGCACCCCTCCCCCCTTTTTTTCCCCCCTTCGTCTTATTCACTCACCCCTTTGTCTGATTTCTGATTTCCTCGATTACCAGCATTGCCTGGTCTGTCCGTCCTGTTTGCACGGCGGCCCATGGAAGCGACTCCCAAAAGTACAAACCAGGGCATCTTGCTCGGGGTGGTCGTTGTGCTCGCCCGGGCTTTATCACCGTCCGGGTTACACCCCTTCCTGTTGCCGCGTGTCTCAGTCTCGCTCTCTGCTGCTCTCCCGTCTGCTTTTTATATATTCCGTTACTGTAACCCTTATTCTCACTCTTCCCCCTCCCTCTACTCCTCTCTCTACTCTCCTCTGCCTCTCCTCTCTGTCCAAGGCCACCATCAGCACACTGGCCTTTTCTTCCTGCCCTTCCGATCGCACTCTGACCACATGCGCCCCCTTCAACCCACGCCCTGTGGCATTGCTTCGATCTCAGCTTTCTAACCAGGACTTCCAACCTCACAATAGACTGCACCTGTGCCTTGTGCTTCTACCCTCCCCCCGAGCTTTACAACAACCAAGTCGAAAACGAGCGCGTTACGATAGCACACGGAAGGACGGTAAAAGACAGCAGATAACCACCGGCGAGTACATCAAAGTTGTCATACCGCCTGCCCGAGCATTCCGTTCCCACCCTCCTCCTTCTCCTCCAAGGTTTGGCCATAGTCCCTGAAAAAACGCCAAAGAATCAAAAGGCGTTCCACAATAGTATCTTCTGTAGCGGATACGCACGGTCACACGCTTCTTGCCTTGCCTAGCCGAAAAAAGTATTTAGTTTCCCCTTCCCCCCTCCCCAGACGTTACTCCACACTCTTGCTCTGCACTTTCACACCTGAATTTCCAACGGAGCCCACCTCTGCACACAACTGGAGGAAGTTCCGCCACACACCTACACACCCTTGTTCAACACCATGACTCCAGCCCTGCAGCCATCACAAATCATCCCAAAATGCATACCTCCGGCCATTGACAACGGCTCGTTGATCTTCCAGGACATGCTAGGCGTCGGCGCCTATGGCTCTGTCTACAGGGCACTAGACACCCACTCTGGACAGATGCGTGCTGTCAAATGTCTCATCAACCCGGCACATAATTCTCGGCAACGTGCATTCCAGGCCCTCGAAGCGCAACTCCATGCCCTGGTCTCTGGCCATCCCAATATTGCAACGTTACACAGAGTCATCGAGGATGAGGACTTTCTCTACATGGTCCTTGATTGTGGTGTCGAGGGCGATCTCTTTTCCAAGATCACCGAGCGAGGAGGCTATGTCGGTAACGATGCGGCTATCAAGACGATCTTCGCGCAAATTGCTAGCGCTGTCATGCATTGCCATTCTCAGGGCGTTTTCCATCGAGATCTCAAGGTAAACATAGCATTCCTATCGTATTCCTCTTCACATTTGCCTCATCCCTTACTTTATCTGCTTTATCTAAGCAAGCAAGCCATCTCACACGTGGACCTTGGGCCCCAGTCTATTCTGACAGATACGAAAGTGGATCGGGGTTATTGGTTGTTCCGTTGGCTTCAATGATTCCATCTTGCTGTTGTTATCATGATATATCCCCTTCCTTCCCTGATGGCGCTGTACAAGACACGAAGACTGGATCGATGCCTTCGTGTTCTATGCATCTCTACAGCCCTGCATGTGGTATCTGTGTGCGGATGAAGCAGGCCTGGACAGAAGAGACGCGTGCTGCTTGCCTGCCTGTGCCCTGTGTGTCCCTTAGACTGTCGCTGAAGGCAGTGGGCAATTGACCAATGGGAAGAACCGACTATTCGAAATGAAGACAACAAATAAGTGGACTGAGATCGGATGACTTGAACCCAGTTTTCATTAGTTGCTTCCGCAGACATGCACACCCCCCATGTACCACCACTGTGGTTGTTGATCAGTCCATCTCTTTCTCTCCTACTCTTTCCCTGTCCCTATCATCTGTAGCCAGAAAACGTTATCATTGTCGGCGATGAGGTAAAGCTGGTGGACTTTGGTCTAGCCACGGCGGAACGTATCTCAACGGAATTCGGCTGTGGATCCACGTTCTACTTGTCGCCAGGTATGTTAAAGTTTACTCATTATAGTTTGCCTACCTTGTCATCTTGGACTTGTCTTTGTTCATTCATGCATTAAGCGGCTCTTTTTTATTTACTTTGGGCACAATAGAATGTCAGGGAGGATATCTCGAGCCAGTCAAGTCGTACGACAGTGCCGCAAACGATGTGTGGTCGATGGCCGTTATCCTGATCAATCTCGTCTTTGGCCGCAACCCGTGGAAACAAGCTTGTGTCAGAGACGAGACTTTTGCCGCCTATGTTCGAAACACGGACTTTCTGCGGACGATCCTTCCCATGTCGAACGAACTCAATGAGATCGTGAAGGCTGCATTTTGTCTCAATCCACGCGAACGCATCTCTCTGCAAGAGCTCGCGAACCGCGTCCAGCTCTGCAAGTCCTTTACCACACATGGCCTTCCTGCCCGCGACTTGGCTGCCCCAACGACCGTTGAAGCTACCGCTCAGGCTGCCAAAACAGCAGCAGCAACAGCAGTACAGATCGGCTCCTACTTTGTGCCTGAAGAAAAGCGTCAAGCTGGCAATGAGAAAGATCAGAGTCAAGACTCTGGTGTAGACCTGCATTCCATGAGCTAGATGAAGCAAGTGGGCCGTATCTATCTCTATGTCGGTCGACCGCCTTTTTTTTGCTCTTGTCCTCTTTTCATTCTTTCGCGTCCATGTGGTCAAGGATCGTGGGTGTTCATAAGCAAGACTGCATCAATCAAGGAAAAACTCCCCCCGAGGAACGAATATCGGGTTGCTGCAGGCGCCTTTTTTCGGTTATACCCTTTCCTGCACTCTTTACCATGAACCTTTTCCGTCCATACATATTCCAAAGAAGGACCATGTTGTCGAACGCCCGTCTCACAAAACAGTACTTTTGTATATGTCCTTTCCTTCTTTTTTCCCCTCTGTTTTCGGTACTTCTTTACTTTGGCACCTGTGTAATTATATATCTATTGTATATTAATCGTCAGTCAAAACAAAAACGACGACAAAACAAGGACGGATGCTCCTTAGATGTAACACTTTTTTTTGAACTCCATTGAACAATTGATGAAGAACAGAGTAAGCTTCTATTTAGCTAACAACACCTCCGTGCATGACTATGAATGGTTTAGCATACTATTCAATGCGACATATAGCTCCGGTGGTTAGCGCAATAAGTTTAGTAGTTAAAATCTTATTTGTGAACGCGTCGATGCATCGCGTCAAAATGTAAAGTTTGGCGTCGTCGTTGTGGTCGTACGTGCATCAAGAACAGACATGTTTATCGCTGTATTGAACCCCTTTCTTGAATTCACGAGTCTGGCTCCGTGTAATGCATTGTTCCTCTTTCCATCGTCTTTCTTGCATATGAGAGTCGGACTTGTGGTGTTGAAAGTGCAATGTATTCTTATGAGGGTGGGTGTCCGGCCACCTGTAGACCACTTTTCTCTCCTGAATTGTTACTCCGCTTCTCGCGGTGGGTGTGATCCAATGCAGTCCGTTCTACGCTGTTATGCAATCTACTTATTTGTTTCGTGTCCAGGCACCTATTGGTCTCAGTTTTTGCCCCCCGATTATCTTCTCCCTGGAAGACCCTCTTTCACTCCCTCTCTCTCACTCAATGGCCTCTACCCTTGCATCGATTCAGTAGAAATGAATATTTGCTTGGAGACCGTTGGACGAATAAAAACACTAGGTTGGTCCGACTGAAATACGCGTTATCCATGAGTCACAATGTACTCCCATGCGCATTTTTTTTTTTTTTTTTTTTTGGGTTCGCGTCAAACTTCAAGATCGCTCGAACACTATTTTTTTTTTTTTTTTTTTTTCTTTTTTATGGAAGAACAAAGGTGAAGGACATGTGTATAGGACCATCCCAGCATTCAGGAAGCCCAAGGCTTTTTTTTTTTAAAAAAAATGCGATTGCCTAGTAACAGAATGTTATTTCTCCTTATCCAACATGTGCTTCTTTGTCGTTGTCCTTCATATGGAAATAGTACCGTTCTTGATTCATCAATAAAGTAGACTGGGACCAGGCCGTCCATTATTGACTAGTTTACGTTGACCTTTTTTTTTTTTTTTTTTTTTTTGGCTATTCATTATCGCAGGACACACATTCCGCTACTTTGTCCTGTACGTACTGTAGTCTATTTATCGTATCACTCGCGCCACTGATAATTACGGCATACATGTAGGCGGACATTACGCGTATTGAAGGGATGTGTACGCATGCAAGAAACGAGTGCTCTGTTTGGTGACAGGATGGCAGTAGTGTGATCATGATCTATTTTTTTTTTTTTCTTCTTTTAAATTTTTGCGCGAAAGAGCGCTGTGGCTAATGCCCAAGATGTGGGAGCGCACCCTGTTCGTTGCTTGAGGGCTCTATTTCTGGTTTTTTATTTTATTTTTTTATTATTAGGTAGTGCGAAAATGGTATGTGTGCATCCTTGGCAAGGTGCATGTTAAGTGTATGTCTCTTCTGCAGCCACGTCAAAAAATGGACGAAGGATTAAACAAAGAACGAAGCATATTGAGGGCCATCCTGGAGCAACACACGCAGTAGTCTACACGAATGCGCTCTTTCTTACCCGCCCCAAGGGACCCCTCACGTCTCCATCATGACATTCTCCTCACGGTTCAAGGTTCTCCTTGCATCGTCCTGTCGTCCCAAGTTCTGGTCCTGATCGAGCCCATTGTTCTTCACACGCGCTTCGTGCTCATGTCTATGTCCTCCGATAATGTTGCTCAACTCTTCTAAAGTCGGCTCTGCTGCATCCAATACTGCTGATGGATGCATATCCTTCAATCCAGGACCTTGGTCATCTTCTGCAGCAAAGTTCTCAGAATCGCCAGGTCGACCAATGATCATCGAGTCCAATACTTTGGCTGCAGCGTCCACAGACGTTCCTCTGCTATGTGCTGTGCCGATTATCATTGTTGTTGTTTCAGGGCCCGCACCTGGCACGTCAGAGATCTCACCGATGACCGAAACAACGTCCTCAGTATCTACCGCCATATCAGTCGCGTCCTCGTTTGCCTTGGTTTGTTTCTCACTTCGATTCTCCTCTAGCTGCAGAGTATCAGACGCCTTGAGTGCTGAGGACACACCCTTCTGCGGTTGCTGCTGCATGGTTGTAGAGTTACCGATATTTGCTCGAGCCCTCATCTCTTTAGCGCTTGGGGCAGTTGCCCATGGACTCAGTGCGTAATGGCTGATATCAATCGTCTCCTCATCCTCCTCAAGTTCATCCTCGTCCGACAGATCTGCCTCTGAAGAAGGAGACGACGCCACCGAAGCCGATACGGTCGGTCTGATGTGATGCTGCTGCTGATGTTCCTCCTGCAAGCGATGTCCTGAAGACTGGTGACGCAGATGGTGGCCGAGCACCGGAATACTAGGCATCTTTCTCGCACGGGCATGGTACGGTGGGACAACGTGGCCATTATTGCCACCAACGCCGTCACCTTCCGAAATCCCCGGAGGTGGTGATGGAATAGATCTCTGCGCAGCGGCCGATAGTGGCGGGGACCGGGTTCGGCTGAGCAGACTGCTCTCGTCCGTTGTGAGATCCTTATCATGATGAAGAACATGAATCGGAGGAGACGACGATGGAGATCGATAAGGCCCAAGATAGATTCGACCGCTTAAACCCGGTGACGAAGGATTATCTGCAGTCGCTTGGTGACGCGTCATGGTTGCGAAGGATGCTGAGGACAGCGAGGACACGCCATCACTGGTGCCTGCTGATAATCTACTCGTAGCAGACGAGATGAACGGCGTGGACGTCATCCGCTTTAATGTGCCCCCGACTATGGGATGGCTGATCCTGAACTCTGGGAGATCTGGAAGGTCGTCCATCGTCAACCGTTCACTCGCCTAGAAGCCCCCAACAGCAAAACAAAAAGTATTAGTCAATGCAGCAGCAAAGTTAGGGAGTATGTACTTCCGTCGAAATAGGGGGGAGACATTTCGACCAACTGTAATTGCATTCGAGTGCATACCACAAGTCCTGCCCAATCCAGGTACATTTTGATAGTGAGCTCTAAATGTCGATTCTCTGTGGTTTTCACACACCCCCAAGGATGATCCTTGCATCGGTTCCCGTATTTGGCCTGTAGAAGCTGGGCGCATTCGACCACCTCTGAGAACTGGACCGTGGTCTTGCCCGTTGTACCTCCTGTAGTGCCCGCCGTCGTCGTAGAAGATGACGGGAGAGGTGCTGTCGCCGCACCGGTGGTAGACGAGGCCACTGCTCCCCCGTTACTCAAATGACGGTACTGTTGCTGGCTCAATCCTTGTTCATCAATGAGATGTGGCTGTCCCACAACTGGGGAGGTCGGAGAGGTAGAATCCAGTGGAGAATCACGTAGGCCGCGGCGAAGTGCATAGTGACCCTCATCGTCCCCTAGATCTGGGGATGACGATCGAAGGTGCTGGTCGCCTTTGGGTCGATGGGTGATGCTACTATTGCTGCTTGTCGACGAGTCTCGAAGATGTGTCTTTTGGTAGCGATACTGGCTTAATCCGTGCTGATTCACTGCAAAGGGGACCGGGACAGATTTAATCTAATGATCGACCCATAACATTCGCATTCATAGTCAGCTTAGTAAATACGCATAATGAAGGCGTTAGAGCGGATGGGTGACAGAGAATACCATTGGAAGAGGGACAAGGGCACGTACCGCTGATTCCCTGGCCTGGCTCAACAACGTTCCCGTCGAGGCACGACGCTTCAAAGACTGGAAACGATTGGAGTCATCCAAGTCATCAAAGTGATCCATGTCATGGGCTCGTCGCTCGTTCAGATCGAAATCATTGTCCTTAACCTCGTCGCCCTGAAGTTCGTCCAACTCATTTTCCTCTCCTCCGATGCCCATAAACAATGGAACACGCCCTGTTCAGGTGTATGTTAACGTACGAATCATGCATGTAAATGTGTCAGTTGCTTCATGCGTAGAAAGTTGTCCAAGAGTGAAAGGTAAACGAAGGAGTGGGAAACGTACGCTTGATACATCCAAAGTCATCGCGCTTTCGTTTCGTTAAGGCGCTCGCTGGGTTCCCAATCGATACTAGGCGCAAAGATTTCGCATCCACTGGAGAGCTAATACTATCTGACGGAGATCGATGATGACCACCGCCACTTTGGTATATCATGTCCTGTACGCTTGGCGTTCTCGTATGGTGTGCAAGCTGAATCGGCGCAGAATGATAATAGGGCTTTGGAGGTGGGGCCTGCTGAATCCGAGAAGATTGCATATGCATCTGCTGTTGTTGCTGCTGCTGCATTGGTTGCTGCAGATAATGACGATGGCTTTGATGCTGCTCTGTCTGTCCTACAGCCCCATAGCTTGAACTGTGTGACATCTGCTGCAGATTTTGCTGTCCTTGATGCTGCTGTTGCTGTTGAGAGTGATGCAGTGGCGGCTGAGATATGGACAGGTTGGCAATCCGGGTAGTGTCGATCGAGGAAGACGAGTAATGGTGGCTACTTTTGCCCGACAGATATATGCCCGTAGAACTAGTCTGTCGCTGGCGGTTGGGCTGCGAGTTGTATGCGTGTCCATGCCCATCATCTTCCCCGTTTTCGTTCATCGTCACCGGGTGCAGCGTCAGTTCCTTGAGGAGACCCACGACCTGCTCGTCATATCGAACGTCATCCCAGGGGAACCCAAGGTTTTCCTGATGCTTCTTCAGTCCGTTGACATACCAATGAAGGTTGCTGGATTTGATTCTCTTAGACTGGTGATGCAAGTACTTCAGAATCGCTTCCTTTGAAATCGGATAAAGACTGCCATCTGGGTTCAGGAGCTGGAGCTCTTCCGCAATCTTGGAATATGTTCTCCACGCAGTCGCGTATGGATCCTTTTTCTTTGGTGGTGCGGCTGCCGCATTTAGACCTGGCCCGCCAATGCTTACTCCCTGATTAATTCCAGGACGACCGGCATTTGCATTCATCGAGATATTACCCGCCGAGATGCTGTGATGTAATCGAGGCTGATGAGGGGGTGGAATCGGTGGCCTCTGCTGGTGTTGCTGTTGCTGCTGACGCTGCTGCTGCTGCTGCTGCTGCTGTTGCTGTTGCTGTGTTGACGGTTGTGGATTCGAGGCATAATGGCCGTGTGGTTGAGATGGATGTGAATATTGCATCGAATGTTGCTGCTGCTGATGATGCTGCTGCTGCTGATGGTGATGTGAAGGCTGCCCCTGTTTTGATGACGAGATAGAGCGCTGGTGTGCATATAATTGGTCCGAAGACTGGGGCTTTTGTGCGATATTGGCCAGCCCAGGCGCTTCATGCTGCTGTTGTTGACGTTGGTGTAGCTGCTGTTGCTGGGATGTCGAGACACGGAACTGAACGTTGCGTTGACCAAGGTGCCCTCCCTGTCCGGGAAAGGCTGCAGGATCCGTGGTTCCTGTATTGGCGTTGCTCATCATTCTCTTTGCCTCTACGTTAATCAAATTTCACGAGAAATCGATGCTCGAAAAAAAAAAGTGCGTGGGTGGTCTATACGCGACTGAGGCTGGGCGGAAAGTCCCCTTTAAAGGCGATCAGAAAAAACTACCAAAAGATGATCACAAAGAACTATTAATTTTTTTGCATGATCTACATAATTATTGACGACTAGTGCAGCATGATGAATGCAAGCCGTATATACAGGTACTGCGGTTCTTTCTGCCTCTAGCCGACTGAATAAGTTCCGAAACCTCAGATACGAAGATGCTGAAAAATTGCAAGGGGGTATATGAATGAAGGAAGAGGGGTGTTAAAGAAGAATAGCTGGTTGCTTCTTGTATCGAGACGAGCATTCCTGCATTCTCGAGTCTGTTACCTTACTCGTGCCAATATATGAACCCTAGCTAGACAGATATATTCCAAGAATTCTCCCTGGTGTATGTGTTCTTGAACAACAGGAGGATAAAAAAGAAAAAGAAGAAAAGTGGAGGACTGGAGAGATAAAAGGGGAAGAAAGAATGGCGGAGAAAGTAGAGCGGAAGAAATGTAAGTGTCAGAAGAAGAAGGAGAAGAAGAAAAGAAAGGGAAGAGGAGAGAAAGAGAAAGAGAAAGAGGAGGTGGGGGAATGCAATCGCAATCGATATTTCGGTGCTTTGATATTTTACGGCAGGGGGAACAGGACCGCGCACTTTATTCTTAACAGACAGTGTGCTACAAGCGCATTTCTCTGAAAGATGTCCAGCAGGCAGCAGTGGAAATGAACAATCTCTTTTGCATGTAGGCTATGGATGTCATCGCCCTTGCCCCTCTGTTTCTCTCCCTGTTTCTCGCGCCTAAAAAGGTTATCAGAAGGGTATAACCACCATCCCATAGAACGCACGAACCATAGGCGCAAACCATAGCCAGGGGAACTGAACGCAAAACAAGCGTCCTCACACCAAGACACATCTTGCTGAGGGCAATTAGTGGTTCAGTCGCCTCGCTCCTTTCCAGTCCGGGACGCGACGGTCCACAACTCCTTTCGCGTCAAACTTTCTTTTAGTTATTGTTTCAAAATAATTCGCGTCAGGGAGACGACGCGCCTCATTGGACAGTTGGGTTACCATCTGTCTCTAGACCCTTGGTACAAATTATCACGCAAGTATAATCAGTTTTGGGAAAAGAACACCTGGAGGAGCAAGCAAGTGGACAGAGAAGCAAGCAAGTGGACAGAGAAGCAAAGATAGAACGACAAGAAATAAAAAAAAAAAAAAAAATAGGGATGAGGTTCCATGGGATAAGATAATATGTATAGTATGAAAAAGGGTGAAGCAGGGAGAGATAAAAAAAAAAAAGAAAAAAAGAGAGGGGTGGGGTTGCATTTACATGTGTGTGTGTGTGTGTATGTGTGCGGGAACAAAGATTCACTTGTGCCAGAGATGAAAAAAGCATCGGCGTGAGAGAACGGGAGTGAACTCGGCATGAATTAACGTGCATAGAATGCATAGGGGTAGGGGTCTACTGGCCGCAATGAGGACCACGGACGGAGCGCTGTCATCTGAATAAGTAGCTGCCAGTTCGCTAATAAGGGATTTTCCCAACCTTTTACTCCCATCGTCCACAGAGAAACATTGAATCATAAAGGGCATCAAGGACAGAATGAATCGGATAATGATTAAAGCACACATGTTCATTAAAAACATCACACAACTGTCGTTTAGGGTGAGGCAAGCGCTTCTGCCTGATATCCTATCCTTCCATGGACCAGTTTACTGGGAGCCGAGGCTGGGGAAGAGCTCCTGGTCGTCAACGTTGACGGCGGCACCACCACGGGGAGCACCACCACGGCGAGCGGTGTTGCCGCCACGAGCGCCACGGGGAACACGGTCACCACCACGAGCACCACGATCACCACCACGACCGCCACGGAAAGCGCTACGGGGAGCAGACTCACGGGCAGGCTCAGTGAAGCGGATGTCAATATCCGTGAACAAGACCTTGGTCTCCTTCTTGCCCTTGCGGCTCTTGGCGACAGGCTCCTTGCCCATCTTGATGAAGTCACCAGTTTCCTCGACCTCAAGGACCTTGGCGTCCTTCCACTGGGAATCATCAGTGCCAGCGTTAGCAGCACGGGCCTCAGGAAGAGCAAGCTTGAGGGCCTTGGCAGCCTTCTCAGCCAAAAAGTCATCGAGGGTCTTGACAACCTCCTCGGGCTCAGCAGGCTCGGGAGTGGCAGCTTGAGTGGTTTCCTCTGCGCTCCTGCAATATACAGATATGTAGAAGCAGAAAAAAGGCGGCGTTTAGTTGATTTGTTATCGTGTTGCGCCTTTTTCTCTCTCTAAGAGAATCCTGCATGTCCTCAGCGTCCCGAATACTTACAAAGCAGCATCCTTCTCGGCCTCAAGAGGAGCAGAGGTGGGGTCACCCAAGCGGTTGTTCTCCTTCTTTTCGCTGTCAATGATGCCAGTTCCGGAGTGGCGATCATAGCCGCCGTGGCGACCACCACGAGCACCACGGGGTGCACGAGCGCCGCGGGGAGCGCGAGAAGCAGCATCGCCATCGCGAGGAGTGCGGTCGTAGCGGGGTCCGCGAGGGGCTAACGAGTGGTATCAATAGGATAAATCGATGGTCAGATCCTTTTGTAATCATCCAAAAAGCTGGGGTATCGTGGACAGCCTTGTGCCCATTTTCCCTGGACAGCGTTTCCCTTCTTCCAATCGCCTCACGCATCCAGGGCACTCTGGTTGGGTGCTTTCTGGTGAGTGGCACGCTCTTTCGACACACTCATGAGATCCCGTTCTCCTTTGCTAGGTCTAACTGGCCACCAATTGCTTCGATGGTGATCGCTGCGTTGCCAGGTAATCGATCCTGCTGTTAAGTCCAGCACTCATTGGATAGTGAGTGAACCCAGTGTAGGGAGTGATGATCAATTGACCGTTTCTGGAGGGGCTCTTGAGCACCCGAGTATCATGCAAGCGCAAAAAAAAGGACGACTTGCGAAAGGTGAGAGAGCGCGCTTAGACGCTGGTCCGTATGCTTCAGGACACGCAGCGATGGTCTGGAGCGACTGCCGCTGCCTACAATAGTAAAATGTGAACCCGATTTCACCATCGCTGTCCGACTGGCGACCCGAAGGCGGTATCTGATGCCCCAATTGGAAGCAAATAATAGACTCTTGTTCACTCTGGTGCACCTGTGACAACACCAACGTACCCCAATGCGCTTGATGCAAGGATTATCCCGCTGCAAGCAATTGAACAATATCCTGGTAATATCATACTCCTGACTGAATCTGTTGTTGAAACTGTTGTTGCTGTCCTTGTCGCCGCATTACTCATCATATATCATCTCTGCGATCCGATTATCGCGAGAAGACAGAAGAGGCGGGGGGGGCAATAGGATCAATTCGAGTTGTATTGACTGGTAAGCCTTACCATCGTTGTCCCTGGGCCTATTGTTGGCACGGGCACCTTCCTTGCGGGGAGCCTTGTTGTCACCGGCAGGCTTAGGGGGGGCGTTGGAGGCAGCAGCGGGCTTCGAGGCGGGCTTGGACTCCTTCTTGACGGCAGGGACCTGGATCGTCTGATCCTGCGCGTCGTCGTTGAGGAGCTCAAAGATGTTTGCAGACGCCATTTGCCTTTGTGTGTGTCTGTGTGTGTGAGGAGAGGGTGGAGGAGAAGCGGCTGAATGGATGAATCGAGTGTAGGTAGGGGTGTGCGACTTTTCTGATTCGTTTCCAAGACTGTTTGTTTTGGAGCCAAGAAAGCCGTCTTTTGTGCGAAAAAATCAAAAAAATCGTGTGCGATCGTTTGTGGGGAAGTATGGACCCGCACTACCTGCGTGCGGCGAGGACTTTCGTATTCATAGTGGATGGATGCCATCCATCCATCGCTTTGCAGGACTATCGACCTGGGGCCGATCACCATCCATCATCGTGTATGCTCCAGCGTGAAATAATACAAATACATAAAGGACGAAGAGGGCAGGCATCATGAGTCTCATCGCCATCCGCCATCGATATCATGATGGATGGCCACCTTCGTGGGCGTTTGAGATCCATCTCTACTCAGGTGACAAGAAAGAATTTCGAGCACAGCACGCAATACTTTCCTTGTGAGGGCTTCGCGTTCAACAGCTTCACGAGTCGAAAGTTCTTGTCATATCAGGACTACCGGTACGAACCGAATGTCGGTGCAAAGGCATCAATATGTGCCCATCATTAGCCACAATAGAGATATGGTTTTTTTATACTAAATTGCGCATTCTACAGTTTGTAATCGCCAACCCAGATCTTGGGTTTCTGGCGCGTTTCCAACACCCGTTCGCACACGTTAGCGATGTGGATCAGTCGCTTCTCATCCCACCACTGGCCCATAAACTGGATCCCGATCGGAAATCCGGTCGGGTACTTGTCTCCGTTCATATGCATGTACTCTTCCTTAGAATAGCCTGCCACGGCAGTGATGGCAGGGATACCAGTAAAGTTAGCCATCGACATATATTGCATCGTCTTGGTTGTGTTAAGGTAGTTGGATTCTCCATGCGACATCGCTCCAGCGTTGACCTTGGTTGGTAGGTTGGCGATTGTTGGGGTCACAATTACATCCACGATACCGTCCTTACCACCGAGGCATGGATATCGCGACTGATGTTGTTTATCCGTGGCCTTCTGTCCGAACAGAGTCTCGAGGAACCGAATGCTACGTGTCTTCTGCTGCTGCGCTCGAACATAGTCTGACATCTTCATGCTGTTCATCAGCGCCAGCTCAAGACGCGTCTGGTGGTTCAGCTTTCTACGGTCCTTCTATATCAGATCGTTTACGGTGCAAATCGAGGTGGTTAGAGACCAAGATAACTCGTTGATCATTCATTGGATAGTTGTGTACAACTTACATTCAGCTTGGCAAGCATTTCAGCGACAATGGTGATGTTGTGCGCCTTGCTGCTCTCAAACAGCTCTGGGATCTCGATGTCGACAAGAACAGCTCCGTGGTCCTTGCAAAGTCGCTCCAGCATACTATAGCAAACTTTGGAGATCTCGGGATGGCTCACGTCCTCGAACCAACGACGATAGATACCAATTCGGAGACCCTGCAGCTGACCTGATGCATTAGTCGGATTGATGAATCTAGGCAGCGCAACCGGGGGCTGCATCTTGGTGAACTCATCCTAAAGCAGACAATAGAAAATTCAGAAAGGATGGTCGCCACCAAAAAAGAATGAAACTGCGTCCAGTATTATCCCGTATGTATTCAAACCTTTTCGTCCTGACCAGCAATGATGGCGTAGACAATCGCCAGATCTTCCATTGTGGCGCACATGGGACCACTGATCGCCACAGTCGGGGCCAACGGATACTCTCCCCGACTCGAGATACGACCCTGAGTCGACTTCAGTCCATAGATACCGCAGTAAGAGGATGGGACTCTGACAGAGCCGCCTCCATCGCATCCGATGGCAATAGGACAAAGCCTGCGAGGAAAATATCGTTACCGCGTAAGTTTAATGAGTGTGGTAGCATGAGGAAATGCATGGCGCTCAAGACCATGCACTAAACACTTACCCAGAGGCCACTGCTGCGCCCGATCCTCCGGAGCTTCCTCCTGTGGAGTGAAGAGGCTGGTAAGGGTTACGGGGGGTCGTAGTGCTGGGGTTGAAGCTGGTGATTCCCAATCCTAGTCGAGATGAAGTGGAGCAACTGCTCGTTAGCTGTTATTTATGGTGCTTATAATGCAAAGCGTGTCCATAACCTTTGGATGCTTACCGATTTCATGCATGGTGGATTTTCCGATAATGATGGCGCCGTGAGCACGCAGCAGTGCTACGAGATGGGCGTCCTCCTTGGCTGGATTGTCCTTGTTGATGAAGTTTGTTCCAACTGCGGTCTCGTAACCCTCGACATCAACTTCGTCTACAACACCATGTACATTTCAATTGATTATTAGGACCCAACGTAGCATTGCCACATTAGTGTCAAGACCGGTCAAGGATAAAGCGCGGACAGATTTGATGCAAATTCCTGCAGGGCACAAGGTTACCTTTGATAACGATGGGGACACCGTCCACGATGCTCAGAGGTTTGCCTCCGCGGTAACGCTCGGTCGAGGCCTGGGCTTGCTTCAGGATAGAGTCCTTGCTCCAGTTCCAGATCGCGCCCAACGGCGGCGATACTTCTTCTGACGCCTTAATCATGTCCAAGAGCTGCTCTGCAACCTGGTTTGAGATATCACAAGACAAAGAAACTCAGTTCCTGGCGACAGAACTCAGCCCGCACATGTGAAATCAAAAGTAGCCGCGGAACTGTATATTCCATGCTAGGCATTCGAACAGCGGCAATGGTGAAAAGCGGCGAATGAATGGACAAGTGTTGAAGTCCAAAGGGAAGGTAATTAGTTACCTCGGAGGGAGTCTTCCTTCCCGATTTGTAGGCGACGTAGAAATCGCGGCAGCGGAGGAAGCGATGCTCAGCATCCAAGGGCTGCACGCCCTGTGCGGCCTCGGCATCAGCTTGCCTTTGGAGGGAGACAAGTAAGTCGCGAGCAGCAAGCGTGTCGACATTGTCAGGGACTGCCGCGTTGACCATATCTTGGGTTGGTTTCCATATAGGCATGGCTGTGGGTGCCTCTGCGTAGTCGATGTTGCGAAGGCAGTGGAGACCAGCATCCTTGCATAGATGGGAGGTAAGTCCCGTGGACTCGCCGACACTCTCGACGACGTTGCACAAGAAAGCGAGGAGTAGGCCAGAAACGATGGGCGCCTCTGGGTCCTTGAGATTGTAAGAACTCATTGTGAGGGTGAAATGAATGAACGAATGAATGAACGAATGGAAGGAGAAGGAATGAAGGAGAGCAATGGCAAGGTTCCGGAGCCATGCATAATAAATGTCTATATAAGATTTACTTCGATCGGTTCCTGTCCCTGGGCGCGAAACAGTCGATCATTTGCTCAAAAATAAAACCTGTCTAGCCGGAGCCGGAGCCGACCTGGGACCGGATATTGATCCGCTACAACACGGACATCTGTTGACCATGGTAGCTCAGGCGGCTGCACTCCGGCTCGGGGTGAAGAAACAGACGCCCTGTGCAGAGACAATCATTCCTCGTGCATGTAGACTAACCTTCCTTGGCATCCTGCACAGATGCATCAAATCATTTCCACGCGTTTCTGAGTGTTTGCACCGATCCAAGACTCAAGCATTTGCTCCGCGCGTTTCTTTGTTGGCCATCCGGGTCACTTGAACGTCGTAGACTAAGCCAGTGGCCTCATCTCGAGTTCTTACACACAGACGGATTCTGGTAAATTACAATTCAAGAAATGTATAAGGCTCTCAGGGCACAAACCCAATAAACCAGGGCGCGCACAACATTTCCTGCCCCTTCAAACAGTTACAGCTTTCAAGTTGACTGATGATCGAAGCTGCCAGCCTCGCATTCGCCCTTGTTATGGACATGCCAAAATGTCCAATGCGCACCATCCTTCTTTTCAACTTCCCGTTTGTCACCCTTTTTTAACAAAAACCTCGACTTGCTTTGCTTTTTTTGTTACCAGCTATCGACGGGAGTGAATGTCCGGCACCTGTTCCTTTTTTTCCCTCTTCGCTTCCGACCGCTTTTTGCACACAACAACCATACAGTTTGCTCAATCATCAAGTAACCATTTCAACTCACCTCTTGGACGCTGCAGACAATAATATTCATTGTGCGCTCCTCTTTAACGCAGCAATAACTCATAATTCGCCTGGGGATACTCGTGCAAGCAACACTCGACTCTATCGTCTGCAATTGTATGTACAGTCATGCTCTAAGTAATCTTGCTAAATTGCTATCTATCATCGCACCAATGGAATAACTACGGCATTGCTTCGACAAGGCTTCCTTCAACCGCCCTGACTTCCTCGGTGGCAATTAACTCGATGCTACTGATTGTTTATTGCCAAGCAGCCGAGCAACAACGATCGAGTGTCGAAAAATACGTGCTCGATTGCAACTATTTTTGGCCTTTATTCAACATACCATTTAATACGTGTACATATTGTGCGATAAACGGGGGGTGGGGGCGAGGGTATGTGCACAGGTACGATCAGATACGTGGCTCACCATTCGCGTCGTTCTTTTAGTTGCCATGCCTGGTTAAAAAAAGGGGAGGGGAGAGGAAGATCGTCCAACGGACCTGTAGAAAGGGGACATAAGGACGTGCACATGGCCAGTGCTGACTTTAAATGACTTAGGACTCATTCATAATCGCGTAGCATGGCATGCTCCTTATCATTTGTCACCCGTTCAGGGCAACAGAGAACGCGTGCGTGCTTATTGTCAAGAACCAACATTTCTATCGCCATCTGTCGATAACACGCTGTCGAAAACAGGTTGTCGATAACGATGGTCATCTTCTCGATCGGCCAGCTGTGGTTATGTTCGACGCCCCCTTTGTCTTAACTATCTTTTGACTAATCAGCTAGCACCCTTGAAAAACATGACAGCCTTTCATGCTCTGAAGATGCGGTTGACGCAATATCGCCTGAATTCATTCATCACTTTCGACGTGCTCCTCAGTTACCAGAAAGGCGTGTCCTGGAAGCCTTTCTGGAATGATTTTCTCATCATTGCCACCTTTCGTGGTTACACGCCTCCAGACTCTTTAAGGACCGGAGTTTGTTGTTTTTGGGCGATGCTAATCTGTGTGGGCCAAACCTATTTTTACCTGGTCGTTCTTTTTTGTTCACTGACAATTTCTTGGGTAATGTTCAAGGGCAAGGTATATGGTTACCGATTGCTGCGTCCCTGCACACGCCGCTTCCCACCCCGGGCGAAGAGGACCGATAGCGCTGTCATCGGGGAGAGTGAACACGCTACCGTGGAAAAAGATACAAACATAGACGGTCGATCTCTTGACATTCGACCCTTGTAGGCGTTCCCTTTTTTCAGTGTTATTTTTAGCAGGCTTGTAGGGTGGAAAGGGGAGTTTCTCGAGAATCAAAGTGGGCGAACAGTACGCCCAACGGACGCGTGCCTGACAGACCTGCAAATAGCATCATCATCGCCGTCAAACAACGAACACCCCACGGCCCAATGCACAACCACACATAGTCTACGGCCACACAAACACAAGCACGCCAACAAGCATTGACGCCAACCTCATTCCGCCCTCTCTTTCTTTCTTTCTTTCTTTCTTTCTTTCTTTCTTTCTTTCTTTCTTTCTTTCTTTCTTTCCTATCTCTCTCTTTCTTTCTCTCTCTTTCCCTCTCTCCCTCTCTCTCTTTCTCCCCCCGGTTTCGTTCTTCCCACTTCCTGCCAATTGGCAACTTCGCCTCCGCCTCCGAACATCCTCCTTCCCCCGCAAGCCTTTTCTCCCTTCAACCATCTATCGCGCCATTCCTTGAACACCATTTAGGTAGCAGACAGCCAGGGGCACTCGACCATCAGATAGACCATGGGCAGTAACCATGAACCAGAGCGCGGCTCCCCTCCACAGATCAGCCCTACGCGCCTAGACCGCCGCCATGATCCAGATCCACGTGAGAGCCCTCCTACCCGATCAACGCGCTCACAACGCCCTCCACACCACACCAAGGCACCCATCCACCATCCCAGACCCACAAAAGAGCCTCCTCGCCACCATAACCCCAACCCAAAACCAAAACCAAAACCATCGCACAGACCAAAGCCGAAGCCTTCAAAGTCTAGGCAGCCCCATCGTCCCCAACCAACAAAGCGGCCTCCACGTTCTCCGCGTCCACCGCACCTAACTCAATCTCCACATCCAACCCGATCGCTTCGTCCAGCGCCCATAGCTCCACCGCCATCAAAGACTTCCTCCTCCCTTCCTACGGCGGCGAATCCGACAAAATCGTCTAGCTTGACCCACACCTCAGGTCGTCCTCAACCCACAATGACCTTTCCCCTAATTCCTCGCCCTGTTGTTCCTCCGTCTACAACGTTATCACCTGATCCCACAGGTTCTTCTCCATCATCACCCTCATTATCATCATCATCTACGATTGCCCCGATCCCTTCGCGTTCCTCCAGCATATCCCTCACGCAATCGTCTGTCACCGAGTCTGCTACAACGACGATCACAGCAACAGTATCGCCAACGGACGCAACGCCGGTCGTCTCCTCCACTTCTTCACTGCTCATGCCCTCTCCTCCCCCCTCTTCTCCTTCCGGTGTCGCCGCACAACCACCCCCCATCGCAGATCCCAACATCGGCGGCAAGATGTCCGGATCCTCGTCCTCGTCCCTCGGCGCGATCCTCGGAGGCGTGATCGGCGCTCTTGCCTTGGTCTTTCTCATCGCCCTCTGCGCTTTCCGCTACCACCAAAAACGTCGCGCTCGCCAAGAATACATAGGCGCCGGGGTGAACGGCCGATCCAATGACAATCTGCATAACTTCCCGGAGATGAGTGAGGTTCTTCCTGAGGGTCATACGTCCGAGGCCGCGTTTAGGCACGAGAACTTTATGGCGCTCGTCAAGGATGCGGCCAAGGGTTTCTATGCTCCGACGAACGTGGAACCCGCCGCGGGAACTGGATCTGGCTCTGGCTCTGGATCTGGATCTGGCCCTGCAGTCGGCAGGGCAGCTGCAATTGCTGGAGGCATCCGCCCGAGGCAATCGGCTCGTACATCGCACAGCAGTGAGCAGAGTCTACAGTATCTGGAGACTGGATCTGGACCACCATCCTCACCACGTCAAGTCCATCTCCATCCTGGCTACAGCCGGGACAGTATTTAGTAGCGCACATATACTTTGCCATCCCCATATGCATTTGTGATCGCATGGACATGTACTGTAATTCATTCATTGCAGATAGATTCGGGCCGCACAGTCCAACAATCCTAATAAAATCAAATGCAATAGATGAATGTTTCGTTGCAATTTCAGTTACTATGCACCGAAGCATTTTTATTGTCTGTATATATAGCCTGCGCCAGGTATTATATAGGGAATGTATTTGTGAAAAGAGTAGGGAATAGTATTTATTTTCTCCATGTATGTCCCAACTCCTTTTCTCGTTGCGCCTCTCTGTCTGTACGTGTGCTGTGCTGTCCTCGCCGTGGGCTTTTCTGTTGCAATTAGAGACCGAGACCATAACTATCGTTTGACAAAAAAAAAAAAAAAAAAAAAGAAAAAGAAAAAAAAAGTATTTATTTTTTGGAAAACCAGAATCCAAGGGCGAACGCGGTCAGTACTGCGAGTCCAGCTCCAGTATACGTGTACAGTCCCACAGCACCACCACCACCGACGCTACTGTTCTTGTCCGCACGACGGCGACGTCTCTGCTTCTTCTTGTTGCTCGATGGTGATGATGCTGATTGGGAGGATGCAGCAGCACTGGATATGGAACGTGATGAAGACGATGAAGAAGAAGAGAGCGACTGTCCTACATACCCGAACGTGCGCTTGATCTCCGTCCAGTAGTAGCTGTTCCAGTTCTGACGGGTGATATCCTGTTCTCCGACTGGGACGCCCTCCTGCCTAAACTTGATCACCGTCGAGTTCGTGTTTTCGGAAATGTCCATCGTCACAGTCGAATAGTGTCCTGTGGAGTCAAAAAGAAAAAAAGAAGAAAAGAAAAAAAAAAGTACAAAAGAAAGTACTGCCATGATGAGCATTCGGCTGAAAGAAGGGGGGATATCCTTTGAAGGAGACATAAAAAACAATGCCTTATTCATCTCATGTCCGCTCGTACCTGCTGGCCAAGAGCCCAGACGCCAGCTCTGAACAATCTTTTTATCCTCAACCAACTCCTTGATCTCGCCGGAAACATTTCCACCAAAGAAGCTGAACTTAGATCCAACCTTGGCCTCGATCTTCGAATCGCCGCTGCGGGTCCATGCAGCGACCTTGGCCTGGTTCAACAGGACATCGTAGACATCGTGTGCGGATGCCTGCATCTCAATCGATTCCTCCAAAGTAGTAGTATTAACAGCGCCAGAAGTCGTGGCGCTCGGCTTGGAAGCAGAGGGAATGGGAGTGGGAGCGGGGGAGGAAGTGGGAGTTGAGGGGACAGGGGTTGAGGACTTCGAGAAGTCGCTTTCGACCTGAACATCCTTTCCGTGGACTATGGAGATTATGAAATAGAGTGGTTGTCGTTTTTAGTTCCCGAAAAGTAAAATGAAACATAGCGATCCTGATCCAAGTCTCGATTCAAGTCCAGGGTGTGTGGGGAGACTTACCACGAATGAGATCAGAAGCGAACAACTCAAGCTTCTTGCGGAGAACAGGAGCCAGGTTCTTGCGGATCAAGTCTCTGATGGATTGCTTTGAGCTGCTGTCGCTGTCGATAGTGACATCAAACTATGAGGTTATTGAAACAAAAGTACATTCATTGTCAGTGTCGGGCTTCAAGCGCCGATCTCATAGGTACATTCAGGTTGTAAAAATGGGTTGGGTGCAGAAAGGAAGAGACATAGGCACTCAACTTACGACATAGTCATCGATGTCGGTGTCATGAGCAACTTCGGGGATCTCGATCTTGCCAGTGACAGCGGTGCCATCGGCAGTAGTACCTTTAGGAAAAGAACAAAATTAAACGTCGTCAACAAATGTCAGTTGCTTTCACAATGTGCCATACTGCCGCATTCAAAGTAAGACAATTGACCGGCAAACATCTCATAGTGTAATACCTTCGAAGGTGAGGGTGATAGCGACATCGAAGATGGTGATGATCTTTCCCTTGCGCTGGTTCACATCGACATCTCCGTTCACCGAGGCCACTTTGAGGGTCTTGACAGAAGCACCATTGGCCTCTGCAGAAACACCACTGAGCTCGGTTTCAAAGTAGGATGTGGCCCAACCGATGCAGTTCTTGTCAACCCAGTGCCTATGGGGAAGTTCAAATGATATCGTGTGGTATGCGATATGGTCAGGGCGACTGAATGGTGGCAAACACAGCATCTCAATAATCACCCCAGGTACACAACGGATCGAGTCTGGATATAAACACGAATAAAAACGTTTACCAGTTGTTGACGTTCTTCATATCCTTGCTCATGTTGGGCAGTTAGTTTTTGTGGTTGTTGCAAGGGGTGAATGTGTTGACGTTGGTGACAAATCGAGAGTGACCTCGTTGATGGTAGACGGAGTGGAAAAGAATGGAAAAGTAAAGATCTCTTTGCGATCTCATTCAATGTAATAACCAAAGCACGTGATGGTTCTTCGGATCCCGGCCGACACAAAAAAACGCAGCATCAATTATTGGGATACTAGAGGTTAACTTAAGAGGTTTTACTGTTGGTCTAAGCTGAAGACGATGAAGGCACTGCCATCAATGCCAAGTTCTCCAACGAAGTCTCTTTATCGACATAATAAACGAGCTCAGCATCGAATCCATTCTCCTGCAGATATCGCACGCGGCCAATATCCAACAACCGCTTGCACTGCTGTCCGAGGCGCTCGCGAGCCTGGAAATCCAGAGTAGGGATATGAGAGCTGTCATAAATAAAACGAGTGTTAGTTGTAGACTCGTATCGGCGCCATCATCATTTACACCATCGAGCACATTGTGCATTGAGGACGTACCCAAGTTCCTCCAGCTCCTTATCTGCCTCGACACGATGTTCATCATCACCTGTGGTGGCGCCCCCGTTGCTGCTGTTGTTGTTGCTGCTGCTGGAGGCGCCCTGCTTATCGGCCGACTTTGTCTGATTCACACAAACAGCCCAGCTGCTCATGCGTGTCAAATACACGAACTCCTCGGGACTGATGTCGATCTCCTTCAAGAACGCCTGGTTGGGGTACATGTAGTAGTGACAAAGCTGGTGGCAGCAAAGAGCAATCAGAATACCCTTGACGGGAGAAGGCAGCGGCGATTTTTCACGCTCACTAATGACAAAGTGAGACAGATCGAAAGTGTCAGAGCGACTTGTTTGTAGAATAAATAGATCCAATGCCAAGGAGCGCAAAGCATTACCTTTGCTGGTATTGAGTGAGACACTTGAGCGTGAGATCCGTTGCGCCTCCACAAAGATGCTTTGACATGGCCACAACTGGTTTCTTATCCACATATCCCGGTTTCGCTAGCTCCTCGCTCTTTTCTGCGTCGTTAGCTCCAGTAGTGTTCTCCTTGAGAGGGGGCTCACGCTGTGTTGCGGTGACATCCCGTCTCAGCTCAGGGACCTCTGCGAGGACAAGATCCTTGATGTCCATAGTGTGCCTCTTGACCAGCGATTTGATCTCTTCTAATCCCAAAATGGCGCTGTCAAACTTGTTGCGGGATGGTGTGCGATCTACAAGGATAAATGTTGCCGTTCCATGGTCATCGACGGCGATTTTGAGATAGTTGGAGAGTTCGCCTCGACCGGCGCCAAATTCGACATAGCAGGAAGTTGGGTCGTCCAGCATATTGAGCCGCTTCATATGTCCAAGAAGAGATGCCTGCTGGTGTGCGTGCTTGATGTTCTTTACAATTCTCCTATAGCGAGCAGTGAAATAGGATTAGAATCAACATTCATCGATAATGAACTTGCAATCAATCACTTCAAATACCATGTCTGCTTACTTGCGCTCGTCTAGGGCGGGGTGGTTGAGGATCAGCGTCCTGATCTCCGGTACACACTTGGAGTGCAAGTCCTGGATCTTCTTGATGAGCGACAGAAGTTGCTCCTGTGAAAGAGTAGCAAGAATATCGCTCTTGGGTGTTGTTGTTGTAGTTCCTGTAGGTGTTATTCCATTGTCTGTGGTTTGCCCGGGCCGCGGCAATGTCAAGTTTACATCCAGGGAGTATTGCGCCGGATTATCCCTTGGTCGTGCATTGCATTTGTAAAGATGTGTCTTCAGATCGTCTGCCCAAGCCGTGCTATCAGTGCGAACCAAAAGGCGGCTCGTCAGCATTCAGTTCTACATCCATCAAATCAGCATGGGTGCGATAAATGAACATTCTCACTCACTGGCTAGGGTCAAATGGGCACGGAATGCGCTTTCGAACATTATTTTCGCCGTTCTCTCCTGCGGACGCACTGTCAGATGCTGGGGGAGCGATTTGTTCGTACATCGAATGTTCGCCGCAAAACTTGTTGCCCAGCTTTGCGGTGAGGCTGCAGTACTTGTTCTTGCTGAGCAGTAAGAAATGACATTGTCTTGGGCGATTAGGTACAGGTGGTGGTGGTCCTATGGGAGTGAATAATGATGCCGAATTATGCGGTGAGTCCCTCTGAGAGCGCCACGGACAATATAAGGTGCTGCCTAGGCTTTATCGATCCCGCGAAATCCTCACTGACCCTGCACTTTCTGGCGCTTGTTGCGTGACCTATGATGGAGTACTGGGGGCTCTAGGGTTCCTGCCAATGCTTGCGCCACTGGTTCCGGGTCCTTGCTCTCTAGAGGTCGTTTCGTTTCAGCCATGGTATCGAGGTTTTTGGTTGAAGCGGTGGGGTATGTGAGTGCGGGTGACAACAAAAAAAAATTGCCTTTCATTTGTTTGGACCTTGCAGAGAACGGTGACTGTGAAGGAATTGGATTTGCCACCAAGGGAAAGCAAAGAGAGACGGCGGGCGCGTTGCTCAAGAAAAGGAACCGACCTTCCTCAGTTCCACCTTCACTGCCATCGAGGTCTCCATTTTCTGTCAACGACCGAATCGCTCTTTCTCTCGCAACCGCACTTCCATATCTCTTGACATCTCGTTTTCCTCTCATCTACCTTCTTTCCTCTCACTCTACCAATGCAGCCAGAAGCACCTCAGGGGCAAGGGTCAAGTTCTAGAATAGGTCTCGGCACATCGTCGTATCAAGGATCTTTATCACAAAGCCATAGCCAGAGCAATAGTAGCGGCGACGATGGAGGTGGATACTATATCCCACCTGCATCAAAACTAACATCATCAGACCACGATAAGGCCTTGGGCGTTATCCCAGCTGCATTCAGGCAAACGGACAAAATGCTCGACGAGCGGGACATGAAGGCCTTCGGTGAATACATATCGCATCTTTAACGCGAAGAACCACTGATGCTTTTTGAAACTATGTGCTAATCAAACTGCTCAATTGCCTTGACTGCTTTCATTTTGGCCAGTATAGGCGACAACTCGGAAAGCATTTTTCAGGAACTCAACAAGATCAGAAAAAAGCAGCTAGCCCTTGCAGCAAAGCATATCAGTATCGAAACCATTGCGGACGATGACAAGTCATTAGCATCGGATGGCAAACTTCTTGACGCAGCAGAAAGGGACGGGACTGATCCGCTTCATTTCGCAAGGAAGGGGCAGGAACTACAGGACCTCATGGCCAACGTACGTGTCTGTTGTCACCGCCGTTATAGTCTCCTTATGCATTTGTTGGGGATCAAAATGTATGATGTTAACTATATCATTACTCATGCTGATGACATGGGATGCCTATAGCTTGAGGACTTGGGTCGAGCAATGTAAGCGAGCCGTTTACGGTTGTCTAGTTAAACGCTATTCTCTTTGTCAATTGCTCAATGAGGACCCTTATTCCTGTTTTTATTAGGTCCGACTTTCACGAGCTATCCAATTCTACGAATAAGCAGAACCACTCTTCCACATTTCCCCCGGCACCGAGGAAATAAAAACCAGATCTTTATCGACAAAACAACGCAGCACACCTATCTCATACTGGATGCTGTGAGATGTAGACGGGAGCTGTTTATTTGCAGTCTCTGGATCGCCCAAGGTATCATATGCTCTTCATTTGCTGGCTACCCGCTACGAGGGACGGGTCCCACCCAGTCCTTATTCTGCCTGCTTAGCGCAGGAGCATTCGATGGGCAGAGGAGTAGCGATATTATCTATAAAGTCGACTCAATAGTGATCATTTTGATGATTCTGGAAACCAGCCCTCAGTCCTGACTCTCTCTGCCTTGCGCTGCATCAGCTCCTTGAGAGTCCATTCTCGCGGATGATCATGCTCGTACAGAAAGTATGCGCCAATGCCGCAGGCTATTGAAAACACAACGTCGCCTCTCCTATCGGACAAAATAAAAGACGATTGGCATCAGCTTGATGCCACATGAGTGCTGCCATAAAGGATCCAATGGTCAACTTCAAGCTCAGCAACAGATGCCTTACTTTGAAATGAGATACTTGTATTTGACAGGCATGAGGACCGGGATCAGTTTGAGGTCGAGAGCAGATCGATTAAACGATCGCTGCCAAAATAGACAAAGGCGGATAAACCAAAAGGGTCCAAGACAACCGTCACGGATTTGCCACCATTTTTGCATACATCAGGAGCGAGAATCGTTTGGTTCGTCTTTGTTTTTCTTCCTTTCTTTTTCTATCTCCCACCTCTTCCCACTCTGAATCCAGTTCTCCAATCGCACTATGACCTCTTTTAACTCCCTAGTCTCGAAATTTGCACACGAAAAGAACGGCGAGAGCAGCCAAAGCAGTGATACGAACGGCGTCAGGAACAGCAAGAAGCGTACCCTCTCTTCCAACGGTGTCAAACCAGAAGATGAAGTGAAGGAGGAGGAGGCAACGGCGGAGACAAAGGAGCTCACGACGCAGGTCCGAAAAAGTCTTCGCCTCAGCTCTACTGCGACTACTTCACCGTTAAAATCTCGAACCATCAGCGCCGAAAGTATCAAGACAAGGCCCCATCATAAGCGAACTGCCGTCGAAGTCGTCAAGAAGGAGGAGGAAACAACGGTGGTATGTACCATCGCTCATCGTTTGATTCCTCTATACCATCGTTTTGGAAACCTAACCGGTGTTTATTCTTCTTCAATTGCTCTTCTAACAGCGAGTCAAGACTCAAGGTAGGAACCCAGGTTATGCAGCACCTGGGGTCTATGCCCATTTGTCGTTCGTACCAGACATCATCGATTATGATTTGGATGTCTTGTTTGTCGGGATCAACCCGGGAGTGAAGAGCAGTGAACGTTCGCACCATTTTGCAGGACCCACGAATCACTTTTGGCCATGTCTTTCTGAGAGTGGTAAGTGTGAACCCGGACATGCAAAACGACTATTATTGCCACCAAAAATTTTGGGTTTCAAAAATACTTGAGCAAGTGCTTCTCTCATGTTTTCTCTGTCAATTGACCCTGACCCTCCTGTTCTGTGTTCCCATTACATTCATTTGTGTTCTGCATACATTTGATCGCACAGGTTTACTTCCACCTGGTGTTCGACTCCGACCAGACGATGACCGATCCCTGCCCGCGGTCTGCAACATGGGTCTTTCAAACCTCGTAGATCGCCCTTCTCGAATGGGAAACGAACTATCTGTCGCAGAATGTCGAGCCGCAGCACCGATTCTGACGGCTAAGATCAAGAAATATCGACCCAGATTCGTGTGTTTTGTGAGCAAACAGGCCTGGGAGATGTACGCCGGGGTCGGTTTGGGCCTTCAATCAGCTTGGGTCAGTTGGCACGATGAACCTGAGGATGAGGTTCTTACTGGTATTGGACATGACCATGATGACGTTGGTAGGGAACACGCGATTCAGAATAATTTGGACGATCAAGGATATCGATTAGCACCTTACTTTGAGAAAGGCCCTAGTGCTGAACAACTGGAGGAACAGCTGGCTGCTGAGGGAGCACCGTCGCCATTCAAGCGCGAGGTCTCTGAAGGCAAGAGCTTTGGCATCAAAGCGGAAGTGGAGGATGAGGAAAAGCCCATAAAGGCTGAACTGGATGAAGACAGCAAGCCGGATAGAATGGACATTGACGATAAGAATGGCATCAAACCTGAGCAGTTGGAAGATGTCAAGGTCAAGGTCAAAACGGACGGTGCCGGAGGCGAGAGCTCGGGTAGTGGACAGAGTCGATCAGGGGCTAATGGAGGACCTATGGAATCGAGATACAGGGGAGGTGTCCGAGGTAGTCGCATGTTTGTGATGCCGAGCACTAGTGGACGCGTGACTCAGTACAGAAGGGAAGACAAGCTAGCATACTTCAAACAGTTGGCAGAGTTAGTCCGCAAAGACCGTCGAATGCGCGGTGTCAAGGCTCCTTGGGAATGATTGTACTCCCGGTTGGAGGGGTCTCTTCTTTTTTTCATTATGTTTGTTGTCCATTTGATACCCCTTGTACCTTCTGCTGATGCACAACTTTTTTATTTTTGACTAAAAAACGTATACATAAAATACAGAAGAAAAAGAAAAGAAGCTGGCTGCTGCGATTTTGGGAAGGGTGAAGATATACACTGAGGAGGCATCGCTATATACAAAGCGCGAGAGCTGTTTGCTTGACTCTGGGTCAGAAAGAGAGCGAACAGTAAAAAGCTGAAGGCTGAGGGGAGAGGGGGAGTTGAATGGGTGATGTCGGTCGGTTGGAAAGCAAAAGCGGTGGAGGAATGGATCAGTGCTTGAAGAGTGAGCTCTGGATCCGTTCCTCCTCTTCTCCTGTTGTTGGATAGGGCGTCCTTGGAAGACCATGCCTCGCCTCGTGGTTCATCAGGTTGTCGTCCTCGTCTGTTTTCGGCATTAGAGCACGCGTGCTTGGTTAGTGGATTTATGGCTCACTCGTGAATGACCTTTAAAAAAGAATATATAAAATATAAAATATAAAAAAAAGGGACCCTCACCTGGGATAAAGTGCACACTAGGTCTTCGTTCGATGTGCTCGAGGGTCCTGTTGCTGTCTTCGCCTTGGTTCAAGAAGAACCTGGTGCTCATGAGGCTACTCCTGGAGCAGGAGGGGGGCAGTGTGATGGAGAAGGAGGGCCGTCGCTCGGATTGGATGGATCGTGTGGGACTATGGACCCCACGGGCTCTCTTGGCGGGCGAGCTGGTACCGTTGCTGAGGGATGCTATCGAGGCGATCGCGTCCTTCATGGTTTGGTCCTGAGTCATGGCCATCTTTGTATGAGGAAGATAAGGCGGAAAAAAAAAAAAAAAAAAAAGACGCAGAGGTGAGTGGATAGTTGGGTGTGAGCAATCTGGGGCGAATTATTTTTTTCCGAGCGTTGGTCTGTGCCTGTGCCTTGTGCCTTGTGCCTGGAGGTACAAACACGCTGTTGTATAGAAACAATTTCTGCCGTGTACCTGTTCTGAAACTGGTGCCATTGCGGAGGGGATACAAAATAATTCGAATAGAGTCAAGTCTGAATCCACTGGGCTGGCTGGAGGATGTGAGGTGTGTGGAGTGAAGAGAGAGGAAGTCGTCAGTGAAGTCAAGTGTGGTTCCAAACAAGAATAAGAAGTTGATGGAGAGGGTACAAGAGGTGGAAGAATAAGAAAGGGAGAGAGGGAGGATCAGACGATTCTCCTTGGTTTTTATAATAAACCCCTCCACATCCATCTTCTCGAGGACACTATGGGAGCCCAAAGGTATACACCCACACCCACACACAGCCAGCCAGAGGATGCTACGGATAAAGCAACATATGACGTCAACCAGGTGGGCGACTACGGGGAAGAGAAACTTGTTTCTCCTTGTCTGCGAAGATGCGGTGACCATGCTCGATCCAGACAGCCGCAAGAGCGAAGCAAAATAACAACAATGCGAGGCTTTGTTGTAAAGGATGGTGGATACTTTAGCCATTGTCAGCACGATAGGGGAGGAGCGAGAGAGAAAGAAGGAGAAGGAACGCGACACGAAACAGGATCAAGAGAACGTTCCTTTATGGGTGTTTTGTCATCGTATATGTTTACGCCTATGCCAAGTAATAGCAGCACCAGAACCGGGACCAGGACCAGGACCAACAACAACCCATGGCAATCGACAGTAGCGGAAGCATGGTATGGAGCTGGCATTACGTATCGGCACTGGAGATCAATGGGGGGAGGAGCATGGGTCAGCGGATGCTGTTGCAGGATCATGCCCTTGCTATGGACGGTTGTCTACGGTAACGTATGTACCTGATAACGTACGTGCATAGCAGTGAATATGGCGACGTATGTACACGGTGCTGTACAAGCAAGACGCGTCCCGAGACGGCCATTTCTGAGGGGCCATTTAGAGATGTGAGGATATAACGCGCCCTCTACATGCGTGTACAGTACATGGGCCTAGGATGGATCCCTGTTCGATGGGGGGTGTGACGTCTTTTGACGAGAGAGGGTCTTCTTCGGGCCTCTTTCCATATCGAGACACATTCTTCACACGCACCGCCGGCGGAAAGAGTGCGTCCAGAGAGTTGTGGGGCAGACCAGGGAGTAGAGAGGCTGGGCGACGGGGCCACCAGGCTGGTCCCAGCCCCCACTTGCCCCATCTCCCGTGTCCATCCTGATACTGTCGCCGCAGCCAGCATCCCCCCTCCCGGACAGCAGCCCTGGTTGCCCCTCTTCGTCCTTTCCATGGGTTCCAATCTCTCGCGCGGAGCCCTGAAAATATATATTTTTGTACTGCCGTCCAGTAAACAAATGACTCGAAGCCCGAATTAAACCTCCCATCCCTCCCCCATACTCCTCCTCTCTCTCTTTTCTTTTCTGTTTCCCCCAAAAAACACCTCCCGCCCTACCCTACCTCACTCTTCTCCCCTCTCCGCTCCACTCTATAACACTCCTCCTCCTCCTCCTCCACCACCCATACACCCCACAATGATCTCTGCTGTGCGCTCAAAATCTGTCGCCCGCCTGGCTCGTCCCCTGGCTGCGCTCTCCCTCTCCTCCACACATCTCTCCGGCCTCGCTGTCCAGACCACCCGTCGTCAATTGACCATCAACGCTGCTGCCGCCTCTGCTGTCGCCACTCAGCGCCTCAGGTAAAAAGGAACAGCCCTGAATTGGCTGCTGGATTGATCCGCCGCATGGTCGCCAATGCTTCTCAAAAAATACGAACACGACATTGATTGTGAAAAACAACCATTGCTGGTTTCGCCGCCCGAATAGCTCTCCTTACCGCTCCCAGGTCAGATATTATGGTATGTTGCTGCAATGCTTCTTTTTTCTTTTTTTTTCTCTTTTCCTCTGTTCATTGATGACCTAGGCAGGATTTCGTCCCGGCACATACTAGCGCATAATGACGAAGAAACGCGATTATTGATCCATGCCTTCTTGTTTTTATCCGATGCTTTTTCCTATGAAGCTGACTATGTTGTCAAGGTCCCCCATATGGCCGATTCGATCTCGGAGGGTTCCTTGAAGCAATGGAACAAGAGTACGTAACCAACTCCTTTTCCCGACGTTTGCTTTTATTATTATTATTATTATTATTGAGAAGATGCAGGATTGTGTTGATCGCAAGAAAACTGATCTGAGGGAAAGTGTATGTTCTACATTGGGTTCTGTCCTGTCAATAGAGGTCGGCGACTTTGTTGCTCTGGATGAGGAGGTTGCCACGATCGAGACTGACAAGGTAATCACAACGCCTGAAATCGAATGGAGATGCACTCCAAGGCTGATCTATTACAGCGACGAAGCGGGGGGGGGGGGGGGGGGGGGGGGGGGCGGAATATCTTCAAAAAGGCGTGAATTCCATTTACCTGATCTGAGCCCGCGCTCTTCATGGAGAGAACGTCCTGCAGGCGTACTGCAACCGATGTATGGACACATACACGCAAAGGCAGAGGGAAAACGGAAGTTCCGCACAGGAGGAGCCCTGCAGACAAAGATTGAGGACAGAGAGCGATGTTGCTGGATCAGAGGGGAAGAAAAGCATGTCTGGGAATGGTCCCGTCTCCTTTTGCAGCAGCGATCTCCCGCCTGTCCGAGCTCTGCACCACGGCGTATGTCCAGAGCCAGATGCTGACAATCCATCCCCCTCTGCACTTGTGTCCATAGGTCGATGTTGCCGTCAACTCACCCAAGTCTGGTACCATTGTCGAGCTGTTCGCCAAGGAGGAAGACACCGTCGCTGTCGGCGCTGATCTCTTCAAGCTGGAGCTCGGAGATGCCCCTGCTGGAGGTACATAGCACAGTGGCTATGCGTATGTTTGCGATCAATGCAGCAGTCCCGGAACATATCACTAACCCTTTGAGTCATCGTACTAGGCGCTGCCCCCAAGGCAGAAACCAAGAAGGAGGAGCCCAAGAAGGAGGCATCTAAGAAGGAGGAACCCAAGAAGGAGGAACCCAAGAAGGAGGAACCCAAGAAGGAGGAACCCAAGAAGGTCGAGCCTAAGAAGGAGGCTGCTCCCTCAAAACCTGCGGCTGCTGCCCCCGCTGTCGAATCCTTCTCTGCACCTGTCGCCTTCAGCCGCGAGGAGCGCAGCGTCAAGATGAACCGCATGCGCCAGACCATCGCCAGACGTCTGAAGCAGTCTCAGGAGAACGCTGCCGCGCTCACCACCTTCAACGAGGTCGACATGAGCAACCTGATGAAGCTTCGCGCTACCTACAAGGATGCTGTCCTGAAGAAGCACGACGTCAAGCTGGGCTTCATGTCCGCATTTGTGAAGGCATCGTGCTACGCTCTCAAGGAGCTGCCCGCTGTTAACGCAAGAATCGAGGGTGAGAACGTCATCTACAACGACTACGTCGATGTCTCAGTTGCTGTTGCCACCCCCAAGGGCCTTGTCACCCCCGTCATCCGCAATGCTGAGAGCCTTTCCTTTGTTGAGGTCGAGAAGACCATTGCCCAGTACGGTGCCAAGGCTCGCGACGGTCAGATCGCGATTGAGGACTTGAGCGGCGGTACGTTCACTATTTCGAACGGAGGTGTCTTTGGCTCGATGATGGGCACGCCTATTATCAACATGCCCCAGAGTGCCATCTTGGGCATGCACGCAATCAAGGAGAGACCCGTTGCCATCAACGGCAAGGTTGAGATCCGCCCTATGATGTACATTGCCCTCACCTACGATCACCGCATTATCGATGGACGTGAGGCCACCACGTTCTTGGTCAAGCTCAAGGAGGTCATTGAGGATCCCGTCCGCCTGCTGTTGGATGTTTAGAGTGTTGCGATATCTCGTTTTGCCCTCATCGACTGTTTTTGCCGCCTTCCAACATAGACATCTAATGATCAACCGACCCTCCCAAATACAACCATACAACATCTATCTCATTTCTCTCATAACCACTTTACAATGAAGAAAAAAAAAAAAAAAAAACGCGTTCGTTCTTGTATCTTTACGACAGTATTTTGTGTTGCAAACGACCATGTGCTTTGGCAGAAATTATGTGGACTATGGCTCTCGAACGACCAGTATGAGGCGATATTTGTCCGCCGCCTAGAGTTGATCACGTCAGGCATTCATTGGGCAATTGCCTTTTTTTTCTTTTTTCTTTACATGGGTGGATAAGGTGTGGATTGTTAATAAGGTGCGACGGTCGTGTCAGCTTTGTGCTCTGTCGTCTTTGGAGTTGCGGATGGACTCATTCATGACAAATTTCCAGTGGCGCTCTTCTTTTTTTGTTCCGTGGCTTTTTTGCGCCCCCCTGTGTGTCTTGCTGGGCGATGTCTTCGATCATCCCGCGTCAAGATAGCACAGATACACTCACACACTAGACTAGCAACACCGTTTCTTTTCTGGACCGCCCCCTCCAATGGGGTCTGGTGTGTATAAAACGACCATGTCTGCCTCCTCCCCTTCTCTCTCTCTCTTTTTTTTTTTGTTCTTCTTATCCTTCACACCTCAGCACACACACTTCAGCACACACCTCAATTGCTTGTTACCCATCTTCCCCCCAACGCCTTCACATTTCACACGCCCTCCCCTCCAACAGCAACCAACTAGCTAACCATGTCTCTTCTCCAGAACACCAACCTTTCTGAGACCGCGGCCGAGCTCATCAAGAACGACAACCAGGTCACCGGCTTGTCCTCGTCCCACTACACCAAGCCTGCCTCTGCAGCGCGCGTCAATGCTGCGAAGGCTGCTCTTGAGGCCAACGGCTTCAAGGTCTACGTCGTCAACAGTCGCCTCGATGCCTTTGAGGCCCTCAAGAACTTGATCCCAGCTGTAAGTCGCGACTCTTTCTAAAAAGAAAAAAAAGAAAGAAGAAAGAATGAAAGAATGAAAGAAAGAATGACGCGCACGCGCGGTTTCAGTCTCATTATGAACGAAGTGGATATTTTTTTTCCAGCCTGTGTGTGAAACACGCCAAAGTTCTGATTCGTATGGTTTTTTGTTCGCCTTTTTTTTTTTTATTTTTTTATTTTTTAGGGCGCCTCGATTAACAACGCTCACTCGACCACCCTGGAGGAGGTAAGGGGCATCCCTTCGATTTGTCATTGCTCGATGGGCGTCCATGTCCTGCTGCCCGATCGATCCGCCCCGATCAGTTACAAAGACTAATCCAATTATCAATTCTTCTTTTGTTTCCTTTTTTTTTTCTTTTTTTTTTTTTTTTTCCCGGACAACAGATCGGCTTCATCACCTACATCAAGGGACAGACCCCCTGGAAGAACGTCCATGGCGAAATCATCGCAGAGAAGGATCCCGCCAAGCAGGCAGAGCTCCGTCGCACGATCGGTTCGACTGTCGATTACTACCTGACGTCGGTCGCCTCCGTCACCGAGGACGGTCACTTGGCCCACGGGGATTTGTCCGGGTCAAAGGTCGGGGGTGTTGCGTTCGGGGCGGCCAACGTTATCGTCATTGCTGGGTCGAACAAGATCGTGAAGGATGAGCAAGAGGCTTGGAAGCGTCAGCATGAGTTTGCTCTCCCTCTGGAGAGTGCCCGAGTGAGGATCGCGTACGGTTTGCCGGCCTCGGGTGTGACTCATTACGAGGTCATCCGCAAGGCCAGTCCCTTCAACGCCAACCGCATCCAGGTCATCCTCGTCAACGAGGCCCTTGGTTATTAAGCAGTAGTTCGAAAGAGGAAAAGAAAAAAAAAAAAGATTCGACCCATGGTCAGGAGAGGGAAGAACGGTCAACACATCGTTACAGTTTTTTTTTTCCCCTTCTTGCTGATAGACCTCCCAGTAGTCCATATCTTCATTGTAAATAAAAATTGTAATAAAGAAAAGAAAAAAAAACTCCCCTTCGAAAGACGCGACTAGCAGAACAGACATGCGCTAAGGAAAGAAAAAAAAAGTCCAAAAAGGACGGCCATGGCATCATTGCCTCCACTGTCGCTCGTTTACATCTCTTTATGCACAATCGCACAATACGTTGCAGGAATTAGGATTGAAACCTTATGCATGCACTACTACCGCGGGTGTGTAATAAGACGTGTAAGCGAAGCGGCAAGGCCATTTATTTTCCTCTATCGTGTCGTTCATCGTTTTTTTTTTTTTTGTGCGACGCGCGCGGAAATTATTATCTGGTCAAGAGCCTGCATCTTGGGATATCTTGAGTTCGGTCACTTTGCCCATTTTCTCTCTCTCTCTCTCTCTCTCTCTCCAGTGTACCACATCCCAGATCTTATTAAGAAAAACGTGTCCCCCCAGTCCATGATTATCCTTCTGTATTTTTGGGCTATTTATTCTTCAAATGGCTATATATAGAGGGGCGAAAGGTGTGTGTGTGTATGTATGTGTACAGGTCGGGAGGGGGGGGGGGGGGGGGGTGCCTATCAAGAGTGAGAGAGGAGGAGGGGAGGGCATCGGCTCTAAATGACACTCTAGTACCGAAATATCTAGTGCTGCAGAGTAATCCCCTTGCGAGTCGCGAACAGCGTATCCGAGTCCACCTTCAGTTGCTCGGCCAATTGCTCGGAGCTCTTGATGTGGTACCCCAGCTCAGAGAGCAATCCGGTCTGGATATCGTACACCATACCGATGATCTCGACAGACTGTCCACGCTCCCAAGCGGCTCTCATGATGGGCGATTTGGCCACGGTCAGGACCGAATTCCGGGCATTGATCTCAACAAGGGCTCGGCACTTTTCTTCTTGGTCCTTGATGGTGTCGAGATTGCGGAAATGCTGTTGCTTGACCTCCTTGATGTTCGCGAGCCAGTGGTCAATGAGTCCGTAGGAGTGATCACCCAGGGCCGCAGCGACACCGCCACAACCATAATGGCCACAGACGACGACGTGCTCAACTTTAAGGACATCGACGGCGTACTGGAGTACGGAGAGACAGTTCAGGTCTGTGCTGACGACGACATTGGCGATGTTGCGGTGCGTGAAGACCTCACCCGGGGCTGGAAGGATGGGTTCAAGGGACAATGATAAAGTAAAGGTCCGAGATTAGTTTTGAGAGGACTGATTACACGACGCAGTGGGGGGGGGGTCGTCCGTCGTTATCTGCCTTCCCTTCTCCCCAATAAAAAGAAAAAAAAAATTCGTTCCCTACCAAGCTGAAGGAGTTCGTTTTCAGGCACACGCGAATCTGAGCAACCGATCCAGAAAACCTTGGGCTGCTGACCCTTCGAGCCCTTCTCAAAGAAATCAGGCTGGCGTTCACGGATGGCTTTGGACCACATGCGATTGTTCTTGAGCAGACGGGATAGGTTATGGTCGACTCCGACTGTAGGACTGGGCCCGAAGGTTACAGGGGATCTTGGACAGCAGGCATCATCGTCCTCCTCGTCCTCGTCCTCGTCCCCATCGGGCTCTTCGTCGCTGCTCCTGTACTTGTGGAGAAGGTGATGATGGTGGTGGCTGTTCTTTTCATCGGAACTTGAAGCACTGGAGGCTGTGGTTTTGATTTGGAGAGCCTGAACTTGGGTGGCGATGTTAGGGACGACGCAGGTGTCGGTCGTGATAGTGGTGGACTCGGCAGTAGTGGTGGTGGTGGTCCTCTGGGGGTTTAATGTGGAGGACATGGTATGGTTGAATCTAAACCAGACGTCAAGAAGGCGAGAGAGAGACGGGTTAATGGGTTAATAGGCTAATGTGCGTGAAGTGGCCAGAGGCGATAGCGATAAAAGAAAAATGAGAAGACGATCCTTACTGGACTAGAGCGGCGTTCAAGGTGGAAAGCATGAGACTATATGGAAAAAAGGAAGGATGTGAGAAGGGTAGATGTTACTATCAGGCAGTAGAGGATGAAGCAAGTAAATCCCTCTGCGATATATGCAAAGGCGACAGGGCAGGTTTACCAGCCGGAAAATGTGCGTACCTGGTTGCTGGTCGCTGTTTGGCTGAGGACGAGGCAGATGTTTGGATTTACGTTCTATCTCGTTCCTTTTCGGGCAGGCGGACAGATAAACAGATACGGACGAGGGCGCTGGAAGGTCGAACGGATGACTGGGATGGGAACTGGAGCGGGACTGGAAGAAGATAGGAAGATGAAGTAGTTTTTTTTGGGGGCGGAGGGGGAGGGGAAGAGGGAGCGATATATATAGGAAGAAGGTGTAGGTACTACGGTCCTGTGTGCTTTCTGGTGGCCTTTTATATCTGTTTTCCCTTGTTATATCGTTTTCGTTTTCTGGTGCAAGTCCAGACCTTCGGCCAACGGGGTTGAACTCACTACCGTTTTTCCGTTTTTCTTTTTTCCAGTCGATCCTCTGATAGCTGTGATACCTTCATTCGCACGGCTGTATTTGTTATTTTCACGCATTTTCCTCTTTGGCGACGACGAGTAGCTCTCTTTGGGGTTGGCGATTGCCTACCTTGGTAGCCCGTTTGCGTCCTTTTGTTCGCTAATTTGATTTTATCCATTTGGACACTTCCACGGAACTTTGCTATCCCAAGCCCAAAAGGGCGAACCCTTCCCCCCCTCTCTCTCTCTTCTCGAAACTCGAAACAAAAAATAATAAAAACTATTGGCAGTGTGATAGCACACACAAGACAGGTGCTCATAGATCTGCGTGTATTCCACGGCCGTCCATGCCGAGAGCATGTCTGTGTCTGCAATCTCGAATAGAGCCATATGACCTTATGTTGAGCACTGGATTAATACAAACATATATATGCCGTTCGAAAGGTCGAAAGGGCCAAAAAAAAAACACTCACACAAACCTCCACAGAAGCTTCTTTCCGGTATTTTTCATCCTTTACAACTTTCCATCGCAAAAGAACGAATGAGCACAAAGGGTTTGTGAGCAAGACCTATTTCTATCACCCTTCATCTTCGATATCTTTTTCCTTTACCACGTACAGTTTTTTTTTGGTTTTTTTTTTAGTTGCTTTTTTTGTGGGGCACCGTCAATTACGCGTAGTTGTGCAATTACGCGTGGCGAACGGACGCCTTGAAAATTAAATCTAAATCTAGCTCCACGTGATACATGTGTTCCTGAGAACATTCAAATATGAATCTCCGATCCAATCTATTTTGCGGGCCCTCTTCCCCTGTCAGTCTATAGGGTGACAGCTGCACAGCGAAGAAGGGAGGGGGAGCTGCAGGCATAGCACAGTCTGAGCACTTTGTTTGGTCCATTTGTATAAGAGTATGCAACAAAATGCATTTGATTCCATTTGATGTCAAAGGATGGTATGATAGTATGATGGTTGTTCCTGACGATGATGATGATAATAGTAGTAATAATAATAATAACAATGCTGTCTATGGTGTGGTCTTGTTTTTCCATGTAATCTCCAGTCCTCCATTCTCGCCTAGTGCTGGTTGTTCGCTCACAGCTGTTGAGTCTGTCTGAGTATGCTGTTTCTCCTTTTCTTCCCTTGCTGTCCGACCAGTCAGTTCCTGCCATCCCTCGTTGACCATCTTTCTCTTCCGCCTCCGTCTCCGCTTCTTAATCGGTTCATTCGAATCCTGTACTGCCTCTGGACTCAGATTTGGATCCGTGCCCACAGTGGACGTTGATTCCGTGGTTGATTCGGTCAAAGCATCTGGATTTGAGCGGTCCGTCAAGAGTGATACCAGGGGTCCTTGTGAAGAGATCGGTGCAGAGGAAGGGTGATTAATGCTGGTGGTGGTGGCCTCTGTTTCTGGACGATCGCCTTGGCTATTACTGTCGCTTCCTTGATTGGATGCGCGCCGACGAGTCTCGAGGACGTGAAAGTCCTTTCCTTGGCGACGCTGTTGGTCCAATGCCTGGGCACGCTTCTCGTCGACAACCTCCCAGGGCACGAAGGCCGGCGTTGCGACTGTGAAGACTGCGCCGACGGCGACGGTGAAGAACAGGGAGAGAGTGATTCGTTGCCGTTGCAGGAGTGTGAGCGGCTTCATGGTGCGGAGTTATTGGGGAGGGAGGAAGGGAAGGAGGAGGGAGGAGGGACGCCCTCCTTGTAGTGCAAGAAAGTAGTCGTCTTGGATCCGGTTCGATCGGTGTGCGGGATCAGATCTCGGAGAATCGAGGAGAATGCTGATCCGAGTTGGTGTTCCTAGTGCTTTCCAGACCACTCTTGATTCCCTGTGCGCAGTTATGTTGCTGTCCTGGAAGACCGTTGCCGATGGTTGACTGGGATGACGCCAGAGATGTTTGTAGGAAGCGGGAGTGGTTCCCTGAATTGGGATGCGTGCTTCTGTTAATCTACCATCTTGAATAAAAAAAAATTGCCGAATCACGTCACACGAGCTGATTGCACTGGCAACAGTCAATTCCCTGGATACCACCAGCATGGACTCCCGGCGCCTAACGAATCCATTTGCTCGTTCTACAAAACCTCTTGCTGCTGCAGAGATACCTTTCATCCGAATACATTACTCATTAATCTATTCCGTACCTGTAACACGTGAAACGTGGAGTCGGGAAGTTGAGAAGGCTGCAAGCAGAGATAGGCCTGCCAAGTTCTCGAAAGGTCGCAAGTTCTGTCTTTCCATAATGGAACACCACATCGTGAGTATGAGCTAGACCAGGTTGTGATTGTAGATAGCTCCGTGGCGTAATGTGTGCCAAAGCAAGGATTCAGTTTTGGTTGATGCCCTGGCTGACTGGTGCCTCTGCCCTCCACGACCACGAGTAGGTACAGGACGTCCATTAACGAAGAGGATGAGGATGATGGCCCTTTATTGTGTTGGAGGGTGCCCGGAGGATCTCATTCGCACGGCGATCTACGTCTTGCTTAGAGGTGTGTTCATGGCTTCGAGCGCATATTTGCAGCAAAGCGACGATGTTTCCAGACGTGTGTACTTGCTGGTCAGGACACTAGACGCTGTTACACTAGGGCTTTTGTGGCAAGTGCTGCAGTTTTTTTTTTTTGGAAGAAAGAGTTGGCGGCGGGGATGGGTGCGACTTTTGAAGAGGGAAGTCTGCTTATTTATATCCATTCTTGTGCGCGCTTTGCTGGCTTTTCTGCCGTCCTCGTCGATTAATTCCATATGCCTGAACACCGCGTTTCACGCGTCAGTGACGTCACGAGGGGGGGGGGCATGTGGTCCAAGAAAAGCGGCGGGACGATCGACCTTTAACCTTTGACCTTCAACTCCAATCTTTGCACCTCCCACAATACCCCACCATGACCACAGTTCAGGACCTGTTTGCTCAGGGCAGCCACGCCTTCGCGGATGAGGACTACGAGGAGGCCCTTAATCTCTACACGAAGGCCATCGATGTCAACGCAACTCACGTCGAGATCTTTTTGAAACGGTAGGGAACGGTTGATGGATCGAAGTTGAGATTGAGGGCGCGTTCGGGAATAGGTACAAGGCGTCCTGGAAAGCGAAAAACTTGGCACCAACCCTTGCTTCCCAAGCATTCCTCTTTAAGCTGGTCACTGTGTGGCTTCCGTAACCGTGATGCTGACCTTTGCTGCTCCTTTCCTTTTTTTTTCTTTTTTTTCTTTTTTTTTTTACATTCGCCGTCGTTTTCGAACTATAGCTCGGCTACCTATCAGAAACTGAACAGGGACAAGGAAGCTTACCAGGATGCGCTCAAGGCGTTGGAACTGATCAAGGAGAAGCCTTCGATCGATGTTTCTGTCGAGGCAAAGGCACAGCTGCGCAAGGGGTAAATGAGAGTACCACCGCTGTGAAGATCATCGGGCAACTGTGGTACTTTCGCAATCGTGACTCATCTATACACCTCTTTATGCTTTAGTGTCGCCGCGTACCACCTTCAGGACTATCAGACAGCCAAATCAGCCTTGGATGCGTGCCATGCTCTCAGTCCCGAGCAGAGAACGTTGGCGAGCTGGATGCGCAAAGTCGAGCAGGAACTCGCCAAGCAGCCCAAGCCTGCTCCTACAGCGACACCTGCCCCCGCTGTTGCTCCAGCCGCCGCCGCCGCCGCCGCTGACGCCTCTGCTTCCACCCCTGCCCCAGCGGCGACCCCAGTTACCCACCGTGTCAGGTAATGATCGAGTCGGGATACAACATCTTGGGAGCCAGGGCAGATCGTTGATGACCTTGAGATTCTAATATCTGGACATGAACCCTCTGTAGACACGAATGGTACCAGAACGACGGCTTCGTGACCATTAGCGTCTTTATCAAGAACGTCAAGAAGGAGTCAGTCGACATCAACATCACGGACAAGGCCGTAAGTGAAGCATTCATGGATGGGCTCGAAGGATCATGAATGGCGTTTATAGGAAATAATATACTAATGTCATCGTCAACGGTTTGCCCAATGCTGGACTATAGTTATCAGTCTCGATCAAGATGCCCACTGGGTCCGACTACTCTCTGGAGCTAGACCCCTTGAGCCATGTTGTCGTGCCTGCGGAAAGCAAATTTGAGGTTTTGTCGACCAAGATCGAGATCCAGCTCAAGAAGGAGCGCTTCGGTGTCAAGTGGGGCGCGCTCGAGGGCGACGATGCCAACGCTGGATCTATGGCCACCACTGCAGGTATGAACCAAACCTTTTTTTTGGCGTTTCGCTACGCGCATGGGATATTTCCCTTGTTTAATTGACCTTTTTTTTTTTGAGCAAACGCTAATCGTCCTGTCTTATTCATTACACGGTCCAAGTAGCTGCCGCTGCCATTGCCTACCCATCCTCGTCCAAGAAGACCAAGAACTGGGACGCGCTTGAGAAAGAGGCGGCTCAAGAGGAGGAAAAGGCGGATGGCGACAAAGCCTTGAATCAGCTATTTGCTCAAATCTACAAGGACGCTGACGACAACACAAAACGTGCGATGATGAAGAGTTTTACGGAGAGCAACGGTACTTGCCTGTCGACCAACTGGGACGAAGTCGGCAAGGGACCCGTCGAGACCCGTCCTCCCGAGGGCATGATCGCCAAAAAGGTAGAGTTGTCGCATTGAATGTCGCATTGAATGTCGCTTTGTGGACATGAGGAGAACTAGGTTGTTCTTAACAGCTAACCATTTCTGCTATGCCTTTCTTTGTCTGTGATTAGTACAACTCGTAAATGCGATTCGTCTCGATATTAACTCCTCAGCATACTAAAGAGGAGCACATGGTCGGGAATGATCATCAAATGCATTGGGCTTTTTCACAATAGAGTACAGGGATAGAAACCTGACGCCTTGTTGTGCATCCAGTCAAAATAAATGGCACGATCGTTTGGTAGACGACTTTGGAAAAAGCGGACGTGTTACTCAAGATGTATATTATTTGTATAGAATGAATTCTGGTCGTAACTAATGATGCTCGCTGTAGGACTCAACCATGACAGTGATGTGGGAGTCCGTCGACAGGGGCGTGACACGCTTTTCCGTGCTGGAGATACCCGCATGATTGCTCAGTAAGTGATTAGGATGGTTATTTTGATTCGAAGCATGGCCAGCACGCGACCCCCTGTCGAGCTGCTGGCGGGGCCGGGCGCGCGAGGTGACCCAATGGATGGCGCAGGCGTTGAGTGTCACATCCATTGTACAGGACAATAGACACAGGACCGAGTCCTCATAGCCCTGATAATAGACTAGCGTAAAGACATTTGCGGAACTGAGGATCAAGGCGACGATGGAGCCGATCAGGGTTCGACGGGCAACCTGGCGCAGTTTGCCCTTGCTGGGGCCCTGCAGGGTGGAGTTGGAGCTCATCAGGGGGCGGATGAAGAGGATGGTCAGCCAGGAGGAGATGAAGATATCATAGAGGATTAAGGTGATGGAAGCTGTGGGTTTGAGGCCGATGTAGCAGTACTCTTCCTCGTTGATGACCGCGACGCGATTCAGGATCATGAGGATGAGGATTACGGAATAAGGAGTCAGGAGTAGGATGTTGGTGCGATAGAGCTGCATTTGCATTAATGCCAAGGAGAGGGAGGGATGCAAGGCAAAGCATTAGATTTCTGTGCACGGTTCAATTCAGGAACACAAAGTAATGTAGCCCCTAACTTTTTTTTTTTTTTGAGCGTCTTACCAAGGTGTCTTTACGCAGGGTAGCAACGGAGCTGACGACGTGAACTTTCTCGATGAGGAAGAGGTAGATGATGATTTTGGACATGGCGTAGAGGGAGAGACAGACAAAGATGGAGATGGTGCAGGAGGTGATGTTGCCTACGTTGGTCGAGGTCAGGATCGCGGCTATGGTCGTGAACCCCCAGGAGACGATGTAGAGGGAGATGACGAGACCGCGGGCGTAGTTGATATTTGCCAAGCTTGTGCCCGAGGTCTTACGACCAAAGAGGACGGACATGAGTGAGATCGAGAGTAGAGAGACCATCAAGGAAATGACAGCTAGGGTTATGGAGGTGGGATACGGGCTGGATTAGAGACTGGGTTCGAGAGATAGGCAGGGTAGGACATGGTGAGGGAAGGAGTGTGTGTGGTCTAGTGCGAGGGGAGACTTACTGGCTGGGTCTGGTCGCTGTGGCATGGCGAATGATGTGCGAGTGTGCTTTTACTGGTGGGCTCGAATGTGTAGGGTTGAGTAGCCGACGAAGCGTAAAACACAGTTAATAAAGTACTTAATGCCGTGGATAGAGAAAGGAACAGTTGTGCGAAAGACAAAATAAAAAAGGTCTGATCTACGAAGGTTGTTGAAAGTGCAGGAGATTAAGATACAAGAAAGGAAAGATGAAGCAAAAGAGAACAAGAATGTGGAGCTTCGTACGCTGGTGGTTGCTATTAATGAATGCAGGCTGAGCGCCGTTGTGGCTCTGCAGGGAGTTCAAGAGTCTGAGGGCCTAGACGATTGAGCCAGGTGAAAAAAGTGAGCGAACAGGGTATTCAGAGATGAGACGAGGCAGCGATGGAAACAAAAGCGGGAAGAGGACTCGAGGCAGAGATCCCGCCCTTTATATATGAACCTGGCCCCACTCCGGTTCCTTCTATTTATCCGCTAGGATGGACGCGTTATTACGATCATCTCATTTATTCGCTTTCCATCAGTCTGACTAGAGATCATAGAAGGAGGAGGAGGAGTCGAGGGGTGCGCCATGTAGTGTAACAGATGTGGTATTATGGAGAGAGACCCTTCCTCTCCCTCTCCCTTGCGAAAGCCATTCATGCGTAATTGTTGTTTGGATCCAAGCGCTCAAAAAAAAAAAAAAGGGGACAGCCAACCCTTATGGTGCAGACTATTCGTTGCTGTTTACATTAAGTAATAACGGCACGCTCTTCAACGGACTAGATTAGAAGAAAAAAATCAGGGGGGGGGGGAAAGAGCGCCCAAAAAAAAAGCGAAAAGGTCAAACGCTCCAGGGGAGTACGTGCAACCAGTATATAATGAGAAAGTACACCATGATCATATCAGCCAGGAAATAGGCGGCTAGGGAGATCGAGACTAGCTACATGGCTGGCTCCTCTCGATCTCTTGCAAGTTGATGGTGCAAACGCTCGATCTTTCATTCCGAAGATGGTGTCTATCCTGCCAGTCCTTTGTACAACACCATCCAGTCCCATTAGAAAGCGTTAGTGGCCCCTGAATCCAATTCACTCTGCTGTCTATAATTGTATATTGCTCAATAAAGGCAATGCGAGCCGTAGTAGGGGGTAGAGAGTTGAGGTGGAAGTAGAGTGCTGGGATATTGCCTGTCTAGACTCTAGACCATTAGGAAGTGTGGAGTATAAGGATACTTCACGCTAGCGATGCAGACCTTAATAACTTTCTGCTTACAGACTTACTCTGTACTCTAAGGCCAGGTTCTGCAGTGCTGTGCAACTACGACGTCAATTGCCGCCAGACTGTACTCACTCATATCTTTTCTCTTGGATGATTGACCTAGTGAAGCATTGGGGATGTGATGATGCGGCCCATTTGAGTTAGATACTACGGAGAGGGAAACAGACAGTTCATATTGGCCTATCGGCTACTAACGTTACCGCTGGTTCAGCAGTCTAAGCGTCTCTTTTGAGAAATGAGATAGTTGGTGACTAGGTATATGTACTTAGGAGACGCGCCGCAGACAGTGGAGTATATATACCCATGCGACTACGTACACGTACGGCATACTCGTACGTCTGGGGGTCCAGGAGAAGAATAGGGTATCTTTGTAGACGATAAGCTTTTAAGAATATCGCGTGCGCTTTCCAATCTAGTAAGGTTCGATGGAATCCAGGGACGCTTCTTCGCTTTCTGGAGCCACTCGATCTCCAGAAATCGGCTCTGTCACGTTTCTGCTCCCAAGGTTATGCAACAGGGCGTTGATGTGTGGCAATCACAAATTTGGATGCTGGAGAAGGTTACCCAATCGCTCTATTGCATGTGTTGTTGTTCTTGCTGTTGCGGACTAGACTATGAGAGCATCTTCATGTTGTCTGCAAATGTACGATTTATCATTTTCCTGCTAGGCGCTAGACACACTAGACCGAGCGATGATGCTGGCCTTTTTTCTTTTTTTGCCCGCATCCTTATGGCCGATGTACTCTTCCACAAATCCTTTTCTCAAGGATATGGTGCTTTTTTTTGTTTTTTTTAAACTTTGAGGTTGCCTTGGACAAAGGTAACCTCTCGTAAGTTCTGGTGCTCAGCGTAAAATGAGAAGAGGTCATAAAGTAAAAATTTAAATGCTGGAGAGAGAGCAGTAGTCGGAGAATGGAGACGAAGCGAAGAAGCATATGAGTAGACATCTCAAGGGAAAAGAACTGAAGAAAAAAAAAAAAAGAGCACCGACAAACGGTGAATATCTTGGCCAGGGCCACTGATTAAACCGAGCTATAGTTCACCATGACATGAGCTGTGTGGTAGCGCCACGCAGCAAACCTGAGTCATTTCGTTTTGAACCATGCATTTTCGCCATCGTTCTCCTGTAGAGAGAACCGTGAATGGCAGATATGATGGATACAGGAGATTGGCTTGTCCGCATGGGTGAGTTCAGACACATTCTTTCACCTCCTTGTTACATGTTACGCCCCTGGGAATGTGCTACAGCCTGTTTCGTTTGAGGGTGCTGTGTGTTGCCTGAGGTGGGACCGGACCCGACTCTATTTATCTTCTTCTCTTTCGCCTCTTCTTCCTTTCAGAGTGATTGGCCGTCTGAGCCGGGTTTGGTTTGTGCACATCGTTTCTGCTTCATACACTCTAAATCACCCTCCTGCAGGTAGACAACAAACCGTTCGTTCGCTTTGGCGTTTTCCCACTCGGCAACTGGGCAACTGGGTAAGCGGTAGATAATCAGCAACAGTAATTTTCTTTTCTCTCCTCCCTCTTCCTTTCCCTCTTCCTTTCCCTCTCTCCCTCTTTCCCTCTTTTCCCTCTTTTCCTCTTTTCCCTCTTTTCCCGACTTCAGTTTGCGCCCCTCGCTCCTCGTCCACTTCGTATATACCCTTCCTCCATCTCCAAACTCCACTCTTGCCAAGGCAGAGACCAGGCAGTCTGCGCACTTCTATTTCTTACCTGCGCTGATAGTCATTCATTCCCCCGAGCTCCGTTTTTTTTCTTTTTCCTTATCCACTCACACCCTTTATTTTCATAATCGCTCTCCTCCCCTTTTTGCCCTCATCGGATTATCACGTCCAGCCACAGCACTGATTCTCAAGAATTGAATTTGAGCGACCTCCGCCTTTTAGAGCACATCTTCCCCACAGCGGCAGTAGCTTTTTTTCACACCGTCCCTGTTCCTGAAGTGATTACATTCTCCGCAGTGTCTCAGGAACAGATTCTTTTTCTCTTTTTAACCAAGGCTTTACAGTTGTTTTTTGTCAGCTACACTCTATTTGTTTCGGTGCCATCCAATAGTAATCACTCCCCACGCTCTCTGTCCGACAATAATTTTGTTCAATATATCCTTCCATCGATAAACCATTCGATACAAACAAACAAACTTCAGAAAGAACACGCGAACCATTTACTACCACCGCGTCTTACGATAACCACCATGCGACTTTTCCCTACACGAGCCTCCTCCTTGCTCGCCATATGCACGATTGCCCTCCTCGCCGGTCTCCCCTCCGCAGCCGCTCAGGGGATTGAGCCTCCAAAAACGCTTACGACCACGACTGTCGCTATCACCCATACGACGACGACGACAACTCCAGTGCAAACTACGGCGACTGTCCCTCCCATCACGACTATTGCCCCCATAACTACGACAATAATCACTACAACGCTGGCACCCACCCTCACGCTTCCGCCTACGACCGCGGCGCCTCCCACGACGGCCCAACCCACGACTACCACGACCGCGCCCGCCCCACCTGCGAATACCACCATCCCATGTATGAGCAGTGAGCTCTGCCCTGCGAACCAACTCTGCGCTCTTCAGTCCACCTCTGCAGTGACAGGCGTCTGTCAGGTCATGGAACAGTTCCAAAAGCTGTGCCCTTCCAGCCCTGTGATCAATTGCGTCAGCAGCAAGGACTGCACCGACCCCGGATTCTCCTACTGTGCCGTCGATACCAACGGCAACAAGATCTGTTCTGGCCTAGGCCGCCCTGGCACAGCCTCACAATGCGATCCCAACAACCCCAACAACAACAACGGCTCGTCTGGAACCGGCAGCAGCAGTGTGACTACGACTCTCAAATATGCGGGCATTGCTGTGGGCTCCATCGCATTCCTGGCTATCATTTTTGCCCTGGTGAGATGGCGCAGGAACAAGAGCCGGTCCAAGATGCCGGACTTTGCAGAGATTGACTATGGTATGACCAACAGACGCTCGGAACCTAGATCTAGCGTGGGTGCTGCGGCCGCGGCCGCTGGCGCAGGAGAGCAATCGTACCCGTTCTCGAGCAGACCCCACGCCAAGAACCAAACTGTAGCTGCCGCTCAGGATGATTACTATGATGAGCAGTATTATGCCGACGGATATGCACAGAACGCGCATCCAGCGGCGGGCATGGCAGGTGGCGCCGTCAAGCAAGGCCAGGCGTACTATGACGGCTCGTACGACAACTACAATCAGCAGGCATACAACTCGGGCTATGCACAGCAGGGCTATGACCAGCAGGGGTACAATCAACAGGGCTACGACCAACAGGCTTACGCTCAGCAGGGTTATGACCAGCACGCGTATGACCAGCAGTATTACAACGGATACGACCAACATGGCAACTATGTGGGTAATGGCTATTACGACGCCAATCAGGCTGGCGGTTACGAAGGTTATACAAAGGAAGAGGGTTATCCTGTGGCGACGAGCGCTGCTCCTGTAGTGCCGGCAGAGGCTGTTGTCCGATCCGGATCGCGTCAACGCTTTGGCGGCGCTGCGCCAGCAGCCGCAGCCGGAGATTATGCGGTCGACAACTATGGCGCTGAGCCCTCAGAGCTGGACTTTGGTGGTCGTGGCAATGGTCGCAAGCAGTAGACGCATATACCGCATTCACTACACACACGTACAAGCATACACACTTGCGCACACACTTTTGTAATGCATTCCGCCAAATAAAATATAATGGTTAATGGACACAATGAATTTTCTAATAACAGCGCTGAAGCGAGCACTAGAAAGCTAGGAGATACAGTGGAGATTTAGATTGCTTTGGTAGAAGAGACGTGCTGGATGGACTTGTCTATGACTCTGTTGGGCACAGCCCATCCTACAAATGAGTACACATAACTGGCATGCCCGATCAACTGGGAGAGTGCAGGTTTAGGCGCCATCAAAGCGTCGAACGTTGCGTCACACAGCGCCTGAGAAGTTGAGGGCTGTCGGAATGTAGACTTGAGTAGCTCGACAGGGTTGGCAGACCAGGACCAAACTTCTAACGCTCCTACATTCGCAGCGACGGGCTGAGTATATGCCTGTTAGATTCTGTAATTTCCGCTCATTGCCCTTATTTTGTTCGTCCTTCTCTTTTACCTTGGGCTTTAGCTGCCGCGAGGACTCCATGATGCCTGCTCTCAAACAAACAACATCGATGCCCTTGTGTTGAACTTCTCGTCTCAAAGAATCAGCAATTGAAGTAATCGCATGATGGCTAGCACAGAGCGCGGACTGGCGTGGCAAACCGATAGTGCCAGTAATCACAGATGTGATGAAAATTAAACGAGGGGAGCGTCTTGGTGCAGGCAGGGTCGGATTGCTTTTGAACTATGGCATCGGGGGGTAATATACCGGTTTGCATTAGCTGAAATTACGTGAAGAGTAGAAGGGCAGGATGATCAACATATCGGCTTATCTTGGGCGTTGCTTACCAAAGACAGGAATAGCTGTGTAGTAAGGATGGTGCCTGTGACATTGATGTCCAGACAACGGCGCCAGGCCAATACACTCACGGTATCGATGGACCCTACAACAGCTTCTTGTGGATTGATAACGACGGCCGATAGACGGAACAGAGGGCTGATGCTAAGGTTGGATACATTCATCGTGTCTTGACCATCGGCTCGCTCTATCTTCGTGTCATTCACTAAGGGTGGTGGCAGGTGTTCGTTCCCAACAAGCATGAATGAAGACGAGGAGGACTCTGAAGCTGCTTCCGCTTCGGAAAGCGATGCTTCTTGTAGAGCATAGTTCTGCTTCTCCAAAAACCCAGACACAGCATCCGCCAAGGCTTCAAACTGCATAATAATTAGGAAGGAGTATAACTTTATCGAGCAAGTCCAAGGTCATGTTGTGCTCCACGCCACTTACATCAGAGTAGTCAGTGACAATAACCGGATGGATATCAGGTCGTCCCCAGCCATGGGTCTCCTCTGCTGCCGACTCGTTTGGTACGCCCACAAAGACGATGAAGCCACGTTCTTCCAGACTCAGTGCCAATGCTTCTCCTTCGATTGTCGCCACGTTCGTCACCACTAATCGTGAGAGACCAAACATGGTCAGTATGTTACCGGTCTGATATGGCGTGCTTTCCCTTTGCACAATCAACAACGCTGCCGATAAGAACGGTTACCAATGATTTCCCTCCTCGATCCATCTGCAGCGCGAACCACGCGCAACTTGCTCTTCTGCCGACGATAGTTCCTTCTTGCCTTGTTGGCCATAGATCCCACAACGACTGCCACGCCAAGGAGCACAGTCCCCAGAGCAATCCTGCCAGCATTTCTCCGAGTCCACAGTAAGGCCTGCGATGAAAATGAAGGTGGTGGTGGCGGTGGGAGCAGTGGTGCCGGGGGAGAAGATCCTTTGCGTCCTGGAAGTGAAGACACAACAGGCTTGGCGATAGAGACGAGGGTGCCTCCAATGTCTCCAAGAGCTTTGTTGGTGGTCGCAAGGATCCTTTGTGGGATATCGCGCAGGTCCTCGAGCGAGGGCATCTTGGGAGAAGAAGAAGAAGAAGAAGATGGAGGAGGTGGAGGTGGAGGTGGAGGCGGTGGAGAGTGAGCGAGTGTCGAGTTGGTCTGGCCCATTTTGGAAAAAAAAAAAAGGGAGCAAGAGGAAAGAGTGACCAACCTCGCCCTAAGGAGGGAATTTGTACTATTGCTGGAACGTGAACCTTATCACGACTTCGACTGCGGGAGCAATGCAAAGATCACTCTTCCATTCACACTTCCTTGCCATTCCAACAGATCTGCACCATGGCGCCCAAGAAGAAAAACAAATACGCGAACGCGAACGCTAGAGGGTTTGCCACGACATCGATCCCTAAGGCCAAGCCGGCCGTGGTTGAGCCGGAACCTGAGCCTCAGCCCGCCGTCGAGACGCCAGCACCAGATCAAGAGCCAGCAGATCAAATTACTACAGCGCCTCCTGCAGAGGAGGAGGAGCCTGAGGATGAGTTCGTGTCTTTGGCTGAGAGGCTGGAAGGCCTTTCGCTCCGCAAGGTTGATGCCTTCCTTGGACAGACGCAAAAGATCAACGTTGATACTCTCCCAGTTCTCAAGATGGAGTCCAATCTGGAGAATAATGTCATTGCGCTGTTGAAGGAGGTTGAGGCAAAGGATGCAGGCAAGCACAGTGATCAGTAACAATGAGGAACTATATCGTGGACTTTGGTATAACTGGCAACTGACCACGTTTTCAGCGCCCTCTGTACTTCTACTTTAGCCGATTTTCAACCAAAGGTGTATCTGAGCAAGGAACAGATGATTGCCAAACTTAATGTCACGTACCTCGCATTGCTACGGCTTGGGTTTGAGAAGGACGACGTTGAAGAAGCACTTAGACATACCTACACTGGAGAATCTGAAGACGCATTAGACTGGGTAAGGGATTGCGCAAGATGTTCGTCTGTCATATGAGATTTCAAAATGAAATACACGGTGATTCATATCCGTTTTGCTTGGCCTATAGCTTTGTATGCATCTGGATTCGGAAAAGCTTCCTCGAGGATTTGTTGATAAGGCCTACCATGAAGAAGGTATGATCGTATCGGGTTGCAGCATTGAGGATTGCGCCGATATAGTATGTACTGATAACTGCCTGCCATGGTAATAGAGATGAAGATTTCAATCCACGCGTCCCAACCATTCGCGGCAGATCATAAGCCCTCATTACCAGAGTCCGCCACGATGTCATTACCGTCCACAGGACACCCACAAAAGGATATCGTCTCTCAAACAGAGCCAGATCCAGCCTCAGTTAAAGATTCTGTACCAATAGCAACGACCGGATCAAAGGAGAAAGAGTGGATTCTTCAAGCTGCCCTTGCTGTAAGCGACGCGTGACACATGCATATGTTTTGTATATTTTGGTGGATCATTCTGCAGTTTTGTCCGCATTCAACTACCTTGAGCTCATGGCCCTGTTCTCACTCTTAAATAGGAGGATTCAGAAGAGGAGGCGGAGGATCCAAACGAACGCTATGTCAATTACAAAATGGCGCTGACAGAACTGACCCAAACCCTTGTGGAGGCAGAGGCACCGGCGGATCGTAAGGCGATCTCTCAGAAAATCGATACCTTGAACTCCAAAGTGAATGACCTCGACCTCGACTTTACATTCAACAAGAAACTGGCGGAGTCGATGTGGAGGCAGAGGGTGACCGACGAAAAGAAGAAAGCGAAGAAGTCGAAGCGCAAAAAGGAAAAGGAGGTGCTCAAAAAGGAAACTCCGGAGGTGATGGAGGAGAATGATGATGGGGGGATGCTTGGATCTATGTGGGATATGGAAGGCTCGGATGCAGTGCCGAATTCTACGCAGCAGCAGCAGCAACAGACCGTGAAGCGGCGACAGATGGCAAACCCTTCGTGGAGTGGCGGATCACCCAAGGTCGTCCTAGCAGAGTTTTGTCGCAAGAAAGATCGCCATGCAAAAATCACCTACAAGAAGGCGCCACTGTCGACCCCCACGGTTTCTATGGCTATTGTCACGATTACTTGGGGCAATGGTAACGTGTCTTCTGCTGAGATGAGTGAAGAGGGGTGCGAGAACATGGTCGAGGCGGAGAACTATGTCGCCACCAAAATGCTGTACGAGCTCACACCGCTGCCGCTATATCGGTCTTTGCCCCCGACATATCGCGATCTTTGGCTCGAGTTGCTCGACGAAAAGGAAAGCGCTGGGAGAGCGGCCAAGAGGGCGGTTGACGGAGATCGTCTGGCGTTTATCAAGGCTCTGACCGCCAAGCTACCAAATCGGGGCACTACTGATACTCAAGACGAGTCCGGACAGGCTATGGATCAAGGACCAGAGGCAGACGAGCAGAAGGACAAGGAGATTGTGGTTACACCTGCAGGAAAGGCTTTACAAAAAAACTGGCAACAGCGACTTAAAATGCCCAACCACATCAAGCTATTTGAGAAGCGCAAGGATCTGCCCATCTACCAGTTCAGGGACCAGGTGCAGACCCTCATTTCCAGCAACCAGGTCCTGATTGTATCTGGAGAGACTGGATGCGGAAAGAGCACGCAGGTACCACAGTATCTGGTGGAGTTCATGCTCGAATCGGGACTTGGAGATCGATGCGATATTGTTTGTACGCAGCCTCGTCGAATCTCAGCCATCACGATCGCCAATCGTGTCTCGGAGGAATTGGGCGATCCTAGGAATTCAGCAGGCAAACCCAATACGCTGGTCGGATACCAGATCCGACTAGAGTCGCGGGTTGCCCCCACCAATCTTCTGAAGTTTTGTACGACTGGTATTCTGTTAAGACGCCTAGAGAGCGACAAGGCCCTCAAAGGCGTCACCCACCTGGTCATTGACGAAGTGCACGAGAGAACGCTGGAGTCGGACTTCTTGTTAATTATCCTCAAGAAATTGCTGCCAAAGCGCCCTGACTTGAAGTATGTTTCATGAACCTGAACTTGATGTCCTTGTAATGATTGGCACTCGACATTGACATTGGACCGACGACCTCACTACCCTTAGAATCATTCTTATGAGCGCTACCGTCGACTCTGCACGCTTCTCAGAATACTTTAGCGGATGCCCTGTGCTCGAAGTCCCTGGAAGGACATTCCCGGTGTATAGTCAATTTTTGGAAGACGTGGTCGATGCGACAGGATACACTTTGGAGGAAGATTCCGAATATGCCATTCGTTATCGCAAGGATTTTCAGAGTAAGCATTTTTTGGATAGTCGGAGCACTACCTGGGAACATCTTTCCTTGGATGTTACCGTTTTCATTGAACTAATCGTTATTTTGAATATATTTTTCGTTACCTAGGCAAAGGATCGGTTGATATTGCTGGCAAGGGCGCCAGTCGACAAACAGTTCACTTGCAGTGGGAAAACGACATGGACGGCTATGTTCCTCAGGAAGCCGATGCCAGGATTATCCTTACAGACGACTCCTTGCAAGGCGCAACCATGCTGAACCGGACCAATCAGATGCTGAGGAGAATCGATGAAAACAAGATCAACTTTGACCTTATTCAAATCCTTCTCGAATACATCTGCTTCCCCGAGAGCCGACGCGTCTCACAGAACAACGAGTCGGAAGTTCCCTTGCATATCCCTGAGGAAGGTGCTATCTTGATATTCCTGCCAGGAATGCCCGAGATCCGCAAAGTGTTTGATGGTCTTAAAGCCAACCGTAGATTTGCGGACGAATCTCGATTCTCGCTCTGGCCACTCCATAGCTCTGTTTCCTCCGAAGGGCAGAGCCAGGTCTTTGATATCCCACCCCCAGGAGTCAGGAAGATTGTGCTGGCGACCAACATCGCCGAAACCGGTATCACCATTCCGGACGTAACCATTGTGATAGACACGGGCAAGTCCAAGCAGATCAAGTTTGACGAGAAGAAGCGGGTGACGACTCTACAGGAGCGGTTCATCGCCAAGGCGAATGCACGGCAGAGGCGAGGACGTGCCGGAAGAGTTCAGGAGGGAGTATGTTTCCATCTCTTCTCCAAGACGACCTTCGAGGAGTATATGCCCGAATACCAGATGCCAGAGATCATGCGTATGCCGTTGGAAGAGCTGTGTCTGATGATCAAGATGTGTGAGCTGGGGGATATTGCAGAAGTACTGGAAAGTGCTCTGGACGCACCACCACTCAAAGCTATCGAGAACGCGATCCAAGCCCTGCAGGATGTCCGTGCCCTGACCAAGACGGAGGAGTTGACGCCGTTGGGAATTCATCTGTGTAACCTTCCCGTGGATGTGCATATCGGAAAGATGATTCTATTTGGATCGATCTTCAAGTGCCTAGACCCTATTCTTACTATCGCCGCCATGCTCAGTTTCAAGTCCCCATTCGTGACGCCATTTGGGGCGGAGGACGAGGCGGATGCTGCAAAGGCGAGATTCAAGCTAGCGGACTCGGACATGTTGACCTGGTACAACGCTTATCTGGGATGGCGACAGGCATATCAGACAAAGCCGAACGGGATCTACGATTACTGCCGAAAAAACTTTTTGAGCCACCAGAACCTGAGCATGATGGAGGACATGAAGAAACAGTTCTTGGGCTTCCTAGTCAGTACAGGGTTTGTGCGGGTCGATGCTGAGACGAAGAGACATCTAAGCAGGGAGCGATTTGGTCATCGAATATCATTCTGCCCTATCATCACAGAGTACAACGTTTACCAACGTTCGATCCCGGTTCTAAATGCGGCTATAACAGCAGGCATGTATCCGAAAGTGATGATGCGGGACGACACACTCAAGGCTTATGTGACAGGACCGAAGCAGGAAACCGTCTGGATCCACCCTTCGTCCGTCAACTTTGCCAAGGGAGGAGCCGCGGCTGCTGCGACTGGTCCGGATAAGAGTCCGTGGTTCGTCTTCAACAGCTTGGTCAAGTCAACGAGGATGTATGTTTGGGAGAGCTGTCGCGTGGGACAGTTTCCGCTGGTGCTTTTTGGAGGCGAGTTCTCTGTCAAGGTGCGAAACCGCTCACGTTGATTCTTTCTCGTTGAATGAGATACACTGCAAACGATTTCCAGTGATTTACGACTCTTTTTTATTTTGTATGTCCACTTCAATAGCATCATGCCAAGCTGGCAACAGTTGATAAGTGGATTCAGTTCAAGTGTCATGCCAAGACTGCGGCTGTGTTCAAGATGATGCGCGAAGAACTGGTATGTGCACTAAACTATTCCTCTCTCTGAACCCCAGGTTAAATTTTCGAAGTCATTTCTCTCACTCCAGCGCCTGAAATCACTTTACGTATTCGATTTTCTAGGATAAGGTCCTGCAAAAGCGCATTGATGAGCCAGAAAAGGGCACGACTGACAGAGAGGAGCGCTGGCTGGAGATGATCGTGGCTATCCTTGAGGGCGAAGATGACTCGTTGAGGCTAGAGGACAAAGCAGGGCATCAGCGGAACAAAGAAAAGAATGTCTTTCTAGCGTAACGGAGACGTTATAGATCCCAAGAGGGTATAAAAATGCATTTCCTTTGCAACCTCAATAAATGGATTCGATTGTGATGCCAAATGAGAAATGTCATTTTATTAACGCTATAATGGTGCTGAGGCACGCTCAGATGCCCTGGGATGCCAGCGTGCCCTGTAACGCGGCCATGGTGATTAAAAGGGCCTCCTCTGTCCTGATAACACGACTTCCTTGGGCTGGGCAGGTGTTAAGCCAGAAATCAAACATATCCTTGGTTTCGTCTGCGTCGCACTTCAAATCCTCGTCCGCCTCGACAGCGGTCTCGATGCCGGAGGAACCTCCAAAGACGATAAGGGCGTGTGAAAAATGTGGAACTGAGGACATAACAGTTGGTGAAATAGGTGTTCCTTTATCTGCTGTCCCGATCGTTAAATCGTACCCGTTCTGTCATAAATAAAGAAAGGGCGGGTTAGTTGGTTTGAGGCGATAAAGCGAAAGCAATGCGTAGTGAGATAAGGGAGAAAGGGGAGGGGGGGGGGGGGTCCCAACTTACAGGGAATGGTGATTCGGTGAAAACTTTGGAGATTGCGTCCGCCAATCTGACCTGGTAGCCCCAGTAGTAGCCCGTCTCCTCTCTCGGTATCTTTGGTGAGACAACTGTGCCCATGAAGTACTTTTGAAGAGCACTCTTATCGTCCGATAGACTGGCCTCCATGGCAGTGATTGCTGCCTGAGTCTTTGCGTTCTTATCCATCTTCTTCTTATCCTTTTCCGCACCATGGATCTTGACGGTGACTCTAGATCCTGTTGGGACGAGTCGATCGATCAAGACCTCCTTGCGCATCCCACAATTGACGATCGAGTAGTTTTGGTCGCGTGCCCGTACAACAACGCCCTCACGGTAAAGCGACCGTTCGTCGAGGTGGACATGGTGTGGGGGGTCCAACGGGTTAAGAAGTCCTGCGAATTTGAGATCACGATGCATTGGGAAAAGAAGTTTCCGGAGGTAGAGAGGTGTCTCAAGGTATTGAAGTACACGACCCATGAAGAGATTGGGGTCAGATTTGGGTAGATAATCGTCCTTTCCGAGGTTCTCCTTTGATAGTCCTTTGGCAGATTCGTTGTAAATCACAATTTCATCCACGTTGAACATCACGCACGCCCTTGCAATCTAGGGGTGTCATCGGAGCAATTGTTAGTTGAGATGACAGAGTACGTATGATGTGTCGATAAGGCAACGAAGATCCAGCAAGGCAAATGCAAACTCACCTGTCCAACAAGATATGTCTTCAACTCCACAGTGAGAGATCCATCGAGGATGCTTCCAGGCAAGGCGATCGAGACAGTCCACTTGCGACCTTTCTCTGGGACGGGGAACTGGTATGCAAGTTGGGCTGCGTGCTGGAGTTGTTGTAGTGATGGGGGTTTTGGTTTCTGTTCGCCTTTGTCGTTGTCCCTATCCGTCCTCTTGTTGTTGCTGACCTCGTAGTCCGGTCCTGATCTTTCTTTGTTGTCGTAGGTTTTTTTACGCTAAGGATAAATACAGAACATATCAGTTTGAGTCCGAGGACGAAAGGATGTGCTGGCACAGCTTCATCGCTCTGGTGCTAGGACATATCTTGTTTGTGTACCTTGTGGCCTCGATTCTCTTCCATGGCGTATATGTATTGCTTGTATTGTTGAAGGGGTGTGTGCGGTGCTCAACAGGTTCGGCGAAGCGTCTCGCGGCACCTTTTTTTTCTTTTTTCTTTGTTGTCATTTTGGTTCTTTTGTGACCGTGTCCATGATTCTTGGTGGAAGCAAAAGGGACTCCAAGTAGCATCTCTTTCTCTCATTCTTCCTCACCCTCGCAGCCCGGCGCACAACAACACATCCCTCGCCATGGCCGAAATACCCCACAAGAAAGCCCTCTCGGGCAAATTGATGACCATGAAGGTTAGTTGCATACTTCACACCAAAGATAGAGGTGGCTGTGCGGCACTCCGGTATTGGCAGCCCGAATAAGGACATGGATACTAAATCTCGCGTCAACTTGTTCTTTGTTCTCTTTCTCTCCTATAGTTCATGCAGAGACAACAGGAGAGAGAGACCAGGGAGAAACTAGAGCAGGAGCAAGTGCGGGTGATTTCAGAGGCACACTGGGTTATTGACCAAAAGGCCTTTGATCTGCCCAAGCCGTAAGGGAGCCCTACGTTTGTTACGGGACGAGCAGCGACATGTGTTCATTTTGAGGGAACTAAACTATCTATCGCATGTGGGATCTTAGTAAATTCCAAGTCGAGTATGAACCTAGCTTCTTGCAAATGGATGCAGCGGAGCGGTCAAGCGTCGGAAGGGTTTCATTTCAAAAGTTCAACCAGAATGTCGAGGTTGGTGCAAACTCCTTGATTTCATGGGGCGACGAGACGGCAGATCTGATGTCAGTTATGACTAACACCATTTTTTTTTATATCTTTTTTCTATTTTTGAATAATAGAAAACCGCACAGAAAGCAACAGGAGAGCAGCAATTGGAACGCGAATTGAAGAGAGAACGTCAGGCCGAGATTGGCGACGATGAGATGGCAGAGGAACTGGGCCGCGGTCAAAAACCGAAGAAGGCAAAGTCTTCATCGTCTTCCCCAATGCCATCAGGTAATAGGATCAGCGCACCAAAGGAGCATAAGACAAACAGGAGGGCACCACCACCAAAGAAATCCAGTCAGCCAGGGACACCCAATGGTCAACAACAAAGGACGTTTATGAAGCCCAAGGAATGATCAGCAAGGACACAGGACTACGCAGGGACATAGGGACAGTCGGTCGCCCTCATTATTCAGGATGGTTTAATCACACTTGTTCGTTCTTTCTGGACGCACTTACTCTGGAATAACTGTACATGAGCTCGAACTTGTATTGAGCAGATGAGTTTTGTTTAGCCTATGAATCCTGCAGTTCTTGTCTGGCAAGTAATAAAGCATTCATTGTAACATCAGGAAGCAGCGTATGGGTCTGACAAGCATAGTCTTTTATTGCCCTTGGAGATCATTGAACCTTTCCAGCCGGCTCACTTTTAGTCGATACTCCTCCAGTTCCCGTTCCAGATGTTGAATCTTGGCCTCCAGGGCCGCGGCACGCGCCTCGTCATGCTCTGATACCTCCAGTGCAACTGTGCCTGTCAGCTTCACCACGCGCCAGAGACGGAAGAGAATCAGAAGAGCGGTAAGCTCCTCTGCAGCACCATGCAAAAAGATCTCCAGCATGAATGAGGTGATAATGATCATGGCATCGATGAGATGTAGGACACCGTGTCGTGTTCCTCGCCAAAAGTATCGTGGACCAAATGCAAACAGTTTGAGCAGGATCTCGAGCATGAACATAGACACGATCGCCAGGGACAGATGGCCGAATAGGGCGATGAACCAGGTCTCCTCTTCGGTTTCATCCAAGTGCAATAGGCTGGCCCCAATCTGGAGTATGATGAGTGCGATATCGGCAAGGGTGAGGATAAGGATGATGATGTGTGCAGCTTTGGCCTCTATTGTTATACCGATCCGGCGTCGTATTCTTTGGAGGCGAGATTTCTGAAGGATAGGGCCACTTGGAAGCTGCGAGGTTGGTTCGTCAGGGATGTCGGCGTTGCCCATGGGGATGGCAAGGGTGGGGTTATGTGGGGACGGGAGCGGTGGGGCCTGCTGTTGCACCGGTGCCAAGGCGGTGGAGGGCATGTGTATGAGTTCTGCAGGGCATGTTTTTGAGCGGCGGATGTTTGAGTCAAAACTTTGATCTGTCATAATGAGGAAAAGGGGAAAGAGAATCGAAGGAAGGTTGGCTCATGCTTCGTGCGCTTTTGTACCAGAAATTGGCACGTCTCTTTTTTTCAGAATAATATGACGATATCCTCATTCTCTATACATTTGGAGAACCATTCCATGGTTACCGCGCGACAAGTTCATCTTTTTTTTTTTTTTTTTTTTGGAGAGAGAGACCCGCGTGATACCTCACAGCAATATGCCCAATAAAATGGCTTTATTTGATCCCTCGGTAGCCAAAGGCTTTCGTATATCGCAGCAGCTTTTTTTTTCAACAATAAAAACTCTCAAAGACATGGGATTCAGGTATCGCGGCAGCTTCCAGCTGACAGCGACTGTCCTACGAATTTCCAGTCGATTTTTTTTATTTATTAACAAGGATCCTCAACGATATGGCGTTTGTGGTCCATAGAGGCTGTGCCTCATAACGTCTCCTACAAACAGCATAGCTACACCCATCCCGGCCTACACCGACACAGATATCCTCGCTTCATAATCGCTGACCGCATGGGCAAGTACCGCACGTGCCTTGCTCGCTACGCGTTTTTTTTTTTTTTTTTTTTTTAATAACATAAATCCCCATGAGCACGAGACGCATGGTCCGCAAAGCCTTGCTCGCTACGCGACCTGTTTTTTTTTTTTTTTTTTTTTTTTTATTAACATAAATCCCCATGAGCACGCGACGCATGGTCCGCAAAGGCCTTGAAGCCACTTTCTTGTTTATATCTCGCTACGCGACCTGTTGCGCCCGTCCAACCTCAAACGACCCTGATACCGACTCAGCAATCGTTTGTCCGCCCTCCTTGGTAGCTGTTGCGTGTTCAATGCTAACTCCTGCAGTTGAGACCATCCAGAGGCAACCCTGCGAATACCTGTGCCGCCTGCTACATCAGCGTTTACCAGTCTTTTTTTTTTTTTTTTTTTTGATAACTAGAACCCACGAGGATATGTGGGATTTATTAGTGAGGGACTCTAGGCTAGGGAAATCAGCGTTTACCAGTCGAGAGCGCTGGATGCCGAAAGAGGCCCCAGGGCAGCTCCAGGGGCTTAGCTATGACGTAATACTTGGGATTAAACAAGTGTCAAGCATAACAAAGATAAATTTCAAACAGCCGTCTTTTGCTGCTGAGGTCTAGTGCGTCTCCGTCTACGACGGACTCAACAACCAGACGAGGTTCAGGGACTGGGTTCCACCCTTGGGTGGAGCGGTGCGAAAAAAAAAAAAAATGCAATGAAAATTTACACGGAGTCTCGAAGCGGCATGGGCTGATTAAACCTACAGCTCTTCTGTCGTCAATAGAACTTCCAAGATCAGCTTATAAAGCCCATGCCTCAGGTCAGCTGTCGTTCGAATTCCACCCGCGACTATCTATTACCAAGGCATGGCATATCTTTTGCCTTCGCGAGCGAACACGCTGACGTCACCTTTTTTTTTGTTAATATAGAGATATAGAGATCAACCTCCCATTTCAACTCCACTTTCAACAAAGCATTGCACGAGAGAGGCAGCCAGCAGAGACACGAACAACCCTGACCCATGTTTCTGTACAACCTGACCTTACAGGCGCCTAATGCCATCAACCAGGCGATCCTCGGAAACTTTTCAGGAACCAGGCAGCAAGAGCTGATCGTCTCTCATGTTTCCAGGATCGAGCTGCTTAGACCCGATACCACGACCGGCAAAGTCCACTCTGTCCTCTCGCACGATGTCTTTGGTGTTATCCGCTCTCTGGCCTCTTTCCGTCTGACAGGGGCATCCAAAGGTAACAACAGGACGCACGAGGAATGACACCCAGCATCTGCTCATTGTCAACGATTTGACAGTTTTTTTTTGAACGATGAAATTGAACATAGATTACATTGTGATCGGATCAGACTCAGGAAGGATAGTCATCTTGGAGTACAACCCCACCAAAAATGTGTTCGAAAAGGTCCACCAGGAGACGTTTGGCAGGTCAGGATGTCGCAGGATCGTCCCTGGACAGTACCTTGCCATTGATCCCAAGGGTCGCGCTGTCATGATCGGTAAGCATGCATAGCCTGTGGTTTTCGTGTACACTGTCGATGCGGAAGCAACAATACTTACGCGTTTTTTTCACGTTCTTTTTGTGTAGGATCGATGGAGAAGCAAAAGCTGGTGTACATTTTGAACAGAGATATCGCTGCCAGACTAACGATCGGATCACCATTGGAGGCACACAAATCCCACACCATCGTTCACTACTGCACAGGCGTCGACGTTGGATTTGAGAATCCGATCTTTGCCTGCTTGGAAGTAGACTACTCAGAAGCCGACAGGGACCCTACTGGAGAAGCCCTCAAAGAGACAGAAAAGGTGCACCATGAATCATATCACAGTGAATGAACCAATGCGCCCAATGAGGATGAAACTTACTTGCTAACGCCGCATGTTTTGTTGCTCATTTTTAGATGCTGACATACTATGAACTGGATCTTGGGCTGAACCATGTTGTCAGGAAATGGAGCGAGGCTGTCGACCGTAAATCAAACATGCTGGTTGCAGGTAATATAAAGCAGGAACTTGGATTGTTTAACGCATTCGATATCATGGACCGTTCAACTAATCCTTCACCCTGTATCATTGTAGTTCCCGGCGGCACTGATGGACCTTCAGGAGTATTGGTTTGCGCAGAAGACTACATTACATATAAACACATCGGCTCCGCTACTCTCACAGTCCCTATACCAAGACGAGAGAACCCATTGGAGAATAAGGAGCGCGGATTGTTGATCGTGTCAGGAGTAGTGCACAAAATGAGGGTACAGAAGCACCATCACCCTTTCTGCTACTGGTGGAGATTGCGTAGCCTTTATCATCTTCATGTAAATACTAACGCTAAAGGACTCTGTCATCAAAATAGAACTCATTCTTTTTGTTGTTGCAAAGTGAGGAAGGTGATTTGTACAAGGTCACGGTTGACTATACCGGGGACGTCGTAAACGAGATCAAGATCAAATACTTTGATACCGTTTCGGTGGCGTCAGGACTTTGTATTCTCAAGAGTGGATTTTTATTTGTTGCCAGCGAGTTCGGGAACCAGTAAGTGGTTAATGAATTCAAGACTCGCGCTACTTGGATATCAGCGATCGGCATTGCACTATGCTGACAAGTTCTCTTTTTTTTTTTTTTTGGCTTGCTTTAACTAGTAATTTCTACCAATTCGAGAAGCTGGGCGATGACGATGACACCCCCGAATACTCGAGCAAGGATTTTATGGAAACCGATGGAGAACATTTGAACACCCGAGTGTACTTCAAGCCAAGACCACTGGAGAACTTACTTCTGGTCGATGAGCTCACTAGCATGGCACCCTTGACTGACGCCAAGGTATGCGGAGTTATTGTCCTCTACGATATCCACAGCCTTGAACTATACTTTTGCTGACAATCGACTTTATCCTATTGACCCTTACAGGTTCTTAATCTTACGGATGAGGACACGCCTCAAATTTATGCTATGTGCGGACGTGGGCCGAGATCAACAATGAGGATATTGCGACATGGACTGGAGGTCACGGAGATGGCCGTCTCACCCTTGCCAGCCAATCCAACAGCAGTCTGGACCACTCGCTTGACAGCTGATGACCCCTACGACCAGTATATCATTGTCTCCTTCTCAAACGCAACATTGGTTCTGTCTATTGGTGAAACAGTCGAGGAGGTCATCGACACTGGATTCCTGGCAACAACACCCACAATTGCAGTGCAGCAGCTCGGTCAGGATGCTCTGCTCCAAATCTACCCTCAGGGCATTCGACATATCCGCGCCAACAAGCAGGTCACAGAATGGAGGGCACCTGGAGGCAGGCAGATTGTTCGTGCTGCCACCAACAGGCAGCAGGTTGTGATCGCATTGACAGGAGGAGAGCTCGTGTATTTCGAGGTCGACGACAGCGGCAACTTGAGCGAATCGCATGTGCGGAGGGAAATGCCTGGTAACGTCACCTGCCTTAGCATTCAGCCCTTGCCCAAAGGGAGAAAGCGCGTTCGCTTCTTGGCGGTTGGATGCGACGATAACACTGTCCGTATTCTCAGTTTGGACACATCATCATGTTTGGAACCCCTCAGTATGCAGGCCCTGTCAGCTGTGCCTGAATCGTTGGTGATGATCGACATGCCGGATCAAATCACAGAGGGATCGTTGACAACACTGTACTTGAACATTGGTCTTCAAAACGGAGTTTTATTGCGCACTGTCTTGGACCAGACCACTGGACAGCTCTCCGACACCCGTACTCGCTTCCTGGGCGCCCGTGCAGTCAGACTATTCGAACTGAACATGGCAGGAAACCCGGCAGTCTTGGCGCTTTCTAGCAGACCCTGGCTCAGCTATCAGATGCAGTCGCGCATTCACCTGAACCCTCTCTCATATGAGGCACTTGAGTTTGCATCCAGCTTCACATCGGAGCAGTGTCTGGAGGGAGTTGTCGCCATTGCAGGAAACGAGCTCAAGATCTTTACGATTGAAAAGTTTGGTCAGGTGTTTAACGAAACCGCTGTGCCGTTGACATACACCCCCCGCCGGTTTGTTGTCAACCCTGTTCACAAATCGATCGCCATTATCGAAACGGATCACCAGACGTATTCTACACTGGAAAAGAAGAAGAGGCTGGCAGAACTTGGATTTGAACAAGAGGACGATGAGTTGGATCCCTCTGTGTTTGGACATTCCAGGGCCCAACCTGGAAAGTGGGCGTCGCTTGTCAGGATCCTCAATCCCAGCACAGGCGAGACGACATTCAAGCTGGAATTTGAGCAGAACGAGGCAGCGTTCAGTTTGGCGGTGTTGAACTTTGCTGCGGATGCAAGCCAGCTGTTTTTGGCCGTCGGTACTGCAGCAGATTTGACTTTGTCACCCAGGTCTCTGTCGTCAGGATTTATTCACATTTACAAGTTTGTGGATGATGGTGCGGCTTTGGAATTAGTGCACAAGACGCCTGTGGATGAGGTCCCGCACGCACTTCTTCACTTCCAGGGACGACTATTGGCAGGAATCGGCAAGACGCTTCGGATCTACGACCTTGGCAAGCGGAAGCTGCTCCGGAAATGCGAGAACCGCAACATGCCGAACAGCATTGTGACGCTGCATAACCAAGGAGGACGAATCATCATTGGGGATGTGCAGGAATCAGTACATTATGCGTCGTATATTGCAGCAGACAACAAGATTGTGATCTTTGCGGATGACAAATCGCCAAAGTGGATCTCGTGCTCGACGATGATTGATTACAATACAGTCGCGGCAGGAGACAAGTTCGGAAACTTTTTCGTGAACCGACTACCTCTGAAGCTGAGCCAGGAGATTGATGAGGATGAGGCAGGAAGCAAGTCAGTCGGAAAGGGCTACCTTCATGGAGCGGCGCATAAGGTTGATTTGGTGGCCCATTACCATGTGGGAGATATCTTGACATCGTTAGCGAAGACGAGCTTTGTGGCGGGAGGACGCGAGATGGTTTTGTATACGTCGTTCCTGGGAGGCATTGGAATTTTTATCCCGTTTCAGACAAAGGAGGACATTGACTTTTTCCAGACGCTCGAGATGCATATGCGCAATGAGATGCCACCACTAGCAGGGCGCGACCACCTCTCTTACCGCGGCTACCACGTTCCTGTCAAGGTGCGAATCACGGACTGCCCTCTTTTCCGCGCAAAAATGTGCGTGTACTGATTGATTGGTGATATCGTCTAACGTGCTCTTTTTTTTTTCTTTTTTTTCTTTGTTCTTCTGAAATAATTTGTAACATAGGGAACGGTGGATGGAGATGTCTGCGAGCAATATAACTTGCTGTCGGGCGATAAGAAGAGGATGATTGCCGAAGAGCTGGATAGGACGCCGGCGGAAATCCAGAAGAAGATCGAGGACATGCGCATCCGTGCCATCTAAGCATAAGAAATTACGCGACATAGGGCAGGAATGTACTAAAGAAAGCCTCTCCCTCCAATGGACACGTATTTCATCCTACGATGATTGCACAGTAAACTGTAGTAGGATAAACGATTTTGCAAAAAAAGAGAATGTTGACTCTTAAAAATTAGGTTGTCTTACCCCTATGCCACGTCGCTAACTGTCTAGGAGCCCTGATGTTGCACTAGTCAGTCATCGATACTATTGTGGGTCTTTTTGTTACGTCAAAGATGAAGGATTTCTTCCGTTGCTGTTGCCCCTGATGGAGAAGAGCGATACGTTACGATAGTCTACGTACTTGGTAAGGATGAGCCCTTGACAGAACCCTGGTATCTACGTGATGCGCGTGTGTGACGATACTCGACGAGTCCCAGCAAAAGATCGTTGCTGCTGGCAGTATAGCAAGTACATGGCGAGATGGGCAAATCTTCTAGGGGGCACTCTGGTCCGGACTGGAAGAGGGTAAGACAAGATTGTACCAGGATCAGAAGTTGTAGCAATGGGCATACAGCATGGGCTATTTTTATCGCTGTAAGGCAAGCATAGACACGTTTGATTTTGATAGGATGTTCAAGTCAAGGGAACGTGCACAGGCATATGCATTCGCATAGGCGGATGCGGAAGGTGCGGAAGGGAAGCCCAAGCCAGAGGACGTCAAACTGGTGAGCAATCTTACGTAGTCTGGCGTTTATTTTTTATTTTTTTTTTTGGGGGGGAGGGGGAAGCAAGGTGCAAGGTGGTACAAGAAAGCCCGGGGATTATGCCATGTGTATGCATCTGATCTGGACCTGCAAAGCTGCAAGGGCGTAGGCTTACATAGATGACAGGTAGTTCTATTTTGAGTGTTCTGGACAGGACTATAGGGAGGACAATCAGCCTGGGAGGAGTGTCTTTTTTTTTATTATTCAGCCTATCGTGCCAGCGATCCGTGGAATAAAAAGATCCGTAGACGCATGCATTGTGTGCGCGGGAAAATCGAAAAATGGACAGGGCGGTGCATATGGCATGCGTGAATGGCTTTCCGCGGAAACTGGACAGAAGAGAGACAAATTGCTACTCAGTCAGTTATAGTAGACAAACAGAGTGAGCCACTGAACAAACAAAAATCCGAGTGAGATCTTGAATGTTGGTCTGAGTCTAGTCCGAGGAAAAAAAATAAAAAAAAAAAATACAAGCGCCTAGAACAGGAACGGGAAGAAAAATGAAAGCGAGGTGAGCGTAGTTGCATGCTCGTGGGCGATTCGATGATCCTTCAAGACAGCTGTTTACGCTTTGCACCTCGACATAGAGCAAGGCATTGCCATGCTATGGCATGCCATTCTACTCAGGAATTTTTTTTTTTTTTTTTTTTTTTGGAAGAAGGTTCTATTCTGGGTTCGCCTTTCGCTCTTCGATTGTCTAATCGATCAGAAAAAGGGCATGCTTTTTAAACCTTTGTTTACCTGCAAATCGCGTCTGACTTGGTCCATCGACTATTGCTGGCGTCTAGTGCGACGCAGCACAAACGCGGGTTCAATGGAGGAGATCTTACCCCCTCTGCCCTGGATTAAGCTAGACTTGACTAGACTCACTCCCCCATTCCCCGACTCCTTGCGCGACGCCCACAATATGGAACACAAACTGTAGATCGATAATCGTCTGCTTGCTTGCATTTTTTTGCCGTTTTATTGCTGTCTTATTGCTGTCTTATTGCTGATATGAAATGGATGGTAGAAACAAAATGAAAAGGAACAAAAAATAGGGGATGGTGCGGGTGCTGTAAGGCTGTTCAAAAATGCCGTAGTCTTCTCAAACAGGAGAAAGAGAAATAGCCGCGCGGAAAAAAAAAAAAAAAAAGGTAAAAAGGTAAAATTGCACAGCGCACGATGCAACGAAGGAAGGGTTGATAAACGCACTTGCACACACATTCAGACTCACATTCATACCGCAGAGACATCCTGCAAGGCAAACAAGGAGAAACACCAAAAGGTATATAGGATGGACAGATCTATGAAAGAAAGGAGACAATTGAAAAAACTGTATCGGATGATACTATCCCCATAAATATGAGTGGGATGCGATGGACTATCTGCTGCTGAGGGGTAGCTTTTGTTTCCTTGCCGTTGTACTGCACAGAGTCAGGAGCGGCGCTGTCGCTCCATTGGCACACTCAGTCGCTGTCATTCATCACCATCGACCATTGATACCCTTGGGTGTTTTTGTCCATGGTCATTGTGATAGTGCTTGAGGATTATTAATAACACAAAACAAGTGTGGTGAAGCGAGGTTCTAAATGCGTCTGGAATCGATATGTAGCGCCCTCTTTTCTTTCGGTCTTGTTCTTTCTTGGGGACAGATGGGCATTCTCTCTTTAATACTACTGTCGAGCATAAATGAATACAAACCATAGTGAATGAATGAATCGCTATACAATAGGCAACCCAGCTGTGGATGAATAAACACGACTATGCCCCCCCCCCCCCCCCCCCATCGTCTTCGTCGTCCCTTTTCTTCACTAACACCATCCCTTCCCTCTCTCTTCTTTCTTTCTTTCTTTCGTTACTTTTTTATTTCTTCATTGCATTCCTTGTTGTTGTTGGTTTTTTTTTTCCATTCCTCATTCCACCTGTTGTCTTCACCTTCGCCTTCGTCCTTCTTCAAACTCTATCTAAACTCTCTACACTCTCTCTCAGCACAGGGGCTAACCCAAAAAGAAATCACGCTTCCATTTCACGCCTCCAACCCCCAGCTACACCTGCCCAGCTACACCTTCCTTCCAATTGATAGACAGAAACGATAGCACCAATGGCCACTCTATCACACTCATGCAATACATCACAAGTCGCTGAAGCACTCTTGAGCCGTGCCCGGCGACTCTCCAATAACGCCTTCGAACGCACTCGACCCTCCCCTATGGCCTTGGCCGAGGGCCACAATCATCTTCATCTTACATCCTCCACCTTCTGCTCCAGGCCAGGTTCCTTCAGTCACATCCAGACGCGCCGTCGCTCTGCCACAAGTACATCCTCTCGCTCATCTTCTTCTTTCTTGACATCAGCGTCCTTGTCCACTCCAACTACAGTAACTACAACTACACCCACAACAGAATTCGTCATTACTGCAGAATACCTTTCCGAGGAGGAGGAGGAGGAGGAGGAGGAAAAGGAGCAACAATCGTTGAATGTCTCCTTAGCAACAATGGTCCAAAGCCCCATGGAGGAAAAAGAACAGTATAATTCTGGAGCTTCCGAGCACAAGCATCCCTCCATCCACAGCGACGGCAGCAACAAAAGCACATTCTTCGACTCATCACGCGCACATACCCTTACCTGTGCGACCATCGCGGCGCTGCGTCAAGGTACATCTTTATCATCGAAGGGCAGCAGCGGCACGCGTCCGAGAGCCCTGACCTTGGGCAATTGTGTTCCAGATACTGCAGCAAGTACGGCTGCGGCTGTCGATCTCTCGGTATATCGCAAGTATCTGAGCGAGAATATGAGCAGCAAGAGCCATGTTTATGGCGTCTTAGCGGCGATTCGACAGACTCTTGAAGTAGAGTCGCCCTTGAATCTGAAGGATACGGTCGATCCGGCTACATCTGCAATCTCCCCGATGATGGCAACTGAGATGACAATGACAGCCGGTGCGGCTCTCGATGCTGGACAGGCGCTACCATCACGGAGCAGCTCATCTACTTCTGACGTATCTGTATGTATAGACCATGTTTTGTCTTGGCCGGCTGTTGATGGATGCGATACGATGATATATCGTATTTTGATCTAGACTACACATATGGACTCAAGCAATCTCGGCTAACCATTGAATGCTCCCTTTCATGTAGGAGGTGGCGACAGAATCAGATGAGGTGAAGAAGGTTGATAGACCTTCTGGACTCTCTACTACTAAAGAGAGCACCCTGCCGTCGCCGTCTACGTCATCGCCACATGTGGTTCCTGAAACAACAACGAAGCTGGAAGCTGAAATGTCTGCGCCTACTCTGGCGCCGTCGTCATCCTCTGCCCAGAAGGAGTCCAGTAACAAAGAGAGTAGGGGCACATACTTCCTACAGAAGATGTGGATGCGTAGGAGTAGCGTCAATGGAAGCGCTTCAATGGTGGGGGCCAAGGATTCTTCGGATACGAGTAGCATCGCGTCGCATACAAGCCATCATTCTACAAAGTCGAGCTTAAGCATGGGATCGAAGAGATCGTCCAGGCTATTGGGGAAGTTTATGCCAAAGTTCTTGCAGACGTCGCAGCAGGTCCTGTCGCAGTCGTCGACGCAGAGCATGGTGTCGCTTTCGCAGTCTTCAACGTTGTCACCACTGTCGGGTCAGTCGAGCCGTCGAAGCAGTGTGGTAGTGGCGCAGGCACAGGAAGGAATGGTGTCCACAAAAGCTGTGGCGACGGTGACTATGCCCGGCTCCACCTCCGCGTCAAGCAAGGGGTCCCAGGAATCGTTGCCGCTGGAGATTATGCTTGAGAAAGAAGAGGAAGCTTGCGAGCCCAAATCCATGTCGCCGACTGCGCCGGAGCGTTTGGAATACCTTCGTTCGGAAACGCTGTCATTTGGAAGAAGATCGTCGTGTTCTTCGGAGAGCTCAAAGATGTCAGATATGTCGTTCGCATCGAAACCCTCGGGATGTTCGATGAGTTCGGTGGATGATCTCGCAGAGATCAAGCAGGGAGGCGGTGGGTATGTGTTTAGTGTTGAATGCGAGGATGTCGAGGTTGAGGAGGATGACGATAGCGAGGACGCCTTGAGCAGTAAGAACTCTGCCAACAACACATCGAGGAACCGACCGATGTCGCCATACGTCATTGACGAGGACAGTGATGATGAGTTTTTCTTGAATTCTGTGCTCCGTAAACGGCCATCGATGCCGTTGTCGCTTCCGTCGAATGCGAAGATGAGCAGCAGTGTCAGCATGCGTTCTGGTGCAATGACACCGCCGTCGCTTTTGAGACCTGGATCGACTTGGTCGAATCCGTCGTCGAGGAGCTCAACACCTTCGCCTATGTCGCCGAACAGTGATCAGGCGGGCAGGCCGTTTATGAGGCATGCAGCAATGACAATGCATATGCGGTACAGGTCGAGCCCCCTGCCGGAGCTGGCGAATGCAGGCGTGGATGAGAAGCGGCGACGGCTAAGGGATGCAGTTTGCGAATGGCGGCGCGCTGCCAGCGTCTCTTCATGAATAGAGATTTCTATATCCTTCAGATAATTGTAACATACATTAAAAAAACCTCCCCCTCTCCTCATCTTGGTCCAAATACAGCTTTCATTTATTGGTGCCAAGCCTAGAGTGAACGTTGCTTCGTCTACCAGAAGAATCCATCAATTTGATGAGAGACCTTGGGGAACAAGGAGTTCAATAGCAGCGTGGACGCCTCGTCCTTGACGCGATTCTCTCCAAAAGACCAGGCCAGCTCCTCCAGACTCCTGTCTCCCGTCAAGAGCGAATGGAAGGTCAAGGGCGCAAACGCGGCCGCATAAATCACTGGCACCTTATCCTCTGCTTTCCAAGCCAAGTACTCCTCGACCGTCTTCTCCGGCCCGGGGTTGGCCCATTCCCTAGCTTCGACGATCTTTCCGTCCTCAAAAAGGATCTCTAGGCCCTTGGCATTGTTACCCTCCACCTTGCGGTAAAAGTCTAGGCGCAGACGACCGGTCAAGCCGGCCATGGGAGATTTACTGAGACGGCGTTCGAGTTCTGGGGTGATGATGCGAATGAAGCGTGGGTAGTCGTAGATACGGGTCATGACTCTATATCCGGGACCGGTGATGCTGGGCGCGATTTTGGAGCCCAACAACATCGTGATCGGGTGCTTGGGATGAACCTGGAGCAGCATGTAAGGTGGGGCGGTCGAGAACTTTTCCGCTTCTTCGACTGAGAGAGTCGCCTTCTTGGCTTCAAGACGGTGTTTCTCGTTCGAGATGAACTGCCGCAGGATCGGGTAGAGGGCGTCCTTGAGAACGACGGAGTCGTCGAGGACGAGGGCCTCGACCTTGAGACCGACCATATGAGAGACGATCGAGAAGCCAACATCTTTGCCTGTAGCGGCGTTGACGACGATAAGGGTGTCGCGGATGCTGTTGTGGCCCGGTTGCTCGAGCTCGAGGATATCGGCGACGGTGTATTGGTAGTACTCAGGGCCGTATTTGAGCCCGACGGAAGTATAGGGGCTGACGTCGTTGGTGCTATGGCGGACTAGGTAGGGGATGTCGGCAGCGGTCGCTTTGCGGAGGATGAAGGGCTCGGTCTTGCCGGGGGGTAGAGCGGGGATCGACGACAGGTCTGCGATCTTGCCGGACAAGTAGTTCGCCATGGCGTATGTGTATCCGAATTGACTACCAGATCAAAGGGCAAAATGCAGGATTGCGGGCGTGAGAAAAATGATCGTCCTATCACACCTAATTAGACTACAAAATCCATTTCTGTCCTGTACCGATAGAAATGTGGGATGCCGGCGATGAACTGAAGCGCATCTCCACGAGCCTCAGATTCCGGGTGGATCATTTCGTAGAGCAACTTGCGGACGAGCCCTCGGTTACGGTATTCGGGCCGCGTGGCGATAAGTTCCGGTTTGCCAAAGAATATATCGTCGACGCAGCCGTAATAGGCACGATGGCGTTGCATGGCCACGCAGGCGACGATAGGGTTCTTGTTGTCGCGTGGGCGGGTCGTGTCCTCCACGAGAGCATAGTCCCGGTCTGTCATGGTCCCGTTCTTACCGCTCAACAGTCGTCTCTACAGGAACGAAAGCGGAGTGCGTGAGAGAGAGAGAGAGAGATGACAAAGGCGTGGACTATCCAACTTTGAAGCAAACAGAAACAGAGACAGAGAGGAAGCAGACGCGACTTACACTGGCTGAGGAAAAGGTCGCGCTGGGTCCTGGGATGACGCCTTCAGGGATGGGATCCAGGAAAGATAGCCACTGTTTGATTGAAAGCCATCTTCTCCTTATTAACGGACATTTTCTCAATCACCATTTTTTTTATAAGAAAGAAAAGAGCACTAGCTGTACCCTGAAGGCCTCCCCCATGAGCTCTGCAACGTTGTCGCTGTCGGCCTTGGTGGACCAGCGCATGATGAGTCCGTCACCGAGGTCGACAGTCCTGTCTCGCGGGGTTGCTTGGAGGTGGATACTGGTCTGGGTCATGGTGGGATGTTAGCGATGGGAGGCGAGGAGTTGGTTGAAGGAATGAGATGTCGATGGAAGAGAGGAAGTCTCTTTTATATGGAGGGATGGGCGCGATGCATACCATACCCGGCTCGCTTTGATGTGCGCTCTCATATTTTGTAGTTTGTACGCCGCCTGGGTCCCTGGAGCGACCCTGCGACGACTACGCAGGGCCATTGAATATCGTCTGTCTCAGGAAGCCGCAGCAGTTGACTTGCGCCCAATGCACGTGACATACGCGTCCCTTTTTCAGGGCGATTGTTTACTTTGTTGCGCCATGGTCCGCACTCGCCACCAACCCAGCTCCATCCTCTCATACTTCATCCTCACGGAAAGGAAAAAAGAAACGAAAACCAAACCATGGCCAGCTCCACCAGCAGCTCGCGTGAAAGCACGCCGGGTGCCGCGAGCGACAAGCCGCGCTGCACCGTCTTCCGCAAGGAATACGAATACAGTTGCGTAAAAGAGTCCAGTTCCTTTTCTTCATTCACTTTCATACGACTTGGTGTCATTCTAATCTTTCTCATCTCAACATGACTTTTGCTGAACTCGAACAGACCGAGTCAGGAATGTGTTCCCAAAGTACAACAACAAACCCGCACTGGCTGACACGCGTCCTGCCAGTGTTCTCCAGCTTCTGCTTCAACAGCGCGAGACCGAGAAAGAAGCGGTCCTGAAACCCAAAGAAGAGGACTCCGAGCTTAGCAAGGAGGACCTGGAAAACGACGAGCATGAAGACGACAAGGAGAACATGTAGGCAATATTCATTTTATCTCCTATTGTCAAATTAAGGAAATGGAGCTGCCAATTGACTATGGTGTACTCGTTGGATTTGATAGCGACAACGTCCAGAACGTACGAAAGGAGCGCTTCTTTGACCAGAGTGTCACGGACAAGGAGAAGGACCTTATCCAGCAACGGGTTGCACTCATCCAACGTCGTGTAATAACAGAGCTACATTACCAACTCTTGCTGTGTATTTTTGAGAAAACAAACATTTTTGTTCACCAGTCCACCATGTATACCTCTTTTTTTTTTTAACTAGTTTGCGGAGCGCGAGCAAAAGGTGAAACAGACACGCCGCGAAAGACTGAAACAGCACTTCACCTACCTGGTCGATGCCGAGATCGATGAAGCCCTGGAAGAATGCAACCATGACGAGGATGAAGCCTTTATGCAATTCAATAACCGTGGTTACATCGAGAGGATCCGACGCATCATCGCCGTCCGCCACCACAAGCCTGCTGCTGCCACTCTGATGGACGACAAGCAGCGGGCCCGATATGAAGAGCATCTCAAGAAGCGTCGCGAAGCCCCTCGCATGCGGACCACTGAGAGCATGAAGAAGTATGTGAACTACTGTAAACTCAATTTGTCCGCACCAATATGAAGCGATATCATTCCGTTGATTCTGATATCTCTGTTAAAAAATTGTAGGCAGTACCGCATGGGGGGTCGTCTAGGACTGGACGAGGCTTTGGCGCAGGTGCAGGACAACAACATTGATGCCTCCAAGGCCTTTGAAGGCTGGTCTGAAGCCCGTATCAAGGCTTATGCGGCCATTGACAAGAAGCCGAACACGTACTACTATCGCTTTAATGCACCTGGCGAGGTTCAGCGCAAGGGTGCTTGGAGTAAAGAAGAGCAGCGACTTTTCCATGAGCGTCTGATGGAAATTGGAGCCAACGGGCAATGGGGACTTTTTTCCATGACCATCCCTGGACGTGTTGGGTATCAGGTTCGTAACGCCCTGTGCGACGTTTTTTATGGCAATGTGGGTTCTTCTTCAGCTCTTCTAACACCTTATTTTATCTCTCTTATCTCTCTCTAGTGCTCGAACTATTATCGATTACTTGTGGAGACGAATCAGATCACGGATCCCAACTACGTGCTTGATGAAAAGGGCAAGGCCCACTACCTGTTTGACAAGAAGGGCGTCAATGGCGAGAGAATTAAGGAGTTCAGGACTCACACCAAACACACTGCCGCTGGAGAGGAGAAGCCGGCTGTTGTGAAGTCACCCAAGGAACCTAAGGCTCCAAAAGAACCCAAACCACCCAAGGAGCCCAAACCGCCCAAGGCGCCCAAGGCGCCAAAGGCACCCAAGACCTCTGCGGCCGCTATGCGTAATAAGCGCAAGAGACGTGGCTATAACAGCGATGACTCTTCGGACATCTCGGAATTCGACTGCGATGATTCGGGATTGTACATGGCCAAGTGGAGCACGACAAAGCGGACTCGTACTCGGACGGATGCCATTGCCGCTGCGACAGCTTCCTCTTCAGCGACCACATTAACCTCTGCCGAAAGTTCGTCTTCTGCCGCTAATGAAGGTTCCTCCGCTGCTGCTGCCGAAGGTTCTTCCAGTGCTGCAGTCGAAGGCTCCTCTACTCCCAATGCCGCCGAGGGCTCTTCTAGCGCTGTAGCTAGAGACTCCTCTACACCTGGTGTAGGAGATAGCGATGATGGTCAGGATGAGGAGTACGATTCGGACGTAGATGATGCTTTGAACCCGCTGCCTGGCTTCATTGACCCGATCACACTTGATGCCATAGTGATTCCTGCTATTTCCAAGTACGGTCATGTCATGAGCTACGAGAGCTGGCTTCGCTGTCTTTTAAAGGACGGCCCGATGAAGAACATGTGTCCGTTGACCAAGAAGCCTTTGACCAAGCGCGATCTCACGATCTTGACCTTTGAGAATATTGAGGAGTACAGGTATGAAGACGAAGATGAACAATTTACTTGGATGACATGTCACTGTAGTGCAGACAACCTAACTTGCACCTTGTCTTGTGTCTTCCCTATCATTAGGGATAGGATCGTCAACATTTAGGCTGCTTTTTTCGACTTGAAAGACACAATGACAGGACCACATCTCTTCATTAACAATTCGAACTGCCACTGCTGAATTGACAATCGCTGCGGATCAAATTCTTTTTGAATAAATTATCGTCGCCGCGACAGCACCAGTCGACTGCCGTAGAGCCATAAATGCTCTTGTCCAGTTCATCAAATTTCGTTTCGTTGGATGCATAGCAATGCGGGCGCAACTGAGAAATATGTCCGTTGTTCATAGGTCTGTGAATAGAATCCGTTGTAATCCTGAGTACTGTCCAAAGAATCAAAAGCTGCAATTACAATGCGCAACGATGCGAAGAACATGGTGATAAACTCGGTGGATAAAGGCCAGGTGGTGCCCGGTAGTTTTATTCAAAGGGTTGGAGTTGGTGGGAAGTGATTGTTTAATCGAAAAGACCTATTGAAATGATAAGCAAAGAAAATAAGACATTGTTAGAAAAACCTATAGCCTTAAACGACCCCACGCGTTCGACTGCCGCAGACCAAAATAAACATAAAAAAAGCGGCCAAGTAGGCAAGCAGGTACTGCTGTCAAGGTGTACATACCGAATCCCATGTCGTCATCGGACTCCTCCTTGGGCTCCTCCTTCTTCTCCTCCTTCTTCTCCTCAGCAGCAGCAGCACCGCCAGCAGCGGCGGCGGCACCACCGGCAGCGGGGGCAGCACCAGCGGCGCCAACGTTAGACAACATGGCGGCGACGTCCTTGCCCTCGAGAGCCTTGGCGAAAAGGGAGGTCCAGATAGACTCAACCTCGACGTTGGCAGCCTTCAAGAGGGTCTGGAGCTTGTCGGACTATTATGGAGAAAAACGGCAGAAGTTCGAGTCAGCGTTTTTGGTTCTGCCGAGGTTCATTCAGGCATGCAACGGGTTGGTTGAGTGTGGTAGAGTGCGAGACGATGGTTTGCGGTAAAGTAGGATTGAGGGAGTTGCAGGTGAGTGGGATTGGCCTTGCTCCTAGAGTTCATCGAGCAGAGGTCTGATCGCCCTGCAGTGCTGCGATGGGTTAGCGACTTATAGCTGTCGCTCCTGATCCTGATATCGCCACTCTATTGCTTCAAGGACTGACTGCCACTGTGACAAAAGCTGCTAAAGCGTTCCTTGTAAGGACTGACAGTTGATGGCGATGCGAAGTGAGGCTGAAGATCACTGTCGCTGCTACTACTGCCGTTGGTAAATAGGTCGCGATATTCTTGCACAAGCGGCCACTGTCTTCTAAAAGAAGACTCATGAGCTGGTGAGTCAATGCTGATTCCTGTGCCGTAGTAGTCGCCCCTGCAAAGCCCAAGCTCAAGGCGAGACTTTGACCCCCTGGTCCTTTATGTGTTGTATCCATCGAATTCGAGATATCCATCCAATAGCCATCCGGCATGAAACCATTGCCTCTCCGATTCATCCGTCGAGTGGTTGATGGGTGCAGAACTAGGACCGATACTTAACGGTGATCTCGACGTTGTCATCGGTGAGGATCAAGGCAGCGTACGAAGTAGCGAGCTCGGATGCCATTTTTTGTTTGAAAATTCGAAAAATGAGAAAGAGGGAGCTTTTGTCACCTGCCCCACAATGGGCAGATATACAACCCAAGGAGAGGAAGCTATAGACACCCCTTAAAGTAGGACTGGCCTTGATCTGTCCAGTGCTCCACTCGCACTTGCACACCTTGCTCCACTTCAATTACATTTAAAAGACACCATGGCATTGCTGGCACGCGTCCTGAAGAGCATGGAGCGCATCGCGCCCCAGAGTCTGGCTGAGCAAGCTTGGGACAACGTCGGGCTCTTGGTCGGTATGGACACACCCTCAACTTAACCTGCCCTGCATCAAAAATACCATGTTTTCTCCGCTCTCTAACTGCTTCCATTTTTCTTTTCTCACCCCTGCAAAATAAACAGAGGCACCCTATCCAAGGACCAGGACAGCTTCTACGACTCCCCAGCGCGTCTTTCTGACGATTGATTTCACCTCGGCCGTCGTGGATGAGGCTCTGAGCGACCCTTCTGTGGGAGTCATCATTGCCTACCGTATGTGATATGATTCGTTGGATCGATTGGAGCACAGTATTTTTGAGACGACATTCCTTGTGTCTGACAACCGTTATGTTATTTATTTTACAGATCCACCTATTTTCCGTGGGCTCAAGAGACTGCAATTGAAGGACACGAAGCAGAGGATGGTACTTCAGTGTGCCGCCAAGGGTGTCAGTGTCTACTCTCCTCACACCTCCTGTGATAGCTGCGAAGACGGAGGTAACGAATGTCCTTTTGTATCCATCGTTTCTGTCAATCCCTACTTCCTTTCTATTGCTTTACAGACAGAAGCAATTCGAGTAACTAACTAAATTCGACATCCTTTTTACGTTCTGATACCTGTTTGGATTTAGTAAACGACTGGCTGCTGAAGGGGTTTGGAGATGCAGGATCAACCAGCGTTTACGTTCCTGCTGAGAATCCGCCTGCAGGCAAGTGTGCTGTGCATTGCTTGCTGCTGACATTGCACAGTTCCAGGAAAGACGCGTTTGACGCGCCTTTAATGCGAGATCTTGACAACGCCAACTAACTCCCCAGCTTGTTTCCGCGGATGCATGTGTATAGGCCACGAGAAGGCTGGAAAGGGAAGATATATTACCTTTGACAAGCCCCAACCAGTCCAGCAGGTCATTGAGCAAATCAAGGCCCATCTCGGCATGAAGCACGGTATTTTTTTTTATTTTTTATGAAACGTTTTTGCTTTAAAAATCAATTACATGTATCAGTAAGAAAACATTACTGACGCGCTCTTATCTTCGCTCTTTCCTCTGCTCGCTTACCCATTTCTTGTTGTCGACTTTCCCGCGTGTCAAATCCAGTCCGCGCGGCGATCCACCCGACACACGCGAACAACGAGCGCCTGATCTCGACTGTGGGCGTTTGGGCCGGATCCGGCTCGGAGATGATGAGTCATAAAGCAGATGTCTACCTCACCGGCGAGCTCGGACACCATGATGTTCTTGAGGCACTCGAACAAAACAGCACGGTCGTATTGTGTGAGCATTCAAATACCGAGCGCGGATACCTTAGTGCGGTATTGAAACCAAAGTTGGAGGAGTTGTTGAGTCAGGATGGTGGGGAGGGGGTCGAGGTGATAGTTAGTAGGACGGATAAGGATCCGTTAGTTGTTGTTTAAAGAAGCAAGAGTGACTGATCCTGAAGTATGATGCAAGGAGAAATAAAGACCTTCTGTAATGTAGGGTCATGCATAGCAGTAGGTTTGACATTCGCCTCCGGACAGGCGCTTAAAGCTGCGCGGTGAACAAATAAATTTGTTGAGAATCAAAGGAATCAAAGGCGTTGTGGCCTCACCTGTGTTGAGAACGGCCCAAACATCCACACGAGAAGGTCTTTTTTTTTTTTATATTGCAGCAACTGCTGAAACTCATAATAAACTTTGTCTCTCAAGCCGATCGACCCTGCGAATCTATCAGACCTCACTGACAATGATCTACTACAGTCCTTCTTTCCACCAAAGTAAAGCCGATCCACAGTTGCCAAAAAAAATAGGTCAATTCTCTGACCCTGTCCCTTGGACCTGCACAATAGTTGCCACATCTCATCAGTGTGTTAAAAGCTGAAAACTCCTTATTACAAAACCCATTTACATATACGAAGTTTTTTATAATAATTTTCTCCCCCCCCCGGATCATATTTACATATAAAAAGGTTGAATAGCCTAAAATGGAAATAATGGAACCGCTGTAAATCATGGGAATATGTAAAATTAGAAAACGAATTTTCTCAACAGCAACTCTTAACCTTTAGAGAGGTTTGACAGCTCGTTTAGCTTAGTCGGTAGAGCGTCGTGCTAATAACGCGAAGGCCGCAGGTTCGATCCCTGCAATGAGCATTCCTGTAATATTTTGCTTCTTTTTGGGCACCACTTAATCGTTCCTTCCTTCTCATCACCGCCTCACCATCATCTTTTGTCACTCTCAGCACGACCAACCACTCATTTCCGTCAATCCACATCTCCCTCGTGCCATGGAATCGACCATGGAGTCCCCAATCTCTGATCAATCCGCTGCGAACGATCCTCTGTCCGTTCACGACAAGCCCACACGTGATCTGATAGAGGGGCTAGTAGTTGATGGCCTGCAGCAGTTGGTACGCGTAATTTTTTTGGCTATTATGCTGTGTACTGGCTGCCTATATCTTTTGCTAATACGCAGTATATCTTGCAATACACAGGGATTACATGTAGTCACCGCAAGTAACGATGAGAGCAGAAACCAGAGTGACAACAACGGTGTTACCGGTGGCGACGGCGCCAGCCAAAGCCAAAGCCAAGGTTCTTCAATTGAGGTCAGTGCCGTAAGCGTCTGTCTAGTTGTCTATCTGTCTGTCGGGTCCATCATAGGATACTGACGCGACGTTCTTGTGTCAATTGCTCTGTCTCCCATAGCCATTGAAGGGACGCATCGCTGAAGAGCTCAACGCCGTAGTGCCAAATAGCGTGCGCGAGTTGTTGAGTAAAGACACCATCATTCTCCGTGCTGCGAAACATTATAGCATTGACCCAGACTCGCGTCTCACCATCCTCGATGTGGGAGTAGTGGAGTTTTTCTAACTCCTGATGTTTTCGACGAGTGGAGGCAGCAGCATCAGCGCAGTATCTCTACGAACTATGTCCATTCAAGAACCTACGAGTACGAAAGAGCAAACGTGTTTAAGTATCTTCGTATTACCTTTGACTGCCAGTGCTCTAAGAAGGCACGGGTCCGGAAGGACAGATTAAAGGGAGGGATTTCTGGTAAATCGAGGAACACAAAGCCGAGTATAAAGCAAGGTTGCCCATCCCGGATCTTTATCCTAACTGAGCCAAAAACCGCGGCGAACGGCATGGAGGAGAGTACGTATCGCGTCCAATACCACTATCAGCACAACCACAGTCTGGGCGGTCTTGGCGACACTGATATAAGACAAAAGTCAGAAGCAATCAAGGCAACAATCAGAAGTCTCATAATGCGCGGTACAACAATTCAGAGAGCCATGCAGCAATTAACCATGGACTATGACTTGTTTACCAAAATCATGCAAGGAGGTGGACAGCGTATATCGCAAGATAACTTCGTCACTTACGATGATGTGTACAACATATGGTACGATATCATCAGCGCTGCTATGAGAAAGGATCCTGACGCAACCTTATCAGCTATCAAATGGATGGAAGAATTCGACAAAAACAAAGGATTTACGTATTACGACAAAAGCGACCATGCCAACGGCGTTTACTTTGGTTTTTCGTCGGCATGGCAGTTGGAGCAATTGAAGGCACACGGCAGTGTGTTGTGCTTTGATGGGACACACAATGTATTCGGGTAGGTTCATTTCTTGTGCTGTTGCTATTGTCTCTTCTTTTATGTTCGAAAGCGTTGCTATAGAATCTAACTCCTCTTTAGGCATCGAACAAACTTATTTACTCTGGTCCTGAAGAATAGAGATACAGGATACGGGATTCCCGTAGCTTTTCTGTTGACAAAGAGCACCGAGAGCTGCATTCTCATCAATTGGCTAAAGGAGCTTCGGAACAAGATGCGGGACCTCTTCTCGTTGTCTGGCCAGGAGTACGAGTATAGACCTAATGCAGTCATCACTGACCAAGGCAACACGGAGATCCTTGCCATCAAGAGCGTGTTTCCAGACGTACCCATTCTCTACTGTGCATGGCACGTTTTGAAGGTATGGGAGAAGGAGGTCAAGACCAAGACGCCAAAGCTTGCGTCCATTCCAGTTGCACAGAGGCAAACTCACAGAGCAGATGTAAGAGCATTGCCTGTACGCTCTTTGTCTTTTTGATGAGCTGTTTGTCTAATTTGTTCATGCCGTTCCCTACAGATTAGAGCCGATCTTCGCAGCATCTTGTGCCAGAGGAACAAGAGAATAGCCTTGGGCCTCATCAAAGGTTTTCGTGAAAGATGGCGGGAGCATGACATGCTCTTGGGCTACCTGGACAAAAATTACTTTGGTGAAGAGATGCCGGCGCCGCAAGAAGGAGGAACGCCAGTTGAAGAGGAGCAAGATGACAAGGCTACGCTCAAGCAGAAGAATTGGATGGTATGTTATCGCCAAGGGGTGTCGTACTCTAGTATCGATACCAATAACTTCATTGAGTCCTGGCATAACACTCTCAAGCGCCACTTCCTGAAAGACAGGCAGAAACAGCGTGTGGACACAGTCATCTACGTCCTTGCTGTCATGGCCGTACCGCACTTCCAACAGAAATGCATTCACAGCGTTGTCAACGTCGGTCGGATGAGCCCTACCCAGAGAACGGAACTAAAACTCAGTCATGTTGCCGAGAACCATCTCAAGAACAGGGGATCGAAGGGATACACAGGCGACTACATCATGCAGGCCTCAGACACGATACTCCGAGTAGAATCCTTCACGCGCCTTGGAGTACTATACGATATCGAGATTGACTTTAGCAGGGCTACTGGCGGCCATATCATTAGCTGCTCATGCGAATATTTCCGCTCAGAGGCGACTTGCTGCAAGCACATCGCTTTGGTGCAGCTGGAGATGCCTTCTATGAAGTTGTTCAGAGAGGAACCATGGATGTATGAGGAGAAATCCCATTCAGACATGCTCGAGTCAGACCATGAGGTTCCCACGGAACCTGTAGCGCTTTCACTTTCATTGCCATCCTTGGATGCCCTGAGCTGTTCCATTGAACGTTTAAAAGCCTTGGACGCATTAAGGGACACATCTGTACCTTTACCACACAAGGAGCGGATGAGTCTGTCCTTACAGGGAGCACATCAACAAATTCAAGATGTCCTCGATTTGTTTGAAGCAAATTTTCCTCGGAAACAAGGCCACGATCTCAGCAATAAGCGGCAACGACAACACTACTAGAGCTAATGGGGCTTCGATGTACATACAAGGGCGATTTTTACAAACTATAGCAAAAGTAGGGCCTTAGATTCTTCTCATCTGAAATAAAGTTCTACGCACAAAACCAATGCAAGCCGTGGACGAAGAGCAGGGGGCGAAAAGAGAACTTGGATACTGAATTCTTTCGATAGCACAAAACGGCCAGTTGCTATGGCTATACTCACACAAGAGAAGCACCAATGCCTTCAATCGATAGATGTGTCATTCATCTACAAAATAAAAAAAATCCAATGAGTATTCATGACTCTACTCGGAAATAGTACGCAGCGTCGTTTCACGCGAGTTCATTCTTTTCAGAAAACTGCATCCCACCAGTTCACTTGATTATCTCTGTATATATCAATGATATCACTCATAGATATGGAATACAGCTACAGGACAAAAGTCGGATTTAACAAATCCATTCAGTATTCATGGACTTTTTTGACCAGGACATCATCACAAACTTGAGTCATTTTTGGCAACTCAACGCCCTTGTCAATTTTCAGTCTACCATATAGCGCATCCATCCAAGTTAATTTAGGCTTTAATGTTATTTATCAGTTGCGAAAAGATTGAGCCTGTATTCGTGGATTTTATTATGTAACACGATTCTATGTACTAACTGCATGTAGACATTAGAGAACTCGCATCATAAACACGGTAAACCAAACAAAAAGGGCGGTGGGGAAAACAAGGCAGTGTGGCGTGCTCGGTGGTGCCTCCCTAGAAGGGAATTGCACTATACGCCGGACGGAGCACACCACAGACATACTCACCTTGGACAGCCGGAGAAAGCTCTGGGCGCAATCCCATTCAACATCACGGAGGTACAGGGCAGATTAAACCAGGGCTATTGTTTTCTGTCGGAAAAGTCGTACCTTCATCAGATACGCTCAAACTGAATGAGAGACAAACAAGAGACAGAGAAAGAGAGAGAGAGAGAGAGAGAGAGAGAGAGAGAGAGAGGGTTATGAGTGTTCGCAGAATGCTTTGCTGCATAGCTGGTGTCAAGAGGTCAACTTGAGAATGAGTAATGGGCAGAACTATGTGTCCACAAGCGCACAGTCCCAAGAGAGCCACCAACTTTGATCATGTCAAATGAAGCAACACACAGGGGTCAAGGGAGAGAAGCCGTTCAAAGGAAAGTTGTGGCTTTCACATGATGCCCCACGACAGTACGCCATGGACGCAAAAAGTGTCAACGAGTCCATCACCATCTCTGTCGCGCAAAGGTTCGCTAGAAAGAGAATAAAACAAGTTACCAATGAGGGACGCGCGGCAATTGTATTGCAGAGCGTCTGGAATTGCAGGAGGAAAGGAGAGAGGGTGAGAGCGTCTGTCGAAGCGGTTAATGTGAAGCAAGGGGTAAATTGCAGGAGGGGAAAAGAGGAATAGAGAGAGAGAGAGCAAGACAATGAAGAAAGGGAAATGTGCAAATGGAAGAGACGCGACTACTTTGTGGTCATGCCGGTTTATTTGCGCTGCCACAAGGTAAGTCACACAAATTAGCTAAGTCGCGAACTCCCCTGCACAACCTTCCAAGCACCAGATATTATTTGCTGCATTGACTCACTTGCTAGCATGGCCCGAAAGCAGTGCCTCCCGGAATCGATAGTCCTTCCTCTCATGTTCCGTAGCCTCTAACAGAATCCTCTTAAACTCTCTCAAGTACTCTTCCGCACGCTCACGACTCGAAAAAGTCGCCTTCTGCCACGTCCCAACGATCGACAGGACACCATTCGCCGTCGCTGCGCTTAGCATAAAGGCCGAGCCGGTGATCCCGGCAGACTGAGAAAATATTGCATTCTGGATCTTGAACGTAACGGACCCGGGCTGGTCCCATGCCTTGCCGACGTTTGAGATCTCGATGGTCGCGAGTCGACCGTGTTGTTCCTTCGTGACCTGCCCTCGCAAAAAGTCTTCCCATCCACCCTCACGCTTGGGCAGGTACTCGAGCATACCTACATGCTCCAACAGGTGGCGGATGCCTGTGGGCGTAGAGGTGCCTTTAACGATCTGGTTGCGGTAGGTTTGAGTCAAGGCCCAGAAGCCGGTGTCAAGGGAAACCTCGATATCTTTGGTAACAATCGCGGAGGTGTAGCAGCCTTGATCGTAGCGACTAATTGGGGGCGTGATGAGCGGACGAAGAGCGACAGGCGTCGAGAACGATAGCCTGTCCTTGGTCGTCGTGGGCTTCACTCCGTCCTCGACCTTGGACAGGAAGACGGATTTGATGGCGAAATTTGAGGCTGTGAAGAGAATTGAGTTTACAGTGGTATTGTGTGATTTTGCAGCCTCGATAACCTGGAGGGTCTCTTGCTGATTAAGGTACCAGAGGCCAACCTGTGTCTCGTTCAAATCCAGTGTCGCATCAATTTCGCCAGACCAGTATTTAGATTCGATCGTCTTTTTGACAAAAGCCGGAAGCAAGAGTCCCATCGTGGCCTCCTTGAACAGCATGAGAAGACTTGGATTGCAGTTGACGCGTTTTTCGAGATTGAATGGTAGGGGATCGTTCGGAGGGATGACCATGGTTGGTAGATCTAGTTCTCTGGAGGAAGTTTCAGAGGCCTGGATGTTGAGTCGCTCCACCAATTGCTCGGTGAGTGCCATTGCAGAGCGGCCGTCACCGATAGCATGCTGAAAGTTATAGAGGAGGTAGAAGGAATTGTCCTCCTTGACATGGGCTACAACAATATGCCAGAGTGGGACCTCAGTGTTCAAGTAGTCGAATGGGAGATTGTGCTCATACTCGAGGGTTTGCACGATATCGTTTGGTTGCTGAATCGAGGTGACACGGACAATCTTGGACAAGTCAACCGAGGGCATTCTCAAAAACGTCGGCTTTGCGGATCGATGTTCACCAATTACGAGCGAGAGTACTGGGTGTTGCTGAATAAGCCAAGTCAGAGGTCCAGCGAGAAGTCTGAGCCATTGAGTCGCATCAGTGGGCAATTGGGTCGTGTGTGCTCCCTCGCTTGACTGAAGCTGCAGACGTGTACCAACCACTACATTAAAGTAGGTCCCCGCGTTGGCCCTTGCAAGATTGTAGCGCTCAAGATTAGCAACTTCACGGATAGGAGTAAAAACCATGTGTAAGGGTATAAGGAGGAGGGCGGTGATGAGGAAAGCGAATGAGGATCCAGATGAAGAGTGAGATGAACCCAGTCGGTTCAAGCGAGGGCTGTAGCCAAAGTAGGTTATGACTGATTCTCTTGGTTACACAAAGAATTTGTCGAATTGCCCCTTGACCAGGGACCCTGACCGGACCACGCACAAACAGCGCAGCAAGCAGCATCCGATCCACTGCTACATCATACGCCATAGACTATAGACATAGCTGTTGGCATTAGTGAACTCTCTCCTATTTTTCTGCGAACCCAGGTTTAATGAAAGCGAAAGATAAAGCAACCCTATGGCATGACAATAAAGGAAAAAAAAGAAAATAAACCCGTTGGATGGCGAATGTCCGGTTCCCTACTCTCGCCGTTCGCCTTCCTGATCGCCTACACCACGCTCGTCTTTTCTTCCTTCTTCTCGTCGTTGAGTGTTGATGGCTCAGTCGCCGATGGTTTTTCGTCCACCTTGGATCCTTCCTTCGCCACGCCCTTGGATTCCTCGGCCTTGCTGGTATCTGTCGACTCTGATGTCTCCGTCTCTACTATCTTCTCCTTGAAGGTCTCTGGATCCTCATCTCCGTTAGCCCTGACGCTGGAATCTGCGGGTCCGAGACGAATGGCGACACGCTGGGCAATATGCTCGTACCACTCTTCCAGCGTCCTTCCGTTCAGGAGAGCGACGATGACCATCGTCATGTTATCACACCCCACACCAGTCATGCCGCTGTCTGACGCCAAGCAGTGATCCATCGTCTTCTCGCACAGGGTCTCCAGAGGAACTTTGTCAGCAATACCCTGGCGAACAAATGTCACCACCTCCTGAGAAGACATACAGTCCCAGATACCTATTTTGAGAACCATAAATTGTTTGTGTTATTTCCAAGGTTCAGTAGCACACGAGCAAGGGTAATCGGATACAGAAATGTGGCGTACCATCACAGGCCAAGACAAGGAACTCGTCTTTTTCTGTCAACTTGTGCTCCACAATGACGGGATTTGCTGTAATATCAGATGTGAATATTGAACAGCAAAATTAGAACTCGAGCTTCATCCACAGCGCTGCCCCTTTGCATCAAGCAAGATAATCCAGAGTCCACTCACCGGTCACGATCTGGTCGTCAGGTCCGAGGGTCGCATTCATCTTGAATTCGAAATCGCCCAATGCACGGGACAGGGCAAGGCTACCGTTCACTCTGCCATACTCCACAAATCCGCCGGCCGCAACAATACGCCTTGACTCCTCTAAGTAGTTCATACAATGCAGATGAAAGTTGGGTGAATGTTCCGGCTAAAGTCTGTTTAGGTCGATCTTCTCAAGCAGAAATAGGGCAATGGTACGCTGCAGATGCTATCGATCTTCCATGCACACATTAATTTGAAACGTCGTGTTGGCATGCCCCCCCGAAATTGAATCGCACTAAAGTGCGTGCAATTCATTCTCCGTCCGGCCTGCGCGTTGTACCTTTGTTAACAGGCTTGTGATCGTTGGACAGAGCGATAGCAGTTCCATCGCTTCCTAGGACAGCGCGCGAGTCTCCAGCATTGCCCTAGATACAGGCAGATGCCGAGGAATGGGACAAAAATATGCGCATTAGCCATCTTATCACCTTCTCTATGAATGCCTTACATTCCTGGACCTCATTGTATTCGCCACAATATTACGTCATTGTTCAGTCATGATCAAAGAGGGTTTTTTCCAAGGCTTCATGCCTTCATTTCTCGATGAATGGTACGACAGCAGTTGTTGTAACTAGGACGAACAAATGACGTTTGAAATGCCGGTGCTGAACTTACCACATAGAGAACGTTTTTGTCCGTGAATGTTGCAGTAATGGCCGTGCATCCAGATGAATCTCCACCGTATTCGGGATCTGTCCAAGAAGGGAGCAAACCATGTTAAGAACAGCTATAGCGCAGCGTTGATCCAGATTGCAATCGATATTATGTTCCATGATGCGGCGCTCAATGGATCGAGTCCGTCCAGATCATTTCCAGAATCACATACCAAAGCGCAAAGCCCTGTCCATCTCTAAAAATCCGTTCTTGATTGCGGCCATGTAATCGCCCTTGGCGAATGCCTTGTCGCCGACGATTCTCTTATGCAATCCCTCGCCACTGTATTTGGCTACGTTTGGGCCTATGAAAAGAACATCAGAGAGTAGACAAATGGGGTCAGAACACTAGCTTGGTCCTCAATTGAAGTAACCGACCGATCAATAAACATACCTCCGTGACCATCATAGACGGCAAAGAATGCGGTTCCTTCTGCATCCTCCACATTGAGCAAGGTCGTATGGGCATCTATTTTACGGTCACGATGAGATTGAAAAGTAAAAAAAAAGACGGATTGGTAAGGACAGAGTTATAATTAAGAAGACATATATTCGCATGTTGCATGCCATGTATTCATACCTTCCATGGCTATTAGGTGAGACGGCAATTAAAAAAAGAAAGAAAGAGACAAGGCAGAGCGCGCGAATGGAGTCAAGGATATCATAGTACGCACCAAGGCGTGTATAGGTTTGCAATGGGATGAGCATTGATAGAAATACAACAGAACAAGGAAAAGTCCCCATGGCCATGCGTAAAGAGACGCACTGGCTGACCAAAGCAACGACAAAACAACATCAACAACAAAAAAAGACAGCAGAGAAAGACAAAAAAAAAAAAACCACGCAAAGAAAACAAAGGCCACCAACACAGAGAAGAAACGGAAAGGCGAGAAGCATCCCAATAAAACGACAAAGTCCTGGGATAGACACGATTGGAATGATACTGATTCGCCATCCTTGCATAGCAGAGGCGCCATAGGCAAAGCGCTTGTCATGATCAGCCGACGAGTGCTTTTCGGTGATCGGTGCTGAGAGTGTCTGACCCATGATCTTATTTCGTGGGTGGTGAAGCTTGTCGAGCGGGAGACTTGTTAGGTTCGCGGAAAGGAAAGGTGGGTTGATTCTGGGGTGTTTGATGAGGGAGGTGGAGTAAGAGATGAAGAGTTGATTCAATCAGTCAGACGCGCGAAACGGAAAGGGTGGCCATCAGGATTATTCGAAAAGGTCACATCTCTGCTTCTCTGCTGCTGTTGAAAGTGGGCAGCTGAGCCCTGCAGGCCCTGGCCCAATATAAGGTGCTCCTTCTATCCCGTTCATCTGCCTGCACTGGTGAGTCATCCCATGGGACATCATACTGATCACCGTCCGTCCATGTAGTCGAATGCATTATATGACTCTAGTGATCCCAGGTTGTGTAGGGGAAAACGGTGTCCGGCTGACTCAGGTCACTGTGCCTGTACTTTTGTTGGAGTCGCGTGCTTGTCCTCCTTTTCTCAGTGACGAATTGAACATTCAGCGTACGTCTGGATTGCGTAGGGGTACAGCTGTCGTATACGTGGACAACGGAATACAGACACCCAGAAGAAACGCTGTAGGGCCGTGTTATGGTCGTGATATGGTCGCGGTGGGGTCGTGGTGTGGTCGTGGTGTGGCCGTGTTATGGCGGTGTAGCCCTCCTCCTTCCCTCCTTCCCTCCTTCCCTTCCCCCCATTCTCTCTGTTGCTGCGAAGACGATCCTGAGCTTGGTGCTGTCTTCTTGTCGATGAGCCCTTGAAACTTCATCCTTATGCTGGGTGGATCATGAGTCGCAGGCCGTACTTTATTTCCACTATATGATTCTTACATTATTGGTGCCGGAAGACGTTGAGGGATGAGGGAAGGGAAAGAGTATGGGAAAGTTGAGAAGAAAGAAAGACGTTTGCTCGCTCGCTCTCTCTCGTACGCGCGTTGTCATGAGTAGACTTGCACTCTGTAATTGCACGTTTGGGGTCAGTCGCCTGCAGGCACTCGCCCCATTTTTGCTTTGGTCCTAACCCATCATATTGTTCCACACTGACTAGGACCTTGCTTGTTAAAGCACTAGTCTCTGCAAAGGATCTCGCTTCACCACCAAAGCCCAATCCACCCATCACCCCCGCCAGCAGTAACAGTAGCAGCTGCAACAACTCTAACGGCAAACAGCACTACACCCACTACATTGCAATTTCACACAGCCAACCGCATGGGTCTAAGCAGAGGTAAGTTCTCTTCTTTCGACACCTACACACCTACCCAGTCTTTGTCAATGGATTCATCTCACCGACCCACTTTGACTCTTCTTTGACCTCCTTTATATTAGTTGACCGACTTGGGGAAGCGGGTCTCGCGATGGGCAAATGGGATCACTCGACTCCTACCTCGACTCATCGTCACACACCTGACTTGTCGACTTCAGGGAACAACGAAGGATGGGGCTTTGAGTTTGATATGGAGGCCATGGCGCGCGACGCGGGAACAAGGCATGATCGATACCAGGATGAAAGGAGCCGCGGTGTTAATTATAGCGACAGCTGGTTCTCGCCGCGCGGCAGGAAAGACTCTGACGAATATGATGCACATGATGTATCTCAGGCTGATGCTGATCAGGAGGATTCTGAATACCAGGAACATGACTGGAGCACAGCAACGCAAGGCGGAACCGATAACCGGTATACTCATCACCAATGGTTTACAGGCAATAACGATGAAGGAGACTCGTACGATGAGAAGCAGAAAGAGGAGGAAGATCAACGGCCGCATGCGAATGATGTCGAGGAGCTCGAGGACGTGTGGGATGTGCGTGGGACGGTGCAATGGGAGGTGGATCCGGCTCAGGATGATGACGAGGAAGAAGAGGTGGTCTTGGACGAATTGACGAGGTATTGGGCAACACCTAACGTGTACGACGTTTTTCGACCGAAACCGAAACGCACCCAATTGACGTTTTCAGAGCGGATGCAGACATACGACGGCGATAACTGGGGAAGAGCGCCAGACCCTGTTATGACTTATGACGGCGGATACACGAGCGACGTTCTGATCGAGCAGAGCAAAAGAGAGTTCTGGGTCAAGCGTAATGGCGAGTGGTTTCTTTTGAACAAATCAACAGACACCAGGATTAGCCATCAAGGTCAACAAAGCCCACAAACCCAACAAATTCATCAGAGCCATCAAAGTCATCAAGGTAACCAAGGTCACCAAAATCATCAGGGTCATCAAAGCTCTCTCGGTCATCAAAGACATCAACAGCGAAACTTGAACCAAAGGGACGAGGGCTCGCCTATCGAGGATGACAGCTCACGCAGCGATGGCGAGAATAGTGGGTCACACAGCGATGGCGGGGTCGACGAAGAGTTTTCGCTGCAGCCTTACGACTTCGAGAAGGAGGGATTCGTCGGTGAGGAGGATTGGAAAAGGCCCAGGAGAGATCCAGTTAATGGGAACAAAGTGAAAGCCTCTATGCCAGCAAACATCAGATGTGTTGATGATGAAAAGACAATTCTTCCGACGAATACCGAGTTAATCGATCTTGAGGAGACATCCACACCAACAAACACCATACCAGGGAGCGAGCCGGAGATGTCGACCTTAACCTATAATAAGGGAGCAATTGGGTTACTGCTGGACTTGGACTTCGACGACACAATGACTGGCACCATGGCCTTACCTGATAGTGTCATGAATGCTGCAGCTGAGAATCTCTCGACAGCACCGCCGGCTCACATTGACAGCACTATCGAGGCGCTTGGCGGGCTATCGCTGCATCAGAAAGTACCTAATGCCTCCCAGCCCAAAGTGTTACCTTCTCAGGATCTTCTCATCGATCTGGATACCAAGGAGTTGTCTAGTCCCGTACAACCTTTAATCGATTTGGATTCAATGCCTTCTCAGCCAGCTGTTAGTCTCACTTCTCCCATGAAGTTGGATTCTCTGGCCTTGCCCGCCGCCCAGGAACCTCGAGCCATCTCTAGTGACTCTCTAATTGAATTTGCAAGCCCTCATGAATGGCTGAATCAAATAGCAAAGAAGAACATGGAGCAGTTCCAAGAGAGTATGGTCGCGCACAAGAAGGAGTGGGTAGCCTTGATGGAGAAACAGGAGCAGGACTCCAGGAAACTGGACGAATTCATTCGGCACCACAGTGATGCAAAAAAAGCACGAAAGCCTAGGGGCCGCATACCAGTTTCGCTCAGTATGCTCATAGAGACCAGGGATTTCGGACAGCAGGAAATCCGGGTCACCGAGGTACGTTGAGTGGCGCTGAGACTGGGAAAAAGTATCTGCGTCGCACAAGTTGCTTTCAGCAGAATGACTGACCCTCAAAACGTCCGAACATCTGACAGAATGACGATCTCAAGGTCTTGGTCGAGGACTTTTGCGCAAAGTACCAAATGCAGTCGTTCGAGATGGCTATCTGGGTTACTGTAGCTGACGCCCTCAAAAAACAGAAAAAGATGTTGCGGAAACAAAGCAACCAGCAGACCGGAGCATTGATCTGATTTTGGCAGACTACGCCATCTAACAATAATAAACCATCGCTTTTACAACGAGAATGGATACGCGATATACTTGCTTTTGAATGCCATTTTGGTAAGCTATACCACCAAGGCTATGCCTCTCATGGGCATGATAGAAATTTCAAACTAGCCCATTTAAATAACCGTAACTGCAATTAAAACTGGTCCTCGACTCTTTGTTTTTTCATTTATTCTTTTAAGGTAAGTGTATGTCGGGGCTCACGGCCGCGACAATTTTCACCAACAATCGAGTAAAGGAAAGAAGATTGCATTATTCCTGCAGCCCAGTTATTTTCGTCCGAACATTGATGTAAACTCGTACTTTCAGGAGAACCTACCGTGTATTATTTTTGTATTTTATTTGCTTTTTTTCGCCTCCAGATGTTGGAGTTGCGCATAAACTATTGCTGCCAATGGCTGTAAGTGCATATGGATACACTTAGACGCAGAGAAGGGCCCGGTAGCTGTGCTGCAGTCTGGAAAGCACCGTGAAATCCAGGAAGACGCGGCGGAAAATATGGCGTTCTGTGTTCTTTTGATTATATTTATCGCATCCTCCACGGGTTACAACATAGGTCTGTTGACTATCAGAAGGGGGGTTTCTCTTTCTTCAACAATTGATGCCATGTCGGGTCACTTTTTTCATGAAGACACACGAACCGATGGACTTCTCTTTCCGTCAAGCATTCGTCTTGGAAATAAAACTCGGAGTTAAGGATCGGCACACAACAAAGAGTGTCAAGGACAATGCTTCGTTTTATTTGTCGTGTCCAACTTCCAAAAGGCTGATATATCGAAGATGTCTATAGCAACGAGGGCAAAATAGACTATCACAGGCAATTTTTTTCCTACTCATTTCGTACCAGTAATGCGTATCACCGTGTGTCGTGAAAATTAGTCAAGGATGGGGCATCTCAATGCAACATAAACCGGCCTTTCAGCTTTGGATGGCGACATGGAATTACAGATTGGGTTAGAAGCACAAAAGTAGGCACCAGCGCGCGATCTTGCGAAAGAGAGCAGGACAATGCGGGAGAGCGAATTGGTTTAATACTTGGTATAACCGTATGCTGTCTCTGTTGGGCAACTGAGTGATCTAACAAGGTTCTCTGAAACAAAAACACAGCAGAATAAACATATCTTTGCCCACGGGGCTATCTATTCGCCTGTTTATTTTTATTTCATTAAAACTCGCCTTTCTCCCCTATCCTTGCCTTGGAATCGAAAGAAAACACAGTGCGGTCCATTAAATAAACTCTCCTTGTCGAAAACAAACTTCAGCAACTAGCACCTCGCTCTCAAGGTCCTTCGCAGTTCCCTTGAAAAGCCCCAGTGTCCGTGTTGGCGCTGTTGCGGAGCCCCTCTGCTGTAGAATCGAATTTAGAGCGTTACTTCGCCAGAGATAAGAAACGTCTCATTAAAGAATAACTTGAACTCTGAGATTCGTTTATCGTGCACTGGACTCGCAAGAAAATTAAGGAAAATGATGGCAGCGTTCCCTTATAATCAACTGATTTGAACAGAAAGTGGCGAGGCATTAGCTCGAGACATTTGCCAACATAAACGACTCCAGGACGCGTTTACAAATGAGAGAGTAACTGATTTCGATTATATCCTTCATTGGCTCCTACACACGTTAGCACAATGCCTATCCGATGTTTCTTCCGTCAACATCTATATTGCAAGTTGAACTGCATACGTACTCTTTCCCAATGTAGACTACTAATTGCAGTTTTTCAGCGCGACATATACAGTCTAGTAGGACCCGTACCACCTTGTCCGCTCCAGCTCCTCTGTATATGTAAAAGGCGAGCGGACACCTGCTCGTTTGTTGTTGTTCACGATGTGATACAGCAAAAAGAAAAATGGCCATCTGAAGATATCCTTGTCGACATCGCCCAACGCGGCATGCAAGCATCAACTGCGGCTGGATTTCAGGTAATATAGGTATGCTTGGACCATAAGGCATGATAAAAAAATTGTAGGGTGGAGAGGTGATTTTACGAGCGCCCATCGAATCCGCTTAATATATAAGCGCTCCGCACAAGAAAGTAATGTAGATAAAATGGACGACAAAAAAAAAACGATTATTCCAGCCGAATATCTTTGAACGAGCAACTCGATTTTTCAAGATGATTTGTGTCACAGAGCATCCAGAAGCTTTTAGTCTGAAAACATGTGTTTTTTACTCAGGCTTCATCAAATGATACCATGCTGGAGATGTCTCTCCCAGTCCCATTCCGACGTCCATCATGGCATCAAGCCGTGTTGGCAGGTACGCGGACGATATAAGGATCAACGGAGGATGCGTAACATCATGCAAAAAAAAAAAAAAAAAACCCCCCTCCCAGCGTCCCTCTCCTCACGAGCTATTAAAATGCATAAAGGATCCGGTCCATGGATGCAGTCTAGCTTTTTGCCAAGCAATTCGGCCTGCAAGTAAGCAAAAAACAAAAGAGTTTAGGGGATTAATGCATAACAGATGTTTGTACCAACTGAGGCAGATGACCATTACAGCGAGAGGCCACACCTGGTGGTTTCCTCTGTATTTTCTAAGGCTCCTGTAAAATGATGATATGAAAGGGGGAGTGCAGTTGAGAATCCTTGTTAATAATAATAATAAAAAAATAAAAAAAAAGGAATGTAATGAACGACCTCACAGTAAAAAGCTTGTGCACACACATTCTGACTGCACTAGACACATTCTCTAAATGCACGCCTTCAGACGCAGGATCTAAAAGTTAGCTAAAAATGAGCTGGCGAATCACAGTTCGCAGATCGGGCAAGTCCATAGAATTGGATTTGAATAACCTAAGTGCGGTATAGTCATACTTTCACGAGAACGTCGTACAACCATCTCTCATTTTCTGACCTTATATCGAAGGTGATAGAGGCTCCTTTACGCGACGATGCCCTTTGTTGTTCCCAGTAGGAAAACAGCAAGCCTGGCTTTTTAATTTTCGATAGCACCGAGGGTGGTCTATGCTGGATGCATGCACCCTAATCACAGGTAAGGTGCGTTTCGTATGTTCTTGATACTCTATCCTTATTTGGCCGCTTAGTACTTTGATCTTCACTCCTTTATGCATAAGAGCCAAACTTCGATAGTAAAGTTAGCTGACCACACGCGTCCACATAATGACTTATCCGCTAAAAAAATCATTCTTGGATGTATCACTTTTGTTCATAAAGGATGGAAAACGGGCCAAAGAAGGCCATCACCCAAACAGCCCTTCCTCGAGATTGGTCAGGTAATCGAACTGCACGAAGTTTAGGCGCGGATTGTCGCCTCAAAGGATAGACTAACCAGATCTGCCTGGTAAAAATTCACCATGATTGATCCTCATAGTTGCATGTTGATCATACACCTTGGAAGCATGTATACGCCTTCCAGCCCATTCGTTGGTGACATTACAAGCAATAGCTCCTCTGGCGTCGATTTCAAAGCTTCATCCATACTCCACAAACTATGCACACTAGCCGTTGCTGTCGGAGGGAGGCGGTCTGCGTGATGGTCTGCGCGTTTGTGACACATGGCGAAACGATCCGTAACTACCACCACATCAAATTCCCCTCACTCTCCCATGTCCTGAATGGAAAATACAGGTTTGAGGCAGCCTGGGAAGCATGCCATCCTAATCGAGGGCTCGAGGGTCTTTGCGTCTTTGAGTTACTATGTGTACTAGCTATCCCTTTAAGTTGAATAGGACTCAACATCAAACGAAGTTTCGACGTAAACATATGATAATGTTTTCAATATTGATGACTTCGTAGACCAACTTGCCTTCCTGAAGACTCGAGCCTTGTCCTGTCCAAAAAAAATATCAAAAAAAGGACCAGTGACCTCGCTGCAATTTTATTGATCCAGCTGCGCTTTTGCATTTTGCACAATAAAGAATGTTCTAATCGTCTTATGTGATTTGCGACCCAATTGTGGACTGTGCTGCCTTCTCATGGACAGAGCCCCGTACAACAATGGCTTAACAATCACGTTTGACTGGTGTCACCGGGTAAATGAACATAGGTCAAGCGGGGAGTGTGGACCTCATGGTACTTCATTATTGTCGATCACTCTTGGCCTTTTTTATTTCGTCATGGGCCTCAGTGTCTCAAACATACTGAAGCGTCTATCACTGATAAATGCGAAATGAAAAGGGAACTGGCCACGTGCGACTATTCGAACTAAAGAAAACAAGCAGTGCACCTGCAATTTAACTGACAAGATGAATAAAGGATTCTATTCTACCATGGAGGAACAGGGATGGGGATTATCCACTGTAGAGATGGCAAAAAGGAAGGAAGAAAAGGGAGAGCAAGAGAGCAAGAGGGGGATTCGATCTGCAGAATGTCTTATTTGCATTAGTGCCATGGTAGCGGCAGGTTCAGTGTAATTTGACCAATATCCTTTTCTGGATTTCAAGCTAGGCTCGATCGACTACGGACGTGTTTCTGCGCACTAAAAGAACGCGGACTATAATTGCACAACAGTGTGAAAGTCTGGATGTCTGTTGTATCAACCTCCGTGGCAATGTCATTCATCACTCTATGCTCCCTTTCTTCAATGCATTCGAGTACAAGGAAGGTGCTACGCGTAGTGCTGTTCTGTATCACCTCGCATTGAGGTGACAAACTGATTTACGCGGTATATAGAACGAGAAAGCTGCGCCTAGCCTCTTCTGAGAGTCTTTGAGACAGGTGGCAAGAAATAGAGACATGCGTGCACAATAGAAAGAAGTACAGATACTATAGAGCGACACCCTCAAGGCTGCAGTTTCGAAATGAGTGAACGTGATCCTAATCCCACGAGAGATGAAATGAGATCTGATTCCGCTGATCTGGACCAAAAACTACCAAAAACTACCAAAAACTATCGACGTACAGCATTGCCGTGAGTCATAACTCTGGATGAAAATAAAAACGCCAAGAGCTAAGCGACTCCATCTAGTTGGCTTCTGCTTATGCAGGCAGTACTATTTGCTGTCCGCACATCCACCTGAAACGAAGAACTCTTTTTCTCCTACCTCCGCACTCTGTCCAGTATACTTGATGGCCTCGAACGCTGCTGGCGCCTTCATTTTCGACAAGTAATTAGGATCCAGGTCCTTCACGATCTTACTACTTATCCTTCCCCAGCAGTAGATTCAGATAATTTGTTTCCAATAGCTTGAGCATGGAATGCACGTCCTGATTTGATTTAGGAAGTCTCAGTCCGGGATAAGGTATATGTATATGGTCTTGTTTTATGTTTAGCTTCGCGTGGATGGTGTATCTGCGAATTTGAAATTTTTTTTTGGTTGCACTTTGACTCTAATTGGCTGATTGCTCCAAATTCATTCCCTAAGTGCAATTGTCGTTATAATTGCCAAGGGCCAATGTAGAGGACCACCAGACTTGAGTATTTTCATCCGACGCTTCCATTCGGTTCATATGACCCGCTTGTCGACTGCAGCTTTTGAAACATAGTCAAGGCGCGCTGAAATCCGTGGAAACGCAAATAATGGAAACCGGTTGCTTTCGCGTTGTAGAAAATGAAAGTGTATAGTCAGTACAACTGACTGTCGATGATATCCAATACTGTGTACTGTCAAAGACCTTGAAACGGCATTCTCTATATTCTTTATACTTCAGAGTTCATGCTTTGGTTAGGGACCACCTCTGGTTACTGCTTTCTTCAGTTGCAGCGTAACAAATAATCATAAATACATTTATATCGACTTTCAACCCGAACCTTGTTGCTTCACCCCAATATTCACGCCATAAATCATTTCACATCCCTTGTAGCAGGGAAAAGAGAGATGCATAATGCGCTTATCCATACTTCTAGTTGTATGTTTGCAGCACTCTAAGCATTTATGGCCGATGGGGTTTACGAATCCATTGATGCTGTACCTTATAGCAATGAATATGGTTGATGTGGCTCGGACCTAAAGGTTCCTCGATAACGATTTGCAACAACCGGATAGCTGGGTTTGAAGAATGCACAAGCTCATATATGTTTTGTTGTGATTGGGGATGCAGAGGATTTTCGTCGCCGTGGTTAGACAGGACGGAGCTAACATTGGTCACATTCAATCATAACCACATCTAGAACTAGAAAGAATCTGACATTTACAGAACCTAATGTGATTCTCACCCCTTTGTGGTTGGCACTGTCAAAAACTTTCCAATCGCTAGTGTAGCTCTTGGGGCGCTAGCTGTAGGAGGTGCCAAGATCAAGTACAGAGTACAGTACCCTGCCCGATACTAATATACGCAGTTTAGGGGGAAGCATATCTAGATTAGACAGCACAGATTATCGAGGACTCATCTAAAGCACTCTGCACCCCCTCCTATTTTTAATATCTTGGAGACTCCCGCAAAATGCCCACTTCTTTGAGGCTCTGTTCGACGAAAAAAAAAAAAAGAAAAAAAGAAAGGCAACTATAAAATTAGGATAGATCTAACTTTCTCCAACGCTTACTAATCCCATCACCAACCGGACAAAAATCCTCACTCATTCCTACGCAACGTTTGAATAACAAAGAAAAAATAGGCGACCTAAGGAGGCCTATGCTGCGTGTTCACGATGTGCGGACGTTTTTATTAAACGTCTCGGTAACGTTGAGCCTGGAGGCTGAATGTAGTGGTTAGGTGTGAGATAATATTGTAAGCGGAGCGCGTATATCAAACACGTTTTATTCAATGGTTCATCGAAAGAAAGCACTGAGATTAGAAACCTTGCACTTGTGGAACTTACGTTAAATTCTGACAGCTCTTCTATTATAACAGGTATTGAGTTGGATTCATTACTCTCCACCGTGTCCGTTGTCCATTTTTGCAATTGTCGACCCAGACCAGCCAGCAAGATGGACGGGCACAACGCAAACATAAAGTCAGATATCAAGACAAACACACGCACGCAAATACAGAGACATATACACACCAACACTGTATTCAACAGGCACAGGCAGGATCCTTTTGAAGGAAAGAGATGGCGATTACGATAAAGCCGTCGTTATTTTTCTTCCTGTACCTGCTGTGTGCGTGTGTCCTTGTGTACACGAGCATGACGAGCCATTCGGGTATTTGATTCATTGCTGCTTCTATGCCTGTGTTATATATACGTTTCTATTCGATGCGGGGTGCCAAAGAAGTGGGCGAACTGACGCTCTGTCCATTAAACTCCACAAGATCTACTTCGCCAAAGCTGCAAATTCTGTAGCTCGATTAAACATGTTGTGCCTATGTACATTCCTTCAAGGGGCGGGGAATAAGTAAACTAGTTTACTTCCATTATAAGTATGGTTGATTTCGTCCGTCTCTCCAGTTTAGTTTCTTGGTTGGTAGAATCGCTGGCTGATTCAACTCTGTGCAATGCAGGCTCGGAGACACACCTTCCGCTATTCAATCGCACTTTGACTCTTTTACTTATTTTTCCATCCTTTCAATTAACTTGGAACTGTACAGTAGACCCTTAGTCCAAGCATCCGCATTGGCTTGCGGATACGAACAACGAACAGGGCCTTCTACTTAAAAGGCAACAAGTACCCTGCTCAAATGCTTTTTTTTCTGCCTTTTCTTGCTTATACTGCATGCTCGCTGCCTCTTATACTCATCGCAATCTTTTGTACCGACTCTTCTCCTACAACCATTTCGTTTCTCTCTGTGCCGCCCTCTTCTCCTCGCTCTCACCCATGACGTTGTGTTCCTCCAGCTAGTTTGCTTTTTTTTTTTTTTTTACACTTTTGGCAAACATCTCGTCCTTTTAACTGTTGAGGTGCATAGCTGAACCACTCTAGCCAAGGCGATTACTTGATCCTAATACCTCAAGAGCTCGTTCACGTGCTTACCCACGCTAGAATTGTGTAAACCCCTTTACATCATTAAAGGTCTCAATAGCCTCTTGGGCCTTCTGCTGTATAGCCGGTAAGTTAAAACGACTGTCTACGTCAGAAAATAGGCACCATGAATCATCAGGATAAGGAGCTGGGAATACGCACATGTTTTGTTAAATCATGCTATATCTCCCGCGATGTGATTGTGCATTGCTTTTATGACCAACATATACCGTACCGTGTTGCAATTTTTCCTTCGATGGAGCGGCCAGAAATCCTGGTGTGATTGTGTCACCGAGCAGCGCCATGGATACTACATCTGAACATACGCTCATCCCTCGAACACCTCCGTCTCCAGAATTGCTATCGACCTATGTCAGTCTCCAAGCTGGGGACCGCCTGGCTAAGAAGCCCACCCACATGATATTTTCCCACTTTTGAACTGCCAGATAATTGAAGCATAATATTTCCTCACAGTCAGAACTATTTTGTGCACCCACGGTTGTTTGTCCTCAAGGATGAGGAAAAAAACCTTCCCATGTGTTATGCCTCTTTCTTCCCACTACCCCTTCCACTTCCTCCGTCCCATGAGTTGTGCTTTCACCTGCGCCTTTTTCCTTGCTACATAAAACCCATAAACTCACACACCCGGCTCGTTTTATAACATACCTTTCTCCTCTTTCCTCCTCAGAGTAGCCTTGTCTTTTATCCAACCGTCCATCTCACCTTTTCGCGGCTGCAGACAATCTACAGCGAACGACTGACCGTTATTCCCGATCCATTTTTGCAACTGAACGCTCACTCGGCACCTCCGGCAGTAACACCCTTGCACTATATCGTGCCCAGCATATGAGAACACAGTCACATAGACCACGCCGCACTACCCTCACGCCACACCAGACCTTACCATGGCGCTCTTCAGCCCTAACGAGCAAATCATGAGTATAATCTCTACAACAGCAGGAGCAACAACTACGACCGCTCCCACCACACTTGGGGCCACACCTCTTTTTTACCGCTCGCTATCTGCACCATCGTACATGCAACTCTCTGATCTCCGCCACAATACCATGCTGCCAAAGCACCTCGTTAGTAACCCGACTCAAGAATATCATTTCAACCAGCAACAGCAACAACAGCAGCAACAGCAACAACAACAGCAGCAAATGAGCGGCCAATTCCAAACTTCGATTGTACAACCAATATTCAACCCAAACTACACAGTCTCCCCTCCCCTCGAAGAGCGACCCTCCGTCCAGTCAGGTCTCAGGCTGTCCGCGATGCCGCCCAGCACCACGCAATACACCTCTCAAGCCCCCATCCACCCCTTCCAAATGGACACCCTCAGCTCCTCCTCTAACATGGAGACTATAGCGCCCTTAAAATCTCCTTTCTACTTCCCCAACGACCCGTTCCCTTGCCAAAGTAATCAAGCCTCTTTTGCTGCACAAGACATGGATGACACCCAAGTAGCCAATGCGCTGATCTCGTACTCCCCCACCTCCTCCCTTGACAGCTCAAGCCCTACCTTTGGTATCAATTCCTCCCCTGGAGTACGATCAATAAGCAGAGTGAACTCGCTGCCGCTGCGTGATTCGGATCTCTCGCGATTCGATATGCCAAAGGATTTCATAGGACATACCATCCCACGACATGGGTCTGTGGGCTCTCTATACCCAGTGACACAGTCGCATGAGCTGCTTGATTCGTCATTCGACGGCGCAGCGCGGTTTGAGTTGAGCACGGCCATGATCCCAAACTCCTCGTCGGATTCTTCGCTCCTGCCGAATCCGATGTTGGATGGAGGTGGTGAAGCTGGGGCTAGGCCGAAGCCGCAGCGTCGCGCGTCGTTGAACCCGGATTCGCAGAGGAGAGTGTTTACATGCATTTTGGATGACTGTGGCAAGCTGTTCAAGCGTTCGGAGCATTTGAAAAGGCATGTGCGGTCCGTCCATACCTTGGAGAAACGTAAGTTTTTTTTTCTTTTTCCTTTCCTTCTGTAAACCTTCTTTGATTGCATGATGAACGCTTGTTTTGGTTAATTCATGTCATGTTAACGCTATTTCGCTATTTTCTTTTCTTTTTTTGCGCATAGCATTCTTATGCTCGCATCCTGGGTGTCTCAAGAGATTCTCGCGCAGCGATAACTTGAATCAGCATGTGCGGATTCATCGCCACGATAAGGAGAAATGCGCACCAAAGATGCCGTTTACGAACTTCACACCGTTTTACCCGCAGCCCTGAGAAAAGAGTTTATCGAACCTCGTCTCGCCATCTGCTTCATCGTGCTTTCTTCTCCTCTTTCCTTTGTATAGCGTCTTCGTAGTCTTTGTTTTGAGATTTCCTTTTTTGCCTTCTGATCGTATTATTCGTTTTTTTTTTTTTTTTTTGTTCTGGTCAGTGCGCGTGCCCTACGCAAATGAAGTAATACGGCGTTGTGTAAGTGCAGGCGCCAAAAAAAAAAAAAAAAAAAAAAAAAAAAAAAAAAAAGAGGCCACATGTATGGCACCTAATAGGTTGTGAATTCCTTGAGTGGACTGATCTCTGAGCGTCAGCTACGAGCTTCTGTCTACAACGCGTCATTGGAACAAAGTATTTATCTGCCCACACCGCCTTTGTTTATTGCCGTAAGTTTGTATTTGGATATGGGCATGGAATTGCAAGTAGAGTACCTTATATGTATAGAAGAAAGAGGTTTCGAAATGTACTGTGAGGTCGCGGCGAGGTCTACGCTTGGATACCCACGTCCTCATAGATGACGTTCAGCATCTCGAGGAGTTCTTCCTTTGACATCCCAGAGACCGAGGCCTTCCTGACAACGGATCGAAGGGACTGGCGGACGCTCTCGTCTGGCAATGCTGCTGCCGCAGTGGTGGCAGTGGCCGTGGCGGTTGTAGTATTTCTGACCAGCAAAGACTTCTCATCATCAAAGCAAGTCTCATAGAATGCAGAATCGGTGCTTGAGATGGCACTCATGGGGGAGGTCGTTGACTGGGGGCGCGACTGCGAATGCGACGACGACGACAACATCAATAACATGGGGTTATCATCTCCGTGGTCGAATGACGATGGCGACTGATAACTTTGTTCTTGTGCTACCATGCCCGATGTTATCGCTATAGCATTGGTGTTCGACTTTTTTTCAATGAAGCTGGTACTGGCGGCATTAAGGGCAGCGGTCGTGACCGTGGCTCGGGACGACGTCGAGGAGATCGATGTCGAAAATGATTGGGACCTTGATCTCGAACCAGTGCTCGCGCTCGAGTTCCAGCTCTGAGAATTCGAAGCAGACGCAGACGCAGAGAAATCGTCATCCTCGACAATGCCTGGACGCTGAAAGTTCTCACACAAATGCAGGCTCTCATCATTTGCCTGCAAGCCTAGAGGATGCAGGGCAGCATCGTTCTCGTGGTCACAGCTCTTGTCGTTATCTGCGCCACCATCGACAATATCGTTATCTCGACCTGCTGCGGGGGTGCTTCGGGAAGCAGCACTCTCGTCTTGTCCGTGGTCGCCATCTGTGACCAGTTTCTCAAGAAGTATGGTCAGAGTCGTAGGATCGACCTGGCCAGGATCTGCCACAGCAGCAGGGATGACAGCGGGCTTGGAGGATTCTGGTACACAGGCCAAGATCCGTCTGGTTTCGGATCCACCCCCATGACTCTCGTGACCTTCATAAACTGGAAGGTCCAGAGGATGATGATCATGCTCCGGCTGCTGTTTCTTGCCCTTGTCCGATTGGGTTTGTTCCTCCGCGTACTTCCCCCAGTACTCCTCATCATCATCGTCGTCCTCTACATTGGCGGCAGCGGCGGTCGATACGAAGCCTCGCGCAAACCCCTTGGACGAGGACCCCTCAGTGGGAGAGTCCTCTGGGTCTCCATATTGACCCCAATAGTCATCATCGGAATCATCGTCGTCGTTCAGGTTGGCAGGTTGTGCAAGTGTGTGTTGTTGTGGTAATGGAGGTGCTGGTATCGGGGAGGCCACCTTCAAGGGCTGATAATGATGACAGCCACTTAGAAGCGTCCACTGGTCCAACAAGTCCTTCTGAGGAAGGACTATTAAGTGATGATACTTCCAGGTAGCCACTTCACCATTCCTACCTTCCTCTGTCCCTGCAGCCTCTGCCAGCAGCACGATTCCCCAAAGGTCATCCAAAGAGACGAGATTCCCCACCGGAATCAAGGCCTGAACGGTCTCGGAATCGAGATCTCGTCGGAACACGGGTGCAGTGTCCCAGGAGGAGCAATTCACGATCGCAGTATCAGGCGGCGCGAGAGGGGATTGGTCTGGAGACCAGCGTTCGCGCATGGATTCCAAAACCTGAGTCTGTTTGGCTTCGAAGGCAAATGACGAGGTTGAACCTCCGAGCATGAGGAGATCTTTAAGATTAGAGCCATCTGGACGAGCGAGGTAATGGAGTCGCTGCTTGAGCGGCTCGGAGGCCCAGGAGGCGAGATCGTGATAGCGCTGACAAAGGTGGGCCCTGAGGACTTCTTGTGCCTAATGATTAGAGTGCATGTAAAATGCATGAGTGGAGTGTGAAGAGGACGCTAATTGGAGATATGGATATGGATATGGATATGGATATGGATATGGAGGGGGTCTGAGGGCGAATAATTGAAGGTTACCATGGCACGAGCAGACTCTGTAGATGGGATCTGCATTTTGTTTGGTGTTATCAATTGGAGATAGGTGTCTGTGGAGGGTGAAGACTAAAGAGTGGGGAGTGGGGAGTGGGAAATGTTGATTGCAAAAGAAGGATAACAATAAGAAAAAGAATACAATGAAAAGGGGAGAGTAGGGAGTGTTGGGCGTAACAAAGGAAATGAAAAGAAGGAGAGTGGGGAGGGGAGTTGAAGAATAAAATGAATGGACGAACAAAAGAATGAAAGAGTGAAAGAGAGAAGAAGAAGTGGAGGGGGAGGAAGTGAAGTGCGGAGAAAGAGGGAAAGGGAAATGAAGGTTTGGATCGGACCAACTAAAAAAGGGTGATACAGTGTGGAGAAGGAAAAACATTGCAGGGAAATAAGACGTGTCAATGCTCAACAATCACTGGCCCTATTTCCTTGCAGCTTATCGCGACCGGACATAAACAACAGGACTACTCAATGCACAGGGCAATTGGGTGTCCACCCCAATACAGCAACATTATGCAGATACAGGGCCAAAAGAGTAGATTGCGGGGGTCGAGTCGAATATGGGGTTGTTTGGACAAAGGCTACACCCTACCTTTTTTCTTTCCTCTGGCCCAATGGGTTTCTTATGAGAAGCCTGCGGTCGCTCGTGTCCTTTTGCCACTAATTTTCATATTCTTTTTTGATGAGCACAAGATCAACTAACTGTGTATCCGAGGTAAGCCCCTTCAAGTCTCAAGCCTCATATTACACGCATCTCTAGTTCATGTCATTATTAGCAGTTCAGGAATAGAATATGGATGCAATCCACATGTATGCTTGCGCTCTCGCCTGCTGCGTTTGAAGAGAATGCAAGTTTGTAACTGCGGTTGAGCCCGTGTTCATTTAAGGCGTATTATCATATGTGAGCGTGCCAGCGCACGCACTTGACTGAGCACGCTGTTGGTTGACAACAGCGTCGATGAGGATTGGTTTTCGAGTGAGAGAGAGAGAGAGCGAGAGAGAGAGACAGAGAGAGAGATCATTCTCCGATGCAGAGAGATATGATGGTGCAGATTACTTTCCTTGGCTCCAGGTGTGGTTGTGGTGATAATAAAAGGCGCCGTCACGGAGCACAGCACGAGGCTATATGATATGAAGTGAACATCTGCATTCAGCACTGCAGCCTCTTTTTCTTCTTCTTTCCATCACACAACCTTTTCTTGCTTTACACAATCGCATACTTTTTTTCATCCCCACTCCAGCCGCCCGTAATCACACTCACTCAGGAAAGACACTCTTCATCCAAATGTCGATCGAACTCGAGCCATCCGCCCAACTGGGCTTTCGCAGTAAGCACACATACATACCTCACCAAGAGCCGCGATCCTTCTTTGGCTTGTTAATTGTCATCCTTCCTCATGCATTGCCTCATTCACTCAACACGCGTCATTTCATTATAGGACCTTTGACGGAACCCATCAAGGAATCCCTCATCATCCGCAACCCGACCCAGCTGCCCATCGCCTTCAAGGTCAAGACCACTGCCCCCAAGCAGTACTGTGTGCGTCCCAACTCTGGACGTGTCGAGGCGGGTGAGGAACTGGAGGTCCAAGGTAATCCTTTCTTTACAGAGTACAGCGTTCAAAAGAAGAGCAGTAACAGGAATAACACCCACAATCACAGCAGCCGAGCAGTGGAAACAACAGAGACCTCGCAGGAATAGCGATCGAATGCCAAAAGGCTTGCGTCAGTTCATCCGCCAAGTCCATCTGTTTACGGAAAAAGGACCACAGAAGCAAGGAGCACAAGAAGAACTCCATGAGCCTCACGCCGCCACCACACGCAGCGGTCCAATACATCCTTGCTACGATGACCAGACATTAACACCGGCCATTATCTTTTTATCACTGGTTTTTAGTGCAAATGCAGGCCATGAAGGAGGATCCACCCATTGATTTTAGATGCAAGGATAAATTCCTGGTCCAGAGCGTCGCTATCACGGCTGAGCGTGAGCAATTGTCCCCACAAGACTTGGTAAGGGGTCCTTTGGGTTATAACAGTTTACATCCTATAATGAGAATCATCGACCCCATACTTCACCGTAAAGAAAAAACCAACTTTCTGACAACCATCTGCTGCGTATTTTTTGTTTTACTTCCCTTCTTTGACATTTCGCTTCTGTTTAGTGGCCAACAATCGAAAGAGAGGCCAGGGATCAGATCCGGGAAAAGAAGATCCGGTGTGCTTTCCTGCCACCGATTGAGCATGAAATTACGCAGATCAAGGAGGAGGACGAGCTTACTTCCTCCCGTGTCTCTTCGGCGACCCACAGCACTCACAGCACCATCAACAGCCACACGGTCCCTGCTCCTGCGTCGCCGGTTCATCACGTCGCTCCCACTTCTACTATAGCTGCGGCGCCAGGACTTCCATTATCGAATTCATCATCAGCAGCAGCCTCTGGCGCAGATGTGAGTGCCTTGAGGCACGAACTTGAAGCCGCCCATGAGACCATCAGGTCCTTGCAGAGCAACATGGAGAAGCTACAAAGTGAAGCTAGCACTGTAAGTTTTATGCTTCGTTTTTTTTTGTTTCTGCTGCGTTCTCAGGAGGCGGAGAAGTGGTCAATTGATCTCAACTTTTACTATTTATTCGCTAATGATTAGCTGCGTCAACGCAAGCCCGAAGCTGGGTCGTCTTCTGCACCCATGATGACTGCCGTTCATTTGAAGCACCAGCAGGAGGGCTATCCTATTAGCTATCTCGCTGGGGCAGCTGTTATCGCCTTTTTGTTTGCTTACCTCTTCTTCTAAGATGTTTAACGTGCATACACAATCTCGTCACCATGACCCCCTCTGCTAACCTTTTTCTCTTTAAGTGTTGGGCTGTGCCATTTTACGCATTCGGCATTGAGAAGGGTTCGGAGAGATACTTATAACCATATTGTTCTTTTAACGATGCTTTTTGCAGTTCATGTCGTATAGTCTTGATGCCCTTCTTTCCTTTTCTTCTTTTTCTTCTTCTTAATGACAGGCCATGAGAATAAAAATAGATTTAACCTATCATTCATTTTGTCTATGAATGCAAATTGGTTATAGTCTTTATGTTCTATATGTTTCTAACATGGTCTTGAGACATATCCGTTGAGGACTCCATCTGTCGCGCCATCTTTGATCCGCAAGCCGACTGTCCGTGCAATAATCTCGTACAGCTCCACATTCTCAAACGGCTGCAGCTTCTCAGGTCCATGGTTCGGGAACGAAGGTCCAGAGGCCATGAAGATGGCTCGCATATCCTCCATCTCATTATCCCATCCATGAACACCTGCCACCGCCAACCCCATATCCCTTCGTGTCATGACATATCCCGGATCCGCCAATACGATCACCGGTGCGATCCTGTCATTGTTCGCATAGTTGTATCGGACCGGCAACTCTTCTCGTTTGTAAACCTGAAAGGGAAGGTGATCCTTTTGTTGGACGTGCTTGAGAGTCTGGTAGATGTCGTGGAGTTTCTTGGGGTCCTTAGTTCGGATGCCGAGATGGGGTTGCAGGGACTCTTCGAACAAAAGGTCGGATGTGTCGATGTAGTCGTCGTAATAGATGCATTTTGCATGGCTAACATAGGACATCCCGTGGTCGCTCACCAAAATCAGATTCACAACCCTGTCCAGGTTTCGGGCTCGAAGTCCGTCGAGTAATGTACCTAGAGCATTATCGACCTCGCCCAATGCCATCTGTGCTACATATACATTATTCCATTGAGAAAGTAAAAGTATCTGGTTAGCTGTATCTCCATGATGATCGGTTATAGCCAGTTGAACTCAGATCCATGACATTGTATTGCATTACATCGCTTTCCGTCTGGTCCAAAGTCGTGTCCCGCAGTGTCGACTTCAGAGATGTAAACTGCCATGACAGTTGGCCGCTCCTTTTTGGGTTTATCAATCCAATCCAGTACGGTCTCCATCTTTTCCAGCACAGGTGTACTCGAACGATATCGGACATGATATGTTGGACGAACGGGTCTTAATGACTCCCCACCTGGCCACATTATCACTCCCGATCGTTGGTTCTGCAGAACTGCCGTCTCCCAAATCTATGGAAAAAAAAAAGTCAAAAATGCACGACAAGAAAAAAAATTAGACATGGCGGATTCGCTTTGTTAAACGTATGTTTGAGATATAGAAGAGCCGACAAAGGACTTACAGGTTCATCTCCCCACCATTTAGGGTCCCAGCTCTTTTCGGGAATCTTGTAGTTGAAATCCTCCTTGAACTTAGGGTCATAGAACATGTTGGCGACGATACCGTGGCTGGAAGGGTATAGACCAGTGATCATCGAGTAATGGTTCGGGAACGTCAATGTCGGGAACGAAGGTCGCATGTATTCTGCAACCACACCCTTCATGCCTAGAACGAAAACGGTAGATAAGTACAAAAGATAGATTTAACAACACGGAGGCAGAAAGGGGGTCGGTTAACTCAACCCATAAAGCAATCCTTGTCATGCTTCGCGCTTACCGACGCTGAGAATGTTAGGCGTAAGGCCGCGGGTGAGATAGTCTGCCCGCAGACCATCGAATGAGAGAACAATCACAGTCGGATCAAATTCATGGGTCCCATTAGAACGGATCTGAGGCGGCCGCGGAATTGGTTCTGATATCCTGGAATTACACATGATGTTCTTGGCTCGTTCTTGACGCGAAAGATGTCTGCTGATTTCCCTTGGATCTCGTAGGAGGCCTCGATAAATGGATGAAGTGAGCCATAGAGACCAAAAGGCTAGAATGACGAGCGTCGCGATCCTTATCGTCCTGGATTCTCGGTAGTCTCGTTTGAGGATTGACCACTTTCTCGCCAATGACCAGGGCTATTTTCAGAAAATAATTCAGGAACATTGTTTCCAGTTAATATTTCCCAGCTGCGGACGTGTGTTTGTTTATATGGGTGCAATTGAGCCTGGAAGGAGAAACCTGCATTGCATCGCATGGTTTGAAATAAGGTGAACTATTGATTTCCTCCGGAACGAACAGGGAGCACAGGGAGCACAAAGTCCACTCTTTCATACCTTGCGTCCCTTGGGATTGAAGAGAGTATCCTCAAGAGTCGAGGAGTCTGGGGAGTGGAGGAAGGATGACCGGCTCTTCAGCTGATCAAATCCTGAGCGGATACGACTCTTCTCTGCGGGTTTCGACAGTTGGGTCCAGATGGCTGAGCTAGGCCGGGACTTGCTGCCATCACCACTTGCCATCTTATTGGTGGGATGCATGAGTAGAGGAGCGATCCTGTAATTGCCGACAATTGAGCGCTATGGTTTTCTGGATGGCAAGACAGCGACCAGGATTGGGATGGGGATGGAGATGGGATGAATGAGATTGAGAGAGGGAAGGGAAGGGAAAAGAAAAGAGGGATTCCACTACCCAGTGTGCAAAGATGTTGGAGTTGATTGTTTGTTTGCTCCGTCCCGTTGCTTGCGCCCTGGGTCGCCTGGACATGGATCGATCAGTTATGAAAATCCAGCCCAATTAGTCCGCACGGACTGACTGTCATCCTTCAAATGAGAGCACCGTCAGTGCACGGAGAGGAAAACGGGGCCAGCCGCACGCACAGCCGTGTCAGCCAGTCAGAGGCAAAGGAGGGGATCAACGGGATCAGCCTCCTCTCCATTCCCCATGAGCCACTTCCCCATCCGCTCTTCACACTCCACACCCCACACTTTACACTTGACACCCCACACGCGCTGCCACACAGGTCTCTTTTAGCGTATTGGATCCTCATTTCATTCCATATTTTCATCAATCTGTAGTGCTTCGTTCGTGTCACCATGCAGAGCACCTACTCCAACAGCTCGCCTCCTCCCCCGCAAACCCCGCAAACTCCACAGAGATCCCTTACTGTTGATCCAGGACCCATCCAGGGACAGGAACACGGCGACAACGAAGAGCAACTGCAACCAATTGGCCCCACAGTTGATTCCATCACACTCTCGCCTTTCAAGGGCCCTCTGGAGGGCTCATTGGAAGGTCCGCTGGAGGGTGCATCAACAATACTGCCAATCCCTCCAGTACCTCATCCTCTCTCTCCGTCGGAGCATCCTTCTTTAACTTCTCCCGCCTCCGCAACCACCAGCGAGGCCCAGGATACAGATCAGCAACAACAACGGCAACAACAACAACAGCAACAGCGACAGCCCACCATCAAATTCCTTGTACAGCCAGCACTCAAGTCTACTACACCCACAGGATTACCCTCAATTTCCACTTCCTCTAGTGCATCTCTTGACCGACCAGCCATCGTCATCAATACTGCCAATCAAGAACTTGCTATCAAGAACGCTGTCGCAGGAGGACTCCTCCGCTCACCCACTGCGCTGTCTCCTGGCATCTACGTCTCCAAATTTCTGAGATCCTCATCTTCTTCATCCACGACCGATAACAGCAGCCGAAAAGGATCTATCAGCGGCGGCGGCGCTCCACTGGCCAGGCGGCACTCCAAACGCAACAGTGTTGGTGTTATCCCTGAACGGCCGCGACAAAGGCCCACGAAGGGTGTCTCTGCACTGACTGCCCTCTTTTCAACGCAATCGGGTCCCAACCTGGATCAGAGCAGCGCCAGCAAGGATGCCAGCGTTTCGGGCGCGAAGATCAAACACTATGTTCAACGACCCAGTATGCGGCCACACCGCCATTCTATCGCCAACATGGATGATCCTATCCACCCGCCGAGATCCATGCCTTGCAACGACAACCCTGCACCATCCACAGGGGCCTATGCCTCTATGGGGGAGGATATCAAGAGAAACGGGAATTTGGACGTACCTCATTTCCATGCTCTGCACAGAACCCACAGCACCGGAAAAATTGGGAGGAAGGCCATAGCTACACCGCTAAGAAAACTCCGGGAGCGACGGAGGTCGCGTGGTAGTTCCAGTGGTCTAACGAGCGGCGAGAGTGATTCGGAAGCCGCAGCTTCAGGTAACATCTTTTCTCTGTCTCTATCGTCGTCTTTATCACGACCATGTTTCTTTCTTGGTTCCCTGCTTTGCAAGGTTTCCTGATATCCAGCGGCAATTACCTTCTTCTTCTCTCGTCGCGGTTCCTTTTTAGACATAGGGAGAGAAGGACCAGGAGGACTGATACAAAAGCTGACCTCCAGCTTCCCATCTCCCACCAAATTAAAGCCCCCGCACACAGACCCAACGCGCCCACCACCCCTGCCTATCCGCAGCAGCTCCACACAAAGCCGTGAAAGCATATCGGGAGTCATACCAGCCTACGTGATCGCCTATGGATTCAATACCCTGGGTGGATCTCCAGCCCTCTCCGCTGTCACCAGAAACACAACCACCTCCATTACAGCCAGCGCGCCTGGTACACCCGTGAGCAGCGCGCCTGGTACACCCGTGAGCAGCGAGACTGGAAAGGAATCCTCGACCGCGCGGTTCAAAGAGATGATCAAACGAAACGTTGGCCTCTCCTCCACAACCATGCAATCCTTACCCGCAGGCGCCATCACAAGCGGGGTTCCAAGCCCGTCCAGCAGCAACTTCGCTAAACAATCATCCCTTACCCAGATTGGGGGAGGCGCGACTGGGGACCTTCTCTTGAGTGACGAACAGTTGGGTTCGCTCTTCAATATCTCTCGCTTCACAGGACGACGCAAGCATCCCACAAAAAGGCGATTCGTTGATGATATCCCGTTCGTCCATTCGGATGACGAAGAGGTCTATACAGCCGGCCGTGAGAACCCACATAGACACCACTACCGCGTCTTCCTGCCACATCTCTACCGATACGGGCATCGTTTTCATCTACACAAACCCAGTGGTTTTCATGACTCCTCTTCCGTCGCGCCTGACGGGGACGGATTTCCAGAGTTTGAGAACATGAAACGCAGAAATACACGCGGCAGCAGCACAAACATCGGCCAAATATCGCGGACGCTTTCGGAGGCACGTCAGTGTAATACAGATCCGAACGTGCTCATCGCCGAACTCGAACCCTTACCTAAGGATTTCATAAACGCGTTCGCGACATTGTACCCAGGTTGTCGCGACTCTGCGCAGCCACTGATGCAAGCTCCTCCGCCAACCCCGACCATTGCCCCAGCCTCCTCCGCGATGCAGGTCGCAGCCGGTGCGGCCGCAATCTACCAGTTCCCTTTAATGCCCTGCGCGCTCCCCTCAGCAACCATAAGTCCCAACACCGGCTCGGTCGCTGGCCTCTTCACGTCTACCGCAACCCAAGTCCCTGTACCCCTTTTCATGCGTCTTACCTCCAGTTATCCCACTACCGCCATTAAAGACATCACCGCGCCATTAAACCCCCGTAATTTCCTCTTCAAATCCTATCAGAACTCCAAGTTCCAAGGTCATTACGTCTTCCGCGTACGTGGGAACGATGTCGAGTACGCAAAACTACCCGTCGCGCTCGAACAGGCTTGCTCACAGTACTTTCGGGAGGCCGATGTGGCCTACAGGGCATTGGAGTCCACGGCGAAGAAATGGAGAGAGGAACGGAGGGTCGCGCTGGATAAGCGGGAGAAGGAGTTTGAAGAAGTCCGAGCGGTCATCAAAATGGACCCTCTGAAGATCTTGGAGTTGGAACGACGGGCGAATCAAAGCCCTGAGAGCGAAGATCAAGCGTCTGTGACGCCGAGAAAGGCCGTAGATACGGAACATTCGGCCGCGGAGGCGTCGTCTATGGCATCCGATACAGCTCTAAAGACCGAACCTCACCATCCTAACGACGATCACTCAGAGATCCATCACGAGGGGTCTCAGAGCGACCCTACTGGTGCGACGAGCGAACACGTTCCTGAGCGAGAGGGCTCGGAACCCACGGGGATCGAGGAAATAGATGCGATGGGGGAGGTATCCTTTTTCCTCCAGGAACAGGGGCGGTTCGAGCAGATGCAGCGTGCGATCGATAACGCTTACTGGCAGGGTGTGGAGCGGGACCACTGTGAGGAAGCTCGGCAGGCCCTGTACGGGCTAGAAATGTACCTGGTGGAACTGACCAGGTGTGTGGAGTACCAGAAGTTTGATGCGGTTATGAATGTTGATATCCTAAACGAGAATCGTAAGTTCTATCAGTATTCAGTGAGTGCATCCTGGACATGATGCGTATATGTATCCACTCGCATTTTTCTTTCTCTTAATGCGTACCTGTAGAGGAGACTGCGTTCTTCTCGATCATGAACGGGGACAAGACCAATATTATGTGGTTAGAGTCACCCTCCGTGAAGCAGACCCACGAGTTCCTGAACCGGATCGCCATCAGCCTCATGGATTGCATCGGTAACTCCCCCCATCCCCATAGAAAACAGCCTCGATTTGTCCGTCGCGTTTCGTATTCGACTTTTTAAGTCCTCGTTTCTCATTTTCCTCCGCATCCCAACTCACATAGATACAGACCCCCCACAAGCCGTCGCAGAATCCCCAACCATCAAGGACCTGCACAACCACCTCCCAGACCTCGGACGCCTTCTTTCGGATCGTGGTCTTCATCATATCTGGCATGACCACCACCACGGCCACGACTACGACCAGGGCGATGGCGACGACGAACTCCACGATCCAGTGGACTACTTGTTCGACTTGGCTACCGCCCGAATTTCCCTCCTGGAAGCGAAAGTACAGGCGAAGCGCCAAGAGACTGAGTGTAAAATGAGACAGATCGAAGAGGTGCTCGAGAAACTCGATGACTTGGACGAGAATACCAGGGTAAAGGCTAACAGCCCATGGCAGACGGCGGACTAAATTACGGGACAAGTTATTCATGAACGCGTTCACTAACATTTTCGCTTTCTTTTGCTTTCTTTCTTTCTTTCTTTCTTTTTTTTTTTTTTTTTTTTTTTTTTTTTTCTCTACCCTGACAGAAATTGGAGACGAGGGTGGTGCATGCGCTCGACAGCTACGAGCTCCGCTCGGTGCTACAGCCCTCCCCAACCACTGGCCTAACCCTCGCCGAGACCGTCGACGCCAAGATCAAGGACGTCAACGAACGCATCATCATCTGCGCCCGCATCATGGGCGCTGCACGTATCAACGTAACCGTCTTTCCTCTATCTCTACTCAGAGATTCCTAGCTAACATACTCACAACGCTTCGCTTTGACCCTGAATAGTCACTGACCAGTTTATATATATATATATATCTCTTAATCCTCCTTGTAAACATTATAGCTAAACCGTCTGAAATACGAGCTCCAGCTCGAACAACGCTCCATCCGCCTCTTCCGCCAATACAAGATCGCCATCACTCTCGTCTCTATCCCCATCCTTCTTCTCCTTTGGTTCTTCTACCACCGGAACCATACCACCACGCCCAATATCGCCCACTCTCCGCTTTCCTCTCCTGTTTATACCACCAAGATCACCAGTGCTGACACATCGGCCGTCCTAGGATCTCCGGAATTTTTATTCTCTTGGCCCTTTACACCGATTCAACAGGTGTCGGGCACTACACATGGACAGGCGGATGAATCTTTCTAGGTTTTATGATGGTCCAGAACCCATTCGAGGTATGGCAAGATACGTCAGATGGACGGGGGTCTTCTATGAGTAGTAACTGTTCAGGACCAAGACCGGGGAGGTGCTAGTGACTACAATCTAGACTGAGGTTGCGCTACGCTTCTAACACTGCTCCTGCGCACGACGGACGATGTAACGGACTATAATACAATGATGTTTATTTCTTTTCTTCTTTTTTTGTATATATATGTATTTGTTTAATAAAGAGTCGTCTTCGATGAAGAAAAGACCGTTAAAGAAGCTTTTTACAGATAAAGGAGAGCAAATTATAAACACGCACGAGAGTCGACTTGCGTGCATCAATTCATCCTCGACGGATAAAAAGAGAGAGAAAAAAAGGACGATGTACAGAATAAAAGAACAAGGTTCGCATTCAAGGAAGGAAACAGCAAAACAACAACAACAACAACAACAACAACAGCAACAACAACAAAAAAGAAGGATAACAATAAAGCACAAATAAAATAAAATAAAAATAAAAAAATAAAAAAAACGACAGCAACGACCTCCTCATGAAAGGATCGGCAAAAAGTTGCCGACGATCGCCAATGGAATATCAAAGATATCTCTCTTGATCGTAAAACAGAACGTGCACGGCACTACCCGGTTCGTCGGACTCAATAGGATACAGGTCGTCATCACCGTCTGCTCCGTGTTCTCGAACGCATGCGTCGAGAACTTTTCCCAGTACTCGACCGCCGACTGGTTATCCATCAACTCATAGATATATGTCTTCTTGTTTACAAGCTGGTCCCGCGACCACTGCGTCAGCAATGAAAACTCCTTGCCCACAAGCGCAATCTCGCCCGTACGGCGCCACACCACCGTAGGTGTGCCCGAAAAACTGATCAACTTCTCAAATTCCTAAAAAAAGATTGCAACAAAGGACATTATTAGCGAATCATGCACGCGGCAACTTTTGTTGTGTTCAATCTTTTGCGCGTAAACAACAATACAAGATATGAAGCTTACAAGGACTGTGCGCTGGAAACAGGTCTCCATGAAGATGAGGTCCTCTGGCGTCAGATTCATGATCAGGGCAATAAACGAAGGTCGGAACATGGCCATGGCTCGGCACACGCGCATCATCTCCTCCTTGTCCATCCTAATATCGATACATGCAACGAAACAATACCAAGGTCAGTCTCCATTTGTTCATCAAAGATCATCAAGTACCACCGCAAGTTATGCATGATGAAAATCATGATGATTGTGGAGAAAAGTACAAGCAAAAAATCATCACAGGGTTAAGTGGAGATGACGCTTTTTTTTACCTTTCGCGGACGTAGCGCAGGAGGTAGTGGAAGCCGTCGGTATAGTTGAAGGGCTGCTTGGTGTTGGCGTACACGTTCTCGGGCGTGTTACTCGGGAACTTGCGCTTGCTGGTTCTGGCAGCACCCATGCTAGTGCCATTCTTAAGACCATTGCTGCTCTGCTGCTGCTGTTGTTGTTGGTGGTGGTACAGATGCTGTGCGAGGGACGAGCGGTGATGCTGCTGCTGCTGAAGTGAGTTGGCCATGGCTTCGAGTGCACCCTGGCGCTGCCAGTTCTCGACCATGGAAAGCTCCGAGGTCATCGACTGCAGGTCTGATGTGGGCGAGGAAAGCATTGTGGAGAGAATAGAGTACTCGAGATTGATAGCGTCAGATCCAAAGCCGTGGTCAGGGATGGCCGCCTTGGTGCTGTTGTTAGTCGATGTAACAGATGAGAGGGAGACAAGCGGTGCAGTGACTTTTGTTAGGGAGGATAACGTCGAGGAGGAAGAGGAAGTAGACGAAGGGACATTGGGGAAACTGAACAGCGCCTGAGCATCGCTCAGAGGCGATTCTAAAAAAGAAAAGAAAGAAAAGGATCAGAAAAGTGAAAAGTGACAAGACAAGAAAGCGAGAGATGGAAACGAGATAAATAGGGGGGAGCTCAATGTGATTGCCGTGCAAATGGAAAGCAAAGCCCAGAGACAAAAGGGGGCACAAGACAAGGAAGACCTGTCCAGATTCTGTCGTTGTCTCTGATACGTACCTTGGACGCAGCCTGTAAGGGAGTCCTGTTCAGCAGCCTGCTGCTGGGATTCGAGTGCGTCCTGCAAGTACTTTGCCTTCTTCCTCACGCCATCGGTACAGGAACCCGCAAGATCACGCTTGACGCATCGCTGGCAAGGCCGAGCTATTTTGTAAATAGAAGGGCAAGAGATTAGTACATTATCCTGTAGTGAGAGCAAACAGGTGAAATCAAGAGCTCGAACTTGTGGCAGAAAAGAAAGGACCCAACACCACCTCTTCTCCTTTGTGCACCATTCAAAATGAAGGAAAAACAAAGATGATGATGATGTGGAAACATGTGTATAGGGCAATGCTGATGTGGGGTAGTAAATAGACCACAGGATCCCATATGTCAAATAGCTCTATTGGTCCTCGAGTGCCTTCACCCCTACGCTGTCCGAAGCGTGCTCCCTGTCGGATCGAATCCATCCCAGAGTCCATGTCTATCCTACCATAGTCATACTTTGATATAGTCCGCTGATATAAAAAAAAGCAACAACAGCACGAACTACTTACAGTCATCGCAGGTCAAGTGAGCCTTTTGACAATGGAAGCAACTATAGAGAAGAAAACGCGTTGAGGGCGACCGATAAATGTCAGTGGCGTGCAGTGCTGCCTAGAGAGAGACACGCGTCGTGATACGAAATGTTGCATATAACTTACGCCCTGCTAGCCTTTTTCCTGCGCTGTGGTCCCTGCATAGACGAGCTGTCGTCCGAGGAGAGTTGACCATGCTGCTGTCCATGGTTGTGGGTATGCATTGTGTGGGACTGGCGACCGTTGCCATTGCTTCCATTCTGGTGATGGAGCATCAGGTTGATGGTGTCGATCGTCTCGAGTTTGGGCCGGTCTGCGATCAGTGGCGCTTGGCTGGGATTTTTGCGTCACAGGCAGATGATAGGCGGCAACCAGGAGCAATTGCCACCAAGGCGGAGAGAGAGAGAGGGAAAAGGCGGAGGGGAAGATGGGGAAGATAGATGGAGATAGAAGAGATAAAGAAAGATAGATAGAAAGAGAGAGAGAGAGATAGAAAAGACTCATGAATGGGACTGGATGCGATACTGGGGCGAAAGACACAGGGTGACGGGGACCCGACCCCATACAACCAGCCATGGTAGCCCCACACTCAGGGCAAATCTGTTGGTCCAATAAGGACATTTTGTGGATGTGGATGTGGAGTAGAGGCCAGAAAAGAAAGCCCCAGTCAGGGAAAGGAGCGGAACGGACACGGACGTGTCCATCCGAGTGGGACAGCATGCGAGTGAGAGAGAGGGGGAGGCATCGTGCGATGCGAGAGAGGAGACTGCCCACGGAGCAATTAGGCTGCCCGCTATTGAGTTTGGGCGCATTCCCTCCCTCCCCCTCATCTCTTCCTTTCCCTCAGTAATAAAAGTGAGCCATCGGAAGAACGATCACCGAGGAACGACTGTTGCACTCACATACTGCCGCGAGGAGAAGCACAGACGCCCTTTCCCTCTTCAAGCAGGAAATCTATAAGACCGCAGTGCAGTGTAATACAGTGCAGAAAAAAAGTGATATCTATATCCCATGACCCTCTTGACTGGATTGGAATGGCTAGAGGCACAATACTATGCTGCGATGCCGCAGAGTATGCACTGAAGCGATAAGGGGGATAGAGAATCGACCACCAATTATCGCTCACCAAGAAATAAAATAAAAAAAGGAACGCATGAACACCTGAACTCCAGAAGTGACGAACCAGTAGACGAACCACTCCTGAACCATGTCCTCCCCAAACACTCAAGGACGTGCTCATAAACAAATAAAAAAAAAAAAAAAAAAAAAAAAAAAAAAGATAACAATCATTTCCCAAAAGCATGAAACGAACCCCACGGCCTCCCAACAAGATGAAGCAACTCACATGGTGGTAGCCGCGGCTGTCTGGCGCAGATCGGCCATCGTGCGAGCGCGAATCATGTCCTCTGGATCGTCCAGATCCATCTCCGGGTCCGACGACAGATCAGAGTCATACAGCTCCGGGTGATTATCAAAGAAATCGTGGTAGAGATCCGGTAACGATGTCGTCGGGCTCAGTGTCAAAATATTGGCCGGTGGTTGAGGTGCATTGATCATGTCATCAAAAAACGTCGTCGCCTCGGCTGATGAAGGCATTGACACCGCTACTGTCTCTGGTGCTGACTCCACAGTAACCGAGGACGCTATTGATCCGCCAGATGCTACCACTGGTTCTGCAATGGATGCCTCGGTCGATATTGAGAGGCCGGAATCATTGTCAAGTCCTGTGAGTGTAATGGGTACTGTCAGAGGAGCATCCAGCCCTGGGCCTAATGGGAATGGCGTCAAAGGCAGCAAAGTCGTCAAGAGCGAAGCTGGAGGCGGTGATGGCGGCGGTGTTGCCACCATCACTGCCTGCACTTTGGCAGGTGCTGTGCTGGTCGCAACATCCGCTGTGGCCTCCTTGGCCGGATCCGAGGGTGGTAGCGTACTGCTGCTCATCATGGGACTTGTAGGAGTCGCAGGAGGCGTGGTTGGAGGACTGGATGTACCCACAAGACTCATGGTCGATCTGCCCACCACAGGAAGCGTCATCGCGGTCGAGGTCGTCGTCGCTGTGGTAGCCATGATGGATTATTGGAGATACACCGTAGTGGTCTAGGTCAGCCAAAAAAGGGAAGAGTTGGGCAAAGAAAAAAAGAGGGGGAGAAAGTGCTGCAACGAATGCTTAAAAAAAGGGAGCAGACTGGGAACGTGCTTTGCTTGGGAGGAATCGATATCGCAGGGCTGCTTCAGAGTCGAGCAGCTGTGGGATGTCCGGAGGTATCAATTGGATCTTGCAGGATAAGCGATCTGTCGTGGCACGGCCTGTCCGTTGAGGAACAAGATGAAAAAGAGCTCGAAAAAAGTGCAGAGGGGGGAGGGAACAAAACTGTTGAAGTGTTGCTCTATATATGACTGTTTGGAAGAACAAAGAAGGCGAGAAAAAAAATTATAAGTTTTCTTGCAGCTGAACTCGAATTCGATTCAAAGGTCGAATGAGGACGAGCGTAGGGCTGGAATGAGCGTTGAATTGCAGAGAAGAGAGACGAGAAGAAAGTGCGGCACGGGCAAAAAGTGCTGCTGAATAGGATCGTTTGCAAGAAGCTATGCTCTAGCGTGCTACCATGCTATTCTTTGCTTTTTCTTCTTTTTCTGTTGGATGTGATCGAGGTGTTGGCCCTGAATGTTGCAGCTGGGCACGGCGGAGCGTGGGGAAAGACTGAAAGGCAATGGTCGGGGATGAGTGAGGCAGGGGGGGCAATGACGGAGGAACAGACGTTGTCGTACAAATTGAGTGCTGGTAATTACACGGCCGAGCGAAGAGAACTTGGAGATGATGCAGATGCAATGATAGCAAGTAGGTGCGCTGGTGATGTGGACCGTTGCTGTTGCTGAAGCTGTTGGCGTTGAGGGTTGTTTGAGTTTAGGAGGTAAAAGGCGTTCAATGGGCGGGAGTGGGGATCGAAGGATGGCAAAAGGAAGCAAGTAAGAAGCAGAAGAGGAAGAGAAGAGAAGAAAAGGAAAGAGAAGAAAAGGAGCGCGAGTGGTAATGAATTGCGGAGGCGAAAGTACCTCCACTCAGTCTAGCCCAGAGGATCATTCATTACTCTTTACTTTTTGTCTGAGTAACTGGAGTAACTGAACGATGACTCGGTGGTGTCGGTGTTGGCGTTAGTCCGGGCGGATTCAATTGCTATTATAAGAAAACCCGTTTTGCAAATAATGAACCATAACCCGCCTTTATTCGTGCCATTAAACATGAGACTCTGCTATTCGGACGAGCTGGATCCACATGGGTCATTTCAAACGGACCCTTGGTCATCTGGTTCTCTTTCTCCAACCACAGTCATCCGGTTCCTGGGTACTCTCTCGTCCCTGCATTTTGGCGACAGCCCGTTAGGCTTCGATCAAAGCCCAATCCTGATCCGTGCAATGCATCCATAGACCCACTATCACCTCCACCATTCCTTTTCTTCTCCACCATGACTTGGTGATGGAATACGGCGCTTGTTAAACCATTGACTCCGCCGAGAACCCTCCTGGAATGGATTATGGAGCGTGTGCGCAAGTATAAGTCGGGAAACATAAACGTCCTGTTGCTGGTCTGTGGAGGGTCAAGGTGCAATTGGGCCAAGCAGATCTTGCGAGATGAGCTGCGGTATTATAAAGATAGGGACGATGTTGACAGCGAATAGAAAAGAGCACTGTTCAGAAGTTCAAGATGCTTTTCATGGCGGATCCGATATCGGCACTTTTGCAATTGATCGTCCTTCGTCCCTCGTTTGTTGCGCAACAAACATGAGCGCGCGGATGAGAGAGGGAGAAAAGAAGAGGGATGGGCAAAGAGCTAATGGATCAGTGTGACGCCCCGAAATCGAATCCATTAACGCCAGATAGACATGTGTACAGACATGCATATGTCTCTCCCAACCAAGCAGACAGATCTAGTCCGTAGCATGGCTCAGCACTCCTAGTGCTCAATAGTCTACATGTATCTCTGACATTTGTGTTGTATAGTGCAAGCTGGTGCAAGTGTTGTTGCGAAAGCTGATGATGACAGAAAATTCGCGCACTGCAGCCTCGGGCAGTTCCCTTATATGGGGCATGCTCTCCTTGGCCTTGGACCGTTTGCCAACACAGATCATCCTCCGTGGTCATGGCGCCTAGACAGTTACTTGCATCCATATACAATTAATTAACAGAAGAGAATAAATAGGAATTCATTTACGACGACCAATCCGGCAATCAAAGTCTTCAGACTGTAGACTGGGCGTATTTTTTTTGTGACAAAGGGCTAAGTTATTTTAATTTTTGGATACGATGCCCCCATTCCTGGAACTACTAATCTTCCAGGTCGGATAATTTGAAAGGGGTAACGGTCGCCACGCGATAGAAAAAAAAAAAGTCATGTCAAAAGGGTCCGTCCAGGAACAAGGTTCAAACACCGTTTGAAGTGATGAATACGGCGCCTCCTTCAATGGAGAACCTCCAACCATCACAGATCTGCAGCCATCAAAAACAACGACGAGTCATTACAAAAGGAACCCTTGGCTAGCCATGGAGGGGCTAATCTATGTTCCTTGTTTATTTTTGCTGTAGCAACGTAACTTTGTTCATCGTGGACCGATCTGTTCTTCCCTGAGATGCCGCAAGAGGCAGATCTGTGCGGAGCAAAGTTTGTCTTCGCTTTCGAAAGAAAGGATGTAAACAGGGTCGCCGCATTGCTTGACCTTGAAAAGGATGGCCCCCCAGGTCGTCACTGTGCACACACATCCTTCGTCAGACTCCGCGCCTGATTCTTCCCCAACAATCCATGTGAGAAAATATTTTATTGCGCGTGCCTAGCCTCCGCTAATTCAAATGCACAAACAAGAATTGTTGGACTAAAGAGGAAATGCCGAAGAGATCGGCCTTGCAAAAAAAATAAAAATCGCGACATGCCCCTCCCTCCCCCTTCTCAATTTCAGTCACACACACACCGCATTGCACTCTCTCTCTCACCTCTCCCTCTCTTAGTCTACCTATACTATTCACAGCAGGAAGGACTCAAGCCCTTCATTGAAAGCTCTAGGAGGATATCGACCACACTGCAGTCATTCAGCGATCGGTCATAGATTGGTCTATGATCTCCGTCGCCAAGTTGATCCAGCATCCAACTCAGTCACAAACTAGTCTATATCAGATCTGGCAACCAACTAGGGAGTCGTATCTTGTTTGAATTCGTCGAGAAATACCAGCTGCCAGGGGACTGGATTCTGCTTTTATGCTTTTGCTCAGGAAAATAAAGTGACACTTTGCTTCAACAAGTCAAGGCAAGGTTGGGGTGAACTACAGCTGCCACCATGTCGGCTTATGTGTGTGCATGCTGCCGCTACCTTTAAGGTTCACGGAGAATGAAAAAATTTGCGGGGTCTCTTGCGGTTTGTTCTGTGGTGGCAGGTCCCTGCCCTATTTTCATCCGTTCCACAGTGCCTTGATTTTCAAAATTATACGTGAGGTCCAATCCCCCGCACCCCCGCATGGTCGCAACCCTGTGTCAAATGGGCTAAATAGTCTAGACAGGGTCAAACGAGACAAACCGATCCCTACTCTCGGTCAGGCACTCCGCGCCACATAGTCCTTGGGTGAAACACGGATGCCGGCATGTCTCAGGAACAGGGGACAGTCAGATAGCCAACTTTAATAGCAGGACGGATGGTCGGACAAATCAAATGAGCCGCCAGAAAATGAGTCTCCCCTGGAGACTGTTCTCTAGACGGGGGAGGACGTGACAGGACATCAAACAAGGAACCACACAGCACTTTGGGGATCAGTGTTTAGTCCCTCTTACGTGCTACTGGACCGGTACCGTGCTACGTACACTTACATCGACTTGCATGTACATGTTCATAGAAAATTAGGGAAGAGAGCACCATCTTCTCGCATGTATAAATACATATATTTTTTTTTCTTTATGATCTTTAACCGCTGCTGATGGCCTCGCTCATCATCTAGACCCCTTTTTTGCACGAACTCCTTCCAGGGCTACCTTTGAATTGATCCATGGGATCACGCAACCCGCTCTCTCCTAGAAAGCTTGCTCTTGTACATCTATATATATACGTGGGCTACATCTATGGATAGCATTGCTCTCTCCTCAGCATTCCTTTTTTCTCTATCCTCATTCCCCTCCCCCACACACATTCTCTCTCTCTTTCTCATCAACAACAATACTCTTCTTACCCTTTCACCCCTCTTCTTCACCAACCCCTCCACTCTTTTTTATAATCTTCACCTATACAAGTAATCTATCACCATGCGCGAAATTGTATCACTTCATATTGGGCAGGTGCGTACTTTAGTCTACTTGTATAAGCGGCTGTACAACAAAAACCAGAAACATTTAATAACTGAACACCTCTTTTTATTTATATAATACAACACGTAGGCAGGTATCCAGATTGGAAACGCATGCTGGGAACTGTACTGCCTCGAGCACGGAATCTCTCCAGATGGTACCAAGTAAGGTCCACTTTATTTGTGTTCAGTTGCTCATTCAGCCTTCACTGCAGGAAAGAGGAGGATGAGTAACTGACTTTGTCTACTCGCGTTTATTATAACAGGAGTACCGACGACATCCGCAACGACACGGGCTCGATGCCGTCTACATTCTTTGCCGAAACAGGGAACGGCAAGTATGTTCCACGAACAGGTAAGGAACTTGTTACTCGAAAGAATGCTGTGGGGGCGCGCGAAAGTGTTATCACGGTAACACAGATGCGCGCGCATACATCTCTTTTTGTCCCAGGAGACTCAACCCATCTCTCGTTTCTCTGTTTTTATTTTTATTTTTCCTTAATAGTGCTGGTCGACCTAGAGGAGACCGTCGTGGATGAGGTCCGTAATGGCAAGTACAGGAAACTCTTCCATCCCGAGAGTTTGATCTCCCATCGCGAGGATGCCTCAAACAACTATGCCCGCGGTCACTACACCGTCGGCAAGGAGCTCATCGATCCCGTCATGGATCGTATTCGCAAGGTCACCGACAACTGCGAGGGCCTCCAAGGATTCTTTGTCTTTCATTCCTTTGGCGGTGGCACTGGGTCTGGTCTTGGAGCGCTCCTTCTCGAACGCTTGGCATTGGACTATGGCAAGAAATCCAAGATGGACTTTGCAATTTACCCTGCTCCCAAGATCGCCACATCCGTGGTCGAGCCCTACAACTCGGTTCTGACAACCCATGCGACCATGGACCAGGCTGACTGCACATTTATGGTTGACAACGAGGCCATTTATTCAATCTGTCGCGAGAAGCTGAACGTGGAGCGACCCAACTACTCGATTCTGAACCGGATGATCGCTCAGGTGGTTTCGTCTATCACGCTCTCGCTTCGGTTCTCGGGCTCGCTGAACGTGGACCTGAACGAGTTCCAGACCAATTTAGTGCCCTTCCCCAGAATTCATTTCCCGCTCATCTCGTACGCGCCCATCTTGTCCAGCCAAAAGGCTCTGCATGAGCAATCGTCCGTGGGCGAGCTCACCTCTGCGTGCTTCCAAAAGTCGAACCAGATGGTCAATTGCGACCCTAGCAGCGGCAAGTACATGGCTTGCTGTCTCCTCTACCGTGGCGATGTAATTACGAAAGATGTCACCGCGGCGATTGATAAGATGAAGAAGAACAGCTCGGTCCGGTTTGTTGATTGGTGCCCCACAGGATTCAAAGTCGGTATCAATCACCAGCCAGCGGTCGTTGTGCCCGACAGCGAAGTCGCTGCTGCCCCTCGCACCCTTTGCATGCTGACCAACAACACGGCTATCTCGAGCGCGTGGAGGCAGTTGGATCAAAAGTTCGACCTGATGTACAGCAAGCGCGCATTCGTGCACTGGTACGTGGGTGAGGGCATGGAGGAAGGAGAGTTCTCGGAAGCGAGGGAAGATCTTGCTGCGCTTGAGAAGGACTACGAGGAGGTCGTCGGTGAGGGAAGCGCGGAATTTGAGGAATATTAAATCCAGACTGGAACTAGGACACAATTGGCCCCTACATAGATCATGTAGGAGATCGCGTTGGAATCCAAAAGGGTGCCAGGAATATACCCACATACACTAGGTCGTCACCCGATTTTGTGTTTCAAGAAAACCCGCGCCCACGAAGGTAAATCAGCAGCATAGCAGCACGGTGTCACAAAAATAAAGCAATCATCGCCCTCGCCATTGCTGCTGTCCATCACCTTCGCCATCATCATTGTCGTCTTCAACCCTTCATCAATTCGTCAATTTATTTCCTGGAAAAAAAATGAGCGCAAGTAACCCTCATCACGCTGGAATGACTGCGGACGACGACGACGACCTGACCGAGGAAGAGAATCTTCAGCCTGATGAAGCAACCAATAGCGGGCGGAATAGAAGGTCCACGAAACAATCGATTGGGGAAGAGTTCCTGTTGAAGGCCATTGAGAAAATCCGCCCATATGCAGCAAAGCATGACGAAGTAGAGTCATCCTGGCGACGCGTTGCTGAATATCTTCGCGAAGTCGACAGAGGGCGGCAGCAGAGAGGAGAACAAGCTTTGTTCACGAATCTGAATCATACTACGTGTTCAGGTCGATGGAGCAGGCTATATTGGGAGCACGACTCTCATCTAAATATCAATGGGAGAGCAGTAGGGCCCGAAGGATGGTCTTGGCGTCGGCAGACCATCAATTCATTGTATAAGGACGAGCGGCGACTTCGGGGACCTAGGAAAGCGCGATTTTATGAGTCTCCAGCGCTGCTGCAAACACAGGTGACGCCTCAACCATTTCCGAATACAGCGCAGAAAGATGAGCGGGACAATATGGTGCCTCTGGAACAGCAGCAAGCACATCCCCCCAATGGCACCACGTATCCAAATCCTTTGCCAACACCTTCAAATGGCGACACGCGCCAAGCATTACAAGATGGTAATCTACTTAACCTTGTACCGTTTGATCTACGATGATACATCGACACAGCATAAGAGAGTTAATGATGATTAACGTCATTTCGCAAATCCTGCAGGACCTCAGGACCATCGACACCAAGCATCACAGCCAGCTCGATCGTATTCCTCAGGATCGCAACCAAAAGAGTTGTATGCCATGGGTGCTCCACTTGAGCAGCAAGCGAGCCCAGGCCTAAGTACGGATTCAACGCAGCAGCCAACACCACCAGTGACATCAGCAACATTAGCAATATCAGCAACGCCGTGCGTCCAAGCACCACAACCAGAAAGATCGCTCGCCACGGGGACTCCGTGTCAGCAGGCTGAACCTCACAAAAGTATGCGCTATCAGCCACAAGCCTCAGGGGTGTACAGTATGGTGTCCTCGGGACCCCAATCGTCGGGAAAATTCAATGTGTCGTCTCCAGGACCGCAATTACCAAGACCGTATAATATGATGCCTCTAGAATCCCAATCATCAAGCACATATGCTATGGTGCTTCAAGAATGGCAGCAGCAGCGAGCACACAGCATGGTATCTCTACGGCCGCCAGTGGGGAATACGAATGCAGAACATCTAGCGACACTACCAAGGACAAAAGTTTCCGCGACACCTCAATCACAGCTGCCGGTAATGTCTTATCAATACATATCCCAAGGAGCGCGGGCGTCAGGGTCGACTGCAACTCCACTTCAGGTACCATCGTCATCCATTTCACGAAATGCTTCGCTGCACAAACCACATCAAGCACATCAGGACCCCGTTCCACCGCCACTATCGATATCATCATCGTTTCAGCCGGTGCTGGAGCAGCGAGGATATTCTTCTTTCAAAAGCGTACTGGAGACAAATGTGCAAAGAAGAAACGGATGTGCTGAAATCACACCACAGCTGCAGCGGACATCAACACCTGATGGTACCGAGTCTCCATCGCTCCAGCCAGCAGGACCGAACGAAGCAGAACCGGACGAGACTTCCGCAGCAACGCAGCAGAGAGTTGAGGAGCAACAAGCCCTTCAACAAAGACAATCAATGGGCGCTATTGCTGAAACATCCAATTACAATAAGGAGCCGGAGGAAGAGCACGTTGAGAAGCTGAAAGAAGAGCAGACTGACGGACAGGAGGAAGAGCTGTTTCTGGATGGTAGAGAATCTTTAGTGTCCTCGGGGAATCCGAGTGACATTGTTCCTCCAGAGCCTCAGTATAGCGAAGGACAGGAACCAGGACTGCAGTTGGATATGGTCGGATCATGTTTATCGTCGGAGACACAGAGCGATACTATTCCTCCAGTATCTCAGCACATCGATGGGCCGGTATCAGAACCAGCGCTAAATGCCGGCGAACCATCGTCGTTGGATGACATCCTTTTTTCAGTACATCAGGATGCTGTGGGACCTGAACCAGAGCCGTTGCTGGATGCAAATGAAGCATCCTCGTCACCGTGGAGCTCGGACGCCATCGTCCCTCAAGTGCGCCAGCGCACTGAGGAGCCCATGGACCAAGCCGAATCTTCGTCACCGGATACTGCGAATCAACGAGAGGATAGCACAAACAATGTCCCACTCACCGAGTTTTTGTCAACTAAGGATTATCCAAACAGGAAACGCACTCGTTTTGATGATTTGGATGAAGTGACTCAGTTATACTCAAGCGCACGAACGCGGGTTCAAACGGATGCGGAGGCCCATACCCCAACACACGCGCAGACTCGGACTCTGGCCCACATGACGACCCAGACTCTGGCCCATATGGCGACCCAGACTCTGGCCCATGTGGCGACCCAGACTCTGAAGCATGCAGAGGCTCAGACGGATCCAGAGCTGCAACCAGAGTCGCAATCTGCAATGAGGGCGAAGACACAAGTGCGGGCAGAGGAGCAGGAACAGGGGCAGGAAGATTCAAATTCGTGGGATTCGCAACGGATCCTGCAAGGTCTGCAGGCGACTCAAGCCAAGCAATTGAAGTTGCAAAAACGACAGATTAAATTGCAACATAAGAAAGTGAAGATGCAGAAGGCACAGCTTGCGATGGATAAGGCGCGAGAGGAGGCGGACGAGCGACGACATCGTGAGATGTTGATCATGATGGCCACGCTCGCGCAGGATCAGAGAGTTATCGAAAATGAATGAATAAAGCATGTGTCGGACTTTATTTCAGTGCTTGCGGGAGTTATGGCTGTGACCTAACAGCGTTCTTCGCGACGCGGGCCTGAAGACATGCGCGATCATGCACCAGGTTTACTATACATTTATCCAAAATCAGATGTGAGGTGACTCGACTAGACAATCGACAATGGAGCAATGTCCGCAGGTGTAGATTGTGCGTGACAAAAAAACGCTCCCCTAATACAAGTGTTATCCCCCTGGCTCTACAACCCCACTGAGGACTCCATTGAGTTCGGATGGCAGGGCTTTACAGCGCGTTTCCATCGTTTGTATTGAAGGAGTTACATCTCTACAAAGTTTTGTCATTTCTTCTTCAGCACCCTAAGATCTCGCTGCTGAATCATCTTTTTGCACATCGGAGCACGCTGTTGTCCTCTCAAGCACCAGTTTGCTTATACTAGCCGCGAGCGTTTTCCCCAAATACCATTCCCTCATCGAAGCCTTGGATGCTGAGGAAGATAGCTTCGACGACTATTAAAAAAATATATAAAATGGATCTTCGGCAATTTTACATAGAGCGATAGGTTTTGTAGACAATGGGTGGTGGGTTTATACATTGGCATATAGACAAGGGAGGCTACTGCGGATGAAGATGATTATTCGCTTCAAGCGGCCAAGGCACTCTCCACTTCAATAGGCGACGGATCCAGAAAGAAAAAAACGTCGTAGGTTAAATACTGTTTCTGTTGCCTCCTAGCCTTCCCACGCGAAGGCGTTACGGGCTCGAACCAAGAGGTTCCAGGGCCTTCGCCCTATCGACAATGCGCACATTCGTATTAACAAACACAAGGGAGAAAGCTGGCAAAAGAGGAGCGTCGAGCCACTCTACAATGCTGAGAGTGCTGCAAAGCAGGGAGAGAAAATGGCAAGGCTGAGATGTTGTATTGAGCAGCAATATTGAAACTACTAAGTATTCCAGGTACGCGCCTCCCTTACTTGAACCTTAGCCTTTACCTAATAAAGCCCAGCACGCCCAGCTCGCGCTTTTTTTCTGAGCTTCTCCCCATCCTAGTGCTACCAGCACCACTATCACCGCCAGTCAGCAAGCACTGGAGTCATCTTGAAGCTCTCGGCATCCAAGAACGATGCCACGGGGGTCCCAAAGTGAAGAGGAGGTTACGGTAAGATGAAGGAAATATGCTGTTTCAGTGCTCTTATTAGAATTATAACAATAAGCGATCGACGAAACACTAAAAAGCAAGCACAGCAAAAGGAGCAAAATATCCTTCGCCATTTCTGCCAAGAACATGAATGCAAGTAATCATCATCATCATCGCCATCATCCCCGAAGCGCCATGAATGTCGACGAATCAACTGGTGAGGAGTCTTTCATTCCCAGTGCAGGAGCGACCGCAGCAAGCACCGCAGCCCCTTTGTCCGCCAATGATATGCAGTTTTCGAGTTTTATGAGGAACTCGGTTCAGGAGGCCTACTTTCTGGTGGCCATCGACAAGATTGGTCCACACACCGCGCAGCGCTGTATGAAAACAGTATTCTGGAGCCGCGTTGTCGACTGGCTCAATTCTATTGACGAGCAGTGGCGGAAGGAGGACCGACAGCCGCTTTTCAGCGACCTGTCGCCATCCGCATGCATCGAACGATGGAGAACCCTTTCCGCTGAGGGCGCGCAGTACATGACATTTGGAGATACACGGATCGTAGAAGGAAGGGACCAAAAACCAACCCCACATCAGGATAAATGGCGTTGGGACATGATTACGCGTTTGCATCGGGAGGAGCTGAAGGCTCGGGAGCTTGATAACACACGACTGAGTCCTACGCCCCAACTGTCAACGCAAGCAGAGGCGCCTCAAACGTCGTCCTCGGATACCCGACAGACGCAGGAATGGGACGCATCTCGGGAACCGCAGGCCACGTCGAGGAGCGACGATGAACAGCACCAGATACCGAACAATTCTTCTCACCTTGAACAGTTTCATGGAACTTCGACACAGCAGCAGCAAAAACAGCAACGAGAACACGACAATCTTTTGACATTACAGCAGTCGAAAGCCTGCAAGGAAATTTTGCAACATCCCCTACAGCCAGCCATAGCTCATTCTCGAGCAACACCACATGGTCCTATGCACCCTCTATCGCAGTCTGGAGGACCATATCAACCATCCCAGCCTGCGGGGTCATGTCCTCAGTCATCGCAGGTCTCAAGTTCATATTCTCAAGCATCACAGTCTTCAAGTTCATACTCTCAAGAGTCGCAACCAGAGGCACTGCATCCCATGGACCTACCGCCTGGGCAGCGTTCAAGACTCAACACCGTCATGTTCCAGCCACCATCACCTGCAGGATTGGATGCTATCCGTCCCGTATCCCAAAGACTGGAGCCGATGGGAAAAAAAGACATCCAACGAGTCACCAGACGCGTCAGTACCGCACCTCAACCACAGGAACCATCGGCATTTGCCGAGATTGTTCCGCAACTGTCGCAAACCCCACAACCATCGCAACCCCCACAACTATCGCAACCCCCACAACCACCGCAACCATCGCAACCAACGCAACCAACGCAACCAACACGATCGAACGGCATTACTCTCCAAGTGGCGGAAAGAATCGAAGAGTCAGGGCCAGGACCAGGACCAGAAGCACAATCGAAACCAGAGCCACAGTTAGCAGAACCAGGGCAGGAGGCGTTCAGAGATGTATCTGTATTACCGCCATCGCCCTCAAAGAGATCAAGCGACGTTATCCCTTCATTACACCAAGAGGCCGACGAAACAAAACCCCAGCTTGTGATAATCGAACTCTCTCCATTGCCCCAGATCTCGAGCACCACTATCCCGCAAATTCGACACAGCGTCGAGAACCCAGTCGAATCAGGGCTCTCCGATACTGAAAGTTATGAGAACAGTAGCACTGCCGTCAGCCCCGGAATCCAGTCCATGTTAATCGAGGATTGTCGAGACGTGAAACGGATCCGCCTTGACCTTGACCTTGATGAGCCGAGTTCAGGGGCCTCATTACACAGAAACGCACAGACTCCGACGCATACACGGACACAGGGCCATATAAAAACCCAGATGCAGGTACCGACGCGGACGCAGAAGCAAATGGAACCCCAGACTCAGATACGGATGCAGAAGCACATAGAGCCGCAAACACAAATCCGGAGGAAGAGGCACATGGAGACTCAGATTGGGATTCAGGCACGTAAGAACTCGACGAGCCAGACTCAAACCCAGACTCTGACCCAGACCCTGACCCAGACGGATGTGCGCCCCCAGACATGTATCATCAGCACGCAGATGCAAATACAGTCAAATGCACGGACCCAGACATATGCGACCGCACAGACCCAAACCTCCGTGAACGCACAGACTCAGACCCCCAACCAGGCACAGACCCAGACTGATACTCTGATTGATATGTATCAAGAGGCATCGACTCTGACACACGCGCAGACAGAACCAGACACGCAGATACAGGTGAACGTCCAGAGGAACGAAGATCCACATACATGGAATTCGCAGCAAGCGCTCCAAAAACTACAAGAGATCCTATCCGAGCAATTGAAGCTCCAGCAGCAACAGGCAGCACTGCTACTTGAGAGCGAGGCGCTGGAACAGGAGCGTCTTGCGCTCGAAAAGGCCAGAAAGAAAGCAGAGGAGCGACGGCAGCGAGAGATGTTCGTCATGATGGCCAAAGTTGCACAGCGACGGAGTTAAACAATAAAACGAAACTTAAATCCTCAAATGCTGCCAATTTTTTCCTGCTCCGGCTGTCAAAGAGAGAGAGACCAATGAGCTGCGCCCAGATCCCAGACATTGATGTCTAATAATGTATCTATTATTACTATAGTTTTTATAAAACTATCGAGCATCAAAAGAAAAAAAAGAAAAAAAAAGAAAAAACGGCATTCGTTGCTTTACGAAAAATACTGGATCTCCAACCCCACAGATTTTACTATCGGGGCCTGGGCATACGGCGAGAACACATGCCCGACGAATCCGAGACTGAACAACAACTTATTAAACCTGCCCTCCCACATAATGGCCAGTCCAGATTGTGCCCCTAAGCGCGCCTTGATCACCCCGACAATCGGCTGCTTCTCCTCCGCGTCTCCTCCCAGAGTCTTCCCACCAGAAGTTGTCGTTGGCAAGTCTGGTACGCCCACAGTTTTCGGGAACGGGATCTCATCCCCCTTGTGGTCCGCTGCTGAAGCCGAAGATGAAGAAGCCGATTTCCGCTCCCGGATCCACCACTCGACACCGGCCGTCAGCTCACTGTCATAACTGTACAGGTTAAAATCGAACCGCGAGCACAGCCCCAGATCCGGATGAACTTGTGCGGCATAACTACTCGAGACATGTCCCATGATCGGATTCAGGGTTTGAGTGATCGTGATCGGGATATAATTTTGATGATGCTCTGGAGACGTCGAGGTCGGGTACCGAGGTGTTACTGTGGTTGTTGAAGCGTTGTCCTCATCAGATTCTGTAGCGATAGGCGCCAAAGGTGGAAGTGTCCTGTACCGCAGACCTGTTGACACTACATCCACCACGTTGCACCGAAAAAATAAAAAAAGTATAAGAGTATTTAGACAACACTGAACATCTTGTAGCATTTTGAGGATACTTATAGAGTTGTCGAAAGAACAGTGCAGACTTACGGCCTCCAAGTTTTTCGGTCGCACTGTAATAGATCTCAGCGCCTGCTGACCAATACCCACGAATCCTCTCCGCCGGAGCCGTTGCCCATTCTTCCCCCTCCACCGCTGTCTCCTCGCCCAAATACCCCGCTCTCTCATCACTTTTCAGTCTCTTCTTCCTCGCCTCTTCTACTTTCTTATTATCCAACAAATCCAACGTCGCTGTCGAACTGGCCGCCTCAGAAACCTTATCCACCACCCCAGTAGTAGCAGCAGTAGGCGTTTCAAACTCCTGTTCCAGATCAATTGACGCACTATCCTGATTATTCAACAAAATCTCCTCCGTCTGCTTTCCTCGCCGACGCCGCTGTCGTCCTTCGTTTAACATGCCCTCGTAAGAATCATCGAAATCCCGTCCGAAATTGTACAGTCCTCGGATCCCGATCAATCCATCGTCCGTTGTAAACGACATCTCTGCACAGTATTTCCCCTTGTCGTATTGGAATTGTGCCGAAAGCTATTATTATTTTTTTGTTTCCCATGTAGAAAGAGGTGGGGAAAAAAAATAAAATAGATCATTGGATATTATGTTTAGTGAGCGAGGCAAGAACATAAACCAGTCAACATGAAAGAAGAGAATGAAGATGCTTTACATGGGATGCACTCCTGGAGGCTGGATCACTAATTCCCGAGATCACATATTGTCGATGCTTCGAAATCCGTCGACTATACAACGCCTCCAGTCTCGCATTCGCCAAATTCATCCTTCCGCACAGCAAATAATCTAACGTCGAAAGAAAAAGAGGCCTGTGAGTGTACGATCTCTCCTCCTCAAATTCCCCTCAAGGCTGGAAAAAAATACATGTATATATTTTGTAACCGCAACTGCAACCGCAAAAGAAAAACTCATACCTTTCCGTTTCTTCCCATCCTGATCATACTCCGTCCACTGATCTGCCTCCCGAATCGAATGATCCAAACAAATAATCCGGAACCGATCCACCAAATGTCGAAACCTCACCGACGCAGAGTCATCGATCATCAGCGCCCTCGACGTAAACAAGTACCCAACAGACCCCTCCAGGACCGGAAGCGCGTTCATCGTCGTCGTCGTCTTGAATACTGAGCTCGGGAGCTTTGAAAGACGCAGGGATATTCCCTGTGGTGCTTGAAAATCCAGTAGCGCTTTTTTTTTTTTTTTTTTGTCAGTGCACAGAAACATAAGAAAAAAAGTAAGTACCAAAGTAATTTAAACGATCCAATTTTAAAGTATATAAAAAATAAAAAATAAAAGTCGAGGACATACCACGCGAGGTTGCGCACAGATGTGAATATTGGTTATCTTCGTTCCAGCCAGAGGCACGATAGTACCGCCTGAGGCAGTACTCCATAAAGTCGTACATCGCGTGCGAAGCCAGCTCTGCTGTCCTGAAAGCCTGTTATGTGTAGAATATATCGTTATCCTGCCCAGGAGAGCCGTATGTGGAAAAAAATAGTTCTGTCGATGGCAGCGCTATCACAGAAGCGCAGACCTGATACAGTTGGGATGCAAAGCAAGTCTGATGAGTCTGAGATCAAAGAATTGTCCTGGAATCGGATGGCAGGAATCGAGTCGAAAACTGGAAAGAGGCGAAGCAATATAAAAAGGTGAAGTAGATGGGGAGAGTGGGGAGAGTGGGGAGGGCGTGAGGAGGGCGTGAGGAGGAGTAAAGGATGATCTTGCAATCACTTTCGGGATCAAAGACCAACACCCGCAGGACTGTTTGTTTCATTTTTAGAAATAAGTGAATCAGGTACGAGCGCGTGAAAATCGCGATCGACGCGTTGATCGTGTTTCGTTTTTATTTCATTCCCCAGAAAAAGGTTATTTCACGATAAGAACAATGCGTTGCATGGAGGGTCATAAAAAAGAAGAATATGTTGCAAAATATGTGTCATGAGCTGTCGTTAAAAGAAAAAGGGCGCATTGTCATGTTCAATCATCACGCTCATGCGCGTCCTGAGCTCCGCCCAGTGCTTTCATGCCTTCCCAGCCGTGTGCTTCGGCTCTCCGTGGTATGTCTTGATCTCACCGCCGACCTGGGTCCGCCAGGTGAGCGGTCTGAAAGCGTCGCAAAATCGTCCTCTCCAAACGTAACATCGCCATCGTCCTCCTCATCTTCCTCAACACCTTCCAAATATTCATCCTCCTCTTCGGTATATTCTGACTCCACAGCCGTGCGACGAGTGCCAGCGCCCCTCTGGGACATCTGGAACTCAGAGGACTGTTCAGAAAGCACCGAAGGAGGAGGCGGTGGGGGAGGCTGGAATTCAGACGAAGTAGTCATGTGGAGGCTGCGTCTTCCAACACGTCGTGAGCTCCCTGTGGTCATCGCACTGCCAGACGTGGAAGCACCGTCATCAAGTTCCCCAAGCTGATCCTGCGGTACAGTTTTGGTGGTCATAGTTGTTGTCGTAGTCCGCTGCTGCAGCCTCTCTGGTTCCCTTCCGGAGCGAGTTGAAGAGGACGTAACACCCGTTGTCCCTGCTTCCACATAGCGATGCTGAGAAGGCGTCAATGGTCTCTCAGGCACAACAGCCTCATCCCTGACTGTGGATGACTGACCCCGTGAGACCCGGTCGCCCAGTTCTTGATCCTGCTCATCATCGTCATCCTCCATTTCGTCGTGATCAAATGCGAGACCAGTTGTCCGACCCAGAGAACTGTTTCCGAGCAAATCGTGCTCTTCATACTCGCTGTCAGACTCGTTGCTGTACTGTTGACCCTGACCATGTTCCTGCAACTGTGGCTGACGAGGCGAGGGGCCAACGGATGGCAACTGAGCTCCGGGTGCAGTAGATGGTCCTGCTGCAAATGTGGTAGGAGCACGCAGCTGCTGTTGCTGAGTAGGCTGCCCTGGCATAGTCCTCTGTTGACCTGGTTGAGGATGGAGCTGGTGTGCAATCGCCAATGCCTCTGCATCCGTTCCAAACCAGCCTGCGAGCACCTGCCAAGTGACGACCGAAAAGATAATCTCCCAGAAAATGAAGACTGACATGAACACCAGAGCTGTGGAGAGCTTATAGTAGTACATGAAATATCTATTTTGGAAAAACAAATGTACGTCCCGGTTAGTTTTTTATGCCTTTGACAAGTTGCAACTTATAATGCCGAAAAAAAAAATTACAAAAAAGCAATGGTGCTTACCTGAGGCCATGGAAGTGCGCGTCGATATGGATGGAGCTCTTGTACACTTGTAATTCTGGGCTGGAGATTTCGACATATGCGCGAGCAACAGGGTTGGAAGCGTCCTCAATATAGTTTTCGACCAAAGGCACCCTCAGCATCTGATCTTCCTTGGACCAGTCCAGCACCAAAGGCACTGCCTTCCATGCTGTCTTCATGAGTTTCAGGGGCACTGATTGGTAGGTGAGGATGGTCTAGTCAATGCAACGTTCATTTTTATCATGCATGAGCACAGATGTTAGACAAAGACGTACTTCATTTATCTCTCACGCGCACACGATTGTAGGCAGATCATCAGAAAAAAAATTCCCACTGTCAACTTACAGGTCTGCTGGAGGTCATGATGATCTTGCCATCCGCGCGCAGCAAGGTGACCATGACCATGAAATTGCCGATTTCCACATTTCTTTCCGAGGTAGGGACATGCAACTTGACTGAAATGTCGTACGCTTGGTCTGCACGCAAGAACTAAGGCAACGACATGATATTGGCATTAGCGGTTTTCCTGAATTGGAATACCAAATGAGATATCCTGCGATTAAAGCAAACAAAAAAGAAAAAGTACCTGTCCGTATCGTCCTCCCCTCGAAAAGTCGATTTCAGCTGAAGGACCGTTCACAATCAGTCCAGGGGCACTATCAAGATGGGCCACGCGTTTTAGCACCGGTCGCGATAAAAAATAGGGGAGTTGAAGAATGACCAATATGCAATAAGATGGTGTTTTGCTTACGTTGGTCTCTCATATTGGAGATGAACCTGGCCGACATGTCCACGCTGAGGGATATAGACCCAATAGAAGCTGAGGTAGGCCACCAGGGAGACGCCGATGAGTAGGAGGAGGACGATAAGGCCGATAAAGAATTTGATGATCTTCCGGTGGAGGGCAGACGAGGTCAGCCACTGGGTGAGCTGCTGGACATAGGGCTCGAGGAGTGCCAGCAGCGGGGTGATGAAGAATGAGAGAATCTAAAGCAGAGAATGAAGACAAAGACAAGGTTTAGGTATTTTGGCTAGGCCATGGAGAGTGCAGGACGGAATGAATATTGGGCTGGGCTGCATGAAATGAAGAGAGACTTGCCTCAAAGAGGGTCATGGTTCAATGAGACCAAGGGAGGGTGTGTGTGTGTGTGTGTTTAGTGGCAAGTGGAAGAAATGAGTCGATGGAGCTGTGGGGGGTAATGGTGGGGAAGAGAGGGACGGGCGGGCAGAGTGGCAAAAATGGGCTTTAATATGAACACACTGTAAAAAAAAAGTCGCTGGGGTCGTGGGTCTTTTTTAAAGAGGATTTCTTAATAAAAAGTGCCTGTAAAAGAACAAAAGAACAAAAGAATAAAAGAATAAAAGAATAAAAGGAGAGAAGGCCGAGCACGAGCAAAGAGACTGCCAGGTCGTGTCAATCCTCATTCACTCTTCTCCATCCGATCTATCTCAATGCAACCAAATACCCCATGCCCCTCCTTCCCTTCAGACAAGCCAGAGTCATGATACACCCTCATAGTTGGCACTGGGACGGTGCCTCGTGCGCGCACCGAATTATTACTACATTCTCCTTTCCCGCCCTTGCTGACATGCTGGCATGCTGACATGTGAAGCACAATTATCAAAAAGTGCTCACCTAAACACTCCCCTTTCGTGCTGCACTAACAGTAATATGACAGCATCGATCGGATACGCCTGTGCACTTGCTCTCACATCTTTCTAGCTTCCTTGGTAGACAAGTGTGCGCATGCTCCACTTGGCTTCTTGGCACTCCCACATGGCACTCTAGTAAAGACACGCTGTGCCATGTCACGCGAAGCGACAATGCTCTTCTCCACCACAATCGATGCACGCATGGACCTGTCCCCTTGAAAGTTTTCTTTTTTATTCGCTTTCGATTACAATTTTCATTGTCAAGATATTCCAGTACTGCTGCTTTGTTTCGATAGCCTCCATTCTTCAGCTCCTTCTCTCATATCATCCTCATATATGTGCACAGACACTCTAGTTGTCATCATCGCCCTCATCCTCAGGCGCTGCTGCCTCGCCATCGTCTCTGCTGCCATGGCGACCACGACCCTTACGGTCACGCTGGTAGAACTCCGCAAGCAGCTTTTGGGGGATACGGTTCAGCATCTCCTTAGGGAAGATGCGGAGCAGCGACCAAGCTTGGTCAAGCGACTCGAATACAGATCGCGACTCGTAGTTGCCTATCCACAACAAATCGGACCCCCATCGTCAGTATATCTTGTCATGAAAATATATACCATGCAGCGCAGACAAAGAAAAACACGACCATCAATTGATGTACCTTGCGCAATATAAGTCTTCTCAAACTTCTCCAAGAACTCCAAACTAAGCTTGTCCTCCTGGTTCAGGGCCTCCTCTCCGACGACTGCCTTCATGGCTGCGGCATCACGACCAATAGCATACTTGGCGTACAACTGATTGGAAACATCTCCGTGATCCTTGCGTGTTAGCTTCTCACCAATGGCGGACTTCATCAGACGCGACAGCGACGGCAAGACGTTGATGGGTGGGTAAATCTGACGGTTGTGCATCTGTCGGTCCACAAAGATCTGACCCTCAGTAATGAATCCAGTCAAATCAGGAATAGGGTGGGTGATATCTATTCAATTTGAAAAAAAAAAAAAAAAAACGTCGTTCGCTCGTCAGTATTAAGCGTGGGTCAAGGCGGCATTCATAGGATTCGCCCAGATGGAAAATGCAGGAACTTACCATCGTTAGGCATGGTCAGAATGGGAATCTGAGTGATGGAACCGTTTCTGCCGTCGACACGACCGGCACGCTCATAAATGGTCGACAAATCAGTGTACATATAACCGGGATAACCACGACGACCAGGAACCTCCTCACGAGCAGCAGAGACTTCACGCAACGCATCGGCATAGGAACTCATATCCGTCAAGATGACTAGGACGTGCTTCTCCAGCTGGTAGGCATAGTACTCTGCAGTGGTCAAAGCCAGACGAGGAGTAATAATACGCTCAATTGTCGGGTCGTTGGCCAAGTTGAGGAACAGCGTCACACGTTCGATCGAACCATCCTCCTCGAAATCCTGCTTGAAGAAGCGAGCAGTCTCCATGTTGACTCCCATAGCCGCAAACACAATGGCAAAGTTATCCTCGTGATCATCGAACACACCCTTGGTCTTCTTGACCAAACCAGCCTGTCTGCAAATCTGGGCAGCAATCTATGGTAACAACGGCAGAAATTGAACCTCTGTTAGAAGACATATAGAGAACAATAACAATGGCAATAAAGCGAAACCACCACCCTACAGTACCTCGTTGTGAGGAAGACCAGCGGCAGAGAAAATGGGAATCTTTTGACCACGAGCAATAGAGTTCATGGTATCAATGGCAGAGATACCGGTCTGGATCATCTCCTCGGGGTAGATACGGGAATAAGGGTTAATGGGCGAGCCTATAGTCAACAAGGTGAGTACGCGTTAGAGAATGTTGCGACTTGTCCTCTCGATGCGGATTAAGCATGTCGATTATAGTCAGCTGGGTTGTTTGGCCGCGTCATGTCATGTACCTTGGATATCAAGGTAGTCCTCCGCAAAGACCTTGGGACCCTTGTCGATACTCTTTCCTGATCCGTTGTAAACACGTCCTAACATGTCCTCGGAGACGGGCATTTTCAACACATCGCCAGAGAATTCAGCGTGTGTCTGCTTGGCATCAATTCCTGACGTGCCCTCAAAGACCTACAGTTGAATGGTGACAACCCAATATTTTTTAGGGAGAATCTCAAAGTCAGCCGCCCTGTCATTAGCACCTCCAGGCATAATATCATCCCCTGACTAGAGGTGTGATCACGTCGTCAAGACAAGTAGAGATCGAAAAATAACCCATCCTGCCTAAAAAAAATAAAATAAAAAATGCATGTACCTGAACGACAGCACGCTTGCCCTGGACCTCCAGGACTTGACCAGCGCGCTTGGTGCCATCGGGGAGAGTGAGTTCTACAATCTCAGAGAACTTGGGGAACTATAGAGCGCGACAAAAAAACAAAGAGTGAGTGAGTACCATAAAATGATGCACTTGCACACTTGCTTGAACACTGAGGCAAACGGTCTCGTTTGAATCGTACCTTGACATTGTCGAGCATAACCAAGGGACCGTTGACACCGGCGACCGTGCGGTAATCTAACGTCGAAAGGCACGTTTGTTACAGTCAGAATGCATTACTTCGAGCAGACTCTTGCCTGTCGACAACGTGTTGCCCATCGTTGCTTATATATTATTTTTTTTCCAGCACTCGATTCCTTATTTACCGAGACGGGGTTCGATGGCATAGTTGCGTGTGACAGCGGCGGCATGGAGCACACTGGCTTCCTTAGAGGAGAGGCGAGGATCCATCATGCTTGTTGGGGAAGGGTGAGTTGAGTGAGGGGAGGAGGAATGTGCGTTTTGTGGTTGAAGAGGGGCTCGGTTGCGCGTCTTTGCATCGGTGGGCGTGATGCATGGGTGAACGAGAGAGGGGCAGCAGAGGCGCTGTTAAGGGCTGTGGACTGACCCTCTCCCTCACGTCATTGCTCATCTCGGTCGTGAGAAAGCACCTGTCGATAAGAGTTAGGGATGATGGGTGGCACCTCTGCGACCTGATATTAATCGACAACATGGATGCTATTGATTTGCATGGCGCTGTCTCTGCTAGCTCTAGCAGTTGGGTAACCTGGTAACTGGTTGGGGCTGGCGAAGGGGGAGGAGAAGGGGCACAATAGGAGGTAATAGTATGCGTGTGCAGCATCCGTTTCCCTTTCCCATTCTTTTTTAACAAATCAGGTCCTCCCGATCTCACCACCACTTTACATTCCTCCATCGACCTTCACCTTCAAAAAAAAAATAAAGACCATGGCAACACTGAACCACTGCAGAAAAGTCTGGTATGTCTTTGTGCGGGGTTTCGCACTGAGCCAACCACCCATAGTGCACGCGCCCTGAATTGTCATTTTTATTGCTCCGTAGGACCAACTTTTTGAATGCCGGCGGGTTTGATATGCAGGCCCTCTCAGGGGTAAGTCGATCGTGTACGGTGCCTGCTCCAACCTATCACTACAGAATATCAGTGGCACTAGCTGTCGTTCGTACATCTCATCCTCCTCGAGTTGTTACCTTACATCGTATATAGCTCAAACTAGTCTCGGCATCCAAAGGATCGATCTTGTGCGAGTTACAAGTTGAGAAACAGCATCTGGTGAGTTCACTTGCTCAGGACAGATCCATATCTACTCTTTGGATAGGTTTGAATTTCTTTGTGCCAACTCATCATTCTATTGTTCGTGTTTAGAACCGACTGGGTGGATGTCATGGTGGACTACTTAGTACGATCGTCGATGTCGGTGGATCGTTGGCCATTGCTGCTGAGAACATGCACGCGACTGGCGTTTCGACTGGTAAATCTTTTGGAAGAGATTGTTCGTGTTGTGCCATCGTTAGTTGACCACTAAACAAGGAAATACGTTATCTTGTAGATCTCAATGTCTCGTTCGTTTCTGGTGCCAAGATCGGCGATAAGTTGTCCATCGTAAGGGTCTACATATCTTCGCTTACTTTGGCCTCCAATTGATCTACACCAAGACGCACATGCTGATAAATTCTGGTCAACGTCATTAGGACTCGCGTTGCGATAATGTGGGTGGGTCTTTGGCGTTCACATCCGTCGAGATCAAAGTCGGCGACAAGGTTGTTGCACTGGGTCGACACACCAAGTTCGTTCGTAATGCACACAAGCAAAACGCGGAAATGAAGAGATTAGAAGGAGCTGCAGCATCCGAGTAAAAAGGCTTGTATGCCAGACAACGGCGACATGTCGTGTATGTGTGTGCCCTGCATGTTATCTATAGACAAGTTCATGCAATAAAATAGAAACGGCCGCCTAATGCGTTGTTCAGGGTGCAATACGAATTGGCAGTTGTACGTCGGCTTTTAGTCTTGACTCTTGGCCAGGGTCATAGGGGACGTGCACATTGGCATGCAGGAGCCCGGAATGTTTGTCCTGCCCATGGACGCAGAAAAAGCAGAAAAAAAGACGCGGGTTAAAGAAATGGTGCATGCAGACAGGAGAAAGAGGAGAAAGTGGGGAAGGAAGATTATCAGACTAGAGGGGTCAGCTGAGTTTGCAGCGGCAGTGGGATGGGAAGGAATACATGTACATTGTCCAATGCACGTATATGATGGGGATGGGGATGGGGATGGGGGTGGGGACGGGACGGGCGTACGGGAAAGAGGGGACAGGGCACGAATGGTCAGTCGCCCAGTCGTGCCCACCATGACAATGGGCATTAAATATCTCCCCCACCTTCCTCTCTCTCTTTTCTCTTTTTCTCTTCTCTTTTCTTCATCGGTTTTCCTCAGTCCCCTAACACGACTCCACACGACCGGCTCATTCACGTTCATCCACACATACGCCTTATCCCACACCCTCAAGTCCCTTTCTCATCTCACCTGAATCACCATGCGCGAAGTCATCTCTCTCCACGTCGGACAGGCTGGTATCCAGATTGGTAACGCCTGCTGGGAGCTCTACTGCCTCGAGCACGGCATCGAGCCTGATGGCAAGGTGTAAGTCTTCTTTCTATTTCTCTTTATCCATCTGTATCCATGCATGCACCAGGCACGTACTCCGCCTTGGTATTTGCCTCTGGGCGGAATAGTGGCAGGGCCGGAAGACTGCTTTATTTCAATTGCGACTAATGCCCCTGTTTCCGCTCTCAACACAGTGCCTCCGACAAGAAGGCCTCGCAGTTCGACTCTTCCTCAAGCACCTTCTTCTCTGAGACCGGCGCTGGCAAGCACGTCCCCCGCGCGAGTAAGTCCTATGTCTTTGTTGATAAAAGGAGGCGGACCGGGTGCGTGGGACTGGTGTGGTTCGAACAAGAGCTCTCGGCCCATGAACAAAAATCAATCTTCTCTCAAAGTGTCTGAGCGTGGCGAGATGATGTTCATTAAGGGAGCAAGGGAGACAGCCGGAGAAACAAGGAGGACATGTTTGCTGACTTGTCGTTCTCCCCCATCTGTGTTTGCCATCACTCATAGTCTTCGTCGACCTTGAAGAGACCGTCGTCGACGAGGTCCGTAACGGCACTTACCGCACGTAAGTGGATTTGCATCTACTGCTGCTAACGGAAGGATGTGCTAATATGGCTCATCATGCAGCTGCTTATGGCCGACATTGCTTAACACTCATTCTTTACCCATGTAGCCTTTTCCACCCCGAGCAGATGATCAGCGGCAAGGAGGACGCCGCTAACAACTACGCTCGTGGCCACTACACCATCGGCAAGGAGCTCGTCGACTCTGTCCTCGACCGCGTTCGCAAGCTCGCTGATGCCTGTACGGGTCTCCAGGGCTTCTTGGTTTTCCACTCCTTTGGCGGTGGTACGGGATCCGGTTTTGGTGCCCTGCTCCTCGAGCGTCTCTCGGTTGACTATGGCAAGAAGTCTAAGCTCGAGTTCGCGGTTTACCCCGCCCCCGAGATGGCCACCTCCGTTGTCGAGCCCTACAACTCGATCTTGACCACTCACACCACCCTCGAGCACACCGACTGCGCCTTCATGGTCGACAACGAGGCCATTTACGATATTTGCAAGCGCAACCTCGATGTCTCCCGCCCAACCTACACCCACTTGAACCGCATGATTGCCCAGGTCGTGTCCTCGATTACGGCTTCGCTCCGCTTTGTCGGCTCCTTGAATGTGGACTTGACCGAGTTCCAGACCAACTTGGTCCCTTATCCTCGCATTCACTTCCCCTTGGTCACCTATGCGCCCATCCTTTCTGCCAAGAAGGCATTCCACGAGCAGCTCTCCGTCAACGAGATCACGACTGCCTGCTTTGACATTCAGAACCAGATGGTCAAGTGCGACCCTCGCCAGGGTAAGTACATGGCCTGCTGTCTTTTGTACCGCGGCGATGTCATTCCCAAGGATGTCAGTGCCGCCATTTCCGTCGTCAAGACCAAGAAGACCATCCAGTTCGTTGACTGGTGCCCCACTGGATTCAAGGTCGGCATCAATGACCAGCCTCCCTCTGTCATCCCTGGTGGCGAGGTGGCCAAGGTTCAGCGTGCGGTTTGCATGCTTTCCAATACAACTGCCATTGGTGAGGCCTGGTCTCGTCTGGACCATAAGTTCGATCTGATGTACGCCAAGCGTGCTTTCGTGCACTGGTATGTTGGAGAGGGCATGGAGGAGGGTGAATTCTCGGAAGCCCGTGAAGATCTCGCTGCATTAGAGAAGGACTATGAGGAGGTCGCCTCGGAGTCCATGGAGAACTTGGGCGAGGATGAGAATATTGAGTACTAAGTGGATTCATGCCACCGGAACTCCAATGCCGTCTCCCTATCTCCGTCCGCTCGACCTGACATTTTTCAGGAGTTCTGTTCCCATTTCCCCTCTGGAATTGATGCCGGAAGCATTGATGAGCGCGTCTCCAGTCTCTTTGCTGATTGCATTGATTGTGTGAAAACGAATATATCCTCTTCAAATAGCATAAAATGAAGATTTTTTTACTATAACCACCAGCAGTATCATCATAACGTGGTGTGGTGCCTTGGTCCAAAAGATGCCCTAGTTCGATGCAATGGTAAATCCAAAAATATCAAGCCAGAAAAGATCGTTTAGACCTGTTCTAGCTTGCAGTTTTTTATTCCTGCAGTATTCCTCTTTTTTTTTCCTTCAAACAATCCTGACTCTTCATGCAATGAATTGTTTCTTTTACTTTGTGAAAGATTTGATGTTCTACAGGATCAAAGTATGAAAAGACAAAGGTCGACAAGATGTTAGCATATATGTAAATAGAAGAAAAAAGTCCACCGTAGTTCTGATAATAGAATAGAAAAAAAAATCAATCCGCTTACGTTAAAGTCCGCCCTCTCCGAAAACTCGGCAGCGACCTCGTCAATGAGGGGAGTGAGGTATCGGACATCGTCCTCGGGCTTGAGGATGTTCTCCTTCGTCGCGACCGTGTGCGAGAGGGAGTACTGGAACGCAGTCTTCATGCGGAACACGCGCTCGTAGACTTCCTCGTCGGGGAGGCGGTTGGTGGCCTCACGGATAATGTCGGTCTCCTCGCGAAGAATATCGTCGTAGCGCAGACCTGGAAAAACAATGCGATGGTTGACAGTTTCGAATTTGGTTAACGAGGGAAGGTATGTATCTGAAGGGGGCGTTTATTCAAGATACGAAAGTCGTTGTTGAACCCTGTAGAATTCCTGAAAGTGCGTTCCTCAAACAAAAGTGTGCAGGCAAAGGTATAATGAGTATTGAGAGCACTGAAGGCGCTGTTTCTCGTTGGTGAGCTCCATGGGTGGGATCTCCCGAATCCAGTATTCCGTTTTTCACGTTTTTCACGTCACCGGTCAGAACGGCATATTTCCGAATCACCGAAAAGTCCGGAGGGGTTGGATGAGCGCGAAGGTGGTGTTGGGGGAAGAAGTATGGTCCTATTGTAGATCGCTGTAGCTGCTTCCTGTAGTTTCCGAATGAAGAATTGGTGCCAGAAAAAGAGAAGAAAGAAAGCAAGAGGGATGCATTTTCGATCAAGAGAGAGCTGTGGTGAATGGAGTTGCTTGGGGGAACCACGCACCAAGCTTGCGGTATCCGGCAGCGTTGACGAATGCGTTGGCAACGGGCTGGAGGGCGTTGGACCAGAACTTTGAGGCCTTGACCTGGTTGACGAGAGAGATTCCGGACATGTCTGGCTATGTTGCTGTAAACAGGATGGAGAGGGGAGCGGAGGGTCGTGGAATCGAAGAGGGTTGATGGAAGGAGTTGTTCGCTCTCTGCTCTTTCCTCCGGAGAAACGTGACCTGCGAGGGAGCCGTCGTCACAGTCTTCCCCCTCAGTCGCATTTGCAGTGGACACGCACACTCAACACACGCAACACCCCCCATTGAGCACACAGAAAGTCGTGTCCCTTTTATCTACCAACCTGCATTCAGTCTCCATTCCAGTCCTCAACAACCGCCCGGCTCCCTCTTCTCATCACTCGCCCACCCCACCAACCAACACCAGTAACCGCCGCCAACCAAGACAAACGACAGCACCATGAGTCGAGGAGCAGGCTACGATCGCCACATCACCGTCTTTTCGCCCGAGGGACGACTCTACCAAGTTGGTAACGTGTTCTGGCGTGTCATATCGTGTCGCGCGGTGTGCCCGCTGTCCCTGCGGAGGTCGCGCTATGATAATGGCTCTGTCGTCTTGTTACTGACCTGGATATAACGCGTCCCGTACCTCTCTGTCTCTATAGAATACGCCTTCAAGGCTATCTCCAACTCGGGAATCACCTCTATCGGTGTCCGCGGCAAGGACTCCTGTGTCATTGTCACTCAGCGCAAAGTTCCTGTAAGCACTTTGTCAAGCACTATCTGATACCGGCGCGTTTATGTTATCGCAACGCGAGTATTATTATTATTCTTATTTTCGTTTATTCACATCACTTTCCATTCTTCTCTATGTTCCATACTATATGTTCATTAGGACAAATTGCTGGATGCCTCGACAATTAGACACATTTACCCCCTGACGCCCAAGATTGGTTGCGTGATGACAGGACTGGTACCCGATGCTAGATCAGCCGTGAGCAGGGCGCAGAGAGAGGCTGCCGAGTTCCGGTACAAGTTTGGATACGAGATTCCTCCAGATATGCTGGCCAAGCGTATGGCCAACATCAACCAGGTCTATACTCAGCATGCTGCCATGCGACCCCTTGGTGTTTGTAAGTCGAATGCTTCCTTTTGAAAGTAAGAGTCCCTTTATTACGTGCGTTTTTATGAACCACAATTGACCTGAATGTGTGCAATTGTTTTTTTTTCATTAGCCATGATTTTGATTGGATTGGACGATGAGCGTGGGCCTCAGTTGTTCAAGATCGACCCTGCAGGATACTTTGTTGGATTCAAGGCGACCGCTGCTGGTGCGAAGCAGACAGAAAGTTTGAATCACCTGGAGAAGAAGCTCAAGAAGGAAAAGGAGCTGGACGAGGAGGAGGCCATCGAGGTATTTGTTTTGGGACGGTACTTTGTAGCAGGATGTTGTCATTAGGAATGCGAGTTTTTATGGTGCTCTAACTATCGACGATGACTATTTTTGGCACTCTGATAACCGTATATAGCTTGCGATCACAACGCTTTCGACGGTGCTTTCCTCAGATTTCAAGGCGACCGAGATCGAGGTCGGTGTTGTTTCGCTTCGGGACCCCAAGTTCCGTACTCTGGAGGTTACCGAGATCGAGGATCATCTTCAGAGGATTGTTGAGAAGGACTAAAGGATCTTCAGCATGGGCGTCATGGAGTCTTGTCTGTCGTAGACGCTCTCTTCTTCGTCCCTTTACAATTCGGCAGGATAGAGTGAACAAAAGAAGGGCAGCAAATACTACAGTTATATTCAAAAGCACGAAACTGCGAAGAAATAAAAAGAAAAAAAAATATATATGGCATTGTATTTTAAACAAGCAGAAAGACACTCGGACATTACTGAGCACATGGTACCGCCGCTTAGTTCCTCCAGAAGGCGATTGACCTCTCGGCCAATTTGTCAGACGCGTCTTTCTCCACGGAATGCGAAGATTCAAGAGTAGATGGTCAGTCCAAACTTGCCCTATTCATGTGCAGATGTCCTTTCCTCGCCCATTTGGCCCTTTCCAGACAGGGTTATCAGTTCCTTGGTAGACACGCCCAGCAACTTCTTGGCTCATACTGTCGAGCCAGGTTAGCCCAGGCGGATTGAGAGGTCGTCGGATCCGAACGCCAGACGTGATGCGCCTCAAAGGAAGAGGACTATGAATGGACAACCATGCCTAGGAAGGAGGCGCATGTAGCTTCGGTGCAACCCCATTCTATCGCCATTCATAGGAATGTCCTCATTCCAGTTGCTTCTTTTTTTTTCTGCGCTCGCATCACCACCATCGATTATATAGGTTATCTCAAGTTCACATCGAAAGATGATGGATTTATGAAGTGGCAAGCACACAGTGACTGGAAAGACACCATTAATCGCCTTCTTCAGTGCAAGCACCAAGGACTTCTTCGAAAGGGCGAGGAGCTGCAACGAAAGTAGAACAACAATGCCCACAAGCACTTGGACGACATACACTGAGCCCTTCAGAAAAGGAAACGGTCTGCCAAGCTCCAATCTCTCACAGTAACAGGTTTGGCTGACGCATCAGTTAACGACACGATGAAACGGATGCTCCAAGAAGAATTGGGTATGCCATGTGCGTTCCATTGCACGGTGCCTTTTTGTATGCTTGCTGTTAGCTGAGATATCTATTTCTAATATTACTAATTGCCTATCTCATGGATCATGAAATGCACAGGCTTGGGTGATGTACCGTCACTCGCACAAGCGGACTCTTCTGAAGAAATTCGTGTGGGCTGTGAGAACCAGGGAGTGCCATCGACGTCGGAAACCAATCTACCCGAGGTGTTCTCCAATTTGGTCCGACCGATTGCCGGAGAAGGTATTGCTTTTGACAGCTTTTTGGCAAAGATGACTGAGTGTCTTGATTTCAGAAGCTTACTATTTCACAGTTGGAATAACCATACCATTACCGCTGCAGATCCTGGAGACCCTTGCAAAGTCCATTTTGTAGAATTTTGTTCCGTCAGGGAACGAAGTCGACCCGAACGCGCTGAACCCTCGAGGCGGACGACCTGCACGAGCGATGGACTTGAGCTGAGAAATCCAAGCGTCTCGCATACTCCGTTTGATCTTGAAACGCCTTCGGTGATGAGATCATTGAAGCTTCTGCGATGTAAAGTTGATTATCCTCATACAAACCCACACCGTCCGCCATGTATGCTTGCTCTTTTGCCTCCGTTAGCAAGTTCTTGCTGCTGTTTTTCCGCTCATCCACTCCTGTCAGCGAAACCTCGAAGTGTCTCGACTCGATTCCTGCCAGAGTCGACGCTCCTCTTATGAACGTCCATGTCCTATCAGAAAACCTCTCTCGCTCATTTAACAGCGCCGGGATCTCGATATGAAATTTTAGATAATGAGAACTTGATAGCATTGCACGTTTATGAAAACCAACCGGTGTGGTGTAGTGGCTCTATATCAGGTAAAAGTACTCTCCTGGTAAACATAATAATTGTCTAACTGTAATAAAATTAAGCTCCAGATGCAGAGAACACTTGTAATGATAAAGACAGCAAATACTATTTACAAGAATGAAAAAGACGACGACACACTCGGGTAAGGGATCAGCAAGGTTAAAGGGACTCTGTCTTGATTCCTATGCCTAGACGACGACATCGAGGAGTGCTGTTCTTGATCCTCCACTCTTGTTTGTTATGAGACCATGATCGTTGCCTCGTCGAGGGTCCTCCAGGCTACGCGAGCGGACTCGCAGGAACATTTGATTGCGCTAGGGGTGCAGAAGTTCAGACGCACAGGTCTCGTCTCTACTCTTGCTGGGCGATACGCTATGCTGGCCAGTGATGGCAGAGTGTACCAACTTGGGGCACAATGTAATGGGACAGAGGCGCGTGGAGCGACTTAAGGAGTCGTACAGGGCAAGTGCTGTGCAAAAGTATTAGGAGGAAACAGACCAGGAACCTTTCGGCCCTGCCGTTCTGTTGACCAAGGAATTCCTATGAATGCAGACCCAATTGACTATTACATAACTGCACGCCCCTCTACTTGCACATCCTGTAACTGCCCTATTCCATTCATCGTATCATATCAAGGGATACTTGTATCCGTGTGCACTCTGTGGATTTATCACACCACACCGGGGCTAATTGAGTGGTCCATACGTGACTATTAACGTTTAACATCCACAGCAACCCCTGTGATATTAGGTACCAAGTCCCTGGGAGCGATCTCTATAGCGACCGCACGCGCACATGCTATAACCAACCAAAAGCAGCTCCGACATGGACTCATGAGGACCGTACAGAGTCAGGAAAACAGTCGGCCGATATGGAGAATTGGTTGGTCACCAGATATTGTCTTTCCTACTTTATTTACAATAATCGCTCGTTCACGCCAAGAAAAATAGGAGGATATGGACTTGACCCTTCGTGTCAAAGCGCCCTGTCCATTTCAAGGAAGCGAGAATCGGTGTTGGAGGTCCTTTTCAGGGATATTCGTACTCTTCATTTTCTGGATAGAGTCGTTCGGGAGAGGTTTCTTGGTGCGGTTTGGGTGGTTTATTTTCTACTGGCGTTGACGAAGAAGGAGATGTGAAATCTAGAGTAATGAGTAGCCCACCAACAGTGTTACGGCAGACGAGCTATACTCATTTACTAATGCGAACGCTACGCATTTATTTACTTTTTTCTTTCTTTGTTTGTTTTGTTCACACCATGCTAAGGTCCATAACAAGCCTATCCAACTTCTCAGGCGTAGTGCCCTGGCACTGGCCCATCAACTCTCGACTATGAATGGACAAGAATGTCGGCACCGTCTTGATATCGTACCGGTCCTGAACGTCCTTAATCTCATTGACATTGATCCGCAAGAAGGCGATCCCCTTGTGAGCAGAGTCCGTTGCGACCTTTTCGAAATAAGAGTCCATCCTCTGACACTCGGGATCGTTCTCAACAAAGAAATCGAGCACGATTTTCTGATGCCTGTCAAACGCGTCGTTCAGGTCGCTCATGGTTCTAATCGGAGTCGACATGATCTCGAGCAGCAGAATGCGAGGATGAGGGTGGGAAGGGTATAAGAGTAGGGGGTTAGAAGGTCTTGGGTCAACGTGTTGTGTGATTTTGTAATGATAGATTGAAGGAAAAGAGTTGAAAACAGAACGCGTGATGGTATGCAAGACAACTCGTTTTTTTATACGCATGACTTTAATGCAAATAAGATCCTGCATGAGCTCTGTCGCTGTCACCTTCGCCGTAATGATGTAGTCCACACCCGCCACCATGTCATTCGTTGACGGAATTTGGCTCGTGCACCAGACCGCGATCTCTATGAAACCTTGTATGTTTCATTCGATCGAATCTTGATTTATACCATCCTTTCTCCACAATCTTATGAATCCTTAGTGCAAAGGCGCCATAATTTGCTGAATGTAGTTTTGGCATACGATGCCTTCATTTTGAGCATCGCAGCCAATCCCTCGTTTCAGCTTCGGGAGAAAAGATTGGTATTGCAAAGATATATGTTCTCCACGGGTAGAAATCGGCGGTCGATGAAATGATGTAGTCCTGTTCCAATACATCAGGTGGGGGATCGGTGGTCTCATGGATCAGTAACTATGATCAAGGGTACGAAGACATGCTTGATTGTTGAAGCGAGGTGAAGACTATGGCGACCACCCGCTCACTATAAGAAATCTTGAGGAACATCCTATACACCGGAGCCTACCAGGAATCCAAACATGGGCCGTGTTTTTCAACCCCACAGTAGCTCCATCTGCTCCTGCTCACTCCCCCCGCACGAATGATGGAACGAAGGATCAACTTGTTCCAGGTCAGGCGACCATTCAATGACTTGAATCATGCTATCGGGACCAAATAGAAGACCTCAGTTTCAGCCTCTGTGGTACTTGAGTCCTACTCTTGATTAGTGTCGTCTGGAATTTCCCGATTAGATGTAATTTGTTCAAATCCATCCGTACCGACCAAACAAGTCTGCAAACACCCTGTGCTCAGTAGATTTGACAAGCCATAAGGAAAACCGTCGTATCAGAGACGGGAAGAAGATATGTTCCTGGTATCTGCGACCTCATTGAGACTAACGCGTGCGCCCAGAGAAACAACTGACCGCAACTGTAGATAACACGCCGATCAGCAGGGCTTAGTTCTTTCCTTTACGATGGGGTTACTATCCAGCCCGGCTGGTCAGGTAACGCTCCCGAAGGACATTCCATTCTTCATCTGAAAATCCCCCAGATCACACAAAAAGAAATCCAGAGTTCCACGGTCTAGATCGCATTGAGGAACAATCCCACAGTGAGCCCATGACTTCTCCTGCACAGGAACTAGAGATCGTTCAGCGGTATCTGAATATTGTACCCGATGCCGTCCGTAATATTGGCTGCGTCCAATGTCGATCCCTTGCAAGCAAGTCCGGTCTATGGATCTCGACGCCCTGACAAAAACACTGGCGGTTTGATCCTTTGCTCCTGTGGTCCCTGGAGGCCTGGCCCCCTGATCCAATAGCACATTCATAATCGACGTCGTCTACAATTTCTCTCTTTGGACACCACGGCAGTAGCCTTAAATAAAGGAGACGGGCAATGCAGTGATATGTCTCTCTCCTTGATAAAGCTCGCAGCTTCATCCTTCCACCTCGGTGAAAGACACTGCCCAGTTCATCTATTACTGGTTGGGAAATCAAAGGTCCACTCCTGGTGCCTCGATGCTATATTTAAAGACCATGGTATGGAGCTACAGCAGAAGGGACATCAGGCTCGATTGCGTGGATGGCAGAGTGAAGAATAACTGTGGGACTGTGGGTACCAGATCTTTATCTAGTAAATGCCAAGAGGAAATGAAAGTAGATTATGTTCAGGGAGTAGGAAAGAGCAGGGAGGGGAGAGCACGGCCAGGATCCGGGCAGGACCCATACAGTAACGTGTTTTCTTTTAGCCGTAACGGAGAAGACGTTGTTACACCACGGCGGATGCACGGACGGTTTGGACGCAGCATACCTTGTAACCCGAAAAGGAAATGGCCCTGTATGGTAGACATGAGCAGTTCTTTTTAGCACCAAGCTTCGGTATGGGAAAGGTGACTAAGGCAAATGTATTCTGAGCAAAACGAGCCGTGTCACCGTAAAATGGAGCAGGGGCAGGGGCAAAAGCAGGAAAAATAAATAAATAAAAAGAGCAGGGGGCTCTCTGACGCGTCGCGCGATAGGTGGCAACGCGTTTCGTGCACCACACGCGCAAGGGAAATCTGAGCAATACGCTCTCGAGATACGTTATGATTGCTACTCAATCCATCGCACCATCTCTCTAAGGCCTAATTGAAACCCTCATATGAGGGAATTGTGTAAGCAAAAATGACCTCTTCGAGGGAGATGGTACTGCCTATCCAATAACTAGCGCACATTCTCACCAGAATGGACTCGTACAACAGAACCAAAGCTGGGATGAAAATAAAGTTGGATTCAGTAATCACTTTGTTGACGGTCTGGTCGTCAAAATTTGAGGGTTACACAATGGTCGCAGCATCCATAGTCGTCAATGTGAATAGGTGCGCAATTGCGTGTGCTTTGCCTTGTTAATCTGAGACTAAGTGTAACAGAGGTGAGGTAGTTGCTTTTGTTTGTTTGTGTCTTTGCCATAAGCTAAACTAGGGCGCCCGCTGGATCCTCTGGGAGCACATTCCTTCCATCACAATATTCTTTTGATTGACCTTCCCAAGCATCGTCCTCGAAGGGTTCCTCCGCGGAACGCACCTATGTAACAGTGCTACTGTCGTCCTTCAATCAATCGAACTTTAGCATGCAGGATATAGAGACACAGACTAGCATCTTGCTGTGATCTGAAGTCATCACTAGCAGAGACACGCACATCTGTTTAGCACTCGACGGATTGTCCCGTTATTGCCAATCGATGAGCCGCGTTAGTGAGCCCTCAGAAGCATGGGTTGATCGCTACACATCAGACACGCCATCAAAGACAGCACTTGGGCTCATAACTTACACGAGGATTTCCTCCTTTCTCAATTTCCAAAGCTAGGTCGCAGGTTGTTTGCTTTCGTAAGTCGATCTAGAGCAAAAGCCATGATGTTGGCATCAGCATTCACCTGTGATATCTACTATTTCGTTGCTCGAGTAGCCTCTTCAAATAGCCCCTATACACTCACCAAACCCTTATGCTGTTGACATCGATGGTCCCTATCCTTATGCCAAAAGCTCTTATGATTTCATTTATCTATTTTGATGACTTCAATGCCGAGGCTGCTGGGGTTATTTTTCTCAAATCAGCGATAAGAGCACTCCTGGTTGCTTCTCTCTCAAAAAGAGATTCTAACTTTCATAAATGCTTTGCACGAAAATGTGTGAGAGAGAGAGGGGGAAGAGAGGAAGTGATAGAAAAGCACGACAAACTGGTCATCCATCCTGCAAAAGCAGCCAAGCTACTGTGGTTCCGGATCTAGTCAAGAATGTGAAAAAATAAATGCAAAGCAATCGAGAACGTTGTCGTTGTGTTGATCGATCGAGGCAATGGTGATCGTAGTACTGTCATTGGGAAGACTAAACGGATGAAAATAGACAGCGCGTCCATAGCTACGAAAAAATAAATAAAAAAGAAGTGAGCATGACTAGTAGTTTCCCAAGCATGATCCAAGGAGCTCGGGTTATGGACGCGTGCTGAACAATGAATGAAAGAAAAAAAGATGGTGTCAATATAGTGAGCGATATGCAAATTTACAGATATTGCGTTCACATGCTATGCCCAACCATACACGTTCGCAGTTCTATCCTTCTGCTCCTCTTCTTAGAGCGCGTCTCAAAATTGTCAATGTAGAGAGTAAGTCTTCTTTTTAGAAGAAACTAGAGACGCAATAGGTGGGTATTCCGCAAACTCGGGGGTTTCCTTCACGTTAATTTGCGAACAAAATGATGAAGGGGTGTAACGAAGAGCGTTAATCCCCTTTGTTGCATACTGCAAGCCGTAGGCGGGACGGATGGCGCATAGAGTTTATCGTCATTGGCTGTTTACAGCGGGTATTTGAATTGTTAATATGGAAGGCGAGGAAAAAAATGGCGGGCGAAATATAGAACGCGATGGTTTGAGTGGAGTCCAGACTCTAGATCTTTGATCAATGCGCGATGTTTAGAATATATTCTTCTATCAAGTCTTTGTGCCATACTGCGAGCCTGCTCCTTGTTCCTATGGGAGCAGATGCAGGAGTCAATGTATATGTATATATTATTAAGCAGTTTATCGGTATAGTTTATCTGGCAAGTCGTAAAGACGTCTTCATATGCGCATCCTAGGGAGGATGGGCAATAATGGTTGTCAAGGTGATCGCTGCAGCGTTGAATTCATGGGCTCAGGACTTGATGCTCTATCGTTTATTTTTTTTTCCCGTTTTCACTCAGAGTCTACGGTGGTTTGTGCACTTCGCGGGAGAAGTGACCAAACATATCGTCAGAGCATTTTTGAACGTTGTAAATTCCTGAGGAGCACAAATATGAGCAAAAAAAAAAAAAAAAGAAGGATGGGACCGGTTGAAATGGACCTGAGTGGCCTGGGAAATTACACAAGTGGCACGAGCAGAAGTTTTGTGTAAGGTACTCGAGCACATACATGTAAACATGAAGTCGATCTCTTTAGGTGTGAATGAAGGTGAGCAGGAAAGTGGTGGAGCGGCTACATTACAATGGCGATTGCTGCTTCGTCTCATTTCGCATCGAACAGCAGCAGAAAGAGAACGGGATATGGATGGGCGGTCTGCTGGTAATCAGGGGGAGAGAACGTTCTGACAGCATGAATGCAAAAACTTCTACGCCGCCTCATTCTGAAGTGGTTCCGAATAGAAGGGTCTCCTGAAAATTGCAAAAAGGCCGTTATTTATCACAAATCACCACGGACATATGCCTAATGATTAACTAGACCATGCAGAACGTGTCCTTTCTTCGATGAGAAAACAAGAGAAGCCAAAAACAGGCCATCTATTAGGTTTCTGTAATGATTAATGCTGGTGCCGCGACAGCGATCAGAAAGATCTCTCGGGGGGAAGCGAGAAATGAAATGTTTGCAGTAAAGTGGAATACCGCTCCGAAAAGAGTTACGTGGCCATTGACACTCGACAGGACGAACTGCCAGCCAGGGACACGCCGTGAAAGGGAAAGAGGGGAAAGACGGCCAGAGCCGGCTATTGAACGGGTACTCTGCTATATTTCAAGTTTACGTTACTCTACTGTACTCTACGTAACATGTAGCACAATGAGAAGTTGCTGGCATATGTTTGTTGCATAATTGTATACAATATTAAAGTAGGCATATTACAATAAGTCCTTGAGGCTGAAGGGAAAGCAAGAAGAGCAAGAAAAAGGAAGGAAAGAAATATAAAAGGCCTATTGAATTGAAATGGTTGATTGCGATACGGCCACTGAGAAATTGAATAAGGATCCTTATTCAAACGACGCGCACAAACAAAATATGTGTGATGGTTGAGTACTTGCAGCCTGTTCATTCGTGCTAATCCAATCGAAGGACTTGTTCACCTAACAAACACAGCTCAGCTCCAAAGTAACACACACCACCCACGCATATCATATCCTTCTCCACCGCTGTACAGCGGTCGAGAGAAGAGGGGGAGGGTGGGGGTGGCCATAATCCAGTGGAAAATTATATAAATCAGATCCGTCGCTTGTTGTCATTGCCTCGACCTTTCTTCCCCTCTTCTCCTCTTTTCCTCTTTCTCGTTCTCGTCTCTTGACTCCTTCTCTTTTTGTCCGCTGTCGCTTAGTTGTTATCAGTTCTTTAAGCGATCGACCTGTCGGCAGAACAATCCAAAAAAAGAAAGCAGCGACAAAAAAACTTCACGCCATCCGACCTACTCCAACCAGCTAACGAACTACTCAACAAACCAAACGACCATTCATCCAAACCATTGCCACTAACCTGACCCTCGGACCAAAAAAACAACAACGCCAATACTCTGTCTGCATTATTATTATTATTTTTTTACCGCGGATAAGCACACATCACGGTTCATTAATATTATTTTTCCCGCCAGCAAAACATGTAAGCAACAAAAAAAAATCCTTCCTTCCCGTCCCTTCTTTGCCCTTTCCTCTAGTGTTCTATCCCCTTGAAGAAACCTGATCATGCGCCACCGCCCTCTACCCATTATCCCTTCCCTTGACTCAAAGACTTTCGATCATACGGTATATTAATTTCATTTATGATCGGCACTTTTCAATTTGATAAAATGCTCGTTGCTCGGTTGTGTTCCCGCCTGTGCCTGGAATGCGCCGAGAACTGAGAGAGACAGCTCGCGCGGAAATAACAGCTGGAGGGAGTAACGATATCCCTTTGCGCTAGAGTTAATCTGCCGCATCCACAATGATGGGTTCGGCATGATAGACTTTGAGGGAAAGTGAGGAATCGATGCTAGGGGATGGCGGCAAAAAAAAAAAAAAAAAAAAATAAGCCAAAAGCATGCTTACACAAACATCCTCCTAAATATACATGCACCCTCCAATCCCTACCGCAGACCCCCCGACTCATTTCACGATGACTGACAGACAGACAGTACCAACAACCTTTGCTGAGCAAAAACAAAACAAAACATCCACGCACAACAGTGTCAGCTTCCTTGCTCCCTACATTACAAGGAGTACACCCTTGCGTTTACCGATGTTCTCGTACACCTTTCGCAGTATGCATATGGATAGCATCCTTATTATTACCCGCGCTTTTCTTTGACCTCTTCTTTCCTCCTCGCTACTTTTCTGTTTGTGTTCGCTTACGATATGCTGTGCTCTGCCCAAAGGGTTCAACTGTTTGACTGATCAATGCATTATTTCACTTGCATACTACGTTTTTTAATTTGCTCACTCTCTGTTTATGCTTCCTAGATCGTCCCTCTGGTCTTCCTGTCATCGTTGAGCCCCTTGCACCCTGCCTTGGCTCTTTCGTGTTTCACCTACAAACACAAGACTCTGTGGAACGAGCGAGGAAAGAAGGAACAACGGACGGGCGGATAGAAGGAACTATTGCATACGCACGCACGTACAGAGAGGAAGAGAGAGAGCATTTTGTTCGAATATCATCCCCCTACCGATCGCAAGAAAGAGGGCAAGCTAGAAGGGAAAAAAAAAAAGGCCCCGATAGAGCCATATCCTCCGACTGGATTCGACCTCGACCTCGACCTCGCCTGCTTTTATCTTCCGCGCAACCAATGCTTCAGGCCCTTATGGTGTTCCCGAACAATAACGATCTCTTCCATGTAACCCATACTCAACTGGGCGAGAACGTGGCCGATATAATCCAACACCAGCACCAAAACCCGCAACAGCTACACCATCCTCATTCCCCGGAGCATTATCACCAACAACAACCCACAGAAAACATGATGGCCTCAGCCGCATCGTCGCCAATACAAGAACGCATCCTCAACCCCTTCCCCTCCACTTCTTCTTCTTTAAATTCCTCATTAAATTCCTCCTCCATTCCTTCACACATAAATCCCCTTCTGCCAACACACCACCCCCAAAATCATCTCCATCCTCAACAGCAGCTTTCGTTACACCAATCACAGTTACACCAACCTCTTCCTCAGCACCAACAACTCTCCCAGTCCCCAAGGCGCCATCAACCCCATTCTCCACCACAGACATCATCCAAGAACCAAACCTATCCTCCCACCCCACTCTCTCACCAGTCCTCGCAAGTAACGCCCTCTCCACAACAGCAAACTATGCACTTTCATATGATCTCACCTATGATGGTCAGCAATCTTAGCGCACCGTCCTCACCATCCTACTCTGTCATCAAGTCTGAAGAGGGACTTCGTCACCAGAACTTCGAGTATCTGGTCTACCCTTCCTTCGACGTGCAGTCGCCGCCTACGCCACAACCACCTCACCATATCCTTCCCTCACAGCGATCCCCCCATCCCCTGCCATCCTCACAGCAGCGAATGATGTCTTACAACGATGTCTCCCTGATGCAGCAGCGTCAACACAGCCATCAGCAGCAGATGAGGATCCAACAGCAACAGCAGCAATACCATTCGTACCACTCGCAGCAGCAACTCATGTATGACCCCCAACCAACAGCTTCAGGTCGTCCAGCCATCTCTTCAGCCATGTCCATGTCCATGCCCCTCTCCGTATCAATCCCTGTTACCTCGGGTTCATCCGCACTTATGGTCAATTCTTCCACATCGACCAACTCCGCCAGTCTCTTCACACCGACTAGTGCTGCCACACCGATCCCTTTTTTCGGCCCTTCTTTCTCTCCATCTGCCTTATCAAAGGACGAAGCTGCCGCCATGGGATCCCACAAGATGAACACGGCTGCCATGATGGCATTTCAGCACCAGAAGCGACAGTACTCATCACAGGGTAATATTAGCTACTCTTCTATTGCTACTGCTTCATCCACAACAGTAACCCCTACTGTCGAGTCCGGATCTATCCATCCTGCGTCGCCTAAACGATCAAGACAAAATTCGAGCCATCAACATGCGATAGCCCAACTCGCCCCAAATACGATGGAATCAGGTCCAGGAATCTCTGCCCTTCCAGATTTTCCATCCTCTAGCGTACATAGTGCGACTACTGCCGCTAATGTCTCGCCTTCACCCTCTGCCAAGAGACCTCGAAGACCCTCTACAGCGCTGTCGAGCAGGACCTCGACCGCTGGCAGCCCACACCTGGTCTCAGCAGACGATGCACGAGTCGCCAAGGTTGCAAAGACCTCGGTGACTTCTTCGGCCGCAGCCGCAGCTTCAGCCGCAGCATCTGGTGTACCAATGGCCATGGCTACAAGGACCCCGAGCCGCGTTGGAATCGCCAAGGGGCCATCATCGACCGTTTTGGATCAGGTACAGGCGCAGTTCCTGCATCCATCACAGCCACAAGTCCAGGCACGCACACAGCCGCCCCAGCCGGGTGTCATCGTCCACTATACCCATGTCCCTACTACAGTCACGACGACCGTGGCCCGCACGGCTCACACGGGCAATGTGACCCATCCACGTCGTGCTGCCCAGAACCGAGCTGCACAACGAACTTTCCGCAACCGACGCAAGGCCTATATCAAGGATATGGAGCAGAAGGTGCTCGAGTATAACCAGACGAAGGCCATGTTTGAGGAGGTCCAGAACCAGAACCTGGAGATGTGGCGACGATTGAGGATCCTTGAGAGCTTTGTGGCCCAACATGGGTTGACTCCTCCATCGTTCGCACCCTTGATACCGTTCTGGGAGACGGACGCCGGCATTGCTGCAGCACAAGCACAAGCACAGGCAGCGAGCGCGGCTAGCGCTGGAGGAGATGGAAGTGTTTATAGCCGGACATCAAGTCGCAACAGCCAGACCTCGGAGATCGATGGTGAGGCAGAGGATGGTCATAATCTTACGTACAGCAGTCATCATAGCGGTATCAGTAGTATTATTAAGCATGAGGAGAGTCAGGATGAGGATGGCGAGCATGATGTTGACGCTCGAGTTGAGGATCTGGACGTTAGACGATCCACGTAGAATGACAATATATGATAACGCAATATACTTGTAAATAGAAAAAAAAAAAAAACTTTTCACTTTCCCGCATTGTTCATTTTGCATGAACAATAATGAAATTTGGCGCCTTTTTCCCTCCATTTTTTTTTTGCATTGCATTGCGCACCTGGGAATAGTAAAGTTCTATTTGTTGTTTGTTGGCGTCAATGGTTCAGCTATCATTTTTTTTCTTTCTTTTTTCCCGCCCTCTTTATTTTCCTCCGCATTGGGATGGATTCGGGTCAATTCTTTCGGAAGGGTAGTATATTTAAAAAAATCAACGATTGTTTGTAGTCTAAGATTGATTATAAGCAGGAATGGGGGGAAGTAGAGTCGCTCGGAGGTTTATTTGTTGTCATGGTGGTACCATGGAGTTGTCAGGGACGATTGTCGCACAAATAATATGTATCAAATAAACCCCCCAAGAAGGGCCTTTCTTTCCTTCCATCGTTATTTGTCTAAATTTGAATATTTGGGAGGGGACATGGATCATAAGGTCCAGCGGGAACGTTTGGCGCATATTTTTTTTTTTTTTTTCCCTCGCAAATCCCCAGTTTCCCTCGGAATGCATGCATGGCTGCTTATGTATGGCACATACATAGACCACACGTACAAATCCAAGAAAGCAACAGAGAAGGATGTGTGCATCCATGACAGAGCAGTTATATTATTATTAAAATATTATTATTATTATGTTTTTATTGTATTCATTCCAAAGGAGTTGATATGTACATGGAAATGATAGGGTGTATGTGTCATTTGAGGCGTGCGGATCAAAAGCCAAGTGAGCGTTGTCATGCTCATCTCTCCATCCTTAAGGCCTGATAGAACTCTCCAAAGTTCTTGGTGTCGAGCAAAGGTGGGGAGCAAGGCCGGGGCGAAAAGACACATTCTTGGGTGGAACAGCTGCAAGCCCCCTCTGTTCCCTCCATTATGCCTTCCTGGTCGCACGTATCCTGCTGCTGCTGCTGCATGGCCACGTCCGATGATGGTGTCAAGCACTCGATCTGCTGCTGCTGTTGTTGCTGTTGTTGCTGGCAGCCATGAAACCCATTCGACCAGCCTCGTGTAAGAACCTTGGCCAGCTTATGGATTCCTGCCTTCTTGGAAGAAGAAGCTCCGTGGATCGAAGAAGCAGATGAGCCCGAGTTCGTGCGCGTAGGCGCCGCAGGTCTCAGTGGTAACTTGGACCACAGACCCGAGCCACCACGGCCCTTCATCGATGCGGTCTCGTCTTTTGCGGAAGCTTCGCTCATGGATGTCACGACTGCAGGCGTCGTCAAGGGCATGGCTGGGATCTCAGGGGCGAAGATCGACATCGCTGCAGAGGAAGCCGAAGACGAGGTTGAGGAGGGGCGTGAGTAAGAAGACGTCGAGGCAGCGACCGAGGACATGGATGAGGAGGCTGAGGATGGAGGACGGTGGGAGGCCACGAATGAAGGTACGGGTGGGCTGAGCTCGAGGGGCTCATTCGCCTTGAAGGGCACCCCCTCAGGGAACCGTCTCTGAGCCAGTCTTGACGATCGCGTCGAGAGCGGGTGGATTGGGGTAGATGGAGTGCCCAGATCAGGGAAGGAGAACCGGTCGTTCAGGGGCGTAGATGGGATGTCTGCCTCTGAGGGGAAGGAGAACCGGTCGGTCATAGGGGTCGAGGGGACCTTGGTGCTTGAGAATGTGAAACGGTCGGCCAAGGGAGTCCTGGGCGGAGCAGCTCCGTTCAGGGCATCGGAATTCAGTGGAGCGACTGGCGATCGGTGGTAGGGCGCGCGAGGACGGGTCGTGACAGGAGTTGAGGGCTCGACCGTGTGAGAGTTACCGGATCGAGAGTTCGATCGAGCAAGGACCAACGTGCTGCGCTTGGTAGTCATGGTGACGGACCTGGCAGGAGTCATCTCTGACTTGGGGACAATAGCCGACCGCTTGCTGTTCTCCTCGCCATCAATGTCCATCCTGTCGGTTGGGTAAGGATAGCCATCCTCATCATCGTCATCATCATCTCTTGCGCTGCAACTGTCCTTGAAGGTAGCTGTGGACTTGTTAAGCGACTTTCCGAACTCAGCCAGCTGGTACATCAAGCTCATATTGGGCGAGATTACGCTCGAGTGCGATTTGACATACTCGTACGCATCCGTCAGGCTCAGCTGCAGGGTCTTCATCACATAGGCGATCACTAACGAGGCCGAGCGTGAGACTCCCAGCTGACAGTGGACAAGGACCTTGCCACCCATGCTTTTGACGTCCTCAATAAACGCAAAGGCCATCGGAAATTCACTTTGCAAGTTTCTTTGGTGATGTGTCCAGGAGAGGTTCTTGTAATGGATCGATCCGCCATGCATCGTCTTTACGATCTTATCGCCTCCGATAACCGTAATCTTCTTATCGGCTGCTGTTGGAGAGGGGAGCTCATATTGTTGTTGTGATGCGCTCGAGATTTCGATGGCGACGTTCAACACAGCCGTGATACCCAGTCTTGAAAGCGTATTGACATCCATAGCATTGTGTTCGGCTCCCAAGTATAGATGTGGCAGCACACAGACGGGCTCCTTTGTGTAGGGTGAAGCCGTACCACACTCGGCACTAAAGTCGGCAAAGTATGAAGAGATTGGGCGTTGCCTGGACGTGCCTGACATGGGCAGACGCGGTGTGGGCAAGGCCTGGTCCAGCAGCAACTGACTATGCCGCCTTGATGATGTCTCTGCTGCGGAGTCTTCGGTAGTGGGTGTGGCGACTGGTGTTGTTGACTGAGAGTGAATCGTTGCGAGGGAGGTGGTGATGGGTGCGGATGTGAAGTGGCGACTGGAAGCGAGTGATGAGGAGGGGGGGAAGGAAGGAGAGACTGCTGCCGCCATCGAAGCCATGGTTTCAATCTTTCCGGGGGAAGGAGGCACCAGAAGTGATAACCGCTTAGAGTTGCGGGTCTTTTTTACATCCTGTGCGAGAAGGGGTCGCTGGAGTGAAAAGGAGTGTGAGGCGGGTCTTCCCATGGGGAGGGATGTGTTGAGGGAGGAAGAAGGGGATGTAGGCATAGAGAGCTGAAGTGGTGAAGGTGATGGTGACATGCTGGAGGGTATGGTTACGCTGAGATGGGTAGTATTACAAATTAGAGAAAGAGAGAAATGTACAAGGCCTAGAAAAAGACGGAGAAGAGCGGGTAGAAGAGCGGCTGTTAACAATTAGGGACAAGGGCGCGTTTGATATTGATGAGTAAATTGGATAATTGGATTGGACTCAAGCGTGACGAACAGTGCATCAAATGAGAAAAAAGGCGTTAAGCACCTTTTTGTCATACTGCAGATGAATGAAATAGAGATGTAAACATTCCTACAGGGAATGCTGAGGCAAGCCAGTGTGTCGTGTGTGGGCGGTAATTTGCTGAAGTAAAAGAGTGCGGTGTTGAGATCTTATGGATGCTGCACCTTTGAATGTATAAATGTGCCTGGGTGTGCCTTCAAACAGTTCGGAGCAGACAGAAAATAAAAAGAAGAAAAAGGGATGGATGGGATGATCCTAAACGGCCGAGAATAGAATTGGTTGCAAGGAAATAAGAAAATACACTTCCGCCACGCGGATTGTTGGCAAATGCGAACTGGGCATTGGCAGTTTAGAGATGGTTATTATTATGGAGAAACATACACACCGCCGGCAATTGAAGGAGGAAGAGGTGCGGAAGGAATCGAAGGAAGGGCGAAAAGAAAATAAAAAGATAGAGGGGGGGGGGGGGGGGGGGGTTGCTTGTTGATGATGGAGATGGCACGGCGCAGGGTGCTGCCGAGAGACGTTGAAAATATGCGGCATGAAATTAAATTTCATGCAAACATTGCGATAAGGTAATAGTGTAGGGCGACCAGAGTGGTACAAGTTCCTGTAATCGATTATGGCGCGATTAGCAAAACAGCAGCACCCCCGCCCATGGTAGTGCAGTGCCGAGTTTTGTCCGCATGAGGGAAAGCTTTTCTTTTTAGTGGATATAGCACATAAATTAATTGCTGAAGAAATAGGGGGTTTAATATGAAAGGGGCGGGGAATAAGCTGGTGGACACGCTAGGGAGGGAAGGGAGATGGACAACAATGACGAGAGGTCCAGGAGGAAGGGAGGGTGTCAGACGTTGTGTATGTTATTCAGGTCAAAGACCGTGTGCCTCCTCATGGGTGTGGTACGATGGAGGAGAGGAGTGCTGTGGAAGTAGCTATCCATATGTTGTATGGCCACTGGAGTGAGGCGAAGTGAAGTGGGTTTAACAGTTGTCCTACCTGTCGTCAGAGGAGTGAAATTCAACAGCTGTAAGGAAGTGTGCGAACAAGGTAGGTCAGGTTGTGTGCAGATAAAGGTGTACAGGAGAGGAAAAGAGGGCGCAATTGACACACAGATGGAAGAGGAGGAAGAATAAAGTACGAGAGCAGGATACTGCGAAACGTGTGTCCGGGTGAGAGAAAGAGAGAATAAAAAAAAATTAGGACGATGAGAAGAGGTGAGCAATGAAGAAAAAGAAGGGAAAGAGCAATGAGAGAAGCACCTTTTTAAACGAACTCTTCCTCAGGGTTTTTTTCTCCACCTCGTTGTTTTATCCCAGGGGAACAGCTGAAACGAGCGAAACATCCGACCATTTGCTTTCACACTCACAGAGGGGCGGGGCAAGGACGCCATGCCGAAACGCCAATTTCGATCGGGACTCCTGATTGGGCAGAACACAGGCACGATCACAAATGAAATTCTATTCTCAAACACTGCTTCGCTTACCAGATATTATTTCCTATGCTCGTTGGAAATAAGGCACGAACGCACCATGTCTCCATGTCTTATCCACTTTGCATTAATTCGCATCACGACCCTTGCCCCTTTTACGCCGAAAATAAACCGCCATGGCTGTTGCATGTTAATGCTATATACTTTTCCTCCGCACCATTGGCCTCGTGCATGCGTTGAGCTCCTTTTCTTGTTTCTTCATTCCCGACCCACCTCTTGCCGCTCCTCAAGTGCGTACTACACGACAACCGACAATGTCATGAGGCAACAGCATCCAGAGCACTCGCTGACTTGAAACTCCATTTTTCCTTCTTCTTCTCTAACAAAAGAGCAGCCTCGCCCTTTTTACCTCCACGTCTTCTATATCTCCTCGTTCAACTTCATTTCCTTGAATATCGACTCCACACTCTCGCTACAACGAAATAAACAGCAAGTTCTTTCTTGGATCTCGATATCTTTCACTAAATTGCTCACTGTGTCTACAGCAGTAGCGCCCAAGCTGCGGAGCAAAACCCCTCGACCGTTACTATGTCTCTTCGACAGCGACAGGATGAAGGCGAACCCAGCAGCGACGTCCCAATTTCGGCTCTGCTAACGAGCAGACGTTATCTTTCACAACTGCAACAGACACAGCAGCACACCAGAGGCCGGGACACATCCGACGCGGATATTTCCTCGGATGTCTCTAGTCTCTCCGAGGCCGACCTCCACCGCGACTTGCACTCGGATGACTACTCGGACTATGAGACGCCACTAGGAGGACGATGGGACCTGACTGTCCATTGGCATCTTGCAGACTATAGCGAAGGTGTCGAGGGCGACGCAGACGATGACGACGATGAGGAGCGAGGGAATGACACGGATTTATCAGATGGCTCAGGACTGGGCAGGAACGTCCATCTCGATTTGGGCCGAGTACGAGAGATCTTAGGGTCGAGTCCAAGTTCAACGCCGATCATTCTTACTGGATTGTCGTCTCCAAGGAATGGCTCTGCGACGGTAATACCTGCCAGGACTTTTGATTTTGATTTCCATTCCTCGGCGAGTGAGGACATAGACTTCAGGCGGCGCCCGCTTACCACACCGGCAGCACCAGAACGGACGGTTCGATTCAGCAGGGAGCCGCAAAGAGACTTTGCGACCTTGACCTCAATGGGCAGGCCCCGTAGTCCTGGACGGGACACCACATCTTCAGATCTCCATCAGGACACCGCGCATGAGGACATGGATGACAGGCAGGCAGATAGTGGCGTTCGCTTGATCTCACCTCCAACAGACAATGCTGGAAGCAGTAGCAGCAGCAGTCGACTGTATCGGACTAACATAATTTCATCAAGGACACGGTTAAGCTCGGCGATTGCGCATGACTTCGAAAACCACTTCACTCTCCAAGGCTCCAGGGAAGCAGATCAAAGCTCTCGCTCGGGCGGTCATCGGATCCACATTTTCCAGCGCCCAGCTTCACCCGAATTGAGCTATGAAGAACGTCGACTACACTATTACCAGCACTCTTCGAGCAGATGGAGACATGGACTCTCTCCATCGTCTGCAAGCCGTATATCACCATACTGGAGCTCTTATCAATATCCCGGATCATCATCCCCGCCTTCGTCCTTGCCATCATCGCCCGCGTCATCGACATCAACCTCCAGAATGGCCTCACCTGCGCCCGAATTTCCTTCGCTGTCTAGGAACAAGTCCTCGGAAGGCGGTAGTTCTGAACAGACCTCGCAAAACCAAAAGGGCTCCGGAAATGGTGATGGCGGACAGAATCGCTACGCAGATCGAAAGCACAGGTCAACTGTAGGGACAGCATCAACAACAGCACCCTCATCGACTTTAATGAACACTGGACACCAACGGAGAGCTGTATCATCGACAATCTCTTCATTACCTTCGTTTGCATCGTCAGCATTCGCGCCGAGGGCAGAAGAGGGCAGTGCTGGCTCATCAAGGCTCTACCGGTCACTTCGATCAAACCACCCTCGGCGACAGTGTTGCTTTTTACAACCCGGACAAAAGTTTCATGGATCTCAGAATCTAAAATCTCACTTGGCGACGCTCTCGGGCTTGCGGACTCGCCAGACAGAGGAATGGGACGTCAAAGTGGTAACGGTTCCTTCTATTGCTGCTTGCGACGTTCGAATTTCTGTCGCCATAGCAGGCACCAGGAATTGACCATCCCCTTCTATTGTGTTCCGTTATACGATATAGACAATCAGCGCAGTCGACTATGAGGCAGGAGCAGTCTATGGGCTTATGGAAGCGATCGATGTGCCGATGTCGGCGTCCAATGTTGTCACGTTCTGGGAAGGAGAGATCATCGATTTCGAGAATCATACGTTCTGGACAAAGAAATGGGCAGCCAAGGCTAGGACAGATCTGGAGCATTGGAAAAGGCTGGAGGCGTTCCAGGGAATTGACGAAAAATATATCATCAAGGGCGCCAAGACAGGCAAGTTCCGTGGACATATTGATCAAAAGTACATCTTTATGCGCTGGAAAGGTATAATGACATACATGTTACTCATGTTCGTTAAAGTTGCTGAGCTGGAATCGAAGAGCATTGAGGTACTGATTACAAGGATTTGTCTGATACGTGGATAGAAAAACATTTTGTGAATGTAAGCGAGCACACGAGTGGACTAACGATCGCCGGGTTCTACTACCTCTCGATGCGACGGTCGGATGGCTACGTGGAGGGCTACTACCATGACCAGCAGTCGACTCCGTTTCAACATCTCTCCCTGAAACCCGTCTTTGAGGCCGGCGGATTTTCGACCTCGATCTTTGAAGTCGCCTAACTACCTACCACAGCTTATGCATCCTAGTTCACTTTGTATATTTCTCTGTATTATATCAACGATTACCATGCGAATCATGGACGGAAAGACGGCTAGACTATATTTTATTTTACTGGTGTCTGCTGGATATGTTACAAGGGATAAAAGACAGCGCTATAAGAGAAAGAAAGAAATGGAAAGATGTACAGGGATATAACAGAAGTCAATATGAAGAGAAGCGAGTGGAGAGAGAGAGAGAGATATTCGTGTATAACATGCATGGCATGTGTGCGATGAGATGAGATGGACCTCTCTACATCATAAAATCCGAACGAGCAGGATCCTGTCCCAGCTGATTCATAGTCGCCAAGAGCGAGGACGATGCTGTAGGTCCCGAGGCAGCGCCACCAGCCATCGACAGCCCGCCTTCCATGGACGTGAACTGTGGGTTGTTCAGCATCATCATCATCTCGTTCGTGTCCACACGCTCGACCTGATCGTCCTCGCCCGAGAGACGGTGACGAAGAGCTCCGCAGCGTTCCTCGAGAATGGTCAGGAACATCGATAGCTGGGGTTTGCTCATCTGGTTCATCAGGCGGGTGAAGCGCGTGCTGTCGAGAATCAGAGGTCCTTGGGCCTTCTTTTGTGAACTTGCTTGGTTCGGGTTGTGCTGCTGCTGCTGTTGTTGTTGCTGCTGCTTTTGGAGGTTCTGTAGGACTTGAGCGTTGGTGATGATCGGGTTCGGTCGCATGCCCAGGTTGACAGACGAAAGCGGGGATATAGACTTTTGCTGAAACTGGGTTTGCTGCTGCTGCTGCTGTTGTTGTTGTTGTTGTTGCTGCTGCTGCTGTTGCTGTTGGAATTGAAGTCCAGCGAGAGCCATGGGGCTACGGCCAAGTGTCGAGTTGTTGAGGAAGGGTGTCGTTGGGTATTGGGGATACAACTGCGACATCCAACTGTTGCCCAGCATGGGGAGACCCTCGGTCGTAGGTGTGGTCGCTGCAGCAGCGGCAGCAGCAGCGGCAGCGCTGAAGGCGGCTTGGTTCTGAAGCTGCTGCTGGTATTGCTGGAGCAAGAGAGGGCTAAGACCTGAGAAGGAGGATGCGGTGTTGAGGAAGTGTGGGGATGCCAGGACGGGCGTGGGAGGGGACGATGTCAAGGATGGGGAGAGCGAGCCGTTGCCGAGGGCCATGGACGACATGGAGGTCGACATGATGGGCGATAGCGAGGCATTCGATGCAGGCGTTGGCAGATGCTATTGTGTCAATGGTGAGCAGCGCAATGTTAGTATCGTTCGCTGTGGGACATGAAAGCTTCCCTCGGTTTTCTTCGCACCCTTTGACTTACAGCATGGTCCTCGGTGTTGTGGTCAAGCAGACAAAGACTCGAGTCGTCCGACTCGTGCTCAGAGCTGACAGGGATGTTCATCGCGCGCACCTCGACATGGCCCTCGCTCATGACCTGCTCCTTTCTCTTCTTAGTGGCATTGCTGCTGGTATCCTCAGCCATGCTGGCATCGCTGTTGACCGACGCCTTCTCCTTCTTCTTCTTGGCCGCAGCATCCTTTTTCTTCTTGTTAGCAATATCGAAATTGCCAAGATCACTGGGGCTGTTTGCTGACACCCTCTCATGGGCCGCACTCCAGTCGCGCTTACGTCGGGTGATCTTGGTCTTGCGCATCGTGATAGGGCGATCCCTGTGGTGAAGGCGAGAATAGAGTCCGCAAGCATTGCAGATCGGCTGACCTTTAGCATCCTTTCTCCAAAGCGGCGTCTGAGTCTGCCCGCAGTTGGCGCACTCCAGTGGGGCGCCGCTCTTTCTGCCGCTCCTGAGCCCTGAAGATCCGGCAACCTTCTTGACTTCAGTCTCCTCGGTATCGGTCAAGGCCTCGCTTTCCCGCTGGTGCCCACCATAGTCCGAGTCATCCGAATCATCATCCTCGCCCATTTCGTGATCAGCCTGGGCCTCGGCCATATCGACATCGCGCTCATCATTGCCCCGTTGGTCCGTTGGATCTTCATTCATTTGCTCAGAATCTGACCACTCGCCTTCTTCATCATCTGTCTCACTCTGGTCCCCGGTTTCGCTGTCATAGCCGCGGGCCCCCATGAGGTTGTGCGAAGTTGTCAGCATTTGCGGCAAGACGAGGCGCTCCTGAGGGGCAGGCGGATGAGGAAGGAGCTGTTTCAAGTGAGTGGTGCGCGAGCCCTCTGCGGAGGGTTCGCTCTTGACGGAAACTCCGCTCTCTGCATCGCTGATCTTTCGACGCTTTGATTGCTGTTCCTGCTGTGAGGTCGAGTCCACACTGGATGTGGAGTCTTTTGAAGAGCGACTGGCCAATGGGCGGTTGCTCTTGTACTGCTTATAATACAGTCCACATGCGTTACAAAGAGAATGCTGACGATCGTGGGTCCGTCTCCAGAGCGGAGTCTTGGTCACTCCGCAGTTATAACACTCTTGCCTGTGCGGGTTTGCAGATTTTGAAACGTCGGAGGCTGTGTCTACTGAAGATGCTTCTACGGCCGCAGTGTCCGAGAACGACAGCGAGGGATGCTTGCTGTGAGATTTTCCGGACTTTGATGCTGCCTTTGTCTGTGCGGCGGAGACCTTGGGAGATGCTGAGGTCGAGGAAGAGAAGGAAGACAGAGAAGGGGAGGGTGGGGACGAATAGAGCATGGTCGACGAAGGTGCGATGGTGGCTGGTGCGACTACAGGATTGATTGTCGATGTTGCCGTCGCGCTCTCGTCACGAGCCCGATCCGCACTGGCAGCGGCAAATTTCATGTAGGCCGCCATGTAGGCAGCAACAGACTGGGCATCGGCTTTGAGGTTCGACGAAGAGGAAGAGGAGGCGGAGGATGCAGGAGTTGAGCTGTGCTTTTGTTCTCGTTGCAGCTGTAACTGCTTCTCTTGTTCGAGTCGCTCTTTGGCCTCCTGTTCCCGTCGCTGGAGGGCATGGTGCTGTTGGAGGAGCAATTGGAGATGTGTAGCAGCAGGAGCGGAGGAGGTTGGAGCAACCATGGCAGGCGTGGATGATGAAGAGAGGGGGCTTTGAAGAAGAAGAGGAAGAGGAGAAAGAGAAGGAGTGGAGGGTTAGATATGGATCTGGTGTGAGGAGATAAGGGCGGTAGTATAAAAGAGGGTATGTAGATTCTGCTGTAGAGGTAGAGGGATAAAGAGCGGGGGTGTTCCGATAGAGTCAGGGGTAGAAGAGGAGGCGCTATTTGGACATAAACTTGGACGAGGGTGCGAGGGTGCGAGGGTGCGAGGGTGCGAAGGTGGAGGTGGAGCTGCAGAGGAGGCGTTCGGGGAAGAGAAGGGAGCAGAAGACGGAGGAGAAGAGAAGCAGTAATGGATCTGGCGGGTTGTCTGCCTGATAAGGCTCTGCCGCAGAGAACGCGGAGACAATTGTTGTTCATGCTAAAGAGATACAAACACTCAATGTGATACGATGCCTTAAAATAAGATATCGATATATGATACCATCCTACACTCACACTCCCCTCCACTTTAAGGTTATGTGATGTGTCCCCAGTAGAGGTGTATACAACATAGTCAGTGCCTGTTTCAATGCGAAGAAATATGAGATGGAAAAAGAGCACCGGCACCTCTGCCTCCCCCCTTCCCCCCCGCATTATCGTATCATCTCCTTGGGTTGTAAATAGGGTTTTGGATAAGTGGTTGGTTGGGATGGATCCACCCTGCAAGTGAGGCAGGACAGCGGAGGGCTGGATAGGATAAATCCTGACTTACCTGTTGTGGATAGGGCTACTCAAACTACCATTGACACCACTGGCACCACCACTAGTACCACCCGCGATCGAATTGACACCTGGCCCGGATTTGGATCGATCTGGATTCTGGTCTGTGTCTGACCCTGATGACGGCGCCGCCTTTCCTGTCTCCTGGACTGACTCTGTCCCATGAACGTCTTTACCCTTACCCTTGCACCTCTCCTTATTATTGCTGCCATTCGTTTTGCTGCCATCCAAATGAATGTTGTCCAGTCTGGTCATGATGGTGGGGGAGCACATCCCCGAGAGGTTGCTTTTAAAGTGGGCAGACTGGGGCGAGGAAAGCGACAGAGTTGACAGCGACTGTAGGTCGAGTTGGAGGTCGAGCCGGGGTGTCTCACCGAGGGTGCGTGCCATTGGACCTCGGTTGCGTTGTTTTGCAGTATTTGCTTTGTTGATGGAGCTGGTGTTGTTGCCATTGTCCGTATTGTCATTGTTGTTGTGGCTGCCGTCGAATTGGATGACTGATGGATTAGATCGCGCTTGGTCGACGTCTTTACCAAGGGGTTCCTCTTCGGTCTGGTCCTGGCATTTCCTGTCCTTGCTGTCCTTAGCATTTACATTGTCGGACCATGACGAGGCGCCGAGGAATAAATTCCCGAGTTTTGCCACTTGAGCTCCTGGTGTACCCGACGGACGGACGCGGGAAGAGAGTGTTTAAAAAAAAAAAAAAGTAGAAAATAGGAGAATAGAAATGAATATGAACCCAAAAAGACAGGGGGCACATTGTTGAGTTTGAAATAGCATGTGAAGACACAGATAGAGCACAGACAGAACAAAGTTAGCACCAGCATTCAGCATGACAAACGGGCCATCCCTACCGCTTCCACGTTCTGCATCCCTTTTTTCTTTTCTGTTTTTGTCGCTCGGCGTTAGAGTTTCGATCTCGAAACGCTGTTCTATATTACAGCAATTGCTCGACTCATTATTCATTCATTCATTTTTCTTACCATGGCAATCGCCCTGTGGTACTCTTTCTTCTCCATTTTGGGACTCGATCTGGTCTCTTGTATTCCCCGTGTCATCCGCGTCATTGGCTCTTCGCCCCGAGCTCGCGTGTGCTGCTAAAATCGCGTGTCCCTCCTTCGATCGGCCTAGAGTGTCTGCCACCATGCAGCGCTTCTTGGAATTGGCGGAGATCACCGGAGAGGATGCAAGGATAGGAGACGATCGACCGTGCGCGTATTCATCCTCTTCGGACCCGGATGCTTGACCTTCATCACGGTGCTGCTGTTCTTGCTCATTTTCATCGTCTCCATCATCTGCTTCCTGGCTCAAAAAATCATCGGGTGCGAAATCAAACGGCTCAAAGGGTGGAAGAGAGGGTACGGAAAACGATGATCTGAAAGTGGCAGAGGTGCGCCGTTTGTAGTAACTAGCTGTCGGAGACGCTGCTGTATCGCTGCTCAGGGAGGAGTCAGAAGAGACCTCAGAATGCCGTGAATTCATCGTGGAAAGGTGTTGGGGCGAAGATGGCCCAGACGCACTCTCTGTCAATGTTGGCGAGAGGGCGGAAGTCGATTGAAGAGAACTGTTCGTAGACCATTGCTGCTGTTGCTGGTGCTGTTGAAGGAACTAGTTTGAGTATTTATGAGAAGCTGGCCAGCAAGGGAAAGTCAGAAAAAGAACAGAAGGTGTATCATGGGGCTAAATACCGACCTTTAGTTTTTGTGTGGAGAAAAACAGTTGCTGCTCAGAGAGCTGACTGAGTTGAGTAAACGCCTGATGAGGATGCGGCACCGAAGCATGACCAAACGGTGTGTGAAGCTGCTGCTGTTGTTGCTGCTGTAACTGTCTTTGTTGTAATTGATACTGTTGTAGGAGGATGAGCGACTGAAGATAAGAAGGCGTGGGTGCTGGGGATGGCATGGCTTTAGAACCAACAGAGGCAGAGGCGAAGACAGAGGCAGGAGCAGCGGAGAAAAGTCCAGGGAGTGAGGGCGAGCGAGAGAAGAGGAAGAAAAAACAACAACATAAAGCTACGTTTCGTTTGTCAGTTTGATTCAGGGCCACGACTGTTGTGTACCTTTACCCCGCATTTTTTCCCCCTTTTCTGCATCTCTCACAACCGCATGGACGGCGCGAGCATCGCACGGAAACTAGATTTGGATCTGTTTATCATCACCATTGTCCTTGAGCAAGATAGGCGGATGGATTGGATTGGATTGTCAACACGGTTTGTGCTATCAGTCCATGCCACGGCTCGGGCTTTTATTTCCGATAGCTCTGCTGCATGGCTCATATGAAGAGACGTTTTATTTGTCACTCAGTGGAAAGAAGGTTCTGTTTCACCCAAGGTTTTTTGCCACGCGACGCGCAGGGCGGGCGCCGGTAAAAATTCCCAATCGACATGTCTAATGGGCATGCAGAGCTTTTGCGGGCATCCAGTTCTCCGCACCTCGGTCCCTCGGCGCCATCCAAGGAGCAATAAAACGAATCGGTGCCGGCGAGAAAATACTTCCAGCCCGCCATGCTCCTTATCTTGTGGCCATGAGGGCCGGAATGACACCAAACCACAAAGGCTGCAGCAGATTATCAAATCGAGATGCGACTATAAACAAACAATCCCTATTTCCGCTGTAAACTAAGAACGTTTGTGACACAGCCAAGCGATCCTTGAGCCTCCACTGTACATCGAGGAAAATTCAAATGCAGTACAGCAGCGGCGGTCTCCATGATTCATAGCTCCAGAGAACACATCGCCTCATTGCTCGCCGACTCCCCTACGGTTTTGATCTTACATGCCGTTGCTTTTAAACACTCTGTCCTGTAATTTTTATTTTATTCCGCAGTGCCGCACTCTCTGGATATTATTGTATACCTGCAGTAGTATCTAATACCAAACGCTAAAAGAATCTCTTGAACCCTGATAAAGCAATGCAGAGTGTAACTAGACTACCAGACATACGTCTGTATTCGTGTCCAAAAGTGGTATTTAGTGAGAAACGCTCAAGAGAGCCCCAGTATCGAGCCATGTCGAAACCCCAGCCCGCATACGGACCTTCCTTATCTGCTTTTCTAATCAGTTCATATCTCCACATAGAGCACGATTAGGGTTTCGCGTTTTCTTCTATACTCAGCCAATCGATAGTCGATAGCTCACAGTAGACTACACGTATCGATTGGCGACAATCCATTGCGGATATTACCCACGAATGGGCATTGGGAACTAGGCGCGCTATCAGGGTTTGCATCACACGCATTCGACTGGTTGCTCACATAAGGGAACGGAGTTGCTTTTGGTTGTAGATTACTACTATGTTATTTTAATGCAAAAGGGAGGGGTTTGTAACCAGCACAAACCCAGAAAGGGCCCAATGAAATACTATTTTACAGCTATGGATACATCGACGCGATAAAAAATAGCGGGCGCATCTAGGTTCGCAAAGAAAGCGAGGATACAGTAGCCAGCAGCGACGAGTGCGAGAGTAGAAGCGATCCATTTTCCATGAGGAACAAGTCGTCGCCCATAACCTGCTCCCTTAACGAAAGGATACGCTTCCCGCTGACCTTGTCCTCCTCCACTTCCTCCTCATGACTGTAGTCGTACGTTTCCTCTGCCTCGGATTCGCAAAGGTCCGACTCGAATTCAAACATGGCCCTCGTGGACTTGGGTGAGACGTGGAGAATAATGCCCTCATCGTCATCGTGGACAAAGACCCCGCTATCTTTGCGATCATGGCGAAGGTCGTTCTTGGTCACGCCATCTGGTCGCGGGAATGCAATTTCGAGTGTTGTTTCATCTTGTTGGAACGCACTGGGCGCGTCTGATAGTGGTGAATAGCTCCATGAACAATTTCCTTCAATCATGAAACGCTGTTGTGATGCCCTTTGTCCATCTTTCTCATCCACATTGTCGACACTGCGGTCGAAAGGATGCTCGATGTGTTCTTCGAAACTGTTCGTTGAGAACGAAGAGGCGGAAGCAAAGCGAGATGAGCTGTATTGCTGGTACTCAAAGGATTGTGATGGCTGCTGGGATGAGCATGGGGCGTCGCATGGCTGCAGAATATTTCCCTCGAACATGCCGGGAATCTCGCCGAGTGCAAGCTGGGCCTCCCACAGGGTCTCGTATTGCATATTCATGTCCTGGATCATGTTGTAGTGTTCTGTTCCTGAATGAGAGCTCATGAGGGAGGTCGAAGAGGCTGTGGTGATGTTGACGAGGGAGACTGTGCTAGTGTAGGAAACATTGACATCGGGATGCTGATAGTACTGCTGGGGTTGGTATTGATGCTGGTACTGGTATACAGGCGGTACTATGGAAGCAAAGCACAAGGAGGAGCAAAGTGTTAAGCAGGGCTCATGTAGTACTAGTTTAGGGTTTGTGCGTTGAAAAGCGCATGTGGGACAAGGTCTTGTACCTGAATGCTGGCTTGAGATTTTGCTGAGGACCTGGTGTGCGAAAACCTTTGCGTCTTGGACGATCTGACCCCACAGGGCGGCGCAGAGCTCCTTCTTGGACATGGTAGACTTGGTATTAGGGATGTTGTAAATTGCGGAGGAGTAGAGAGGGGTGCAAAGCGAATAACGGGCTGTTCGAGGACAGTGTGGAGCTGGATTATATATCTGGTTTGGATGGCGCCTGCGGCAAGGCTGATAAGCGGACAGAAAAGTAAGAGAAGGAGGCGGAGTAGAAGTGAGGAGTAGATCACTGAGGAGTGGGGGGAAAAGCTGAGCTATGTGGGGGTGAAAGCCGTCTTTTTTATACCGCGTCTGGGAAGGATGCTTTCTACCTTTCCTTGTGTACGCTTGTGTCGCACAGTCAATTGACTTCTATGGCGATGCAGGGCCACCATCCTTAGGCCGCAGAAAGCGTCGCCTGTTACGTCGTTCGGACTGGCGGACATTGAAAAAACAAGGCTTCCAGAATGCAGGGGACGGAGGCAACCCACGGTACTGCAATGCGGAGAGAGCTAGAAAACTACAGTAGAAAGCTGCAAGCGCGCTTTGACCAAAAATAGCGGAATGGGACAGTTGAAGGAGAATGAAAACTCTGCGATGATACAACATGTTTGGGGATCGATATGATCCCTGTCTCCTCTTTCCTCAAGCGCTGCCCTAGACACTCGCTCCGCCCTTAGTCTGCGAGTAACCGCGGTTGCAGCTCCGCATACCGTGAGCGGTCTATCCCCTGTTCAACTCGACTACTTATCTGTCCCCAAGGAATTGATGTCAATGCGCGCGTCGCCTTTGAATGTCCACAACTTGGTCTTCTTTCCGATCCTTCTTTTTTGTTTTTTCTCAGATAAGTTCAGGTTCAGAACTGGCTGTCCCTGAATGCTGATGTGGTTTGAAGAGCGAGACTTGGGGATAGATTTCCGCATGCTCTGACGTAAACGAGAGATACCAGAGCAGTAGCGGATTGAGATGGATCCGAGCGGGCTTGAAGATCAACAATGAAGCGGAAAGTAAACAGTCAGATTTGGAGTTGTCCCTGAACTCCACATCAACAGATTTGACCTGCCTGAGTCTTTTTTTGTCCTGCCCCTATTTCCTGTGCACTGCTTATGTACTCATGTTCCATGTCCATGTCAACTCCTGCATGGGCTACGGATATTCACAGAGCTTGCCACAAGTTCGGTCAGCTACGACTATATACTTATTTGATGCCAGGTCCTAAAACGCGCTGAATTCCAACGCGACGCAAACGATAAACGGGGAAACAGACAAGTGGGTACACAAAATGGCAAATGGTATCTCAATTCCTGCCCTTCGCAAAGAGTTCTACATGGACATACCACACGAAGCATTTTCCCGTCAACGATAGCGCTGGCTGACTTTAGTTAATACCGGAACTGTGGCAACTGGGAAGCAATCGGTGGCAACGGCGAAGCACGTCAATGGTTTCGTTCGCCTGCTCCCCTTTCCTGTTTTGGGCAGATCGACTCCCTTGTCCCGTGACTGTACCGCCAAGGTCAAGAGAGCCATCGCTCAGCTTCGGTTCCAACTCATACAGCAATCATCCACATCCCTCAAGTATGACCGACTTTGTCAGCATCACTATCGTCATCGTGATCATTTTTATGGTCTTCCGTTGGCTGTCAGGTACTGAGTCAAGTCTTCAGTTGCGGCAAGGAAGAGGCGAAGCATTGGACAGTACTATGATGCTGACTTTTGATTCTATTGTCACTGTAGCCTCAGGGGATGGCCATCAGCCAAATCGTCAAGGACAAAACAGGGGCAGGATTCCAACTCGACCACAAGCACGACTGGTTAATCCAGAGATGGTGCGACTTCATCCTTCTTTTTATGTCAAAGCGGTGGTCTGACAGGATGACCGTATGTTCTTCGAAGTGCAGCGTTTTACTAAGAGGTCTATTTAAACTGCGTCTGCTAGGTCGACACGGTCAGGGCTATGTTCCCCCATATCCCTACGGCTGCCATTCACTACGATCTGCAAAAGACTGGCTCAGTCGAACAGACCTGCGATAACATCTTGAGGGACGGTACCCTACCAATGGTAACCATACGCAATGGACTTGAAATAACTTTTCAAGACGCAGTGGAGGATCATGACGAATCTAACTGTGTTGCTTTTTGCATGCTATGATCTGTTATTCTCTATTGCTAGCCTCCTGCTCCTCGTCCTATAACACCGCCTGCAGCGTCGTCATCTCCGTCTACTGCAGCTGCGGGATCATCTTCGGGAACGAGCCACTCTGTGAATGGCAACCTGGTTCAGCGCTTCAAGCTGCATGAGGCGGTTGAGAAGGATTTAGTGCCCGAGGAGCCGTCCAAGGTCTGGGGCGACAATGCAGAGAAGCGACAGGAGGTTTTTAAAAGTCGGAAGGAATTCATGGTCTTGCAGGCCAGGAAGTAAGTACCATGAACTGTTTTCTTGTGCGGTGCTATGGCATTGCCGTCCTGGCTGCACTACCGATTGGCGAAGTCAAGTATTGGAAGAATGAGGCGCACTTACTGACCGATACTGTGCTTTTGTCACCATAAATAGACGATATTTGGAGCAGCAAGCGCGCAAAGAAAAGGAGGCCGAAGCTAAGGCAAAGGAAGTTGAAGCGTCCGCTTAATGGGTCGTTCATATGCACTTGGTTTGATGGCTAATAAACTCAGTAGTAATGATGTCAGAGGCCATATAAAAGCGAAGTTTTCATCGTGCCTTGTATCGCTTCTTTATTTTCTTACCCATTGCTTGCATTCAATGGCGCCGATACTCCTTTGAGATAAGTAGTCTGCGTTTTTCCCAGCGTGGAGCCATTCAATGTATTACAACTGCAACTCTTCGACTACGTACTCAATTATGGCGGTACATTGACCTTAACAGGGTTCGAGATTGTTTGCAACTTTGTCCAATAACTCTTCTACCAACAGGACTACTGTCTGAACATCGAGCTGGAGTCGGACTATAGTTGTCTGTAGTACCGTTAGCGACATAGCAGCGCAATAACTACAAGAATGATGGTCGAGGCCACGCATTAGAAAGTGCTGCCCGATATCGAACCAGAGTATATCTGACCGAGGTTTGAAACATTGTCAGGATCCAGCAGGATGTCACAAGATCCTTGGTTTCGATCTTGGCCAAGCATGCATAATCGAAGCAAGAGCGCTGTTGCCCAAGGAACCCAAGGAGGCTCTGCGGGATCGAGATGGCGGTATCGCAACGAAAGAACCCTGCAATGACACTAAACCAACCCCCCGGTCCCGCTATTTATTACGATCTGGCTGTAAAGCAGAAGGCTGTCTACCAACCAATCTTCAGGTACCGGCGGCACTGGCTGGAGAGTACAGACGAATAATTTCACCCGGCGCAACGGAATCCACTAGCGACATCGAGAGCAGGCTGCCACCTCTTTGCGGTGACGATACCAACTTCGCGAATTACGCGACAAACTTGAGAACGCGAAGAAGTAGCTCGACAGTTTTTACAACCATAACATGATTGTCAAAAAGCACTAGTGGGATGCCAGGAAGGCTCAGGGAGCAAAGTACGCGATTATTACAAACCGTCTGCTCAAGATGGTCAGGGATGCGACTGGGATGAAGTGAACAAGGACGTGATCTGGGTGGGCCCTGGATAGAAAGTAAGTGCACAGCATCTTTGCTAGGCTAGTACCACTTTTTCTTTTGATTGTTAGTGATATATAGAGGGCTATTTCCTTTCTTTGGAAAAATACCCAGCCTGCGAGCATTTTCAGACTATACTGCTCAGCCTGTAGCACTTACATGCGCTGCGATACTATGGTAGGGTACAACAATTGCAACGTCGTTCGCGGCCATTTACTCCATCAACAGCGACCGATCTATCTTCAGCCAGTAGATGAGAACGGACGCTAGACTATCCTTGAATGCAAAATGCAAGGTCCCATACAGAAACCGGGAGCAGCAGCAGCGCGGTGGGGTAAGGACAAGGGCGAGCTGGCGGACATAAGCGAATAGCTTCATCCATGGAAGGAGTGGACATATTTATGTCTCCAGATGCAGCACTCTTGTTCGGCTACGTACTGTGACGTATTTGAGAAATGGAACTTTGGAAGGAGTATAAGATGCGCGCAAATGGCTGCATCTTATACTCCTTCCAAAGTTCCTCATCTCTCCAGTCAACGCTCGCTACCATGTATACAACCCAGCAGAGCACTAGTCTTTTCCTCGGGGGCGATCGCACCTCGGGTCAGAACGTCAGAGATCAGAATGGTAGGAATCTGATGGGAAACCACTGGCAGATCTGCAACCTGCACTGAACACACGCGATGCCTTTTTGAGTGTAGCAGAAGGCGTGATGACAACCGGCAGCACACATTGCAAGGCTGTTTATTGGCTAGGGAAAGGCGGGTTGAAACCAACTATCACTAGAGTCCATCGCTCAGATTGAGATGGGGGACATGGTTTATCAAAGAATCAATTTTCAGGAACACGGACCAGCTTGTCGCGATGCTGTAGATTTTGTCACACCTAACCAGCTCCCTACTCGTTTTAGTCCTCGCCGCTGCTTCGATCGCCAACATTGTGAAATCCTCATTGGGGCCAGTCGGTCTTGATAAAATGATTGTGAACGAGATTGGTGTAAGTCTGCTGCTGTCGTCTTTGAGTGCGGGTCGCACGCTTGGATTAAGAGAGAGAAATATCTAAATGTATTTTGTGTATTTTCTGCACAATAGGATGTTACTATTACCAACGACGGCGCTACTATTCTCAACATGTTGGAGGTCGAACATCCTGCAGGAAAGATCCTTGTCGAGTTAGCTCAACAGCAGGACAAGGAGGTTGGTGATGGAACCACCTCTGTCGTGATCATTGCAGCTGAGCTCCTGAAGAGGGCTAACGAGCTGGTGAAGAACAAGATCCACCCTACAACCATCATCACTGGATACAGGCTGGCATCGAAGGAGGCGTGCAAGTTCATTGCAGATCAAATGTCCATCAAGGTCGATTCTCTCGGACGTGAGTGCCTTGTCAATGCTGCAAAGACCAGTATGTCCAGCAAGATTATTGGATCGTAAGTGAGCGCACATTCATATCTGCAGAAGGAGGTTATCGACAAGGATTCAAGGCATGTAAGAAACAGCCTGTATTCATGATTAACCATTTCCTTCTCCCTGTATCTAGGCATGATGAGTTCTTCTCAAACATGGCTGTCGATGCTATGCTCGCAGTCAAGTCGACCAACAGCCGTGGCGAACACAGATACCCTGTCAAAGCTGTCAACATCTTGAAGGCTCACGGGCGCAGCGCCACCGAGTCCATGTTGATTAAAGGATACGCCCTCAACTGCACGGTTGCTAGTCAGGCCATGAAGACCAGGATCACCAACGCCAAGATTGCATGCTTGGATATCAACCTCCAGAAAGTTCGCATGAACTTGGGAGTGCATATCATGGTCGACGATCCAGACAAGCTGGAGGATATCCGTAAAAGGTGCGACTTTAAGCGTTTGAGACTTCATCGCCAGTAGCATGGGCATTCTGGTGTCGCTATCTGTATCTAATACGCTTGGTTTTTTTTTTTTCAACGTATCATCTGCTAGGGAGAGCGACATTACAACCGAGCGTATCCAAAAGATTCTCGCCACTGGAGCCAACGTGATTTTGACTACCAAGGGAATCGATGATATGTGCTTGAAGTTGTTTGTGGAAGCTGGCGCTATAGCTGTTCGTCGCTGTAAGAAGGAGGATCTTCGCAGGATCGCAAAGTCCACAGGAGCAACATTGATCTCAACATTGGCTAACTTGGAGGGCGAAGAGACCTTTGATGAATCATATCTGGGTTATGCTGAAGAGGTTGCACAGGAGCGGATCTCGGATGATGAGTGTATTTTGATTAAGGGCACAAAGGCTCAATCATCTTCGTCAATCATTCTTCGTGGAGCCAACGATTTTATGCTGGATGAGATGGAGCGTTCGTTGCACGACGCATTGTGCGTGGTCAAGCGCACCTTGGAGAGTGGAAGCGTCGTGCCCGGAGGAGGAGCAGTTGAGACAGCCTTGAACATCTATCTTGAAAACTTTGCCACTACCTTGGTAAGACGTCGTGATAGGACCGATTATATGAAGATCTCTCGCCAAGTGAACCTGACTAATCCAATACGCATGTCACTCCTACTTATAGGGCTCTCGCGAGCAATTGGCCATTATGGAGTTTGCTAACGCACTGCTGGTGATTCCCAAGACATTGGCTGTCAATGCTGCCAAGGACTCGACGGACTTGGTGGCCAGTCTCCGTGTTCTCCATAACAATGCCCAGTGTGATCCATCGCAGCAGGGATTGAAGTGGTACGGACTTGATCTGATCAAGGGCGAGGTCCGTGACAATGTTCATGCCGGTGTTCTTGAACCTGCTCTTTCCAAGATCCGTGCCCTGCGATCGGCAACGGAGACAGCGTTGTCGATCTTGCGTATCGATGATATGATCACGGTAGCGCCAGAGCAGCGTGAGCAGGATGATGGCCATGGACATTAGTTCTCACTTGGATGTATTTTGCAGGTTCTCGCGCCCATAGACCTAGTGTACCTTGATCGGGTACCCCTTAAGGAATTATTGCAGTCCAAAAAAATAAAAGACAAAAACACATCTGGTTCTTCCTTTTTATCTTCTATCAACGACATGGGCGTTCTGGGCCTCTATAGCTATTTCAAGTCGAAAGCACTCGGACAGCGAAAGAACTGGACCGCTCACCCGCAATCAACAAATATCAACGATGACAGCTCAGCGCAGCAGGACGACGAAGCCCAGCGCTACTTTATTCTGGACGGAAACGCCTATATCCATCACCTCTATTGCGGTCAACTTGAATGGATCTGGGGCGGACAGTACGCTTCCTTTGTCGATCTACTGGTCGCCCACGTCACAGCCTTAAAGGCGTGTGGATTCCACCTCCAGTTCCTATTCGATGGCCACTTGCCGCTCCAGAAGCTGCAGACGCGGCTCAACCGGGACACGGAAAAGATTTTCAAGATGAGCAGGGTCATGGGTGATCTAGAGCACTATCATGATCTAGGATTGAGTCATAACAGGGCCAACAGCAACAATAGCAGTATACTTATGGGGACCTTGGGTGGTGCGGAAGCTTTTGACAAGGGAGCCGGTGGGGCTGGCGGAGCCGGTAGTCGAAGCAGCCCTCATTTTCTGATCCCACCACTGGTTATGGAGGTCACGCTACAGACATTGAGGTCCTTAGGAGTGGACCTGATGGTATGCGACGGAGAAGCCGATGGACTGGTCGCTCATCTGGCCATGGAGAAGTCCATGAACGAGAAAGTAAAGGAAGCATATGCTATCAGCAAGGACTCTGGTAATTGGGCTATGTTGTATGCAGCTTGGTCTGGTCATTGAATGGTTGAAAAAAAACATCTAACAAGAGTCATTGATTCTTCTAGATTACTTTATCTACAACACGGGATCCTCAGCAAAGGGAGGCTATATCCCTCTCGACAGTCTCTTTGTCTCGACCGATCCAAAGACCCAGTCCACCCAGATAACGGCCACAGTTTATTCTCAGTCGACCATTGCAGATCATCTCGGGATCCGACCACAGTTCTTGCCACTCTTTGCGTCTCTGACAGGAAACGATTACCTGCGACCGGATTTGTTTGAGGATCAGATTGCAAAGGCATTAGTAACATTTACGGGTCAAAAATTGTCGGCAGTGCCTAATACCAATTTTGCCAGGATCAAGGCCACAGCAGCGTTTTTGAAGCAATATGGAGCAGGAGATGACGCCATTAATGCAGTTGTCACAGGATCAACAGGCGCTGAGCAAGTGGTCGAGGTTATGGAGCGGTTGCTGAAAGATCGAAAGAAGCTTTATGTAGGGGAGACGGACGACAAACGAATGGAACTGCGCTCCGCACTCGAGGAATCTATGGAACAATATTCGGTTATTACCCAAGGCGAGGCCTCCACGAACACCGTAGTAGGTTTGTTGAACACGGCGACACCTTCAAAAGCAGCCACTGCTGGTCTTCACCAGATGAAGGAGGCCATCCGGACTGGACTGCTCTCGTTCAAGTTGATGGATGTGATTTACAACAAGATGTTTTGGTGCACACCCTTCTTGGAGGACATGGATCGGGAGAGCGCATGGCTAGTTTCGAGGGAACTGAGACGGTGGGTATATGGCATTTTGGCACGGAATCTGTTGGTCGACAGCGCACAGGAACCCGAGGAAGAGTACGAGTCCTCGGAGTTGGATGTCGTCGAGTACGTCAGACGCGGGAGCCACTTGTCGGCTGAGATTGTCACGGCGGCATCCAGATTGGAACTTGACGAGGTCTTGAAATCAGCCAGAGCAAAGTCTAGCAAGAGAACCGGGAGACGTATCAGTGTCATGGATGTAGATCCAGTCGAGCCGAATATACACAGCAACCACGTCGACCAGGAGGATCAGGGAAAATCCGAGACGATGAGCATCGATATGAACTTGGAGAAGGAAACAGAGCAGGTTGCGGATGTTCTGGATGAGGCTAGCAGGACTAGCCTGTTCTTGGGCATCCTTGGAGCTGACACAGCTCAGGTGCGTGCGCTTCCTCAGCCGTATATGGTTCTAGCAGCCACACTTAGGTACTTGATTAACGCACTCGCGCACTCCAAGACGCGATCGGCCAGCATCTCGGTTGCAAACTTTGAAGTCATTGCATTTGTGGCCACTGTCCTCTTCCTGAGAGAGAAATATCACCCAGAAGCGATACCCTCGACATCCAGTAGTCGCCAGGGCACACAAGAGCAGAGTCAGCATCAGAACAGCAGTATACCCGACCAAATACTAGCAGCTGTTACGGAATCACCAACGTCGATCGCCTCTTCTCAGTCCATATCACTCTCAGGGTCATCAACGTTGGATGAAGCACCACCTTTGACAAAGCGATCGCTTCACCTCTCAGCACAGTACCAGCATACCCTTGGGGCAGTCTCTTCACTGGCGAACGCGTTGTACCTGGAGGATATGATTCCGTCGCTGGCTAGTCTCTTTGACGGCCTTCTATTCCAGCAGACTCTCGCACTCGCTCGTGGCGGGACTTTGTTGGAGCAGAGGATGCAGTATCCGGAATCGGTCCAGATGTACCACCTGATCCTTGCTGCAGTGGAGGAGGATTTCATCGATACCGGAGAGATTGACGTCGCAGTCGTGTTTCGAGCTCCGCCGGGCAAGAAGGGACAACAACATCAGCAACAGCAGCAGCAGGATCAGCGCGTGTCGCTCGGGATCTTTGGACCGGATATGGAAGCTGTGAATCAACTACCTGTTGGGTCTCCGACTTTGTCGTCCTCATCCTCGGCCTCGGGAACGTCATGGAAGGTAGCCAAGTCCGCAGGGATCCACAAAAAGTCGTCTGGATCGTCCAAGAAACGCAGTGGAGGTGGCAGTGGTAGCGGAGGTCGCAATGGCGGTCGAGGAGCAGGAGGCGGAGCAAATATGTTCAATGTCTTGTCCCTTGGCTGCGAATTCTAATAGCGAGCAAACATACCAAAGGAATAAATTGTATGATATGTGGGCGTGTGACAATCCAATGCCCAGGTTTGATGGACCTCTATCCAGCACGGTTTACTTTGAGCATCCTAATCCTGCTACACATGTACAGGATGTTACAAAAACATTGCATTTCGTTTATTCTCCGGTCGGTATATCACTCAACAGAGCAGCACTATCAGGACATGTAAAGGAGCGCGAAATGCAGAAAACAGAATCATCCTGTTCACTCTGTCCGCTGTCTCTTCTTAGCCTCCTCTAGCTCGTCAAACTGCTTGCGCAGGGACTCATAGTCGCGCTTGAGTGTATCGTGTTCCGTAATCAAGGTCTGGAGCTGACCCTGCACCAGGTTCTTCTCCAGCAAAGCCTTCTCGCGCTCAAATTGAATGACCGTTAGCGCCTCGTTCTCTGCTAGTGCCTTCTGGTGCGCCTCCTGTAGGCCCTGAATATATTTAACCGCCTGACGCAAAATCGCGCCTTTGTTCTTGTCGGGATTAGGGATCTGCGCCGCCAGATCATTAATGCCTGCGTTGATGGTCTCACGACGACGACGTTCGACCTCTTTGTGGTTGTCTCGGCGCTGCCTGTGCCATTCCTCTGATCCTGTCACGGGCTTGGCTGGAGGTGGTGTAGGGCTGTGGTAAGAAGCATTGGACCGAAGAGACGGAAGAGGTGCAATACAATAAGTGCTTCAGTTCTTCCGCCGCATGTTTATGTACAGCGCTGTAGGTTTCCACACTAGCACATGTTAAAGAATGCGCAACAAAGGACCGTACCTTGGTGGCCTGATAGGAACTGTAGCCAAGGTGCTGTCGTTATGGGGATCCAACCGAATGACCGTACTTTCTTCGGTTGTAGATGGATTGGGTTGTTCCTGTGGTTGTTGTTGCTGAGAGCCTTCATGCTCCTGTTTCAAATGCGCCTGTTGTGCCTCCTGTTGCTGCTGCTGGTGTTCCTTTGCGATGCGTTCGAGTTCTTCATGATTGGCTTGTTGCTGGTTCGCTTGCTCCTGAGCCTGCTGCACGGACGTCTGGGCCTGTGCTGCTGCTGCGTGCTGGGCAATGACGGCCGTCAGAGACTCGTTCAGCTCAATCTTTTCCATGCTGTCGCGCTTGATTGAATTTGTCTATTGGCCGATAGTTCGTACACGCGCCAATTCGATTTGACATATGTTTATTTTATGGTCAGTTCTCTGGTACAACATCCTTATCAGAGCCATAATGTTCCGCCAACCTGTCCACCTTACCAGGTTATTGAGCACCTCCTGGACTTGTATCTCGGACGAAATCTCTGATGAAGAGGTCATGGCGAAAAGAAAAGTGTGTGTTCTTTCTTTCCTATCCGCAATAAGAGGCATCCTTGTTAGTCGTTGCGATGGGTTGAATACCACTAAGTCCCACTGTCTTGTCGTTTTTATAGTTTCGTTTGTATGTGCCCCATGCGCTTGCACATCCACTCTAGAAAGCAGCCTTATCCACATCCGTCGGCTGGGCTATGTCTGGCGAACATCACGGATGAGGGCCCTTTCAGACAGGGTGTTCAAGGGTTGTCCAAAGAGGGATGTGTGTGATACGAAGCACTTGACAGGAGATAGGGCTTCTGGGGAATGGGGGCGGCAGGACTTGTTAGTGGGTTCTCGTTTTCTCATGGGCTTCATGTGCACTTACTTTTTTTTGTCTCTCTTGGTTCTTGGGCGGGCAGGAAGGAATTGGTCACGTTGAAGAGAAAAGAATCGACAAAAGCGTGATTTGGCCCCCAAAGTGACCAGCTTCCGTTAGTGGAGGTTGGGCGGCATGTTAAATAATTTGAGATAGAAAGGTTTAATTGGCACCAGATCTCTGGGGGCACAAACCATAGCCCCACTCCGGAAGAACGCCCACAGCGACATCCTTGAGACAATTGGCACCCGAAAGACACCTTTTGCGAACTGCCAATGCATTGCGCGACAGTTGAAATGGCTCAGTGAAGGAGGGGTGGATAAACCGCTGCAACCCTCTGCTTGAAAAAAATAGGGCTGGGCAAAGTCGAGTGCAGAGAGGTGAGATCATGGGTGGGTATCACTATTCAAAATCTCGCATAAAATGGCGCCCACACCTCTTTCGTTCTTATTAACTCCCTTTGTCTCTTTTACTTGCTTCTCGTAATCACTCTTTGCTCACAAACCGACTCAAGCACGCCATCAACAATGCATTCCCCAACATATCACGGTAGCAGCAACAACAGCAACGATAGCTCCTCCTCTGCCATGCAACCTCCTACTCAGTACCAGATCGGCGAAGACCGTCTAGACTATTCGCACGACCCTGCCTGGATTCAATCCAATTTCCTTGTCCATTGCGACAAACCCTTTAACGCAGAGCCGCCGCTGCCAACCCTGGTTAATGCCGGACCGATCACACCCGCAGATATATTCTTCAAGCGTAACCATGGACCGATTCCCGATATTGCACTGGAGCGCCATCAGGTCTACATCGGCCTTAAAACAGGAGTTCACCATCACAGTGAGTTATCATCATCTTCGTCTGATATTCACTGGAGGTCTCTCTCGATGCATGACATCATGACCAAGTGGCCGAAAACGACTATCAGTGCAACGCTTCAGTGTGCTGGCAACCGACGCGACGGGCTTGCAGAGGTCAAGGAAGTCAAGGGTGTCATTTGGAAGTCCGGCGCCGTCTCCACAGTAAGGCGCTCGAGGCATCTAAGGATGGTTTGTTGTAGCCAACCTAGCTGTTGAAACAAAGAGCTAACATTCATCTTGTTGTCTATAGGCAACCTGGTCAGGACCTCGACTTTGTGATATCCTCAACGACGTGGCCGACATTCCAAAAGGAGATATTCACAGAATGCTGCGCGACTTTCACGTATCCTTTGAGGCTGATGACCACGTTCATGAAGATGTTTGCTATGGTAGTTCGATCCCTCTTAGGAAAGTGATGTAAGTGCACTGTTAGTGATGCCTTTTTGCACGATGAACACACAAATGCAGCGCCCAGGCTGACTTGCCTCTCTCCCTACAGGGATCCATTTGGGGATGTCATTCTAGCCTATGAGGTAATACGACGGCTGTTCCCTCATTGCAAAGTCTAGCGAGCGCATTTTTACTCATGCGTTCTATCGTACACTTGTTGGATAGATGAACGGACAACCTCTGTCGCGAGAGCATGGCTTTCCTATCAGGGTGATCGTTCCTGGCTTCATTGGTGCCCGATCTGTTAAATTTCTGCAAAGAATTGTGATTCAGCCTAGTGAATCAAATTCCTTTTTCCAGGCATGTACGCGCAGAGAACATAGGCAGGTGCCTATTACCTAGGACTAGCAATCCTAAAGTCTACCTTCTAAATCCACCTCCTTAGCGACGGGACTACAAAATCCTCGATCCAACAGTAAGTGAAGCATCTTTATTGAATCAGACTCAAAACAAAGGCATACACTCAAGTTCTCACCGAGTATTCTATAATGTAAATGGGTATTATAGATAAATCATGATAACGTGGAAGGTGCCTGGGACTCGGCACCATCTTTAGGGGAGATGAATGTTCAATGTGTGATCTGCACCCCTACAGATAAAGAGGTTGTTCCCTCATCCAAGCCAGTGACCATCAAAGGATACGCTATCTCCGGTAATACACCAAAGAATCCTTTCTGCTTGTTCCTGGTATTCAAATTCGGATCAACATTAACGTGTAAATGTATGCATCTATTCTTCGTCATCTTTGATTCGATAGGCGGCGGAAGAGGCATCTACCGAGTCGAAGTCTCTGTCGATGGCGGGCAAACATGGGAACCAGCTAACAGGATAGAGCAGAAGCCGGATGAATACAGTGGCATGTTCTGGACCTGGGCACTATGGGAAAAAACTGTCCCGGGGATCGCTAATTCGACGGTGATCATCGCTCGTGCATGTAACGTGGAAGAATACTTGACGGCAGCACTATAGCACTATTTCGTAAACCAAACAGCGCCTTGACCATCTATCTATTTTTATTTGTTTATGTTCATTAGATGATTCAAGTGGAAATATGCAGCCCGAAAACCCGATCTGGAACTATCGTGGAGTGATGAACAACGCGTGGTTCCGCGTTCATGCTATGCAGGTCCCCCACAATCGCATGTAAATAGTTTGTGTTGCAAATAAATCTGCATCTGCATATCGAATTATGTGTGGGCGCTCTTCTAGCTCTTCGTCCTGGTTTTCATCCCTCCATTATTCGTGGCATTGGGCGAACCTACCTCAGCCATACGCTTTCTCGCCCCTTTCAAAAACGACTGTTCGTTCCACTTTTCATTTTCGATCCAGACGCGCTTGAGTTCCTCAAGATCCAGGACACCGTTGCTTCCCAGGTATTCCTCACGATGCCATGCGAACAGATCGCTTTCGTAGTAATAACGCTCGAATTCATCCCAGTCAAATGACTTTTCTAGGGGCATGTAAGCAAGCTTTCTTGCTCCATCATCGTCACCATCATCGCCGTCATGCGTAGTAACATGGTCGGTGCTCTCTATCTTTGTATCAATTGTCTCCGATTTCTGTTTCTTCGGCAAAGGATCGTCCTCAATCTGACACTCCAGTTCAGCATGTCGCAGCTTCATGTAATTAGATGCTCGTCGAAACACCCTTCGCATTCGGCAGTTGGCGCACTCGCGACGCTTGCAGGACTCAAGGCATGGACTCTTCCAAATAATACCACAACGCACCGAGACCTTTGTCTGAGCTAGACTTCGCACCTTATCTGGGGGTGTCGGCAAAGTCGTGGCTGGTGAAAGGGACGATGTGTTGGAAGACAGAGGTCTCGCCAAAGACAAGGCCACAGTACTGTTGTCGCTCTTGAATTTTGGTAAAGTGGTGGATTGGATACGAGAGACGTATCCGCGGAACATGAAGAACGCGTTCCGAGCGCGGTAGTGGCTGCTACTGGTCACTTTCTTTTCGCGGGAAGACTTTTGGTCCTCAGGAGAAATATCATTATTTTTGTATTCATTCCCTCCCGTCTGCTGCTGTAGATGCTGTGCCTGATTCATATTCCGTTGAAGTTGTCGGTAGTAGAATAGAACTTCCGCAGACATTGAGGCCTCGTTGTTGTTCAGTGGAGCATAAGATGGAGGCGCTGGAGTGTTCACTGACTCGAAAGGTTCTCCAAATTTCCGTTTCTTGAGGTTCTCCAGCATTTGTGCCTCGATTGACAAGGGTAGATATTGTCCTCGGATGCCGTTATGATTGATAGCCGTTATGTTGGGGATGGTGTAAGGATTCATCAGTTCAGTCAAAAAGGCCTCGGATGCAAGACCTTGAGGCAGCGCTGCGTTATAAGAAGTGGGGGGCAAGGCCACCCTGTGAAATGGCGCCAGATTTATGGTCAAGGGAAGGGACGCGAAAGTGGATAGAGTCGGAAGTTCAGGGGAGGGAACGACTGATGACGAGTCTGTCAATAGACTTGGTGTTGGACTTGCACAAGAGAAGCTCACTGATGATAGATGATCTGGGTCAACGTTTGAGGGGGAGTTCTGAGGCGTATTGACAATAGTAGAGGTGAGCCGCTGCTGAGAATTATCTACTTCGCACTCCTGAAGAAAGACTTGGAGACTGCATTCTGTAGTGGAAGGAGCAGCAAGCGCCGTATTGGCATCAGCGAGGATGCGCTGTGCTGATGGTATGGTGCTTGAGGGCTCTGGGTCGCCATCGAGAGAAGCATATCGATAGATAGTGGGGTCGATGACAGATGCACTTGTATGAAGAAGCGTACTTTCAGTCGTCCATGGAGTCACTTTTTTATGACTGGTATCGGTGGTGGTTGCCAACCGCGGTGTCAGTGGTTCATTGTAAGCACTTTGATCGAGATACTCGTCGATAAAATCCTTTTGCGTGTACGAAGGCGACAGAAGCGATGAGAAGTCGAAATCGAGGCTATTGAGTGCATCAGAACCGTCGGGTGTGGGGAGAGGAAGGTCGAAAAGGGCTTGAGTCCAGTCTATATTGGAATTGTTGAGGTTCTCTGGTGCGGTATGTGTACTGGATTGCATCGCGAAAAATATGTGGCGTCAGTGCAGTTCGATCTCGTGAAGCGAGTGGGTTAAGCGAGGTATCGTGGGGTATATCGGTGGTTTTATATCCTTGGTCATTAAAAGCAAAGCACCGCAGATGTTCTTTGTATGCACAGATGCTCTTTTCGTAAGGAATAAGGGCCTCAGTAAATGCATCGGTGCATGCTGCTGAGTGATCGGTACCGTGCACCAAATAAAGAAAAGATGCCGAGGATCGTCTTTGTGTATCTATCCAGGTAGCAAGCAGCAGCCTTTTCACCGATTATCCTCTGCTTCCTTTATTTCTTTGTCCCTGCAGCTCAAAGAAAGCAATGCACCCTCAGCACTCGAGCTGTTTCTAATGAGCTACCATACTTCTATGAGGTTCCTATCCGTCTTTATTTAATAAGCATTTTGGTTACCAACCGAGACGCGTGCTGCCCTTTTTTTTGTCGCAGTGCGTCTTGTGCTCCGTGCGCCTCACACACGTGATATCCTTATACATTGCCACAAAACTCTTTGTCTGGCATCGGTCCCCTGTTCCTCTCGACGACGCAGGATGCCCAACTCGACAAACGCGACAACAGTGCAGGAGCACCTGCGCGAGCTGCAGTCCTTGGTTCAGGACTCACTCAAGCAATGGAATCTCGCCACCACCACGGCTGCTGCAACGGCGCTCGCGGCACAGAGCAGCCCGAATCGGATGTCCAATGGTAACACACAACACTCTCGACTTGCATTCGTTCTTGACAGTGTCAGGACCCTTGATGTTGATGGTGAAGCATCGGGTTTTTTTTCCTTGCATGCGCTATAGACCTACATCCACTCGGACCGGTCCAAGTAGGAACTCTCCAACGGGATTACAAGGAAAAGATCGCGGCTCTTCGTGCCATCTGTCTCTCCTTTGCTCAGGGACCCCTACATCACTCGTTGAACGGAGGTGATTCTTCCAGTGCACCGACTTTCCGGAAATATTCTTCGCTCTTGAAGGTATTAGCATTGTGATGCAGGGCAATGTTATGGATGTTGTTAAGCATATTGCGATCTACGATGACAAAGTTGCTGATCGCGTCAGAACTCAACTTTGTGCCTTCAATCTAGGAAGAGACGGTACTGGATGAGGCCGTACATTCTGTAAAAACAAGCTTGAAGCAATGCCAGAAAACACTTTGTGCAGCATCGCAGGACGGTAATATCAAGACAGAGCATCTGATCAGCACCATTCGGGATATGGCCACTGACCTTGGGTGCGTATTTCAACTGCAACAGGATTTTCTAAAATGAAGGTTTAGCAAAGGGGGATAAAGCGCTAATACAACTGGATTTACCCATCATAGACTGGAATGCTATTTGGAAACAGGATCGAGGACCGAGGGACTGCTACCAGTGTCGACGTTGACTATCGGAGGAAACGTGATTGTCATCGATGTATGTATTGCCACCGCATGCTGTGATGGCTGAAAGCATCGAGCACATACAAATTCAACTAACGTCTTCTCTTTATCTCAAGATCGATGTCGATAGCGCTGGAGCAATTCTGAGAATCAAGGTCTCTTATGCATCAGAGATCCATCAGGACGAGAGGGTGCGTTGTTCATAATCGATCTTGATACTGGAAGAACAATTTTCTTAAGGACCTCAGCTGACTCTCAATACCGCTTTCTTTTAGATCGACCGATTACTGGCGCAAAACCTGCGTTGCAAATGCGGAAAGCTTATTCAGTCAGTACCGGAAAAAGGAAAGGCAGCAGAGGCTAGTCTTACACACTTGCCCGATTGCAGTCGCGACTTCAAGACATTTTCGAGAAATCTGAAGGCGCTGGCGACCCTCGACAGTTTTTCAAAGAAATACCCGAACGTTGATTTCTTCCACAATATTCGCTCCATGGATATGGACCTCAAGGAGCTGTTCAAGCGAGAAATGTAAGTAGCTTGATGTCTGGATTTTCAGGATTATGGTCCATTGGTGGCATCCAATCTCACGGTTCTTTAACAGGAGTATCACAGGGCGAGACCTACATCGTGTGTTTACACAAGGACATGGAATTCCTATGATGCATGCTGTCTTGGCGGGACCGTCTATCGCTTACTGGGCATCCAAAGAGGACCTTCTCGACGTATCTTGGGAATATTTAGCGACGGCCGTTGAACAAGGTATGGCGCTATTATGGGCCGACAGAAAGGTCGTACAATATGATAGTGCTCACATATTAATTTTTCAAACCATGGAAATAGGTGCCAACGATAGAATCAAGATTCCCTTCCACCGAATTTGCATCGCTATGGAGGAGTCAACAACGTCTTCGGCAGGATGTCTACCGTTAACGCGCTCGGGGTTTTTGTTGTCGGAAGAGGAGACGCATAGCCTGAGCACCGTACCATATGGATCCATCATGAATGACCAGGGCAGTGTCAATGCAACAACGATTCTACAGCAGCCATTGAAGTGGATCGTACCAAGCACAGACCCAGCAGTCGAGGCAGCCTATATAGCAGTACTTCATCCACCAGTTGTCGTAGCAGAGGAAGTGGCGAAGCAGCTGGCTGCTCTTTCGAACCAGGCGGGATTGAACACAACAATGGGGTCCCATAAAGATCCGGGCTATCTTTCATTGCAGGAGCGTCTGATCAATCAGAATATCGAGCAGACACAATGGGAGATCACCCTCGACCAGGGACCGAATACTGTGCGGCAATTTTACTCGTTCGACAGAACCAAAAATGAGGCTCGCTTAATCCACAGGATTCCTTTCGCACACATTTCTCAAATCTATATATGCACAAAGGTGGGTACTCACTCTGTACAAATGAAAGCCATTGCAACGGCATGGAGCAATCTTCGTGATATCCTTTGCTAACAGTTATACTCCTTTGGCAGCTACTACGGCAACAAATGGCGTTCAACACTTTGTTTCAAAGCTGCTTCAAGGAGACGACCCCTATCGATGAGACCAAACAGCGCATGGCAACCATCCATCCTGGCAACAATAATGACGACAAGAGTTTGGAAGTCGCGATCGTTATCCAGACACCACAACCACCGAACATGATCTTGGCGTCGTTCCTGAACCCTTACACAGAGACCAGTATGCTAGTCGAGATTCTAATCGATGCAGGTTCAGGACTGCCCTCTGTGAGATTTATGAACGGGGTATCGGCAGCAGGCAACACAGGCCTGAGCATGGGCTACAACGGCGCTAGCAGCATGGGCGATCAGCATCAGCAACAACAACAGGATCAGCAGTTTTCAGTGGAGGGCGAAACATTAAGACGGGTACTGCAGACATGCGACAGTATCCCGATTTTGGTCCGGTGGATTCTAAAGCGGTCGCTAGTATGGATGAAGGAGAGACATCATCATCAGGGCAAAGCGCCTTCTCATCTTTTACGAAGGGCGTCCACATACACCGAGGAGGGCGGGATCCTTAAGAAGCCCCGTGTATGAATGATCTATCACAATACAAGCAACACAGCTCGCTTGTATTTTTTAACATTGACTTTACCATTATGGTTGTTGTCGCTATCATGGATATTGATATTGGTTAATGGGTCTGTGATTGCCTGTGGCATTTGATAAGTATGCGAAAAGGTGCTTTATTCTTCGTCGTCGCTACTCGAATCGTATGCTACTAGACTGAGCAGCGCATTGGGCTTTGGTTTTGCTGCAGCCGTATCGACTTTTGGCCGCTTGCTCTCTGGATCTTTGTCAGCCATTGATTTATTTGATGACTCGTTCTTATCGTCTGCTTTCCGCTTGCCAGTTGCTGTAGAGGTATTTCCTGTTACTGATGGTTTTGATGAAGATGTCGTCGATGTAGAAGAGGGAGAGTCATCACGTTTGACCAATCCAGCAAACAAGGATGTCTTTCTCTTTTTGGGACCCGACGATGGCGAGGATGACGATCCAGAGGCAGAGGCTGTAATATCGGGCTTAGGTATGACCGAGACGAGTGATGCTGGTTGAGATGGTGGTGGTGCGGACTTTAGTTGAACGTTCCTAGATGGTTTGTTGTTGTATAACAAGACGATCTTGTTTAGAATGTTTGGTTCCTGCTCATTTTGAGATAATGGACAAAAAAGATATTGTTGATCATCCTTACATGCGGAATGCTTTCAATGCCTCCTCCTCTTGTTCTGCGAGCTCGCGCTTTTTCTTTGCCTCTTCCTGTTCCAGGTTGGTCAGAAAATCGAATTCGTCATTGTCGAGCCTATGAATGAGGTTTCCTATCATGAACAGTGTCGGATGCAGCATGCAATCGTTAACAAGATATGAATACTCTCCAAAGGAAAGCTCGTTCTGTCCTTGTACTATATGATGCCCTTCAGTTGATGGTGTTGCATTGGTGCCATACCGAGTTTTGTTGCCTCAGCAAAGGCATCGTCCTTCTTTTGCTTCTGCTCCTGTAATCTTTCATAAAGCGTGCGAGGATCATACGTCTCTGGTTCCTTCAGTGGTGGCGGGTCTATTTGATGGATCGTAAAGATATCCCCTTGTTAATATTGGCCTTGGATAATATGAAAAAAACAATAATTGGCAATCCTTGTCCTTTGATGAAATTGCCTTTGGAAAAAACGTACTTTCTTTGTTCTCATAGGCCTTCTTCCACTCGTCCTCACGGGTCTTCCGTGCTTCCTCGATATCGTCTGTATTGGAAAGAACAAGGTTGTGACAAAAAAGAGTGTAGTGATGATTAATGGATGTTCAGTAGTCCAGTAGTCTGTTGTGTGGATTCATCCAATAGAAACCGAGGTATCGGGTTCCTAGGTTGGGATTCCTTGCCTGCACTGACAAAGTTGATGGAGGACATGGTGAATGGTGTGGGTCCAAGGGGGGTTTGCTTTGCCGCTTTGCCTGGGGGTCCCTGACCTGAACGTGGACTTTGGAGTGGCTTACTGACATGTAGACTGTTTTGATAGCACATAGAAAGAAAAACGCGTCTGCAAAACACGTATATATTATTGTAGGATGGACGCGATTTCAATGCACGCTGTAGAGCACACTACGCTGGATTCAATGCCAAATGTTTTATTGCAAATTGTTGCAGTTCGCCAAGCTATGATACACTGTGAATAGGATACTCTCATGCACGCGTAGTTTCAGTTCCAGCTCCTCTCTCGAGGTCGTTCCGTTGCTGAACATTGCTGTATTGCCTGTTGCTCTGCGCGAGCAATCCCTGCCTCTCGTTCGATTCATCCTGCTTCCTGCTCCCTGTCACATAATGGTCTGTCCTGTCCCTGTAGAGGACGTAGTGCTGCGTCATAAAGATCAGATCGAACGCAATGCTCAAAAAGCCCAGTCCGAACTTGACAGGATCGCCCGAGATACCAGACCAATCTCCGGAGATGTAGGCATCTAGAACCAGCTGCGCGATACTGAGGGCTCCTCCTGTGAAATCAAGCAAGATATTGTAGATACTCCACCCGGCAGTCGATTTCGCGGCCCAGTTGATGTAGACCTGAGGGCAGTACTTGACAAAGCTGATGATCAATTTAATGGAGCTCAGGAAATAAAGAATGTCGATCCATTCCTTCCCGCCCTTGCCCCAGGTTGCCTGGGTAACGAGATAGAGACTGATAAGAATTGCAGAGGCGATGAAAATTCGTGCGGGCCAGGATGGCTTTTGATTGGGATCGCGCTATGTAATCATTTGCACATCAGGAAAAATCATTAGTTGGGGAAAAGAAGTATGGAGCATAACTGTGTCCTTTTGGCGTGTTGGCGACTCGAAGCAGTAGACTCTTAGACCGGTTTCTGCGTGTCGCTGCCGCGTGAGGACCCTTTATCATCCCCCCCCCTCTTTTGTGTTTGCGATGGCGTGCTCTTGGTCCTTTGATTTGTAACAAGCATAATGAGCTGTATTTCTTTCCTGACCCCACATGAAGTCCAGCTGAGTTTGTGTCACGAGAGTGTGAGAATTAGCCCAAGTTCATCGCCGTCTGGTTGTGGATGCATACCTTGTATATCCATGTTTGAGCCAGGGTAAAGGTCGAGAGGATGAGCGCATGCAGGGCGAAAAAGACGTCATTGGCGCGCACTAAGTTCTCCTGACCGTCGTTTCGTCGCTTGTATTCCTCTTGCACCTCCGAGCTAAAGAAAAATGCCAGGTTGAAAATCTATGGGTCGGAAATGAGACAGACTTATTAGATCCCATTTCAAAGAGCAGCCGTCCCTGTCATAATTGTTGATGTTCGCAATAGAAGAGTAAGGATGATGAAAGTCTGTAGAAATGGGTTAATGAATTGCTTGAGGGATGGTCTTTACCGAGTAACACAGAAAGCCGAGGACGTTCAGGTGGATAAAGTCCATGGACAGCCCCTGGACAGATTTCCGGCGCCAGTTCAGAATTGCCTGGGGATAGAAACTGGCAGACCAGGCGATGAAGTAGGCCCATCCGATGAGGTAGGACACATAGTGGCCAAACCCTTTTGGCGAAAATGCTGCGTGGTCCATGTATTGTCGTCGATATTATAAGGGTGTCAAGGTGCGTTGCTGAGCGTAAAGCGAGTAGGTGGATTGGGCGGAAAAGAGATGAGAGTGAGAGAAGAGCGGGAGTAAAAAGAAAAAACGGAAGATGGACAAAGAGAGAGGGAGAGAAAGAGAGAGAGAGCACGCAGTTACGGGAACGGGCTTCAAAAGAAAAAAGCGGCACATCAAGCACATCAAGCACACCATCGACGACCAAGTCCTCAGCTGGTCCTTCCTCTTTAAATTTGGTGGCAACAAAACTAAACCTCTATTTTGTGCGACGACGCATAGCTCCGACGTGTCAATCAATTGGGAGTGATTCGAAATAAGGTATGGTAATTAAGGGGGGATCAAGCCAGGAGCAAGGAGAACTGTGCTTGCTTTTTCATGCTCATCATCATCCTTCCTCACCATCAACCACACATCCCTCCCTCACAATGCGTTGGAACCTGGCATTGTTGATGGTTCTGGCCTTATTGGCCCTCGTCCAGCAGGTCGCCGCCTGGGAAGAAGGTACCCATTTATTTGTTCAGTTTACCTACGCATGAAGAGAACCACGCGATCTCATCAGTATGAATGAAATGCTAGGCGACTTTGAGATATTTGATCTGGTCGATGCACTCGAGAAGGCAGAAGGTCCCGACGTCAACTTTTATTCATGGATGGGTGTCACCCAAAAGACTCCCAAGCCTGAGATCGAGAAAGCCTTCCGCAAGATGTCACGAACGCTTCAGTAAGTGCAGACAACCAGCGACTATTAAGGCCCATACTGCCGATACAGCCGCCCTGTCTTCTCTCCCCCCCCCCATCCACCCTATTCTGCCCAGTCTCTAATAACAAATCGATTCTTGTTTTTCACGTTTTCCAGTCCTGATAAGAACAAGGGCCCCAAGGCTCAGGAAAAGTACGCACGTCTGTCGAGCATCATCTCCATCCTGCGCGACGATGCCAAGCGTGAGCGTTATAACTTTTTCCTTAAGAACGGCGTTCCTCGCTGGCGTGGATCCGCTTATCTGTACAGACGCCATCGCCCGGGCTTCAAGGCCGTCGTCGTCTTCTTGGTCGTCCTGGTCTCGGGGTTCCAGTACCTGGGTCGTTATGTCGGTTATGTTCAGGAGAAGAGGCGCATGGTTGGAATGATTGAGCAGTACAAGGAACTGTTGCGCGAGAAGCATCAAAAGATTTTGGAAGGCCCCATCACCGGTCGTCAGCGTCGGTCCGGTGCCACCCCTGAGCCTGTCACACCCCTGGAGGAAGGACCCATGTATGCTGTCAACCAGTATGGCGAGGAAATTGAGCTGACCATGGACAACATTCACTCTCCCAAGGTCAAAGATCTTGTCATCTTCCGCGCGCCTTTCTGGGTTGTCAAGGGAGTTCTGATGGTTTGCCCAAAGGGCGTGCGTGAGAGCGTGTTGGCCATGGATATCTTTGAGAGCATCCGCCCCAAGGATGAACAAGCCGAGGCCGATGCGAAGCGCAAGATCCGCAAGGCCGAGTTGGCCAAGAAGAAGGCAGCCAAGCGCGCTGCTCAGCAGAAGCAGTCGCCAAGCGTCAGCGACGACGAGCCCTACCACTCATCGGGCGAGGAGAACGAGGAGGACTTGGCTGCTCGCGCGAAGGAGGAGGAGCTTGCTGCTGCAAGGAGACGTCGCCGCATGAAAGCCCCTGGTCAGGCCACGCTCAAAGGAGGACGACGTGGATAGATGATACTAGGAGCCGAACACCATGATAAATATATTGATATTTGCAGAGCAACTCTTGTTCTTTCTGCTGTAATTTATTGGTCTATGTTCAAATTACGAGGCACGACTAGAACTCGTCGTTGGCTCGTCTGCGGCCACCGATACCGCCCTTCGTCATAGCCGCTTCGTGATTTCTGAGCTCCGCGGGCACGGTCGCCAAGGTCGACTTTGTCAGCATCTGCTTGAGATCATAGTACACATCCGTATCATAGCTTGAAAGAAAGGTAACAGCAACACCAGACCGTCCTGCACGACCGGTACGACCAATACGATGGGTGTAATCCTCAATGTTTTTGGCCATATCAAAATTGACGACCAGGGACACGTTCTGCACATCGATACCACGACCAGCGACATCGGTCGCCACAAGAACGTCGCTCTTCCCGCTTTTGAGCTGGGAGAGTGCGAGCTCACGCTGCTCCTGAGATTTACCTCCGTGCAGGGTTGTCGCACGAAGCCCAGAGCTACTGATCATTTTGGCAAGCATGTCGCAGCTCTTCTTCTGGTTTACAAACACAATCATAGGAGGGGCAAATTGTCCCTTCAGCAGGTCCATAAGTCGGTTCCTATCGAAATGATATTATAACAGTACGTGGTTAGTTCTGGTTCATGATATATGAGAGAGCAAGTAGCGGATAGGCAGTATCATTAATAAAAATTCGACGCACTTCTTCTTGTTCTCGTCCGTAATCATCTCCACGCGCTGCTCAACAGTCTCGACAGCCTGACCAGCGGTACCGATGGTAACCACAGCTGGTCGTCTGAGATATCGCTTGGCGAGTCGCTCGACTGCGGGTGGCATTGTTGCCGAGAACATGGTTGTTTGGCGGTACTTCTTGCTCGAGTCCTTGTCGATCGCCATAGTCATTTTGGATGCATCCTCTGCCTCGTCTGTGTCGGGCTTCAGGTTCGAGACTGGTAGTGCGTCCAGAATAAAATTAACATCGGGTTCGAAACCCAAGTCAATCATCCTGTCAGCTTCGTCCATAACCACGTAGGTACACTGGTTCAGTACCAAAATGCGACGATCCAAACAATCCTTGAGACGACCGGGTGTTGCAATAATAATTTCGGCTCCGTTTCTGAGGTTGAATGCCTGCTCCTCTACTGCGTGTCCTCCGACAATCGAAACACAGTTGAAACCGAGGGGAACGGCAAATTTGAGCGTCTCCTGCTCGATCTGCTGGGCCAATTCGCGTGTGGGCGCCATGATGAGGGCATATGGACCGTGGACCATGTTTTGTTCGTTGAGCCTTGGCAGGTCGAAAATGAAGTGCAGCATTGGGATCAAGAACGAAGCCGTTTTACCAGATCCTGTCTCTGCAATACCGATAATATCGCGGTTCTGCAGTCCGATGGGAATCGCCTGTCGTTGAATGGGTGTCGGGTCCTTGTATCCAACCTTCTCAATGACCTCCAGAATCTTTGGATCGATACCGGATTCGCTCCAGCGACGGATAGGGTTGGGTATGCTTCCACCTAGCGTTGCCAAGAGAGAGGAAAAAAGAGCATTAATACCTGATAATAGACCGAAGAAGGCCAGTAAATAACTTCAAGGTCGACGATACGAACCTTTGCATGCGATGTTGAAATCTTCCTTAAAGATACGCCAATCTCTGTCTCGCATTTGATCCAAGGGCTTTTCGGACCAGTGGCGATCCGCATAGTTAACCTTGCGCTCCTTTTGTGCGGCAATATCTCCCAGCTCGCTATTTGCAGTAGAGAGAGATGTTTAATTATGTTAGAATGTACTTCGGGAGTAAAGTGGCAATTGAGGGGATGAACGCATAAATAAGAAAAACGTACCCAGCACGCGCAACTTCGGCATCAGTTCGCCGAGATGCCACTAGCTTATCATAGAATTGGTCCCTTGACTTGTTGTCTTTGAGCTCAATTCCTGCAAAATGACCACGGCCGAACAATTGAGCACTGTGTCGGTGCGTATAAATCGGATTCAGGTCTCTTGAGGTATCATCGTCCGCATTCCAGTCAAAAACGAACTTTTTGTCGTTGCGTTTGCGGATCTTCCTTTCCTTCTCCTCGATACCCATGTACTTTTTCTATGACGTGCAATAAAAGAGATCAAGCGTTAACAAACAGATACAGTGCTTGCGATATATATGCCCTTTGCGACATATATCGAGACACATTCATACCTTGACAAGGTCAATCTCTTTCCCGGCAAGGACAATTCCAGTAGATGATGAATCGGCATCGGTCGACTCTTTACGCCAGTCTCCATTTGACCTTCCGGCTCGAGCTCGGTCGCCTCGATCTCTGTCACGGGCGCCAATCCTGCCGTCCCTGCTGTCATAGCCATATCGGTTGTTATCATGAACTTCTGTGCGTGCTTTGGCATCAAATTCAGCTCGCTGCTGACGCTCCTGCTCCGTAATCTTTTTCTGAGCCTCGACTTCCTTTGCTCGTCTTTCTAATGCGAGCTGCGCGCGCTCCTCTTTTGTTAAGAACTTGGGCTAGATATGCAATGAGTAATGGCAAACAAGGTCAGCGCTTCATTTCTTGTTCTTCTTGATACGAGTAAGAATAAACATCATGGATTCACAAAGTCATTACCCTTTCAAGAGCTTGCTTTTCCTGTTCTTTCTGCTTGATGAGCTCCTCGAGCGAAATAGGTACTTTTCTGGCGGGCGGTGTGTCGCTCTTGTCGACATCCATAGAATTGCCTTTGTCCTGTCCAGATCTTGCCGGTGATCGCTCCTTTTCTCTCTCCTCGCGAGAATAGCGAGAATCCCGATAAGATTCTCTGCCATCCCTGCCGTCTTTGTTGTCTTTCAAGTCCCTGTTATCTCGACCGTCGCGGTAGTCACGACCATTATTGCGACCAGAGTAACGATCGCTGTCTCGGTCCCTGCCTCGACTCTTATCCGGACTTCTGTCCCTGTATCCTCCGCCGCCACGTCTGTAGTCGCCTTGTCTGCCGGACATTAGTGTGTGTGCGTGTGTGTGTTGAGTATAGGGATGGGAAGGGTGGTGAGAAATAGGATTGATCGAATACGGCGAAGTCGTCAGCTTCAAGAGAAGGGCTTGCAAGCCACTATTTCTTGGACTAAAATGCAGCGCACGCAGCAAGTAGTTTGTCCTGACGATTGCTTCCTTTTCCCATTCACCGTGCCTTCCTTACCTCACGCAGCCCATTTTTATCGCCTTGGAAAAAAAACATCGACTCGGAAGTTTCGAATAAACTGGATCAGAATTGCAGGATCTTTGTCACTGTCATACTCGACCCTATCATTCAATGGCCTACAAGAGAAAAGCGGACCTTCCAGTGGGAGATGTGAATGATCTTATGGAGGTGACGCCCTTGGGCGCAGGCAGTGAAGTCGGAAGGTCTTGCCACGTCCTCAAGTACAAGGGCAAGACCGTTTTGGTACATACAATTGACAGAAGCAGCACTACTGAAGAGACGAATAAAGCCTTTGTTGCTCCAATATTCACCACATATCCTGTACTTTGTCTTTTCTTTTTCTCCGATATGTCATTGACCTGACCTCAATCCGTATTTTGGTGGATAATGTCAGTTGGATTGCGGTATTCATCCTGGCCAAAGCGGCATCTCTGGACTCCCCTTTTTTGATGAGGTCGACCCGGCCTCGATCGATGTGCTTTTGATTACACAGTAAGTCTCCAAGGGTCAAGAGTAGATATTTCTTTGCAGCTCGCAGTTGATTTGGTAGACGCTAACATCCTAATCCTCGTCATTGTTATCCGAATAACAGCTTCCACTTGGACCACGCCGCAGGATTACCATACTTCACAGAGAGGGTGCGAATGTAGTTCTTTCGACCGCAAAGAGATACCTCTTAATGTCGGACGTTTACTAACAGGACTTCTGCATCTATGTTCGTATAGACCTCTTTCAAAGGACGCGTTTTCATGACACATCCAACGAAAGCCATCTTCAAATGGCTTCTTTCGGACTATGTCAAAGTCAGGTATACTACCGATGTGAAATGAGTTTGGAATGATATGTCCACCTCATGCAATCGCGGATAAAACTCACCAGGAAATTATATAAATTTGCTCCGCACCTTTCTGTAGCAACGTCGGCTCGAACGAAATGCTGTACGACGAAGCCCAGCTGGCTGCCTGCTACGAAAAGATTGAGACAGTGGATTACCATCAGGAAATGAATGTGGATGGTATCAAATTCACGGGATATAATGCCGGACACGTTTTGGGCGCAGCCATGTTCTTGATCGAGATTGCCGGTATCAAGGTAATGTTGCCAGGCCTTTGTTCGCTCCAGAGCGCTCCATCAATCGTGGGCCATTTTCATCTCAATGTCGATGCATTCCTGGTCTTTTAACCTCCCAATTAGATTCTGTACACTGGAGACTACTCCCGTGAGGAGGATCGCCATTTGATGGCAGCGGAAAAGCCCACAAATGTGCAAACCGACGTTCTGATTTGCGAGTCTACATATGGTGTCCAAAGCCATGAGCCTAGGATCGATCGTGAGCGCCGATTCACCAGCACTGTGCATGATATCGTCCAGCGAGGAGGACGGTGTCTTTTGCCAGTATTCGCATTGGGTCAGGCACAGGAGCTGCTGCTGATGTTGGACGAGTACTGGGCAGCGCATCCGGAACTGGAGTCGATTCCTGTTTACTATGCGTCCTCGCTGGCAAAAAAATGCATGACCGTCTATCAGACATACATCAACATGATGAACTCGAAGATCAGGAAGCAGTTCGCAGTGTCAAATCCCTTTGTGTTCAAGCATATTTCGCATCTTAAAAACATGGATATGTTTGACGATACAGGCCCATGCGTCATGATGGCCAGTCCTGGAATGCTCCAGAACGGGCTCTCTCGCGAGTTGTTTGAGCGCTGGTGCACGGATAAGAAGAACGGGTTGCTGATTACGGGATACTGCGTGGAGAACACGCTGGCCAAGGACGTGATGAACGAACCCGACGAGATTCAGACCATGAACGGACAAAAACTTAAGCTGAGGATGTCGGTCGATTATATCTCATTTTCAGCTCATGTTGACTATACTCAGAACAGTGCATTTATCGATGAGGTCAAGGCGCCATACTTGGTAAGTACTTTTATACTTGATATTTCACATTCATATGTTCTTGGAGTGTCTCATGTAAGGCATTGATCATTGACTATTTTTTTTTTCTTTATTATTTTTTGTCGATATTAGATTCTGGTGCATGGCGAAACGAACGCGATGGGGCGCCTGAAGAGCGCGCTTATGAGCAAGTACTCTGAAAGGGATGAGGATATTCACATCTTCACTCCCAAGAACACTGAAACCGTCAAGCTGTACTTCCGAGGCGAGAAACTGGCCAGGGTAATACTCGTCTACTCCTTGAAAGTGTCTATATCCGAATTATCTCATACGCTCCTATCTATGAGGAAGTACTAACGCAGGTGCGATTTCCACTACGGTAGACCATCGGCCAAATGGCGGCTACATTCCCCGAAAAGGAGAAACTGGTATCCGGAGTTCTTGTCGTGAAGGACTTTCAGTACACGATCATGGATACCTCTGACCTGGAGGAATTTGTGGGACTGCAGACAACATCTGTACTTCAACGACAGGTTGTTCCATATCACGCATCTTTTGGTCTGCTGAAGTACCATCTTCGACAAATGTTTGGCAAGATTCAGGAACTGGAGCGCGATATCAATAAGATGGAGAGCGTCAGGGTAAGATGAACTGATCAGAAGGCACTCTTTCCCTGTTTGGTAGAACAAGCTGCTAACTTGGATTCTTGTTGTAAATGTAGATATTCGATACCGTGGATGTCAAGGAATTCAACGTGAATCATGTCTTGCTTGAATGGACCGGAAACTCTGTCAATGATATGGTCGCTGACTCTGTCTTGGCCGTGATCCTCAGCATCGAGTCCAGCCCGGCCTCCGTAAAGTTGACAAAGTCGGATCACACTCACTCGCACTCGCACGGCCAGCCTCATAGTCACTCTTCCTCCGAGGGCGACGAAGGATTATCAGTCGATGATATTCTCCTCGTCGAACGTAATCCTGCGGACGAGTTCCAAGACCTAGTCATGTTCTTTGCCAGCCAATTTGGCGTCGAGAACGTAGAGCAGAACGAGAAGGGGCGAACGGTTGAGATCACAATGGACGGTGTCCAGGCAACGATTGACTGCGTCCATTTCACGGTCAGGTGTGAGGCAGATGCGCTGCGACACCGGGCACAGAACGTACTGGAGCGCGCCGTCCGAACCTGTGTGCAGTAGATATCACCTCCGTATTTACTGGAAAACCAAGATCTTTTCCTACTCTTGATCAGAATAAAGAGAATATTATGAAATCTATTGACATAGAGGCTAAGACATTAGCTTTATCTGGCTTTGAGCAAAAAGGATGCAGGGATAGTATGTACCTTTGACAGGAACGTGGAAGGGCTTTTTCTTTTCTTTTACAAGAACCGTTAAAGACATGGGATTTATTAACTATGGTCTGAAGGCGCCAGGAACGTCGAAGGGAGATCAGAATAAAATAAAGTTTTCTCTGAGGTTTCCTGAACCTTTGAACAGAAGCCCTCTTCATCGATCGTACACATTTCTCATCCACACTCTTTCCTTTGACACATGATGTCACTACCCCGGTCACCGGTTGTGAGGCTACTCTTGCCGCTTCTGGCCGTCCTTGCCATCTTGGGCTTCACTCTGCACAATCAGTCTCCATCGGATCAAAACTACTGGGAGTTTAGAAACCACCGCCAGCAACAATGGCAGCATGAGCAGCAAAAGCAGCAACAAGAACAGCAACATCCACAGCGGCCTGTAGGTGGCTCCATGGAGCGTGTGCCATTGAGCCCTTTCACGGTATTGTATTGCATCAATAGCGGCGGTGGTTTCTCAGCACGGACGTTAACAATTGCTGCCAGGGACCATCAATAGCAAGCAATTGGCTGTCTGACAGCTATTGTATTCTATTACTAGGTACCAGAGAGTCTACACCTCACGCATGATGTGGCAATCCCACACAGCATCCCACCATGGACCAGGGCTGACACAGAGATGTTAGGAACATCCATTGGCTTCAATTTCAAGACTCAGATGCTGCGCCAGGATTATGACCCAAGCGAGGATCTCTCAGGAAAGCCCGAACGCCTCAACTTTGCAGAGCTTTCCCGTGCTGAGAGATTACACAAGGCGCTTTGGAATCATGTCCACCCACTCTATCAATCACTTTCAGGGCGGGACCGGGATCGCGAGGAGCAATTGGCGGAGATGGCCAAGACACGTCCGGAGGTGAACTTTTTCCTAAAGTTGGAGAAACGTCTATACCCCTGGATCCAACACGGTCGCCAGTCTTCATTTTCACTACACAGGACATTCAAGGGCAAGGGATTAGTCTTTTGTGCAGGCAATGGGCAGTTCGAATTTGTTGTCACGGCTATTCAGGCGGTCAGGAACCGACTCAAGTCAGCGTTGCCTATTCAGGTGTTCCACATGGGCGAAGACGATCTCTCCAAGGAGCGTCAGACGTATTTGAGAGAAATGGCAGCAGGGATTGAGATTGTGGATGTGACCCAGATATTGAACGACGAGTACATGCGTCTGAATGGTTGGGCGATCAAGCCCTTTGCGATGCTTGCGTCCAGTTTTGAAGAAGTCATGTTTGTCGATGCAGATGCTTATTTCTTGCAGGTACGTGAGATTCAACAGTTCACTTTATTGTCTAGCCCGAGCAGGAGCACTGACAATGGCCAACTTTCCATGAAAAAAAAAAAAAAAAAAAAAAAATAGGACCCGGCAGTTTTGTTCGAAGATCCAGGATATCTGGCGACTGGAGCATTGTTCTTTTACGACAGAACGCTCTTCCCGGATTGGACTGTTGGATCAGACTGGATCAGATCGATGCTGCCTATCATGTCGACCTTCCCTGAAAAGTCGCGCATGTTCAACCTTCTTTCCGCGCACGAGCAAGAGTCCGGAGTCGTGCTGATTAACAAAAGGACCCGGTTCCCAGGCATGCTTGCCACCTGCAAGATGAACGGCAAATGGGAGCGTGACCTGTACAGCTATGAGATTTTCCATGGCGACAAGGAGACGTTTTGGGTTGGGTTTGAGATGGTCCAGGAGCCCTACGCGTTCATGCGCAACTATGGCGGTGCCATTGGAGAACTTCATCCCAATAACAATCAGTCCGTCTGTGGAGCACAGCTGCATGAGGATCATCAGGGTAGACCGCTGTGGTGGAATGGTGGACTGTATCGAAACAAGAACGCGGGGGTTACGCGAAATCTTGATTTTGGATACTGGATGTCTGGCGGTGGACACCAGCAGCATCGTGAACGGTATACGCATGACAAGGCGAGGATGATTGAAGTCTTGATAGACTTGGGGTTGAGCTCGAGTGATGACCTGATAATGGAACCGAGAGATGCGGCGTGGGACTTTGAGGAGAGTTGTCTGGCTGGGGCTGCAGTACACACTCTGACGCAGCGGGAGAAGGATTTAGCTAATGGATACATTGCCATTGATAAGATTGCGAGGGAGGATGGGCGTAAGATGGATGCAGGCGAGAACCCGGATCCAAAGAAGCATAACTGGGACACTGCGGCCTCATGAGAAATACTCTACCATTCTACATATTTTATTTATTTCTTTACAATAGAATTTAGCAGTGAAAATATCCACATGCAAAAGAAAGACGCGACCTGTTCTCTTCCCATTCTCAGTAATCCTCACAACTTCCAGTAAAGAGGGTATGCAGCCTAGTACTATGGATCTTTTGCTTTTTGGATCGCGTGGTATGGCTTATGGCTGGTTTCGATGGATGGGCTGCAGAGCCAATTTAGTGCCAGAGATTGTTTTTTTAGGTGAGGATCTGTTAGGGATTCTTAGGGGTTTTTAGAGTGAGAGTAAAGGTAGAGGGGAGTGGTGGACGGAGGCGGCGAACCAGTTGCGCCACAGCTGGCTCAAACTAATAGCCTATTGGACACCGCAATCCGTTCTGGTGGGAAACGAGGCATGGCCAATGCGCTGTTGTCTTTCGTCTCAAAATGCTCAGAAAGCAGATGCAGCTGCATAGACTACTGTACTGCATATGCTACAATAGACCATCTCCTGTGCTAATGCATCCTCCCCAAGGCCTTGTTTGGACCATCTGTCTCTAATAGCTCTAACAGCACGTAGTCGTATAAACATAAAAAGAGGATGTATATGATGGAGTGATAGATAGCAGCCTGGTAGTACACCCGCGTCCTGTTCCTGAGGCCATTGATATCGTTGGGGAAAGAGTGTCTGTCGACAACCACGCTGCCTAGAAACCCGCTCGGGTGAAAAAATAGAAGATGAAGAAGGGCAGGGTGGTCGTGTCATAGGTGCTGACAAGGATTGCTCCCCCTTTATTTTTGTGCGTCGGAGTGATGCGCCCTCCCGGTCAGGCCCAGTTCCTGAAAAGTTGAAAAGTGGCCGACGGGGGGGTCAGTGTGACATCTGACGGGCGGAGTGATGCGCCATCCATTCTGTAATGTCTACCCGTCCTTCCACGCCTGCTTGTGCACTCTCTTCCATTGTCCTCCTCTTCACCGCCCCTGCCTTCCGAGTCCATATCCTAAGCTTCCTTCCCTCTTTCCTCTCCTTCTTTCCTCTCCTCCCTCGCAGCCGTCCTCGGTATCCACTGCACTCTTTCCTTCGACACGCCCACGATCCTACATCGCCATTTCTTTGATAACGACAGCACCAGTCTCATCCCCCCTGTTACTCAATCTCCCTCTGTACATAACGACATGGACATGTCGCCCCTTTCGAGGATGAAGAGCCCCGCAGCATCCAGAACACGACCCATCCTCCTCCTCCTCCTCTCCTTTGCCCTGACCGCAGATGCTATAGTGATCCCGCCTGCTCGCTGGGGCCATGTCTCTGTATGTATTTGGGTGTTCTCTACAGACGAATGGGCTTTTGCCTGGAAGCCGCCTCTAAGCAATGTATTTTTGAACACCTAGATACTCTGTGGAACACAGCTCTACATCCACGGGGGCCAAACAGGGGTTAATCCCATGACAGCGCCGATCGGATCAGACCTGTACTCCCTCGACATCTCAGCAGCCTTCAACGCCTTCTCCGTACCCTGGGTCCAGCTCACGCCGGGGCCCTACGCCTCTTTTCACTCGGCAAGTCTGCTAGGCCCAGGGAACAGCCTGCTCGCCATCTATGGTGGAAACACCTCCTTCGCCCCCACCTCCTCCACTGGCAGCTCAAATTCACTCAATCTTTATAATACGGCCACAGGGACCTGGACAGCTTCGCCAATACAGGACCCGCCGAGGAGGGAACATCACACAGCAGCATCTCGTCTTGGTGACGGAACCATGTTTGTTTACGGGGGATCGCTGCTTTCGACAGATCTAATGACAGAATCGGCGACACCAGAAATGTGGACCGTGGGCGGCTATCGTGACAGCAACCCCAGTTCAAACTCTTCCTCTTCAGCGACATCACCAGCAATACCAGAGCCCACAGGACTCACTCCGGACACTGTAGGCTGGCGAAAATTACCCGGTCCACCAGGATCGACTACGGATCGGTCCTACCATTCGGCCACACTGATCCGATCCAATGGACTACTGGTGGTAATTGGTGGCGTCTCTGGAGGAGCTCTGGTGCCCATGTCTGAAATCTTAGTGTTTGACACAGCAGCTGGAACGTGGTCTGTGCAGACTGCTACGGGAGCCACACCACCCCTGCGGAGGAGTCATGTAGCAGCAGCAAGTAAGTGCACACTGCTCCTTCTCGTTCTTTCTTCCACATTATTCTCTTGTCATACAATGTTTCGACATGTCGGACTAACGCCGCTCTTGCGTCATATGTTTGTGCCACAGCCAGCAATGGCCAAATTTATATTCATGGAGGGACGGACATGGAAGCGACAACCTTCTTCGCGGATGTAGCCATTCTCGGTAAGAAAAAGAACTAAAGCGCTGGGAAGCTGTACGGTACTCTAATGAGCTAATCCAAACATCTCTTCCGTGCATCCTCTTTACCGTAGATACAACGTCATGGTCTTGGACCCAGCCAGCAATTGAGGGAACATCACCCACGGGACGATATTCGCATGGAGCAACGATGGTGGGAAGCAACATGATCGTATCTTTTGGTAGGTTTAGTCTATATGTCGCTTTTAATTTTAATATATAGGTATTTCTCACTGAGATACATAGTCCTCATATTCCTGTCCCTGACTTTTTTTTTTTTTTTTTTAGGATTGACGGCGGGAGGCGCGACCAACAATATTTTTATTATGGATACGACAACGAACACTTGGCAAACATCATACACGCCCGGCAACCTTTCGCAGACATCCACAAAACCAGAAGATTGGCCAGGATATAAACCACCGCCTGTGTCATCAACCACACCCCCCATAATCAACGGTACCGATGTATCACGGCCTGTCCCTGATTCTCATACACCAAGCATTGGACCCATCATTGGAAGCGTCGTGGGTGTCGTGGCACTCGCGGCCATTTTGTTTATAGCCGTGAAAAGGCACCGCCAACATAAGTTGCAGAGCAGCCAGGCAAAGATGGCAAGGTTATATGGAGCTGACTTTTCGAACCAGCGAGGCTATCGACCGGGCGAGCCCTACCAGCCCACAGGGATGGCATTCTACTCATCACCGATGTCCTTTGGTCAGAGAATGGAACGGTTATGGGGCAGTTTTGGTGCGGCTGCGTTCTGGAACAAAGACAGACGAGCAGTGAACCGGTCGCAGTCTCGCAGACTGGAGGAACAAGATGATAGCGATAGCATGCGTAGTCTGCAGATGGGGCCGATCACGGATCAGGATATCTTTTTGGATGCGGTCCATAGGGCGCGATCCAGGGTAGGCAGGCTCACACCCGTGTTTTCACCCTTGCAACAACCCATCAGGCCTGGCTCACCAACATCGCCACGGCTGTCGGGCTCGCCTCAATTAATTTCTGCCGGCACCGGAAGCTCTTTACGAGATAGCATAAGTGGCATTGAGGAGATAGAAGGCATGATCCATGGACGCACGTATTCAGATGGATTTGAGAGGTCAATGCTGGAGATGGACGTCCAGATGGTGGCAATTCCAAGAGGTCGACTGTATGTCGTGAACCCTTCGGATGAAATTCTGAGCGGATATGATCAGGACCAGGGCCATCCTCGGGAACAGAATCTGGATCTACAGCACGTTGACCAACAACGGACAAGACATCAAGGTTAATAAATAGAATGACCACCTTGCTCTGCTTACTCGATAAATAAAAGCGTATTCGGGAGTATTTGTCATCTACAATCAATGTACATGTCATCTTTGTGTTCTTATTCTTCTTCCTTATCCTCAAGGACCACCGGCCGGTGCCTTCCACTGACGCGCTTGATGCATCACGCTAGACTGACTTGATTTTTAAGGGGTAAGTAATGGACCATGCATTCTGAGCCCTTATTCACACATTTGACATTCGCTCTGCTTGCTGTTACGCTCTCAAAGAACTCAACTCCAACGAGACGAATCACGAGCTACCCTTGTTCGATTGATGCAGCGGTCGATGAGCGCTTGAAGGACCCTTCCCCGACTCCTCTCCTCTGTTCTCCCTGCTCCTTCTCTCTCCACTCCTTGCTCCTCACTTCTACAACACCAGCTGCCAAGACAGGCTCGCCCAGATAGCCAACATGGACCTGGGTCATACTCGACTGAAGCAGCGGCAACGACTCGAGCCTACGCAGGTGAGGGACACAGTACGGTGCTCAGGTGCTCAGCAACATCCTCTCCCGTATGCTCTTCGCGCATGGCGCACAGCCATGGATGGATATCATAGATCCATGTTGCTGCAGGGCAACCAGGACATCCAAAGCAACTAAGGCAAAAAAGACAATACAACGCAGGACAGCGGCAGCAGGATGCTTATTTTATTTTATTTTTTTCAGGACAGACGTTGTGTTATGAGTCTGCAGTAACTAGGCAAGGCAAATCACGCGCAACACCCATCCATTCGGACATGGTCGCAAGGAAGCGAATCACAGCAGTAATCATTTTCTACGCCAACAGGATTCAGCAATGAGCGGGAGGTGATGCTTCTCAGGTCTTTTGCCAGAGACATTAGCTCAGCATGGACGCCATATCTACAAGGATCATTATATTGGACACCCGCCCCACGACTGCATCTGCAAAATGTGGAGTGAGAGCGACGGACGAAAGACTGGAAGAGTGGCGACAAGTGACCCTTCAATGAATACAGACAGACCAGCATGACCCCAGGACTGACCCGACCGATTGGCTTTTTTGTGGATCATGGTTCTTCTCTATCATAGCGACGGATCCGACATATTCAATGCATCTTGGCCAGGAACCTCACCTTCACGCAGAACGCAAACCAAAGAACATTGACTTCTGTCCTGCTCCACCCACAGGCACCTCAGTACCAGAATGACAGCCATCCTGGAAACTCGATCGTCAGCAGCAACAGTTATTACAGTAACGCCTATCAGCCTCATCAGAATCTTCATTACAATAGATCCATCACACCTTCCCTCGAGCTACCCTCCGGCGCTTCATCCCCAACACGAAGCTACTTCAGATCACCATGGAGAACCTATTATCAGGGCGTTCAAAAAGTCAAGGGACCGGGGTCGGACGCTGGATCTGTCTCGGCTTCGGAGTCTGGTCGTGCATCGTCTGTGATCAGGGAACCTATTGCTCGACTATCAGCGGGACTTAAGGCCACTGTCTTCAGCTCTGGATACTCTGCAGAGTCGGGATACACCTCTGAATCAGGGTCTACGATGGGGGAGGCTCCTTCTTCTTCAAGGTCAAAAGCACTGTATAGGGCATCTGCTGACCTCTCAGTTCCTAGAGCAGGATCTATGGAAGGTCACAGGCAACAACTACAGCAATTGCAGCAGGGCGAGGATCAATCCTCTTCTGGACGGCGGTCCAGAGAATGGTCGTCAGTCCCAAGTACACCGCCACCGCCAACAACCTCGAACCGCGATAGATATCTTTCACCGGGCAATGATTTAGCATCACGTACTGCAAAGGACAGCCGAAACCAAAGTAACAGCAGCACTTCAATACGAGATCAGTCGGCCCATTCTGATGCCGATGCCAACATCTCATGTCGGCTACCACCTTTTCTGACTTCAAAGTCGAAGATTCCTATCCTATTGGACACCTATTTTACTCTTCACGACCCAATTAATGGTAAGCGTCTGCATCATGGCTATTTCGGTTTTTGGGCCTGTCTATGGACGCCATACGAACTGTGAACTTAAGATATCCTCGTCATTTACTTCCCATGCTAGACGAAGTCATCTATACCAGTGAAACTGCGATAGGCTCCAATGTAAATTCTAGAGGACAGATGGCCATTGTCCAGTCCGCCATGTATTGTAACTCAATGGCTAACGCCAGGTCTATCATTCTATTATCATATTTAGAATCCAAAATACAATCCTCTGGAGGACCACCTATTTACGGATCAAACTAAGCGGCGCTTAAGCAATGTCATCACACGGATATGGGCTGGATATTCTGGATCGGATTATTATCTTCTTCTGGAGTGGCGGGTGGATCTTTGCTGCTTGAGGTTTATCGGAAGGGAGCTACGGGACTTACCTACTAGCTTGCCCAACAATACAATTCTATATGGCTTCGACAACGGATTCTATACTGCACCCGATGACGACGATATGGTAGTACATCCTCATCTGTCATTGACTGAGCCGATCGCTACACTGCCAGGAGGGGGAGTGAGTCCGTCGTACACGTACGAATCGGTGATGAGGCTGAACAACCTGCACGAATGTATAGCAGATACAAAAAAATCCAGAGACGAGATCAAGCACAACATCGAGCTGGCACTGAACAAGGAAAACGCACCGATGATCATGGTAACCAGGGACACGAGATCACAGCAATCGCCCTTACACTAGCGGAACTTTTTATTCACAACTGATGTTAACCACACTGTATCTTTATTTCTAGCAAAAACGTCGCGGGGAATGTACAGAGAGGCTATGGCACTTGCAGCGGCAAGTAGGGCACGAGCTGAATGTTTTGGAACAAGGTATTACAGGAGTCCAGGAGTATGCATCGACGCTTTCTCACTATGCGCAAATCAGAAATCATTTTAACATCGGATCCATTCTATCCCGATTCGCAATAGCTCGGGATAAGGCGAAGGCACTTCGACAGGAGCATGCAGCACGGCGGAAGGCGCTTGCGGAATCCAGAGAGCGAGGTCAAACGCAGGAGATGTATCTGGAAGAGAATATGCTAAATCTCGCAAAGAACAAAGAGAGTCTGTTCCATGTGTTGAAGGAATACTCGACCAAGCGAACAGAGCTGATCGCAACGTTGTTCACGATATTTCCGATTACGGAGGTAAGCCAGCGGGCAACAAGTTCGTCGCACTTGTCATGATTTACTCGTATAATCATGATGCTGATCATTTCTTTTTTATTGAATAGTCCGAAAGGGATCCTAGTGTCCTAAGGATATGTAATATACCGCTGCCAAATTCAGTATATATCGGTATGTGCTTACAATCTGGAATGCAATAGCCATGTGGATCAAGGGTCGATCTTATTCTCTAGCTCACTCTAAACATCCGCCTTCAAATTAGGCATGGACGAGGAAGCAGTGGCCATAGCACTGGGGTTCACCACGCAACTCGTCACTATGCTTGCTCATTACCTCTCAGTGCCACTACGATACCCTCTTACACCAATGGGATCCAGGGCTTTTGTGCTCGATCCTGTTTCTCTTCTGGTCGGACCCAAGGAGTAAGTGCAGGAATTGTCTCATAGGCGAGACTCAAAGTGGAAAGTGACAATTGTATCAGCGATATAGCTGACATGACTGCATTGGTATAGATTTCCACTTTTCGGTAAAAGTCAAGAGAGACACCGATTTGAGTACGGCGTATTTCTGTTGAATAAGGACATTGAACAGGTATGGTCTTGGACTCGATGATAATTAAGGACAGGATATTATTTCATTCATCGTATCAATTGCTGATGGCATATGAACTCAATTGCTGTCTATAGCTCATGAACTCGCAAGGTCTACAATTCATGGATCTTCGGCAAACGCTCCCAAACCTGCGGTATTTAATGGAAACCATCCTCACGTCCTCGCCTATGTAAGTTATCCGGCATTGGTCCTCCTTGACTAAATGTCGCATATCCATCAAATCTAAGCAATGAAACGTTCATTTCATTCTTCTCCAGCCAATCAATGGTATATCGATCCAAGTTCATTAGTCGGACGAACCAGAGTCGGCATGAACAGGAGCGACTGAACGATCTGTTTGTTATCTCGCTGGAGCAGCGTGAATTTGATCATATCCTGAGACCTGAGTCCGAATACAGCTCGAGCGATGGTTACAAAGACCAAGGAATCGGCGGCGCAGGGAAGCGTCCCGTTGAAAAGAGTCCATCCACGTCAAGGCCCAACAACAGCGAGCGCTCTGCGTTAGTCCGGGAGTATGACCCTATCGAAGGAGATTACATGCTTGTACTGGATAATGCGTCTACGAAGTCGCCCCGGAGTCGGAACGAAACCAGCGACAGCGATGTTTCGACAGTCGAGCGGGCTGGAGGGCCCCTCATCAGCGTGTTATCTCCGAGAGGTGGTCACCACAGAGTCTCGAGCGGGCTTCGTCAGGGGTACGCATCAAGTGTCAGTTTGAGTGGAACTGAGGATGAAGACAGACAAAGCGTAGATGACCCTGCATTCCGAGACTGGGCAAGTGAGGCCGTTGTAAACGTTGCTGGAAGCGAACAGGCCGATACCACATTAGAGGAACCGGATTCTCTCGGAGCTAGCGAGGATCTCTCTACCCCATTGGGTTCAAACATTAGTCAGGGTTTTATTAGGAGCTGCGACAACCATGTTGCGAGCAGCAGTAACGATGCTGGAAGCGGTCAGTCCCGAGAAAGCACCTCAGACGAGCATGGAGGGAGCACCGCTGCTAACACCACTCTCTACGACTCTCCCAGGCTTTTAAACAACGCAACCGTCCCCATCTGCACAAAGCTGATCACTGGTGGCTCTGTGATGTCGCATGACAGTAAAGGGACCGATGTCGACGGTACTATCCATACACAAAGTGTGTCACGTTCTCGGCCACCCTCTCCGGCCATGACCTCGGCGACTCCATCCAAGGAGCACTCGCGAGTACACACTGTTGAGAGTAGTCAGAAGGCACGGCGGATAAGCAGTATCTCACAGCGCCAGCAGAAGGAAACGTGTCAAGAGGACGAAGTTCCTGATGATGATGAGCTTTCGCTACATGGCACCATATCTCTCGTATCTCCAGACTCGGCTACTATGAATTCGAACCAGCGCGGCCGCAGAGTGAGTGATAAGTTCAAGTCTGTCAGCTCTGGCGAGGATCAGACCGCGTCAAAGGAGATGATACTCCGACATGGACAGCCATCACCCGCAACAACTCCTGGGTCTGGTATCCTGGAGGCCACGACCTGAGTCCTGCGACAATCTTCGTAGGAGTGTCTTGCACACGCGTGCGCTTTTCGGACGGAAATAAAGCCCTCCCTTTGTAACATAGCACACACGCACAAGCAACAAGCATGCACAAATTGTTATCCATACTCGATTGTTTGATCCCATTGATGATCTCGAGGGTATTTTATGAGAACGCTGGCAACTATCGGCAATGAAGGCCTGATAATCCGTGCAAAAGGGATTCATGGTTGAAAGGAGCGTTTTGAAGCAGAGGCGATTTATTCAGTCCAGTCGCCTGATGTCGTCCTGGACAATCTCTATGCGCTGCATGATATTGGCATATGCGTCGACAATCATGTAGAACTCTTCGCCTGCGTCATGGTACTGTTGTAGCAAAGCAGCATTGTGTCGTGTTTGCGATTCGAGTGCTTGCTGCCTCTTGTCCAGTACATCTCTACGGAAACGTCCAGATAGATCATCAGATAGATCATCCGAGAGAAATCCGTGTTAGTCAAACGCAGTGTTCCTGCACGACAACTTTGCGGAGCAAAAATACAAGCTGCTCACATACCGAAACTCTGCCAGTTTTGCGACGGTGTCCTTATCATAGACAGATTGCTGTAGCGTGGCCTTTAAAATCCTAAGGAAAAGGAAAAGGAAAATCAAAGGTTTTTAGAGAATTGTAGGATGACAAAAACGTTCTAGGCCAAGACATGAACGGTGCAGATTACATACTCCAACTTCAAGACCATCGAGTCGACCAACTGAGCAAAGTACTGCTTGAAGGTCAGGTCCTGCTCTAACTGATATTGAATCATAAAGTCGACCAGGATCTCCCACAGCACCATGATAGACTGGTGCAGCGTGTCGAATAGCTTCAATGCCTTTTCCTGGATAGTCATGTCCTGAACAATGATCTCCTCCTTTGCTCGGTCGAGAAATAACAGTTGTCGTCTGACATTTACAATCACGTCCTCCAGAGAATCGCTCTTTTCTTGTCGTACTCCATGACCATTGCCCAACGGAGAGCTGTTATGACCACCGATGCTGCTATTACTGTTGCTATTGTTGTTGCTGTTGCCATTGCTGCTGTTGTTGCCATTGTTGTGAAGGGTAACGACATTCTGGGCCAGCTGTCGGATTGATTGCTGAACGGCTTGAAGCATGGGCTGCGAGAACCCGTCAAGGGCGTTCAAGTGCGGTCGTAATTGGTCGAACGTAAACCCATCGAGATCCGGATCTGTATTTTGGCTTTGGTCCTGATTGTCCCGCAAAGATCGCTTATCTCTGCTCGCTAATATCCCCATCACAGATGTCGTTGTAGTCCGATCGTGAGATCGTGATAATTCGCCACTGTCACTGCCACTCAGCCTTGCAGACCGGTCGCTGCTGTCGCTGTTACTGATGCCATTACGACTGCTCTCCACAGAAAGCTGCTGCCGTCGCGCTTCAAGGATACTGATGATATGGTCGATATGGGCGGCGATCTGGCGCTGGAGATCTGCGGCCCGATACGAGAGCGATGAGGTCGAGGATGATGTGGATGATCCGTGGTGATGGTTATCCAGGGGCAGAAACCGGAATCGGTCGATGGGCTCGTATAAAGTCTTGGACTCAAGATATCCCTTTTTGTGCTTTAGAGCATATCGTGCCTAAAAAGAACGTGGTGCACCAAAAAAAAAAAAAAAAAAAAAAAAAAAACGACATGGCGTATGAGTAAAGAAAGCGGACCACATAATGTTTCTCGAAGACGTGACAAACAAGCGTTAGTCGGAAAGGACAAGAGGAAGATCGTACCTGGTGTAGCTCGCGGTCGTATTCGAGACTGAGGCCAGTGGGAGTTAGGAAGCGGGTCTTCAGGTCATGGATGAGGTCTGCGAGGGTGCTGTGTGGTGGTGATTGCATCTCTGGGACGTGGCTGTCTCCATGGTCGGAAGGAGAGAAAGAGATCAACGCGTCCAAGGGAAAGACGCACACACGTATCACATTTGTTGCATCACGGTCACAAAAGAGCCGTGAACTCGAGGGCGGGAGGACCAAAGCGTGTGTACAGGTGTCTCCTCTGAGAAAACGATCGCCACTGCTCTTTTCATTCGCTCCATTAACCCTCCTTCCGCAGCCCACCTTCTCTCCTCCTATTCTGCAATTCTCTGGAGAAAAGACTCTTCTTCGCTACTCGACTCTTCACTCAACAGGTAAACGCTTCAGGAACCAGCGCCTTTACTACGGAGGATAAGCAGCGAGTCGCGTCTTTTTTTTTTTTGACCAAGCTGCTCAACTGAATGCTGCGCCTTCTGCATACGTCGCCACGCTCACTCGCTCATTCGCTCACTTCACACATGCGGACAAAAGCTCACCCACACCTCTCTCTCACCACTTCGACGTCTTCTGTTTCTGTTCTGTAGAAACCAAGCAACCAGCCTATTTGAACCATGAGCGACGACGACGATTTCATGATGGAGGAGGAAGAGGATGAGGACTATGACTTTGATTACGAGGACGAGGACGGTGAGGAGCCTGACGTGGACCTGGAGAACAAATACTACAACGCCAAGGGACACAAAGAAGACGAACCGGAGACGGCCCTCGTCGAATTCCAGGGTGTGGTCGAAGCAGAGACTGAGAAGGGAGACTGGTAAATTTGAGCGATGGTTATCATGCTTATTGGGATTGTAAAGGAACTGGACGGTCTAACCATAGATCTCTTACGAAATGGTTCATGGATGACAGGGGTTTCAAGGCCTTGAAGCAGATGGTCAAGCTTTCCTTCAAGATGGGCAACTACGACAAGGTATGGCCCTGTTTTGTTCAGCGCCATTAAGCTAGGGATTATACTGCTTTGCAAACAAGCTTTCTCACGACTTTTACACACTCTTGCATACTCTATAGACCTTGGAGTACTACGGGCAATTGCTACCATACACCAAAGCTGCGGTCACCAGGAACTATAGCGAAAAGAGCATCAACAACATTCTGGACTTTATCTCGTCTTCGTCGGACATGGCGTTCATGGAAAAGTTCTATCAGACAACATTGAACGCTCTGAAGGACGCGAACAACGATGTAGGGAGATAATGCTCTGCTAACATTTGCTAGAATTGGCGATCTGTTGCACAAACTCTTTGGCCTTTGTTAATCGCCTGTTATCTTCCAATATTGTCAACAGCGTCTCCTGGTCAAGACAAACCTGAAGTTGGCTAAACTCTGGCTGGACAGGAAGGAATACGGTCGTCTGTCAAAGATCTTGCGGCAGTTGCATGCGTCTTGCCAGGCCGACGACGGCACGGACGACCAGCGCAAGGGAACACATCTACTTGAAATCTTTGCGCTCGAGATTCAGATGTACACTGCGACCAAGAACAGCAAGAAGCTGAAAGCACTCTATCAACAGTGCCTGTCTGTCAAGTCCGCGATTCCTCACCCACGCATCATGGGTGTCATCCGAGAGTGTGGAGGCAAGATGCACATGAGCGAGAAGGAGTGGGATCAGGCGCAAACGGATTTCTTTGAGTCGTTCCGCAACTATGACGAGGCCGGTAGTTTCCAGCGCATCCAGGTACTGAAGTATCTGGTGTTGGCCAACATGCTGATGGAATCACAGATCAACCCCTTCGACTCACAAGAGACCAAGCCCTACAAGAACGACCCTCAGATCGTGGCAATGACGAACCTTGTGAGCGCCTACCAACGCAGGGATATTCGCGAGTTTGAAAAGATTCTAAGGGACAATCGGGCGACGATCATGGACGATCCGTTCATCCGGGCGTATATCGACGATGTGCTGAAGAACATTCGGACGCAAGTGTTGATCCGGTTGATCAAGCCCTATACCAGGATCGAAATTCCGTTCATTTCGCGCCAGCTCAACATTCCAGCGCAGGATGTCGAGGATCTGTTGGTGAGTCTGATCCTTGACAAGAAGATTGCAGGCCATATCGATCAAGTCCACCAGCGGCTGGAGTTACAGCGACAGTACGTATCAATCGTCTCTCTTTTTTTTCTTTTTTTTTACTTTTTTTTGCTATTTCTTGCTGCCATGTTCCTTTTTGATATTTATGACTGATGAAATGTTTTTATATTACGTTCCGTTCACTTGCAGGACGACAGGAACGCTGAGATACAATGCCATGGACAAGTGGTCGGCCAACCTGGAGACCATGTACACAGCCAACATCAATAAGGTCCGCTAAGAGTGATTAGGTGCCTTTTTTTTTTTTTTACAACCATTTGTCTCTCGAGTCGATTGGCCCTGCGCCGCTAAGAGCGATTAGGAATCCCAGGGGTACAGCAGTTTTTCAGAAAAATAAATGCGCTGCTGAAAACGATCAGAAGGAGGAAAGGAGGGAAAATGTGACGTAGCAAATGGTTCTTTGAAGTTTGAATATGCTTCGCGTTTTGTTATGCTGCGACCCTCCTTCATACTACTGAATCGACCTACGACGATCCGACAGGACTTGCTGCCTCGACAACTGTCTACACTCAAATCAAGGAGTCCTTCTAACCATCGCTATAATACGACATCCTCATGGGCAATACACTGGAAGAGGCAAGGCATATTGAAATCTCATCGAGGACGAGCCGTTGATCATCGATTGAACACAAGTTTCGCTTCAACACTAACCTTCAAACATTTTATTCTATATAATCCCCATATAGATCCAAGCTAGGGTCGCTGCGGCAAAGGCGAAGCTGGAGGCGGATCTGGCATTGCGGGCGAGGCAGCAACAGCAAGGACAACAATCGCACGTTCAGACTACTACAGCAGCAGCTGCGACGACAGCGGCAAAACCAGCAGGATTATCGGCTGCTGAACTGATCCGTCAGCGTATCGATGCTCTTAAACCCAAGCTTCAGAGCCTCAATGCTGCAAAGGCGACTGCGCCCGTATCAGCAGCGCCAGCACCAGCGCCGGTACAGGTGGATCCTAGAGCCCGTGGAGGATTGGGCGTCGATCTCAGTTCGATGATCTCAAGGGATGAAGCAGGAAACTTGATAATTAATGCGGTGACTTCTGGAAAGACTGTCAAGGCACCATCCTTCGCCACGGCCAAGGTAGAGCAATGATTTTTTTTTTTTATATATATATACAGTGTTTTTTTTTTTGCGATAGAAAAACATCAATCTCGCTGAGGAAGAAGCAAACCGATGCTGATATCAACTTTTTACATTTGATGTGACCATGGAATAGATTAACCAAAAGCCAGAAGCAAAGAAGGAACTGAAGATGCTGGATGTTCCTGAGGAGTTTACGAATCCGGAGAAGAACCCATACTATGATCCAAATTTGGCAGCAGCACCGAAGGAGCGCCGGGCAAGGCCGCTCAAGTTTGCGCCGAAGGGCAAGTTCAAGGGCATTGCGAATCAGATGCGGGCGGAACAAAGGATTGAACAGCTCAGGAAGGAGATCGAACAAGGTGGACAGGCCAACGTACAGGAGGAAGACATGCAGATGAAGGATGGTTTCACCAAGGTGAGGAATCCGTTTGTCGTTTTGTTTCGTCTTTGTGAAAAGGAAATAGTATTGCTTTTGATTATATGCTAACATTATGTTTAATGACTTTGATGAACTATTAGCGCGAGACATTGAAAGATGGCGTGGAATGGTGGGATGCGGCCTTTTTGCCTAACAAAACCTATGACGACCTAGCACAAGGGCACGCCAGCATCGAGACCGAGGATTCACTGATCACACTTTATATTCAACACCCCGTACCGATCGAACCTCCAAACGAGGCTGCTCATGCTGCCAGTGCAAAACCCCGCCCACTCATGCTGACGACCAAAGAACGCAAGAAGCTGAGGCGACAGAGGCGAAAGGAGTTGCTCAAAGAAAAGCAGGATAAGGTCCGGTTAGGACTGTTACCTCCGGATGCACCGAAGGTCAAGTTGGCGAACATGATGAGGGTCTTGGGACAGGAAGCGGTGCTGAACCCGACGGAGGTTGAGATGAAAGTCCGGCAACAAGTCGCGGCTCGGTTGCAGGGACATTTGGATATGAATGCAGAGAGGAAACTGTCGGCGGAGGAACGGAAAGCCAAGGAGCAGAAGAAGAAGGAGGAGGATGTCTCCAAGGGAATCTATGTCAACTTGTACAAGTAAGTCGTTTTAATTTCGCTTTGGGAGGGACAGCTGGCATTTTATTATCTGCAATCTTTTGCTAACCGAAAAGTCAATTTTTGATTTCTCTTTGTTGTGTAGGATTAATGACTTGTCACATCCACAGAAAAAGTTCAAGGTCGACAAGAACGCCGGGCAACTCGGATTGACGGGGATCGTGCTCATGTACCCAACGTTTACGATGGTCGTTGTGGAAGGTGGACATAAGGCCATCAACCAGTACAAGAAATTGATGCTCCGGAGAATTGACTGGACGGACAATACACGACTGGACGGCACAGAGACGACGGAATCAACGATCGACAACAAGTGTCTCTTGGTCTGGGAGGGACAGCTGAGGGAGCGTCAGTTCAAGAAGTTTCAGTTTATCAAGTCGAGGACGGATGCGCAGCTCAAGGAGACGCTGGCACGATTTGGAGTGCAGCATTATTGGGACCAGGCGCTTGGATTCAAAGAGGACGATATGCTGGGCGCACAGGTCACTCTTTAAAAAAATAAAAAGTTCAACCCGATTTTGCGAAAAAAAAAAAAAAAAAAATACGCTTTTTCATTCGTGTTCAAGTCTTTCAGCAGTTTGGTCCGCAATATGCACAATACAGCTATAGATTTGAGACTGGGAATGCGCTACATGTCCATCTACAGATGGAGCGACTGAACGGGTTTATTGAAGAAAAAGATAAGTTCAAGATAGCGTCCATTCATAACAAGAGAAGGGAGACCGCGCGAGAACAGAGGCGTAAACCCCTCACTGTTTTATTTATGAAGACCATTGATACTGTGCAAAGATTCCGTTGTCAACGGGGCAGAATATGCATAAAACCAAGTTTTGATTCGGGGTGTGCTCAGATGTGTACGTGCCAAAAGTTGATTAACTTCAATCTAAAATGTAGAGAGATCTTTCACACGCGAAGACAAAGCGTGAAAGAAAAACTTTATTATTATTATTATTATGAGACGGGTACGCGTGTGCGTCTTCTTTGTCTCGATATTTACGAACTTGATTATCATTGAAACGTAAGGGCAACATCGGTGGTCGGGGGCGAGACCTGACTGTCTTTGGAGTAGCGAAGCGATGACTTGTGGGTCAATATTGGGGCCAGCATGGGACTCGTGGGTGAGCTAGGAGTCGTAGTGGATGTCACAGCTGGTGACGATGAAGATGTGGATGAGACATACTTGCTAGCACCGCGCCTAGCGGCTACGGCTGTGGCTGCGACGTCCATGTCCAGAGGCGTCAACTTCGATGCGGCAGGGTGATGCAGTGAGGACGCCGAAGTTGTCGAATAGACCGCGACGGTTCTCGACTGTGGCTGTGGCTGTGGCTGTGTCTGAATATAGTTTGTGCTAGGGATATCGTTGACGATTTCCGCGATGCTGCTGTTGATGTCGAGCAATTGGACTTTGAGTTCTTGGTTCTCGGATTCGAGGACATCGAGATACTCGGATGCTTGGGCGTGCTGCATCCGCAGGGCCTGGTATCTTGCCAGGAGTTTCGGATGCTCGAGTGAGAGGTCATAGCCCACGCTGTTCACAGAGAATACGGTTGTTGTGGACGGGGATAGCGATGATGATGAGGCACCGTGCCCGGCAGTCAACATACTGGTACTGGTACTGAGATTAGAACTGATGTCGGAGGTGGATATGGAGACGTGTTGAGTTTTTGAGATATGTTTACTCGGTGTTAGAATCAGGATCGAGGCGACTGGTTCCTCCTCCTCCTGACGCCGTTGTTGTTGTTGTTGTTGTTGTTCTTGTTGTTGTTGCTGTTGTTGTTCCTCTTGTCGCTCCTCCTGATGTTCCTCTTGTTCTTGTTGTTCTTGTTGCTGGTGTTCAAGACGTGACACGTTTGCTGTCAACTCTGCAATCTTCACGAGCAACTCTTCCATCTGCTCGTCCTTACGCAAATTCTCGCCCTTGAGCTGTCGGATCTGTAGCTGCATCTGCACCTGCGCAGCGTCGGTGCCTACACCAAAGACCGTCGCGGAGCGCACACTTTCTGACAAATCCGAACTATGCCTACTATTCCTCGCCGCGAACTCACTCAACCCTCCTCCTCCTCCCCTACCACCACCACTACCACTACCTCCTCCACTCGTATAGTAGCTACTCAAGGCCGATAACCGCTTATAGTCCCGTATCTCTGTCTCGAGAATGCTGATCTGTCGCAACTTGACCACCTGCTCCTTCGAACAGTGCTGCAACTTTGCCTGTAGCGCCTCACATTCCGCAGACCGCGCCAACAGGTCCACCTCACATTTCTGGATATGTTCGCCCAGCACATGGATCTCTCCCGCCTTTAGCTCCTCCAACATCTTCCGATCCTGTTTATGCGCGTGGATCTGTCGATTCGCTAAAATCAGTTCTTTCTTCAGTCCTGTCAGGTACCGTTCCAGCTCTGTGATCTTGGACCGGAGAGTCGTGTTCTCGAGACCAAGACGTTTCAGCTTCCCAAGCGTCGGCAGCCGGCGCAGTGCGCAGTGAGAATTGATGTTGGAGTTGTTGGCGTAGTATGGGTCACTGCTCAAAGCTTTGTTGCGGCTATTGCTATTGTGGTTATGACTGCTGGGGGAGCTGTAATCGAGGCCGTGGTTGGGGCCAACGAGAAAGAGGGTGCATGAGGACGTCCATGCCGTCCGTGGTGTGTTCGTACTCGTAGACCCACCCAGAAATGGCACGGTTGGAGCTTGCTGTGTCCCCGGAACTGGGATCGGACCCGAGATGGGTTGGGACATAGGGTCGATATAACGCATCATTATTTGATGAGAAGATAATGTGGAAAAATTGTCTGCTTTCCGTGTGTCAGGGCGGTGTCGTTGTTCACTCTTTTTTTTTTTTTTTTTTTTTTTTCTTTTCTTTTCTTGCTATCTCATACGAAACGAGAAAAGAGGAAAGAGTAGATCGGGGTTGTTCTAAAAGAAACTGTTTTATCAAAAAAGCGACTTTTGCTAGTGCGTTCGAACGAGTGTTCGTTTCAGTAAATGAGTTGGGTTAGGTGCAGTTTGACGTCCGATGGTGAAGGTGTTTGTAATATATATGGACTCGACTCTAATGTGCACGTCTGAGCAGAGCTGCAAGACAAGGGTTGACACTCAATGAAGTCTATATCGAACAATGATCAAGAGGGAAAAACGTGGTTGGATGCACAGCCAGGAACGGTTTTTAGGAGAGGGTGGGACACCTATGGGGAGGGTGCTGATACAATGCCTTTTTATTTGAGAGAGAGAGAGAGAGAGAGAGAGAGAGAGAAAGAAACGCAGCAAAAACAGTCAAGAGAACACAGCACACAGACAATATAAAAAATACAAAGACGGGACAGAAGGGAAGAAAGGGAAACAGCTTTCTTAGATAATACTGATCCCGATTTTGCTACAGTTACCCAGCTGTATTGGGATCATATTACGTTCTTTTTTTCCAGCAAAGGCCGGAACTCTTTGCGGGTGCAGCCGAGAGGAGAAAGGAGACTATGTTCGTCCTTCTTTTTCTCACATCCTCCTTGCACGGGTCACCAAGAGGAGATTGGCAGCATAGGCACCAGAGCCGAAGCTGGAGAGAAGGGATAACGGGTCAATCTAAGCTATTTAAAGTTGGGTTGCAGATGTCTGTGCGCTGTCATGAATGGAGATGGACGTCTGTGCGGCACCAACGACCACAACCTATGATATTGCCATGTCCATTCAGCCTGCTTGGTCTTCATCTCCACCAAGGAGAAGCCTGCGCATCCTTTGTCTTAACGACTGCCGGGCTCCTGTGAAAGCCTCCTGCCGCCACAGGAGCCAGGAAAATGAACTACCGAGATCATCAAGATAAGTGGGTGGATGGTGGATGCTTCAGCTCCACTGCCCCAAATTTATGCAATTAGATCTGTGAATGTCAATAAAAAAATTTTAATGTAAAAGAACAAGATGAACAAGAAAAAGTATGATATAGGAGAAGCACGGAAACACCAACGACTCTACACTGCAGACTCGGGCACTTGCAAGAGGCCGCACACCTGCATTACTTCGTTTCAACACCACTCTAGCAGTAAAAAAATTATCTTCCTCTCCCTCCTTCCCGTTGTACATGACCATTCGTGTCGCGCACATGTCCAGGGTCGGTGGTCGTGTCGTTCAAGTCTATCGCTCTCTAATCCTAATGCTGGATCTCTATTCCTGCTTCAGCTTCTTGGCAGGGGGTGCAATAAAGGTCCTGCTGATGAACTTGAGCACCTCATCGATCGCGATGACTGGCAGCGAGATATAGACAACAGCCTTCCACTCCTCCACGTTCAAAGGAAGGATCATGAACAAGTTCTAATACATGACACAAAAAAAAAAGAAAAAGAGATATACGGGCAAATCATGCATTCATGCGTTAGCGCTGAGATACAAAAGCAGCAAAAAAGCAACATCCAGTAACACTTTTGACACTCCTCGCGAACTTACCGAGAAGAAGGGAACGTAAAGGATCATAAAGTGAAGGGCCATGCTGAGGATAATCGAGAAGACCAAGTACATGTTGTTCCAGAGGGGAAGAGTCAACAACGACTCGTTCTCCGACAAAGAGTTGATGGCGTTGAACATCTCGATGGTGACCAAGATCGAGAGCGACATGGTCGTCGCCTTCTTCGACATAAAGTCCGTAAACATCTGGCATCCAATCTCAGGGAAGAGCGAGCTACACTGGTGGAAGTGCGACAGCTGGTAGAAGCTGATATGGGGCCCTTGCGAGTAGAACATGAACCACCAGGCATATCCAAAGACGGTGGCGGCACCGACGTAGCATCCAATCACCATGTAACGGAAGAACAGCCAGCCGCCGACAAGGGGCTCACGAGAGTTACGAGGAGGCTGGCGCATGATCTCATGGTCGGGTGGGTTGAATCCGAGGGCAGTTGCAGGCAGACCATCCGTGACCAAGTTGACCCAAAGAAGCTGAACAGGAATCAAGGCCTCGGGCATGCCCAGGAGCACAGTCAAGAAAATCGAAACGACCTCGCCAATGTTGGAACTGATCAAGTAGCGGATGAACTGCTTGGTGTTGTTGTAGATCGAGCGACCCTCCTCAACAGCAGCCTCGATACTGGCAAAGTTGTCATCAGCAAGAACCATGTCCGCAGCCAACTTGGCAACATCCGTGCCCGATCCCATAGCGATACCAATATCAGCCTTCTTCAAAGCGGGGGCATCGTTGACACCATCTCCAGTCATGGCAACGACCTCGCCCATACTCTGAAGCAGATCAACCAACTTGCTCTTGTGGGTCGGCTCAGTGCGGGAGAAAAGGCTGGCGCGGGAAACAGCCAAGAGCTGCTCCTTCTCGCTCAAATCGTCGAATTCGCGTCCAGTATAGCTCTTGCCGGTCAAGTCCTCATCTCTCGAAAAGACGCCGATCTTGCGGCAGATCGACTCAGCGGTGTTCTTGTTATCTCCAGTAATGACAATGACGCGGATTCCAGCTGTCTTGCACTTGGCAATGGCATCAGCAACCTCAGGACGAGGAGGGTCCAACATGGCAACCAAGCCGATAAAGGTCATGTTCTGCTCGTACTTGTAAAAGTCCTCAGGGTTCTTCAAGTCCCAGTCGTTCAGGTCGGGCGATTGGTTTTCGACAACAGCGAGACCGAGGCAGCGAAGGGCCTGTCCCTCACCATAGTCCAGGACCTTCTCCATGATAGTGGCGCGGATAGCGGCTGTCAAGGGAACAACCTCACCGCCAGCAGAAAGACGAACCGATGTGCAACGCTCCAAGACGGACTCGGGCGCACCCTTGACAAGAAGCGAGGCAGTGGCAGCAGTGGTGGCACCAGAGCGGGTCGAGCGGCGATCGTTCGAGGGTCTGGTCACTAAAACACTCATCGACTTGCGGTCACGCGAAAAGTCCAATGTAGCCAATTTGTTAATGCGCTCGGAACAGTACTGGTTGCAGGCATCAACACGCTTTTGCGCAGAGAGAGAGTCGAGGGTTGAGTTCACGTTGACATCGTCAGTTCCCATCTTCTCAACCAAAACCTTCAAAGCAGCCTCGGTGGGCTCTCCAACGTTGGTATAGGTATCGGTGTCAGCATTGTAGGCAATGGACGAGTTATTGCATACTGCGCAGATCTGAGCCAGTTCGTTCAAGGTCTGGGAGACGGTGGACAAGGAAGGGACGATCTTGCCATCAGCGTTCAAGATATCACCGACGGGGCTGAAGCTGGATCCCTGGACCTGGTACTCGGCCATGTGTCCAGTTGAGTTATCGACAACCGTGACACGGGCGACGCTCATCTGGTTGGTTGTCAAAGTTCCAGTCTTGTCAGAGCAAATAACGCTGGTGCATCCAAGAGTCTCGACCGAAGGCAAAGAGCGGACAATGGCGTTCTTCTTGGCCATTTTCTTGGTACCGAGGGCAAGGCAGGTGGTGATGACGACAGACAGACCCTCGGGAATGGCAGCGACAGCCAAAGCGACAGCAATCTTGAAGTAGTAGATGGCGCCCTTGAGCCAGCCCTGGTGAGCAGGATCGTTGAAATGGCGGATGTTGACCAACCAGACGAGGATACAGATGACGGAGATGACTTTAGCGAGATCGTCACCAAAATCGTCCAACTTGCGCTTCAAAGGAGTCTTTTCCGAGATCTGGGCAGTGATCGACTTGTGGATGTCACCGATGGCAGTATCCGAACCAGTCTGGACAACAATGGCCTTGGCCTTTCCAAGGACAACGGTCGTACCAGAGAACAACATATTGATCTGATCCTGTTTGACAGCACGGGCATCGGCAACAACATCGGTAACCTTGTTAACGGAAACAGACTCTCCAGTCAAGAGGGCCTGGTCGATACGGAAGTTGGAGGAGTTGATCTCGATAACGCGGCAATCGGCAGGGATCTTGTCACCGACAGCAACCTCAATGATATCACCGGGGACAATATCTGTCGCATAAACCTTGGACATGGAACCATTACGGAGAACCTTGGCCTCATGGGGAGAATACTCTTTCAGGGCCTAAATACATCAAAGCCAGGAATGATGGAGAGGGACATCAAAAAATAGCGCCATTGTTAGATTGGTGGGGATCAAAGGGGTCGTATCCAGCAACACAACAAAACTAAGGGGCGGGACTGGAATGAGCGATAAAAATAAAAGGCTGTCAAACCGAAGGAAATCATACCTCAATTGCCTTCTCAGCGTTCGATTCCTGGATAACACCAACAGCAGCGTTTGCAATCAAGATCAACAGAATGACAATGGGTTCAACAAAGGCGGTGCCAGAGTTGTCCTCTTCCAAGACGGCGAGGACGAGCGAGATAGCGGCGGCGGCAAGAAGGATGATAACGAGTTGATCCTTGAACTGTTCCAAAATCATCTCCCACAGGGGGGTGGGATCCTCCTCAGGGAGTTCTAGTAGATTCAAAATCGTCGATTGAGGGAAAATATCCGCCCGCGATCCACATGCAAGATCCCGAATAACGATTGTGTTGTTCGATGTGATCCATGATTGAATATGACACCATTCAGAAGGACGGATACACAAGATGGAGGTCAAGCATCGTCCATTCGACCGTTGAGGAAATTAAATGTGATCCAATATAACACCGATCGCAAAAACGTGCATTGTGGACAGACCGACGTTGACAGATCGATATAACCAAATGATAACAGATATACAAACGATGAGACAGCAAGAGAGGCAGGGAAATATAGAAAAGAGACAAACAGCTGTCAGTAACCTCGACCTTTTTTTTTTCGTTTTCTTTTTTCTACAATTGTCAGTTCCTCAGTGTCAACAGCTGCTTCGCAACTCTGTCCAAAAAGATGGAGCTGAGTTGAGAAGCGGCAGAGAAGACTCTAGAAGAGATAAGCAGAAGACAGGTGGCGAATCGAATCCGTACCGTTTTTGCCGTATTTCTCCAGCGCAGCCTTGGCCTGGCTCGAGGTTAGACCCTTGTTGGGGTCGACTTTGAAGTGATCCAGGATCACCTTGGGTGATCTGGTAAAGAAATTGTTCATGGTGCGTTCAACTGATCCGGTAGACAGAAAGAGATGGTGTCCTTGCTGATGACTTGACTACAGCACGCAACGAACAGTCTCTAAGATGATGAAGATGACGAGGATGGCCTGTTAGTGCGAACGAAAAGTTGACAATTGATGATGACCTTGATGGGCGAGGCCTTTCTTCGGTTTGGTACCTAGCAGCGGGCTGTGTGGGTTGTTGATGTTTCCTCTTGTCTGCTTTTTCCTGGGTTCGGTGCTTTCAAGCGGGTAAAGGCTAAAAGGCAAGGAAGACTGGCTGGTGCAGGGAAAATAAGAAGAGAGGAGGGTTGAGGGGATGGAGGGGATGGAAAAAGAAAAAAAGAGTAAGAAGGAAGGGACTTGCGCGTTTTTGTTAGAAATCGACTCTGACTGACTGCTGGCGCTGTCCCCTTGGTCCATTTCCTATCCCCTCTCGAGTCTGTATCACGTGCACGCTCCTACTTTTTTCCCTCTCTTTCTTTCGTGCGTACATAGTCTACGGTCCTAGTGCCGTCCCTCCGTCTTAGTGCCCTGTGATAACTCCCCATCTTCTCCTGGTAGCGCAGCCCTGTTCTCCTTTTCGTACATACTTTTGTTTCTATTACCTTCCATAGGCCAAGGCTCGTTTGTTCCCACCAGACGAAGCGAGCCACGTTCAAAACCCAATTTTAATCGCATCTCATTGGCCCACATGTCCTATTCTTACAAACAGCCCTGGCACACATCCCACCCACCGCCGCATATTTTTTTATCCTCACATTAAGGACGAAAGAGTGTTGGTATCATTGGTATCACTACTACGATATGTTATGGGTCTAGCCTAGTCGAACGGACACTGACCAAACAGTTGAATGAAATCTACCAGACAAACTTCAGATCTACTAGGTCTGTCCCTAACGTCTCACCCTCCATCTCCAGGGGGGATGGCGGTGCGCTGCTCTCGAACGAATGTCGCGAGAGACTCTGGCTCGCTCGACGGGCCAACTTGGCTTTTACGATTCGTTCCTGGTAAATCATGTTTTCCTGGTATTGGTCTAGGGCGTCTTCCAGGTGTGCATTCCATATCTTGTACAAGTGCGCCGAATCTGTAAAGGCATACAAGCTGTAGTCCAGCTCCGATGGATCGGCCCTGCAGCTCAAGGTGTTCATATCGACTCCCTTCGGATCCACCACCATCGAAAACCCATTCGCACCCACATCGACCTTATCCAAGTCTGGGGGCTGAACACCCAGAATGTGGACTAAGGGAATGACAGCTATGACATCTCGTTTCTATTAGACCAGATCCAAAGGGGAATAGAGATTAATAAATTAAGTTCAAAGGTCTGCGCTGGTATGAGAGAAGCACTCTTGTTTATCTACCTGTTGGTACTCGGCATCATATAATTTGACGGCGCGTCCCTCCAAGACCGCCCAGTACCGCTTCCATGACTACTCATAAAGACCAAAGAATCCTTTAGTTAATGATCGTCGAACATAGCAATACCATTTCCGACAAACACACCATTCAAACGCCCAAAGCGCCTTACAGCCAGTCCGCTTCCTCGGGTCATGAACGTCAAAAAGCCTTGGTATAGCACTTCAGTCTCCCAGGATCGATCCAGGACGGGTTCTTCAAGGATGTGAAGTCCAATCATGATCACGACCTCGCAGTCTGGTTTGGCACTCGACTTGCTCGAATCTTCAGCGGTAGGTGGACGCAGCTTGTAGGTACGAATTGATTTTTCCATTTGTTCCAAGCAGAAGGACAACTCCAACTGACCAAGCATGGAGGGCTGGGGGTTGGATAACCCAGCCATGGTTCCGAACTTTGTAGGTACAGGGCTGCTCTCTACTGTCATCTGCAGCTGAAAAGGTTCACTCACGTCGCTGATGTACATAAGCATCATCCCGAGTTAGCACAACTAGATCGTACACCCACAAACGAACAGACACAAATGATCGCGTTAGAAACTTACAATAGAAAGATTTCGTTCATTGTCGCAGTATTGCCTGAGTTATCCTTGAACGACCGAGTAGGGTATGAAGTTCGCTCCACACTGTTAACACGCAGACTCCACTCAACGTCAGAAAGCTTTGATGAGGCCTTATTGGTGACCTGAATAACTTTTTTTTGTCGTTGTCGTTGTCGTTGTTGTTGTTGTTGTTGTTCAAAAACTGTTAGGGCAGCTTTTAAAAACATTTGAACTTTCAAGCGATCTTACGTTAAAGAAAAGATCAACTTACGCTTGACAAACAAGAGTCCGATGGGCTCGTTGGGATGGCTTTCGATTGTGTCCCATGCCTGTCTAGACTTTAAAACATTATTCAGCTCCGTCATTGCATTTGGATTAGCCCAATTCTGGATCCAGCCTCGCCGCTGGGGAGAAAATTGATCCACAGAGGACGCCGAAGGTGGGCAATGAATGATAGGTGGCCTTTCTCTTGGATAAACTTTGACAGATGGCAACGACGAGAGCTGACTGTTAGCAGACTCCGCTGTCGTTGGTGACTCGTTGGTGATATTCGAGACTGAGTACTCATGGAGTGAACAGGTGTCAACCATGGCTTTTTTGGTCTGTCGGCCAACATTCGCTTGGGACATAGAGGACTTTCTCTTTCTGTCAACAGTAAAGGGTATCTTTCTTGCCTGCTTGTTCATAAAGCTGCCGGAAATCGAGAGTACATCCTGCAAGTCCTTGCTAAACTTTTTGAAGGCGTCGTGCTGCATTTGAAACTAGGTAAGGGTCGGTGGGCTCGATTCTGCTGAAAAGCAATGTGGGCTGATAGACGAGGGTGAACGGGACTAGTCAGGCTAAGCCGTCGCTGTTAAGAACAGATCGGAGGAGCTGCGAGTGGGTGGCCGATGGATAAGTATTATTGGCAAAGACGGGGAGACGGATGGTAGTAGTAAAACAGGTACGAGAGAGAAGACAAGGAAGGCGCGCAAAATGGAAAAGAGTGTATAAGAGGTTCGTTCGCGTGGTCGTTGTAGCGTCGATGTCGATAGATCTGGCAACACGTTCCAGCTCCACCTGATAGTAGGCCAAAAGACAAGACTTGGTGCAGGAGCAACAATGATTGTTAAAGCACAAGCGGCACCATATCTTGAATGACGAGGGCGACGATGATATCCAGGTTGCATGCTCGAGCCTGCCATTCGCGTAGCAGCCTGCTCACATCAAATACGCCCCTATGAAAGACTGCGAGTTGGTCGTGGCGTGGATAAAAAATGCCTAAGACGTTATTGTACTTTGAAATGAGTTGAGATTCTTTGGAGTTTCCAAGCACGCGAGCCCCATCCATACGCGACTCCCTTTCTCTCTTAACTGACAGACTCCATACCGCGGTCTTTGATAATCGCGTTGTTTATCTATTCAGGTGTCTACGGTGACCGGATTACGCATGGGCCACCCAGGACCGTCATCCATGTGTGTCCCTCAAAAACTCCGCTCGTTTGCTGATCCGTGCACCGACGCGAAAGATGGCTCTCGCATGCTGTTTTCGGGGTCGTCATTTATGATCTGAGCATGGGCCACATTATGATCCCCCTTTCTCCTGCCTAAAGACTGATACCCCCCTTTTTTTATATTCATTCTGACACAAATGAAGAGCTGATCCACCTCGAATCAGCCTCTTGGCTGGACGACCCTGACAGCTACCATATCCCCATTTGCAGCCTGCTGCTTGCTTGATTGATTGTCTGATTGTATTTTTCTTATGGAAATGAGAAGCGGCTATCGGGATGCATGTCCATCCATCCATCGATAGACAGTACTCTAACACCCAGACCTAGACGCACTTTGGCGAATGCACGTTGTAAATACATGTAAAAATAGACAAACAAAAAGGAAAAGCGAGCCATTAAACGTGATGAGGTGCGTCCTTGATAAAAGAACGATAAGATAAAATAAATATAATAGCTCACCCGTTTATTCGGTTGGACAGAAGGTGCAGTTGACATGCATGCACGCGAATAACATGAAGAAGAAAAAATAACATTACATTGCATCCAAACGAGGTAAACAAAAAGGGTCAACAAGAGAGAGGGTAAAGAATGGGTGAGAGAGAACAAAAGGTAGAGAGAGTTCGGCTAAGTACTTGAAAACAAAACGAAGACATTAACACAGAACGGAGAGCCATCGTATACTATCGATGATGGCCAATTTACGCAAATGGCCTTGTCATCGTATATGTATGACCCATCCTCACTGGCATGCGCCCTTACAGATACGCCGTGGCTGCTCTTCAGTGGTCCGATTCCATTTGTGCTCGTTCATCCGGTTACCATCCGCCCGATTTCTCATTTCCCTTCAAGGTATCTGCCCCAGCTCAAAAGAATTGAGGAATGAGAAGAGTGGGAAAAACTCTAGCGAACAAGCACAAGATGAGAGAGTGCAGTAGCATTCTCATTCAATATCGGCTTATCTACCATCCAATTATCTCCACTAAAGTACAGGAGGACAAGGGAGCGGCGGCAGCGGCTCTGGTTGCAAAGTTCGAGAGAGAAGAGGCATTGATAGCGCATAGTGCCACAGCTTCCCACGCTTCATACACAGTACACGCACACGACAATGATGATAGTCCTTGGCGGAACCGAATTATGGGCCAACAGCGATAGTGTGATGACATTTTTGGATGACGATGTCAGTATCTGGAAATGAACAGGAACATGGGAAATGAACAGGAACAGGAGCAGGCACAGGAGCAGGAACGTAAGTACGACTGAATTATTACGAATGAATTAAACACTGCGTCTTTGATGATGACCCGTATCATGATACTCCCCCATTCCGAAGAACCCGTTGATTAAGACGTCGCTTGCTGGTAATGGTTCATGTCGGTCTGATAAATGCAATCGACCTGCTCCCTTTTCTTCATTTTCTTTTGACTCTTTAATCTGAACATTCTCATTTCCTGCCTCATTATCTTCCCCCAAGCATCCACAGACCCCGTTCCTATCCCTGCAGGTTACTCCTCACACTTCTTGTCCCTCCTTCCTCCACCTCCTCCTCCCCAAAACAAAAGGGTGCGACACATAGCAGCGACATTCGACATCCGCATCTGCATGCAGCGCATCAAGTGCATCAAGTGTTTCAAGAGCATATCCCCATCCAGCCCAAGCTTCAAAAAGATAAAAACGACTGCACACTCGCTCATTCATTCATTCATTCTTTACCGCTCCTCTCTCTCTCCTCTCTCTCTCACTCCCTCTTTCTTCGTTGCTCCCCATTGTTTGTTCATCGACTCCCTCTTCCTCCTCTCCTCCTTTCGTCTCCATTGTCACCACCAACGGCCATCGTCTCTCTATCCCCAATTTCATCCGCTGCACCCCGCTTGTTTCTACCCTTTTGCCGCTTCTATAATTTCTCGTCATGGTCGATCTCAGGTCACACAGAAGCCGTCCATATGAGTACAGTCCTGTACAACGTCGGACAAGGCTGTCGGGCTCAACAACTCCCATCGCACCAACGTCTCCAATCTCCAACAACGACCAGGCAACCGCCCCCATCCGATCGCCACTCAGGGCACGACTTCGTTCCTTCAGGGCAACAACAGCACACAAGGACTACCAGCAAGACCAACAACAGCAACAGCAGCCATGCCAGGGACAATTCGAGTTCATTATGGATTCCTTAGCAGTGTCGGCACCGGAACACCGAGAGAAGGATCATAATCAGGACCATGGCATGCTTACAGCTGGTGTGGATGTGAATGCAGATGTGGAGATGGTTCAGGGACCTGCCATCTTTCGCCTTAGCCCAGAATTGTTGGCGCTCATTTTTTATTATGTCTATGTTACACCAGTCGTCCATCGCCCAAGCACAACGACCCCTGCAAAGAATGAACAGAATACCGCCCCAGAGGAGTTGTCTTCTAGCCGGTCCTCATCTCCAACCTCACCCCCATTATCATCATCGAGCTCAGAATCAGCCACAACAGAAGGTTTTGCAGGAAGAGAGACATCCACAACAATGACCAGAAACACCGCCCCTAACACAACATCAATGGTCACTACCACGTCAGACCCCTCTTTCAGAGACACCTCAGGGGTGAGGCGTAAAAAGGACAAAAGAAAGTCGGCCGTCTATATCCAGAACGATTTATCGTCCATGCTGGCCCTGTGTCTCACCTGCCGCGCATTCTATCCCCAGGCCATCCGCATGCTGTGGCGACAGAGGACCCTGGCCGACTATGACGACCTGACCGAATTTTATCAGGCGATCGACTTTTCTGCGTCACTCAGGAGGCGACAACAAAAGCAGCGCCAGCAGGAACAGCAGCGCCAGCGGCCCGGCATGGGCTATGCTGTCGAAGAAGGCCTGTTCAACAATGAGGCTGCACTCCGGATCAAATCCCTCACCCTGCTCGATATGTCCCTTGGGTCGACTTTGCCAATGACTGCCAATGCCAATGCCACATCCGCCCTCGCCTCTGGCCAATTCTTTGGAAGCAGTAGCAGTCATGGTGATCCCCTTGCAGCAGCAGCAGGCACAAGTCTAGACCTCTGTCAAGGACTCGACATGCTCACCAGGACCAATGTCGCCGCTGATGAGAGCGCCATCCTGGCAGCTGCTTACTCCAAGGATGCAACGCCGTTGTCGTCGTCTCCTTCGTCTTCTTCGTCGTCCATGTCATTGAGTGGCTCTCCAGTTCAGAGCAGGAGGAGACCTCGACAAAAGACGACATCCATCTATAGCCAGATGATCTCGCCGAGACTGCTCAACACAATTGCTCACCACTGCTATGCCTTGGTCGACCTTACTATCTGCATGGACAACAAGTCCTCGACGTTCTTTCATGCCCACGGCCCCAAGCTTCAGGCCAGCATTCCGTTCTCGATCATCGCTGGGGCTCTTCTCTCCCTTAAGCGACTGACCTTGATGGGCCTCGTCTGTGACCCAAAGCAAAACAAGACTGGATCAGAGCTTTTGATCTTTGCGCAGAACATCCAACCTCTGGAACGCATTTCGATCCGATCCTGCCAGGGAATCACCGTGAGGACCTATATCGAACTGGCGATGCGTTCGCATCGTCATCTACTCTCGGTAGATTTTCAAGGCTTGGACTTTGAATCGAGCCAGCAGCTGACGGACATGATGTCGGCCTATGCGCACCACTGCAAAAATATGAAGTCAATCACGCTGTCTTGCCTCAACGGCCTAGCGTTGGACGGTATGTTCGAGGTCCTAGCAAGCCATGGTGCCCCTGAACTTCAGGAACTGCATGTCCTTGGCCATGACTCCTTCCGATTCTCAACCCAGCAACAGGGACAGCAGCAGCAGGAACCGGCAGCAGCGCCCGTACCGCCTCAACAGCAAGCACCCCAACCTGATCAGAACAACAACGACAATAACGATAATAATAACCAGGACGGTGCTCACGTACCTATGACCCAGATGTGTCACCTTGCTGATGCCAATGTTGCCCTATCCAATCTGGCCCAGTTACCGCTTCGACGCCTTACCATGTACTGCCCTGGCATCACTGATTTTGCGCTGTTCCAATATCTCCTTCGGTCACCCAAGCTCGTGGACCTGGTCTTGAACGAGCCCACTACGATTCTGCAGCACTCGCAGTTTCAGGCCTTTGTGAACCATCATCTCCCTGCTCATCAGGGCACATCTGCTCTTGAGTCCTCGGACGATACTTTTGGTCCTGTTGTCACTGGCGAAGAGCTCACGGAGGTGATCCCTTTTACGAGCGCAGGATTCATGAAACTGATCTTTGCGCGATGCCCCTGGCTCAAGTACATGTTCATGAAGCTGACGCTGGAGACCGCACAGGAGTGGATCGTGCAGCCTTGTTTCAAGGAAGCGAGATTGGACAAATGCCTTTATCAGTACCGAACAGCGACGGGTGCGCCAGCCGTGGTCCTGATGTGGGATGCTCGCAACAAAGTCGTCATTGGTGGTACCAAAGTCTGATTGATTACTCCTCCCCTCGACATGACTTTTTTTTTCGATTTTCATGACCACTGCTCTCTTTTCTTCTGTCACACAACATAATTGATGTCAATGCATACTTTTTCGTAGCCTCTACTTTATACACATAATCGATAATCATAGAATACGTAACGCATCACACCCACAATCATACTGCACCACATAGTCCTAAACAGAATGTTCGTGCAGCACCGAATAGATAAAGGTTCTTCTCTTGAAAGAAAGACCAAGTCAATTGATACGCGACGCGCCTATTGCTGTGCTGTTTTTGAGTCTCCGCTCTTTTTTTTTTTTTTTATTGCTGAGGGTCCAGGAGGGGTTAAAAAACACTTCCCTCTATCTTATAACTTCATCTATCACCTACAACTGATAGTAGATGCACCCATACACTAATGGCTCACAATGTCCTATCAATAACCCAGTGATAGAACGCACGCTTCCGGTCATAGCTGGATAAACAACGTCCCCAAAAACACCTTTGGTTACAACAACGTCCAGACCATCAAAAGTACCTCCAGCAATCTTTCCTTGAAACTGCTCTGACACTAGATCTTGTGACCCATCGTGGAATGCATACGTAGCGTTGCTCAGGATCCTCAATGGATAAAGTATATACTTCTTTCGCCTCGTCTTCAGCTTTATTCGTTTTTTGTCTTTTCCAGGGCGGTATAGGTATTAACAAACCTTGTTCTTCAGAGTCTGAATCCGTGTCATCGTCCAAGACGACCTGGAGTGCTTCTTCAGCCCCATTGGAGTGTTGCTCGATCCTGTTCAGTGTTTCCAGTAACTCGAGTTCGGTTATATCGATAGATACTTCTTCCGCGCATGAAGGATTTGACTCGTCATAGTTGCTGTCGCTTTGGGCTAACTTCGACCCAAACTCTACCTCCACAGTCGTTGAATGTTTCGCGCTTTTCAATGGTGGGAGAGTGGGAGAAGAGACAATAATCGGCGTCCGTTTTTCAATTGAACCTGGGGAATATGTGGCCAACGGGGACCGCATCTCACCCCTGACATATTGGCGTATAAATCTTATCCTGACATGATCGCTCCCTTCGACAATCTCTTTCACTGCCCTCTTTGTTGAAGTTTCAATTCGCAACACCGCTGATTGAGACGCCCAGAAAGCATCACCGTAATTGCGTCGCCAGGTATCGTACATCGTGAATACGCCTCCCCTCGCTTTACGAGGTATGACCGAACACATTATGCGGTTTGAGAAGGCGGCGTGGGCATCACGCTTGCAAAATCAGGCATGGTGATTAGATCACCATTCTTGATCCTATTGTGAACCTATTTAATGTGTTCCTTCGGTGACGGCTCACGGCTCCCTTCGCTACAGTGGTGATCATCTCGGTTATTGTTGTCGATGTTGGCACGGTTTTTGTTGCTGTGGTTGTCACTGTTCTTGTTGGTTACACTGTTGTCCGTATTGTTGTTGTCGTTATCTGGCACCATTGTTACGTCGGTTGAGCTTGAACAACTAAGGACACTCGATGAACTCATTGAGGAGAGGAAAGTGAAACTAGCAAACCATGAAGATTACACGAGAACCGATAGTTATTCGAGAAAACCATTGCGCCAACTGGCTCCAAATTCATAACATAAAAAATCAGGCCACACTCCACTTTCCGCCTACCTGCCGCGAACTAAACAGGATTCGCTAAAAAAGAATCAATGTGTCCTGCTCAGAACCATGGGTTTCATGTAGGAACGGTCATTGTTGCTGTTTCCATTACTTTAACAACTCTGGGCGATTGGGAAAGATGCTAAAGGTGTTGATAACAATGTACAAGGCGGATGAAAGCGAGATGTAAGCGGTCGAGTAGCCAAGTCATGGATGCCTATGGTGCCTGAAGCAGCAAAGCGAGTCCAATGCTGGAGAGCTATATGGTGCACATAATAGAACGAATTACGTACACCATGGCGGCATTCCTGACAACGTGTTCCTGCACGGGGCGAACTTAGACTGAGGGATTTGCCATTCGAGCGCCGGAAGAAACGTCTGGATAAGTGAGCTCGCAAGCAAATGTCTTCGAGTGGGTAAAACGGGCCGAAAAAGAGTGATAAGCGAGGCGATGAAGAGAAGAGAAGGAGAGGCAAGGGAGGCGATGAGAAAGAGGATGTACGCGTTATCGGGACTGTGGTATCGAGCGCAGGGTGCCTTTAATAGGGTATGCGACAACAGGTACACCTCCGTCGTAGCGTAGAAACATGAAGTTGTATATCCGTAGCAATATCTAATACAGGTCTCTTTTCATGGTTCGAATCTCGACGACAGCATAGATAGTTGGATTGTAAAAGTGTGCCTCAGTAAACCGGTAAAGCCAATATGCGAACAACCAAGAGGATCGGGCGGATAGCCACATAAACTCAATCAGCTGATTTTCATAGTCGAAATGCACTGTCGCCTTTTCACCCCACTCTTGTTCATAGGCCCGACAGATCTACCGTTTGAACGATGGGATGGAGAATGTTCCCGAGTGCGAAATCATCTTTTTGAATGAGCTGCACGAAAAGCTGAAGCGAATCGACCCTCGCCTTGGCAGCAATGCAGGACTCTACCGGATTCTAGGGCGGTATGAAAGAACGCCCTTTTTTTTTTTTTTTTTTTCCTCCACGCGACTACGCCGTATGTGTCTCTTCCCTCACGCAACTTTTCTCTCCCATACACTTAGACTGATCAATTACGATCTAGAGCGTCAAATCGCTAAAGTCGAGTCCTGTTTCCACCACGAGTACACCTTGGATCCGCCAACAAAACCGTCGACAGCGCACAAACCCGAGCACCCATCCAAAGGCAGCGCCGCCTTCCAAAATGGCACGATCGATTTAACACTGGACGACGACGACGATGATGACGATGACGATGAGAAGGACTCTGGGCGATCACAGGACCGTCACGGCAGCTGTATCGACCTCACTTTTACAACAGACGAGGATTCCTCTGAGGACGAAGGGATTGAAAATGACTCCAGGGACAAAGGCAAGGGAACAGCAACAGCGGATTACCAGCAATGGATACCCTCAGAGCCTTTGCAGCCCCATCAGGAGCAGAATTCTGGCGTCCGCGGGTTACGGGGACCGAGGATTGTTCTCTGGATCGACACACAATTACTGGATCCGTGGCGATATGAACCAGGAGCACTCTTTCAGTTCATCGGAGAAGTCGTTTATGAAGCCGGGCACTGGATGCTGCAGGCTAGGACCTGTCGTAATATGGAAGGATTGGACCTGTATCGCTATCGACAGTCGATCCTCTTGATGCGCAGACTGGTCGACCAAGATCATGCGCGACGACGAAATCCAAAATGAACGTTGAGAAAGATAACCCAGTAGAATGGTACAATAATAAAGGGCGAATTGGTTTTGGTTTGTCGTTTTTTGTTGCTTTGACTCTATCGATGTTTTTTTTATTATACAACGTTACATACCCTCCACCCTTCATTTCCTTATCGTTCTTTTTCCTGTCCTGCCCTTTCTTTCCACTCCAAATGTGTGCGTGCTTCCATATTTATTGACTTTTTTTTTTTTTCTTTTTTTTCCTTTTTTTTGGGCCCTTTACTCGCTGGCGCCATAATAAGTGTGCTGAACATCGACAACACGCTTTCCACGACCACGAGCAATATCCTCGGGCAACTTCTGCTTCGATCCCAATGCCTCGAAGGTCGCCTTGATGACGTTCATGGGGTTACGCGAGCCCCAGACCTTGGCGCTGATATCCAGGATTCCGATACAGGAGCAGATCTCGTGAATATAGTGGTTGCAGCGGTTACCGAAACCTGTCATTGAGGGGAGGGAGGGGAGGGAGGGGGGCGAGGGGGTTGCGGAATGAAAACAACTCACTTTGATTAGAACCCTCACTCTTCGACTATGCAATCTGATTGTTCACTTCCTCCGTATTCGTCGTAAAAATAAAAAAGTACCTGGTGGTCGGGAACGGAACTGAATCTTGGTGGCATGGAACTTATGATCGATATCGTGATAAATCGTCCTGTCATCATACCGATCAAACGCCGTCAAGTTCCTCATGGCCCTGTTGGTCGCTTTCCTGACCGCTCTAGCGACCTCATCATCCTTGCCCTCTCCGTATCCGGCAATACCGCTTCCATTACCGACGACGACCAGCGCATACATGCTCGGGATCTTTCCTGCAGTCGTCATGTTCGAGGTACGCTTCACGACCAAGGCACGCTTAATAAACCGTCTCAGATCCTCCTTGGTCAATCCGTGTGGCAAAGACGCCTCGTCCACATCATCGTCGGCCTGGTTCTTGAGCATGTCATCCAGGGGTGGGCTCGAGGGCCAGAGTTTCGCAGTCGCGAGGTTAAGGTTGCCCTCACCATCGAGTTTACGGGGGTAGTGGTCCAGAAGCGGGTGGATTTCTGAAAGGTTGTGGAGCGCAGCTGGGCTGTCCAGTCCAGGCACACGGGCGACGGTGACTTTCGAGGCCGTGCTAGGACGCTTGCGCGCTAAAGAGACGGCGCCGGCGGTTGTGAAGGACCTGGAGATGAGTGCTAAATAGTAAATGGAATTGGGAGAATCGTAGGTGAATCAATGTTAGAGTCACCCTCCTATGTGTTGTTGTTGTTGTTGCTGTCGCTGTTGATATGTGTCTCTGGAAGCAGTTTCAAAGAGAAGTTGCTGGGGCATCTCTGCGATCGATTTTCCGTACCAGTCCTTGAAGCTGCTGAAATGACTGCAGACGCTGCGATGCAACGTTGCCACAATCCTGTTGAAGCCATAGTAATATGCGTTTCTCTTTCTGTGTCCGCGAGGTCCGGTGAGTCCGCGTGTGTCGGTGCGGTGTGCAGGAAGGGATGGCCGAGGGAGGTGTAACCAAAGGAGAGAAAGACATCTCCCAGCGCGGAAGGTGATCTGTTTACATTTTCGCAGACACGGTCACATCCTCTGCTTTCCCCGAGTTTGAGTTTTGACGGACCTTGACTCTGCAACTGGGCCAATGCTTAAGGCGGCAATATTCCAGGCACCCAGAACTACTGCATGCGTGGCCTAGCCGCTTTTGATGGATCAGAGTCTCGAACCGGTTAATCTTACACTTATTTGAGGGAGGGCGGAATCGTATTTTTTCGTTTTGCAACCCGTCGACCTACCCATAGTCCGGGACATGCGCTGTGTAAAAAAACCCTAGAAACCCCTAGTATAAAAAATAAAAGGTCAAAACGCGTCCACCGCCGCTTACAGTGCAAGATACAGCAAAGCTAATAAACCCCTTCTTACCTATCAGCCCATCAGCACGCTTGTTCCTATCGCTTGACATGTCTTGTTCTGCGCTTCTAGTATGGATTACTAATGTTCTATTCCTTCCTGCCATCCGTTTCCACCTTCCTTCATAGCACACACCCCACTGTCCTGGGGACACCAAAGGTTCATTCCCCGTCTTGTCGATCTTGATGTCGGGGGTCCGTAACTCTCTGCCCGCGGACGAGCCCGAAAGGGGCAGGTCTCAAATCAATGACAACTTTGGGAGTGATGATTCTGGATCCAAAAAAAAAAAAAAAAAAAAAAAAAAAAAAAAAAGGCAACTTTGCCCTGCATCGGATGGAGATCGAAATGGGAAAACCCGTGTTTTGTGGGCCTTTGACCATGCCAAGGACATTCATTTAGGAAAGTCTATTGCGGATAGCGCAGTAAGTGTCTAAGTGTCTTCTTTTTTTCATTTTGTTCTATGTAGTTTGGACTGTACTTCCCTTGAGGGTGCTGCCAAGTAAGATTGCTACAGGGCGTCATTGACCACGATGCTCTACCGACTTGAAGAACACAATGGCTGGGTGTGTCCACGATGATCCCCACCGCTCATGCTCAATATGTGGTACTTTTGGAAGACGAACTATACCTTTGCACATGCTTTCTCCTCCAGGATACTGGACTGACCAGCTACCACTTTTTTAAAGAATGATAGCAAATACAAGTATCATATCCGTCTTATTAAGAGGAGATGGCTCCGCCAGGCCTGACGTGAAGCTCCACCGGGTTAAAGAGCCATTCTTGTTCCCCGTTATTCACAAGGAAATAATTAGTGATGTCGAAAGAGTGTGACATGTATAACATAGACCAGTCGACAGGTCATAAATTCAAGATCCTGGATCCTGGTGCCTGAGGAAGCAACGGCGGTCATGCGATTTACAACACGAACCCTGAAGAGTTTAAGGACAGGACAGCCTCGATTATGGAGTGAAGCTAAGGGAGGCTATTTTCCACTATAGCGATTTTATTGCGCGCCGCTGCATCATGGGCTCCTTCGCGCGCATACAATCCTTTGCACGGGTACTGCGTTTGTGTTGAGACATGTAACAGTCCACATTCGGATTAAGAAAGAAGTTCCTTAATCCGCCAAAAAGAGTACCGCACGCGTCGCGAAGTGATCTGATTCCGAATGAATGCAGAAAGCAACATGAGCGTTGCATCTGGCTCCTGTCTTGGTTCTCATGAGCTCCCTTTTCCCACACTTGTGTCGTTTTCTTTTTTTCCTTTTTTTTTTTTTTTTTTGAGTAAAGAGAATAAGGCCCCAAAGGGGGCCCCCAAAAATATATTCGCATTATTCGCGCGATCTAATGCGGTCGAATCCCCTGACGGCCAAAGACTCCGGGGCGCTTCTATTAGATACGCGTGCCCGACCCCCTCATTGAGTGTCCCTCTCTACCCAGTGTTCGTGGGGATTAGAGTGGAGGCCCTCGGGGGAAGAGTGCGTACCCAATAGAGGTCACTGCAACGCTTACCATTGACTAGGACCACAGAGGGCTCATTACAAGCTAGGCTTGTGGGCTATCTATGAGGAGAAAAAGAGAAGAGAAGAAAGCGAGGTCTTTTTATACTGCGGAGGAGGTAGCCACTGCCGTAGCAACTGATCTGACCGTCCATGGGACCACTGTGGGACCCTTCATCCAAAAACACGTCAATTTGCATGTCCAAGACAGCGCATGACTTTTATCCAGCAGTGCTGCTGAATGCGCTTCAGCCGACATTTGCCGCACACATCCTACTCCCTCCGCCGCTCTGGCTCCTCAAGAGTCAGTGTTCTTGACTACAGTATCTTTCGCTGCATCTACCTGGCCAAGGCCGCCTTCACAGTCGACCACGTCGATTAGGAGTATGAACCTTGTGGCTACACTGCCTGTGCCTGAGCCTACTCTTTTGATTTTTAACACCCTTATTTGTTTTCCCACATTTGTTTATTATACCACATCTTTTTGATTTCTGCTTCGCCCAACAATGTCTCTGCTCCGCTCTATTCGAGCAATGACCTCAGCACAGACTCACTCAGTGACCCAAGAGCAGCAGTAGCCATACAACTGCAGCGGATCACCGTAGAGGCCAGCAGAGCCTAGTCTTCACTATTATTTCTCTTCGCGAATACGAATGGCATCGTTCTCTTTTCTTTTTTCTTTTTTTTTTTTTTTTTGGCAAAGATACAGTGTTCTGGTGCCAGCTGCCAGCTGCCAGAGGATGTTTACGATTGATTCTAACAGCGTTTTCATTTCATTCCTTCTATACCAGGGAACGGATTGTCCTCCGCTCCGCCGCATATGTATGTTGATTACAACGACCTCGATGCCAGCGCGACCCAGTCTACTAGGGCTCGTCAAGACGGATTAAGAAAGAAATTCTTTCTTAATCCGAGTGTAGGCTGAACTGGACAATGGACTCCTAATGTTCGTATTCTGTCAACTCAATAAACATATCAGAACTTTATGCGGCGAGTGCCTACGCCTGTGTGAGGAAAACCCCCACTCTCCATCCCCATTGCCCATTGCCCATTGCCCATTGCCCATCTCGAGTCCACTATGCCAATTATCAAATCCAAACCTTCAAGGACAACAACAACTCCAGATAAACCTCCTGCGAAGAAACGCCCAGTAACTAAAACCAAGTCGACAAGCTCCTCAACAACCTCAACGACTGAAGCATCTGTCAATAAGACGACGCAGAGTTATTTCATCAGTCTTGAAGGCTGAATGTGCCCGTCGAACGAGAAAGTGATCCACGATTTCTAGCAGCTACCATTTGCAGGAGAGAAAAATACAACTTCATTGGTGCAGGGACTACTCGTATACTCCGGAATGCAGACGACATCTTTCTTAAAGTCCAGCAAGTAGGCCCTCGGTACGCAACAAAGATCTCCACTTTACACCTTACTAACCTCTCATACAGAAAATCCTGTGAATGATAATCGACTAAGGGAAATGGCCGATCCGATCGACTTCTCGGACGGTTGACTCATGAATTTCAAAGGAAACAACCACATTCACTTGCACACGGCACATGGCGAGGAGGACGATGTTGATATGATCAAGCACGGCCCACGATTCAAGGAGACCGCGATGTTACTTTCCAATTACGATCCGGTAGATATCTACAATTGTGATGAAACCGGTCTATATCTGAAGGTCTTGTCCAACAGAACTTTGTCAGTTAATGTTGTCCGCAGCCGAAAGGTCATAAAGGATGCCAGGGTATCCATCTTGCTGTGCTGCAACATTGATGGATCAGAAAATAGGAAGCCATTTGTGCTGTGTAAGGCGAGCACACTTTAGGAAGCGTACGCGCATATGCCGCACTCGCAACCTAACAGTATTTTCATCATTTCTTTGGCTACGTTTAGCCGCTCACCGCCCTAAAGGCCTAGATGCGGACACAGAGGCACGACTAAAGACTGATTTTAAGAGCAGTGGATACATGACACGGGATTTATTCAAGAACTGGCTTGAGAAGCTCGACATTGCTATGGAGGGGCGACATATTGCTTTGTTGATGGACAATGCACCAGGACACGCCAACGCCGACGAACTTGGCCTCAAGAATATCAATGTTATTTGTCTACCGCTAAAAACAGCATCAGTCGCTCAACCTATAGATGCTGGAATCATCCGCTTGTTCAAAGTGAAAAATATAGTCGGCATATGATTCATGTCGTATCCAAGTATCGAGGAGAGGCAAAATCTGGCAAGGCTAAAAAAAATCCCCAACGGTCAGCTATGACCATGCCTTGTTTCTGTCTGGGATGAGGTGACACAGTCCACCATCCGCAACTGCTACGCCCATGTCCCTGCTGTGCCTACAGCAATGCAGGGACACATACAGACGACCGTGAAGGATGATAAGGATCATGAGATGGAACAACTTAAGCAATAACCAATGGAACTGCCGCCAGACGTGAGCTCTTCGCAAGAATCGACGTTCTTGAGGAAGAATTGCATGAGCAGGTGATGCAGGGTCTGCAAGACGCTTTGAACATATGCCGCGTAGTGTTTCTTCAAAAAAAAAAAAAAAAGGCATTTGCTATCCTCTAGAGTTCAGCCTGCATAAGTCGCTTACTCGCAGTATTGTCACAGTCGTGAGGGACGAGCTAGATCTACTGAGTGATGTGGTTAGAGGGCAAGGTACAATGAGCCAGAGGAGACAAATATTGACAGAACACGAAAATTTGGACAAAAACAACATTTGGTACGACCAGCTTCATGATAACTAAAAGGAACTGTTTTTTTTCAGCTGGCAATAAATTTCGTGTGGACATTGCATGCAGGCCACTCCACACGCGTACTGTAACTATGCACATTCTGCTCTTCCGTGTCTATTGTTTCATTACTTCGTTCTAATCGTGCTCTTCTCAAGTTGTCCCCCTGGCCAATATCTTCAGCTTTCGTGCACACGCCGCGAAGACGGTCCAACTGATGCCCAAGGCAGCCGCGGTGACGATCCCGAACGCATAGGGATCGTTCTCAAGATAATTATGCAAGTTCATACCATAGAACCCTGCGATGATCGCTCCGGACGAGATCCCCAGGGTCCCCATGGAGACACGGAGCTCGAAGAGTAACAACTGATTTCGCTTGGCGCCTTGCATGACATCGATAAAGTCCTCAGTCGACTGCATCTGGTGCTTGACGATCGAGACCACGTTCGCGATCTCCTCGACCTGCTTCATATAGGCCTCCAAAAGGATCTCGACCTCGTCGTGTGAATCTGTCACGCGTGGGTGGCCTTCCTTTTTTTCTGTCAGATACATGGCAGCCAGGTCTTCGTCTATACAAAGAGGTTCCAATTTTGATACCAATGTGTTAGAGCAAAAATGTTGTGTCCCTGTTTAGTCCACATTCGGATTAAGAAAGGATTTGTACACATTCGGATTTCTTTCTTAATCCGAATATGAACTGTCCATTGCACACATCTTTTTGATATTTTTACCTGTGTCCAGCAGCTCTTCAAAGACATCGCGGATCAAGAGTATTCTGGACTCAAACTTGGATACCTTTTTGGTGTACTGCAAGAGCTCCTTCAGCTTTTCTGGGTTGACCTCCTCTTCTAGCTCCGACAGTAGCTTGGTGACAAAGTGCACGAGGATCTCCATATCCGCATGTAGTGATGCCACCACCGAAAGAAAAATCGATTCCAATGCCCTACATGTTTCAATAGTAGAAAGAAAACCTCGATGTTTTTAGAACAACGCCCACGCCCCCTTCCCCCGCACACGATTTATGCACTCGGTATTGAAGCCCTCCGCCTCTGATAATGCAATGCTGTACTCACTCACCTGAACTCGAACGGTTGTCCCTCAGCTTCGACACTACTCATTTTCAGTTTTTCCTGCAAGTCCTTGACAAAGGGTGAGTCCTCGACCCGATCCTTCGTGTCCGGGGAATCAAAGAGAATCACCAAGTCCGACTTGATCAACGCCCGGATATGTCCCAGATTCACGAGAATAACCTCAGGTCGGACCAAGATTACAGGCATCTGGTTGCTGAATCCTCCATCGATCTTGCGCAGGTCGCGGGCATGCAGTCCATGCTATGGGGAAGGGGGAGTAAACGAAGGTAGGTTATAAAGGGCGGACGATGATAAATATCCTGTGTTTTTAACAAAACAGAAAACTCTAGTCCGTTGCTCAACAGCCCATGTTCACAAAATTAACGCGGATGACGACTCTATGGCGTACACACACACACACACACACACACACACGCACACACAGAGTTCAACACCGCAGAACCACAACCGCATTCCTGCGCAAATTTGTCAACAATACGATCAGCCATCTTTACCTGTTGACATAAATCCGATTTCATGAACTCGCCCGCGGTGATCCTGATGATACCCTTGGCATCCAATTCCGTGCACCTGAGCTTGATCTCATTCTTAATCGCATAGTGTGGGACGGCCGCTAAGGACTTTTGGAGCGTCGCTGCCGGGTCTGTCCCATCATTAAAATCCGCCATCGAAATCTTGCGCCCATTATTGCCGTTGCCGTTGCCGTTGCCGTTGCCAGTACCGTTTTCTCCTCTCTGTTGTTGCGCCCGTGGTTTCGAGGGTTTTGTTGACAGTGATCGGATGATGCTCTTGGGTAATGTAAAAGGTCCTTGGGATAATGGCTTCCTGGTCCATGGCGGAAGATTATTAATCATACTGCTGCTGCTGCTGCTAGCGGCGGTGGTGGTATTAGTTGACCGCGCTGTCGCTACCAGGGAGGAAACTTTGCCGCAGGGCTGTATTGATGAGAACCGATGCGTCCATGAGTCTGGTGTCAGGAGTCCATAGGTCTTGGTCGCGGTATGAAAGCAGGCCGGAGACTTGTTTTCGACTGCATGATTCCGTGGAAAGAACGTCCTTGGTTGAGGTGCGGTCGAAAACGTCGCCCTGGAGGTGAATGCTGAGGTCTCGGTGAAGGGAACTGGTGCGGCGGGAGGGAGGCCCTTGGGTTTGCACAGCTTGTTGACGGTAAGGGAGAGTAATTGACTGCTCGAGAGTTGCACTCGGCAGTGGATACTGCCAGGCATTGGATAGGCTTCTTGTTCGTTTTATAGGATGGTCATGTATCCGCGACGAAACGCCTTCTTCGGTACGCAAAGGGTCGACTGGAAGGGGCAAGTGGAATGGCAAGGTGAATGAGGAAAGGGATGAGTCAAGTAGGAGAATCTGCATCCTTCGCTTTTTAAAGCGCCCTTCCAGCGACGCTTCATCCCCCCCTTACTCGCGAGAAGGGTCCCTTCGTTCCTGACTGAGGTCATCGTGATACTCTTGCAACTCAAAATTGGCGGCAAAGATACTGCCCATCCATTGAGCTTAGGCTAACTGAGAAAGGCACCATGGGACAATCCTCCTGTCATTTAGACTCTATCATACATAAGCATGTAGACTAGCTGTCAAAGCAATTTGAATGATGGGTGTTGTGTATGTTTATACGAGCATAGTCTATGCTAATAGGCAAAACATCGTTAAAAGTTGTCGTCCACCTCTCCCTTTTGTCTCTTCCTCTTCCATATCTATATGGCTCACCGATAGGACGCGCCTGCTCCTCCTCCACGTCCGTGCTGCCCTGTCGTATTTGAGCCGCCATGGTACCCGAATGCGTCGTTTTGCGTGTTCCTATTTGTGAGTTCCGCATCCGCCTGTGCAAAATACTGAGCCAGCTCATCATCTTGATTGTATTCGTACGTATCCGGATCGCCCAGATAATTCGAATTCTCCTGTCCCCTTGAACGTCCACCATATCCTGTAACGGCTACCTGCCTCTGAAGCTCCTGCTGCCGACTGAAATGCTGAATCAATTCGGCACTGCCAGGAGAATCCGGTCTTGAACTCATCTCCACGATAACAGGTCGTCGCAACTGTTCGCGTTCCTGTTGGTCTGTTGCTGCTGCTGCTGCTGCTGCCAGAGCGGCTTGAGTGGCCGAGTCCCTTGTATCGAGGGCCTGCTTCTCCATGTCTTGCTGCAGAAGCTGCTCTTCCTGAAGTTGCTTCTCCTTCGCCTGTCGCGCCTCCTCGGGCGTCTGATCAATACCAGCTCGAGTTCCCCAACCGACTTCGTGCAGTGTAAAGAGGGCATAGATCTTCATGATGGCAAAGTAGTAGCCAAAGATCAAGAAGGCCGGTACCCAGATAATGTCCTGAGGTCTCTTGAATAGGTGCGGGAGCAGCTTAATGATTCTCGTCATCATCAGCCAAACAACATAGGAGATGATAATGTCCCAAAGTGGCAAATGGAACTTGCCCTCAGCGGCCATGACAATCACGGATATCGGTCCTGAGAGCAGAGTAATTGGGTTGAAGATTTTATCGACCATGGTGAAGGCCACATAGGGATGCCGTTTCCAGATTACACGCTCGGTAAACAGGGAACGAAAGTCAGATCGCCAGGTGTTGCGGGTCCATCGAAGAACCTGCTTGATGAATCGCCAGTTGTTCTTGAAAGTCGAAAGTAGCTCTGCCTCCTTGCAGATCTGAACATAGGTATTCCAACCATGGAAGACCATCCAGCGCGTCAAGAACTTGTCGTCCCCAGAGTTGAGCGGATATTTGCCGAGCCAAAAGTCGTGCGTGAACTCGTACTGGAACTGAGGGTCCTGTAGAATGCATGTGCGATAAGCAGCCGTGCGACCGGACAGACAGCAGACGCCACCGTCAATATGGGTTGAAGCCGCGATCTCGATGTTACGGATGGTGAGGCGGAAACCGGCAAGGACTTCCCAGACGGTTTGGTAACGACCCACAGACTTTACGATTTGCGAGGTGCCGACGCCTCCCATGTTCGGGTCTTCAAAGCAGGCGAGAATGTACTCCAGACAAGTTGGTGCCCAGATAGCATCGTCATCTGCAAAGACAATAATCTCGCTCGTTGTGTTCCTGATTCCCTCGACCATCTGTAGTCTCTTGTTGGCCTTTGGCACGGTCAACACTCGGATCCTGGTTGGGTCGACTGAATTGGCAAGCTCCTGCAGTGCGTCCTTCATTTTTGTTTCTGTGATGATGATGATTTCCTTGGGATTGTTGAGGAGCCATGAGTGAGCGGCTTCCTTGAACTCTTCTCCGGCATCAATGGTGGGCACGATGATGGTGACATCGTATTCAGGGCGGTAGGTAGGGTTGGATTTTGGCATCATTGGGCGGTAGAAGAAGTAGGCGAGCAGCTTGATGATGAACCAGAGATAACGGTAGAAGCCGACAACGCCCAGTGGCACGAAGACCGGGAACAGGTCCTTTGTCAGGTACAGCATGGCTGTAGTAGATCTCTATCCGTGCGTGCGAGTGTGGATGAGATTGTCGTTCAGAATTGGCGTAGAGTTGGGATTGAAGTGTTGTTCTGGTGCCGGTTGCCAAAATGGGGGTTCGTTTCTGAGAGAGGAGTGGAGAGGTATCAGCTTCGATTCTGAGGAAATTTTCAGGCACAGATGAACTTTGGTGGCGAACTGGTACCTGAGGCGAGACGAGACGAGACAAGACAAGACAAGGAGAGAAGAGAAAAGTCGAGCGGGGGGTGTTGAAGAGTGGATGCGTGGAAGTGGAGGGGGAGGGTGGGTTGTCGTTGCTATCGTTGCTGGGATGGAGGGGGCGAAGAGGCGATGGAGGAATGGGATGATGGAAAGAAGAGGGGCGAGTGATGGCGAATGTGCTGAGGAGGGGGGGAATAAAAATAAAAAAGGAGACGAGGTGTTGGAACACCTGCTCTTGTCTCGGATGGTGGGTATTGGTTTGGATAACAACAAAAAGAGAGAAGGAGGCAACTGTCTCTGTTGCTAGTCCTGGTCTTGGTCCTGGTTCTGGTCCTGGTGCGGCTGCACGGCGCATAGACCGCTGTGAAATGTATGGTGCACACTTCATTTATCGATGTGCCATACTCTATCATACCCTTTGGACATTCATCATCTTCTGTTATGGTTGACATACAATTACGGCGGGTACCAGATAGGGCATAGTCCGCCACCATCTGCCCTTGTGTGGAAGGATAGACACACCGCATTTATTAAATAAAAATACACACTCATTGCACCACCCACGTAAAAATAGACTGAGCGCCCAGTAACCAAACAACTGGGTTCATTTACCCTAAAAACCAGCGCGATCTCCCCTATTCAGGCCAAATAATGTAAATATATATCCTTTTTACACCCAATTAATAGTGCCATGTGGATATCTTCAATCTCTCCCTAATTCATAACGGTCTTGTTCTGCCCGGCTATTGTCCAACTTGACCCTACAGCCGCATACAACTTTAATCCAACCATAACTAGATTGCGGACGGAAAAAAAAACTTGGAAACTTTGCAGCAGTCGGCCGACTAATTCTCCTACGGTAGTATCAGGCAACGGAGAACGGGTGAACCTTTGTTGGAGACCAGGCGAGGAACTCATGCTCCCAGGAGGGACTCTTCTTACTCGCATGGCAATGTGCCCAATGGAGTGGCTATGATTCAATCCAGCAGTGCATATCCCCTCCCCTCCCTTTCCCCCCTTTTTCAAGAGATGCAGCACGTTCTTGTTGAAGGGGATGCATGATGACAGCACCATCAAGCGCGATCAAGCAAACAACAGGAGGCAATAGTGAAGGGAACAATTACCGCGTTCTTTTCCCTACCCTGGGTGTGCGGATGAAGACGTCTCTCTTCTGGACAGGATTCTTTACGATATCCGTCGCATACACTATGCAAGACAAAGCTACAGCTGAAGCAGAAATACATACCCTGCCGCGTTCTTTGGAGCTGCGTATGTAATCAAAAATGCCAATACGAGCAGCAGCCATGTAAGGTCCTCCAATTTTCGCTGCAACTTCTCAGTCCTGGATCTCCTTAACCGATGTGACCGAGGCCGTGAAGGAGAGAAGGAAGCTGACCTCTCTTTGAGCTCCTATACTTCGTCCGCCATGCTTTCTTAACCTCGTCTTCGTGAAAAGCACCTAATTCTCCCGATCGAGGGTGCACTAGATTATTATTCCTCTTCAATGCCCTTATCCTTTTTAGCTGTCGGTTGAGCATCGGTGCTCACACGCGTTTTCTCTCGACTATCTTTTTTCTTCTTTGTCTGATTTTATCTAACACCGACATATTTTTTTTTGAGCCGTATCCTTACACGTATGGTTCCCTTGATCCTGCATTATTAGCTTGAATCAGTTATCCCGGTAAAGACGGGCCTCTAAAAAACGCGAAGCGACACGTCCGTAATAGAAATATAGATTTTGAGTATTTTGGTATCAAGACATCTGAAGATAAACCTCGGATCGATCATCTCTTCTGGCTGACGATCAAGCATGACGCAGGAACGCTTGAAGAGCGAGTGGGTGGACTATAGATAGTCTAGCGCGCTTTGCTGTTAAACTTCTAATTGAACCCAAAAAGAACCAAAAACGTGCAGATCAGAAATTCTTTTGGTTGTTTTCTGTGGTGTTCGTGTGGTACAACCCCCCCTCCCTCTGTGTCTGCTTATGGCGAAAATGTGCTGGGTGGACATAACCTCATCATCTCATCATTACAAGAAAGGGCTCGCGTCCTTCTGTTTACATGTTCGTTCCATGTAGACAGAAATTGTTGAGCAACTGGTGAGCAGACCAGCGGAGTGAAATATGGCGATGCGAGATTGCGGAAAGGATTGTTGCAAAAAGAGATTCGCTGTGCTGCATATATACCTCGAAAAAAGTACAGTGCAGGGGGTGGATGGTGTATCTAGTTGTGGAGTATATAATGGATGGGTCGAATGCTGCATCAAGAGGGTGAACATGATTAGTCGGATTCATATACAATTATAGCCATGCTGCCTTGTGAGGATTGCGGCCGGTGTTAACGTGGTAACCTCGAGCCCTTGTTAGTCTCGGAAAGTACAAAGTACGTAAACATTGTAATCCTGAAGGTACAACACAGACAAGAAAGGGAGGACAAAATGGGCTGCAAAGAACCAGACTGTGGACTCATCTATCTTTGTGTCCACATACTTCTGCGGGTTCCCGGACCCTGTGGGCAGTTTGCAAGAACGCTCAAGAACCTCTCTTTCCAGTGGAGAGCGGGAATGTTGGAGAGGATGGTATGGTGTGATGAGATGAAAGCCTAACCATTAAAAAAACCCCCCGGATCTCTTTGTTTGTTGCTCAGATACAAGATACAAGAATGTGCAAGTGCATAGGCGTTTTTCTTTGTTTCTACGCGTAAGATGATGGCAGCTCCATACAGATACACGTTAAATAAAAGAGAGTTGGGGAATGAGGATGTGAGGATGCAAGGACATGGATCATAAGCGTGTTTGCAGGAAGTGTGCGTGTGCGTGGGCTAGACTAGTGGTGTGTGCAGGCAGGTAGCCAGCCATTGCACGATGTTGCAATCGATGGGACGGATGCAGATCTACAGCGACTCCATACAGGACACATGTAGGCTACATATAATAAGCACACTTAAAATAGAGTTGGGCGGGGATGCTTTCCATGGTCCTGCAGTTGAACGATTCGACGGACTAAAACAATAAAGCCAATTTGATGCAATTGAATTGAATTTAGAGAGGAGGAGGCGAGCGAGTTTGGAGCTGTTGCTGTTAAGATGCTGTTGTTGTTGTAGTCTCTTTCTCTTCTTTCTCTCGCTCTCTTCCCTCACACCCGCACACCCATCCTCGCCTCCTCTTGCTGACACCTCGACCATTTCATCCTCCTTGGCCTGCACTCCACTCCTTCTATTCCATTTCTCACTCCACTCCTCCAACTCGGTCCACACACCCCTGCCCTCTCTTCTCCCTCTGCTCACGCCCGATAACCTTCGTTGCCTCTCTCTTTCTTCTCCCGGCTGTTCCTCAGCAGAACCTCATCCTCCTCTCATCTTCCAGCTCTCTCTACAATCAAATTTATCTATCTATTTATCTACTTATCTATCTATCTGCCCTGAAACCTCCAAAGGGAGTTTGTGTGAATTCGAAAAAAGCTGTTTTTTTTGGGTTGTGTGCTGAGTGCGTGTCGACTCCAACAACACATCTAGGCAGAGTAGGCAGAGATCTTCTTCACCATGTCACACACCCCTGTGAGAACCGTAGAGAGCCGGAGCAACAGTCCATCGAATAGGCATCCTAGGTAACGCACCTTACACCTGCACCAGCTTGAGTTTACTGCATCAATCATCTCCTGTGAAAAGAAATTTAGAATGGGACGTTGTGATTGTTTACGTTGCTGGAATCAACCGAAATACTAGCCTGCAAGGTTATGTATCAGACTGGGCACCCATCGACCACACCAATCACCTAATCAGGGACAACCAGGATACGATTGACTGCAAAAGGACGACAGCCAGGAACGGATGACGCCATATCCGGGGCGGTTGGGGCTCTCTGTGGAATTTCATGTATCTACTGACACAAATTTCTTGTAAACAAACTGAATTTAATAGCTATACTGAAGATATCACGGCGCCCGGATCACCCTACCTAGAGTTCATCAACCAGTCCTTCTCCACAGACAACGACCTGTCCCTGCCCGAACGCACCGTCGCCAGCCCGACTCTCGGGAATGACAATGCGATCACCACTAGTGCCAGTGCCAGGTCGCCCAAAGAGCGTATTTTGAAGAGCATATTCAAGCGGGAAAGCAAGGATACGCTGGCAAGCGATAACACATCCTCATCAATCATTCCTCTGCATTCTTCTCTTGCGGGAGCACAACAACCACACCAAGAACAACAACAGCCGCACCAGCAACAATCATCACCGGTCCCTGGCAGGCGCCCGCTCCTGGTCTCGGACGGGTCCTCATCGTCGACTCTTACCGCCTCGGTCTCAACGTCTGCACTGCCAAGGTCGATTCTCAAACAAAACCGTGGACCTGTACCAGCAACAGCACCGGCAGCACACCCCGTACTCAACGGCACACCACCCTCAGCAGCACAGCAACAGTACCAGCAGCAACCTCTGCAGCCAAATGCAGTCCACAACAACAATCATATCCTCAGCAACGGCCTTGTCCCCTCTACAGCCGCACTAGCAGCTATTAATCCGATTCGTCCTGCGTCCCCGTTCGCATTTGGTTCGTCGACTACAGCGTCGTCCGACGGTTTCGACAACACCAACACTCTGGATTCTACACATCGCTCGTCTAGAAACTCGAGTTCAGGGATGGATCCGAACTATGCTGTGACACAGACGGATCTGACACTGGAGGGATTGGCGCAGCGGTGGTACGCATACCAGGCCCTGATGAAGAAGAGCTATGCTGAGGATCCGTTTTATAAGCGCTGGACGAAATCAAAGTGGATCCTGCTCCTCTCGACGATCATGCTACTCGGATACTCGTGCGCGGTCTTTGCGGTCGCCATTGGATATATGACGCACAGTATGTTCTGCATATGGATCGTCCTGGGATCTCCTGCCTTATGCAGATATCTAGCAAACTAACCTGTCGACGCGTCTGTCTCTGCTTCTTGCCTCCATTAGAATTCGATCTGTCAGTTGTGGTGATGGAATTCCACAGCAACCTTATCTACCGTATGTTGTTTCTGCCCTTTGTTTGGCCCTGTTTGGCATAGGTTGAGCTTTGGCAGAGACCACGAGGGGGATCTCACAGCATATTTTTATTTTTATTTTTAAACGCCATATTAGTCTCGCTCGCGGGAGGCCTTTTGGGCGTTATCAGCGCGCTCATAGGGCTTGTTGGGATTTTCCGTGAGAACAGGCTATGGCTTTCGATCTACGCGCTTCTGTTGTGGCCCGTGTTCGCGTTGTACGTCTCCGTTGGGTACATTGCCTTCCGACGATCCAAGAACCACCTTCGTGCGCGTATTAAGGACGAGTGGATCCATTCGTATACGCGCGAGCAGCGTCTTGTTGTCCAGCGTCAGGTATGTTTTTTTTTTTTTTTGGCCTTTTTGGCCTTTTTGGGTTTCGTTCTTTGCCCTAGGAAAAAACCCCCTCTTTCACGTTCGTTCGATCGACTGATCATTAGCAACTCTTGTTTCTTCCTATCCTTTCTTCTCTTTCATTTCCCTAAAAACATACACACACACACACACAGTTGAAGTGCTGTGGGTACCAGGATCCAAATTGGTACGGTGCCTACGACCTGCGATGCTTCCCGCTGACGAATCTGCCGGGTTGTCATCACAAGTATAGCGTGTATGAGGAGAAACTGCTGTCGACGTGCACCACGGCCGCGTTCTCGCTCGTGCCTTTCCAGCTGTTGGTGATGGTCGCAGCTCTGTTATGCTCGAATCATGTCGATGGCATGTTGCGGTCCGGAAGGCCGGGTTTGAAGAGCTTTAAGGAGGAGAAGGAGAATTAAGGTCAAAGCCAGCTTTTTTTTTTCCTTTTCCTTTTCCTTCTCTCTCTCCCCCTCTCTCTCTCTCTCTTGAGCTGGCGAGCGTTTTGCGGTTGAAGAAAAGCCATAGAAACAGCTTTTTTAACATGACTCTTCACATTCACTCATATGACAATAACGTACTAATAAACCAATAAGACTAGATGTCATCTAGATGCGACATTACAATGGCACCATAGTTCTTTCTCACTAATGTCTTTTATACACGAGCGCTGTTCAATGAAGATAGTTTTTCTAAAAGTGGGCAAAGTCCAAGATGATGCGTAAAATGTGATGGGGTATATGTAAAAAAAAATAAAAAGGTCTAGAAAATATCCAGTGAATCCCCCCCTTCCAGTCCAAGAGAGGCAACGGGAACTGCAATACAGGTAATCCTCATCTAGCTTGATCCGCGTCCCTCCTTTTTTTTTTCTTTTTTTTTACTTGCGAACGTTAGGGGTCCAGTAAACGACCTCATCTTTGAGGAAGTGGGAAAGGCCGGCGATGAGGGCGGTGCTGCCAAGGACGGTGTAGGCAACAGACTTGAAAGCACGTCTGGACGACGAAGGCGAGGCAGAGGCGGAGGTGGTCATGTTGGTTTCGCGAGTCAGAGGCACTACAGTGGTAAGATTGTTGGACTTAGAAGAGGCGGAGATGGAGCGCCGGGCGGCAGCTGGTCCCATGGCGGCCTTGGACAGAGAACTGCGGATCATGGAGAGCATGGCTGTATGTGCGAGTGAATGAATATGTGCGGGAAAAAAAAAGAGAGGAGTAGCAAGAGCGTTAAAAAAAAGGGCAAAGAGAAACGTAGCTTCGTTGTTTGTTGTTGTTATTATTATTACTGTTGCTTTTTTCTGTCAGCGACCGAGATAAGAGAGAAAAGAAGGGTTGGGAAAAGAACGGCTTTTGGGCAGGGTTGCTGCGCTTGATGAGTTGCAGGCTATTCTGACAGGCTCTGTTTTCTGTTTCTATATTCCATGCGTACATTGCAGCTCTAGTTGTGAGTAGATCGATCGTCGGGGTGTGGAAATGAACAGAGATAACGACGGTCTTTTATTTTTTTTTGTGTGTGTGTGGTCGGTACTAGAAAAGATCCCATAACAGCAATACCTCTTCCTAATTTTCCACGACCTACGATCATGTTAAACAACTGTTGACCTTCAGCAGCTTGGCCCGTTAAGCGACCGAAAGAAGCTCTTGTGCACGAATGTTTCCCATGAGTCCACAGCATGGCAATTCCTATAAATAAATAGACAATAGATGTAACGTACATCGCAGAACGAGTATGTTTTTGCCATGTAAACAGATCCTGTGATTGGGAGGATTAGACAGAAGGACGAATCGACGATCTTCAGGCCCCGCCTTATCTCTTTCTCTCTCCCTTCCTCGTGGCCAGAGGAGTTAGAACGCCGTTTGTGCAACAACAGAAGGGCTTATCGGTCTGCGTTTATTCCAGGGCGGCACGACGGATTATTTTTAGCGATGCTTGTTTGCTCGATTCCTTTCCTCCCCCCCTCCCTCCCCCCCCAAAAAAAAAAAAAGATAAACGCGTCGCGTCGCGTTTTGTCTCAATTAGCACAATAAAATGGAAATTTATGAAAATGACCTTGCATATGTAGAATTTTACATGGCCTCTCCATTACTACATGATGCATCCCGGACATGGTCCCGACCATATTTTATTAATTATCGCTCCTCTATTGACCCGCCTCTTTTATTTCAAACCTCTTAGCCACGTACCAATCGTCAGTCGTACCATGGTCGTGAAGAAAACCTGTTCTCTTTCTCTCTATACCCGCCAGATCATTAATTCCTCAAAAGCACTATGCCCTCTCCACTGCAAACAACTACTATGGCGCGACGGAGATATGAAAAAGAATGGCTGCTGCGCTTGCACGCTACCCTCCACGCTGCCCTTATCCTGAGCCTCATTCATCAATGTTACACAAAATGAAGCATGCGGTGTGAGTGAATGTGTGCAAAGATGGGCAATCATCGCCCCTTTGCAGCGTCTTCTACCTCACTTTCCTCTCTCACACCCTTCACTTCATGCCCAGGATTCGATTGACAAAGAGACAGCGTCCCATCAAGTTTTGCGAGAAACGCATGCTCGAGCTAGAGGAAGAGTTCCAGGAGGACATCTGGGTCTTTTGGGTGGGCACCTTATCCTTCTCTGGTAATGGAATATGGCCGTCTTCTGCTGCAAATGCACCGCTCCTGCTACCTCAGGCAACGGAAACGTATGGCTTCCTCGAAGGTCTTGGTTGAGGAGGTTTCTACTGCATATGACCCCGACCAGTTCAGGGATATCCTGCGGGTCACACAGGAACAACTAGCTATGATTGTCGAGTTGATCAAGGATAGTAGGCACTTCCAGAGCAAGAATCCGACATTGCCGCAGGAACCGGTGGAGAAACAGCTAAAGGTCACTTTATTTCGCTTTGGTACGAAAGGCGTGTCAAGCAAGAAGGTGGCATTCATTTTCGGTATCAGTCAGGGGTCTGTTCATACCTACATCTGGCGGTGTATATATGCACTTGACGGTCTGCTAGCACAGGTCATTGTTTGGCCTGATGAAGCACGAAAGGCCGAGACATCTCGATGGTTCAAGGACAACAGAGGATTTCCGGATACAATTGGAGCTGTTGACGGTGTACCATTTCCACTAGAGCAGGCCCCAACTTACGATCCCGGGTCCTTCGTCACACGGAAGTGCGACTATGCCATAGGCGCCACTGCCGTCTGCGACCATGAGGGGCTTTTTACATTTGTCAGGACTGGCTACATATGTTCGATCCATGACTCTCTCGCGTACAAGAGGTGCTACCTATATACCCACAAGGAGCGTTATTTTCGAGGACGTCAGTACCTGCTAGGGGATGCTGCTTATGCCTTGTCCCTTGCAGCGATTCCGCGATTCAGGAACGCGGTTGGTCGTCAAGGGGAGTTTAACAGATACCATGCCTCTGCGCGAGTGAAGGTTGAGCATGGATTTGGCATGCTGAAGCTAAAGGACCAGTCATTACAACACCTACCGATCAAAATTCTCAACTTGGAGGATAAGGATATGGACAGGGCATCCAGCTGGATCAGGGCATACTTCGTTTTACACAACATCGTTCGCCGGGATGAAATCAAGAGAGGTATGGCGGATACTGAGCCATCCCAGCCTGAGGATGAGGATGAGGACCCGGATGTTGAGCAAAGTGAGGACGACGAGGTAGAGGTGCCGAATAGGAATGAGACACTGAGAGACAGAACACGTTGTCGACTACATAGACGGGCTTGATGGAGGTTTATTTTTATTTTTTAAGCTCTTGATCGAAAATTCCCCACCTCCTTCTTGAAGTCTGCTCGGTCTACTTTGAAGTCTGCTCAGTCTACTTTGAAGTCTGCTAATGCTTGATGATAACGCGCCCACTCTTGCTGAATTCGTGCCCACTCCGTTGAGATCTTTGCTTCGGTCTCTGTCTTGCTCTCCTTTTTTCTAATGCAAATGCTGCCTCACGTTTCTCAAGCGCCTCTTCCCGCCTATTCAACATCTCGGTATGTTTTCTTTCAACAAATTATTTATTCGCCGACCCCTGCCAGCCATATGTAGACGTGTGATTATTCGTCGACCCCTATGCTATTTGCCGCTCCTTACTTCCTTAGTTGCATGCAAAAGTTATATGTCACCCGATCGACTCGTCATACCCCTTCTTGTCTATTGTCGCCCCGTCAACTAGCCATATGGATCCCCTGGCTGCTTGCCACTCATCAACTTTTTATATTGCTCTTTGCCTGTTTGTCACCCGGTGCCATCTAAATGGCATTTTTTTATCTTACAAATGAACAAGAGATTCACCTCACTACATTGACCTCATATTAATCTCCTATATACCAACTAGAGCCAGGATCTTGTGCGCGCGAGGTCTTTTCTTTTTATTTTATTTTTTTGATCCTATTAAAGTTTTTAATATGTCGAGGTCGTCCTCGGCTTTTTACGTTTACAGTCGAATCTGGTTTTTGTGGACAGTTTGCTATCCCACGGCAGGTGATAGCATAGCTGTAAGTCGGCCAGGACAAACAGAGATCACAGTCTTTATAAATTTAAAATAGAAATTTAATTTAATCGGACGGACAGGTCCACCACATTATGACCCATGATTTCAAATTACGTCCTCAGTGTCTTAAAGAGTGTCTTAAAGAGCGTCTTAAAGAGTGGATGCAGGTGCGGGGATAGCCACCGGAGGAGGAAGAGTAGGCGGGGTGGTGGGGCACATGCGCGGCGAGCTGCCTGGGGTGGTCAGTGTGCATGGCCACTTGTTGTCAGCCTTGCCAGATGTAGCCTTGTTCAGCTTAAATTTAGCACTTGTCAGGTCACTGACCATGCGCGCCATGGCCTTGATCTGCCGCTGGAAGGCCAACAGCAGGGTAATCACCGTCAGGATTTCCGATGTGTTTGCTCCGTCCGTCCGCCACACAGCTGGGAAGGCGACACTGCCCTCGCAAGTCAGCTGGAAGAATCGGCCGTGACGGTGCCGAAGACGGTAGAAAGTGATCATGCCTGCCGAGATCTTCATGCCATAGATGGCCAGCCTATGGCGCACATCTGTTCTTGAGTTGCGACGAATGAGGTCGAAGCAGTCCTTCATCATCTTGCCCAGTTTGACGGTATCCGTCATCGCTTTTGTTCCTTGAGGGCCATTCTCGATCTTGGTCGCCTCCATGATCGCCAGCTCATACGACTTGGTGGCACTCTTGACAATGCCGTCCGCCTTGCGACCACACTGCTGCTTGACCAGCGGCGACGTCCGCTGGTCGTTCTTCCGACGGCCCGATGCCTCGCAACAGATCTCGCCCGGTTGGTACTTGATCGCCTCGGGGACGTTGAAGATATCATTCAAGATGCCCCAGTGGTTACCGCCATACCATGCCTCGGACTGCTTCTCCGGAAGCTGGTACTGGTTGCGCTTGTAGATGCTCCGGAGGCGGTCGATCAAACTGTGCACCTCGTCGCAGAACGCTGCGTCGGGAGCCTCTGTGAGGTTCTTTCCCTCTGCCAGCACGCCCGTATATCCAATACTGATCAGACGATTGACTTCAGTCGGCGACTTGTCATACAAGTTGATAAAGGCCTGCTCTGCCTCGGTCAGAAGCCATGCGCGCTCGTTGTCGCCTTCATCGTCGTCCAGGACACGCAGGAGTTCATCTTTGTCCACCTGCTCCTGAACCAGCCCCACCACCATATCGACGTTGTCAATGATGCACGAATGCATCATCGACTCTGCCGTGAGGCTGAGGACAAACGGTCGAACCAGATCGTCGAGCTTCTGACCAGAGGGCAGGGTCCATGACTCGCCTTTAAACCTGTCAAAGACCTGCTCGTACTCATGCCGCATAGTCGCCAACAACTCGAGCTTGAGGCTACCGCTGCTGCTGCCGCTGGTGTTGCTGTTTTTCCTCGTTGAGCGGGTTGGAGTCGATCTGGTGTTGCGTGAAGCTGACGACTGCACACGATTGCTGCTGTCTGCTGGCGTCTCCCTGTGCTCCTCCTCTTCCTCGACGTTGGCTGCCGCCAAGAATGTGTCGACCATCTTCTCGACATCCGCCAGTGCCTCGATCACCATGTACTGTGCCTTGTGCTCTCCATCGAAAAACCGCTTGAGCTTGATCCACGTCTTCTCGATCGTCTTGATCGGTGCCGACGGATACTCCGATCTGATGTATGCAACAAACTCATCCAGGTCCACGCGCGGATCCATGCGCATTTCGACCACATATTCGATCGCCAATCGCTCCACGACAACTGGCCTCTCTCCATAGACGAAGTCGGTCAGCTTGATGGCCAGAGCTGCGGCCTATAGGTGGATAAATACAAGAAAGACGGATATAACAGGCATGAATAACCCCACCTTTCCAAGCATACTGACACGAAACGGAAGAATCGCGGGTGACGACTCAAGCCTTACGTCTTCCTCGTCAACATCATCGACAAGCACGCGCTTGGCAGGGCGCGGTGATTCCTAAAGGCCACAAAGAACAAGTTGGCGAAGAAGGAGGTTGGCAGCGACTGTCAGTTACTCCCATGTTCTCCATAGAGGATGAGGTCGACTGTCTTCCATTATCGTCGAAGAGCATGTTACCTCGGCTGAAGCTGCTTCTTCCGATGCTCCCAGGGTTTCCTCTGATGCCCCAAGGGCTTGCTCCGTCGTCTCCTTGTCGCCCATTGACTCTTCTGATTTCCTCTTCCGCATCCCGATCATCGTCTATCAGTTGGATATGAGATAACCAGCCATGCTTTATCGATTAGCGCTTGTCAGTGAAACACACCAAACAGATCAGACGCGTCTAACATTCGCGACTGTTGGTCAAAAATACTCCCGACCTCAACTTTTCTTGCATCCAGATCAACGACCATGGCAACATCACTGCACAGCTTTGTCACCATTCCGGTCGGACGGGAATACCAACTGTCACCATCGAGGCACTACAACACACAAATGCACCCCCTACGCACCTTCGTCATACAGTGGGTCAATGGTAGGAGGTCCACTCTTCAGGTGGCATGAATCGAGAAGGCGATGGAGGGAACCAATGTTTACTCCATTCTTTTAGCCAGAGATAGAGTCCTCGCCAAAAAGTCGTAACCCCACCCTTAGAGCTCACAAAAAATCGTAACCCTTATATAATGAATCACATATCCCTTGCCCTGAATTCATCCCACATGTGGAATGGATTTTTTAGAGTTTGCATAGGTCTTAGCCGCTACACCTCTTCAAATACAAATCACTGAGTATGACGTCAATCTTTTTTTGTTTGTGGCAAATTTCCACTCCCCCGTCGCATGCTTCATGCCATCCTGTTCACCAACTCCCCTTTCACTTTCACATCAACTCGGCTCTCTTTCACTTTTAACACCACATCCACATCTGCATTTACCCGCTCCTGGTCAGCAACAAGGGCTACTCGCCGATTGAATGACACACTGGACCAGCATTATAAGGTAATGGTGGTGCTCCGTGAGGGGAACAAAGCATGGCGTTGTGCACGGAAATCGAGGATTGAACGTGAGCAGAGTCCTCCGTGGGTCCATGAGAGGCTCATTAGACCTGAGCTCGGGCGCTGGGGCTATGAGCAGTAGTGGGATAACCCGCCTCTCCATATGACCTCTCCATGGTCTTTTGGCCATGTTGGTGCTGGATAATGGGCTGCTGCAATCGAGTTTGCTCCTTGGGTCCATGAGAGGCTTCATAAACTGAGCTCGGGCGCTGGGGTATGTTGCAATAGTGACGCTTCGCATTTGCGTTGACCACCTCTCCATATGACCTCTCCATGGCACTTGTATCATGGTGGTGCTGCATCTCGATTCAGTAATTGCTCTTCGTCAGTCTCGTGGGTCCATGAGGGGCGTTGGCGACAAGAAAGGTGGTGAGAAGTAACAACCCTCCATATGACCTCGTTCGTCCTCGAAATCCACTTCTCGCTGGGATGTGAGCAGGGATCCATATCGCATTTCAGTGAAGAGATCAACTCCTTGGGTCCATGAGAGGCTTCATGAACTGAGCTCGGGCGCTGGAGCATGTTGCAATAGTGGCGCTTCGCATTTGCGTTGACCACCTCTCCATATGACCTCTCCATGGCTAGGGTTCGCCTTGACTCATGGTGGTGCTGTTGATCTTTGAACTGTTTTGCATCCGGTTTGCTCCTTGGGTCCATAAGAGGCTTCATAAACTGAGCTCGGGCGCTGGGGTATGTAGCAGTAGTGGTCTTCGTGGCATTGATCCACCTCTCCATACGACCTCTCCACTTCCTTCTGGTTGTGGCGGTGCTGCAAACTGGAGCCGTCTTTCGGGATGGCTATGGTGAACAGAAGTCTCCGCCCGGCTGCGGTTGTTTTCACCGCTGGGTGACTGGGACCACCATGTAGTTTGGGTTAATAGCATCATGGGAGTTGTGCGGTTGTTGCTTTGAATTTGCTCCGCACTAACCATTACATATTTATTTCAGAGGTATTATTAGTATTACATAAGGACATCTGGATAAGCAGATAACAATTCATTCGACAAGAGTAACTTACGATAACCCATTTCAGCCAACTCATGTGCAAGTCGGTATAGCCGTGTTGTCTTTCTAGACGCACGCGCGCCTACGAGCATTATGAGATTTCGTTCTTCAACGCCGCTCAGTAGACTATTTCCTTATATTCCTTATTATCGGTGGGATCCACGTAATAAACTGACCGTGCCTCGTCGAATCTGATTGCTCCATTGACAGTCCACTTCTTTTTTAAAAGTGGTGGCACTAATAATAATAATAAAGCAAGACCTGTCAGGGATAGGATGTAATGAATCCTTATCCAACTCTTAAAGGATCATTAACTTAATTCTTTGGCTCTCCTCTTCCTCTCAAAATCTGTTCATGATAGAAGCAAAGGTTGAATTTAAAAAAAGTGTTAGAATAGGCTGTCAGACGCCATAGACAATGTAGAAGCTTATTCATTCGAATAAGACACACCTGAAGTGGATGTAGATGGGCCCATGGCTGCATGGTCATCATCACAAAAATGATAAAGAGACGTTAGAATTGACTCATAGATTGGGTGTCGCGACTCAATCAAGTGTATGCTGAAAAGCTTGCATTTATACATTATGTAATACCTTGCGGAGGCCGCTGAATAATGATATGTACTGTCTCCTTGGTTGGCATGTCGGGGAAGATGTCCAAGGTGTTGGCTGTTGGCCAGAGCTTTTCGGCTTTGATTTATTCAGAGTGTCGAGTGTGATGGGTGACTCCTCCTCATCGTCAGCTGAGACTGGGATGGAGACGCGCCAGAGGGTGAGCTCACCTGTTGCGATGTCGTCAAACTTGGGCGTCATTTTGATCTTGATAGCGTCCTTGAGGTCACCAACGGTGTTTGCTGCGGCAATGTCAACAGGAAATGCACCCGATGACGGTTCCCCATCGACCAGACAAAAGAGCTTGAGAGTGGCCATGGTAGTTGAAGCGCGTGCTCTGCTAATGTCGGTAGTCCGTCAGCCAGATTAGTTGATGAAGGAAGCTCATATACAGTTGCCACCAAAAAAGAAAATAAAAAGGAAAGAAAGCTCTCCATTGTTCCCGACCGATCTACTTACCGACGGTGATGATGCCGGGCAGTCTTCCGTGCTTAGATGGCGTGGTTGTATACTAATGACGGTAAGTCCGTGAGAAAGATTAGTTGATGAAGGAAGCTAAAGTATAGTTGCCACCAAAAAAAAAAAAAAAAAAAAAAAAAAAAGGCAATGGAGCCGGGCTATCGAACGTGCAGGCTATTACCAGTATTCCGTGAGCAAGATCAGTTGATGCCAAAAATCACAAAAATCACAAAAATAACATCATTCATGCGCTTTTCGATGCTGAATCGAATAAACTAAGAGTCACTGCCGATAGCCATAATGAAAGTGAAAGCAATCTGGCTTCAAAGTCGGCTGAGTCTATGGAAATCGCATTATTTGGGTATTCTGCAGTCAATATCTCGAGCGGCTGTAGCCATCGACTAGTAGCATGGATGGTTGCGTTGGCAATTTCATCAAGAATATAATCCCCCCCGTAAGATTTTATTCTCACACCCCCCGTGAGATTATCCCTCGTTTTGTCATCTTACAGGGGTGTAAGCGGGTTATTCTCACACCCCGGTAAGAATAATTCGAACTTTTTTTTTTCACGGGGAGGTGAGCGCCATATTCTCACGGGAATAGTCTACAGGGCCTCGTTTTTTTAAAAAAAAAGCACTAGTTTATTGTTCAAGGTCTGTTTCAGCAGAATGGAATTCTTTGGATGGTCGTGACATCTCGATGGTGCTCTTGATGCGTTTGGCTCTTGGATGCCCCTTCGGCTCCACCACAAGTGGGTCTTTAGCGACACCAAGACCTGCTTCGTTGTCAGACGCGTCCTGTAGCTCCATGAGCCCCTGTCTCTGTTTCAGCGAGATTGAGAGGTTGTTGAGCGTTTGTATCGCTTCATCATGAATTGCTGGATCAGCTGTCCCCATGATGGCCAGCTTTCTCGCGATCCCTGTGACATATGCGTACCGCTTCTTCCTCAGTCGCTCCTCCTTCCTTGGCTGCGGTGTCGAGGGCCCTGTAGAGAATAGGGTGTGCACACTCCTCGTACAAGTGCTGGCGGGGTGATCCTCGATCCTGGTGGGGGCGATGTAATGCGGATAGGCGACTAGGAACTCTGAACCAACTTTCGTCTCGAAATCTTCGAGATCCTGCCACTACTTCTTGAACCAGCGCTTGAGAACGAGGCTGATCTTATACTTGCACCTACTGTCCCCTTGCATCACGCAAAAGAAGTGCCTGCACACAATCCCCGTGTTTTACAGCAAGAGGCAGGTGCAAAAATATGAATGACCAACCATAACCACAACGAACTCCTGTTGACTGCGACGGATCTTGTTGCGGATGGAATAGACCGCAATGATTTCGGCTGAGTCCAGTCTTGAGAGTAGTGATGCCAGAGAAGACTCGCGGAGGGCTTTCCCAGTTTGATCGACCTATGCAAATGGATTCTGTGGTGTAGTAAATGAGAATCATTCGGTTGGCTTCGCAAAGTTGATATTAGATCACGGGGAAGAGCACCGCCTCCAGAATAAAAGAATAAACGGTCTGGTTCCTGAACCAGAATCTTCTTTCCAAAAATCGTTTGTATCACACATTACATTCGTCCAGATTGTCCGGGTAACACCGCATCAACGATAGATAATGACTACCACCGTCAGCAACCCACGCAACGAGATACAGTCAACAGGGAATGTCGATACTGATCATTCGCCACCTTTGCACCGTCAATCGCTCTTATTTAGATATTGTACTTGCCCTGCAGCGCTTCCCCGATCACTGATCGTCTCATTGAGCATCCATCATCGGCTTACCCTCGTGAAACGGCATTATAAAGGTACAATCGAGGCCTGATCAGTGAATATTGGCATACAATGACTCCAGAGGGGTGGACTTCATTGTCACGACTCCTCACCTCATCGGATATCACATATGCGAGCTCCTTGCAACTACCCCAGTTATTCCCAAAGGAATATAGTCCTAGCTCGTACCATTTAGCTAAACAGATCCCCATATCTATTTCCTTCTAGTTTATTTTACCTTTGTGTTAATACATTCCGATCTAAAGGAGGATCCTGCACCACGAACCAGTAAGTGACTAAAGCACACCCTTGCCGAAGTCCTATTCGCGCGGTATCTCCTATTGTAAATAGAACTAATGAGAAGTTACAGAACTCGTTATTAGACCCCCTACACCGCATTACCCTGTTGCCTCTTACCACGGTAGGCAGCGAGGCTGCTAGTCAATCAGAGGTATTATTCAGAAGCCGGTTGCTACAAACGACCTTTCGTACAGCGCCATACACGTCGCGCTTGTCCTGTGTATCAAAAAATAATCCAACGGTTACAGCCAAATTGAATGGATCTCTCTAGTTCCTAGTTTTGGAGTGTCAAATATGTGAGTTAAGTCCAGATGCACTTCTCAGTTCATCATGGAAGAAGATTGAAAATGCGAACTGGCGGTGATACCTCCAAATGTTCCTCAATTGCAAAGGCGCTTTGGACAATGCACAAGGTGAATATCAAGAGCTTACTGAGAGCAATTGTTTATGAGTATCTAGTCTATGAGTAAGACGTATCTCAGTACATTCTCCGGATACCCAGTCTGGATAGACCATAGACTATAGCCTTGTATAACGGACTCTGGTGAATATGTGGTATTGCCGATGCTGCTGATGCCTATGACCATTGATTATCCATCGCGATTTAGCAATCTCTCTCTTCTTTTCTTTTTACATAAGACAAACCCTAATCATCCTGACTTAAAGTCTAGCATTGCATGCAAACAGCCTTGCACATTTCGAAAAAGAAAAGAGGACGAGCTCCAAAAGGACAAGCTGCGGATGGGCGTAAACCAATTGGACGAAGAGAGAGAATGACACAACATGGCCGTTGCTCGAGATTGCCTGGCCGTGGGGATATGGTCAAGAAGAGAACTTGTAGACTATGAGGTGAGTTATATAAGTTATATATTCTATGCAAGGTGAAGGACATGGTGAAATGCACTCTTTCTCGCAACTTTTTTCTCTGTGCACACTCTAACACTCTACAACCAACATCACCGTTGCAAATTACCTTCCTCGCGAGCATTCCACTACACGCTACGCTAACTACAATGACCAAGGCACAGAGAAACGAGTTTACATTCTACAACTGTGTTCAGGGACTGCTGGACAAGAAAGCGGCGGTCCAGACACAGGAGCGTCGCATTGACAGGGTCTCCCGGTCAGGGACAAGGACAGGCCTGCGTCATTGACTAAGTCAGAAAAAAACTACTTGCTTCGGCTGCACTCAACTGTGCCAGTTCAGGTGAAAAACATCCTTTTAAATGTGTTTGTCCAATTTGAAAGGCGCGAGGATAGAAGCATGGCTTTCATCTGCGTCTGCAGAAAGCCATTCCTGACAAGGCGTAGGCTGAGCAAGCATTACAAACGGGTCTGCACCCATTCCAACATCCCGACTAATGTTCCAGGGCTTCAACTTATTGACAGCACTCAAGTTCTCCCTGATGATTTGGAGGTCGTCAATGCCTCAGGTACATCTGATGACGAAGTTAATGATGAGAACGACAAAGGCGATGAGGCGTTTAGCGGCAGCAATGCACTCATATTCAACAATAACGACATTTCGGCTACAATGACATTTAATTCAGGAAGAGTGGCTGGTGCAACTATCCGAGAGTTCATGCGGGACTTGGGCATTGCAAATGCTCAACAGCAACATGCACAGCGCATGCAAATCATGGCGCTTCAAGAGTAACAGCGCACGCTGATCACGGCCATGGAGCAACGGATCCTGAGCTCTATTGCTCAGATTGCAGCAGGTCAAGGGCAGGGGCAAGCTGTGCAAGCTGCTCCTGCTTCTGCTTCTGCTTCTGACACCGGACCTTCCAGTCCGGTTTCTACAAGTAGAAAGAGAACACGCTCTGACGCCCCTCACTTTGGAACATTCAGGCCCCCTAGTTATATGTCTCCAACTGAAAAAAAGTAAAATAAAAATGGCAGTTTGATGGAGCGAGTGTAGATCGGTATAAAAATTAGGCAGATGTAGAGACGGGAAAGCGCATGGTCTCGCCTTGCTTATCATTTTCCACAATAGTGAAAGCTAGGTAACTCCCTACGCGTCGGGATGCTTGCAATCGATTGGAGTATCTGAGGTGTCGGAGGATCTAGGGTGAAAAGGGGCGAATGCTGCTATCTAGTTCTATGCGTAGACAGGGGTTATACTAGTTGCATCGGTGTCAACAGTACACTGAGATATTGTAGAAACTGGGCGAAGCACTGATGACATCATAGCATACTAAATCTAGCAAAGATCCACGATAGTGATTTTGAGCCGTAAAGTACTACTCCAATATGATCACAAACGACTGTCTATTTTCTATTTTCCATGGCACCTCGTCATTCAGCTTCAGAGTGGAATCTGGCACAGTCCAGCCTCTTATTGGACTGGACAAAGGGGTAGATTATCCAGCGACGAGGAAACTGATATGTGAATCTACATGTAGATCTAGTATGACACCCCGTTATCACCGCACTACTGGTAATCAGCAATTTAGTGCATCGCCCAGGTATGCCAAGAGTGTAACACACCTGATATCAGAGAACGGAGCTGAACTACAGCCTATATCAAGGAAGCGATGGCTACTGAAATATATGGTGGTTTTTGAAGTCAGTGAGAAAGAGATGTGTCTCCAAACACATATCTACACGATATTTATTAATCAACTCTAGATTAAGTTTCAGAGGTGATAGATTTACATAGTAATATAGTACACTGGACTCAGCTGAATATGCAGCAGCTACAAGATCCGGATCCTTAAACGAATTGAGGTGATGGGACTAGATGTGTGATAGGAGCAAGAGCAATCTATTAACAATTACGTATTGGGTACGGTGGCGCGTGGTCGGGGCAGAAGGAAAAAAGTGCGGGCTGGTATAGAGAGAGAGGTGTACAAAAGTGCGCACTGGTAGAGAGAAAGATGTACTACTCTTGACACACCTGGGCAACGCACTAAATTGCAGTGCGGGTGTCAGGTGCTTAAGCACTAAAGCCTCTTTTATATGCCCTTGAGATTATCTACGGGGGGTGTGAGAATAAAATTTTACTTTGTGCTTTGGATAATCTCACAGGGGGTGTAAGAATAAAATCTTACGGGAGGGCGAGATTATATTCTTCCAATCAGTTACATTGTGGAGTCCTTTAAGAGACTAATGACGATCTAGTTTAAAGAGCCGGGGCCAGGTACCGTAAGGACTACTGGCGTAATCGACATTTAAAAAATGTTGGCCTTACATGGAGTTAGTATAGGGGTTGCCAAATAGCAGTGTCAACCCGGGTTGTCAAATAGATTGTCCCTTTTTTAAATGTCGATTACGCCAGTAGTCCTTACGGTACCTGGCCCCGGCTCTTTAAACTAGATCGTCATTAGTCTCTTAAAGGACTCCACAATGTAACTGATTTTCCATTTCGTCATCACTGAATCCGTCATCGATAAAATCCTGTTTTCCGTCATGAAGAAGGCTTCTCCCAAGGTCGCAAAAGGTTGCATGGGGTGCCAGGTGGAGGAAGGAATGGTTCTCAACCTCTCGCCGCGTTGTTTCGACTTGAAATTCGCAAAAGATACGAGTCTTGTTTTACATGGGATTCGTGCAGGGGTTGCCAAATAAGAGTAACAACCCGGGTTGTCATTATTGATTATTCCACAGATAAAAAATCGCAAAACAGAACTAGTGTTCCTGGACGGGTTCGAACCGCCGATCTTCACTTAGTAAGAGTGACGCGCTAACCACTACGCTACAAGAACTTAAAATGCATGGTTATTAAGCCTTCATATACCGTAAATTCTCTAAGTGCACGACCTTTAATTGCAAGGTAGCAGACAAGCTTGCGTTCTTTAAATGCAAGGTCAAGGCTACCCTGGCCCGACACAGGGCGGGCGAGCCTGTGTGGTACAGTAGTATCACGCGAAGCTTCCAGAGAACAGTGCTGTGGATCCTAGTTTCGGATCCAGCTTGGTGCGGTTGTTTTTCGGCACGGGGGGCCGTGTATAAATTACCTTTCGGATCGCGGGCAGCAGGGGATTGGCTCCCTCCTGAGAGAATGTTCTATTCTGCTCAGGTTCGTACACCACCGTGGGCTACGAGGAGATTTTTCAGAACAATCACTCGGATTTGCCAGAGCCGTTCTCCAGCACTAAGGTTACGGGGGGGACTATTGAGAGAGGAGACTAAATAATTTACTTCAGAAATCACTCGAGGGCCGCAGTAACATCGTAAGGAAGCCGTACATATATGCCGGATCGAAACATAAGTTGAATATTTGCCGAATCAAGTCACACAGGAGAGAGCCAGTCCAAAGGATCAAGATATCAAGTTAGCAGGAACAGGACGACCGAGGCAGGCTTGCGGGAAAATACGCGGGATTTATATGGCGCCTCCTACCATTGTTCGGGACAAACAGGAACATCCTGACCAGCGAGAAATAGTAACCCCCATAAAATAACCAATAAACCCTGGCAAAGATTGTCCATAAAAAAAAAAAAAAAAAAAAAAAAAACCAACGTAGTGTTGGTGATTTCTCTGATTTGAAAGGGAGACGGTTACTTGCAGCGAAGATCCAGGAAGGTAGACGGACCGCAAATCATAAGGTGCTGCAACATTGTTTGGGGCGAGGGAAGTTGGACATAATGGAGGGTTTATTCGGTTCAAATACAACTTTATTAACATTGGGTCTGGATTAGGAGACGTGTACCGCGCAACAGGTCACGTAGGAGTTAGGTTAGACTAGCTATGCGACATGGGTTATGAATTTGACGCCTCAAGCCAACATAGTTGGTAGGGGATGCGGCTCTGCCGTGCATGGAAGGCATCTATGGCTTCAAGGCCTTTGCGGACCATGCGTCTCGTGCTCATGAGGATTTATGTTAATAAAAAAAAAAAAAGTCCATTGTCCTAATTCACCGTGGCAGCCTTGTATTCCGTCGTCAATGGTGTCGACACCTTTCGACGCACGGACGAACGTTCTCACTCTTTGACGTGTTCAAGCCAGCTTTGCATAGTCTCCACGGTAGACCTGTATCCCCCTTCCGTCGACTGCATACATCGCTGTTTTTCATGAAGGATTCGACATTTATCAAGATTTTTTTTTCTTTTTAATTAAACTTTCGAGCAAGAATAGATCTTTTTTTTTTGAAGATTGGGGTCATACGAGTAAACTATTCTCCATTCAAAGATTAACATAGTTATCACCACGAACAAGGATGTTTTAAATATTATGAAATGAAAGAAGGATATATGATGTGGGTCTCTTGAGAGGGAGGGGGAAGAAGGCATGAAATGAGATGTGTGGAGGCATGAAGGAAAAAATCAAGGAAATAAGGGGAATACGTCAGTATCTGTGGATTTTATGTTGATCCCCCTCTTTTTTTTTTTTTTTTTTTTACCTGGACCCAATGCCCGTTTCCTTGGACCCGAATCTGTAGATCTGTAGAGTTATACAACGTCAAAAATGTGTATGTGTGTGTGGATGTATGGACCTGGGATTGTGAAGGAATTTTTTTTTTTTTTTTTTTTTTATTAACATAAATCCCCATGAGCACAAGACGCATGGTCCGCAAAGGCCTTGAAGCCATAGATGCCTTCCATGCACGGCAGAGCCGCATCCCCTACCAACTATGTTGGCTTGAGGCGTCAAATTCATAACCCATGTCGCATAGCTAGCCTAACCTAACTCCTGCGTGACCTGTTGCGCGATACACGTCTCCTAATCCAGATCCAATGTTAATAAAGTTGTTTTTAAACCGAATAACCCCTCCATTATGTCCAACTTCCCTCGCCCCAAGCAATGCTGTAGCACCCTATAATCCGCGGCCCGTCTACCTTCCTGGATCTCCGTTGCAAGTAACCGTCTCCCTTTCAAATCAGAGAAATCACCAACACTACGTTGGTGTCCCCGATCACCGTTGCGTCCTCCGGCGCGTTTGCTCATGAAGGTGATTCCAACTGACTTTTCCCAGGCGACAGTGTCCTCGCATTGTTTGTTCCATATCTTGGTCCTGCCAAACTCTTCGATCCTGCTCACGAACTTTGTCACCATGATCGTCGCAATCCACTTGGTGGTGGTAAATAGCTGCTTCCAGGTCTCAATGAGTCCCGTTGGCACCAAACCTCGGTATAAGTCCTTGACCTCCCAATCTGCCTCACTCTCCGTGGGATTGTGAAGGAATGTTTGCGACGATATTGATATCTTTTTTATTTTTGGCCTATATATCTTTGGCGTATAGCGTTCCTTAAGGGACAGCGCTCAGTTTTTTTTTTTTTTTTAAAAAAAACGCGTTAAACTGTGAATTTTGCGCATGAGCCAAGCAGAAGGTAGGTTAATTGATTAGTAGGTAGACTAGCAACAACATCATGCCTGCAGATGACCATAGTGTTCCTTGGAGCATGTATCAGAAGCGAAAGCTTCAACAGACTAGGCGTTTTTTTTTAATTGTTTATTTATCGAAAGATGATGAAAATGTGTATATAGAAAGCAACTCGCGGGACCTCGACCAGCAAGAACGCGAACCGGTGAAACTGTGGAAGTAACTCCAGGGGAAGAAGGTAGTAAAAGAAAAAAAAAAGGAAAGAAAATGGGGGGCGAGCTAGCTATTACTCTGTGCTAGAGGTCAAGCCATTCTATGCTTCTTTTCTACCCTTCCCCCTCCCTTCTAAACTTCATATCCTAAATCTTCAATGAGTGGAGTAGAGAGAGAGAAAGAAAAGCACTCTTTTTTTACTTCTTGGACTTTGGTCCGATGCGGACATCCTATTGTACGATTAAAAATAATGAAGAGGGACAATTAGCAAAACTGTTATGCGAGCAGCAGCATGGTATTTTTCTCGAGACGAAGTGAAGGTTGTTCAAGATCTTGGTAAATAATACTTACAGCGCAGCTGGTGTACCACTCGTTAACGTTGGCATTGAGCAACCATCTCCACTGGAGCAGGTAGACACCGGAGGCACGGACGGGAACCTTGAAGCAACCACCGCAGGCACGCTGGTCCTGGTTAGGGAACTTGGAGTTGCAGTTCTTGTAGTTCAATTTAGCAATGTTGTTGGCGGTGAGTTCCTTCTGGGAGATGTCCTTGCCGTCGCGGACCTTGGACAGGTTGATGAAAACAGGGTGGTTCTCCTCGTCCTTCGTGGCGTGGTTCTTGGCAGGCCAGCGGACACAGAGGGTGTCACCGACAGTGGTAGTGGTCATGCGACCATACTTGCCACCGTAGGCCTTCTCAACAGGGCTGGCACGGGTCTCGTCCGAACCACGCTCCTCACCATGCTTGCGATCCGAGCAAGGATAGGAGTTGGGGTTCTTTTTGGGCTGGCGGTAGTGGCGGTTGGGCGAGGCCGAGTCCAGGGAGGCGAACTTCTTGCCGAGAGGGAAGCGGCGGGCGTAACCCTGACACTTGCCTCCCTTGTCGGACCAGTCCTGGGTCTTGGCGTTGTTGAACTTCCAGTCAACGCAGTCCATCCAGGAGTGAGCCTCAGCCTGGGGGGTGTAGGTGGAGAAGACAGCCAGAGAGGCGACGACAAGGGCCGTGAAGGAGGTCTTGAAAAGCATGGTTGGTTTCTGTACGGGGTGATGCAGATGAGAGAGGTGGGTGAGGGCCTCGTTATATAAGGAGGAGAGTAGTTAAGGTTGAAGACGTAGGTGGGGTCTGAGGGTAGTTCAGGGGAATTGGGATGTGAGCTATGGCTATAGCGTGGAGGTAGTAGGGGCAGATGCTGAGGGAAGGGGGATTGACATAGAACACCAAGGCACCGAGGGACCCCCGGTATTTATATGCCGACGAGAGGTGATGGAGGCAACGTTGAAACATTCCTTGTTCCTGAATGGAACCAATTTGCCTTGGGCCACACAATTCTCGGTATGCGTCGCACAAAGAGGCTCGTCGTCCCCTGGACAAGCACTCCAAAACTATCAAAAAGGCGCGGTTGAAACATTAGTGTATTATCTTTATTATCTTTCCTGCTCGTCGGGTTACGGTAATCAACTGGGAAGAGGCATTGTGTATTGAGTCCGCGGTGTGCGTCGATTGTCTGTCAATAAGGTTTGTCAGTTCGTATTCAATCCAGGGGAAGCCCAATTAACTGTATTTACTGACTCTATGAGGTTCCTCGAAGACCGAGAAAGATCACACTCCTCGTGCCTAAAACGACCATGCGCCTCAACCCTCGCCCATTCTTGTGCAACGAGGTATTGCACCTATCATACTCTACACTGCTGTAGACCATGCCCAGAAGAATGATCGGCATGTTTGTTGTATCTAGCAGGTCTGCGTTTGTGCCCCATGTATTTTTTATTTGTTTTTATTTGTTACGCTTACCGCCTACCACCCACCCAGACCTAATGATCTCCATCTCTTCATCAGGTTTCTTTAAGTTTTCCCGGGCATTGAAAAATTGGAATGACGAGGGAAAAGGGGTGAGAGGAGGAGCGCTTCCTGTCTCACAGTTTTCCCCGGTATTCGTCGAGTCGCTATGTTAGTTTTCTAGGCAACACCATGCGACGGGGCTCTAACGCTCTCTCTCTCTCTCTTTCGGCCACTTTTTTTTTTCCCTTGTCCTCCTTGTCTCTGTATGTGCGCGCGTTTGCTTATGAAACGAAGAAAAAAATATGCGTGAGCCGTGAGCCCTACGCATGGTCACCTAGCCATTCTCCGAGGGTACTTGTACATGGCAGTAGAGGGGAAAGTGGAGGTTCAAGTAAGGGCTTTTTTTTCAGGACCCGGAAAAAATTGCAAAAATTAATTGCAGTGGCGACTAGTGCAAACCTACTTCACAGCAGCAGGTTCAAGGTTCGGTTGGTTGAAAGAATGGAAACACAAGAAAGATTAAAGTGGAAAGAGAGAGAGAAGGCAGTGTGGAGGGATAGATCCATGTGCGTGTGTGTGTTACCAGGCAAATTGCATCGAAATTGATGGGCAAAACAATCGACAACCTGCGGTATAAACAAATCAGCATTCAATCCCAGGAAATAACAATTGTTTGCTGCTGTCTGTATTCTCCCGTGCCTACTCGACGGAATCGAGCGAGCTTAGAGGCATGCACATGTAGCTGTATACGCACATGTAGACTGGGAGTTGTGGTTCCCAGTCCAGGATGCTGTATATACATGTACAGTTGACACACGCACATACACATGGACTATAGACTATACGGACAAACTGTCTTGACATGGTGCAGATTCAAGATTGAGATTGAAATTGAAAAATGAGACGACGTTCGAGACGTGCGCGCCCATGGAGAGGAGCGGACTTGTCCATGGGTATTGGGTTTAGAAACATGATATTCCATGTCTCGACACAGCCCTACATGTACGTATTATTGCATCACATGCGGCTGCTCCGATTTCTTGAATTCCCTCTCTCTTTCTTTCCATTCCGCAAATTAATTTTAAAAGATGAAACATGCCTGGGTTATTGAAACGAAAACTCTGGACAGGAGGTCTTTATCTAATCTAAGCCCGATATGGACGCCATCCTTGGTTCCACAGCACTAGTCGTCGCCCTTGTCTCCGCCAATTTGGATATCCTATGTGAAAAAAAACCAAAAACCAAAAACCAAAAACCAAAAACCAAAAACCAACAGCCGCAAAATGTCAGTCGTAGTTCAGTACGTGTACGTAAGCCTGCACGCGTCGTTTCCTAGCAAAAAAAAAAAACCAAAACCAAAACCAAAACCAAACTTACGGCACAACTTGTATACCACTCGCCCGGGTTCAAGGCCCATCGCCACTGGAGCAGATACCGGCCCGATGCCCGAACAGGAACCTCGAAGCAACCCCCACAAGGCCGCTTATCTGTAGACGAGGCCCGCCCACAGTTCTTGTACGGCAATACCGCAATTGTGTTCCTCAACAGCTCTTGCTGCGTAGGGTCCTGCCCATCCTTGTTTTTGGACAGGTTGATCTGAACCATTGTATTGTCCTCATTGCTTTCAGCATGGTTCTTGGCCGGCCAACGAACGCACAGCCTATCTCCGACCCGAGTATGTGTCATCGGTCCCCAATCACCCCCGTAACCATCCTCAGGTGGGTTCGCCAAGGTCTCGTCGGCCCCGACATCTTTACCATGACGGCCATCGGCACAAGGAGGTGCTGTGTCTGGGTTCGCGTGATCCTGTTGGTAATGCCGCGAAGGGTCATCCGAATCCAGGGTTCCAAAGGCATGGCCCATGGGGAAGCGGCGACAGTAACCCTGGCAGACGCCATCATTATCGCCCCAGCCGGGATTACTGGGGTTGTTGAACTTCCAGTCGACGCAGTCGGCCCATGAGTGGGCTTTGGTGACAGCTGTCAAATGACTGAGAAGGGTAAGGGTGGAGAGGATAACGACCGCAACGGTCGACGATTGTGCGTGCATGATGGAGCGTAGGGATCGTGCCTTTGAATATGTGTTCTTGCTAGATGACGGAGATGAGTCGAGAAAACGAGCGATGAAGGAACAGATGCTGACATATATACCTTTTTTTTCAGCTGCAGAAAACGAGGGTGAAGAAAAAACAAGGAGCAGGTCAAAGAGGGGGCATAGAGGCTGTTACTAGCATAAAGACGGTAGCCTAACAGCCGGATCCCAAGGAATGGAAACATGTATGAAAGCAAGGATCGTTGATTTACCAATAGACATTTTCAAGGAGCTTTAAGAATCCCTCTGATGCGATAAATGAAATATAATGAAAGGAGGTCTAAAGAGCTGCAGAGAGATGCCTTTCGTCTCCTTCAAAGGGTGCTACATTTTAGTCAGTTCTAAGGAGGGTGTAAGGTGCGGCAAGGATCTACGGGTCATGGCGTGAGAATGGGATCGTGAGCAGGCCTGTACTATTAAACGGAGTGAACATCCAAGCACGGGTAGAGCCGACTTGTGCCCACGGTAAATTATACAAGCGATCCTGCTCCAAAGAAAGCGTTGAGCTGAGCATCAGAACAGTTGAAAGGGAGACAAACCTATCCTGGCGTCTACCATTTTTGAATATCGATTTTATTTTAAAGTCTACAGTGGGTCTTTTTTTATGATGAAATAAATACAGGTGGAGAGGCAATCCGATTTAAAGAGCCAAAAAGCCCAATACTGTCGTCAAAGCGACCATTCCGATGGACACGGCGCCCACACCGCTCATTGCAGAGGCGGCCCCGTTTCCAGAAGTTGATCCTGATTTATGTTGCGTGGGCAACTTGCCGTCCCATTGAACGCCGTTCACCGAAGCCAGGGTTTGGAAGACAGTGCCATTATCGTAAAAGTCGACAGCTAGGAAGTTGGGCATCTGGTTAAAGGTTGTCTTGCAGTCGTTGACGTGGCTGACCAAGTCAGCTCCGTTGGTTTGGCTAGCAAGTCCTGGCTGTGGGATGCTAATTTGCTGACCGTCCACAGTGAGGTTTCCAGAGATGAAGTGATTCAGGACATACATCTAGATCGGTCGCAAAGAGACCAAAGAAAAAAGGTCAGGGATATGGAGCTATGCAGATAGACAGACATAAAAGTGGGACAATCTTGGACACATCTCATACCGGCTTCCGCTGATCCTTAGGACGGTCGACAGTGCATGGGTAAGCGGCGCCCTTGGAAATCTGCCATGGGGTCTCAAAGACAAAGTCGTACTCTGCCATCAGCCTACGGCAAAAGAAAAAGCAGTGCGATGTAACGGTGTTAATTTGTTACACTGCGCTTATGTACTCTTGCTCCCTGTCCTGTTTCGTATTTCATGCAATTTAAATATCCGTGCAATTAAAATCAAGGATAAACGTTAAACCATACCATGGCACACTGGCATCAGCTCCAGAGTCCACAAAGTTGACAAGGCGTTTGCCGCTCGAGATCATGGTCGCTAATGTAGGCCATGCTGCTGCGCTCTCTTGCTGTGTGTAAAGGTAATTACTCATTCCGGCTGCTTGATAAACCGTCTAGAGCCATTGAAGGATAATGGAGCGAGAGAGAGAGAGAGAGAGAGAGAGAGAGAGAGTAAGAGACTGAATTGAGGCGACTAGCGCCCGCAGTTAATGGGCGGTGCCAAGTGCATCATGAAGGCTGTTCGGTGTTACCTGAAAGTGTGCAGGCGTCAAGTTGCCAGCATTTTCCCAGAAGATAGTGATAACCTGTTCAATAAAAGGAAAGAAAATCTAGTGAGCTGCGCTGCCCCAGGGATGTTGATTTTCCGTTGGCGGTGCAAAGAGGCAGAGCAAAAAATAGCCAACCTCGTTAGGATTAGCATCCATGAATGTCTTGATCTGCCCGAGGGTCTTGGAAAGTGTACCTGCGTCGAGCAAGTTACCTATGATTGAGGACAAAGAGTACGATGGACTGTCAGCGAGAATGGTTTTTTGTCCTGGAGTTGGCTGCAGCAGAAAGTGTTCTTTATGTGGATGCGTACAGGAAGTATGGCAGAGCTCGATATCGTTTGCGTTGTTGCTTGGGGTGTCGTAGGCATCGAGCATGAGTGCCCTGACGCCGTCATTCAATTGCGTTGGAATGTCGTTGTTCTGGTTGAGTGCTAGTGCACCGGCAGGGGTGTAGGCGTATGCGTTGTGGGTGGTAGCGTATGCGACCTGCTCGTATGTCTTTGCACACAAATCCGCGTAGCCATTGCACAGCTGCTGGGCCTCTGAGTGGAGGACTAAGGACGAGGAGAGGACGGCAATGGCCGCGGAGAGGATCAATGAGGATCGCATAGTGTATATCTAGTAGTGGGATATGTATAGGGTATGGGGGAGGAGGGAGGGGGAGGAATGAGGTTGCGAATGAATGAGAGAGAAGAGGGAAGGGATGCAGCGCCGGGTGCGGATTAAAATATGTAAACCAAGCCCAGCCCAGAGGAACCCTGAATATGTCATGTCAATGACAGGCTGTTCCCCCTTTCCACAAAAATAAACAGCGAAAATAGGCCCACTCAGTCTAGCCTGAAGTTTAGCCGCCATATCGCTCTTGCAGGGTAACTCGTCATGGCTGTTGCCTCACTTCTATCGCGTCAATATGGACGCCCTGTCAGGGCGCCTGATAAAAAAACACAGCCATCTTCCTCAGGGCTTTTTTTGTCTACAAACAATGGCTAATTGCGTCCCTGCCTTTGGCATGCTTCTCCATTAAGACTGCTATCAGATAGAGCATTTATTTTGGTATCCCGGGAAATAACATGCTTTGCTGCTTCGTATCAAACCACTCATATGGTTCGCACACTATCAACTGCTCGATTGCACGGCTGCGTTTCGAAACTTAAGCGAACAATGATGTCGTTGAGCAACGGGTTGTTGTTCATGGTAACCATAGTGTAGCACCGTTGTTAACTGAGGTCCCGTATGGTCGTCACTGTTGAAGGTTGTTTGTGTTCAAGGAACGGGCCTAGACGAGCTGGGTGTAGACAGTTGTGAGAGAAATATGTTACCCAAAAATGATGTTGTAATCTACCCCACATTCCAGTTCAAACCCGCCTCCTTTGGGGTTACGTGTGTGGCCATTGCAAGCAATTCGCGACAAAAGAAACCAATACGTATGGGAACGGTTACAGTCGCAAGAGTAAAACCCGGGCTCCCTCCTGAATAGTGCCATGAAATATGTACTGTAATGGCCTGTATGTCCATCAGGACAACTTGCAGTTGGAATAGCCACTTATCGTCCTGTCCTGTCTTGTCCTAATCCCTGGGCTCTGTTGCTAGACAGAAAAAAAAAAAGGCGAGAGCCCAGTTTCGGATTTGGCCAGTGTTTTCTAGTCTACTTCTTGACCGAGCGACAGTGAGCCCCTGCCGAACTGGGACTGAGGAGTTGGTGGGTGCGTGGGTGGTGCCTGGCCTGTGAGTGAGAGACGGAGATATCCAGGCACAGCCGAGCGCTTCACTGGCCAGCTCTAACTCTGTCGAATTTCGATCTGAGACTCCCCCCACAGTGCATTGGCTCCGTTTTGAAAAAGAAAGCCGGAGCACTGGGGTGCCCGCGAGGAATTTTTTCGGGGAAGGAAGTCCTGGCTGGTCCTTGCGGCTCCACGAATGAGAGGTGGTTTTAGTCTGGCTCCTTTGAGATGAGGGCATAATCTATTAGCTAGACCAGTGGATCACTGAGGAACAGATGCAGCAGACACCAGTCAATTGCCAACGGTCGAGGGACAGAATGGATGTGTGTTCTTCAAGCATGTTGTTGATTGCACAAGGTTATGGTTGGGCATTTGAGTCTGTCTTCCTCCTTGTTAGTTGTATCAATTCGGCTCTGCCGTTGTACAATACCGTACCTGGGAGAGTACAAACCGTAAGTGTGAGAGAGACCGAGAGAGAAAGAGACTAACATGAAGCCTAGCCAATGGACTATGTAAAGAAAGCGATATCTTTTGATGGCACACTGTGCACATTGCAGATTGCAGATTGCACAAGAGAAAGCAAGAAAACAGAAAACCCGACAGGCGAGCGAAGAAGGAGGTTGTTTACAGTATGTCGACTACCTTGGTCGCCTACATGTGTACCGTTCAACTCTAACAGCGTCCTGATTCTGATTGGCATCTGCCGTGGGTATTGGTTGGTTAATATTGGGGCTATTACAACACGGCCAATCTAATTGAGAGTGCAGGCGAGAGAGTGAGGGAAGTAAGAATAGAATACACTTCGCCAGGCACAGACAGCGCTCCCTTTTCTTTCTGGGCTTCCCCCTCTTCGTCCTCTTCTTCGTTATCTCTTTCTGCGGATCCCCACTGCCACTGCCCACCTCTCCTCCGCCCCACCCAGCTGCACCTTCCCCTCACTGTGTGCTGCCTCTCATCCTCTCCACGCCTCCCCCTTCCTCCGCCCCACACTCCTCCCCCCTCCTCCCCCCTCCTCCCCTTCTTCCCTCTCTTGTCCTTGATCCCGCCATCTCTGTTCATCTGCATCAGAATCCTCATCTCGGCCCTTTGTCTGTCCTGTGCAGAGGTAATTGTAATAAAACAATAAAAAAAACAGCCAAGGGCGGGAGGGGAGAAAGCACTAGTGTTCACCCTCAACAATGCTGTCTCCTGTATCCGCCCGACAACCCATCCAACAATACCACCTCCTACAGCCCAGTATCCAGATACTCCTGGTCCCCTCGCATTCTTTTTTTTTCTTCCCCTACGCTCCCTGGCTTTTCTTCCTCTTCTTTTGTGCCTCTCATACAACTGCTACAGCCTGCTTGTTGATCCTGACGAACGAGGGTGAACCGAAAAGGTCCCGCATAATTAAAAATACGGAAGGGCAGTAAATAATTAAAAAGAAGACGAGAAGGTGGATGCGCATGGCTTGCTGCCTGTCCCTTACAATGGTTTATCTGTTCTGTCGCCACTGGACAAAGAGAAGGGGGGACCGAGAGCCAGATTCTCTAGCGCCAGCTCCAGGTCGGCATCTGCCGGACTTCGGATCGAATTCGGACTATTGGCCAATACCAATCTCTGTCTGTGTCGCCATCCGGGGGTTCACACGAAAGAAATAATACGCTTGAAACTGACGCCTCGCATTCCATTCTTATTTCTTTTTTGCTATTAGGCGGCATCCTGTGCTCTTTCATCATCCTTTCTTCCTCCTTCTCCCTCGCCACCCCTCCCCCTCAGCTCTAGATCCATCATCCAGGCTTGACACTCCCACCCGGCAGCTCTCCCAATGTCCTCCTCCTCCACTTCCTCGCTCACCCAGCAGCGAAACCTCATGAGCCAACAACTGCACTCTTCGCTCTCTTCACAACACCTCGCTCCCTCCAGTCCCTCATACGCCTCTTATGCCTCCTCCATATCGTCTGCACCTGGCTCACGACCGGCGTCTCCGGCCTCAATGAACGCAGGCACCATCATTAACGTCCCAACACCCCCACAGTCCCCAACATCCTTCCAGCTAAAGACGTTTGCTTCGTCCACGCCCTCCACACCGCCTGTCAGCACCGTGATTAATATTGGAACTCCCGGGAGCCTCACACCTTCCTCCGCCTCATCATCTTACTTTCCACACATCCCTCCACCTCCAAGCCCGACCGTCTCATTATTCTGGCTCCTGTCACAGCCTGTTACCCGCACAGTCATTGCACTAACCATTATCATGTCGCTGGTGGCCTTGGGAGATACGTTCCCGAAGCACTGCACGGCTCCAACACATGTGCTCTTCTCAATGGAATATCTTTCACTCTTGACCTCGCCTTTTGTCGTGCCATTGACACCCTCCCTCCTGGCTGCAGCCCAGGTCGGCCTGGGATCGTCGCTCGTCCTTGCAGTATCCAACATCATGTCGCTGGCGATCTTTGAGGACCACTTGACGAGCGTCTTTAATGGGGACGGATCTAGGATCTTCCGCAACCTGTTCGTGGTCGTGATGTGCTTGGTCATGGCACTGCGCCAGCTGATGGGCTTTGTCTTTTCCCGGGCAACTGGCTGGCATACTCCCGATTTGTTCTTTAGCGATTCCATGTTTGAATGCAACCTCGGTAAGGATCACTATCCGATAGGATGACACTTGACTCGATCTATACCATGGATATCCCTTCTCCTTCAGCAACAACCACAACAACAACAACAACAAAAGAAAAAAAAAAGGATAGTTGAGCAGGAGCAGGGTCACGGCGTGTGGACGGATCTCAGTGCGGGGATTGCGATGAATGCTTGCTGCGAACCCTTTTCAGATTGCAATAGTGGAGAGACATTCCTCTTGCTATTTTTACAACAACACGGACCTCTGCCATGCACTTGGGCAAGCGTGCCATTATCCACATTTGTCCTATTCAAGCCAGCAAAACGTATCTAGATATCCGGACAAAAGAACCCTCGGTGCGAATTGCATCATCGTACAATCATGTGCGGGCAGCACCCAGGAGTGGGGGGTGCCTGATTTAAGGGGGATGGCGATGACCTTTTCTTATTCTTCCATGCACCCTACCGGCTGCTGACTCTCTCGTCTATTTTTACGCGAATAGGTCTCTCGCCGTTTCTGTTTGCCCTGCTGATCGTCCAGTCACTCTTCCCGGCCTCGAGCGAGAAGTCGCCCCTTTTCTGGGACCTGCGTCGCACACACATCCAGCTGGTTCTGTGTCTTATCAACGTCTTCCCAAAGACAATTGTGTGGTGGGCTGGAGCAGGTATCATTGTCGGATTCTTTGCAGCCATTGCAATCTCGATCCAGCGCCGACTGGGTCGCTGGGGCGGAAAGGTTAAGACGTCGGCGTTCGAGAAGGAGATGTGGGAGGACGAGACTTACGAGGCGATGCTAGAGGACGGCGAGGCATTTTCTGACTCGGCCATGGGTGCTGAGGGGGCTTCCTTCAAGGAACTGAAGTCTGGCGCCTCTTTCTGGACCGCGCTGGCATACATTCTCCCCACGCTGCTCTTTGTTACGTTGATCCTCGTGGGCGCCAACCAGGTTCACACCTTCAGACCGGATGTGCAGAACAGCGTTCTCAACAGCAGGATCGACCCCCAGACTCCTTATCTCATGACACTTATCTTGATGACGGCGCCCAGGAAGCGCGGCGTAACATATATCAAGGAAACCCTCACCTCCTATCTCAACAACTTTCCGGACGAGGAAGTAGATCCCCTTTATTCACGAATTCAGATTGTGGTCTACACCCACTTTTCTGATTTCCCTGGCTACGATGACGCCAAGGCATATTTTGACACCATCCCCAAGGCTCGCAAGCACGTCAAGTGGATCAGGGAGGAGGGATCGGAGAAGAATCAGCGCAAACATCTGGTGAGCGCCATCCGCAAGATCGGTACCAGCGAAGATTCGGTCTACTTGGGCGTGATGGAGGACGACTTTCCGTTTTGTAAGGGAGGCTGGCAAGAGATGCTCAACACCATCTACGCGGCCAACGAAAAAGTTCAGGACCACTGTGGGGTCTTTGTCGGCACGGGCGGTAGCGGAATGATCTTCAAGCGGTCTGTTGCTTTGACGGCGTCGTTCATCCTCGAGGGCGATATGCAGGCGCAAGCGAAGGGACTTGTTGCGCCCCCTCCAGATATCACCCTTCAGAAATGCTTGATGGGCGAGCATGAGTATTGCTCGAGCTGTTCCGGAACCATGGTGACGAGCAAAACCTTGCTCCAGAAGCACCTGGGCTACAATTCCTCGACCAGCGGCGATGGCTACGACAAGAACCAATTCCAGTGTGGGTGGAGGCAGCCCTTTGTAAGTGCATTGTCTCTTTCTCTCTTTTGAACTTTCAATGCTGTTAATGTGATGTTCGTTGAACTAACCGGCGAGAATTTTCTTCCTTTGACAATAGAACGGCCTGCCTGATGTACATACCTTCTAATATCCCCATAACATGGCAGTGCCGGCTTTGGATGACATTCACCAACCCCCGCTGCCTCCTTTGGACCCATTGGTCCCAGATCTATATCCCCTTTTTACTTTTTTCTTAACATCTAATCATCGTTGTTTCTATATCATTTTGATGCTGCTTTACCATCATTATTATTATTACTGCTATCCATCCCATTTCTTTGCATAACACCATTAATCTTCAGCTTAACTACCAAACTCATAATTATGGGGGTCGACTTAGACATCTTTTTCCCAGCAATATCCGCTTCCCTTTGAGAGGAGGAAAAAAAAAGGACACTGAACTCGCTACCCAGAGTTGTACAATAGAAAACTATCTTAATAAAACAACCGTATCGTAATACTCTTATTCCACACACGAACGTTCTCCGCCTGTATGTGAAGGTATTTCTGCATGACTTCGCGTCCATGGTTTCCATGGACAAGAATCTCCACGTGAGAAATGTAGTCTACGTCACTTTTTCTTGCATTCCCGTACTTTTTGTTTTTGATAAGTGCAGGAGGGCCTTTACTGACCGACCTTAATCGACCGTTCCCCTCACTAGCCATGTCCTTCGCTCTCCGTTCCCTTCGTGCTCCTCTGGCTCGTGCCCTCCGCCCTGCCCCTGCTCAGGTCTCTCATTTCTCTGTCTGTGCCACTCGTTTCGGTAAGAGAGAGTGAGAGAGTTTGTGTGTGTGTTGAGTCGGGTGTTTGATGTTTCGATGCCCCATGGAAAACATTGGATCAGGACAATACAATGGAGGAATGAAAAGATGAACGCGGATGAAAGCAGTTCAGGAGAGCGATTCAAGAGAGAGAGAGAGAAAGAGAGAGAGTGTGTGTGTGTGAGTGAGTGAGTGAGTGAGTGAGTTCTTTTTTTAAGGACGATAGAATTACAAGCAAAGCAGAAGCAGGCAAGCAATTGGATGCGTGGAAAGGAAAAAAAAGACGCGTTGCAAGGACAGGAAGTTTGTCGGCTTCAAGGACGTGGAATTGCAGGTTCGGAGCACCGGATATGAAAATCGAGGATAGGCTGCGTGGAAGTTGAAAGATGAGCAAGCAATTCGGAAAAGGATACCGAGATTTCGGTGCAGCGCAGCAGCGGCTTTTTTAAGATCGTTAGGATTCTAGGACTCGGAGAGGTCAGAGATGGATCATAGACTTGGTCAGGGGATGTGAAGATCGACCGCGGTCGAGGAGGATTACATGCGCACACCTCCACGGAACAACAGCGCGTTTTGATGTCGATCTAAGATCGTGGACATAACTTTTTACCCAGTGTCCGGGGCGAATTCGACTGGAAGGTGCAAAATTGATCCCGTCACCGCACCAGGGTTTTGAATAACTCGATGATCCTGACCTATATCGGACTCTACATATATTGTTTTTTTCCTAGGTGGTCACCATGAGGTCAAAGTGAACCAGGGTCCCGGTGCAGCCCCTGGTACTATCCCTACTGACTTGGACCAGTCGACTGGTTTGGAGCGTGCTGAACTTCTTGGAAAGATGCAGGGCAAGGATATTTTTGATCTCGCACCCCTCGAGGTCACCGTCCGTGGCACGAAGGCCAGCCCTACGGTCATTCGCTCTCGCGATCCCGTCCGTTATGTCGGATGCGCCGGTATGGTTCTTGCATCTTGCTTTTTTCATTTCTACGATCTGCAGGTGTTTTTTTTGGAGCGATCTCTAGGGATGCAAAGGAGATGATCTGGCAGAGGAAATAGGGTTTCCTTAATATATTTTTTTGCATGCATATTAATGGATATTTTGTGAATAGGTGTTCCTGGCGAGACACACGAGGTCAACTGGCTTGTGATTGACCAGACGCATGAGTTTGACCGCTGCGACCAGTGCGGCAACGTGTATAAATGGTCTGCGTACGAGCCTGATGAGAACTTTCCTGCCGGCGGATCTCACCACCATTAAGAGGAGCTTCGGCCATAATTATCCGACACTCTGACACGGACCAACAACAACAACAACAATAACATTGAGAAGACAGAAAAAAAAAACGCGAAAGATCAGGAGATTGGACAGTAAATGGATCTGGAAGGAAGATACTATCAAGCGCTTGGAACGTTGTTTCTTCTTGGTCTTTTTTGTTTTCCATCGTCACCGGATTTTTATGAAGCAAGGACACGTTGTGTTTGACATATATATTTTTACAAAGGATTACCCTCCCCGCTCCACTATACACATATAACATACATTTCCTTATTTTCTATTACCCTAACTGCAGGATTCAACAAAAAATAAAATAAAGACGCTTCTGAACAAATCATCAAAAAAATAAAAAACTATCTAGTGTATAGTCTATGGAGCTATTGAGAGATATAGGATTGATCCGTTCGCATCTGCTTTTTTGTTTTGATCATCTTGACCTGAACAGAGCAGATCTTCAGCTAGGCTTTTGATGGGCAAAAAAAAAAACACCTCGAGGGCATGGATAAACACAGAACGCACTCGAGGGAGGGAACAAGGGAACAGAAAAGACGAAGTACGAAAGAGGGAACTGAATGTGGCGGTTGGGACAGAGGAGTATGTCCAGCCAATGACATCGGGGGGAAAGGGCACTTGGCATGGTCTTCTGGAGACACTGGGCGAGTTTGCTATATACTCCAGACGGGGCATCAAAAGAAGTGGAGGGGACTCAGAATCGATCTCTGCCGAATCTATCAGCTGTGTTTGTCCGTTGGCCTATGAGATTCGCCCTCAAAGGAACGTGCCCCTGCCGATCGTGTTTCTGATTTTTAGTATTCAATTGTCAGTCAGTCCTTATTGGGCAACCTACACCATCCCCAGCTTGCAGGATGCTGGAAGCGGGTGCCGATGCTGAATGGTGTTTTTCAATAGTACGGTGTTGATGATCGCATCGCAGGAAGGGGTTTATCATAGTCGTTTTTTCTTGTGTTGTGATGGTAGTTTACTCTATCTGAAAAAGCCAAAAAAAAAAGCATCTTTGAACCCAGCATACTCCTATATACACTCTTCCCCACCCCCCTGCCTTTTCCTTTCTCGCTCTTTTTTTTTCTCTTTCTTTCTTCCATTGTCTTACGCTCTCCTTCTCATTCCATCCATCCCTCTTTCTTTCTCATTCCGCCTTTGGCCACATTCCCTCCTCACTCTTCCTTCCTGCCTCTCTCTCATCTGCTGGAATCGTTTCAATTGATATCTGTTTGTTCCCTGCTGACGTTTGTAGGTGTTCCTGAAAGAAATCTGCAGTGCATCCTACCTTGATCGCCTAGTTGTCCATCTGCGCCAATCAGGATATACAATTGACCACGCCACGCCCCATTCCGCTTCCACTCGCTCTTCTCCAGTGGATAACCGGGCTTTGACACCGTGGCTGTGAAGGAACAGAGTCTATAACCCTTACTGCTCCTATCACTCACATTCTTCTTGATTTTATTGTCCATGTGTGTTCCTAGTACTCTATCGCAATCCGCTTGGCTCTCTCTCGCCCTAATTCGATACCTCCTCTCCCATTATTTATACCACATAACTCTCAGTAACCATGTCAGGACACATCCACTCAACGATGATGCCAACCTCATCTAGTCAACCGCTCCTCCAAGCTACCCCGGGCAAGCGTATCGCCTTGCCCGTCCGTGTAGAGCCCAAGGTCTTCTTCGCGAACGAGCGTACGTTCCTGTCCTGGTTGAACTTCACGGTGCTGCTCGGATCGTTGGCGATTGGACTTTTGAACTTTGGAGACCGTGTCGGACGGATTTCTGCGGGCGTATTTACGTTCGTGGCGATGATCGTGATGATCTATGCGCTTGCGACGTTTCATTGGAGGGCAAATCGGATCCGAAAGCGTCTTCCAGGGCCTTATGATGATCGGTTTGGACCGACGGTATTGTGTGTGTTTATCCTCGCGGCGATCTTGATTAATTTTGGACTGAGGTTCAGCGACAATCGGAGCTAGATGGATGGGGAGACGAGGGGAAGGAGGAAAGGAAGGAAAGAGAGAAAAAGAAAGAAGGGGGCAACTTTGATCCGAGTATTGAGTGGGCAGACAGCCTGATAGCACGGACTTGTGGAACTGAGGCACGCTCAGCACAGAGGAATCGGGACATATGGAGGATGGCAAAGGTGCGGTCCTCTTCTCAGCATTCATACACCAGCAAGGCACGAGAATATTATTTTGACATGGAGGAGAAATAAAGGTGGACGTTTTTTTTTTTTTGCATTGATATCGTGGCTCACATCGCTAACAATGGTCTTATGGAGGCTTTGCCAGATACTTGATAGCCGTGTATTCTTGTGGTTGTTTGCAAAAAGTAGCTTTATGAAACGAGCGCACAGCTGTTAATGTTGTTGACTGAGATAGCAGTAGGTGGGCGCTGCCAGAGTGTCTGCGCATAGCAACAATTTGCAATAGCTGGAAAAAAAAAGATACACACTACTTCCTATATGCAGTCCCTATGATACGTTCCTTGGAAGAAATACACATGTCCGATCGCTATCCGTGAGAGAGATAGAGAGGATGAGAACCTATCCAGCAGGAGATAATTTGCCCAATCCTGCAGAATTCGGATGACAGATTCTCTCTGTTCTCTTTTTGCCGGACTTGTAGGATGTTTATTTGGGTGTCCATTTGATCTCTTATTTTGCCCCGCGCGTTCATTTCGCTCTCAGTTTGCTGGTATGGAACTCCTCTTAGACGGTGCATAATCGCGGCCGCCTAGCGATCTCGAAGTATGGGGTCATGGGGTGTATCGTCGGATCTGCCTTTTTTTTTTTTTTTTTTTTTTTTTTTTTTTTCGGTTCAGCCAGGATCACTCATGGGAGGTAGGGAGTAAGTAGAATCAGATCAGATGTCGGTTGCGATAGGATTTGAGGCGGAGATATGGGGTTCAAGAATCAAGGTATTCTTGATCATGAGTTCATCAAACGTCAAGAAGCGGCCTTGACGTCTTCAACATCCCGCAGCTCTGTGATTGATTTCTAACTGCCTCCTGCTGCACCGGCCACAATATTCAATCTGTCCAGATCCATATTTTTGGCACGTCCTCACTGCGCTGACGGCCTCTCGCATGCGTTGCTGATGATGGTGTTACTTGATGGCTACAAATTCGATCCGATGCATGAAGAGCGACGAAGACAGGACGAACAGTCCACCAAAAGGCCGCGTAGATTTTCTCTCAAGAAAATGAGGTCTCCGACACTATGAGGAGAGAGAATTGAAATATTAACTCGGCTTCCTTTGGATAAATGCAGTGGCGATGGTTGATCCCAGTACCAAAGCGTTTCCCCGACCAGAGTGCTTACAATCGTGAGGCGGTTAGAGAGATGAATACGCTGGCAGCAAAGATGGTGAGGATGTCCGAAATTGTGGAACCGTAGTCTGTGCCGGATGTGGTCCTGTGGATCTTCTCGGCGCCCTATATACAGAGGAAGAATGGATCGGTGTTCATATTCCTCAAGAGCAATACATAGAGTCCAAATCCCCATCAGACGCATTAAAACATATGACACATGTCAGATATTCTTGTCCTTGAAGTTTAGATCATCAACACTGACGCTCTACCCTTGGTGTTGAACAAGACCTACATAATGGTACTGAATTCCTCGCTGCCACGGGGAATGAGGTTTGCCCTTCATGATAGTCCTTGCTTCCTACGGGCGCAATTCCTTTGAGATTGCAGACGCATTCCTTTGTTATACAAGAGCAAATCGCTCTACACTCAGGATTCGGTAGCCACGGAACAGCCTAAAAGCCGTCAACAAGCCCGCGCCATCCACTCTCCACATTACCAGCTGTTGAAGGGTACAGAACGTGCTCTTAAAGAGAACATAAATCGCTAAAAATGTCTACAACATACCAATACAACTTACCCGCATAGTATGTTCTTATCATCACGCTTGTGTTCTGTGCTTTTCTTGCTGCCGAGATGGGTTTGGCTGGGCAAACCGACAAGGGTCTACAGGGGATGACTGACGCAGAAGGACTTGACTGAATTCAACTGCAGAAGAAACACTTGAAATACTGCACGAGACAGAGGTCTGAAGCGCTGGACGGGGATGAGCTGGTGCCCTGGCTGTTGATTAAGATGGTCTCTAGCGCGCGACGAGATATATTGACAGCATAGACCCCAATTAACGTTTTTCGTTAACTACAATTTGTTAAAGTATGGTCTGGCATGAAATTCAGAGTGAAAGGGGCACATGAAAAAGGAGGAATGTTTAAGCACGTCCACCACCAGCTGCATATTAAGATGGGCGCAGCCCCTTTGTCTCCTATTGCCCCTTCAATTGAACCCTTTACCCAATCACAGGCGTTATTTACTGCAGCCTTTTTTATTTTAGTTTTTGGTAATGCAAGCACTTCAAAGACTGAGCCTTGAAAGTGCACGCAAAATTTGCCATGGGTCATCCGCGCTGTCTGGGCCTATGCTTGGTGACAGTATGAACTCCGCACTAGTCGACGTTGAGACCGCGCCTGAAGCCAGTGTTGATCTAAGCGACGAGGTCTCTCCCTTTCCTATTGAGGAGGACGTTGGAGGTGACGATGACCATGGATTCAGCAGGTTGGAGCTGCCCATCATTATTGGCGGTCGCTGTCGTTCATCTAGTGCTACTGCAATCTGTTCCAGGACTTGGTCGGTGTATTGTTTAGCAATCTTATCGAAACGCGAGGCTGCGTATAGGGTATCCTGAAGGTTGTCCACCTAAGAGATATGAAAGATGAACAAGAGATATCGGTCGTTCAGTTGCTGCACAGACAATAGTATTTGTTAAAAGAAATATCAAAGAAGTGACATAGCGTAAGTTGTCATACCTCCTTCTCAAGCGAGCCCAACATATCCTGCATCCATTTGTTACTCTTGATAGATTGTTCCGTGCCTTCGATTGTATCTCGTCGTGCTTTCGTTGCTGGTCCGGGTGTCCCTGCGGCATCCTTGTGTTTACAGTACTTGTCCCACATACTCCTGTCATCCGCCGACAGTAACTCAACATTGAGCTCGTCCGCAGATATTTCAGGGAGGATAATGGCCTCGTCGCCAGGAGGTAATGCTGCCCCGCTATCCAGCACAGAAGCATGAAATGTGTTGAACGAGCTGATGATCCTTGTCCAACCCTCATCCTCCTTTCGTAGTTTGTCAATCTGGGCCTGGTATTGCCTTGATTTGCTCAAATTTTCCATGTTCCGCTTGTGAGGTTTCTTGGGCACTGCGCGGATAGGTTCCGTGTCCGTAGGTCGGGTGTACCATGATACACTAAATTTTCCTGCCGTCAGCATTGCTAGGGCTTCCTCCTCAATCTGCTTTGCGACCTGGAGAGCAGTTTGCGAACTGCTTTTCTGGGAATCTATGCTTTTCCTCGCACACCATGCCATGAGCTGTCGCATCCGAACTGGAGGCGGTTCCTCAGCTGCAATATGCCGGAAGAAATATTTTGGGTCTACCGAGGGATGTGGCACCGCTACATATTTCAAGAAAAAGAGAGAGAAACAGCAAAATACGTTAATGAGATGATATCTCGTAACACTCGACGTGCCTGGCGTGAAGAATCATGTTTGGACTACATACCCACGAAGCCATTGCCAATTGAAGAAGCTCTTTTTCCACGCAGGTTGAAACTCGACCGACGGCTCGCACTCCTCAAATCCTTGTTCCTATTGATCATGGGTGTCTCTCTCATAGGAATGGCTATAACTGTATCTTGGTTCCTCTTCGGGGTATGTTGGATTTGTTGGCGCTGTGGGCGTTGTTGGTTCTGTTTGGTTGACGTTGCTTTCGTTGATCTATTTGGGGGAGCTAGCACATCATAAACCCTCTCCCGCGAAGGTGTTCCTTCCGGTGTCAATGGAGGGTTTGGTGTCAACAAGAGCGGGTTCTCGGCATCATCGAAATTTCGTATCAGAGGTCCTGGTTTTGATGTTACTATCGTAGCTGCTGTGGAGGATTTGGGTAAAGTCGCCGTTGTCTTTTTCCTGATAAAAAAGAAGCCTCGGTCTTCTTCTGTAACTAAGTACGCAAAGGCTCCAGATTAGAAAAAGCTTCAAGCCATTGTTATTGCGCCAGCACAAACAAGCAGAATCAACAACATACATTTCTTGGTTCGTTTCTAAATAGTTAGTTACAATACAATCAAAAACATATTGAGGACAAGTTAGGTACAGCGTATGCACAATAAAGTATTGTAAAGCCATTCCAACAAGAGCGTATTTTTGCATACCAAGTCAGAAAGTTCGGCCCTCCAGCTCTCCTGTCCATCAGCAAAGGTCGACGCAGTTGGTGAAGAATTGTCCGAGGACGAGAGCGACGGGACAGCCTGGTGTTGGTACTGCCGGTCTGGTCGAGGCGCTCTTGGTTTCGATAGGCGCTGCTTTGGTTGTGGCAAGC